CGTCCAAAATCAATTCAACCTTCGCGTCCTCACTATTCATTCTGATGACGAGCAATCCCTATCTGATTTCTTTGGCCACGAAGCACCTTCGCGTGGAATCAACCTAGAAACCACTCCGCCCTATCAACCTGATCAAAATGGCTACGCTGAGCGATATGGTGCATTAATATCAAAGATGGCTAGGCAGATGACGATTGATTCAAACCTACCAAGCTATCTCTGGCCTGAGGCAGCTATGACAGCTGTTTACATTCAAAATCGCATTCCTCACCGATCTCTCAATTGGCAGTCACCACATGAAGCACTCGCAGCTTACCTAGGTGACAATGCACCACATTGGCTTCAGACCAAACCTGATCTATCCAATGTCAGAATCTTCGGATGCAAAGCCTACGTACGCATCACCAAGCTACCAAGGCTAGCTAAGCTTGCACCACGCGCGGCTATTGGCTACCTAGTAGGCTATGAAGCACACAATATTTGGCGTATTTGGATACCCACGAATCGCCGAATCATTCGTGCACGAGACGTGCAATTCAACGAAGAAGAATTCTACAATCCCTCCTTACCAAATCAAAAAATACGCATCTACGAAGACACCAACCTATTGCAGCCAATTACCACTCTTTATGAAGAGGAAACCACACAAATCCTTGACGATATCGATATAAAATCAGACCAGATGCAGCAAGATCTAGGGGGTGGAAGCACTACCACTGCTGAATTAGACCCTACTACATCCTCGCAACCTTCTGAAACCTTACTTTCACCTCACATTCAGCTCACTTCCAATTTAAATAAGCTAGACGACGAAATCCTTGGAGACCAACCGCTTACTCCTCCAATTGATCCAAAAGCAGACGAATTCAACCAACCTGACCAATCTGATCCGTCTGATATCGACGATACTGGCCAATCTAGCCAGATGCAGCCTTTTGTGCTAATTGATAACACTAACTTCGACCCTTCTGGCTACGAACCCCTCTCTATACCAAAGCGACTACGATCTGATTCAGATGCTAGCCGAGACCTAGATGAGGTTAAACGCCCTCACATCAACCTCACTTCACTTACGCAGGCCTTCCTGCTAGACTAAAGCAAGCAACCAAAAGTGCTGATTTCATCAATTCCCCCACCACCCTCTGGCTATCATCAACTAGTCAGCCACCCTTTCGAAAGTCAATTTCGTCAAGCTATGCAAATCGAATTCAACAAGCTTCTAGATATGCATGCATTTGAACCAATCAGTGCAAACCTCATTACACACACACATCAGACGAATTGCAAAGACCTTGATCAATCAGATTGCCCTCGACACTAGTTGATCCCAATGAGATGGGTATTTGCCTATAAATCAGATGAATCAGGCTACCTCACACGATTCAAAGCACGCCTGTGTGTACGAGGCGACACCCAAATCCCTGACGATCAAGACGCTCGCACTAGCACCCTTGCTGCTAGAACCTTTCGCACGCTTATCGCGATTATCACACGATATGACCTCGAAACCTTTCAGATGGATGCAGTCAATGCGTTCCTGAATAGCTCGCTGAAAGAAGAAGTCTACTGCCGATACCCACCTGGCTTAGGCCACAAGAAATCAATGATTCTTCGCCTACACAAAGCAGTATATGGTCTACGAATCGCTGGTAAGAGATGGGAAGATGATATCAAAGAGATGCTTCTCTCACTTGGATTTCAATCGTGCCCTGACGACCCTGCCCTTTACACTGATAATCGCATGGTTATTATGGTATTCGTTGACGATTTCCTTGCTACCTATCATCGAAGTGAGAGCACACACGCTCAGCAAATCAAAGACCTTCTCTCACAACGATTTGAAATGAAAGACTGTGGCGAATTGACCCAATTTATTGGTATTCGAATTGTGCGAAACCGATTAAAACGAAAGACCTGGCTCAACCAAGCAGCATATATTGAAAAAATAGCTGCTAGATTCAACCTGCTGAACAGCAAACCTGTCAAAATACCACTACCAACCACCCAAAGGCTTGATCCAATACTATCAGGATTAATTAATCCAAAGATTGTCAAGCTCTATCAACAAGAATGTGGATCAACCTTGTTCCCTGCCGTTTGGACCCGGCCGGACACTGCATTTGCCAACCAACTGCTAGCGAAATCGCTTACTCGCTGCAACGAAAAGCACTTAGAAGCCGTTAATCATCTGATTTCCTACCTATATCAGACGAAACACCTTTCTCTCTGTTTTGACAGCGAAATGAGAGCTTCTATCTTCACTGCTGCCTTAGATGCAAGCTTTGCCGATAATCCTGATCGAAAGAGCTCTGAAGGATTTATCTTTTGCCTATTTGGAGGCCCAATTGAGTGGAAATCACGCAAGCAAAAGACTATCACTACATCAACGACAGAAGCCGAATTGCTTGCGATTAGCCACGCAGCTAAGCAGCTATACTGGATTAAGCGCCTGTTCTCCTTCATCCAATTTGACCCTGACCAGTTGGATATAATTCAATGTGACAATAAGCAAACTGTTGATCTGCTTACACGAGAGAAATCCTCCTTCCAAACTAAGCTTCGTCACGTGGATATTCATCAGCTTTGGATTCGACAGGAAGTTCAAGCGAAACGGCTGCGAGTTGAATGGATCAAATCAGCCGAAATGCTAGCTGATGGACTTACTAAGCGCTTTCCCGCCGAAAAACATGCCGTTTTTGTTCAACAGCTAGGTATGGAAATCCTCCCTTTTCACTAGAAGGATCCCTTCATCCCTTCTTTCTCTGTTCTATCTCATTCAGCTCTCACTTTGACTTCATTCTGCCCTCACATCGAGAGCTGAGGGGGTGTGTCAACATGTGTGTGTGTGCGTATCCCGCAATAAGCGAGCGCATGCATGTATGCGCGCGCTAATGCAATCGGATGCATAAATCTGCATCCCTATACACCGCTTCATGATATACGATGCTAATTATCAACTACTGCATCAAATGGAAAAAGCAACGAGTTTCCTAACACTCTCGTATGCCCCCATGTTATTTCGGACTTTCATGACTCTTTTCCTGTGACATTCTGCTATGTACCCAAAGTTATAAATACTGCCTGTTTCCCTAGTTAAATTGAACAAGTTTGACACCCTTTCCACTCACGAATAGAGCTCAAGGCAATTCTGATTAAACTGTGTTGACCCTCCACTGTTCAACCTGTTCGCTGCCGACCCACCTCTATTGCACTTTCGTCGCTCTTCCATAATCGTGGTATTCGATCGACCTGTGTGCGCCTACAAGCACACCACACCAGGGTTTATGCACACGGCGTAAATCCGTCATATACTAATTCGAGTCGATATCAGCGACTGCAGCGGCGACAGATTAACGCTGTTTAGGTATAGGTTCTTTAACGGAGTTTTTATTCTATATACGGATCACAGCGGAAGAAGTATTTAGAAAATACTAGTTAGGGTCGAATCGAGCAGAGGAAGCATTAGGCCTATCGTCGCCCTTCTTGTATATAGGGGAATTCTGCGAAGATAAAGACGTAGCGGATAGTCCCCTCTATTACCGGGGCTTCCCCTTGTTCTTCGGATTAAAGAAATAATTATCTATATTGTAACCCCCCTTATAGTAGTGAAAGTTGCACTAGAGGTCTGCGGATTTCTTCTCGCTACCCTTATCCTTATTCCGGTTATTATTGTCGCTCCTGCGGCTACTACGTTAATAACCGCCTCCTCGAGTCTTGTTGTTCCTACGCTTATTGTCGTCTTTACTATCCTTATCCTTTCGGTTAGCGGTTAAGGAAGAGGATACAAGGGCAGTGTAGTAGCGGCGGGAGAGCTCGGAGGATATAAATTCTGAAAAGACGTCGTCTATTAGATAGGGGTTCGATAGATTAGGCTTAAAAGAGGTCACGAAGTGTTCCATAGAAGGGTGCGCGCGAATAGCTTCGATAAATTGTGCGTACTAGAATCGTTAAGATAGACAATTAGGCGAGTACTCGAGTAGCTTAGAGAGTGCTTTCTTCTACTTTGTAATAAATACACCGTACTAGCTACTAGGCTTATAGGTGTAAGTCACTTACGCGCTCTACCTCTACTAGAAGGTGTGCGTATTTACCTTACCGTACGTATTACAGATAATTCGGTATACTGCGGCGGCGTTGCGCTGGCCGCGAATGAAGGTCTTGATCGAGTCCTTAAGTGACGCAGAGAGGTAATGTATATAGTCTGTATTCGCCTTCCGGAACTAGGTATATTCCTCGTTGATATTAAGGATGTTTTCCTTGATCTAAACACGGATTTCGGCGTCGGTTATATTCGCCGGGGAAACACCTAGCTTATTAGCGAGGGTCTAACGCACTTCACGCTCAGAGGGCGTAGGGAGAGGGGCGTCGATAGCGGCAACAACAGTGCTAGTAAGTACTGGCTATAGGTCTAGGTCCTTATAGTCTATAAACAGCTGTAGATCGTAGCGCTAGTTGTCGAAGTTAGACTCGCCCTTCAGCTTGGGCACAGTGTCTGTGATTTTCTCTATGTCGAATGAAGACAGGGGGCGCCGAGGTCAGGTCGACGAGAGTGTAGGGTGAGGTCGATGGTGCTTTTATGTGCGAGGTCGACTGAGGGCAGCGTCGAGGTTAGGTCGACGCGCAGGATATTAGATAAGGTCGACGGTGCTTTTCTGTGCGAGGTCGACTGAGCGCAGCGTCGAGGTCAGGTCGACGCGCAGGATACAGCAGGATAGCGACTCCGGCTGTAGAAGAGGCTTCTCAGGGTAGGCCTTGGGATAATCGTGTGGGCTTCTCTAGGTAGGCCCACGGGAGGATTTTTTTTGTATGAGAGCTGCGCGCTCGTCAGCGGCAGCAAGGTTTTTAAATGAGGAACGAATGAGAAAATGATAGCAAGGCGCAAGGCTGGTGAGCGTCTGTCAGGGCAGCTCACCACCGCACAAAGGGCTGCATAACCTCTTAATGTGAAGCAGTAGCAGGAAACTTGGATGTTATTGAAGCTATGAGGAATCTAAGTTTGGATGAGCCCTGGGGCTCCTAAAGTAGTGTGGGGCCGGGGCTCCACCCTAATCTACGAAGACCATGGAGCGCCTGAATGGGACGACGTCTCAGGCCAGCTACTGCATCATTTTGCCTCTCCCTCAGCCGAGGGTACCGACGCCGAGCTCAGTGGTCTATTCTGCGTCACTGCCGCAGAACAATCCTGCAACGGCTTGCCCAGCAGGAGTATTGAACAATTGAGTCCTCGCTCTGCCGACTCTACCCAGAACACCGATCTTGGTGTCACTCTCAGTAAAGACCCGACGACAAAGCGAAACCCTCGCAAGCAAAATCATTCCTGCGACCAGTGTCGGACTGCAAAAAGAGCTTGCAGCCTGCAGCATAACGTCTCTATTAAGGGGCAGAAGCCAAAAACTCCTTGCACAACATGCAATGTGCGCGGGTTAGAATGCACAGTGGCATGGCTGGTCAACAGGAAGTTTCAACAACAGACCCGAAAGAGGCCCAGGACTGCGTCTTATGCTCAAAGCACGGAGACTGTGGTAGGGCCTTGTATCGCGGCTTGCTCAGAAGGACAGGCAGATACGTCCCCGGTTTACCGTGAAGTATTCTCATTGTCTAGAGAAGATGACCTCGCCCGTCAGCTGGTTGGGCGTGACACGCTTTCACAGAGATTTAACCTGTATGTCGATGTTATCGATATGCCGATCTCCCAATGCCTTTTGCAAGGAAGCATGCATCCTCGCTATAATCTGGGAATCACAGCCTTAGGGCCCCTCAGCGACAGCGGCCATATGTCCGTCTATTTCGACCATGCCAATACGTGGATTGGGAGCTGTTGGGAAAAGCAAACGGGTTCATGGGCGTCAACGGTGGTAGCACCGCATTTATTCCATGCAGTCTGCGTGCTCGACTCCCTCTTTCAGTACAATGGCACCCAACCAGGTCGTGGATCCACATCGCGTGATGCGTCAATTACAGAGACCTACAAGTTGGTCACAGTCGCAACTGCGGCACAGTTCGTAGTGTCCAATCATCAAACTAAGCACCCGAGTCAGCCAGGGCAGTGGGACACACATCTGCATTCTCGAGATATCGCGACAAGTACTTTGGGTAAGGCCAAGGAGCTCTTGTTTAAGAACATTTCATCCGTCCGCTCGTTTCGACTCGCAGTATCTCTACTTCTTTTCGGCCTAATCCCAGCCCCAAACCCGGGCGATGAATCCTCGACATTCGAAGAGGATACAACCTTTGCCCTTTGCGAAGGTGTCCGACGCGTTAAAATGCTTTGTTATCAGGCACGAGCTTGCGTTCTCGCGTATGACAAAGAGGGAAGCTCTCGATGCTCCAAATTAAAGCCTTGCTTAGTGCAGATGCTTCCCAAAGATGTCCGAGAAAATATTCTGGAGCTCATTGCTGCCATTGAGTGGTTGAGTATCATGACCAACTGCATGACCATTGTGTTATCTGACGGGAAGACTTGTCCCCTGCCGCCTCTGGAAATGTGTGATACCGCTGTCGAGTGCCCCCCAAGCGCGAAAGAAACGAATCAGGCTTCAAGTTTTGATCTTTCGTCAGTAGACCTGTTGCATGACTATGAGATCGACAACTCGATTACCTCACGTGCAAAGGAAGGTGAATGTGCGTTGATCCCACTGTTATGCAAGTACAGCTCGGAGGATCTTGTGCTTCAGGCGGCCAGGCAGTCGGGTGCAGTGGAGATCCTCTTGTGGATATGTCTGGCTTCCTTCACCCAGGATATCGAAAATATCATAAACGGCAATCCAAACTATGAAGTGGTCTACCGACAGTATACCATTGCTGTCAGGCTGGTGGAACTGTGGAGGTTATCGTTTGGCACACTTGACGACAAGACGGCATTTTGCATCGAACGCTCGACCTCTGATATACGACGGCTGGCTGGGTTTTGTTTGAATGATGGTGATCTAGCCATTTTGGCATTTTGTGCAACTGCACAGAAACTTGAGACATACCTGGAAGGACAGCCATCAATCCCGCAAACAGAATCCCTCTCGAGAATGCTGCGATCATCGAGGTCGTACCGCAAAAAGCAACGGCTTCTTGCTGCGCAGCAGCTGGCTACCTTTGCCAAGGTATCGCAAGGGATTGCAAGTTCTGGCTTTCAAGGAAAGTGTGGCTTGAAAGCCCACATTCAGGATATTGCCGCACACCCAGTGAGTGTCTCCGTATTCTAATATTACGTTCTGTATGCTGAAATGCATGTTCCAAGTACCCCAAAATGGTAGCCCAAGCCCATGCCTCCGCGGCCAAAGCTTTTGCGGATGAGGTTCAAGATATGGTCGCTAGATTGGATATGGAGGGAGCTTGTGAGATGACAGCGGGACAGGATTCCTGTCTGCAGGTGCTTCGTGGGCTTCAGGGAGTGCTGGTGACGTTACCGGATTTACATCAACTATGAAGATACATGTTAGCTACTTTCTTTCAGATTACTTAGCGACTGTGGCGGTTCTTGTACAGAATAAACATTATAGAGCAATGACCCCTTGTTTTACTACTCATGCCTTCGAAGATATGTGCAAATGAGCTCAAGAGAGGCTCATACTCTGGCCCTTTATATTTCAATCTGACCATTTGCAGGAAGAGAAAGCAGTGACGGGTTCATTACCATCGAGAAAACAAGTCCAAGATAGCTGTCCTAGTTTCACAGGCTCGCATTAACCAGGCTCGCGGCCCTGTTGCGTTCTTTGATCATATCACTTAGCTTGGCGGCCATTGCAGCAATAGGCGCAGTTGGATGCCCACTGATCTGTTCTGGGAACACACTTGCATCCATCACACGGAGACTCTTGACGCCATGGACCCGGCATTCTGAGTCGACCACGCTTGTCGAAGGTGATGGGCCCATACGTGCCGAGCCAACAGGGTGATACAGAGTGAAGGCCTTCTCATCCATGAATCGAACGAGCTGCTCATCGGTGATGTTCTCAATATTGCTGCTTGAAAAGGGCCACCAGTATGAAGTTGGATTGTCATTCACAGGGATGGGTTCAAGGAATTTCTTAAACGCTGCACTCTTGATAATTTGGAGACAGACACGAATGCCAACCAAAAGAACCTTCCGGTCATTGTCTCCGTCGTCGCTTAGGTAATTCGGATCGATGATTGCTATAGTGAGATATGGTCAGCTTCAATTCAAATACAGTCCAACAACCGCAGGCCGAAACTCACGCGCATCAAATACATCTCTACTCCGAAGAGTGACTGTACCTTGGCTCTGCGGCCGAAGAGCAATCGGAATAAGGGTAAAGACATTGCTACCATCAATTGCCTTCTCCGCGCCATGGTGGATGAAAGCAATAGGGGCGCCGATGATCTCCAGGTCAGGACCGACGTCGCCAGACGTATGGTCTCTAGGAGCTTGCACAGTCTGAGGAAAGTGGTAGTCAGAGGACCGGATAAACGCAGCCGCCTCGCCAATGTTGCTTGCTAGTGGGCCGCCACCAGTAAGCATCCAGCGAGCTAGTGCGGGAAGGGCTTTAAGATCGTTGTTCAAGTAATCGAGCGTGGTGCCAGGCTTTGCCTTGGCCAAGATAGGCGACGTGCAGAGATGATCTTTAAGATGTCGGCCGACCGTTTCATTATCTTGGACGATAGGGATTTTATGATTCTTCAACTCGTCCGCCGGACCAATCCCGCTTAGCAACAATGTCTGCGGCGTATTGACTGCCCCCCCACAGAGAATGACTTCCCGTCGTGCATGAATCTGGAAACGTTGACCACCACGTTGAGTCTGAAATTCGACGCCAATTGCCCTTGGTTCTTTGGTGGTGAGACAATCGAATAGTACTCTTGTGACATAAGCATGGCATGCGACGAACAAATTCTGTCTCTGTAAGACATCCGGGGAGAGGAAGGCCGTGGCGAGAGATGAGCGCTGTCCTTTAGGATCGATGAAGGTTTGAAATCTCGTTGAACCGAGGGTGCCCTGAGGCGTATTGACATCTGCAACGGCAGGGATCTTTGCATCTTGACAGCCCCGTAGGAAACCCTCTTCCACAATCTTCGTCAGCGACGAATAACCTGTCTCCCAATTCCCGGAGCTGCCCCGATGCTGGGTGTCAATGGCATGATCTGGATGGGCAGTAAATCGTTCCATACTTCGGAAGTAGGGTGCTAGGTCATCATAGCTCCAGCCGGAACAACCGTACTTTGAAGCCCATTCGTCAAAGTCAGATTTCGCGCAATGATGGTACATCATGGCGTTCATGGAGCTTGATCCCCCAATGATTCGCCCCCGAGGCCAGTACAGGCTACGGGAAGCGAGTTTAGGCTGCTCGACAGTGTAGTAATCCCAGTCATGCGGTGTGTGAAACAGCTTGGAAAAAAGCAAGGGCACTTTCGTTTCGAATACTTTAGTGTTGTCGCCGCCGGCTTCGAGGACCAGTACCGAAACATTCTTATCCTCAGAGAGTTTGCTCGCGAGGACACAACCTGCTGCACCTGCTCCAACGATCACTTTTTCGAGATCCCGAGTTAGCGACGTGCACAGATCTTCTCATACTGCCACATACCGTAGTCATAGCCGACGAGTTCACGTTGAGCTGCGGCCCATGACACCGGAGGGCCAGTGGGTAGTTGCGGCGTCGCATATTGGAGAGGGTTGAAAAGAGGGTTGCGATGGCGACGGCCCATGGCGTGAAAATCGGATGAAGACTAGAACAAAGTCCAAGATAGCCAGACCAAGGTTTCCGTGTGCAGCAAGCTTTCTGCGGGTGGCTCATATATACTACTTCCTGTTAAAATTCCTCATAGCCAGGTCACCTACTATCCCCCCACAGCCTCCACACAAAAACTAGTCTTTGCAATTCCAATCGACGCTGAAATGTGCGGCCAAAACCTCCTCGGTAAGTTCCTTAGCACGGCTCCGAGGAACCGGTGCCGAACTATATTTCCCCTCCACGCCTGTCTATTTTGCCTACCGCGGACCCGCACCCAGGGGTTACCGATCATCCTCACGAATAGCCGCTATACATGTCCGTGGGTTACCTTGGTAGAGACGATCAGGGTATTTGACTGTTGGGGCAGCCCAGATTCGTCAAGGGCATGGTCACATCCGCTTTGCTGGTAGTGACATTGCAGGTCTCGATGTTGGAGCAATTGAGGACGCGATGGAGTCGGCTGCTGCTGCTGCTCCTCGAGACATTGCTGCTGGGCTTGCGACTTCTGACATGTCTCTCCCGGCCACACGCCCTCGTATGTAGGATGCAACGCTGAACTATATCCATAATAAAGGTATCAATTTTCTTGTGATTCTTGAAGTTGTCATTCTTGATTGTATTCTTAACCTCTGGACACTCTTCGTATTGTTGACGGTTGAAAACCTCCAGCCCTTTCCTGGAAACATCATAATTAAACAATACATCCACATACATAACTGTCTAACTGTCTAACTGTCTAACTGTCTAACTGTCTAACTGTCTAACTGTCTAACTGTCTAACTGTCTAACTGTTTAGCTGCCCAACCAAGTCACACTCAACGAGAGAGGAGCGCACCGAGAGCGGTTGTGCTCAGTTCACAAAAGGGGCTTGCGTGATATTCGTGCAGTACAGTCAGGACCTTCACGGAAGAAGAAAATAGAAGAAAAAAAGGGATTGTATACATGTGAGGTCAAAGTTGACAATGAGCAGAAAGCTCTGCAACAGAATAAAAATAAGGTTCTGTTCCGCACCTTCGCTGGGAAAAAAAAAGCGCAAGTATGTGGAAGGTCATTATGTTGTGGAAAGTTTACTCTCATTTCGTCCACACTGTCCCCTTCTCGAGATTTCCGTACACAGCGACTGCCAGATCCCTCCAATAGTATGATCTTCGCTGCCACACAGAACGGTCACCGACCCCTGGTAGCACATTCCGTGCCTGTTGGACATAGGTAGACTTCAAGTCAAGGAATGGAACTTTCTTGATGTGTAGTCTCTCCTCGTCTCCCATTCGGGGCACTACCATGGTAGTGCCGTCCATTTTCATCTTCTTGAGCATGCGGCATGCCAGTTTGGCCGTGGCATCAGCTCCAAGAGTCCAGCTGGCATCAACGTAACCGAATGCAAAGATGGCATTCGGAAGCTCATCCATCATGGCAAACTTCCAAAGAAAATGATCGCCAATGTGATATTGTTCGCCATCGACGAAGATTTCAATCCCGCCAGCGATTCGTAATTTCAGTCCAGTAGCTGTCACAATGATGTCGGGCTGCAGCTCTTCGCCCGATTGCAACTGAATGCTGGTCTCACTGACAGTTTGAATCACGTCCGTCTTGATACTCCCTTTTCCGCTTCGAAGACTTTCATAGAAATCCGCCTCAGGGCACATGCATACCCTTTGTTCCCACGGGTTATACCGGGGTGTAAAGTTTGGATCCAAAGGCATATCTTTGGGTAGCTCTTTAGCGGTTAAGAGCAATAACAGCTTTCTGGCCAGAAGAGGAAACCAATGGCAGAATGTCACCAGAACCAATGGCACGAAAACCCACTTGAACCGAATAAGTTTCCGAGCGAGCATTTCGGGGAACAAAAGCCGAATCACTTTCTCCGCTAGGTCTTCGTTTGGGATTGACAAAATATAACTAGGGGAGCGTTGTAGCATTGTTACATGTTTTGCAGTCTTTGCGATTGACGGAAGCAATGTGATGGCTGTCGCCCCTGACCCGATGATGACGACCTTTTTGTCCTTCAGGTCGAGGTCCTTGGGCCAAAACTGCGGGTGGACCAGGGTACCAGCAAAATGCTGAATACCAGGAATATCGGCCTGGAGGGGCTCATGATAGTCGTAGTAGCCTGTTCCAAGCAGCACAAACCGGCTTCGGAGAGTGCTGGGAAATGTCTCGTTCACCGTGAGATCCAGAGTCCAGGCTTTCGACTCAGTGGACCAGGACAGTTGGTTGACTCGGTGTCTAAACTTGATCTCTTTTTCGATTCCTTCTTCCTCTGCACAATCTCGCACATACTTGGCAATCAATGAACCATGCGCGATCGAGTGTTTCCCGGCCCAGGGGCGCCATGCAAACCCAAAGGTGAACAGATCCGAGTCTGATCGAATGCCTAAGCTCTGGGTCAGCGCTGGGCTTTCAGCCGTATCTGCATGGACAAAGCTTACCGGGATATTGGAATAAGCTCCATGTTCCTCCTATTTCATGGCGCTCCTCAACAATGCAATAGCTCAATTCCGGATTGCGCTCTTGCAGCCGGTACGCAAAGTTGATGCCAGAGATTCCAGCACCGATAATGATTACGTCGTAATCCAGGTCCTCCTGCTTCCTATCCATCGTCACAAGCGTTTGGATATTCTCGCAATGATGAGTACCTTTCCAAATGCCAGAATGAATGACCCTTTCAGTCAACGAAAACTCAATCTTATTCAAAGTGACAAACCGGGAAAGAACTTTGAGACCGTTGCATATATAAACAGTGCTGTGAAGAGAGCCAAATTTAAGCAAGAGGCGAACCGGTCACATGGCCTCGGAAGGGATTCAAGGTACGAAAAAGCTCGGACTAAGCCCGAAAATGGACAGCATTCATTCCAAAGCACGATTGTCCTCCCCGTATCCCAAGACCTTACTCGGTCGCGGATCCGCGGAACCATCGTCGTGCGAACGCTGGGATCCGAGGTCCGAGCCGCACGGGAAGCCACGCCTGCTGATTCGAAGAATCCCTCTAAAGTGGGAGGAGCCTTCTAAAATGGGAGGAGAGGCTCCGCAGGTTTGGTGGCCTGCACCCCGCACCATTTAACGGCATTGCCCGTGGTCTCGGCGTCGCTGTTCGGAAGCAGGACATCTCTCTGGATGAAGCCGTTGGTTTTCTGCTGAACCTTGTCAATAATCCTTCATCCATTCAAGGTTGGGAAGTAACTTTGGGATAGCTCAGCGGCTACCTACAGGGCGGTGTTCTCAGTCAAAGAGCTCTGGCAGTTCATCTCCCACGCCGCTCATGCTGCGGGACCATGGCGACATGCATTCTACGGAATGCTTGACACAATCCGAACTGGCGAATGTTCAATCGGAGAAGTGTTAAGTTTCCTCATTGACTCTGCGCGCGGAAAGGTCGCTCCATACTGTGGAGGCCTCACGGTACGAGCCACAGGTACTGGGATGGAGTCCCCATTGTTTCGACCAAGCGTACGGCCAAGTTCGGTGAGGGGTCTGTTCTCTTCTCAAATATGGCGGCTGTGACGGGAGGTGCTTGTGCCGCGTTCATGATTTTGGCACTGGAAGGCGGCCAGAAACTCAGCGGCATTTTTGCTCCCGAGGACTGGGCTGAGCCGCAGGCTTTCTACAAGGCCCTGGGCCGCGTCGGAGTGCCACATGATGAGCTCGCTCATTGGATCGATGACGGCTCCGTAAATTCGAGACTGTAAGTCACAGCAAGAGAAAGGACATCATTAGAAGAGATTGTGTCTGGCGCTGCAATATGTTTTCGTGAGAGGTTTGGCTGTACGGCGAGAGGCAACTATCCTCCGGAGGTTCTTCGGTTCCGCTTCTTTCTACTCCTCCTGCTCCAATGAGGTAGCTAGAACAGATTCTAGAGTCTTCGTTTCCTCCCATATATGTATCGTAGCGGCTTTTTCTTCAGTTGTTGTCGCTCGTCGCTGTTGTCAGTATCAACAACCAGTGGTCTGTCAAAGTCCATCTTTCTTCTTAAGATTTTTCACTAGCTTGGCAAAATATTGATCATCGGGTGGAATTTAGCTGGTCATGCGCAGCAACAATATTCAATAGTTTAGTTTCAGTTCAAATTCTATGGGTTTACGCCATACTTCAACCGAAAAGTGTTAGAGATGCCTCAGACTCTCAATATTGTCTTGTCACGTCTGAATACTGACAATTTCATGTCTGGGTATCGTCAATCCGTCGACTATATCTACTCCAGTTTTCCAGCATCAAGTTGTAAAACTTATCACTAAAGGTTTCCAAATCGGACGGAGATACTAAGAGACAGCGGGCGAACACTATGGCCTAACGATGTACTCGACATCTTTCACTGGGTTTCATTTCGAGGTCTATAGACTTGAACCGCGAAAATTGGGGAATGATTCATAAGGCTTTCCATTCAAGTTTGCACGCATCCTTATATTACTCTAGTCGCTATGGGCTACGAATCTCTGAGATACCATCGGCGAACGGCAGGAAAACTGGCCGATATGTGATCAACTTCACGACTCCATCACACAACGAGTGCGTGGGAAACTGTGAGGCGGGTAGCCAAATACAAAACGCTGGCAACAGTCAAGAACACCCCAGTGAACAGTTGCATGGAGAGGTAGGTGCCAAGCGCATTGTCATACAACCGTCCGGCAATTGGTCCGGCCCCAAGAACAGCAAATGAGACCACAGTGATACAGATACCTAGTTGAATTTTGTTAATGCGGTTGAGTTGAAGGGTGTCTAGAAGACTCATACCATTCCAGGTACCGATCAATCCTGGCTCTGGCGCCAGGATGGAGATGCACGGCGAAAATAGAGCTTGAACGGCACCAGACAGGAATCCGTAAATGACAGTCCATATAATGAGGCCTGCGTTATTTTGTGTGCCAATCCAGCCAAAGGCCGTCACAGCGCAGCCGATGGCAACCACTGTAAGTGCATTGAAGGCGCCAAGGCCGCGATCGGCGCCAAGGCCAAAAATATAACAACCGAAGAAGGCGCCGGCGTTCAAAATGGACGATAGGTAGAATGCCATGTTAAGAGAAGTACCCCCTTGTAAGGCATAGAGGGATATGTAGAACTTGATGAATAGACCAGTTAGTGCCGGGTGCGAGCAGATTTATGCAAGATCTGATTCGATACGCACATAGGGAATGTAGACCGCGAAGAAAAATATCAACGTGGACAAGGTAAATAAGGTGGTCCTTTTATCAGCCAGGAATTGCTTCACGGGAATCGGTTCTCGGGGTATCCGAGGGAAGCGTGGGCTGACTAGAAGGGTGGCTATCACCATGAGGAACAACTGTAAGAATCCAATCGTCCGCAGTGTCCAGCCAAGTGACAATTGTCTGTTATTAATGAGTTGATTAACGATGATTGGCCAGATGACGCCTATAGGAATGGACGATAGTAAGTTATGGCTTTCTCTCATAAATTGAAAGGAAGATGAGCAAAGGAATTCTGACTGACCTCCAAAATTTTGGCCCGACATAACCAAGCCAACGACGAAGCCCCTTTTTTTCAGGAACCATTGAGATTGAACCGCCAGGGCGGGAGTAAATACCAGTCCAAACCCTATGGCGGAGCAGAGCCCTTGCGAGAGAACGAATTGATAGTAGGAGTTTGAAATCGACGACATCATCGTTCCAAATACCATGAAGAATGTCCCCAAAGTGAGGGGCAATTTGGGTCCACGCTTGTCGGATAGCCTCCCCGACCACAACCCGAGGAAGAAGCAACCAAAAATTTGGAGGCTACCGATCCATGAGATATCGCTGGCAGTCTGGGAAGGCATGATCTCGCCATAGTAGCTCTGGAATACAGAGAACGCGCTCAGAAACCCAATGCTGGAGATTTGTGCCAGAAATCCACCCGCCACGGTAAGCCAGGCTTTACATCCGCCATCTGGAAAAGCGAGTTCTGTAGATGCTTCTTCTGGTGTTGGCCCATTTGCATCGGCGGAGGCTTCCTGGTCCCACGGCTTTTCTGAATGGCGTGACATTTTATGCAGTTGAAAAATCGTATAATGATGCTGGAAGTAAATCCGGTGGTTTGCTCGTGCCTAGACGTAGCTCGTTGTCAAGCCCAGGCTGACATTTATACACTATACCCCAGACCATCCCCGCACGGGGCGTTATCAGCATATCAGCAGCTACAAAGATAAGCTTCACACGCACAAACTTTATTTTTCAAGAGAAAACTTTAAACCTGGCAGTTCACTACTCACATTTTCCGGGTCCGCAGACGGAGCCGCAGACATAATCAACCTGGCAGTAGGTCAATGCACACTGCTCTCAAGGCAGCCTATTCCGCATACAAGTCTTCGTTTGAGATTATGGTCGATTCAGAAGAAGGCAGATTCTTAAAGTCCATTTCAGTGGGATGCGGTGGCGCCTGATTCTGTTTATTGTGGACCCGTGTGCGGGTTGCGTGGCCTGACCGTACAGAAAAGGTCGTCAATTTTGGGATATTCTGGCAGTTTCTTACGAAGATGTCGGAGATGGTATCAGCGCTTCGCTTGCTATCTCTCCTTCTTTTTCAACAACGCCTGACATTTCTTGTTTTTCCTCCTTTACCTCCCTGAGTAGATTCGGTTTCACACAATACAGACATTTCTATAATTCGGATGCTCTTCGTGCCTTCTAAGGCTTTAGATTGAGTCACTCCTCGACAATTTCTGTCCGGTTTTCAATGCTCCATCCGCCAGGTGCCGTAAACTAAGCTGGCTCTGATTCATAAACTTTAATATCATGACGGATCGTGCCAAGGGAGATGTATCATCGCATCCGCTCAAACAAAACAAGACCTCAATGTGGCTCAAAATAACTTGCCAGTCAACATCATGCTGTCAAATCGTGGTACTCTGCCAGCGTAACCATCAAGCCAAATCAGTACTGCCAAATTCCATCAAGGATTGGCCGTCCCCGTGAATTCCATGGATATTTTATTTAACCTAGTGAAAACTGTGCAAACGGATGGGGCCTCAAAACTTATTCCACTCATATTTTACCATCCCGTCCTTTCCTTGTCCTATCACGCATCGTACCTCCAGGCAATATCCCGCTGTGAATACGTCTCATGAATGCTAAAGGTCGAAGCCGCCAGCCCCAAAATCATTACCGAGCTCGCTACAAAACTCGCCCCAAGTCAGAAGTGTCGCTGTAGGAACTTGCTGGCTAGTGCTCGAACAACCCCTGACGATCGTAATGGTTTCATATGCTATACTGGAACCTTCTCCGATGCTAAACAACGATAGTGATAAAGGCTAAGCGGACATTTTCGTGAGCGATCATCCTCTTGAAAGTAGGCCTGTTTTTCTTTTAAGGCTTACAACTAAAATATAGTAGCCTCGTTACATTTGTTTATATAGATTTAACGTGACAGGGTTTGATCGAGGACGTATAGCTTAATTAATTTCAACTCTGTTTTGCTTTAGGGATATAGTATCCTATTCACTTCAAATTCTGTCACTGTACTTCATTCATAAACTAAACGATCTTTTATCCTCTTGCGAGGTGTTGCGCTACAGACCCTCTGAAAGATTTCTATGTCTAGAAAATAATCTAGGCGTATACATACGTAGGCTGTCGTTAATAAAGATACTGCCAAAATGAATAAAAGAGTTTAAGAAAGTGAAAGAGTAGGTTAACCTCGGACCCGCTACAGACCCGCAGGCCTGCTGAAAACCTAAAGGTTCAAGATACTAAGACACTTTTGATACTAATACATTAGCGTTTAACTCGAATATATTGCAATAGCCGGTACAGTTACAGAGTATCGAAGTATTGAGATTCAGCATCAAATCTTAAACGTAATACTAGCTGAGTGTTTTAAGCCTTACCTATACTTATTTAATCGCAGGATGTTACGATATACCCGATATGAGGTTATCCACAAATGCCGGTGCCTTAGGCCACTAGGACCCTATTAAGCCGCTAAGCTTTCGGTGGAGGTTCGCTGGGGCTTCGCTACTAGTACGGGTACGGACTCCTACAAGGAAGGCCCTTATAGAGGTTACACAAGCCTCGTGTTTCACCCCGCTCCTATTCCCCTACCGAGGATATATCTCCTTCCTGTTTTAAGCGATATGACTGTACATAAATTGATCTATGTTGGAGAGGTTTTACATTCCACAAGAAACAGTCTTTGACCTTTCTGAACAATTAACTTGGTCCCTTTCTCCTACCTGATTGACAGGCCTCTATCCTGACTTATAGAGTATCCTTACAATTCTATTCTGACGTATTGCCTCGATTTCATGAAGTTATAAATACTGCCTGTTTTCCATAGCTAGTTGAATGAAGTTTAATCATGGTGATGAAGTTGGAGCATTCTTCTATCATAAGTTAACTTCCGATTCTAAGCCGAATCGTACGACCTGACCTGACCCTTAACGATCTACGACTAGATCGTTCGACCTAACTTATACGATTCTTTGCAGGATCGTATACTGATTCGACCGATCGTGCACATTTGCTTGCTTGTGCACGCCGAAGGATTTATGCCGACCCCGTAAATCCAACACTTATTCTATTAGGGATCTTACCACAAAATTCGTGGCTATCCCGACACTAGACTACGTTAAGAGGATAATAATTTCGTTAATAGAAAGCCTACTGTAGTCTATTTCGGCGGTAGATATTAGAACTTCCTTCCGAAGATCCCTATAATAAACTAAGTAAACAGATTAGAGTATATACTACTAGAGGCATTATATCGCGTATTGTACTTTAAACCTCTTTATGTGTAGTAGAAAATTTCGCGGAAAATTCGATATCTCGTATATATAATATCCTAACTTAAAAGTCCCTCCGAAATCCCTACACCGTTTCTAGAGTAGGCAGAGGCTCGATTCAGCCTAGTTTCCCTTTAATAACCTAGACAAGGAAACCTTTACAGGTCGGGAGGTCGGGAGCGTTTTTAGCTTCGGGATAAAGCTTAAGGAATCTAAAAGATAGTTAATCTATAGAATTCTATACGGAACTACCTATTAACTTATTAAAGATTATTAGTGTACGCTTATAGTCGCTCTCTATACGCGGCAGGACTACCTTTCTAATTTTAGAGTTATCGAAGTAGCTTAGGTTTACTATATTACAGGTGTAAGACAGTAGTAGATCCTTTTTCGCTATAATTGCTGTCGAGTTAAAGCAAGAGGAAAACGGCAGAGGGGTTAGAGTAAAATAGAAGAGAGTGTGGAAAAGGGTAAGGGCAACTAGCGGCAACTGCACTAAAGGCAAGGATATAGTGCCTGCTCCCGCATCGCGAAATCTTTCCCTTGATCAAAATGTACAAAGGTATATTTTGGGGCAGGGGTTTACGCCTCTAGGTGAAGAATATTCTGGTGGGTGAACTACCGCCTGATCACCCTAAATACCCTTAAAGCGCTGACGTGGTGCCTCGACAAACACCCCCTCTCTCTGACTCTCCTCCCGGTCGTGTCTCAGCTCTTCTTGCTGGGATGAACTGGTAATTAGACTTACCGTGGCTATTACTATAGCCCTCTGGTTTTGTCTGGGTTAAGCTTTCTCTAGAGGACGCAGTGAATATTCCGACCAATGAAGAAGTGCAGAACTGAACACCTTGCTCCTATATGAATAATCACAATTGAAGAGTCTTCCACGGTCGAAAGCAAGGGCTACTTGAGATGGAATTAAATTAACCTGGCGACCTTTTTGATTCTCCCGAATAGACTGAAAAGATCGAACCGCCGGAGAGACAATCGCGACTAAGCCAATTGCTCATAGGGCTGACCGTCCCACAATCCCTCTTGGGAAAAGGTATTAGTTCCGTGTCATAGGAGCGCTGAAAGTTGACTTGGTCTCTTAACTCTAAGTAAATAGTATTAGGGAAGAGGTCCATCTCTTTGGATGGGAATATCTGTAAATGAAGCTATCTCTCACCATGTAGAGTGAGCAGGCACTATCAACAACCAAGTTTTTGAAAGCTATTTCAACAAAAGAGAAATCATATCTTCAAGGCCCCCCATTTCGAGATACAGACTTGGCTCGATAGCTTCAATCTCCATGAGAACAAATGGACGATCTTCGGCCACCAAACCATCGATGCGTACGTATCCCATTTCCCCTGTTGATCCTTTTCCGAACCAATCCTTGAGGGTATCGAAAACAGAATACACCGTCGATAAAGTTGCCTCCGCAATATCTGCGATTGGAATGCGACTAATTTCGCCGCCAAATTGGGGCTGGCAGCGGAACTCGCCATTCTTGGGCGCTTTTAACATGACATGAGACAGCTTTTCCCCGACAAACACAAAAGAATATTCGCCTGTGGTGATGGCTGGCTCGAACTTCTGTACAACCAAGGAACTTCCCAGGCCGCCTTTCACACATAGCTCTAGATACGCCACATCATCAGCTGATGGTGTTGAGATATCTGGGATGAGTCGAGTGTTGTTGGAGGACGCAGAGACAGATGGTTTAAGTACGATAGGCCCAGATAATTGAAATGCCTGTAGTCGATAATGTAGTCCTGGGGTGCAGGCAAATTGCTCAGCATCGAAGATTTCCGTCTTGGGTATGTCGAATCCGGCGCGTTGCATATCAAGGAGGTACTTCTTGTCCATGTTCCATTGGACCAGGTCGAGATGATTCACCACGCAGGGACGATTTGCGCCCATTTCCACTGTTTCAATTGCTTTTTTGGCCGCATCCAAGAATTCTCCGAAGGCAATAGGATGCTGGATATAGTCTTCAGCCCAGAGAAAAGTAATCACGTCGCTGTCTAGGATAAAGGGGATAATGTCCTCGTCCATCCATCTTTTGATGGTTACAGAGGCGCCCCTTTTCGAGAGAAGAGGTGGTAACATTTCGTTCGACCAATCATCATCGGAAACATATTTCTCGATAGTGTGTGGTGGAACGGTAGTGAGAAATAGGATTCGCTTCATTTTCCTATGACTTCAAAGTTAGATGAAATCCTTGTATTTTCGTGCTAAAAGCACAATCCTTGGGAGACAGAAGTCATTTGTCTGCCATCAGCTCCGCGGGGCTGGAAACGCTTGCTACTGCTGATTAATGGTATGTAATCTGCGCGATTACCTCTCATGGCCCATCAGTTGATACGCTGTATGTAATTTATTTTCCATGTCTGTTCGCAAGGACCTCATTTGTTCACGAATTTCGCGCTATTCACAGTACCTGTCCAGGCGGCTAAATCCAAAATTGCTTACATCGCTTAGCTTGGCCACTGATACCGTTCTTCTCACTTCGTTCTTGATCGACCATAATGATACTACATGATCCGCGTGCATTACTATGTTCTCAAAAAGAATCTAGGCTTTCGGGATCTATTTAGAGGTCATATGGTTTTCTATCGACAACCAATTGCTCCTCACGTATTGGCTCGGAGTAGCCACTTAGAAAGTGACCCAGGAAGCCTTGGTACGTACTAGAGACAATTATGTGCGTGGAAGAATTGTGCACATGCTTCAGTGCCACAGTATCCCAAAAAGCAAGTTCGGCACCAATCTTCTACAATCGCGTCAATCCCGCAGACCCAACACCAGAGCGGTTTGGTTCCCTGCTTCAGTGCCTCTTCAGTCAGAGCCCGCCGAAGAGGCTTAGCCTCAATACCGACCAAATACCTCTCAATCGCTTGATGATCAACAGCAGCAGCACTGTTGAGCTTTGGGATCCACCGCGCCCAAGAACTTCGTCTGCGAAATGCTGCCATGACGTTGAATTTCTTGGAGATCTCACGATCTACGGCGATGAATGCGCCTAAACCTCGTATAATCTCTTTTCCGTGACCATCATTGCCAGCAAGGCGAAGGATGAACTCTCGAAACGCCTTTCCAATTTGCTCACTTCTTTCCGGCCAACCCTCTGCCTGGGCCAAATTTAGAATCCCAAGGGCCTCGATTAGCACTGGCGTGGCAATGGGCCTCGTGACCATAGACCGCCAGAATCTAATTGACTGGCGAATCAGTTCCTGCTTATGAAAAGCGAGGTGTCGCATCATCAGGCCATTGAAGTTAATTGCAACGCCGCTGATGCCCATCCCTTTACCAAAGGCGACCATGTCAGGCTGAAGAGTCCCGTCTTCAAAATACTCTGGTCTTTGAGAGACTAGAGGCGCTCCACATCGGATCGCGGTCATTGCTTCGTCCACGAGGAGGCATATACGTGCTTGGTCACAGCAGGAGCGTAGGAGACGAAAGGATTCGGGAGGGAAGACTGATCCGTCTGAGGCATTCACTAGATCGCTTACCACCGCGACACAACCATCCTTTTTGGCCGCAATGAGTTTTTTCAGCAATGCATCCTCTGACGAAAAGTCACTTCGACCTATGTGGATGGCTTCAGGACCCGATCCAATGATCTTATACTCCCACTCATCGGATGAGTGGGCCTGACTTGCTTAGCATCTCTTGCGATTCACAATCGGCCATCAAAAGGACTTACGAGGGGTCCATAGGCGCAGCCATAAATTCCATCGACGATGGCCAGTTTTGGCGATGTGATATGGACATCGGTCCAGCCTAGAAGGTCCCGAACAAATTGATGAACCTTTTCTGGTTCGGGATCATCCTTGAGCAATGGCGATAGTGCCGGATCCTCCACGACCAATGGACAGGTCGAAGCCGTATTGAGTATGAGGCTGGCTATTGTCGTTGGTATGAGCACATCACTGACATGCGCGTGGAACGTGATGGGCCAGTATCCCTGGAAAAAGGACTGAAACTTGTCGGTATACTCGTTTAGAAGAACGTGATACTGTTGTTCAACTCTGACAGGGTTCACAGTGTACTCTTCCCATATTTGGCGAGTGCGGTCGTCGTTTCTGAATCCACTGTTGGAATAAATAGTGCCCCAAGCGTTGTGGAAATCGTGATCAAGAGGGGGTTCCGCCGAGCGATGACCATTCGACATTGATTTCACGGTGACAGTCATGATGCAAATTTATGGCAGATGTTCCGCCCATCCAGCTATCAGGGAAAGGAAATTTGGAAAGTGTCAAGATGGAAAATGCCATCGGTCGCTCGCTTTCGTTCTCCAATTGTCTTGAATCGCTCTTGATGATCTTTACCCCTCCTCACTCGCTGGACAGCTCAACAATACCAAAAGTGGATCTCCGTAATGAGACACGTAGTGCATGATGCAAGGTGATGATGGATACGAGGAAGGCTGCTAGCTCCAGTATCACTCAGGTTTCGCTTGACTTCTAGCAAGTTCAGCACGCCACAACGAAGCCAGCAAGAAGCTTTGAATTCTGGAAGTGGTATGATTCGTCGTTTTAGGAAGGGAACCCACTTCCTCGATCGATCGCCAAAGGTACAGGCTCCACAGAGATCTGCAGGCCAAGCGCGTCACAACCTGCTTGTTGTGACCAGTAGAACCAACGGAATCTCCAATGTGACAGACAACATAGAGCTTGTGTGCAAGCGGTGAGACTGAGACTGAGAATTTTCAGAGCTTACTGTTAATACATTGTCACTGTATTATTTATAAAATATGCAAGCTACGTGATAGCGCATCCCGGCGGTCAATAATAGAGTAGAAAATACTTTCCAATTGCTGAGGCTATATATCCTTTTTACCCGCAATCCCTTCTATTTCTTTTCCCTACCTTTATTCCTTTGACTCAATTGATGAAAATTTGAAATATGGCTCCAAGCCTAGTGGACTCGAATAGGCTGCCTATCGAGGGTTTCACAAACCGCCAAATTATTCAATCTCCTACTTACCCGTTAAAAGATGCTATTCAACTTGACCTAGGGCCGTACTGGCCCAGTTGGTCAGAGACTAGGGCATCCAGGTCGATTAAGCAATCGACTTTTTTGAAAGCAGCTTGGATTCTTACACTCCGTTGCTTTCATTCCGAGGAAGTGATAGGCATAACCTACGATGAAGGGATGATTCCACGGCCTGACTCTTCGATTACCTTCACCGTGCGAGTAGAGTCTGACTGGGATATATGGTCACTTCTTGAAATAATAGAGATGAAAGAACGTGGCGAAGACACGATTTCTGGAGCTAAGCTCAGTCATTCTCGCCATGTCTGTACTGCATCACTCAAATATTTAACCAAGTCATTCCAACTTTTGACGCCACTAACCTCACTTACTGGAAACCTAGAGGTAAGTTTACCGCTTAGGATGCACTTAGTTGCATCTGCTGATGTTTTCTCTTTTCCAATCGTCAAGCTCGTTGTCATTAGGCGTGACAACCGGTTGAGCGCTAGCATCAAAAAGCCAGAAAATGTCCCGAATGAGTTGGATCAGAGCATGCTGTGGACTTTTCAGCATGTCCTCCGACAAATTACGTCCTACCCTGCGAGTTTAAAGCTCGAGGCAATTGACTACTGCTCAGAGTCCCACAAAAAGATAATCAAGAGCCAGACGAACACGATATCAGCTCAGAACCTCCACTGCCTGCACGATTTGATCTTGGAAAACTGTCAGCGACATCCAAAAAGGCTTGCTGTACGCTCATTTGATGGCGACTTGACTTATGAAGAATTGAACATTTTATCCCTCCGACTAGCACTTCATCTCGCCCAGCTAGGCGTACGGCCCGAAACCTTTGTCTTGAGTAGCTTCCAGAAATCAACGTGGGCAATCGTAGCTCGATTGGCCATTCTGCGTGCAGGCGGAGCGTACATCTCGATTCACTCAAGCAATCCACCAGCTTATCTTAACTCGGTGATACGGCGCACCGGTGCCAAGGTCATGTTAAGTGATCCTGTCTTTGCAGATCAATTCCACAATGCAATTGAAACAGTCATTGTGATCACCCCTGAATGGCTACAGACTCTTCCTTTACAAATTCAATTGGCCCCATTGCAACCGACTCAGCCATTCAACGCGTGTACGATTCTGTTCACTTCTGGGAGCACCGGTAGGCCCAAGGCCATTGTACAAGAGCACAGTCCTACGCATCAGCTATCAGAGACTATGCCGAGAACCTTGGCCTGAATGCAGATACAAGGTTCTTGCATTTTGACGATTACGCATTCGATATCAGCAATTTGGAATTCTTGGTTCCTCTTATTTTAGGGGGTTGCTGCTGTGTGCCAGGGCCAATGAAGACTATTCAAGATCTCGCCGACAACATTCAAATGCTCGATGCTAATATTGCTTTCCTCACACCTACCGTGGCCATAAAGGCAAATCCGGAAGCAATGAGAAATCTCAAAATCCTGTGCATCGGTGGAGAGCCTCCTTCGAAAGACCTTTTGAACAACTGGGCTAGAAGCTCGACAAAGTTGATTAACCAGTTTGGTATGGGCGAAGCAGCAGTCTGCTGTGCATACAACGACAATGTCCATGACCCTAGTAGCTCACCTGCTACGATTGGACGGCCATCCAGTGGTGCAATTTGGATTGTCGACCCATTATGCCCGGCTAAGCTAATGCCAATCGGCGCGGTCGGTGAGATTTTAATTGAAGGGCCTCATCTTTCAAGGGGGTATCTTGACCAGGATCATCAAGCATCGGATCGTACAAAACCGGCTGGCTTCATGGAAGATATACCGCCCTGGTTAAACGAGCTTCATCCCAACCGGGAATTCACCCGCTTATATCGATCGGGGGACCTGGCACGATGGACCTATAATGGACGGATTGAATACATTGGACGCAAAGACACAATAGTGAAGCTCGACGGATGCCGAATCGATGTGGTTGAAGTCGAGCACATTGCAAGGAAAACTCTTACAACCAAAGATGCCATTGTGGTGGACCTTCTCGGCGTCATTGATGGCAAAGAGGATCCCTGCCTGGCCGCGTTCTTATACCTCAGCGGACACCCAGAGAATTCGGAAACCGAAGAACTCTCTTTAAAAGACGCAAGTCAAGATCCAGCTGCCCTTCAAAAAGTAGTCCAAATCAAGGAAGTTCTCGCCATCTCCCTCCCACCTTACATGATTCCGACGCTGTTCTTGTTAGCCACACGTGTACCGCGTACACCTTCAAAAAAGACCGATCGCAGAATGATCCGATTGCTTTCACACAAGTTTTATGCTCAAGAGCGTGAGAAACGGAGCAACCCACCGTCCGATCATGGTGATTCGCAGCTTCTTCCTCCATGAAAATCGCCCACTTGATATCCGAGAATCAGCATGGAAAAAAAACAGTCTTCAAACGAGCATCTTCGAATTGGGAAGGGTGAAAACATGATGCTCAGGTCAATAATTGTTTTCGTGTTTTTAGTCCAGCTTTAAAATACATTTAGATATGAGTTCTCATTGATATTACACGCCTTGCAACTCTGCAGACTTCGGCACGGGAGATCCCAGGAAAATTAGAGCGATGAGCCCTGCTGTAAAAGATATGACTCCTAGTATTATCAGAAAGCATGAACTTCAAACTTATCTAGACGCAACTCACCGAGACAACATTGCAGCTCGAAGTACCCGAACATTCCCACCATAAACTCCGCCAGAAGTGGACCGGTCATCAGTCCAGCCATCCAAGTCATGCTAGTCACGGCGATAGCGCGAGAATAACCTCCGTTAGGACCAAATATACCAGGCTGGCGTACTTCCAACGCATCGATCGTTTCTATGTGATTTAATATTAGCTTATAGTATATTTTCCCAATCCCATTTCACTTACCAGTTGCCTGCATCGATCCCACTCCGTTCAGTAGAGACAGAAGACATCCGATCGACGCCATACAAACCACGTAGAGACTCTTCTCCCAAGACTTTCCCGCCGCCCATGGAAACAGCTTGCTGCCAGGGACCCCCAACAATATGACGAAAGGTAGTAACCCGAGAAGTCCCGTTGCTGTCGGAGTCCGCGACCCGATCCTATCCTTCATCCAGCCCACTGTAGTTGCGAAGAGCATACCAGGTCCCTGAATCAATGCCAGTAAGAATCCGACATGTAGAGCTCCCCATCCAAATGTGGTCCGCACATGCACAGCCAGAGTACTCTCAAAGCAACCAACTAGCAACGCAAAAACGAAGGCACAGAAAACTCCGGCGGAAAAATTTGCTTGGCGGAAAAGGCAGACGTAGAAGCGCCATCCTCGCAGCTCTGACGAAAGTAAACTATCCGATCGCTCACCGTCTACTCGAGGTGATTGATTCTGTAGGAGAGGGTCTCGTTCCTGGTTCTCATTCCGTTGCCGAGGTTTCACAGACTTCTCTATCATGATGAGACGCGTAATGATGTCCACCAAAAGAAACGCAGCCGCGCCCGCCCACGCGCACCAGTATCCCCCGATTTGAAATAATAACCCTGCAAGAACAGGCCCGGCGGTAGTTCCTGCAGCTGTGAGTGTAGTCGTCAACCCGGCAATCTTGCCCATGTGCTCGCTTCCAAGATTCTCAGCCATAGTTGACATCCCTACAATCCACAACGCATTGCTGGTGATGCATTGAAAGAACCGACCGACAAAAAGCCATATCACTACAAACTCTTGTCAGTTTTAAATTTGGACGCGGGGATCAGTAACTGAAAGGAACAAAATATACACACACTGAGATGCGAGTGACAAACACGCTGTACTGACCAAGGCCAATACAAGGAGGGTAAGTAATAGTGTCTTTTTGCTAGAAACTGCATCGGCGACTGCCCCAACAAATGGACTTGACACCATAGACACAAATGCTCCCTCCGCAAGAAAGATAGACGTGCATCTCTGTGTCAGCGAAGGCGCCAGGCCTATTCGATGCTCGAGCACAGTAGGTAGCAATGGTAACATGAAGGCAAAGAGAAGCTCATCTGAAGTCGTCATAGAATTAGGCGACATTGATATATTAAATACTGTCTCCGTTGCACGCGTTGTCACTTACCAGTGAACATTGCCAGACTCATTGCACAGACAATGAAAGTATCGGATGATCGCCAGGAATGACCCCATGGCGCTTCATGCTGCCCTTTAACGCAAGTTTGAAACATAGTACATAGGACTCGCTCACCGAACGCCTCGTATGAATTGATTGAGGGAAATCCAGAAGAGAGTGCGACATAGTGCTTAGATCGATCCCACGGTGACTTAAGGGGTTCAAGGGTGTTTTGAGTGTAAGGAATATTACCAATACAATACCTTGGAATCCTGAAATTAAAGTACGAACACCTGTTCTTCTACTCGCCACTAGTGGACCCACGCCACCAATCACCTTGGAAGTGCATTCCGTCCAGTTTGTGGAATATGTGATGAGTAATTTTCAATGAAAATACCACGTTTTTGTCGCAATTCGAAATTTCGCGAAGCGGACTTGGCATTTCAAGCGATCTCTGCAGCTTCACTTTGGGCCGGGCGTGAACAGAGAGCAGTTCAAGGCTAGAAAAGAAGATATTGGTGTATGTATCGCCTATCACCAAATCGTTTGGGATGATAACCACCCCTGGAGAGCCCGCCCAAGGTCTGCCTAATACTGCCGGATTCGGAAAAAGATCATCACCTCGTACACTTACATGTGCAGTATTGTAGATTTTATCCCCGGCCCTAGGACCCCTGAAAAAGACTTTCCTCTTCCATGAAAAGTGGTTAACAATTATGTCCTTGGCATTGAACAACAACATAAGGTAACTAACCTAACTTAGTTAACTAACGTAGTTCACGGCCGAGCGGGCCACCCTAAGATACCATACTAAATGCTGCATTTTGATTCCGTTATATTTCAACCCCCAAATGTTTAGTTTGGCTTATCTTATAGGATATACTTTAATATCCGTATAGGAATAATATATATATATAAATTCATAAGCTCTTTAGGGGTATATCGCTACCTCACCATAAAATACAGCGTATTTTTGATGTTTTAGATTCGAATATATATACCTCTCTTAGTCCTTAGTTCTATCTTTTTCTACTGCATGGGTAGGTTATTCATACTCTTTATTTTGTTCATACTTAAGATTCAGTCTCAAATTCAAACGGTTGTTGAGAGATGAAGTTGTAATTTATCGCACGTAGTATAACCACGGCCAGCCGTTCTTCAAGCAATTTTGTCGCATGCTGTCGTCCAAAACAGCGCCAGAAATCATTGAGACTACTCAGTCATGCTCAGCGATTGAAGAAATGATGCTTTGTCCTCCCAGCGTTGCTACAGACAGCCAGGTTGGATATTTCCCCAACGAAGGCAAAGTCTACAAGATCCCATTCTATATGCCCATTGCTCCCAATATACCCGCAAGTGCCGCCACAGACTTGGGCAATATGTCATATTTTCTCTCTGCTTCCATTACCACAACAGTTACCACAACAAGGGTAACGTCCTTAGAACCAGTCAAGAGATCAGTTTCATTCGGCAGCAGCTGATCCCCGACTGTATTACCGATATTCAGCAAATTCGTAACTATCCCAACGCGGCTGTTGAGGCCCAGATCAACCTCACCCAGCAGATCGACTCAATGGAGGATTCAGAGATCTGCCTCGATGCAAAAATACTCCTCTGACGACCATCAGCCTCCACCATCCAGTCAACAGAGTTCAAATGTGTCGCAATACGAGGGATCAGTTGGCGCGTGGAAGAAGTTATTAAGCTCTATACCCCACCAGAAGATTCTCACCAACCGGATGATGAACCTTGCCTAGCGAACCAGACGGCAGAAAAGCAATCTACTACCCGTGAACTATTCAATGGGTTCCAAAAGGGATACTGGGGAACCTTACAAAATCCCATCTTGAAGGAACATCACCCATCAGAAAGCAACCACGACCCCCCCCCCCCCCCCCCACATTGAAATTAAAATGAACATACCGATTCCAAAAGACGTGAAGCCTACACCAGAAGTCTCTCTGTCCAGCTATACCGCCCAATCCATACCATTACATGACTAATCACCGTCACTTCAGGGTCAATTCTCTCCCGGGACACCAGAGAACTTAATTATCACGGTTGAGCGCCGCCTTACATTCGACCTCTTGACCAGTGAAGACGCTTTCGACGTCAATAATCACAACTTGGTAGATCGCAAACCTTTGCGGACCGTGTTGAATATATCATTTCCTCTGCACCTCTTCCAAAAGGCCCACGGTCGCATTGATGAGGCTGTATGCCAGGGAAATCCTCCGTGCTACGACGAAGTTCCGCTTTCACCTCCAGATTACCAAGTGTTTGCGTGAAGATTGTGTCTCATCATGTTTTATGAAGCTTCTGATATGATTCAACTGTTACAACTACGAATGGATATCCACGTCTGACCTCATGAAATCCCCTCCGACACAGAGAAAATAAAGTCCAGTTCGGTACATAGTTCATTCATAATTACTAATCTTTTCAATATCTAGGGGCCAGGGTCTCCCAATCTATCTTTGACAAGATGATGACGCGCCATTAGCGCCGAATCTTAACGAAAGCATCTTTAGAAGTATGACCAGGCTAGCTAGACCGCTAGAGCCTATACAATCAGCTAGGTTTCTAGCATCAATTTCAAGAATTGGTCGAATAGAGTAGGATCGTAACATCCTTTAACCGAGTTACTTCAGCTTCCCAAATTAGTGCCAGCAGAGTTTATGGCAGAAAAGGCGGTGCTAACGCAGCCAGTGGATAGCTAGTTACAATTTTGTCGACTTGCAGCTGCACGGCAAGGGGTCTGTTTTTCCCAGCCTCCGTGCTGCCCAAAGGTAGGGATAATATTCTCGGCTCCGACGGGAGAATGACGGGCCACTTGAAAGTCGAATCAATTTCCTAGGAAGGCACTGGTTTAGCTGGAACCTTACTTCTGGTCGCTCAACTAATGCCGGTGTCCTCCAGCTGAATAGTAAGAAGGTTGCAAAGCTAGTCCACAAAGGCGCGACTTTGTGAGCAAGCGCTGATTTTTGGATTCCTGGGGTCGAGATCACTCTACATCAGTCGCGAGGGACGTCAAATTATTCAATAGATATTACTATCTACCTAGCGTGAGATATTATAGGTGTACGGTTGTCCGATGAAAACAGAAACCTCATAGCGGAGATAGGTACTGCTAAACTTTTACTTATGCCTTCCAAGCAATTTGAGAAATTCTCTTGTTCATCGGCTGCGTGCACCTAGATATATATCTCTGTCTCGGAACTGGGTGCCAGAGTGTGTAGTTAGCCACGGAACCAAAAACTATATCTAAGCTCTGCATCAGGTCGAAGATTAATAGATAGTGAGATGGTATTTTGCTTCAAAATAAACTGTAATATGAAGTTAGTGTTCTAGGGCTCTGGAAGGGTGTTGTTTTGTTATTGAGAAGATCTGCCTCGGGCGATGACATAGCCAGGACACAACAAACTCGGATAGGACGACCTTGAAGGACATGAGATGAAAGCTAATTAGAACGAACAATGTTTACCATGAGTAGCAACTTCAATAATAGAACTATGAGATATCTGGAGTGACTACTCGTCGGTGTGAGACGCGTTCAATAATTTGATTAGAATCCTACAGTCGGTAGACCCTCGATGGAACCTAGATAGATCGAGGCAGAGATAGTGAGAATGTCCTGATAGTCGCGATATTCAAGGAAAATTCCGTAGTACTGTAATTCAACATTACATGAACTGGTTCCAATTTCCTGCGCGTTTTAATTTCCCTGGCAGCATAGTTTTTCGCTTGGTGGAAGATCATTTGCTTCTGCTGCAGGATTTGTTGTTTGTTTGCCCGGAATGCTTACCTCACCGCACGTGACCCACCCAAACAACGTTGTCTGAGGAACGGCCACTTCTGTTTATCCTCCTCGACCTCGAATCTTGCACCACGCGGCCAACTGTCTCCGTAGCCTTGCGGACTTGGGACAACTCTCTGTTGATAGTGACGACCAGCTGTTGCTTGCACATTGCTAGACCTTATTCCTGGTTCGGTCGCTGTATTCGAATGGTCATCGTCGTCGTGTCCTGGCGCCCAATCCCAAGGAAAAAACACGACCCGTGCGAGACCTGATCATCTCCCTGGTGACGGGCCCTCCTCCACTTTTCAGATTGACCAACGATCCCGAATCAGGATGCCTCCAGAACTAGGTGAGAGACATGCCTGGCCCGTCCCATGCCCACCTATCCTCATGCCTACCTGCTAATCATGCTCGATCCATAGTACGTGCGCCGTCGCAAGGAAGCATCGTGTCGCAGACGACTCAGCAGATGGGTCCTCATAGCCGTCCAGGGACGGCTGATCCTATGCGCGCTCGATCCGAAACCATTTCTCGAGCTGTTCGTCGACCTCGCTCGAGAGGGTCGACTGCTAGCATTCATTCAAGCACAACACAACAAACCCAGGACCAACATCTCGATGCGTTCCCTCAATTCATGCCCTCCCAGGTCGGAGGAGGCCAACATGTCTTTGGTGCCAACCCGGAAGATATGCTGATGCGATTTGGACATCAGCTGTCACATCAACCCAACGGCGCGTCACTAGACCCAAGCGTGCGGGATGCTCATTCAATGGCTTCCCGACCGGACGATTTCTCTACCCATGCCATGCATGCTCATACACTGTCGCACCACTCATTACCGCCAGACATGCCGCACAGTGCGATGTCTGCCGTAGGAGTTCCGCAGTATCAAGCCATGTATGATAGTGGGATCGAGAATCACCTCCCTGACCAAACTATGGATGACCAAGAGGCATCGGAAGCCGGGGGAAAAAGAAAAGAGGATCCAGCTCAACGCTTGCAAATGATAACGAGTTGCGGAAACTGCTTCGCCAATATGAGGGCTACAGCTTGAAACAGATGGCTGCCGAGGTCATGAAACATGAAGGTGCTGGGGGAAAGGCAGAGAAGGTGAAACAAGTATTCGCCATGATCTGGTAAGGAGTCACCTTCATCTCATTTGTATACAGCATAGATTTTTGTTTTGTGGGGTTTGGTCTAACCTTGTCACTCTCCAGGCTACGAGAGAACTGCCGGAAGAGCAATGGCTCGGTACGACGAGATAGGGTGTATTGCTGCTATGCAGAGAAGTGTGGAACAGAGCGAGTGTCGGTTTTGAATCCGGCTTCATTTGGCAAATTGGTCCGCATCATCTTCCCCAATGTTCAGACACGTCGCCTTGGTGTGCGGGGTGAGTCCAAGTACCACTATGTCGATTTGTCGGTCATCGAGGAAAAGCAACAAAGGCCCGTCCCTCTCAACCCACAAGTTGCTCCGAATCCCCACCCAGTCCCGACCAGTGTCCCTGAGAGGCCTGACAGTGGCATGCGTTCAAGGAGGTAAGTTGACATGACTGTTGCCCTCACTGCCAGTTCTGACAACCATTTCAGCATTAGCATTCCCCAGCCCACAGCCGACACAGCAGTCTTCCCATCACCGACTACCTCATTCGCACCCCGATTCCCTACTAATACTCCTGCCACTGGCTGCAACTGTCAAGGCCAATCACCCTCTGGCCCCGATGCTCCAATCACCACCCAAAATGTCTCTCAGCAAGCCGGAAAAATAATTCATCAAATGCTTCAGTTCCCAACAGACGAGGTCCCTGGAATTGACAACGAATCTCTTGTCCTCCCCGATATTCGCGGCTATCTCCCAGTCAACACAGACCCAAAGGTTGCCGAAGCCCTTGCCGCTCTCTACCGATCGCACTGTATTTCGGTGATTGATAGTTTCCGATTCTGCAAAGAACGAAACCTCTTGAAATACTTCTCTGCTTTCCACGGCACCTTGACTGTGCCGGTGCAAAAACTCCTCACCCACCCAAACCTTGCCCCTTGGATCAAGGAATGCGATTGGTTGATGTACCAAAAGATGATTGCCTTTGTGGCCCCTCTTACGACCCAGGTGGTCCCCAAACTTGTCTTGGATGCATTCCGCTCTATCTCGCAGCGTCTTTGCGGGCATATCGCAGAGACCTTCAAGGCGCAACCCTCACATGTGTCTATCGCACGACTGGTTCCTGCTCACATATTTTGCAATCTCCTCAAGCACATGCTTGATGTGAACCAGGCCGCCAATGCGGCTGCTGCTTGGCTCTGCCATCCTGATAATCGCAACCAGATGTGGTACGATTTCAAATCCCTTGTTGACCCCAGGGACATGATTCTCAAGGCCAACATTCCCACTTGTGCCGAACAAGCCACGGAGCAAATTTTGAAACACGACGTTCGTGCACTTCTCACACCGCTCAATAATTCCGATGCCTCAACTGGTCTTCCCTTCTTCTCTCAACCGGATGGTCCTGAGGCCATCGAGGCTCACCAGTTCCCCGTGGAGACTTCGACTGGTGACGATTACAATTTCCCTGATAAATGGATTTCATTCATCCTGAATCTGCCTTTGGCTTTCTCCCACCACAGCACTCACTGCGTGATTGAGAAAATCGATGCCCTCTGGGACTCTATACTTCACCGCCTTACCCTAGGTGGAGCCGCAAGCTTCAGTGCTTGGTGGATGACCAAGGTGTTCTTCCACGAGATGATGGTCTGGCAAGCGGAAAAAGGGGGTTTCATGAGAAATACCCCTGGCTCTTTGCAGAGCATGACTTACGGGTCAGAGCAGGCCTCTATGGGAAGTTTTCAGCTGAAGCAGAATGCAGTTCCTGAACCCCCCACCTTCCAGACTGTTCGTGGTGCTCATTCCAAAACGAATACTAGTGCATCCCCGGATCTTCGTGGGACACGGGATCAGACTGTTGACGAGGAACCTGATACCAAGCATGTCCCTTCTGCCAAAGAGCTGGCTCTCGCAGATGTGGGGTTTCAAGCCCCGAACAATGACGACAGCGCGATTGATTTGGAAGACGACCCCATGTTGATGGCAGTAGGTAAATATGGAGATATGATGGCTTCCGACCCTGCCGATGCCGAGGGCGATGTGATAGTCATCTAGGCTTCCTTTTTGATCTTTCTTGTTACTGTTCATTGTGGTTTGAAGTCTGGACTTGAGATATCCCCGCTTGGTACAGCCCCCTTTTTGTTCTCTTTGCTTGATGGATTCATGTCCCATGGATTGGTGGCGTTTTGAAGATTTTCTTTTGTATTTTCATTTGTTTAGCACGAAGAGATGAGACATGAGCATGGGACTCATGGCTTGAGTCTCCCTTACGAGACCCCGGGCTGATCGATACCCGTGGTCTTTTTATTTTCCCCATTCTTGATTGTCATCGATACAGCATTTAATCGGCGTGGCGGAAACCTCTTGCTTGGACTTGGTTCTGGCTCCTTTTTCCTGTTTCCCTTGTCTTCTACTTGCTTCATGGGCCTCGTTCTTCATTCAGGCTATCTGTACATACGGGCATATCATGTACCGAGGTTTCCCTCGACTATGGCATTCTCTTCCAGGAGATGCCGTTACTTAATGAAGACAATCAACATTGGAACTTTCTATCTATGTCTGGTGTATTTATTTCTGTCACAAGATGGGGTCAGAAAGGTGAGGCCAGTGGTGAGAAATGGTGGAAAAGCGAGCCAGCATAGCGGGGTTGGTTGATCTCGGCAATGATTTCAAACAAGACTAAGTTGCCTAATTGGGATGTCTAAAGGCCCGACCCCCGAGGAAGGAGGCACTCTAGGAGGGCGGTTTCCTAAGCGGTTAGATTACCGTCTTTTCGTCTCCCTCTCCTTCTCTCTCTCTCTATATTCAAATCACATCTATTCAAAATGGCCGGTAAATCATTTTTAGCATGCATACATCCTTGCATCCCCTCTTCGCGTATATTTTTTCTGCCTTGCTTGTTACCCCTCTTTGAACCCGCCAAAGATTGTCGCGCGCAATTAAGGGGTTTCAAACTAATTCAAGATCTAGACTAAAACAATATTGCTAGTATGTGGATCAGTGACGCTTCATTTCTCCTCACGAGTCCCTGAATCCCTCGATGGGAGATCTATGTTATCACTGGAGGTTCTTTTAAAAGTGGGGTGGTCATCTACCCTAAATCGCTGTGAGCAGCACAGTTCGCCAGGAACGACATTTTCCGTTTCGTCCATTGTTCATCTTGACCTCCCGATGAGATGAACATTTTTTAAATTTCGAAGGCATTATGGGTCAAGGACGCTGGAGGGGGAATGAGCGACGAATAGGATTGGTTATGATATGATCCTTAGGGGAAAGAAGGACATGGCTCGGCTGTTCCGCATTGGATTCCGATTCCAGGACATTGGAGTCGGCGCCGTCCAATCGGGCAACAGAGTCCAATATCAGATTGAGTATGGTGATCGTGGATGTGAAGCTGAAGACCTTGGTGACTTTACCCCGCCTAGAAAAGGTGTCCATTTTGAGAATGTCCAAGACGTACCAAATTATTTTGTTGTCGAACTCTCCATTGCAGCACCATTAATGTGAACTGGACAGTACAAGCATCACTATCATGTGGTATGGGATCCACAATGCTTTGTGTAGTCTGCTTTGTCTGGTCTGGACTCGGTAGTTGTCTCCTAGCACTCAAGCGGAAGAAACAAGGCCTAGAGTGCTTGATATAGGCCTGACATGGCTGTACACCGTCGCATCTCACCTTACGCTGTAGGCAGGCTTCACATGCCTTGATCACGCTTGACTCTTGCCCTGATATTTTGAGTTTAGCAGTGTTCAGCAAAGAGATGACCCACTTCTTAGCATCTCCCATCCTGGTGGCTGGTATATCGGGTAAATCTCTTTATATCGCCTGCTTCAGATGATTCAACAGGGAAAGTGACTGACCGTGACTAATTATCAAGGATACCTAGTGGAGAGGACACTTAGAAGTGACCACTGAGAAGAATCTGGGTCACGGTCTTTTTCCTTCTTTTGTATGGACATTTAGGTTCTCTTAGATCACGGGGACACGGACTCGGCAACTTCAACCCCACCCGCGGGGGTATCATTACCACGTAATTACAACAAAGTGCCTAGTTGTTGTAATTAAGAAATGCATATCTACCACAGCCTTCATTGATAAGAGCGGTCTAGCTGCTGAATAGTCAAATTGCGGCGATGGCATTCTGTTCATACGACGCCACTTATCTCAAACAAAATACGACACAAAGGTAATCATCTAGCTTTACACGGCAATCTCCCTGGACCACTGACCCAGAGTGAACTGCGAATTGCACATATTGGTCAACTCCCAGCTCTCGGCACCCAACTCAGCCGGGGTGTTTGCATCTTCTACATCTCCGGCCGCACCAGCCACGAACAACGCCGCCATGAAATGGTCATCAGTGGCATGGGCATCCCGGAAGCGAGGATGCTTCATCAACCGGGTCATAGCTCGACGCAGCTGCACTCCAGACGTCTTGGTAATAACATCCTCAACGGCCTGTCGGAACTCCATAGCCCAGTCCTCTGGTGGCGTCTCCATGGCAAAGTTGTCACGGAAACGCAACATGGGTGCCCATCGGTTGCGGTAGAGATTGTGTACGGCACCACCCGTGCCGATGATGAGGTAGTTCTCCCAACGGAGAGGACGCAGAGTCGCACCCATCTTCATATGGAAGTGGGGATCGTAACGGGCGTTGGCTGAAATCAAAGTTGTGGGCGGGCAGCCTCCGGGGAACATGCGGATGAGAATGAGGTAGACATCGTGAATCCAGTCGAACTTGGCGTTACCTCCAACATTGAAGCCCTCCTTGGCTAGCATCTTGATACAGCGATCGGTGGTTTCGAGGTCGGGTTTCAGCTCATAGTTGATGTACTTCTCGGGATTGACGTAGGCCACGGGACTTTTGCCGGGGTTGGGATTCGTGGATAGCTCGATTCTGTCGCCGAGACAATCCCAGTGCGCTCCCTATTATTTGATGTTAGAGGGGGAAATGTCCTCCTAGAAAAGCGCATCATCTGGTCTGGTTGCCAGAGTATACGTACCATAATGATGACACCCTTGATCTTTCGGGCGAGGGCTTCATCACCGCACTTCTTCCAGTAATCGGCGCTCTCGGACTCTTCTCCCAGCATCATGGTCGAGCCATGGGAGAAGAAGTGTACTGGTGTTAGACCTGTACAATGATTAGCAATGTGATTTTTTGTTCTACTTTTCTTTCCCCTTTTGGGGCGTTCCTTTATGCGTTCGCCGTTTATAACTTTGACACGGACGCAAAGGCGGGTGTATAATGGGGAGGATCAGGAATTAGAATCTTACCCATTTTGGTTGCAGTTATGATTCAAGATGACGACCACAGTTGAGTGGAAACAAAAATCAAAAGCGCTGACAATCGGTCATCCATCCGAGAGCAATATATTGTTCCCCCGCAAGGAAATGGGATTTTGACCAGCGGGATTGCGGACGTCGGGTATGTTCCCCCACATGCCGACCGCAAGTACTAAGGGACCCCGTCGTGGCTCGGGTCCAGAACTTGTCAGGCCTGACGAGTCCCAGGCAACCCCAAACACGAAGGGGCATTCATGGACTCATGTCGCCCCAGACTCTGGCAGAGAGGGTTGCGTCACACTTGGGGTCCTAAAGCCTAATTAGTCCCTTGACGAGGTGTAGGGATCTTAAGGCCAAGGAGGACGCGAATGCTGGGGCGTTGAGGGGAAGCATGACCAAGAGCCCAGCAGCCCCAGGACAGCTAGTCCGGTCCTCTGAGCGAATCACCGGTGAGGAGAGGCTGAGCCGTGGATAAATCTGGGGAACTTGCGGAGTGGAACTCGGCGATCCACAGTGGCCATTTTGCATTGGGAAGTCTCGGGGGGTTAGGAATCCGTGCCACTTTGATGAGAACACGCAGGCTGTAGGGGTAAATCCGGTACTGCAATCATTGTGGAAGAGCTTCATCAAGACTGGGAGGTATGTTGTGGTTGGAGGATTGAGCAGAAGAGAGAAAAGTGAGAGAAGAAGTTGCGGGATGGCCGGCAGTATCCACCGGCAAAATCCAGCCCAACTGCCAAACTGCGACCGAAGTCAAGCCGAAAAAAAAAAAAAAAAAAAAAAAAAAGGGAAAACCACGGCTCTTTTCACGCCAAAAAAGAACTAGAAAGACTAAACCCACGGGTCCCGGCGAACTCTGCGAAGTCCCCGAAAATGTCACTTTTTCCCCGACAACTTCGGTCCTGATACCCCGGATTTTTCCCCTCCTCCTTTCCCCTCTCATTCTTCCCCTTCTCCTCAATCAACTTTTCACCTCAGTTTGAACCCTTTATTGTCCCTTGGGAATCTCTTAGCCTATTCTCAAGCATCATCTCTGTCTATAAACCCCTCTACTCCCTCCCTCGATGCCCCTCCACCACCGCCATGTTTGATGACTCGCCGCCCATCGTGGATCCACTCAACGCATCGCAATCCCCTGTCAAGTCCAAGGATGGAGGTTATTTTCAATGCGGCTTCTGTAAACGCCACTATAATCGAGCTGACCACCTAATCCGCCATGTCCGATCCCATACTCGAGAGAAACCATACGTCTGTGATGTTTGCGACAAGGGGTTTGCGCGACCGTCAGTTGCTTCACTTCCCTCGAGTTCATTTCGCCGTGCTCTCACTGACACTATGTCCCGCCCAGTGACCTGTTGAAGCGACATGCGACGGGTCATGCACATGACCGAGATCGAAAGCGCAAGAGAAGTTCTTCGGTCGCAAAGCAAAGTCGTGTCTCCCAGGCCTGTAAAGCGTGTGCCTCGTCCAAGCTCAAGTGTGACGAGGAGAAGCCTTGTCGACGGTGTCGGGAGCGAAGTCTGCACTGCGATTGGCAGGATGTCGTGCAAGAGTCGTCTCCTGAACCTCAACAGCAGAGCTCAACGGAAAATTCACATCCGATCATCCCCGGTCAACCATTGGACCTGGCTGCCTCAGTGGCATTCTCCCCTATGCCAACTCCTATGGATGACTTTTCAGCAGGCTCCAGGAGTGGTGGTATACTCATGACTCCTCACGCACCTCCCCCGGAACCACCGGTAATCTCGCCGGAAGTCCTCCAAGCGGGTGAGCAAATGCCAATGGAGTATGGAGGTAAGAGGAAAGATGCTGGCGATCATCGTGCCAACCATTCTTGGGCGAGATCCACTGATGCTGACACAATCCTCCAGTATCACCCACCGACCAGGAAAGTGGTATTTTCAGTGTTGACGGCACTTTTTTTCCGAATTTCATCCCCGACTCCTTGATCTCTTCATTAAGCCGATATAATGACCCGTTCGAACCATCCAATTTGATCCCCGAGTTTACACATTACGGAGCATTGGAGATCCCCGCTCTGGATTTTAACCTAACGGATGGTGATTTTGGATTGATCGATATGTACAATTCCCGCAGCTTCATCCCGGGAGCCCATGAGCCCGAGCCGCAAGATCGATTTGATGCAGACAGTGGAATCGGGATTGGTGCGGAGGCTTACCACCGGTCATCTCTGTCCCAATGGAAGCCTGCTCAAAAGGACCACGCATTCGATGACCACGAGAACCTGTCTGTTCCACAAACAATCGACAGTCCCGAAGCAAGTGCTACGCCCGATCGGCAAATACTTTGTGAACGGCTGTCTTCCAGCAGCCGTGACCTTATTTTTGGACTGGTGTTGGAGATCAGCCGAGAAGCCAATTTGAGTCGAATTATGAAGTCCTTCCCCAGCACCGAACTGCTGGACGGGCTCATTCAGCAATATTTCGAACTCCAGTCGCATAGTGTTGACTCTTTCATCCACGGGCCAACTTTCCGACCAAACAGCGAACATGCTAGTGTTCTCGCCGCTCTAGCCGCTGCATCAGCCGTTCGCTCTCCTGTCCCCACCATCAGAAAGCTTGGATATGCTCTGCTTGAAATTGTTCGATTATACATGCCCATCAAAGTACGCTTCCCACCAGGCCCTCTCTTCCTACCCCGGAGAAATGAGGCTAACTATCTGCCAGTATGAAAACGACAACAGTACCACTCGTGACCTACGTACATCACAAACTTATGCGTTGAATATTGATATCGGAATATGGAGTGGAAATCGACGAAAGACAGAGATTGCTGAGAGTTTCTCTCAGCCATTGGTGACTATGCTTCGACGAGCTCTTCGATTCCGCCGTTCCGTCTACACGAATATCGTTCCCCTTGCGGACGATACGGGAGAAGTCTTAGAGCGCAAATGGCATGACTGGATCGAACAGGAATCGTTCAAAAGGTAAGCCTCCCTTCTTCTCCGACCCTGCCTAGCCATTATGCCTAACATTTTCTTTGCAGGCTCGTTTACCACCTCTTCCTTCACGATTCTCAAAGCTCGGTCACACTCAACATCAACCCTTTAATCTCCTACGCCGACTTGGAACTTCCATTACCGGCAGCACGTCCCCTATGGGAAGCCAAGACTGCCACCGAATGGAAAGAGCTCTTCTGTGTCATCACGCCCGAGCGAATGCCCTCTCTTGCTGATCTCCTTCGCGACATGTCTCAGCTTTCGACGTTTCAAGATCGCATCGACACGCAATTATCCGCCTTTGTTCTTCTCCACGGTCTATCATCCTTGATCAACGAGTACCACCGGCTGAAGTTTATCTCAACTAGCAACTCGAAACATTGGCATGCCCTTGTGACAAATTCCCGTCAACAAGAGCTCGATCAGGCTCTCCAGCATTTCCGTATGGTCTGCTCGGAGCTAAGAGTGCAGTGTCGACCCGAAATTGTGTTGGTCTGCGAGGTGGTCTCTATGCTTCTTCACATGTCCCTGGAGGAACTACAGCTTTTCGCTGGCAAGGAAGATAAACAAGAAGCGCGTCGGGTCTACCACTCTGCTCTTGAATGGATCACCAGTCCCGATTCTCGCCGAGCTGTATGGCACGCAGGTCAAACGATCCGTGCGGCCCGGAGAATGGCCCCGAACTCGTTGACTGGGTTCCTGGCCATCGGGGTATATTACGCCGGGCTGGCCCTTTGGTCCTACGCCGTAGTCTCCAAAGCTAAAAACACTAGCCTGACTGGAAGCCCCGCCTCTTCAATTGCTAGCCAGGGACCTACTGTGTTCCTAGACGCGGAAGAAATGCCGGAAGTCACGAAATTCGTCACCCTGAGCTGTGGCGTTCCTGCAATACAGGGGCCTGGCGGGCCAATTGCTCTGGCGGATACGAGCACTACCATGCAGATGGTGCAGCGAGTGCTCCGACCAGACCCGTCAGAGCGTACGCCACCTTTGGTTCAAAGTCTTGCCCAGTTGATTGGGGATCTGGGGCATTGTGTACCCGCGGGCGGAGTGTAAATCACATTTTCCTGGTTGTTTTTGCGTTGCATGTATAATACGAGCTTCTGAAATGATACCCACGCCATAAATGACGACTATGACTTGAGCATTGCCTTCTCATTTTTTCACACAACTATCATTTTTGTGACACTTATCTACTACCTAGTACATCCTCTGAGTATTAACTTGAAACAGAAACTCCAGCCCTCAGCACCCACCAGTCGCACTTCCACCAACACACACAGCCCCAGTGCAGTTGAATCCACGAGTCCCCTCAACATTCCCACACAGATAGTCGTCAGCCAACGTCCCATTAGCTAAAGCCAAGTCAACACCTGTAATCGAGATATTCTCGCAAGGCTTCACAGCAGAGCATTGAAAGCTAGCCACATCCGCACTAGTAGTTGTCCCACTCAAATTCTTGAATGTCAAATCTCGAAGCTGGAATTTAGAAGACGTGCAATTCCCCGCAGTCCCCGAAAAAGTGGTACACTGTGAGATCGCGATAGCGGGTCCCCTCAACGCGGTAGCACTGAGGTCCTCGAATATCATATCCGATGCAACTAGAAAAGTCAGAAAGTCAGCGCAATCCTTCACCCCCATCCAATCCAATGAAACAAGGCGTATAGAATTGCTGGAAACATACAACCAAGACCACCACCACCCCCATTAGGAGGATAATTAACTTGTTCCCCAGTCCAAGTCTTGAAATAAACCGCATGAAGCGTCTTGCTATACGTGATATTTCTCGCTCTGACACGCTGGATAGTCTCATAGGTATCTTTGTACTGGCCGATACTGCCGATTGCGATACCCAGGCCGCGATGGAAGAGGGAGTCTTCAATGAGGATATCTGTCGAATTAGCCTTGAGACTGATACTGTCATCGCCATTGTCGACTTCCCAATTGCGAAAGGTAATGTGGGAACTGTAGATTGTATCTGCGCCGTCGGTGTTGCGGGATGAGGCGTGGACGCTGGTGCTGTTTACGTAGATGTGGTCGAAGACGGTGTTTTGGGAGTGGATGATGGAGAGGGTCCTAAGGTGGAGCTAATCAGTAATCATCTTCATCATGATAAAGTATCCGTCTCATCTCTCAAGACGGTGGGGGGTGTTAAGTGTGGTGAAGGAGATACTAACCACATCTGACTCTGAACAAACCGCAACCCCGTAAACTCCGAGTCACTAGTCTCCGACACAGTCAAAGCATGAGGTCGACCGGGATAATTCGACACAGATCCACAGGCATTATACCAAGTTTGCCCATTTCCATCAAAAGTGCCATATCCATGGCCTTTAAAGCGGATATTTTTGCCGCCGAATACCCACGCCGTGGATTGATTCTGGTATCCAACCGGCAAGGAGTGATTGAGCCAGTACGAGACATTTGTGCTCCACTAACAGCACACTTATTATCAGTGTTGAATTCATGGGTAGTTTGAGGAGGAAATTCATACCAAAAGCGTTCCACGGAGATCAATCTCAACATCCTTCAATCCTGTCGTGTTCATAACACTATTGATGTGATAGGTAGTATTTGCGAAGAGAATCTTGCCTCCATGTCCACATTGATCAAATGCTTTTAGCACAGCGGGAGTATCGTCAATTGACGAGTTACCGGCTGCAGGTACGACACAGACTTTTGAGGGGGATAAGCCCGCCACGAGTGTCGTAAACAGCGCGGCTATTGCTAGGAACTTCATAGCAGCTGATGAATTTCTTCTTCTTGACTTTGTGAATATTGTATATTGTGATTTCTACAATATTATACTACATTTTTAACCATTGAAATTGGAATTGAAAGTTGATTTCATTTGTGGAAATACTTGTGTTTTGATCGACATAGGGAAGGATTGTTAGAAATGCGGGGAAAAGAGCTCGGGGTAGATTGCAGCGAGGTCGCGTTTGACTCACTAGGTTTGTGAGCCGTGTGGTGTTAAATAGCGAGAGATTCCCAGGTATTGACTCGATCATTATAAGAGCGTGTTCATTTTTTGAAAAAGGAGTCTGTGGCCCACAATAGAAAGTGGCCGCTTGAAACTGGGAAAAAGCAGCTTCTGCTTTCGATGCGATGTACCCTATGTTGGGACGGCACCAACTGTAGCATGAACAGAGACGATTCCAGTATTCCATCTTTCCATGGACGTTGGAATCAGCACGAGCATTTGGTCAGGATATTCTTGTTATTGTTGTCCGGAACTGGCGGAAATATCATGAAGGAATAGGTAGACTTAGTAAGGGGTGAACAGCCGAGGCCACGGACCAAGGATCATCCGTGAAATATCGGAACAACTTGTTTTTTCTGGTTGGAATAGGATGGTCATGATAAATGACAGGCTCGATGCGTGCCAGCTTTAGTATAGCGGTCTCGATCCGGATTGTACCCTACCCGTATGCGCTCCCTAGCGGGACAGATACTATTCAAAGTCAAAAAGAGCACTCTGACCCGTCCATCGGCGGATGCCGGGAATATATTAATCGCACTAGAATAATTAGTCAAGCATCTTAGCCCTTGTGATCACGAATTACAATCGATTCGGGGGCGTCCCGCAGCAAAATTTCCCCACATTCCGAGACGCGTCAAGATCTCCACGCGCATCCGACAAGTGCGGGGCACTTTTAGTTGTATGAAGAATACATCGGCATCGGCGCCGATTCCGAACACAAACATGAAGCTCAAGTAGTCACGATAGTTGAATCGCATTGTCAGGAGCTTCAAATATGACCATTGATAACCCCTGCTTGTAGTCAAATCCAGAACACGAATTCAAAAGCGTTCTTAACACCTCCTCCTTTTTACTGCATCGTCACCATGGTCCTCAAGCTGAAACAACCCAATCGCTCAAATGCGGGCCCCGCATCTACAGTCGATGTGTCTGCTATCGTGCGGGGTGTCATAAATGACATTCGTGCTGATGGCGACAAGGCAGTGAGAACATACTCGAAAAAGTTTGATAAATGGAGCCCTGAAAGCTTCAAGTTGTCGCCCGAGGAGATCCAGCAAATCGTTTCAACCGTTCCCCAGCAGATTATCGACGACATCAAGCAAGTCCAGGAGAATGTGCGCACTTTCGCTTTGGCGCAAAGAGCATCGCTAAAGGACTTTGAGCTGGAGATTCGACCGGGCGTTCATCTGGGACAGAAGAATGTTCCCATCAACTCTGTTGGCGCGTGAGTTTCATTCTACCCGTCCTATCATAGTATTTCACTCAAGGCCTGTACTGACTCTGCTTTTCTTCCAGTTACATCCCCGGCGGGCGCTATCCCCTGCTCGCCTCTAGCCATATGACCATTCTGACAGCCAAGTGCGCCGGCGTCCCTCACGTTACCGCATGCACACCTCCCATCGCCGGCAAGATCCCCGCCAACACCGTGGCCGCAATGCACTTTGCCGGTGCCGACGCGATCTACATCCTAGGTGGAGTGCAAGCGGTCGCCGCAATGGCCATCGGTACAGAGACCATGAAAAAGGTGGATTTCATCGCCGGGCCCGGCAATGCCTTCGTCGCCGAGGCGAAGCGCCAATTGTTCGGCGAGGAGATTGGAATTGACCTTCCCGCTGGTCCAACAGAAGTCCTCATCGTCGCTGACGAGCACGCCAACCCGTTCACCGTTGCCACCGATCTCCTCTCTCAGGCTGAGCATGGTCCTGACTCCCCCGCCGTACTGATCACCAACTCTCAAAGCGTCGGTGAAAAGACCATCGCCGAAGTAGACCGGTTATTAAAGATCCTGCCCACCGCCGATATTGCCGGTGTTTCTTGGGATCGCCTGGGTGAAGTTATTGTCGTGGACACCCTGGACGAAGCATATAAGCTAGCCGACGAGTACGCGTCCGAACACGTCCAGATCCTGACGCAAAAGCCGCGCGAGGCACTGGAGAAAATGTCCAACTACGGCGCTCTATTCCTGGGTGAGAAGACTTGTGTTTCATACGGAGATAAGTGCATTGGTACCAACCATGTTCTTCCTACCCGTGGAGCGGCTAGGTACACCGGTGGTCTGTGGGTGGGCAAGTACCTGAAGACTGTGACCTATCAAGAGGTGACTTCGGAACAGGAGAGTGGTGAGCTCGGTCGTTTGTGTGGACGGGCTGCTCGGGCAGAGAACTTTGAGGGGCATGCTCGGTCTGGCGATGTCAGGGCTCATCAGTTCTTGGGTGATAAGTTTGAGTGGATTTAGTAAGGAGAAGAGAGGATTTGAGATAGAATACCTGGAATTGGTGTAATTGATTTGAATGCAAAGAATTTCTCTTTCCATTTACCTACCATACTGGCGGACTTGGGCTGTTCAGCGACAAGTCTCAATACAGAAGTACCCCTTCTGATTCCTTCAATCTAGCTCTTCATTCCTGCTAGGATCTACCAATGCTATTCTGACAGTAATTCAGAAGCAGTATTAAGGAATATTCCTCCCTCTTTGCCTTTTTCCATTTGATTTCATCCAGGACCTGGGCTCTTCCATCTGCTGTGCTCCTCCGTCTGACTTAGAGACTCCTTCCTTTTCTGTCTGACCGACAATTTCGTCGATAGCTATATAGACTATCTCCTGTTCTCCTGTTCTCCTGTTCTCCTGTCTTCATTCTCCTCTTCTGTCTTCCAGACCAAGATCTCCTTCTTCTTTGATGGGAGAAGACAAGATTGACAGTATCTCATTTTGCATGCCTCTTTGGCTAGAGATTTCCTCAAGTATCAAAAATTTTAGCAATTTATTCAGATCTCAAAGTAATTAGCTATGAGCAAGTTTCTATGCAAAGAGACATGTAAAACGAGGAACTTGTCAATCTTGTCCTCTCCCATCAAGGAAGAAGGATATGGCTATAAAACCACCGGCCATATATCCCAAAACCTCCCGGCCCCCAAAAAAATGGAAGGAGACGTGGTCTACAAACCGGACCATGTCGACGGGAAATTATATTTTCTGCAAGACGAGCAAGGAAGAAACGGAAGAACGGAAAGACACAGGATCGAGGCATTTGGCGGTGGGCCTAGAGAAAGGCCTCAAGGAGCGGAAGCTCCTTCAAATTAATACCAAACCTAATGAAGAGCATTCTTAGAGGAGACTCGTGCATAGGTTGCCCACGCCCGTGGAAATTTGCTTACAGGCATGGGACTACAATTTTTACATTCCCATGGATGGGATTCGGAGGGGGCCTCCAACATCACGCGTATTATATATATCGGTCATGGCCCATAAGGGGATACTAGCTGGAAGGGGTCTTTGGCATTGTTGGCTGGCGTGTTCGGTCCATTTCTACAACCTTAATACTAAATCTTAACAGAATTAAAAAATTATTGGACACCGTGGTATATCGACTGTTTGTCTCCTGCGAGTCCGAACCCGAGTACGATTGTTTTGTGATGTGACGTCATTGAGGAATTGTATTACGGAATTTACAATACGAAACACAGTTTCAATCCGGGTGATATCACTTGGAGTGGACCCTCTCCGGGAATAGGTCATTCTGATTGATCCAAATTCCGGATCCTCTTTTTAGGCTCGCCTTGGCTGTCAGCAACTTGCATTAGCGCCACCGATCGGCTCAACATGCCACTGACGCCGGCTCTCACTTGAGGGGACTGCTTAATAATCGGTATCGAAGATGGATGGGGAGGATGAGGAACTTCATGAACGGTGAACCTGCTTCTTATTCTTTCGATATCTAGATATACCTAAATATAAGCTTCTCACCACGCTTTGCCCGCCACGAGTTCGTTGACTCCATGATCTCCGGACACCCCCTCACAATCCACTGCCACTTTTTCAAGAAAGTCTCCGTCAACTCCCAATTCCGAGGATCCCACGGCTCCCCCCAAACCAGTAGTCCCGGCGCAGCAGTCGAAGAAGGTTCCCAGAACCCCATAATATCCCGACAAAGCGCCTCGTCATCCCACTCATTGCCCGCTTGTATCATATTGTCCCTCATTTTCGGCAAAGGGAAGAAATCCAACCACGGATGATGGGGAGTAGTTCTTTGTACTCTGGTGGGACGCAGGCTGAGAGGCATATCGCTGTAGTCTGGTGGTGTGGATGCCTGCGCGGCGGAAGGAATGGCAAACGGGGAAATTGCGTCGTCGTCCATTTCGTCAAAATTCCAACCGAGTACTTGGACAATATGTCCGAAGGCGCGGAAGACGTTGACTTGTGTTAGCATCAGGAGATGCTCGGAAGTTGGAGAACCCTGCGTGTAACTCTGGTAAGCCGATTCGGCAAATTGACTCAGGAGTATTCGTGTAGCTTTGGACGTAAGGCATCCACTCTCGCGCGGGGATTGGTCTGATGGTGAGGAGCTGCTTTGTTTGCGGACAATGGCGGTTGAGGAGGATGGACTTGAGGATGAGGATGAAGATGAAGACGAGGATGAGGATGAGGATGAGGTCGAGGCGACGACGCTCTTGGGATGGATATCTTTGTTGTTTCGCATGCGCTGGCGCTGGCGCATTCCTATGCGACTGTTAGTATTTGCCTCATGACCAAACTAGATGGTGAAGAACATACGGTGAGCCCTTTGATTAATCCGATTCTGTCTCCTCCGGCGCTCGGCAGGATCTGTGAGGCCAGCCCAATCGTCTCCCGCTGGTGCGCGAGCGTCCGTGTCCGGCGCCGGTATCGCCTTGGTCATCTCTGGCTGTGGGGAAGTGGCCATTCTCGCGGTCGGAGGTAAGGGTTCTGTCAGCAGTTCTAACGGTTTGAAGGAGAAGTGGAGGGAAGAGGCGAGGGGGCTTCGATTTATGCGGGACGCTGACAATTGAGGCTGGCGGGTCTTGGCCAATCAATTTTGGGGTTTGGTGAGTAGTGGGTCCGGAGTTAAGAAGCGAGGTTTGTGTATTGTCATGACTAGGGAGTACGAGATACCGTACCTTATCTCAGGGTCAAGATGGGTGAAAGAGTAAACATGCTAGGTTGGGGTTGAAATAGATCTCCTTCAAGTCTAAACTTGCCATCTCACTACGTCATACCAAGTCGTAAGATGGTCTCCATTAAAGTTCGACAGTCAGAAAATCAAGAATGATGATCCCAGTCGAGACGAATTCAATGCGGTCAAAACCGCTAATGCAAGCTTTATCTCAGGGCTATGTACATCGAAACTTGGCTCCTTCATCATAACGCGTTGGCCAATGCATGGGTATATGAAAACACAAAGAAGAAAGAAAGAAAGAAAAAGGAACAAAACATGAGCGATTATATGCACAGCTCAAAGCATTGCCCGCCTCCTGACTTGGCGCTGGGTAGTAGTAGGAGTTAAGCAAGACTCCAGCAGATGACTTACCCAACTGGTTTTCGTGCCACAACCACAGTACCTGGGAGGTAAGCATGCGTGCGATGGTCACGAAGATTTGCACGCATTTGCGCAAGAAACAGTTGGGCCTTTTCATAGGGCCATTCTAACGTCGAGGTCAAAAGCCGAAGCATGAATCCCTCAATTCCTCCACTCAGTCGAAACTGATTCCACCGGCCCAGCTCATGTAGCTTCGGGTCATCACTCCACCTACTGCTAGTGTTAGGCTTCATTGTTTTTCATAAATCTTCATCAAACAGGAGCATACCCGTTCATCGGCCATTTATAACGTTTCTCCACCACATCTTCAAACCCGGCCCTTTTCAATCGGTCGGCACTTTCTTCCCAGATGGAAAAGCTCTTGCCAAATCGTTCTCCAGCTTGCATGACAGTCTTGCCCCAAGTCCGGTAAAAATGACCTGGACCCATCGTAGCATCATCGACTACAGGGGTCACCGAGTGCTCGACGACTTCGATATAGCCCCCCGGCTTCAGTGCGCGGTAGCATTGCTGGAAGAATGCATCCCAGTCGGGTATGGAGCCAAATAACTCGCGAATATGAATAAAATCAAATCTCTCAGGGGCATATGTCCATGGCATGGTCATATCATCAATCTCGAATGTACAATTAGGGGGTACGAACGATGGCTGTATTGGTGAAAGGTCCACTCCGGTGACTCGGGCGCCAGGGTATTCATCCGCCATATCACTAGAATTGACAATTAGCTTCATAACACCCTAAATTCACAATGCGGATATCTTCAATCAACACACATAGACCATATCCCTGTTCCGGTCCCCACATCAAGGATTTCCTAGGTCCGTTTAGAAAGGCACATGCAGGGATCCAGGAACAACCTACCTGTGGCTGGCTAAGCGGGGCCAGATGCAGCTTTCCGTCCAGTGTCACCGTATACATATGATGCGCAAGATCTTGCTGTTCATTTGCAACCTCGTCATTCGGTCCCTAGACACATTTCCCCAAAATCAGTCCCACGGTCCATTGTCTAAATTTTTCCGGGCCGACCCTGAGTTAGGTAGAGGGGCATTATCTCGCCTCCCCCCGCACGTACCCAATAAGCCCCATCCCTAAAAGCATGGTACCGCCGACCAAACTCGTATCGATACTCGGTGATATACGAAGCGAGTGTTTTCGTATCATCTCGCAAGAGGGAGTCTTCACCGTAGGCTGAATCGTTTTCGGTAGGGTCTTCTTCGGGCCGGGGGAGGTATGAGGGTGGAGCAGGTAAGGGTACACGAGTCAGGGTGAGGCTGTCAACGGCGGGGCGGGTGCCGGAATGTAGCAGAGTCACATCACTGTCTTCCCCGTAATCCGAGGACATGTTCAAGGCCAGGGACCGTGGATGAGAGGAGGAGGGCGCATTCTCTTTCTGTGGCCCGTGAGGAGAGAGTCCAAGACGATCGCTTACGCCTTGGTCAAATGTTGGGGGCCCAGACCGACGGCACGTGACGTGTCTCGGGATCTGGGGTGAGGGGTGAAGTTGATCCATGAAATACACATCGATTCTTATTTAGATAGAGATGAGATTTGACTATCTTAATCTACCAAGATATTCCTTAGATATACGTGGCCCGCATTTCATCGAAATTGTGCATAGGCAAAGTCGGCAGGAGTTGTACAACGCTGGCGGTCACCAAAACCATAAAGCCCGATCATGATACCTACTTTTGTATTAGCATTTTATAGACTCTCGGAGAATTTCATGTAAATCATACCCGTAAAAGGTGCGCCCACAGGAGGTGCCTTGGTCGCGACGTGATTGGCCACACTTCCAATCCAAATAGTCTCCTCGCTAGACGGGCCACGATAACCAAATCGATACTCGTTACCACATTCGATAATGAGGACAACATCTCCGGTCAGATCTAAAGTGACCTCAACCACGTCACCTTCTGATGGTTTGAACCGAATAATTCGCTGGTCACCTCGTTTCCGAATTCCGAGGCTACTATGCGTGAAATAATTCCACCATACGACAGTTCCAGCTTCGGTGTGCTCGGAAGTGGGTTGGAATGATAGTTTCGTCTCCCAGGTGCAGAATCGATGGGTTTGCTTTCGTAGGAACATTGTTGGACTGGCTGGTACTGAAAGGGTGTATGGTCCACCATATAGGCGGAGATGATTGGGACGTTCAGCCAGAGAATAGTCGACGGAGAAGGGGGTATCTAGTAAGGAGAAGACTCATTTCAGTGGTTGTTCACGCGTCTGAGGGTTCCATATCGCGTGCATACTTTTTCTATACCATCCCAACTGGAGATTGGGGCTTGAAAAGTCATCCTTCCAGGAAATCGGGATGTCGTGTTGGTAAAGCCCCGGTCCATTAGACTGAAGGGTGATCCTCTTGCCGCCATTAACAATCGGCCAGTCATTCTCCCACTCCACACGGACAAGGAAACTCTCCCGTCCTGCAGCAGTGATCAGCCCTAACCTACTTCAATCGACGACCCTTCACAAAACGTACCAAAAACAGACTCTTCCCACTGATCCCCTTTTCGCATCGGCCGAACCGCCAAAAGAACCGCCCACCAATTCCCATCAGCATCTTCAACTAGATCAATATGACCGGTATTCTGAACTTCATCTTCCACCCCATTACGCCAGAGGGGATTATTCGGCGCAAGTTCCCACGGTCCCAAGGGTCCAACTTCGCTGCGACTAACCCATTCGCAATGTCCACTTTCGGTACCACCTTCGGCCGAAAAAAGATAATAGTAGCGACCGCGCTTGAAGATATGGGATCCCTCTGCAACTCCGGATGATGACTCGCGGATTAGTTTTGGTTCTGATGTGGAGTGTCCCGTGGCGAGATCCACTGTGCAAATATGGATGGCAAAGTCCTTGAGCTTCACGCCCGGAGTGGGCTTGAGCTTGCGGTATGTTGATGACAGGTATACAGTTCCATCGTCATCCCAGAATAGCTGATGAACGCACATTAGTCTTGAACTGTTTCTAGATCCGCAGAGAAAACAATGGCGGCTCTCCGGGGCAATAACTTACATCCTGATCGAATCCGACTTGATCAAAATACACCGGATTAGACCAGGTACTATCATCCCAGATATTCGTAGTTTTTACATAAAATCCCTGCGGCCAAACCCGATCATCCTGCTGAGGCCGATATCGTTGAAAGCTCGCCGCAGTGATATAAAATACACCCTTGTGATAACGGATAGTAGTAGCCCACACACCACCACCCGGCTCGGGAGTATGAATCTGAAGCTGACTCGGTCTGGTCAAAGCATGGCCGATGAGCTTCCACTGAATTAAGTCGCGACTGTGATAGATTGGGGCGCCGGGGAAGTATTCAAAACTAGAGGTGACCAAGAAGAAATCCTTGTCAACGCGAACGATTGAGGGGTCTGGATTGAAACCTGGGATGATGGGGTTAGTGAAACTCATGATGGTTAATGGTGGTTTTAGTATATTTCGTATTTCGTACTTGTGGTGGGTTTATAAGTGCTGAGTCGTGAGTTATGATTTCGAGATGAGAGGCACTGATTGGTGGAGAATTTAGCTTCCTACAGGATGAGGTACAGTACCAATATTCACCGGCTGAGCCTAAATTGCGGCCCTCCTTTAGCCGAGAAAGGAGGTAAAATCCCGCCTGGAGTGAACTGAACATCAAAATAAAGTAAATAGCGTCAACGCTAGAGTGTGATCGAGTGGTGACAGATCGTGCTAGATCTATCGATGCATAGTGACGTGATGCAATGCCATACTCCTGAGGCATTACTGTTATAATAGAGAGGCCAACCTTCCAAGTATTCGATCAAGCACTTGTTTTATTTTGACTCTGACATACGCAATAAGTGCCATTGGTAAGACGGTCTGCCATATCTGAGCATCCCGTACCATTTCCATCAAAATCTTCAAAGAGTGATCATTGTATTCTTGAATTTGAAAGATGGCCTCACTTTAGCCACTTACAAGGCCATCCTAGCTTGTAGTAATATACGTAACCTGTTCATCAGTAAAGAAAAGCTCGTGGAAATCATAAGCCATAGCTACCACGAAAAATCTTGTCTGCGATAACATTATTGATTTCGGTACTTTTGTGACGACCATTCGGTCTTAGTCCCTGTGTCTGTGTGCTTGGTCGCGTGCCAGAGAAGATTTAAACAGGACAAAAAGCCAAGGATGCTTGATGAAATTTGCGCGCCTGCATGTCCTAGGAGTAGGCGGGGAACACATCAAGTTAGCGGAAAATGAGCGGGGTTTAAGCGTCTGGTTTTGCGTTGATTGGAGATTTGGTGTTTGAATCAGCGCGCCTTCCATGAACAAGCTCGTAATCTATGCATACCGAGTGCTATTTCCCCGAGAAAACTCCCTGCCAGAAAAAGCAAAACTATAGCTATGATGGATACTTTGTGTACTCCGTAGCAGTCTTGCATATTCGACCACGTGTGAAGTTCGCATTACAGATACGAGTTGGAGATAAGAGCGAGATTCCCCGCGATGGGCCCCACAATGACCAGCTGCTGCAATGTAACCCACTCGGGAAGCGTTCTGGACCATATAAAGCTGACCAGTCATCTGTATAGTTGACCTAATAATAATAACAAGAAAAGTCATCTGGACAGAAGTTTTCCAGGTGGATGCTGGCCCAGTCACCTAATCTGGTAGTAGAGGCCACTCCGAAGTTTAGCCGCGGTTCCCGCTTCCTGCATTCGGCGACGCGGGTAAACCTCCGATATGCCAAGCTGCTGCACTCCGCATGGTGGTAGCCACTGCACCTGGTGGTGGTGGATCGGACCTGTTGACTCAAACTCTCGTACCCAGCAAATCTTGAACAAGGCTTAAAAATTACCTAGAACACTTTAATTGTGGGGTATAGCTCTCTTGTTCTCCAAGTTTCTGGGTGAATCTTTTTTTCTTCCTCCTTCATCGACAATTCACAACATAGCTTCCGTGTGTGTGGAAGAACACCAATTGCCCGCGCCCGCCATGACATCAACCTCGACGTCCACGTGTGTGGTGCAGCAACATCCACACGATGCGTCGAACCACATTATGCTCGAAGCTCTGCCAGCGAGTCAACATTCTGCAGATGACACGGAGTCAAATGAATCCCCCGATGGATTCGCTGCGTTGGAGAAATGGAATCAACCCCAGATTAATGTCTATCGCACGTTTGCGACCTTCTTTAGCTTCCTGGTTATGGGAGCTAATGATGCAGCATACGGTGTAAGAAACCACCCCGTGACGATAAATTAGGAAAAGAATTGCTAAGAAACTAACGAATGCAGGCCTTAATTCCATATGTAAGAACTCTGCGACATGCGCTGTTATTCACTACCATACTCACATCAACCCACAGCTCGAGACCTACTATAACCTCACCTACACAGTCGTATCACTAGTCTTCCTCTCTCCGCTAGCCGGATACACCCTCGCAGCATTCCTCAACCACCGAATCCATATGTCACTCGGCCAGCGCGGAGTAGCCCTGCTCGGACCCGGATGCCATCTCATCGCCTACGTGGTGAACTGCCTCCACCCACCATACCCAGTCCTCGTGGTCTCGTTCATCTTCGCAGGCTTCGGAAATGGACTGGAAGATGCAGCGTGGAATGCTTGGATCGGAAACATGGCCAATGCGAACGAGGTACTCGGCTTGCTGCACGGTGTATATGGATTAGGTGCAGTGTTGGCTCCGCTGATTGCGACCTCGATGATTGCTCGGGCGCAGATGCCGTGGTTCAATTTTTACTATGTCATGGTAAGCACACGTACTTACTTGCTCCATTGTGGATCCCTTGCTAAGAATGACTAGGTGGGCTGTGCCGTCGTCGAACTTGCAACCTGCAGCGCATGCTTCTGGAAAGCCACCGGTGCCATCTTCCGGGCTGCGAATGCACATTCAATGGAGGAAAACAAAAAGGGCGGGCTTCGGGATGCTCTGTTCAAACGGCCGTCTGCTCGTGTGACATGGCTATGCTCGCTCTTCCTGTTGGGTTATGTTGGCGTTGAAGTTGCGCTGGGGGGATGGATCGTCACCTTTATGATTCGGGTTCGAAACGGTGGCGCGTTCGCCAGTGGTATGACAGCCACAGGCTTCTGGCTGGGTATTACGGTTGGTCGTATTATCTTGGGCTTTGTCACGCCCCGGCTGGGTGAGAAATTGGCGATTTCGGTACGTATAGTGATTTGCAATGCTTCATGCGATCTCGTAGATCGTAGAGGCAACCCCAACTTGACACGAACCACTGCTAACACGGGATCGGGATTAGGGATATATTCTGTTGTCAATGGCATGTGGACTGGTCTTGTGGCTCGTACCTCAATTCTACGCCTCCGCCGTGGCCGTCTCACTCCAAGGATTCTTCCTGGGCCCGCTCTTCCCAGGTGCAGTCGTGATCGTCACGAAGCTTCTCCCTCGACACCTGCATGTCAGTTCAATTGGGTTCTGCGCGGCATTTGGCGGCTCTGGAGCCGCCGTTCTCCCCTTCGCCGTGGGGGCCCTAGCACAGGCCAAGGGTGTGCAAGTATTGCAGCCGTTCATCATTGCCTTGTCAGGTGCCATCTTCCTGGCCTGGCTGGGACTGCCGCGTGTGTCCAAGGCGCAACACAGCGAGTAAATTAAGCGGCAAACGCGGATAATGTCCTGGAGAATGGACGATAATGACGACACGGTCGCGATTGAGCGGGCAGGGACAGGCTCGTGGCTCTCTTTTTTTGCTGTTTCACAAGCTCCCACGAGCCCACGAGGGAGGGACATTTTTACCAAATTGACATGTGAACATGTGAAAACGCACCTTCTCGGGCCCCGATCTCTCTTATCTGATCCGAGTACTTCAGTCTCCCGAGCCGCGCTGCTCCGGTGCTCTGATTTCTTTCTCCTTTCTGCTGTTTTGAGTTATTATAATTTCACGTGTCATACAAAAGTTTGATAGCAAACGGTGTTATATCAGGGAATTCAGGAATGTATAGAAGAATGGAACTATGGAACAATGGTACAACTTTCTGGCTGTTTTCTGGGCTTCCACCGCCACCGGCTGGTGCCACGACACGGGTCGTTTTCCGACCGTCGGGAAACCTCACCCGAACAGATCGATCGAGAGGATCGGGATAGCCGCAGGGGCAAGGGAGATGTGACAACTGGCTGTTATATAATAGCAACCAGTCGATATTCACTTTACTGGACAAACCGAGGTCAATGTAGGCATTCAGGGGAAAGTGGGAGGGCCATCATGGTCATCTGAATGATGATTTGTATGACGCGAGCCGCCGGGACTCGCCGTAGAGTATTATTAAACACCCTGTCGCGGATCGCCACGCTAGACTGATTTAAGCCCCTAGAGCCGGTAGGTAAGTTGGCTGGCTGAGCCTGATGCCGGGGGCTTCTAGCCGAAGGCTGTAAGGGTGGTTAAAAACACCCAGTCAAGTCCGTGAGGACAGTACACCCAACAGCCAACATACAACAATGTCAAACTCGGCATTGAGGCATCTACCGGTAAATATTAATCAGTTGGATCAGCCGAAATAATCGAATGTCCTTCATAGTAAACCCATCAACTCCTCAATAGTGGGCTACAACTCGGTGTTCTTCGGCCAGGCGCAGATTACCTAAACTGGACGAGCCTCGGCACTTTCCTCATTCGGCGAGTGACTTGGCCCTCGGCCTGGAACGTCACTTAGTACTGGGGCCCCGGAGAAGTCGAAAAGTTCATGGGGTCTTAGTATCTTATAATCGCCATCCCCACGTTCTAATTCTCCTTCTTCCCCCATTCTTTCCAATTCTACACATCCCCATTTTCTCCACCACACACACACACAATGCCATCTCCACCTCCAGATTGGGTCAAGGCTCTGAAGCCTGGAGGCCCGCAGGGCTCTGAGTTGCTTGCCCAGGAGCGCGCCCAATCCAATGTCGACGTCGAGAAGCTGTCCGAGTTGTTGCACACCAAGGAGGCTCTGGAGCGTCAGGACAAGTTGGTCAAGATGCTCCAGCCGGAGAAGGTGTTTGACAAGTCCCAGAACCACTCTCTGGGTCGCGTCGAGCGGCTGAAGCGGGCGCTGGCCAAGGCAAAGCGCCTGCAGCAGTTGGCTGAGCAGAACCAGTGGTCCATGGAGGACCTGCACGCGGCCAATGAGTTGATCGGAGAGCCAACTCCCTATGGTCTGCATGCTAGCATGTTCCTGGTATGTTTTTTCTCGAAGAATTGGCGTTGTAATTGTGCGAAGTGGGAGGGAAATCGAATGCTGACAAGCGCCCCCTCCTTTTTTTAGGTCACCCTCCGCGAACAAGGTAGCCCCGAACAGCACAAGCTCTTCCTCGAGCGCGCCGAAAAGTACCAGATCATTGGTTGCTACGCCCAGACCGAGCTGGGTCACGGATCCAATGTTCGCGGTCTCGAGACCACTGCCACCTGGAACCCCGAGGACAAGACCTTCACCATCAACTCCCCCACACTCACTGCCTCCAAATGGTGGATCGGCTCTCTTGGTCGCACTGCCAACCACGCCGTGGTGATGGCTCAGCTCTTTGTTGGTGGCAAGAACTACGGTCCCCACCCCTTCGTGGTCCAGGTTCGCGACCTGGAGACGCACCAGCCTTTGGAGAACGTATACGTCGGTGACATTGGTCCCAAGTTCGGTTACAAGTGAGTAGCACCATTCCCGCGTAATAGTTGCACTTGCCTGCGACCTTTGACTGACCATTGGATGGCCTTCTTTAGCACCATGGACAATGGCTACCTGCTCTTCAACAAGGTCAAGATCCCCCACATCAACATGCTGGCCCGCTTCTCCCGTATCGACAAGGAGACCAACAAATACGTCCGCCCCAGCATGCCCACTCTCGTCTACGGTACCATGACCTGGGTCCGCTCCAACATTGTCCTCCAGTCCGGTGGTGTGCTGGCCCGTGGTGTGACCATTGCCACTCGTTACTGCGCCGTCCGGAGGCAGTTCCAGGACCGCGATGCCGATCCCAATGCTGGTGAGACCCAGGTGCTCAACTACAAGATGGTCCAGGTCCGCCTGCTGCCCCTCCTGGCCTCCATGTATGCTCTCCACTTCACCGGCCGCGGTATGATGCGCCTGTACCAGGAGAACCAGAAGCGCATGCAGGCCGCTGCTTCTCCCAGCCAGGATGCTCGTGGCCCTGGTCCCGAGGAGCTTCGTGCTGGTGCCGATCTGCTGGCAGATCTGCACGCCACCTCCTGTGGTCTCAAGGCTTTGGCCAGTACCACTGCCGGCGAGGGTCTCGAGGTCTGCCGTCGCACATGCGGTGGTCACGGTTACAGCAGCTACAGCGGTATTGGACCGTTCTACTCTGACTACCTGCCCACTCTGACCTGGGAGGGTGATAACTACATGCTCACCCAGCAAGTCGCCCGCTACCTGCTCAAGTCCGCTCGCGCCGTGCTCTCCGGCAAGGCCGCTGATAACGACACCTCCCGCATCCTCCGCAACTACCTCGACCGCCGTGACAAGGGTGCCTCCTTCGACATTCTCGAGGAGGACAACGACATCGTCGCCGCCTTTGCCTGGCGCACCGCCCACCTCACCTTCGAGGCCCTGAAGCACCGTGACGCCGAGAAGCGCTCCTGGAACAGCCTGCTGGTCGACTTCTGGCGTCTCTCCACCGCCCACTCCCAGTACCTGGTCGTCAAGAACTTCTACGAGGCCGTCTCCTCCCCCGAACTCTCCCAGTCCCTGGATCAGGACACCAAGACCCTCATGCACCAGCTCTTCCGCCTCTACGCCCTGCACACCCTCGAGCGCGAAGCCGCCGAGTTCTTCTCCTCCGGCGCCGTCACCGTCCGCCAAATCGGCCTGACCCGCACCACCGCCGTCATGAAGCTCCTTGACGAGATCCGCCCCCACGCCGTGCGTCTGGTCGATGCCTGGGCTATTCCTGACTGGCAGCTGGACAGCAGTCTCGGTCGGTATGACGGTGATGTCTACCCCGATCTGTTCCGCCGCGCTAGCCAGGAGAACCCCGTCAACGACCTGGTTTTCGACCCGTACCCGTGGAACGAGGCTCTGCTTAAGAATGAGTCTCCTAAGAGCAAGCTGTAAATTTTTCTTCTCCTCCTGTCATTCTTTTTGACTTCTGATGTATATTGTTTGGCATTTTCCTATTTTCTTGTATGCATGTGCGTTTTTGGATTTGATTTGGGGGGATAGAGCCTATTAGAGACTAGAATAGATCTCATAGATGGAACGAAGACTATTTATATACTTCATTCTTCTCAGTTCTGAACGATTCACGAAAGCAAAGAGAATGCTCTCAAACTGTACGCAGAGTACTCCGTAGATAACTCTAAATTGTGTAGAAGATCATCCGTCGGTCCCCTTCGCGCGCTGTGCCAATTAAAAATAAAGCTAAATGTATCGTTCAACGGCAAGTTCCGACTCGATTGACCAACCCAACTACTCAAATCCCTCCTCGTCAAGGTAAAGATCACAGTAGCGCTCTTCCCACTAGCAAATGAAAACCTTTTCAAAGCCCCTCAGTTGACGTATCGGTCCATTCGGAATACCAAGATACAACTGTGCGACTTCAAAACCATCCACAGTCCCATTATTCTGCACAGCCGCATTGACAGTCACAAGCCCATCCCACAAACGTTCATTGCCACCTTCCACGGTAGTTGCGTCAGGGGGATACTGCGGTGTAGTTTTATTTGTTTTGTTCACATGGATAAGCGAGTAGTTAAAAGTAGTATACGTTAAACCGAAACCAACCTCGTATCTGGGTGTGATATCTATCGCATCGAGAGCGTATTCCATCGAATCCCAAGCTAGGATTGGCTAAATCAACGGCAGAGCTGCCTCTAAAGTCGACCCAGACCGAAGGACTACGACGCGTTGTATTATTATGTCCTCGCCCCAGGAGTCCTAGCTATATGGCACTTCAAGTCTTCAACATCCAGATGTCCGGCCTAACAAAAAGCCGTGGGGTGATTGATCTACATCACATGATAAAACTGCATCGCAGATCTTCGATCCGCCCTATTAATTGCTAAAAATTGCCAAAACGACACCCCTCTTCCTAATGAAGTTTAGCCTAGTTAATGTAGGCTCCCGCTCAAGTTTCAACTCCTTCCCAAAGCTCCATTTCAAAATTTTTTGAAAAACACCTTCGATTGCAGCAACCCTCTATTCCAAGCCTCGCCTAGTCCACAGAGCGTTCTAGGATTCAGAATGGACTCAAAACCGTCTCCCGATCACGTCCAAGCACCAGCCCAAGAAACAAAGGCCGCGGAGGATGACCCTCTCCCTCCTCAAAACCCATGGCTGGAGCGCTTTTTGATAAGAATCGGGTTCTTTGAGTACAAGTACAATGCCATGTACAAGCCCCTATTCCACTTCAACTTTGCATTATGGACTCACTCATTTTGTACTGCCTAGGATCATGATCTGTGTTGCCTTAGGTCCCTTTCTATTCGAATACCTCATTTGCCGCCGATACTGTGATATAGAGGATTGCCTCTTTTACCGTAAGACCGCGTCGCGCTGTACAGACATTGCGATAATTCTTTACTTTGTTCGCATTCGGTACTTAGCCTGGTCCCGGGACGGGCAACACGCAATCAGAAATGTAAGCGCTACGTCCAGTTAGTCAGATACCGGGATCTAGTAAAGGAGGACAATTGTGATAGGAATGAATCCGGGAGAAAGGAGTACTTGGGGCGGGTGAATGTCTTTCCCTTTCCTTTACTTTTCTTTGCAATCAATCCACTAGCCTTGCATTGCTACAGGTAGTATAGATCTTTTTCCATTCAATCCAAATCTTGGAACATGTCATGTTAGGGCTCTAATATATACGACTACGCGTCCTCAAATAAGGTCAGTTTTTGTGATGTTGAATTGAACAGAAGAAAGGCACTTAGCTAGTTGCGTCCTCTCGCGTTTCAACCCGGGATACAGAATTTTTCTCTAGTAGCCTCAGTGACTCCGTACCACGATAAGGTCATAGGAATGTACGGAGTCAACTCGTGCTAGCCGTGTAAGGCTACTAGCGGTCCACTGTGCCGATTATCGGGCTTAGCGAGCTTGATGTTACATCGTTTGATTTAGGTTCAGGACTGCGAGCAGCTGAAAGATAGAGCTGAGCTTGTATATATAGCGAGAAAGTCAACTGTGCCACCGGGATATATCCGAATATATCCCTCACAAAATCGCCCGGCCTCCCCGTAGGCCTCTGTTTAGCGTGATATATGACACGCTAGTCCCAGTCTCCTCTCCACCAAGATAGCGTGTAGCCACTTCCGTCGCCAAGGCCCCTGTGTGGTAGAGTGGATCTCTGACCAGGATTTTCAGACCGACATACCTAAACCACAACAATCCCATACTAAGGCAGAGTCGCCCTCGGAGCAGCCCCCAAAGTAGTGGATATATGATCTGGACTTTCGCCACTAAAATTCAACAGTCTGATAATCCCATAATTCAGAAACAAGATTTTGCGAGTGATGCTGGATATTAATGAAGCTCCGTAGGCGCCAACGCTGTTTTCGCTGAAGGTGACGGATCCTGCAGCTGGGTGGAGTATATAACTCGAGAAATAAACATGCCTGTCTTGGACTTCAAACGCTCAAAGCTATAGCAATGCTTAGCCTTAGGGTTATAATCCTTATTAGACGAGAGTAGTGATACATTGGTAGTTGTAAACTACTTGTTATTTTGTGCTATATTTAATGAAGTTTCTCTTTATTGAAGATTTCGTGTAATTTTTAAAGATAAAATTAGGGTGAGGTTAATGGCACTACATGAACGTTACTCGCACTACAAACTAGGCCCTTTTCGGTTCCCGTCAGCCCCACCACCAAAAGGTACATTTAAGACCTACAGAAATATCGCTGTCTTTATGTGTAGTCATATTCCTCTGGTTCTTATGATAAATAGCCATAATAATTATCGAATAATAGGTAAACATATAGTGACGTGCTCGAAGTAAATACTGACCCTAAGAGCGACCGCAAAAAAGGGCTTATTATTCATAGAAATATCTAGACAGAAGCCTTGGTAGACCATAGTTGCTTTTTTAGGTGTCGGATGTACCTTTTGGTGGTGAAAAGTTGCCAAGGCGGGTACTAACCCAAAAAGGTTTAGTGTGTAGTGCGAGTAACGTTCATGTAGTGCCATTAACCTGACCCTAAAATTAATCTATCAAAATCACTATAAGATCCCGTCCTACGCCCCAAGGCTTTGGCCCCCACTCCGAACTACAGTAACTTATCCGCTCTTAACTGATCTCCAAATCTAAAGGTTTCAGGGTTGCATTGTATTAGCCTTAGGAAAATATCGCAAAGTAGGTTTGATAACCGTGGAATGATCATCTCCGATCTAGGTACATAGTCGTCTCAGATCAGTCTTGAACAGAACGCCTTGAGGGTCTTGCACCAAGCTTCATCTCCATATCATGTCTGAGGGCATCGAATTATCTCGATCTTTTCTAAAGAAGTTATTCAAGGACTCTGTACTTAGCTTCTGTCTTCTCGGTGCTTAATTATCAGTCTTGCCAAGAGACGAGAACCACAAGTGCGCGCCGTTTTGGATAAACTCCACAAGGGTCATCAGTTGGATAGCCCTATAGGGGCCGTCGGTTGTATTAAACTGGACCCTTTCGTGTCTAGGACAGTAACTCAAGTTGATGATCATTCTCGTAATCAGGCAGATAGCAATTAGGCTCCAGAATACTCCGTACGGAGTTAAGTAATCTCAGTCCAAACACTCCACAGCTAAAGATAGAGCTATTCGTGACTCCGAGTATGGAACGTCGTTGGGCCGACTTAACATATATAAGAGCATGGCCACAGAGCCTTAGATACTCTCATTTTTATTATTTCACTATCGATCTCTCTATTTCCATCAGCTTATATTACCAACCAGCCTGAGATGAAGTTCTCCCGGGCTCTTCTTTCTCTGCCTGCTCTGAGCAATGTGGCATTTACGGCTCCTTTCACTAATGAAGAGCTCCAAGCTACCAATCAGAACCCCAATCCTGAGGAAATAGTGAAAGCCCACCTTGAAAAGAGGTTGACTTGTCAAGATGTCGCAAGAGCTATTTAGGTTGGCCATGGAATACTCGAGGCAGCGTATGTTTTGATTCGAATGACTGCCGGTTATCACTTTAAGAAGATAGAGGCTAATTTTTTTAAATGATTAACTCTAGTAACGTCTTTGTTACCCTAGTCGAAGATTATGTCAGGGAGTCTGTGAGAGACAAGATAGCAAACAATGTGCTTCTTAGGTTACCGAAATCAGGGAAGCGTTCAATCTGATTTTGGAGCTTACTGGCAAAGTCAGTGCTGGTGCTGGTTTGGTCGATGCAGGCTCTGCAGTCTTGAGAAATGGTCGCCGATCAATCCCACTGGTCTTTGAGTATGACATGGAAGCCCTGAGAACGAACCGTTCCATCAAGTCTCACAAAAAAATTGCGAATCCACTCATTGGAATCAATGCCAATGACGGTACGCCAGCCTTGGCTCATCACTATCGTCTGAATGGGGTAAGAGGAAGGGAGTCCAACAGAACGCGTGATTATGATATTTATCATTTTGAGGACGGTACTGCTCACCTTCGGGTGCCCTCCGTCGGATCCAGCAGCTCTGTCACCAGGCGACACGACGGGGCGGGCGTCAAGATTGCTTTCCAACACGCGTCTGTCGCCCTTGCTCCCAGCGAATATGACGGTGCAGCCTCGGCTATTGCGAGTAGATGGCAAGAGTATTCGGAGCAGGGCTATGCCAACGTTTTCGGGTTCATGGAGAAGAACAACCAGGAGGTATTTTACTATCGTTCTATTGTGGAGGGTCAAGGATTTGGTGACAACTATGAAGATATTATGGCTTGTGGCGATATAAGCTTATATGTGGGTAGTTCTTGGTAAGTCCCTAAAGCAGTGGAATTTTCACTTGAAACCTGGTGATTCCCGCGAGGGCTCAGGAGACTCCCGACGTTCGCTTAATAGATAGAGTGATAGTTAATGTGTCCAGACATTCCTTCCTCGGGAGCTACAGAGTATTACTTAAGCCCCGAGGCCCGTCAACTATCCGTAACAAGCCCTTACGAGGGTGGATAGTAGTCTTGTTACGGATAGGTCTGCTCGTGGTGGCCGCTGCCAAGTTGCGCCACTTCCAACACTGCGTTCGCAAAAACCTCGGGCCTTTCAAGTAGGATGTTCTCGCCACAACCCCTCACGAGCACTCTCGGCCCCGCAAAGAACTTCGCTGTAGCGCTCGCATTCGTCGCTGGAAAAACGACTGCCCGATCCGGATCCAGTTCGGTTTCAGCGGAGGTAAGGCGAGTCAGTCTCTGCAGAACAGGGCAACTATCCGGATAATAATTGAACATGTGCTGTGAAGAGCCTATCGTGGGTCCTTAGAACTGTATCTTCTTCGGCTTTCTTTAAATCGCGATCTGTCATCACAGTCGGAGTCGGGTAATCGAGCTCTGACAAGTCAGTGTTCATTCTGGTGGATAGTGCCATTTTGTGTTCACCTACCAATTGCAAAGGAAGAAAAGCCCAAAAGCCCGAAGTATCCGCAGACAAAATATGTATCTGACCAGTCTCCCGCATACGAATACCTACGCAAACATCCGCATCACACTTCTTGCTATGTTCAGACGCCTTTTTTATCATGTTTGTCTTGCGACGGTATTGTCTCTGACGAATCAATTTTCTTGGTAGAGGGTTTATTGGATCGGGCTCTTTCCAAAGCAGCCATTGGAAATTGATGTCTTGCTATTTGAGGTTCTTGAATAGAACAGCACTTGTCCGATGGGGGGCTGAGACTGGTGTTTTTAAAGCCGTTTGAAAGGAGAAACGCGATGAATACAGGTCCTAAAATCCAATTCCGAAAAGCTAAATATTGAAACCTTCGATACAGAAAGAAAGATATTGTTTTCTTCATAAAAAGACACCGTGGTCTATGTTGATTCACGTTATAAAGACAAAAATGGCATGTTAACCGCCATCGTAAAACTGCCGTCACTATATAGGTCACTAGCTTATTTTCACAACGGGGGTGGGCAAAAAAATCTTTTTGAACAAATCGGTGAAATAGTTGAATCAATATTCCAAGGGTTTTCCGTTATTGCACTAATCGAATAACGCTGCGCAAGCTCCTAGACTGTAAATCACGAGCGTTCGCGAACAGTCGTCGTCACTCCCCAGGGCGAATGCAGAAATCATTTAAACCTTTCATTATTGACCAGGCTTTTGATTTCAAGCTATAGTTCATATTCTTAACCGGCGGCCACCCAGAAGAATTGTACACATAATAGGCGACGTTGTCCTTGGTCAATACGATACCGCAGTAAATGGAATGGATTGACTGTACGGACGCCGAGAATCAATGAAAGAGAGTGTTTAGGCATTGATCCCGACTTACGGAAGTTACAAGTCCTGAAATCCGACCAAGAGAAGCTGAATATACGAGCCTTCGATACGAAAAGAAGGACGTTATTTTCTCGAAAAAAAGAGCGTGGTCTTGTGTCGATTTACGTTATAAAGACAAGATTTAGCACATTACTGTAACCGTCCTAGGTAGGACACGACGCTACACAGAATGTCAGAGAGACTAGGTAGGCAGCGTTGATTAATACCCTATTACTGTGGCCTTTAATACAGTATTACAGTAATTACCTTTACTTTGTTTGCCTAAAGATCGCTTTCGCTATGTGGTCTGCGTGCCTTTCTTAGAGCTGAGCCTGTAGGGGGCCATCCAAGAAGCACGGAGAAAGACGCTATACTTAGAAAGCATATATCATCAAGGATGTAGATATCAGGGTTGGACAATCGCCGATTCAGAATGACGGGAAGGGAGGTCCCTTAGTTTCGTTATCTGATCTCTTGATCCATATATAACATCCCTAAGTGGTACATACGCGTCAAACTACCTCAAGATCTCGGTCCGTTACTAGCTTTGGGGTTGGATAATATGAATTCTGGAGGCATTAGTGGACTTTCCAAGATAACATTAGCGACGTACTAGCTGAGAGCCAAGAAAGGCCCAAAATCCCGAGCCGCAGCTCAGCATAGATCGTACGGTAGAGGAATGTCTTGCCAGTACCGGCAGGGCCTTGTAGATACCACGCAGCAGGCCGACCGCCAAGCACAGTGGATACCACGGCGGAAAGGATGGTCTGTTGATCATCGTTGAGCTGATCCCGTAAGTCCGCGGCCGTAGTGGCTAGGCGATCTAATAGCATGTTATGCAGACCCTTACGGGATGATGGCTGGAAGGCAGACCAATCAGCTTCCGGGGATAGCATGTAATAATCCGCTAATGTCTTAGTTTGCGCCGCTAGCAGTCGGCCGATCAGAAATAGGCCAAAGTTAAGATACTGTTCTCTGGTAGAAGTGGCAGGTAGCTCTCTGCCAGCTTCCGTGTAGGATTCCAACTGACGGGGCAGGTCATCGCATAGGTGCACTTGAAACTCATCCCAGAGTGCCGGTGGGTCCATAACATCACTATGCACGACAGCAACACAGAACTCATTTCTTAGAGATTTGCCAGATGCGAAAGTCACAGCCTCCGTGAATGTGGCCCACCAGTGGTTGTCATCCTCTAGCAGCCTAAGCCTCTTGCAGGCGTTCTGGAATGTCCGCTCTGGTGATCCAGGGCGTACGGTTCTTAGGTCCTCAAAGCTTACAGCATTATGCCGGACCGTTAATAGCAGCCGCAGATAGAAGCGCTCGCCGTCACGGGATCCACATAGTACATCCTACCGATAACAGTTCCATTTTTCCGTGGCTGCCACGACCTCTGGGACCGGTCCCAGACACAGTGCCGCAGCATATCCTGATATAGATACATCGGGCGGCCCTCCCGGCGGGCAACAGTATTGTAGTCAAAGTAGGCCATCAATGGACTGCCCGTGATATCCATCCGGCGCCGAATATCATCAACTTCAGCACCGGCCGGAAAGCGTACTGGCTGCTGACCTAGGAGATGGACTGGGAGTGCCTGCACAGGTAGGAATTCCTCATGGACTCGGTATCCCAGCAGACGCCAGACAGCCCCAGGTCTCTCTCGGTTTCATGTATATAGCCGCTTTCCAGAGCTTCCCTTCACCGGCTTTATCCAAGAACTGCTTCCAATACGCCGCCTTAACTTTCTGGATCGTTCGAGTCCATGCACGTCGTTTTTGTTGCATCTCTTGGAAGAGAGCCACCGAACGTGTATAGTCTCGTCCGAGCTCCGCACAACTCTCTTGCCACTTCCGGCGTAAGCGATTAACCTCAGTCTGCTGGATTTTGAGATCTGGCGTGAATCAGCGTTTAGAGTATGGTGTTGGTCGTAGGTCAGGTGTGTGTTTGTCCACTGCCGCTGCGGTCGCTTCCGTGAGCTTATCAACCATCTCATCCAGCGCTGGTCTCGTTTTGATCTCCTTCTATAGGCCCACCCGCAGGAGCACTTCGGTCCCAATCTTGCCCCAATCCGCTCGTTCGTACGCTTTCTTCGCTCTGGCGGTAGGTTTGCGCTGGGCTCTTAGGCTCCATTCCGAGTATGTGGCACGGTGGTCCGAACCATAGTTATCGTGGTACAGATGACATTTGATAAGCAGATCTGGCCGGTTCGTTACAGTCTGATCAATGGTGGAGATTTTCCCTAGGTCGCTAAGAGACCAGAATGTTGCTGTTCCTCAGGGGAGACAGCCGTGTAGGCCATTAGCCTGGAAGAAGTTTGTTGCAGTTCGAGAGGAACCTTAATTGTTCTCATTTCAGAGGGATACAGGGAGGCCATATATACACCATGAAGTCCAAGTTGATTGGAAATCAACTTGGAACTTCGTATAGCTAGTGCAGGAATTATTTCCGATGTTGCGGCTTCATTCCTGAGCAGCTACAGCCTCATATCACAACATTCCCCCTCAGGATTGCCTTGCTGGCGAGGCGATACTGAATACATACACACGGTCAGGCCTCGGTAAAACCACTCAAACCTTCGAAGAGGAGAAATAGTGGAAAGAGCGCTATCGCATTTACACATTCTCTATAAAGCTTTCGTGTCAATTCCCAAGAGCGTGCAAAACTTCATGAACGGAGAGGGACCCAGAGGCTTGGTGAGCCCATCGGCTGCTTGTTCTTCGGTTGGAACGTATTCGAGACAAATTTCCTCTTTATTCAGAACTGCTCTCTGATAGTAGGATTTCACGTTGAAATGCTTCGTCCGTTTGTGAAACTCAGGGTCGCGAGAGAGAGCAACGGCAGATTGATTGTCAGCCATGATGTTGGTCACTGGTGATCGAAATAGGTAGGTTTCCGCCAGAAATGTGCGGAGCCATTGCAGGTGAAGGATAGCATTGTATTGGCCAATGTACTCGGCGTGAGTCGTGGACGTCGCCACTTCCCCCTGTCTTTTGGATGACCAGGAAACTGGTGCTCCCGCAAGTTTGAACACATAGCCAGACGTGGAGTATGCACCATCAGTGACGACGGAACCTCCAAAGTCGGCATCGGTGTATCCAATCAACTGCCCGCTGCGGTATGTGATGCGATAGAATCGCGTGGCCTTGACATAGCGTAGCAGTCTCTGCAGTGCAGCCTGATGATGCGACTGCGGTCGGGATGTGAAGCGACTCAACGTCCCAAGCGCAAACGCGATGTCAGGGCGCGTACCGACCATATGATATATCAGTGACCCGATTGCGGTCCCGAACCGGGCCTTCGTATCTTCATCCAGGTCGCTCCCGTCGGGAACGCTATTCAAAAGAGCTTTTGGAGCCATCGGTGTAGACTTCGGTTGACAGATCTCCATGCAAAAGTCGGAAAGGACCTTTTGGATGTATTGGTGTTGGTGAATCGAAATCGATCCGTCCATATGGAAGTCGAATTGAATTCCAAGGAATGAACGCGGCGTTCCCAGATCGTTCAGTTTGAACTTCGATTCCAAGGCCCTTTGAAGTTGCTGGATCTCGGCGTCGGCCGCGGCTGCGACCAGAAAATCGTCGACGTACACGCAGACGACACAGTTAGGCTTATAGAAAACACAATTGTCGGACTGGGCCATAGTGAAGCCGTAAGCCACCAGGACACGGTGGACGCATTGGTACCAAATCCATGGTGCCTGCTTCAGTCCGTACAAGGAGCGTCGAAGGCGGCAAACGTATCCGTCTTCCTCGAAGCCCTCTGCCAACTCCATATAGATTGACGAGTCGACATCACCGTGGAGAAAGGCAGTGACGGCATCGAATTGGTGGAGTTTCCATCCACGCAGCACCGCACTCGCAACGATGCTGCTGACCGAACCCATTCGGGACACGGCCGCGAAGGTTTCGTGATAGTCAATTCCATATTTCTGTCGGTAGCCTTTGATGACCAGTCGCGCTTTCCGAATTCCATTTGCCTTCGTCTTGAATACCCACTTGCAGCCAATAATCCGATCCCCATGGGGAACTTCATTTCGTGGAACCTTCTCCCATGTGCCATGCTCGAGAAGCGAAGAGTATTCTTTCTGGATCGCGGCCCACCATTCCAGCTGATTCGGTCCCGACACGGCTTCGTGGAAGGTCAGGGGATCAACGTCTTTGGTGGCGGTTGCATTCAATGTCCCTGTCGCATACACCTTGCCTAGCGACTCCAAGAGACGCCTGGAGGGTCTTCGTCTTCGGCCAAATAAGGAGTAGCCTAGGTCCTGTGTGGATTGTGTCTCATGAGGGATTGGATTGACTGGTGAGGGGATATCAATTGGTTCAGATTCAGACGGCACGTTATCAACTAGCCCACAAGGAGCGTTCTCTAGTTTGTCAGGAGGCGGAAGTGGCGTAGGTAGCGCGCCAGATGGAGGCAGCATCAGTTCAGGAGAGACAAGTGATGGAGGAGCATTGTCCGGGAGGTCGTTGCCTGTTTCCCCCTCGATGAGAGGCGCCACTGGGGTCCTTTCATCGAACTCGACATCACGGGAAAAGACTGTCCTTCCAGAGTGTACCTCGTACAGGTTGTATTGATTGGGTTCGCAGTAACCGAGCAGTCCGGCACTCCGACGATCGTGGTCCGAGTTTCGCCCGATGCTCTTTGGGGATCAATACCCATGCGCGGGAGCCGATCCGTCGCAGGTGCAGCAGCTTGGGTGGCTTCCCGTAGATGACTTCGTACGGTGTCTTCTTGTGGAGGATTGATGCTGGCGCCCACAGCTTCAGATAGACTACCGTGTCTAAGAGCTCGGTCCACCAGGAAGGAGGAAGCTTCGCATCGGACAGGAGCGTGTTGATCCGCTCCCGGATAGTGCGGTTCGTGCGCTCGGCCAGCCCATTCTGCCCTTTGAAATATGGCGGCGAGGTATCAAACTCAACTCCCTGGGATTCGAGGTGTGTTCTGATAGGCAAGTATTCTCTTCCATTGTCGGTGAGGAACCGTTTAATCTAAGCGCCGAACTGTCGGTGCACCCAGGCCTCAAATTGTCGAAACTTCTGCAGCGCTTCGTGTTTCCATCTCATGGTATAGGCCCACGAGCCGCGCGAATAATCGTCAGTAAATGTGATCACGTACCTGGAGCCATCTTTGGCGACGGGCATTTCCATGAGGTCTGAATGGATCATTTCGAAGATTCGCGACGAGTGCAGACGTGGCCGTCTTGCACGGGAGTTTCTCTTCTGATGCTGCTTACCCGACATGCACGCTGGACACTGCGGCGTTGCCAGCAGCTCGCTCTGCGTTAGCGGTCGGTACGGAGTACCAGTCTGACGGAGGACCACCCTTAAGTCACCCCGGTTCAGATGTCCCATCCGAGCGTGCCACAGCGCTTCAGTGGCCTGGTCCACTCCTGTGCTCGCATCTTCTTCGAGTATCTGAGCTTCACCACCGAGTTCAGAGGTGGCCGCCGCGCCTTGCGCACCACTTGACTCTAGACGGTCGTCGACGTCCATGTCCACCGCCTGCGGTTCCAGGGAATCTGCATGGACACAGTCCGTCGGCGCCCTCGCCAGTTGGACTCGTTCTCGGGATATTTGGCTCACATAGCACCGCAGGATGAACAGATCCTCCTCCGCATGGTAGGCTGTCCCCACTGTTCGTCCTCGGCGTTGCACAAAGACGTTCTGCGGGTGTGCCACCACCGAATAGCGGTCTCGTAGTAATTTCGGCACGCTGATCAGGTTCATACCGATACGCGGCGCGAAATACACGTTCTTTAACACCAGGGGATGGTTGAACTTCCCCCGGAGTGTGAGCTTCACCGTGCCAATCCCTTCGGCTTCCACTGGATCGCCCGCCGTGTCCAGCATCTCTCGGTGGGGCCGCAGGTTAATAAAGCAACTCCGGTCCCAACAGATGTGGCTAGTGGCGGCTGAGTCCAGGATCCACCGCGGGGACGGTGCGTGGGTATAAAGGGTCGTCACCCTCGCCCTCACGATATTAATCCGCGGTCTGGGCGAACAGCTCGCAGAACGTGGCCAGCTCTATGCGCCGGTACCGTTCTTCCAGTTCATTCCACAGGTCGCGGGACGTCTCGAGTCCCGCGACGTGCACACTGATATGCGGAGACAGGTACCGGAAAATAGTGTGGTAGGCCTCAGCCTCACGACGCGACCATTCACGGTGGCGTTCGAAGGCTTGGACCTCCACTTCGAGGCGGGCTTCGATGGCTCGCTGCCTCACCAAGTTACGGAATCCCTGTGTACCTTAAGGTGGCAGTATGTATACACTGCAAGTGGCGGTGTGCCAAGTCATTGTTGATCCCCCGTTGATTATGAATTGCAAACCCAACAGCGCAGGGGGAGGTTGACATGCTCACACGATGTATAGACATGCAATGCTGGAGGTAATGTCATCCAGGCGCCATTCAGGTAATAACTTATTGATACAAACCTTGACCCCAACGATCCGATGCAATGATATCTTATCCTGGTGCCTGGGGAAACAGGCACGCTCCTAACTCGAGGCTTCTGATTGGTCAGTCCCGTTAGTCTGTTTAATCGTGTTCTCAACCATCGGTAGTTACAATCTACACTCCTAGAAGGTATCCAGAATGGAGAAATGGCCAAGAAACCAGAGATTCAACAAACGGAAGTATATAAGATTCGACTAGTAGCCAGTACATGTGATGTATTTCAATAGCGATAGGAGGCTCAACAGAGAGTTAAGTTTGAAAGGCAATGGGAGATAACCATGCCGGGACAGTTGGAAGCCTACCTAACCTCCCTTATTAGGAAAAAATGCGAATAAGCGCCCAAGATAAAATGCATAAATAAGTGTGTGACATCGAAAGTGGTCTATGAAAATGTAAAATACGATATTGCGTGGGTAGCACCGAATGGTCACCTCTGCACACTCAGTTTGTCATGTTCCAGGAGAAGCCGTGGCTAGGTCTTTTGCTCTAAGGGTCACTTCCATGCGACTTATTTTCTACAGAATTTCATGTAGACATGGACTTCTTCAATGATTTTTTTTCATCCTCCTTTGAGACGGACTGAGAGTACATCCTCTGGATCGCTCAGATCATCACAAGGATGGGGCGAAGACATTGCAACAAAAGTCAACTTTTCCAACTGACCTGTGAGAATGGATATTGAGTCCGGCTTGATACCTTATCTCTCCGAATTTGGAATGCAGATTCTGTTGGGTCCATCAGATGCTAGTCATTATTTCCAACGGCGCTAACTAGTTAACTGAGGTTCCAGCGTCGCAGATGACTAATAATAGTGGTTTGGAACTGATTGGACAAGAGAAGCTGAAATAGAGCTTGAAGACGTGCCTGCCTAGACAAGGATGCAGTGCATGCTTAGAGAGGCCGTTGTTTTGCTTAAATGACTGGTATCTGTGCCTCCATAGTAGGAGGTGCCGCAGCAGTATAATGGATGGCACAGATACCAGGCGGATTGCATTTTGGTACTGCGTGTCAACGGGGATATGGCATGCCTAGGGCATGAAGCGAGGCTGAATTTTCGTGATCGAAGCCCAACACCGCACCATAAAAGGCATGGAAAGCAGACCCCGACAAGCTGTCATCCTCAGAGACATTTCTTTTCCTCGAGTTATATTCTTCTATTTGAGTTGTTGAAATTCTGCCATCTCTTTGTTCCAAATTTCTCGTGGCTCACCTCCATCGGGTTTGTTTGGCCATCTAGCGAAAGATGTCTGACTTTATTTTCCATTCTGCCCAGCGCATCAGAGAGGTGGAGGAGATCATAGGGTACGAATTCAAGGACAAAATTCTTCTGGATCGGGCACTCCAAGCTGCAGGATTCGGCCTGCTGCGTGAGGGTAACAAACCTTTGGCGCTCATCGGTGACGCCACTCTCAAGCTCATTATACGGATGATGGGCTACGAGACTAATGCCTCCATCGGTGAGATTTCTTAAGATTATACATGGAAGGCTGTCTGTACTAACTCTAACTCAAAAAGGCCGTACAACCCAGTTACATGATACTTGGGCTGCCAACGAAAACCTTTGGCAGATTGGCTTTGCCAAAAGACTCGATACCTTCATTCACCTTAATCCCTCATCCCGCGGGGTGGTGCAAGACAGGCTGATGGCCACCACCATGGAGGCTATACTCGGAGCTGTCTATTTGGATGGTCAGAAAGATATTGCGGCCGTTCTGCGGGTAGTCCTTTATCTGGGCCTGACAGACGATGCATAGGAAAATGACTCAGATGCGTACCAAGCATGTCGCATTCCGATCAAGTCCTTTTACCATTGCTAATAATCATGGCAGGTCTACACCCACTAGAGAGGTATTTGGATACCCTTGCAGTGATAGTTTCTGGCACATGCCCTGGTAAAGAGGCTCTTTAGAGTCTTTCGAGGCGGATACGTCGTACCAGTTGTCCGTCTGGCGGGGTTAGATGACTTCTCTATGATGGAATCTGGCAGTTACTTTGGTTGAAATGGCGGATATCTCTCGGGTCGGTCTCTGGCTTGTGTCAAATAGGAGGGCTTTTGAGCCCGTTGACGCTAGCGAGCCACTTGGTGCCTGGCTCGCCAGCATGATCGGACTCGACAGTTCTCATGTTAGACACAGGTTATGGATTGATACATAGATGCTTCTTCTGTGCTTTTTTTGATATTACTTAGCTAGTTCCCTTCCTTTAATCAGTACTATCACCCAGTATAGTAGTGAAGACCTCAATACTGTTGATAGTAGTATCACTGTCTCCTTCCACGCAAATTTAGTAGAAGATACTGACGCTGATGGTGATTCTAATTGCTGTGATGCATATATATAGATTCGTCAGTAGACCTACTGGGTAATGCATCAAAGTATATCTTCGCTGATAAAGAGTGTCAAAATGGCATATACGCGATCTAGTAGACTAGGTCTAGCCCGTGGAGGTAGGTAGCGATCGTGGGCAAACCAATTCAGATTGTAGTCCTAAGTCAGATAATAAAACGCAATTCCAGCAGAGCTGTGTAACTCTGTGCGGTCGCTGCTCCGCTTTAAATCAGCTGTGTTTCCGTCGAATGAGAAACACACGCTCATAGGTTGAAAATCAGGTTCTCTGGTCGGAACTCCAGCATCGACTAAATTTCTGATTCTTCGAATTAACACAAGAATGCACATTCAAAGCTGACAGCTTCGGACCTCATGATTAAAGTATCCCAGCTGTCGGAGTTACAAAAGGAAAGTGGAAAGACGTGATTCCACCCTGATGCAGGATATGATCATTGATCATTGGGATAGGTGTTTCAATGAGTAGCTACAATCGCCAAAATAATGCCTACCGAGGCGGCACGCAAACGAGCCCAGAGAGAACAAGAATTACCGAAAGAGGCATCAGCCAGCCATACCAGGTGGTTACGGCCGTAGAGCCTATGGCGTCAACCACACCCGCTCGGTTGTTTTATCCAGCCCAGGACGTGTATGATTTAAAGACCTTGGACCCCTCGAATAGCGCATCAGACAAGCCTGCATAAGCGAAGGTCGCGCGGCTTATTATTAGCTAGACCGAGTCAGCCTTTAAGACCCATCGGTTAGTCTAACTACGGCCACGGACGTGTACGAATCATAATCTCCTTATAGATGTCGTCTTACTCGGCACTTTCTATCAGGATTGCTGGTGGCATGCCCATGGAGGTGACGGGGAGATTGATAGGGCAGAGCGAGATCCTTTCATAAGGAGGTATGGAACGCCCGGTCGGGTCAAGCGGAACCTACAATATTGGGGGGGGGGGGTTTCTATGACTTTAGAGTTGCCCAAGCACTCACGGTCTTGGCGGTACCAACTATCCAGCAGCCAACTATAAATCCCGTTAACGTTATCTGGGACTGTGATTGGTCCAGCAACAAGCGTAAATTTGCCATGTTGAGCAAGCAAGATCTGGATCGCCGCTAGCAACCAGTGAACCACCCGTACTTAGCTACTAGTAGCTAGCGAACCACAGATGTCATGCGGGGAACCACCAATGCTTGGACTGCTCTTGCCCAAGGAGCGCTGCAGGGCTGAATCTCACCGCGCTCCTTGAGACCTCCAGACATCAATGCAAAATTGCCGATAGGCTAGGGATGCTTCAAGGGTGATATTTTGTGTCCTACCGGTTCTTGATTTTCTCGATATCCTGGGGTTCTCCTCCGTATCGCTGACTCTTTGACTATGTCACTTTCAGCTACGGCTGACTCTTGTTCCAATGAGCAAAATGTAGATAGGTAGTGACTAGCTATATAAAGGCATAAGCACATCCCTCGTGGCACACCTGCAATTAGGACTTCTGGTAAACCTCAAATCCACTACCACAACTAATCAATTTGACCACCCATCCAGCCTCCTCGAAATGTCACTCCCCACCACCCCAACATTCATGACCTCTTACGTCACCGGATGGGAAGAAGCTCGCGTACACCCAGCACTAGCCTGGCTGGAAAAAATTACAAAAACCTTTGACACCCGCGAATCCTGGTCCCACCCCTGGTCTGACTGGCACACAGACGATTACACCTTCATCGCGCCCAACGGCACCGTCACGACCGGTGGGGAGCCAGCCGTCACAGCCACGCAAGACGATTATCGCCGTTTTACGGAGTTTATCCATGAGCCGGTTTGGGCTTGCGTGTACCAGGGAGACGATGGGGCGTGGCATATTGTTGCGGAGGCGGCGGTGTTTGCGAATCTGCCGGGAGAGAGCAGGGAGAAGAAGTTCAAGGATCGGGACGGGAAGATATGGGATGCGAAAGTTGGCGGGATGTTTCGGTTTGAGTATGTGAGTGTTGAGGGGGCGGTGCATGATGGTTTGAAGATGAGGAAGTTGACTTGTTTTTGTGATACGGCGCCGATGGCAGTGGAGATGTTGAAGAGGGGGTTGATGAAGCCGGAGGATTTGATGAAATAGGTTATTAGGGGTGGTCATTGGTTTTTCTTGTCTCCTCTTTTCTTTTTCTTTGAATGGCTTAATTACTCCGGTGGGATTAAAGGAGTGGCGCATGTCGAGGAAATAACATGTAGTAGCTTTTCGGAAGTCTTTCTGAGGGTTCATGGAATTTTTACGTTGGCACAGTACAAAATTCAATATGAAATGTCCCTTGATTGATTGTCTCCAGACTGCACACCTGATGCGAAAGGGATTGTTTGGGTTCTGATTTGTGTCATTGACCTCTAAAGGCCCAGCTAGCGCCAGGCCGTAGTGAAGTAGCTGCATAGATAGAAGCGAGTGCATGTTCAAAAGCCGAGATCACCGCGTTCGTCCAGCAGATACAGATCAAGGATGAAATAATAGCGCCCCAGATGAACACAACGCCTCGCCAATGATATAAGTCATGGCCAAGGGAAAGAAGAGAAATTCTCGCCTCACAGCCACCTTCTGGCGTCTGCTTCCTACGATGAGGCCCTCCGGCGCTGGTACCCGGCTACAGGAGCTTTTGATCCGGGGCAACGAATTCATCAATCGCCTAAAATTTGGCGGGAATGATTCATATCTCACTAACTTAGGTTCTTGTCAGATTTCAGACAACGTGCATAAAACCAGTGTGTGCACTGAGATCATAGTTCACAGGAAAAGTAGATCGTGCGATCTAATCATAGATCCAGGAATGTGGAAGAGAGACTAAACACGAGAGAGCGAAGAGCGGCAGTATTAGACAGAAAGGTTGAGCAGTGGCAGATCAACGCAGTACGGTCAGGTAGGCCTGTGACTCATGAATATGAAATATGTCAAACCTATCATATTTGAACTAGGAAAACAGGCAGCACCTATAACTCGAGGTACATAGCAGAATGTCACAAGGAAAGATCAAGAATATCCGAGATAATGAAGGGGGCATACGAGAGTGCTACGAAAGCCGTTACTTTTCCATAATGATACGATTGTCGCCGATCGGCATTAGCTGATATGCACTTTATTGCATGTGTACCCGATAGCTGATCGAGGGTGCATGTGCTTGGTGCGGGGAATATTACCCACACATGTTAACAGTTGTCTAAATATTCAATTGAGGCATGACAGCCAAACTTCTAATTCACATCATTTGGATCCGGAGATCCTTATGAAATAGAGCATTGGATATTATTAAAGGGCAAAAAGTACTATGGCTTCCTTTCGAGTCCCGGCCTTCTTGTTTCGCGATTGATAGCAATTTCCTAGCTGTAGGGCTCCCCTCAGGGCGGATCTCTTATCAGATTCACGTATAACGGGTTTGAATGAAGAGGAATCAAACTAGTCCAAGAGTCATAGCAAGTCTTTGACTAGTGTACAGCTTAGAAAAATGTCATTATTCTAAGATACGTACATGGGGTAACATGGGATAATGTGTAGAAGCTCCGAGATTCTGTGCTGGTACGTTTAGCAGTTGAAGCAAATCTATTATATATCCTGTCATGAGACTTCCGACTCCTCAATAAACAGTCTTCGAACAATCTGACTTGGTATCTTTCCCAAACCCGATTGAGAGGTAGACTTAGAGAGTGGGTCAGCGCGCTTATAGACGTGCTCCGGTGACGTCCCATGTTGACACCGAGATCTGTTTGCTAGGATATAAACCTCAGGAGTTTTTCACTTCCGTGAGCCGCATAAAGCACTTTTAAAAAGGGCGCATGGCTACACCCAGTGCAGAATAAAAGGAAGAGTCCTATGCCTTCTAAGGAATTTTGTCGTTTTTGAACATAGTTAGCTTCTCCACTTTGTTAATTCATGCCGAGCGCCAGTTTCCTAAAATGCCTCTTAATAACTAATCAAGTTATCCGAAGAATAATGTTTTCCTATTGCAAGGAGTTGTGAGACCCTCTATCTACATATCACCCCGAGGGTATCGTACCCGCCATTTGAACAAATTAGCCTGCTTATAGCCGGATGGCATGACGTCGGCATGCCGATCGGGGGCAGAAGGTGCGGGCCGGGAATTCCTTCATAGGCACTTTGGTTAAAATTTGCCGGTTGGAAAGAGCATCAGGCGTCAAGATGCCTCCTGCATTCCGCAAATGCCCGTTCGAATTCTGCGCGATAACTGGACAAACTTGCTTCGGATAAAACCGTGGTTAAAACCTGTCGTGCCTAGCCTGTGTTCAACCAGTAGAACCACATCCCATACCCACATCTAACCGGGTAAATCCAGCTTGGCCTTCGGTTAAAATTCTCACAGCTTCAACCGAACCGAAACTACTCATGAAGTCCGCCGACTGGCTCTCGTTCCTATCTTTCTCCACGGCTTCTCCCAATGACGCAGCAAAATTCCCCCGACCTTGCAATCCCTGGGATCCGCCTCCAGTCTTCCTCCGCATTCCCGGAGGCGATCCTTTCCGCAGATGGCGTAAAGCCCGGAGTGCCACCGGAGCTCAGGAGTGGTGCGATACATCGGCGCTAGGCTCTGTTCTCGCCTAGTTCCAGTCTGCTTGCAAGCCACCCGCAACTGGGCGCATCATCGCACTGACCCTTGGTAATGGACTCGCTCGAGTTATAAAAAGCCTGCGTGGACCACGAGGAACAAAAGCGGGAGTCATCAGAATTGTCGAGGTTTGCCATCATGTATCGAATCTCGAATATCTATGGTGTGTTTCTTCTAAGCAGAATCGACTCGATCAAGGGCCTGTGCTGATGCTGGAACAGTTCTCGCCGCGTTTGGCACCATCGGCGGTGCCCTCTTCGGTTTCGATGTGAGGTATGCAACAATCATTGTCACTTGCTCCAATGGTTAATCATGCCAGTGGATAATGCTTACAATCTCAATCAGTTCCATGAGTGCCTGGATTGGCGTTGATACATATACCGAGTTCTTCGACCACCCAGATTCGAATCTTCAAGGAGGGGTATGTTCTCACTGTCTGGGCTCGTCAAACTTGAAGGCTGACTTTGAGCTATTTCTTTCGAATATAGATTACTGCTTCCATGTCTGCGGGTTCTTTCGCCGGCTCTATCGCAGCAGGCTGGCTCTCAGATATCCTCGGCCGCCGTGGGGCACTGATGATTGCATCTTTGGTTTGGATAGTCGGAGCAATGTTTCAGTGCAGTGCCCAAAATGTCACACATCTGGTAGCCGGTCGCGTTGTTAGTGGCCTTGCTGTGGGAGTCACCTCATCACAGACATGCGTATACCTTTCGGAATTGGCGCCAGCTCGCATTCGCGGTCGTGTCGTCGGTATTCAACAGTGGGCTATTGAATGGGGTATCCTGATCATGTACCTTATTGCATATGGCTGTGCTGTTGGTGTCTCTGGACCTGCTGCGTTCCGAATCTGCTGGGGTATCCAGGCTGTGCCGGGTCTCATCTTGTTCATCGCGCTATTCTTCTTCCCTGAGTCGCCTCGCTGGCTGGCCGGAAAGGAGCGGTGGGAAGAGGCTCTGGAAACTCTGGCATTGATGCACGGCAATGGAAATCGCAATGACCCCGTTGTGCAAGTCGAGTTTGAAGAGGTTCAGGAGGCAGCCCGAATTGCCCACCAGGCTAAGGATGTCTCGTTCCTTGCTTTGTTCGGACCCCGGGTCTGGAAGCGCACTATGTGTGGAATGAGTGTCCAAATGTGGCAGCAGTTGCTTGGTGGTAACGTCGCCATGTACTACGTGGTCTATATCTTCGAGATGGCCGGCATGGTGAGTGATTCTTTCTTATCCACAGCTCCACCTTTTCTAACCAACACGTGCAGACTGGAAACACCACCCTATGGTCATCCGCCATTCAGTATGTGCTCTTCCTTGTCACGACAGGAGTCATGCTACCATACATCGATCGTGTGGGCCGTCGCAAGTTGCTTCTTATCGGCTCCGTTACTTGCATGGTGATCCACTTTGTCATCGCTGGTGTAATGGCCAGCAAGGGGCATCCCGTTCCAGATGTAAATGGCAACGCCAACCTCACATGGTCTATCAAAGGATCCTCCGGCATGGCAGTCATTGCATTCTCATACATATTTACTTCGGTCTATGGATTTACCTGGGTATGATCTCCACAATCCTCCGGAGATTCAGTGGGCAATCTTTTCTAACAAATACTCAATCACTTACAGGCTCCCACCGCATGGATCTACGCCTCAGAAGTCTTTCCTCTCAAGTACCGAGCAAAGGGTGTCGGTCTCTCCGCTTCAGCCAACTGGATCTTCAACTTTGCTCTGGCCTACTTCGTCGCTCCTGCATTCCATAACATCCAGTGGAAAACTTATATTATCTTCGGCGTGTTCTGTTTTGTGATGACTTTCCACGTCTTTTTCACGTACCCAGAGACTGCCGGTCGGTCTCTTGAGGATATTGATATGGTGTTTGACACGGATGTCAAGCCATGGCGGACAAACACCGTCCACGACAGATTTGGGGAGGAGATTCAGAAGCACAAGGAGACTGGCACTATGAAGGAAGGAACTGATGCTACCCATGAAGAGGTTGTCTAAGCCAGTTGTTGATATTTCGTTTGGACTGGCCCGGGAACTGGTTAGAATTTATGTCTATAGAATAAACTGTGTACAGAGATAGTGAACACCTAGGGGAAACAAGCAAGCCCACTTACAGTCCCTACAAGCTGTCCGAGCCTTTGTAATATTAGAATATTGAATTTTCTGCCAGCTTGGCAGCCTTGATACGGACCCCTTTTTGAATAGCATCTAACGTCCTCCGTTGAACCAAGCAGCAGTAACATCGCCCGCTAAATGGTCTTATGTAAACCAATAGGGCCATGTTCTCTATTCAGGTAGCAACTCAAAGATCAACTCCGACGGAGAAAAGATCGGAATCTATACCGCTGTGGCAGCTACAGACTCAAAGCGAGGGATCATCACTCCACGGATCTGATAAAAGCCTCAACAAGGCATTTTCAAGGCGTGGCAATGTTCATGCCACTTGATATCTTCGTCTTACAGAGTTACTATATTTTATAGAAAGAGGAATTTTCAGGTGACAATCACCATAGCAGTATATTAAGTTGTCACATGAAGCACAACATCAGTCTAACATGGGTATTGGACCGTGCTCAAACTACAAAAAGCCAAACATCAAAATAGTCATCAAAGAAAGTTATTTCGCAATACAGGCGCGGCAAATGGATTGTCACGACATGACCGGGTTCCCACTCTCGCGTAGAAAAGCGGGGTTTAATATACTTCTACCCTCGTAGACAGTGTACCAGAACTCGCGGCGGCTTATTTCTCATCACTTGAGTTGCCCGAGCTGTCCTTCTCGCCAATGTGCTCATGGTGGTTGTTTGTAGCGCGCTTGTTGGGGTTGCTAAGAACACTGGCACGACGAACGGCCTCGTCCTCGACATCATCCAGGGTGCGGAGCAGTTCACCGTTAGGACCGTACATGTGCGGCTCGCTGCGGGCGAGCGAGACACAGTCGAAGACGTTGGTGGTCTTGTGGAAAATGCGGTCCATCTCCTCCAGAGAACGCATGGTGGTCTCGGGGAAGAAGAAGTATACCACGGGGACGATGAAGGCGTTGCTGAGACGGGTCCGTTAGTAAAGAGTGACAAATAAAGATGGACTGGAGGGACTCACATAACGGCAAAGATGATATAAGTCTTGTAGCCAATGTTGGTGAACGCAACAGGGGTGATCATGACGACCATGAAGTTCCAGATCCAGTTGGATGAAGTGGAGAGAGCGTTGGCCGGGGCACGAATCTTCAGAGGCACAATCTCGGCTGGGTACAACCAAGTCATACCGAGCCAACCCACAGCGAAGAAAGTGTTGAAAACGAAGAGGAACACGGTCTGGGCAATACCGGCACGAGTACCCAGAGCAGTCTTGGGGTTGGCGGCGGAGATGCTATCAGTCACGGCCAAAACAGCCATGGACAGAGACATGCCGACAGCGCCAAAGATCATCAGAGTGCGGCGACCGAACTTTTCGACTGTGAACACAGCAACCCACGAGGCAGCAAAGTACTCGGTACCGTTGATGGCAGAGATAAGACGGGACAGAGTCGGGGTCAGGCCGACCTGGCCTTCGAGCAGGGTGGGAATGTAGTAAGTGATCAAGTTGATACCAGAGATCTGCTGGAACATTTGGTTGACATATGCCAGCATTGTACGGTGGAAGTGGCGGTCCTCGCCCATGGTGAACATGTCGCGGAATGAACCCTTAGCCATCTCTAGAACAGTCGCCTTGATAGCAGTGAACTCAGTGTCGAGGAAGACCTCGTCTGTGTCATCGCCCATCAGGCAGGCCAGAACCTCACGAGCCTCTTCCTCACGACCCTTCAGGATGAGCCAGCGGGGCGACTCGGGCAGGAACATGACAAATGCCAGGATAATAGCTGCGAAGAAGATCTGGAAAGCCAACGGGAAACGCCATGCGACTTCACTGGGATCGGCAAACATCAATCCAAAGTCAATCCAGTAACTGATGGTAATACCGCAAGTAATCATAGCACCTTCGATCATGACCATCTGACCACGACGATGAGACTTGCAGCATTCTGATTGCCATGTTGGGACGGTCGAAGTGTTGATACCATTGCCAAAGCCCGTGACGAGACGACCGATAATCAACTGAGCGAGATCGTACGAGGTACACTGCAGGAGAGCACCGATAACCATAATGAAAGAACCAATGAAGATTGCCTTGCGGCGACCGAGCATGTTACCAATCCAGATAGTGGGGATAGAGCCTGCGAAACAGCCCAAATTGTACGCTGCGACGGTAATACCCTGCCGCGTCGATTGGGCACTCTTCTCCGCGGATGTCCAGCCTGCTGTGTGGGCATCGGTGGTGTCGATTGAAGGGAAGTATTTTCGGAATGAGTCCAATGTCAAGAGGCCACCGGTGACACCTTGGTCGTATCCGAAAAGTAGGAAATCCATGCCGGCCAGGACGCCGATGGCGATTTGGAGGCGGGTGCCATTGAGGCCCAAGAATCGCCGAGCCATTTTGGGCGGAATATACGCAAAGAGTATACTGTAAATTCTATACTATACCGAGTATACTACACAAAGTGCAGTTGTAGTAGTATCCCTCCCAGTCTATAGCTCTTATCTATAGACTTCTCCTATCATGTGAATGAGGGGAGAGATAGAGAAGTGGAGGAGGCGGTGAATAAGGAGAGGAAAAAGAAATAATAATCCAAAGGAAGAGGAAGTAGCACTAAACTTCGATGGCGACGGGGAGGCGGCCAGATTTAAATCTAAAAACGACTTCAGTCATTCGGGGGCTGTGACCTCGTTTTGGTGGTTAGTGTTCAAAAAAGAATATAATATAATAATATTAATGTTCGAGTTTCAATCCGCTCAGGAATTCCTCTTCTCAGCGTTGCCGAGCCGCGACTTGAACCTCACTGAAGAAGAACATCAATGGTGATTCGAAAATGCGCCTGTAACTCGGATCCACCTGTTTTCTGTTCTTTCTCCGGGGTCATCTCCATCTCCAACTTCCAATTCCCCACCTCCACCTTTCAGGTCCAACATCGCCCAATGTCTGTTACTGTTTGGCTAGCACGGACATTGAACCTTCCATTCACGGCCCCGTCCTCCAAGCTATGGTTCAATAATGGGCCCATGGCTCAAACGATTTAGTACCAAAGCACATATTTATTCTCTTCATCGATTCACCTCGCAGCCCTTTGACAGCCCTCATGGCTCTCCGCAGGGGCGTCCAGACTGGATCTTCGGACCACGCGAGTTCAGCACGGCCCAATGAGATATCGTCCTCTCGAAAGGTCCATCGGCGTCAGGTTCGGCTTCGCCAGATGGAGTTAGCCCCTGGGACGCATCCATCCCCCCAGGTTCACCCGGTTCAGCAGCCTCCCCGCCGATCACTCCTCCTGTCAGGATGTGTGGTTGCCCGGGCCAAGTGGAGAACGATACAAGCCTCTCAGCCTCTTAGCTGGCTGGGCAAAAGCTTTGGTACTGTACGCAACCCTCCCCGAGACCGGTTTCTTTTCCCCTCACGCAAGCGTCAACTGGGTCCAGTGTTATTCACGATCTGGGGATTTTATGGGTGAAGGCAAAAAGTGCCCCGAATCCCCAGCATTTGCTCATCGTATGAATCACGCATCACGCGAGAACTCTCGATCCGGGACCGGGCGTCTGGGCGTCAATTTTCTTTGTTTCCCAGCATGATCGCATTTACAAAATCAATTTTTTTTCCTTTACGTGCCTTTTGGAAAGTTTGATGTTTATTTACTGCACAGAATCTGCGCAGCCGCAGCCGTGTGCCAGGCAGATCAAATTCTTCTTCCGGAAGCACAAAACAACCAAGGCCCTGGCCGCCAGTCTGGAAGAGACCAACAGCATGAGCTGGTACGACACCTGCGTAACCCAAAAGGCTCAGCCAAACCACTCAACTGTCCCCTCCCCTCCCCTCCTTAGTCGCGCCATCAGTGCGGACCTTACAACGAATCAGATACTATGATGCCCGAAATCCTACGACAACCCAGCACACTTTTGACCCGACCATCGGGAACCCCGGGAAGTGAATCGCAAAGCCGAAATTACTACAACCCGCGTCGGCTGCTTGGCGCTCAGACGCCGGATGCAAGTTAAGAAGTCCCAAGACTGTGAACAAGCCACTGACCAGGCCGGCAGCCTCGAAGGATCGCTTGTCCTTTTCTTGGGAGTTTCTTGGAAGCGCTTTGAAGACGTCTTAGGATTGCTTAGGAGGTCTTGGAATTGCTTGGATGTGTCTTAGTATTTGCTTGGTTGGACGTCCCTTGGATCCTACTCTTGGTTACTTTTGAATTGGTCGGCGGATATCTGCTCTGCTCGCACCAGTCCATGGGATGCGAATCGCGATGCAGGACAATGCAGAGACCCGCTTCAAAGCACACCAATCTCGGTACTAGGCCAGGCACTGGATTCACAGTGACATCGATATTGATAGGTCACCTTTAACAATGGATTCGATGGTGGCGGGCATAATTAGCCATTCTCCCAGTTTTGATTCGCCTCCCCCGCCCTGGCCTCAATAAACCATTGCAACCCTTGAAGGCAATAATAATTGTATCATGTCGGACAACTCATGGCCATCTATAAAACTCTTTCACGAGGGACAAAACTATGCAAATCTAAGAAACAACTTGGATACCTTTCAATCTATCGGCCGACCGCAATAATCACAGGCCTCCTGAAAGGGCCGCGCTAGCAACCTGCCCCTCGACCCACTTAAACCGGACGGCCCAACGACGACCGAGTCTGCCCGCGGAAGATATGCAACTGGCCAATCATTCTTCAACAAAAATTCCACAACAGGCCAACAATCATTGCAACCCATTCTGTTCTCACCTTTCAATCCAACCTAACATGTCATGGCTCTGCCCCTCTACTACCGCATCTCGGCCACCCCGCGATTGCGACCGAATCCTGGGGGATGGACTGTAGGACCTACCCAAAAAGGCAGTTCCGGGCTGGCACCATCGTCGATTTGGGGCATACCGACGAGAAAGAAGGGAAGATGACATTCAAGAACAGACGTTGCTTCTAATCTCCCATCACGTTTCACTCGTAGTCTCGTCCCCATCGCTCGCATGGCCTGACATAACGCCATAGCCCCGACAAAACCCCTTTCCCTAAACCCAATAATCTAAACCAATCAAATTGAACGAAGTTCATCCCTTTCCTCCAACTCTACGCCCTTTTCCAACACCTATCCCTCGCAAATTTCTAGAACAAGTTTTCCACAGCCCGTGACCCAGATGCCCTGGACTGGGTGAGCAGCGGCGCCACGAGGCGCCTCCCGCCCGCCACTGAGGTCATCCAGCATGACTCGCTAAACCCTGGCCCGCTCAAGGTTTGATCGGGGCAAGCGGGCAAGCCATGGCGTGCGGATCACGGCGAACTGGCCGCTTGGGAAGGGTAAGAATTTGGTCCGTGCTGTCAATATGGTACAGGGGCCAAATGAAACCGGTTCTATGTAGGGTTGATTTAAGGCCACCGAGGCAGAACACTTCCTGGAAGGGATGCGCGTGGCTATGGTCGTCGCGTTGGTTGTTTGGAGGTGATTGAGACGGAGCCTAACTATCTCCACAGAGAGCTTTCTGGCGGGAGATCTCATACACCGGCCATGTAAAACTACTCCGTTGCGGATGGAGTAGGTGTTGATACGAATAGGACTCATTTCATTTTCATTCGCCCTAAATCAATAACCTTTATATACATTTTTGTACACACTGTGATATTTTGATAGAACACATAGCAAGGAAAAATCCTTAGTCCCCCAGCCCCTGAATTTTGAATAAATCTAAACAAATTGCTTTTTGCGGCTTCAATAGCCGCAACAGTGGCTTGTTGCCGATCCATGATATATCCTCGTTTCACATCTCCAGGAGCCACACCACACGGTGGTGCAGGTGAGTTTTCTCGGGACGCCGAAGATGGTCGACTCGCATGCAACCAAACTAAAACTATTCTGCAGCCAAGAAGCACTCTGCGGATAGCCTTGACCGACTTCTCGAATTTTCCATATCGAGGACTCCCGCATGTGCAGATGTGAGATGAGAATCCCAAAGGCAAATAAAAGATTGCCAAGACAAAAACAGATCCCAAATTCTTTTTGACCCAATCCACAACACTTGATTGTACAACAGGTGTCTGGACTAATCTACTCAACATGATCCATGAATATTGAAGATTCCGTTTGTCTTCCAATATTTGTTTATCTAGGTCATGTATGAGATATGTGGTGGATCTGTAGGCCCCCCGAAGATGACCTCTATATATCGATCACCTCCCAGTACATTTACGATGCACGTAGTTATATAATTTTCGTTAGCTTTCTCAATCAGCTTGTGGCGACTGATTTATTCACCCAGTTCCTTCTTGATGAGGTATTCACCGCTGCCTCATCCAAATAAGCACCTCCGCTCGGTTAGCGGTGATGTCACAAGCATGAAGCGCGAGACCGCAACTTTTTACCTCCTCGCATTCTTCGGCAATGTTCAAACTAGGACGCCGGGAGCCCTTCATGATCTTTTCACGGTTTAAGTATGTTTCCGAGGGTCAGCAGAGCCTAACTCTTGTCTATAGATGAGTACAATGTGATTCTTTCTCCACCGACGGTAGTTACACGATTTTCGACCGTTTGTCACAATCCATCCGCCGGGACTGGCTCGCGCCGAAAACCTAGTAAAACTGAACTGGACTTAGAGTATACCAAGGTCGGTATACGATGGCAATCGTAGTACGAAGGTGTCACGTTCACCTGCTCGGTAGTTGAACTACATGTCGAGTTTGATGCAAACTCGAAAGTCAGATTACCGAGGGATTGGAATAGTCTGCTGAACTGGCCAGTGTTATACGAAAGCACCGAAAAAGCTCGCATCAGACCGATTATTTTGCTACTTCTAAATATATTCAACAGGGCAGTTACTTCCTTTAGATTGGAAGCCGAGGTTAGTCCTTGGCGGTTCCTACCGCTCCTTCTCGTAGGTCACCATGATGCATGACGCAATTAATCGCCTAGAAGAAAGTCTTGACGGATCCAAGTGCGTTAGATAAATCCCCGGCTCGGAAATGAACAAAGGCTAGCTAGGTAAAGTTTGATTCGGTGAAGAGCGTTCCCCGGAATGTAGGGAGACGCGCACAGAAGTACATCGACAACCCAAAATTTACCGAATTGCCAAATTACCCAGAGTGGTTGCCTTCCCCTATGACAGACTAGATGTATAGATCTTCTTTATCTCTTACGTAACTCTCGTAAGTCAAGTATTGGAAGATCTCCGAGGATTTGTGGGATTTATATCGTGTCGTGAAGGTCACGCTGTGATGGAGTCGGTGCATACCAAACAAGCGCGAAGGAATGTATGGCATACACGATGAACTTTCCCTAGTACAAAGCTCATAGCCCCTTCCTTGGCAAAATGGGGTTACAGCTACATAGTACAACGCTTGCTCGAAAGTACCTCTCGAAATTTCACTTCATTAACACTTCACCCTTCGGCCTTTTCGAATGTCCCAAGATACTTGATACCCAGAAATCTCAAGAGTCCAGAGATTGAGAAACCTTTCTGCCGAGTTGATGGCAGAGACCTTGAGAATACGAGACAGTCAGGATGATGGGTCAGTTGAAAGCCGTGACGACATCCCTCTCAAAGAATCCATAGATGATGAGGAACTTCATGAGAGGCAAGACTATCCGTCAACATTACAACTGATACCTATTCTGGTTGGCTTATGTCTTCAGTCAATATGTATCGCCTTGGTGAGTATTTCGCACTTCCATGAAAGTGAGATATCATGTTGCATCCTTGAAACACTAACTTGCTCGGCTTACGTAGGACAACACAATTCTATCCACCGCAATTCCGAAAATCACTGAGCAGTTTAACTCCTTGGAAGATCTTTCTTGGTATGCAAGCGCCTATCTTCTCACAACGTGCGCAGTCACTCTTCCCTTCGGCAGAATATATACATTCTATTCAACAAAATGGACATATATGATAGCCCTAGCGTTGTTTGAGATCGGTTCGTTAATATGTGCGGCAACACCAACATCAAAGGGGTTAATTCTGGGAAGGGCAATAGCCGGCATCGGATCTGGGGGAATGTCGCCCGGTGCTCTGCTTGTCCTGGCTAATAGCGTTCCACTACATCGCCGGGCACTCCATTTCGGGATCATAGGTAGCGCAAGCGGGATTGCGACTATTACGGGGCCAGTGTTGGGTGGATTATTGACTGATCGGGTTACCTGGCGATGGTGTTTCTGGCTGAACCTGCCGCTCGGTGCTGTCACGGCGCTCTTCATCGCCATGTTTTTCAAAGACCCAAGAAAACGGCCAAAAATCGGGCCCGAGCCTGGGCACCTGAACAAGATCAAACAGATGGATCCGCTTGGAATCGCTGCCTTCGTACCCGCTATAATATCGCTACTACTGACGCTTCAATGGGGAGGCACCAAGTACGACTGGACGAACCCGCGGATCATTGCCCTTTTCATTCTTTTCGCGGTATTCGGAACACTCTGGTGCTCTATACAACTCTGGAAGCAAGACGAAGCTACTGTCCCACCTCGTCTACTTAAGGATCGCGATGTACTAGGAGCCGTGATACATGCAATGTTTCTGGGAGGTTCCTTCTTTGTCTTTGGTTACTATGTAAGTGGTTTAGTTTACCTTGAAAGAAGCGCAAGTCATTCTCCCATACTTCCAACCACCCGTCCGGGAGAAGATGCCGATACGCATTAGTCGCTAACATAGAGCGATAGCTTCCAATATGGTTCCAAGCTATTCAGCAAGTTTCAGCCGCAGAGTCGGGAGTCAACAATCTCCCTATGGTCGTGACGATGATCGTGTGCTCTGCACTTGGGGGATTCCTTGTCAATCTCCTAGGGTACTACACGCCACTCATGTTACTTGGAAGTGCACTTCTCACTATTGGCTATGGTCTTTGCACGACATTTGAAGTGCATACAGACCGCAGTATTTGGGTTGGATACGAGGTCATCATTGGAGTGGGAGCGGGGGTCGGGTTCCAACAGTGCTACAATGCTCTTCAAACCGTCCTTCCAATGAAAGATATTCCCATCGGCATTGCTATTGTCACGTTCTCGCAGAGCCTCAGTGGTGCTCTTTTTATTTCCATTGCACAGAATGTCTTCCAGAACCGTTTGGTTGAGAACTTGGCTCACTATGCTCCGACGCTTGACCCCATGGTCATTATTCGGGGAGGTGCAGCGAATTTGGCAGATCGGGTCCCACTGAATCTCCGATCTGTACTTTTTGCGTATAACATTGCGGTCACTCAAACCATTTATGTGTCAGTGGGCACAGCCGCACTATCATTCCTTGGGGCAGGCCTTGTGGAATGGAAATCAATGCGAAAGCCACAGGGTTGTGAGGAGGTAAAGGACTCACCCTGATATCAAGGATCCGCGGAAGGCTATTTCATCCAGCGTTGAGCGTTTTATTTGTTAGTTATACCAATGAATCATCGAGAATGATCAGCATCATACTCTGTATGAAATTAGAGTGGCGTCAGAGAAATATACCACTCGGCAATGAAGACCAGATCTAGAGGTTTTCTCGCTAAAATGGTACATGTTCTGCATTATCATGGATAAACCATAATAGAGCCCCGAAGAGGAGGAATCCCTAGAAGTATACTCGCAAATCCCTTCTGAATGGTACTGCATTATCACATTATACAACATGATTCCGGGCGACCATTAGGTTGCCCCCAAGCAGCCTCGACGAGCTCTCCACCACATTCAGATCGAGTTGACCTGGCTCTCAGACGATGGCTATAAAAGGAAGCTCGAAGCCACATAACACGTTCGATCCAGTTGATCTCTTTGAAGTCTGTCGAATAGTCAGCCAGGAGAGCCTGGAGCTGTGCCAATTGTCGAGCGTCTTCAGCAGCAGAACAACCCACAACAAGGCACAGGGAGACATAAGCTGCTCCAAGTGGGCGATAGCGGCAAGCAGTCTCTGACTCGCGTATTATGTGATCGCAAAACGAAAATGCCTCTGTCACTAGGACATTGTTGTTGGGATCAAACGCCCGAAGAAGAGTGTTGAGAATAAGAGCAAGAGTGACGACTAGTGTATACCCCGCCTGATAACGACAATGTTCAAAGGTTTCTGGATCGGTGAATGAGGTAGATGTTAGGTCTGACCAACGAGCTAGATACTGGCGCATCCTTTCTGCGTCGTCTCGCATGGTAAGATAAACTACTGCAATCTCGGGAATATATGGATCCGGCCGTCGTATCCATTCTGGAAACTTAGCAAGGGTGCTTAGCGTGTTCGAGGACCTGGGCGGATTGGCATCTCGAGGGCGAGGTGTCACAGAAAACCTTCGTGTGACATCTTCCCACCATTGAGAATCCATTTGAATGCGGGGATTGACGACGGCTTCTAGGATCTGGGACCGTATTAGTTGAAGTTGAAATTGAAATTGAAGACGCGTCTGGTGAAACCTACCACGGGAACAGTCAATGTGACTATCATGTCTTTTTCAAAGCTGCTTTGACATTTGCGAAGGTCGGCGATCTTCAGAAGATGAGCAATTGCTTCACCGTGACTCTTTAACTTATCATCATATCTTCCAAGCCAGCTCTGTAATTGATCGGATCAGTTTTAGTGAACAAAGAAAGACGCGAGGAACGAAATGACGTACCTGGCAAATGGTAATCAGGTAAACAGCACAGAGGGTATTCGGTGACTGCGCTTCGACTGGGTCATTTAGAGACTCTCGAAGTGCCCGAAGCGAATTGCAATATTCCATGTAAGCGTCTGGCGAGAAGTTTTGGTGGCGAAAATATGGATAAGCCGTGACCACTGCCTTCACGGATGCGTCAAGAGCTACACTACTGCCTAGACGTCGGGGTATTTCTTTCAAAAACGCCCCATAGTAGGTTATATCATATCTGACGTCGGTAATAGTGAGAGTACAGGCGAAAGACATCGCTAGCTCGTTGCCGGGCATCTGGTTTGATATCCGAGGGCAATTGGCTAGAATCTTGGCTTGGGATACCACGGCTCGAGGCCGCTTTCGCTCTCCATGGGCCATCTTCATCTGCTCTAACTCCGCATTTTTAAACTTAAACCGCTGCTGGCCACTACCGATGCACATAATTTGCAGCCGGCGACACCTTGAACATGGTTTGAGTTCATCACACTAGTCTGTGTCTTAGCATACCCATTCATGCGCCCAGGGAGCAGTTTGTACCTTTTTCTTGACGCGGCGACAAGCATCGCATCCTTTGCTCGACGGGACACCAGGCATTTCTCTTGATATGAAGTGGCGCACCGTTTTACGTAAAGGGGTAATCGGGCCAGGCGACAACAATATCTGTTCGAGGTAACGGGACCCCCGCACTTTTAACGCTCCCCTCGCTTCTCAGAAATCGCGAAATTTGTCTATGTTGCTTGAAGGAATGTGGAACGGTAACAATAGCGGCTGCTCAGAACTATCACGAAACTGGCATAAGGCTTTCTGCCAGCTCCGAGGCCTTTTTAAGGCCAAGTGGGCTGAATTACCACAACGGCGAAGAGCAGCAGGCGTCTTGAGGGCTGAAGCTTGGCAAAAGGCGAAGGAACGTGCTGTCCAGAAGAAGTGCCAATCAAATGTCACCTTACATTTGGCACCAACAGCAAACCCCTGCATCCAATGAGATACCATCCAAAAGGATCCACCGGACGCACCATATAGCCCGATTCGGAACTGCTCAGCCTGGATCGTTTGAGGCCAAACGATTTATGCGCCCGGATGACTCTGCCAAGCCAGGCGTGGTGGCCTGCTCTCCCCCAACTCGCTACCTATATATATGCGCCGCTCATTCAAGCCGGCATGCCAGTTACCTATCAATCCACGTTAGATGTCGCTACATCGTTGGCGCCCAAAATGAACAACTTAGCTGCAGGTCAGACTTCGCCAGCAATCTCGCAAATTTAGGTAACATCTACTCCAATGACTTTAAACATCTCGCCTATCCAGGAATTTCGTCTGGCCTCCTGGTGAGTTAGGTCAGCTTATGCTACCATTTCTTTGCAGGACCTGCAATAGACCCGTATCAACAACTCGTTGAATATCAAAGGTGCTAAAAGTCAAAATTTATCTCTTAACATTGATTTTCCACAGGCCATGCTAGCTCTTGCTCTTGTTCATTATGTTCGTGGTTCATGTTCAAACCGTGGACTTCATCATTGGTCGTCTCAGAGCACTGAGAATATTCTTGCCGCCTGTCGCTTTATGTTTGAAGGCCTCCTCGATTTCGCCCAGTGATCGGCCCTTTGTCTCGTGCATAAAGACTGCACCTACCAAGGAAGTCAAGAGAGAGCAGCCACCAAAGAGGAAATATGCCCCAAAGCTGCTCTTGGCCAACAGAATAGGTGTCGTCAAAGCGACCAAGAAGTTGAAGAGCCAGTTGCTTGAATGGGCCAAGGTAGTGGCTGATGCCCGAGTTCGCTGAGGCTGGATCTCGGCACTATAAATCTTGACTGAGACTGCCCAGGTTAAGCTGTAGATGATTGCAAAGATATAAATGCAAACGATGACGACCCAGCGACCAGCACCGAAAGTTCCGTGGACGGTATTGCCAGCGTAGAGTCCGCCAATGAGGAACATGACAGCCCCAAGGCCCACACCTCCGTAGATAATGCTGTGCCTGCGACCCCAGCCATCTGCGTAGATCAATCCGGGAATGGTGGCAGCGAAAATCACGAGTGCTGAGACGCCGGATGCGAAGAAGCTTGCCTCTGAGGAGGTAAGACCTGCCTGCTGGAACAGCAATGGAGCATACTACAATAATCGTCAGTCGACTGAGTTGCAACACGACAAACAAGGATAAAGGGGAAATTGTGTTAACGCACATATAGCACACCGTCAATTCCACTCATCTGCTGCATGCCCATCAAGAACACAGCAAGAGCCGTACGAGTACGAACGTCCTTGGAGAAGATGTCAAGAAGCTTATGGACGGTATTTACTTTGACACTCGCGAAAGTTGGAACAGGAGTGACAACTTCTGTTGTCTCCGACTGGAGTTCGACTTTTTCACGCTCAGCCTGGCTCACTTCTAGGTTATCCCAAGTCTCAGCAGCCTCTTTGTGACGACCATGCAGTGTCAGCCACCGAGGCGATTCAGGTAGATAGAAGAAAGAGGTAGCACAAAGAATCATCGAAAGTGAGGATAGGAGAATGAATGGCGTCCTCCAGGACAGCGACGACTGGATAGTAGAGGATCCATAACAAGTGAAGAAGCCGACAACCAAGCCGAGCGTAATCAATAGCTGTGGCCCAGTAGTCAAAGGTCCTCTGGTGCTTGTTGGAGAAATTTCACAGATCAAGACCACCAGGTTACCCAAGAAAAGTCCTTCACCTAGGCCTTCTACCACTCTACCGGCGATAAACATTCCAAGACTAACTGCGCCTGCTTCGATCGCAGCTCCAACACCGAAGATGAAAACGCCAATACTAATGCCTCTTGGTCGTCCGAGTCTGTCTGCAAGGTAGCCCGCAAAAAATGAGGAGAACGCAGCAGGAATAAGAATCGACGAAACGATAAGACCATGAATGGTGGCATTCTGGCTGCCTCCAAACGACGCTTTGAAAATTTTCATATCGGTCACTGGACCGATAATGCCCGTATCCATGCCAAAAAGCAGTCCATTTACAGAGCATAAAATGCAAGCCCAGATATATTTCGGGGGCTTCTTCATATGTTCTGGGAGTAGATCCATTGTCGAGTTAAACACGATGCCGAGACGTCGATGAAAAGCTTTATCAGAGGGAATCTTGTTTCGCAGATCTCTAAACAAGTGCAGGATTTTGAATTGAAACAAGACAGATGATATGAAAAAGAAATCTGCAACTCCAGAAGATAAATAAAAATCCCCATGAATAGACAAATTTGTTCGCGAAACCGCCAAATTCCCCTCGCTCCCCCACGTGCCACATGCTCCCCCCACTGCTCCACTGCTCCACTAGATAACATGAAGCTTTCTAAGTGGCCGTTTGACTGTGGGTATGAAAGGATTTTTATCGCCCGACTGCGATCGAGAACCTTTTTCCCGCACCTCCGTCCCGAGAATTGTCTTTATATGTGGTGGATGGAGACGATAAAAAATGACAAAGCCGAGAGAATGGTCCAAGCTTTCGGGTAAACCCCACGATTAATTGACCCGACTCAGAATAGGCAACCTTACCGAGTGCTGATTATGTATTGCAAGGAGTGATCCACGGATATACATTCGCATTGGTGATATCAATCTTTGCGTAGCTAAACTTGAGGTTACAGAGCTACCCCAAAACCTCCATCTAGTATTCTTGCCCAGTGCCATGCATGTTGTGAGAAAAAGTGACGGCTCTCACAGGTTAAACTTCGGGTAAATTTACCAAATGTGTATAGCGCTTACAAATACCTAAGTAGGGTAGGCTTCCAAGCATCGGGTCATCTGAAAGTTCTCGCGGCCTCACCACATATCAGGATGGCTGGAAGTTGGGCCTGATAATCTCAATCAACAAGTGAGATCGACGGTATTCGAGTAAAGCTTGAAGATAACTGCGCGACATTCGCCAATAACTAAACGGGCGCGGGTAAATATCAATTTTGAGATCCCGCATCCTTCATAGTGGGTCTTTGCTCCTGTCGGATTTTTCTTCCATCTACGGAGTAAGCTCCCTGGAATCTTCGAAGGCAAGCTTTGAGAACTACGTAGCATGAATATCCAATAAATCGAAAACTATTACTGGCTTGCGCTTCAGAAGGAAGAAGACAACGACCCTCGGATCTTTAGGTGTGGGTGAGGAGACTGTCAGACGCTCCTAAAGCAGGATTAAAGCTAGACCTTGGCTTTGCATATTATTCTCGCCCCGGCGGCAAGTCTTTCCTAAAATAGAACAACCGCTGCCCTAATACCTGTGGATTTGAAGGCCGCAACCTCGGAGTGCCCACCCCCGCGCATTCTACAACTTTAAGACAATGCTGAACATTTCTCCAGGTGGATGATCCATTATATATTTAACCAAGTAAATACAGATACCCAAATATATCAACAATTTCGGGTAATCGACCTTCTCTGGATATAGTTACACAAAAGACAAGCCACAAGAGCAAAAGCTCATCACGGCATCGCCTAGAATGAGCGAAAAAGGTGCTGCAATAGGTTGAGACTTTGCGGCTAGACAGTCCACCCGGCAGAACCAATCGCTTCAACCCGAATTCCAAGTGATTCCATCTTGGGCACATCTATCACACATCGCCCATCAAAGAGCCATTTAGGGGATTGCATTTCCCCGGAGATTCTCCTCCAGTCTAGCTGTTTCTTCGGTGAGTTTTCGACATTATCAGCACTGGAATCTCCGTAACCAGTACCTGATTGGCAGTCTGGACAGTCGGCAGCACACTCCGGCTCGTCATTGAAGTGCTGCTTAGCGGACTCGTTGACCTCGGAAGGAGAGATCTTACTCTTTCCCTGTGAGTTGACACCGGAAGACGCGGCATTAGAGAGGAGAGGGAAGTTCAAAAACTCGTCAAATTCGGTGACGAGTAAAATGGCATTCGAGCCGGCACAAGCTGCGTATGCATCAGAGTAAACCTTGACAGACCCACCGTCGTCACTCAGAACAGGAGGCCCGTAATTCTGCAACGAGCGAATCTCATTTTCAATGACGACTGGATTACAGCAGGGATCAAAAATTGCGATTTCACGTGGGTTTTCGTCCAGCAGACTCTTGATGATCTCGAGAGCCGGTGCTTCTCGAGTATCCGAGGTGTTCTTCTTGAAGGCATACCCGAGTATGCAAATTTTTTTCGTGACAAGCGTACTGTTCAATCGCTTAATTACTCGAGAAGTGAAACGGTTGCGTTGATACTCGTTCATCTCGACAACTTGACGCCAATAATCACCAACCTCCTGCAGATTGAGGGACTCAGCAAGGTATACCAGACTCAGGACATCCTTCTTGAAGCAGGAGCCACCGAACCCAATGCCGGCACGGAGGAACTTGGAACCAAGTCGAGTATCAGCGCCGATTGCGGCCGAGACCTCATTGATCTCAGCACCGGTTGCCTCGCAGAGTGCAGAAATACTATTGATACTGCTTAGGCGTTGAGCAAGCATAGAGTTGGCGACTAGCTTAGCCAACTCTGATGACCATACGTTGGTCGTGATGATTCTCTTGCGGTCAATCCATGAGGCGTAAACTTTTGCAAGAGCTTCTGCAGCTGAAAGCCCTTCAGGGGTGGTTCCAGATCCAATAATGATGCGGTCTGGGCGAAGAAGATCTTGCACAGCTGTTCCTGCGGCCAAGAACTCGGGATTGGAAAGGATTTCAAAATGAGCACCTGGTCTTTGAATACGAATCTGTGTAAGGGAACGGCATGTTAATGCAAATTCGAGGGCAGCGGTGGACATATGGGAACAAAAAACAAGAGGTCAGGTTCTTGATGAGCGAGATCATACCATTTCTTGAATCATCTGTGCAGTCCTGCAGGGAACTGTGCTTTTCTCGACAATTATCGTGCCATCCCTTGCATGGCGCACAACCTCTGCGGCAACGGCTTCGAAGCTTGTCATATCAGTGGCACAACCTTTACCGGTACCACGCATCTTTGTCGGTGTGTTGACAGCAATCAAAACTGCATCTGCTTCACTGATGCAGCGAGATACATCTGCAGAAAAGAAGAGATTTGGCTTTCGCAAACCCTCTATTGCGCCCGAGCCCTGTACTCGAGAGACTTCTCCCAAGCCATCTCGTGCGATCCGAACAACCTCAGTAAGACCCGGCTCATAGATTGGAAGATGCCGAGAATTCCATCGTCGGATACGACGGTCGTCACGATCAACAACCGTCACCTTGATGGATGGGTTCTTGAGTGCAAGGACGGCAGCCGTTGGACCACCGACATATCCCGCTCCTACGCAGCAAATACTGCGAATAGTCTTGGAGTGGAATTTGTTCTCGATATCGCTATCGGCTTCCGATGTGGTTTTAGTTCCGTTGGATGCGCCATCATGCTCATCTGTGCTCTCGTCTAGTGCAGGACTGCATGACGCACTTCGATCAGGTGTTGTCGGCAAAGTCGAGACGCCTACCGTCTCGGAGTCGAAGACAGACTCCGTGGAGGGCATAGCTGACAAGACGGACGGGAAACGCTAGACACAGATAAATCGATATGAGAACGGAAACAAAAGAAGAGAAATATGATGTTTCAGGGGAAACTGTAAGTGTTCAATCTCAACTGGGGAAACAAGAGATTAGCCTCCACATTCTAGATACGGCGCATAGAGCGAGGAAGGCCTGCTTACACGCAAAGTTCGGTTGGATCGCCTTTAAAATGAATGTTGTAACACTTGGCCAGTGGGGATGGAGTTGCTATCAATCATAGCACTGATATTTTAATCATAGAAACCAAGCCACCAAGGGCAAGTTGTCCAATTGGGAAATCATAATCTCTGATCCCCGATATACCAAGGAATACAGACATCAATTCCGGTACATGTGCTGTATCCAATCTTAATTACATACCACTAGATCCATGATACGATACTGTCACTCCACCGTGTGGTAAATGATACGCATCGCTCTCGGTTCGAAGGGTATTTGCGCAGAAATTGTCAATATCGACCCCAAGGCGTCCCCACTTTTACTAAGAACCTGCTAAGCATTGCTAGGCGATTTGATTCAGTGAGATGTATTACACTCCTAGAAGGCATACGCGTCCTTCTTATGAGGGGTGAGAACTAAGCATAGAAGGGTATAACGCCATTGATGACAAACTTTTCGTGACCGGCCCTGCGAAACAATGCTTGCCAACCGAATTTCTGCACGCCGCAGACAAAAGCCTATTCTAGCCGACTCAAAGTAGTAATGATCACCGAGACCCTTCTTCGTACTCGTACTATTACGGTACCATCGATACATGCATTGTTTATGGAGCAGGGGTTTTGTTGAGAGGTTCGTGTTTTCGGCCTTGTAATTAATGTAATTCCCTGGCCAGATCTTCGCCGGGGTTGATCTATTCCTACTGCTTCGAGAATATCGGAACGCTCCGTAGTCCAGTAGATCGCGTTCACGGGTGAAAACCCTGTATCAAAGATCGACAACATCGTGGACTCCTTCTGTTTCCGTAACATCTACTTATTAGATCGAGTCTGCTGAATATTAATATTAAGACTCTTTTCTCCATCCCATGAATATGAGTTCACGCTAATAATGGCCTTTGGGCGACCACCAAAATGAGGGGGGGCCGCTGTAATGTTCTCGGCGCATCATGACCCCATCTTGGTACCAACCATCATACGGGCCTATTGGTCTTTCCCCTTGGCATAACGGAAAGCCAAGGGCTAACTAACACTAGACCTCTCTAGCCAAGACCCAGCGTGATAGTCCCTGCTGTGGTGCAACATAATCAAAGGAGAAAGGAGACATGTTTACGGGGATAAGGCTGAATACGGGCGGCGCTGATGCGACCGAGGAGAGCGGGATGTACGCAACATGATTGAATAAGTTCCGCTGCTTAGCCTCTTGGGAGGCCTAAACTGCCATGATGCCATCGCCTACGAGGCGTTAGCTGTGTTGTCCATTGGGCGAGACTGAATAATCATACAATTGACCGAGTCTTTCGTACACAAGGAGTTCAGTCTCCCGTAGCTGTACTTTGGTCCCAATTTTAGCCTGTTTAATAATTTAAAAGTGGACATCTGCTCGGTTCTTGGCTACAGTAGTACGGAGTACAATAACTTGGTCAGCCCTACATACATGACAAACCAGTCGCAGTAACTAAGTTAATTATGTACATAGTATGTAATAATGTATGGCTATATTGAATAACGGGTCTTTGCATCCTTCGCAACAATTTCCGAATGCAATAATGATTCACCAGCGGCTTTTAGGGATCCGTATTTAATTAGAAAGGTTGGCCGGTATCTCTCGAGACCGGGGAATTGTGGTCTCTTGAACAAGGAAATTATTTGTCTGCGATAACGAAGACCGTACTTTTTGTATTTATCTAACCCATCATGATTCATGACCCAAGACCCTGGCCCTGAGATTAGATCTATATTTACCCCACTGGCTCTCAGCAGTAACCCGGTTCACCCGGTATCGCCTATCATTGTGACAGACCTCGAAGTAAATAATAATAGACGTAAAGGCAGAGACTGATTTACCTACCATCATAGCTTTACTTTCTGCTTGGTTCTCGATATTGTGAAAAAGGATAGGCCTCTCAGTCCATTTAATCTTCCAAGGCACTGCCTCAGTAAAATGTCTCAGCCACCGGAGCCTACCATGGAGGGCCCGAGTGTAGTTCTTTCGCGTGGTTCATACAGTAGAGTCGTTTGCCAAGAATAGAAGGAGCAGCCTTGTACGGAGTACATCGCAGGGGTCCTCCTAGTCCCTTGGCCACTGTCTTGACCCATACCTAATATTGTTTTCGGTCCGCTCGTTTGCTCGCCTGCATGCGGAGTGGGGGCCGATCCGGCAGGGTCGGGAGTCTTCCTCTCCACCCAACACCCAACACCGTCTCTAAACGTAGCAGCCTGGCGGTACTCTTGGCATGAGAGCATCGACTGGGCGATGCGCTGTTCAGCGCTCAGATGGTTAGACAGCCAAGCAAACAATAAATGTATAATGTTACGGTAATACGAGATACATTGCGAAGGTTCGGGCGGGCAGCGGACCCTTGGCTACTAGGAAATCGACTGGTCGGGGTTATCGGGCTTACATCCGAGATAATCGTAAGCATTCGAGGGTCTAGGAAACCCGAACCTAGCTGGATGAAAAACGAGTCATGGGAGTGGGAAACGGAATGCTATTAATTATCTTCTATGTGAGAATATACTATTATGAAGAAGCCGCACGCTTCTTCGAATCCAACTCAACCTTGCTGAAGAATGCACATCCAGCAAGAACAAAGAAAATGCCCATCCCGTTAAGGAGATTGATAGCAAAATCTCCGAATACGATAATTCCAAGTGCTAGCGTGATGGCCTGTTTCAGATTTCCAGCCACCGTAATAGTAAGCGCACCAGCGATCTTGTTTGTTTGGAACGAGGCGATGTTCAACACAAGCGCAAGTAGTCCATTTCCGAGGATGAATGCAACGGTGCACATGGTACGAAGGACTGAACCATCGGCCGTGCGCTCAGACATGGCTTGAGATAGGACAGGCAATTCGCCTGCCACGATCGCAAATAAAAACGATTGAACCGCAGCGAGAGGCGCCATTCGAAAAAGAAGTTCCATGGAGGGAAGCTTTAGGGAACCGGTCATGAGGCGGTTTGTAGTGACGGTCTTAAAAAAGCAAAATCCTCTCGTTAGTAACCAGACGAAGTATAGGATAGGTAACATGCAGGGAACATGTGTGTGACATACCTTCACCGCTGCCAAAACCACGCCCGAAATCGTGACGATTAGGCCAAGCAAGGAGTAATGGTAATCCCCTGCAGTGCACATTCCAGCGCCCGCGACGATTGGGATCAATGATAGATAGGTGCCCGTCGCATACGTTCTTGAGAACCAGAGGCGATAGATCAAGACGGTAAATAGAGGTACAGTATTGCGAATAATTTGGAAGAAAGCGAGCGAAACAAGAGATCTTTCCAAGGAGCCAGCTGTTAGCTCTATACTTGACGAAGGATTTGACGGACTGTAGCTTCGGAAAGATACATACAGTGAGAGGTTCGACATGGCGATATTCATCGTAAATAGAAATGAAAATGCCACCAATATCATATGCTCTTTGCGACCCAACTTAGACAGTTTGAAGTATCCCATCTTCAACATAATGAATGTGCCGAGTGTGCTAAATGATGTGTGGAGGCAGGTCAAGAGCCAAGGTGTTTTGAACTATTCAACTGATTAGCTGTTGCGACGGTGGTAATCACCTATGAAATTCTTACCGATCCAAGAACCAATTTGTTGTATATCGTCAGCGCCATGCTGAAGCCGAAGTAGCATGTTAGCCATATGAATTTCACCGTTGTCGGTGTCTGATATTCTATTTCTGTGTTTTGGTTGATGATCGGTTCGTCTTTTCGGTTCGCTTCGAGATCGTCGAGATCGGTGATGGAAGCCGAATCATCCTCACTAGAAAGCAGAGCCAGCTCTGCTTCCTCTTGTTCTTCGCTTTTCCGGACCATCTTATCTGGACCCGGCGATGACCTGTGGCATAGAAAATTGGATGTTGGTAAAACGGCCAGCCAATTCCACCACTTCTGAAGACTGGCGGCACGCGGGGCAAAAAAGACTGTCATGTGGTAGGAATCCTGACAAGAAGAAGAGAAACCGCCTACGCAATTAAACCGACCGCTACCAAGCCTGAGCTAATTCCATTTGTGCGAGGGCCGATCGCTGCGGAGTAGTCGTATGTACGTACACCTTTGCATTAATCCTATGATTATTAGATACTTGATTCCCTGCCAGAGAAAAACCTCGAAATACATATTACACTGGTGGGGTGTTTTTTTATCGTATCTGTACGGAGTATCTCGTTTTCGCATACTCCGTACAGCGACAGGTCCGATTATTTGACCCACTTCAATAATACCACCGACGGCGACTTTGTCAAATGTAAGACACGACCATAAAGCGAGTCCAATCGTGGCTTTGCATTTGGGTGCCAGCAGTGGAATCTGAGGTGCCCAGCACGCCATCAGCCTCATTATTGGACAGACCCACGATGGACCCTTAACCAAGCGTATCCTCCTCTGCCACGGTACCCCCGTGGCGTCCGGGGGCGCCAGGTCTATCTCTCTTTGGTCGTCAATCATACGTCCAAAAAAAGGGGGAAGACCTGAAAGGCTTAGGAGGCATACGTAGACAGTCCGCCACAGAGGGGCCATCATCTGTACTGCGGCATCTCCCGCTTGCAGGCTGATTACCGGAAGGTTGCGGTCAGCACATTGATATGAGGCATGATCTCATAAATTACCCGCCTGGTGGATCTGGGATTTTTGGCTGAAAGTCTTGGCTGAGGGTCCAATTGCCGGTGCTTTCCTTTCCTTATCAAATATGGACAAGCTGTCGCGTACATGAATAACCAGTCAAAACTGAAATCCCTAATCTGTGGTCTAGAATTCTTCTGGAGAAGCGATACCCGGAACCCGACGATAGTTGGCACTGATTTCCCGCCCCCTGGCCCCCAGCGCTGTTGGGGCTCTTCCAGTGACGAAGACCTAGATACCGACACGACACAATGCAAATTTCAACATTGTCAAATCGGTTGAGTCGCTGGCAATGGGCGGGCCTGGCCAGCTTGTTCGTAATCGCTTTCATCACAATCATTCAATACCCGTTAGCAACGACTAGCACCGACCCGATTTCAGCATCGAAAAATGCCTACTCATTAACAGCATCCGGAGCCGTCTCTAAATTCCATCTACTTCTCCCGGCAAGCGGCTATCATTTTCGACTATGTCGCGCCGTCGCCTCCGCGATAGCTTTAGGCTATCCGGTTCCAGTGTTGAATGGCTGGATGAAAGAAGGCGACTTGGACGCGTCCAAGACTCATTTGGCCAAAGTTCGCACTGTCATGCAATACCTAGACAGTTTGCCCGCTTCTTCCGATGATGATCTCGTTCTTATGATTGATGCCTATGATGTCGTGTTTCAAATTCCACCCGATGTTCTCATCGAGCGTTATTTCGCCATAACCAAAGCTGCGAGTGCCAGACTCGCTTCGCGGTATGGGGTCAATTCCAGCGAGTCGCTCGCAGCAGACGATGCGCCCCGACAGACTATCTTGTTTGGCCCCGAAAAGGTCTGCTATCCTGTTGATTGGAGCCGTGTCGGTTGTTGGGCGGTTCCCCAAGATATCGGCATTCCTCGTGGAGCGTTTGGGCCAGATGATGGGCAGCTACAGCATAACCTGCCACGATGGCTCAACTCTGGCACCATCATGGGTCCAGCCAAGGACATGCGACTGATGTTTGCTGCCACGCTTGACCGAATTGTCAAGCACTATGACCCTAATCACGAATACAGTGACTCTGATCAGATGTACATAAGTGATGTCTGGGGCGTCCAAGAGTTTGCCCGCTCGATGAGAGAACTGCGACAATATTTCCACGGTGATATTAACCCGAATGCCGCTTTCCCAACCAATGAGGAAAAGGTTGTACCAAACCTCGAACCAGACCAGAGGACTGAATATCATATTGGCATCGATCACCGATCTGAACTTTTCCAAACGCGGGCCGGCTCGGACTATGTCCTGGAAATGCTCACATTCAACGAGACAACCGATGTAAATGGAACTACGACCTTTGCGACCGTCACTCAAAATATTGCCGAGTCTCCTAACTTCACCCCCTATGAGATATACCTACCATCCAACTTGGCTTCCTCGATCACTCGGATTCTCCGATTGGTCGAACCCGCCGTCGGCGTTGTACCAAACGTCACCGACATCGCCCTCGAAACGAACATCGTGACCAAGAACATCTACGGGATGTTCCATTCTACAGGGGGCAAGGATTGGATTGATCAATTGTGGACTAAGTTGTGGTTCTTTCCGTACGTCCGGCCCCTTTTCGAGGCCATGGTCCCGGCGTTGCAGGCTGGATGGCCCATTGCGGTCGCAGATGGCCGCACATGGGTCCCATCTCACACGCTCTCTGCGAATTCTTCCGTGATCCAAGGCATCAATGCCACCGGGGTTTGGAAAGACATTGATGATGGATGGCTGAGCTGGCAGGAGCTTTGTGGGGCATTCCATGCGGAGGTGTTTGATGGCTACACGCCCCCGATGGATGACTGATTATCTACTTGTATCAGATACCCTTTTGCATGTCCTGCTCAACAATTTCTCTGTATATATCGAATACTAATAATTAATCAATTTATAAGACAACATAGACTACCCATCACTCATGATCACTATCTCCTGATGAGACCAGCATATCTCAACAAGAAACCCCATATAATCCCGCCTCATCACGAGCGTTCTCCTTATCATGCAGCAGGCCATCTCGAGTCCCTCAACGAACTTATTTCGGATCCTGATCTTCGTGATTAATTGATTGCTTCTCCGCATTATGCGGTTAGACCATGTGAATATGGATTTTCGGTGAGTCACAAGATGGAACAATTGTGTCTTCACAACGCCGGCCCGGTATATTCCATTTTTCTCGGATGGAATCGGGGAAAGATCGGACTCAACAAGGTATCCAATAATTATAGTTCAAATATAGTTAAGACTCATTATTTTTGTTTTGGGCACGATTGTTGAGGTTATTATCGCGCTACTGTGTAGAATCCAGAACACCGGGACGGATCCCGATGCGATCCTCAACATAACATAACAGCATCAGCGGCAGTCTACATTCTGCAATGTAGGAACGAGAATCACCACACGAAAACTAAATGACTCAGTGCTCTTTTATAGGTCGAAGTTAATCACTCGTGAGAGATAAGAAAGAAGCCATTCCCCCGAAATTCATGAACATCAACCATATATCTCAGATCGAAAGTTATTGACTTGTTTACCGATACTGAATAACAAATAAAAACCTTCAATATCGTCGATTCATCCCAGATTATTCCAAGATGAACCCTCTTATACTCAGTCATATGCGCCCTTTACGCCATGCGGCCCTTCGTAGCGGCCGCATCATATCACCACAAGTTTTCATGGTCGCTAATCGGCACCATAATACCAACGCAAAACTAACTCATAAGTCCTCCTGGACTCACCCAATGTGAGTTCAAAATACCATTCATACACGATGATACTCCACCTTTAGCATACAGCTTCGCTAACAACCTCTTCCAAATTCTTCAGATATACCCGAGAAGAGATCCTTGCCGTCCGAACCGCCCATCACAAAGCCCACACATGGCAAGATAGAGTAGCCCTTGGATCAGTTCGGTTCCTACGATGGGGCATGGACTTGGTCACGGGTTATAAGTCACAGTCTGGCACTGGGTTGACGACAAAAGGCTACGCGATGTCTGAGGAGAAGTGGATCACTCGTTTCATCTTCCTGGAAAGTGTTGCAGGGGTCCCTGGAATGGCAGCCGGGATGCTCCGTCACCTCAAAAGTCTAAGGCAGATGAAGAGGGATCATGGATGGTGAGTTCCAGTGCTAGTACCCAGACATAGCATAAACTAACGAATCCAATCTAGGATCGAGACACTCCTCGAGGAGGCCTATAACGAGCGCATGCATCTGCTCACATTCCTCAAACTCGCCGAGCCAGGCCCCCTTATGCGACTCATGGTCCTCGGCGCACAATCCGTATTCTTCTCTGGCTTCTCCCTTGCCTACATGATCTCTCCACAAATCTGTCATCGATTCGTCGGATACCTTGAGGAGGAGGCTGTGATCACCTACTCCAAAGCAATTAATGATCTCGACAACGGTCACCTCCCGCAGTGGGAGAACTTGCAAGCACCGCAGATGGCTATCAAGTACTGGCAAATGCCAGAAGGCCAGCGGTGTATTCGATCGCTGCTGTTGTATGTACGCGCGGATGAGGCCAAGCATCGAGAGGTCAACCACACACTCGGGAACCTGAATCAGACTGATCCTAACCCGTTCTCGGCTAAGTTTAAGGTCCGCGATGCGCTGTCGCAGCTCGAAGTTGATGGAGCTAAGAAGCAGTTCTAAGAAAACAGAGCTGTTGGGCTTTTATCATTTTCTTTGTTGTTCACATTCTTTTAGAGGTTTTCCATACATAGAAAGATTTCGTCGCGGACTAATCAACAGATAATAATACAGATGCAAAATTTCATAGCGTTATTTCTCAAAGGATATGTCTACACTCGTACCCAATGCAACTGCGTCCTAGTAAAATGCAAGCTTCGGGTAAAAAGTCTGATCCGTCAACGTTGACTTAAACTCGCAGACTAGTAATTAATTCAAGTGTGGGAAGCGGATAGGGCCAGAGATCTGCAGGGGCCAAAGAAATTGAGACTAGTACCAGTATATTGGCCCCTAGCAAGATCTTGGCCCCGGAGCTGAATGGAAATGCTTGTACAGCTCTGTTTATCCCAGCAATTAGTTGTCAGGAGATCTGATCTTGACAGATCATTAAGAGCAGGTTTGGGGTTCCACAGGTGCATCACTTTGTTTTCTTTCCCTTGCATATTTACAAGATTACAGGCAGAACTTCAAGCAAGTATGTCTAGGAGCGATACCTGGGGGTATGTACAAGCTCCGTTGTAAGCAAGTTATGGCAGGCTGTAGCAAAAATAATTCTGGCTGCATGGTGCTATGATGATACCGGACCTTTCATGAAAATGGCCTGACTGGACTGAATCAGTATTTCTCATGTGGCCCAGAAAGACTATGTGACGTCAGTGTAAGATGATCCTGTGAAAATATTGATCAAGATTAAAGGAAGAAGGCGAATAACGAGTCAGAGTATGAAGAAGGTTCCTGAAGGCCTCAAGGAGGTAAATAATATCTAGACATGATGAAAGAAAGGGAAGGGGAGAAAAGAGCCAAAAAAAAAAAAGATGTGAGCGAAGATCGAACTCGGCGGAGTCAAATTCCCCCTTCCTGAATCGGTTTCAGCGAGAACCTTCAAGCGGACGTAACAGACAATTATAATTCCATTAGTCCACGCGTAGCGTCCGATCTTCACAAGAGGGGCTTTTCATCCCCCTATGAGTTTGCCGTGGGCACCCGTCCTGGTGCTCCAAAGGGGGAAAGTAGCAAACTTGTGATGCCATCTGGCTGATATCGGCCAGTTTCCTTCCTTTCCTGTCATCAGCCTAGCACCAAACTCCAAGCCTAAGACCCTTGTTAGCACAAAGACGTCCGTGAACGCATCGCCATGAGCCGAGACTCGGGATACTGGATCCGACTGCCACGTATTTGTTTTGATCCAGCGCATACATTCAGCATCGATGAAGCGTTTTGTTCCCTATTGATCGAAACCACACGAGCAACACGCTTGTCAAGCGGGCCACCCCCATTGCTGCATGAAAGGCACTCAGCACGCCGGAAGTCCTTATCAAAAGAACAGCGTCCCTCGGGGATTCTTGGAATTCAAAGCCGGACACTAAGCCGCAGCAGCTGGATCGAACAAAGTCTTATGCGCGAGGAGCGCCCACGAGCATTGAGATACCCTCGAGCGATTCTCGCACACTCCTCCGGACGTGAACGTCACAAGCAGTCCTCCAGAGGACGGTCTTCAGATTTCCAGACGTTCGCATCCTCGGCCACTTCGTCGATGGAGTGATTCTGGGCGTCGTGGTATTCCTCGCAGAGGTCATGTACCATCGGCTGAGCTCATTCCATCCGAGATGTCACTGTTCTCAGTTGCAGCAACTGTCTAGTGCTGGCATTCATTTGTTTTCTTAGATTCTCTCAAGGAGCCCTCATCCGGCGAAAATGCGTTCGGCCAGCGAGTCAACTCGAACGTGCCATCCATGCAAACGAGTGCAAGTGCTAGTCAGAACTGCCATCGGAGCATCTGGCCCTGCACGGAGGAGATTATCATGAGTGTTATTGGGCCCAGGGTTGTATCAAGAAATAGCATCATGAGCTAACTCACGGATGGACCTCCTAGTCCTCTACTCTTCTTCCCCTTTCCCCACAACGGGCGTTTGAGGGGATGCACCGCACAAGCTGGACTTGGAAAAGGTCGCCCATTGACCATTGACCTCGGGGATGTTGAAGTCCGGTCGCGTCGGGCCATCCATCGCCCAGGTATCTCCAATCCGGCGAGGTTCTCCCATGCAGCGAGTCAATCGAAGGGGGAACAGTGGACGAGGGAGATCGCGAGAGCGTTGTTGTGGAGAGAATTGGAGCGCTTTCTGTGGGGAACCATTTCACCAGCCACAATGAGGCGTTGGCTAGCATAGTTATCAGCCACAATTGGTGTCATCAAATGGCTCCGGACGATGGTCTTGCTTGTCATACAAGATGCATAGTATAGATTGATTCAATTTAAGCTAATTCATGTTTCATTGATAATCATTTTGACTACATCCTCCTCTTCATCCTGAGAACGACCAGCCACCAATGAACCCACGAAATTTTCCATTCAGCTAGAACCCCATCTCACCCTGGAGGCCTGAGGATTTGATACTAGCCATGGGGCAGCGATATTCTCCCTTCCTCGATTTCCCGAGTAGTCAGGCTCATCAAGTCACATGAGGCCATCACCGGCTGTGTTTCCTCCGCCGAGATTTTTCGTTGTTGAGCAACGATCATAATGCGGATGTAGGAATACAGTATTTCCAACGGAAAGCTTATTCAGCACGCGGCCAGAGTACACGGGGTAATGGAGAGAATGCAAGGCCACGGAAAATATTGTCATTGAGAAATTTATGAGTATTCACAGCCTTGTATGTAGTCCTTGGTCTTTTTAGATTTCGCTTTGATTTCGCTTTGATTTCGCATGCCGAGTCGCATGATAACTTTTCCCCTGGACATATTTTGCTTGTATTAATCCAGGCTGGTTTTCGCCAGGAAAAGCAGAACCAAAATGGCCTGCAGAAGCTATTTCACCCGAACTGATGGCGTACTCGGATCCCATGAGAAGTCTGGAATCAAGAGTCCGAATGAGGACTCCATAATAGCGACAAACAAACTAGCAGCGGGGACAAAAGGGTATCATCTTGCCTAGACATCCTCAAGTTTGACCCGGATATAGATTTCAAGAATATCTTGCGAGTCAGGTTTTCTGAAACGGGATAATACGGATGAGCATCCATGGCCATCCATGACAATTCTTCGCCAGAGTCATAAAATATTTTCTTCTTGAAAGAAACAGCATCCACTTCGCGACAGATTCCTCAAAACACAATCGAGAAAATGCTCCTGGTATTTCTCAGTTGTGTTTCCACAATGCCCGGAGAGACACCAACACGGCGGAGGATTGCTCAGATATGAAGGCCCCAGATTCCAGGAGAAGCGGTTTAGCATTGAAGAAAGGGCATGTTGCTCGTTGCATATTCTCTCCAAAAGATTATGGGCAAATAGGAGAATCGTATGGGTTTGGACCGGTCATTCGCGGTTTTTCCGGCTAACCGACAATTATAGCCAGCTATGTATGAACGGTCAAGGGGAAGGATTATAGCAGATATAGTGTCGCTAAGGTGCGAATTAATGTGGCCAGAAATCCCTTGTGTTCATTCGACCACGGGACATCTCGACAGCCAAAACCACATCCATAACCCAGCGTCTGCATAGGTCTCTTCATTCGCGGAAGTCTTCGCGGAAGTCTTCGCGGAAGTCGCGCGCAAGTTAAGCTTCTGTGTAGGCGGCTCGTACTAGCTTCCCGCAGAGTTGGGTACGCACAGGTCATATCGGGTACCGATGATTTCCATAGGCCTCTCAGCTCTCTAAACCCGATGCACATCGGTCATGCCAGGGACAGTGTCCACTGAGGATCGGTTAGTTAGCTGCGACAAGCAGAAACATGCTCAATCCTGGGAGTTGTAGGCATTTTATGTGGCCATGGTGACATTCTGGACTCGGCTGGGAGCGATTTGTAGCCTCCCGTTTGGTATCACGCCATAGTGAATGCTTCCAATAAAATTGTTGGTGTATGTAGGTCTTTTATAAATGGCGCGTGGAAGGCGTCAATCGTGAGAGTCTGAGTCAACTGACGGTAGCTCTGCGTCCTCTTCTTCGGCTTGGAAGGATGCGATACCAGCTTCAGTACATGGCCTCTCTGTATATAATAAGTAGACCGAAATTCTATCGAGCGAGAGATTTAGTATGATGAAAGTCCCCGGTCATGAGCATCTTGAGCCTGAGTTCCAAGAAGTTTCTTACCGCTTAAGAATCGTCATTGGCCACTTGGAAATGTATTTCAGTACTTCTCCAGGTTAGTCTCATATATTCCTTGGGTCTTTATGGCTTCAACAAGTGATTATAGAAACTCTACAACACGAGTTGTTCCAAGCGGGTAAGATAGAAAAGTTGATTCTTTTTGCAGCCGCTGGTTAGATATAAAGAGATTGACAAACGGGCAGTAAAAACCACCGAAACTACCACAATGGTCAATCGGAAGATACCTTCGAGTCATAAATAAAAGTTCAAGCACGTGCCCACTTATCTATTCGGTCAAGGGAATCAATTCAGCATGCAGGAGCGAGAGTAGACTACCTCGTGACTGCCCACGATCGATAGAATGTTTTGACGTTCAATCTCAACTTCTACACTCAGCTTCTGCGCTCAACTTCTACGCTTAACTTCTACAACGATTTCCCAAAAGTCGGCTGATTGAAAGTTTTTCATCATAATCATCATGTCCTCCTCGTCCTCCGATGGTGATGCTACTCCCAGAGCTCTGTCGCCCCAAGTGGGTTGATTCCTACTGTCCAGTTTGAAGCTGAAGCTAATTTCATGACAGCCCGAGATAGGATGCACTCATTCCGAGATTGCCGAGGCTGTCTACGAAGCCGTCAATGTGAGAGCTTCTCTTTAAACGATTTCCACAGCCCTCACTGACAGGATGAAAGCGTCAACTGGCCCGGGATGGAGGAAATGCGCCGGAGAGACTGGCCGCCACGGCTGCCGTTGCAGTCATTATTGAGGCTACTCGACCAGACTCGACCGCGGATACTCAATCCCGTAAGCTTATCTCGCCTCTGACCCGGTATTTCATAGAATGCTAATATACGCAGACACGGACGCCACTGCTGGAGGATCGGCCTCACCGCCAGCGCAGGCCGCCGTTGATGCCGGTCCCTTTGGCTCTCTTTCATATGAGTAGTGCCCTGACAAGATTGCCCATGCAAAGGAGATGGAGCTCCATTTTGATGAAACGATGTCCAAGGATGGAGACTTCCTGGAATCTCAGACTGTGCCTGGCGGTTACGAGCGCGAGACCTGACTCTGAACCCGGTTTCGCTTTAACTCTTAGCAGCCTACAGCTATCATTTCTGGCTCACAATACCAACCCCTAGTGTATGAATTAGCTAGTCATACTATTACAGAGGAGTCTTCATTCTTGCTTGAAGTCTTGTTCAGAGTCTTGTCTTCGTAGCTCGCCTCGTGCCAGTTCATGATCCTATGCCCATCAAAGAAATCCTATGTATTAAGATGGTATGAATGAACATCGCGCCCATTCATGCATCTTCTACCTGGCGCTTGTGGGTTGATTAAATAGCAGCGATGTGATCTATGAGCACTAGTTCAATCTATAATTGAGGTCCACGCATCACTTGATAGCCATATTGACTAGATCTCCTTATAGCCATCTCTTGAATCTTATGATGGGCAGGACACTACAAAATGTATGGCAGGTCCTCGCTGCCTCGAGATCGCGGCATCAGCGTCAAGCAATTGAGAACTAGTCGTTGCCTGACATGCTCAATCGATTTCTCATACTTCTCCCAACATCCAGAAACCTCATCTTGCTACGCAACCCTCCCTTCAGTCCCATCATCACCGCCCTTCATCACGCTCCCGAACGAACCCACAACCACCATGTCCTCAAACAACGGACACAAAGAAGTGAGCCAGGGTACCGTCACTCGGTATCAGCAGACCCTGGAGACCATCTACGAGACCAGCGAAGAAGTGAGTATCTCACAAGTACCTCTTTTGTGAGCCTCGCAAGCTTCAGTTGTCATTGGTTTAACATCCCTTCAAGATTCCCAGATGCCCCCAACTCACCAGGTTCTCTCGGCGAAACCGTTGATGCGAAGTCGCATCCCTCGCGCTCAGCGCAAACCTCCACAGCGCGAGGTTTTTATGAGCGAAGAAGCAATGGGTAAGTACTCTATTGTCTATACAATGATACCACTTGACTTATGATCTTGATTCTTACAGTTCGCCGGGCCATCCTGGCCGAGTTGGAGGAAATAGACAAGCACTGGGAGAACCTGGCGAAGCTATACGCCACACTCCTTGAGTTGATGAGGAAGAAGAGGACACGGGGCTAAAGCTTTAAGTGTTGGGTGCTCTCTTTTCGTGGGCCAGGAGCATACTGCAATGTGCAGTTCAATGCTTGCTGGTTCCTTTGTTGTTCATGTCTTAGCCATAGGTGCTCATCTACAGCCAGAGCATCTTCGTCTCTCTCATAATTCATAATTCTCTCTCTTCTCTCATCTTCGAGATGCGATTATAGATGGCTGGTAAGAATTAAAGGTCCTTGAAGCGTTTAGATACTATCACTTTAGAATCAGCGTCCACGAGGCTCTCATGAAGCTCCCATGATCACAAATTTTCGGAATGAGTTCATGCACTCTGTGTTATGTCCTGCGTGACACTTAACCCGCTTGGTGTACAGATCGATCCACAAATTTCATTCATAATGCGGTGTTAAACTACCACATCTAATTCTATGGCTGCCTAATTATGAATAGGTGATATTACTTGTTCGGCCCAGTCATGATAGGAGAAATTCGCCCTTCTCAGGAAAACAACAAAAACCGTCAAACAGAAGAAATCGATAAATGGCGAAAAAAAGGAAAAATTGACCTAGAAATGTTAAGAAGTTTCTGTGTTAGAATACCAGCTCAGCGCAAAATTGTCTATGATGCCAGATGGGATAATAAATCAGGCAAGTATGGATCTTTCGCCAACTATCAACACCCCTCGCTAGATAACCTTGTAATTGCTCTCCTCCATGATTCTGGTCTGTAAATTGCTGTTGGCTTTCCATCAAGTCATCAGCTCCAGTATCAGGCAGACAGTACTGCTATTTTATGGTGACAGAGCCCCGTCAGCTACTCAGCGCTCGAAGCATTTGTTGATGTGTAACAGTATGGCTTCTAGACCGGCCGCCCAACATCAAACAATCATCTCAACCTTTTTTTCTTATGTACCTATATACTGGGTAATAGGCATCGATATCACCATTAGCTTGAGTGGTGCTACCCGGAAGTCTCATGGATACGTAATACTGTGGTTCCCTCATGGCATCAATCGATAACATTCCTCGGGGGAGGTCGGCCCCTACCACTGGGAATTCCTGGGAAGCGCGATATTTAGTCCGCCATCGGCCACGCCGCATTCCAGAAGGTAGCGAAAGTTTGGAATTCCGATAAACAATCTAATATGTTTGCATACGGTGCCAGGGTGGGATGAACTGAGAACGTGAACGTGGTGAGATGCTATTCAGCAACTGGAGCTTCTGACATTTTGTAAACCTGAAATTCTTTTCAAAGGGAGATCAAAAGGGATGCAATGCTTTTGGGATCTATTTGGCTTCTCTTCTAGCCTTCAAGCAGCCCTGTGAAGCTCCCTTTCTTCGTAGACCCCTCCACGGATTGATTCAGAACATAGCCACAAGCTCTAGTCTTGCCTTACATGGTGGATTTCTTATTTCGATAACCAGAAATGACTGTGAACAGGCAGAAATACGCAATTGCTAAAGTTTCTGATACATTTGTGATCTCAAGATCCCATCCTGTTCCCCACATTTGCCTGCGAAGTCATCGCCGTTGACTCTGCAGGTAAACACTCAAACTAATGACATAGTGTCTTGGGCAAGAGTGCTAAATACTTTTCATCTGATTACGAATCTATCTACCAACAAACAACACTTTGTTGTAGCATAAGGTTATCCTATATCGATTATAGACGGATAAACTGGTTGGTCGATATCCAAAATCACGTGAGCCTGGCGAAAATATATTCCCGCATCACAAGCTTGCAAACCACATACAGTATGCCCAGACGAGGCCATTTCGCAAACCGAAGTCTGATCTATTCAAAGTCGGACTATCTGACTGGAATACGATGTTAAGGTTACGTTGATAGAATGAGAAGGAAAACGCCGAATCCTACCCCGTACAAATCGCCCCAAAGGCGCCAAATCCTGCTCTACCTAGATCCAGACCCCAAAATAACCCAGAATCCTTGGGGCCATGTCATAGTTAATCCACAAAGGTCAATTGTTTAATCCTACCCCATGAATCCTATAACTTTCCACACACGACATTATCCTCGGTTGTGTTAGAATCCAAGTTGAACATGTGTACGAGAGTTTGATATCCCGCACTGCCAGCAGACCCTTTCGCGATCCACTTGCCACATATACAGGAAGTGTTTTTCGTAGTAAAATGCCAGAAATCCATAGTTCAACTGCTCATCAAGCACATTAAGGTTGACAGGCACGCCGCTGATGAAGAAAAGTATAGTCAATGCGCATCAATGTTGTCAACGGCGTCTTATTGCTAGCGCGCTGCACACGGACCACGAGGCGATGGTACTGTTGGCATCAAACGCACGAGGCATCATGAACTTGGCGGTGGAAGAAGCCTGATGACGATGATCAGTATGTCTCCTGTTGAGCATGCAGATCTTCAGGTCCAAGAGGGTCGATCGCTTGAGGCCTGGGTGGCTTTATTCTGAACGGCTTCACGAGGAAGAAATGACGTACATTTCTACTGTGGCCAGGCTAGGAGGTCCGACCGATCGCGAGTCAGACTGGAGCTAACAACCCTACTGTCGCCGAGAAGGTCGTCTAGAACGCGATTTGAGTGTCCTTGACTGACGCGACATTGCCAGTCGTGTCCGTGCGACCGAGAAAAAAACAATATTAAAAATGATGCTTTACTTTTCTCGATTGCAAATCGATAGATAAGGATACAAAGCAACGTCAGATTCATGTGTATATTATTGATTACACAAAGAAGCAAATCGAATGTGGTACCTGCGGGATGCATCGGCAAGGCAAGCCCAACTGCACTCGCATGAGTTGCGTCTGATAGCCCTGCATAAGCCACTAATTATGCCATCGCAAGGGATAGCTTCCACTCCTGGTGTGCTGAGAACCTCGACATCAACATAGGAAATCTCGTCTTAATTTTGATCAATGCCAATATCTTTCCGTCTCAAGTTGAGACACCATATTAGGCGAAGCATATGCATCGATGCTGCTTGTTTATACTACAAGGGTAGGTGCCGGGTGGGTCTACGATGGAGGCGGCGTTGGGGGTGCATTCTTGGGGCGGCTGAGTGGGAGATTTTTCCGCCTAGTTCGTGCTCGCTTGAGTATATGGAGGAAATTGCTTCATCTTGGGAGTTCCTAGATGATCTCTACGGGGTACTCCATATCAATTTCCGCTCTGTTGCGACCGTGGTATTTCAAGCCTTTTTAAACTTTCTTCCTGACCATCGGTGGCTATGGGGCAAAATCCAAAAATTGCTTCCGTTCAAGTGACCAAGTTCATGATGAGTACTCCGTAGAAGAACTATCACAGCCGCAAAAGTCAGTGGCGCCGTGGGTTCACAACTTTGCAAGGTCCGTTCTTTAGGCCAGACGCACGAGCAAGAAAATTTTCAAGTGGCGTGGTTTTGGTTATTAACATTTCCACTTGGTCATTCAGGAAGCCTCCCCTTTCTTCCCCTCGCTGATTAACGGAGCCCCCCTTTTCCCGAGTTGTCAGCTTGTTAGGTCAGATTTTGGTCTTCTTTCCAAAATTAGCTAGCTAGCTAGCTACGAGCAAAAACATGTCGTACATACAGATCTCTCCTACATGACGCCATTCACGGGCTCTGGAAGTGAAACGAAATAAGGATGAGCAGAGTCCACCTGGTTGGACATCACGAGCAGCTTCTCGGGGAATAGAAGAGCCAATCAGCGAAGGGGCAATGGACGGAGAACGGCGAAGAAAAGCATCCTATCATCCTATGTCTTACTTTTTACCACTACGCTAGCGCGCCACGGGCGGAGGCGAAGGGCCCAACGTTAGCCGATCAATTGAGCTTTCCGGGGAAGTAGACAGGACAGGGACCGCAAGAAAGAATGACCATTCATGTGAGTGGAAGATGACGCATAGATCATGGGAAAGAGGATGAGTTACGATAATTGACCAATATAGCGTAATCTACGCCGAGTCAGGTCTTGTTCCTGGCTGGCGAAAAGCAACGCTCGAGATTGGCTCTCTCGATTGCCATCCCGGTCCAGATGAACCAACATAGATAAGATCGGCGCAGAGTCGCACAGGTCGATTGGAAGCTATCTCCACCACGTATTCGTTATATCCAATCACCATCCCCAGGCCGCCACCAAAGCCCCGCAGAACAAGCCCCGAGGGTCGGGCTGTCCGGGGTAGGAGTCATTACCGTTTTGGGGGTTTGGCCGAACCCCCCCATTTCCAAGTCTGCCTAAGCCTCTTAACTCTGCCCGGTTCTGTTAGCAACTTTACCAATTTGTAGCCGATGTGGAGTTCATCCCCGCCTTGTTGGGGTTAGTCTATCAACTAGTGCCTAAAAAGCCCGCAGATTTAGTGGACCGCCGCAACCCCATGGGCAAAAGAGTTCCCCTCCCGTAAATTGGAAATTCAATTAACTGGGCCTTCGAAAATTAAGAACATGTGAAGAGGTTCGCGCCTCCTTTAATCTGAGTGGATAGAGCTTTGAAGAGCCCTGCATTGTGCCGAGGGAGCCCAGTGTAGAATGTCAATGCTGTCGATTTTGCCCGCTCTCGAGCCCCAGGGACTCCGTCAATTCGACGAGATCTCTTCTCTTGCATGGAAAAGGAGACTAGCGGGTCTAAATGATTGTGATCACGGAACCTACTTGCCTTTTCTCCCCTCCCATCACATGGGTGGCCCATGGCCCATCTCGGTCCCCATACCTCGGTGTCGATCCACCCACCGGTACGTGCCATAGTCCGAGGAAAGCTCCTCCTTAGTGCGTGGGTGGGCCGAGTGGAGGATTATGTCCTAAAAGGATACCCCGGATGGTCGATCACCATCCAGCTCCCCAAATGACCAAAATAAAGACCTGGCGCGACCCCGGGGTAAAAACGAGTCTTGTTCCCCAGGCTCTCTCCTCTTTTTATCTCTCGCGGCTCTTCTCCCTTTCAGTCCTCTGAAAGCCGACAATAATAAAGAAGAGAGACGAAGCCCAATTCCGACTAGTGGGGGAAACTAATAAACCGACAATATGCGTTTCGTTCCAGTCTTCGCGACTGCATTGCTCGCCGCGTCTAATATCGTGGGAGCTTCGCCTGCAGTCGCCTCGTCAAGCGCTGCAGCTGCAGCTGCTGATACTACTGCCCCTGCCGCTGCGGCAGACACAGCATCCAGCGCTGCCCCTACAGCCAATGTCAATGCAGTCAATCAACCTGCCGATACTACTCAGGCTGCTGCTGCCACCACACAAGCCGCCACTACCGCAGCTGCCAACAACAATGAGCAGACCAACAATGCTGCTTCTGCCAACAGTGCCTCGGCGAATACTGTTGCCGACATTGTAAACAGCATTGTTGGAAACTCGGCCGGTTCTTCTGCCACTGCTGCTGGCACGACCGCCTCCGCTGCAGAGACCGCCGCTTCTACTGCTTCTAGCAGCAAGTCCGGTTCTACTGCTTCTTCCTCGAGCTCGTCTTCCGATCTCGAGACTAAGATCAACAGTCTCCTGGGAGACTTGACCGGTAGCAGCAGCAGCTCTAGCCTCACTGGTATCTTCGGCGAGCTCGGCGATCTCCTCAAGGGTATTACTGGTCTTCTCAACCCCAGCCTGCTCTCCGAGATTGAGGATACTTTCAAGTATCTGTCTACTTCGCTGGCTCCTCCCGTCGACACCAACATTCGTGTTCTTCTTTCCGACGCCAACACCCAGGCCATTGCCAACTTGCTCACCAATGCCAACACCCTGCTCAGCAAGAAGAACACCGATACTCTGAGCAACATTCTGTCCAAGGCTGACACTCTTCTGAGTGACAACAACCTGAACAACCTCCAGAAGTTGCTCAACAACATCGACAAGGTCAATGATCTCGTTGTTAACGCCGATTCGTTGCTCTCTAAGAACAACATTGACGCCATTGAGAACCTTGTCTCCAACGGCAACTCCTTGCTCACCAAGGACTTTGTTACTAAGACCAACGGCCTTATCAATGCGGCTTCTGATCTCCTCACGACCGAGGTCACCAAGGCCCTCAAGACTCTGCTCAATGCCGTAACGGGACTTCTCCCACAACTACAGTCCTTCCTCACTAAGGAAACCTTTGATGCTCTCACGAATCTCCTCACCAACGGTAACTCTCTTCTCACAAAGGACTTTGTGACCGAGACCCAAGGACTCGTAAAGGGGGCGTCCGCTCTTCTCACGACTGAGGTTACCAATGCTCTCAAGACTCTACTCAGTGCTGTGACCGCTCTTCTTCCTGAGCTAGCAGGATTCCTTACCAAGGACACCTTTGATGCTCTCAAGAACCTCCTTACGAACGGCAATGCTCTTCTCACGAAGTCCTTTATCGATAAGACTAACAGTTTGATCGATGGTGCTTCCAGCCTGTTGACTACGGATGTGTCCAACGCTCTCAAGACTCTTCTCAACGCCATAGTTCCACTACTCCCTGAATTAAAGGGATTCCTCACCAAGGATACCTTTGACGCTCTCACGAATCTCCTCACCAACGGTAACTCTCTTCTCACAAAGGACTTTGTGACCGAGACCCAAGGGCTCGTAAAGGGGGCGTCCGCTCTCCTCACGACTGAGGTTACCAATGCTCTCAAGACTCTTCTCAACGCCATAGTTCCACTACTCCCTGAACTAAAGGGATTCCTCACCAAGGATACCTTTGACGCTCTCACGAATCTGCTCAGCAACGGTAACTCTCTTCTCACAAAGGACTTTGTGACCGAGACCCAAGGACTCGTAAAGGGGGCGTCCGCTCTTCTCACGACTGAGGTTACCAATGCTCTCAAGACTCTGCTCACTGCTGTGACCGCCCTTCTTCCTGAGCTTGCAGGATTCCTCACCAAGTCTACTTTCGATGAGCTCTCGAACCTGTTGGCCAGCGGTAGCGATTTGTTGACTCCAGAATTTGCAAATGCTACGAAGAGTTTGGTCAATAACGCCGATGATCTCTTGACTCCTGACCTTGTCAGCGGCCTCAAGGGCATTCTGAGTGAGGTAACACCGTTGTTGCCTTCTATTAAGAGTCTCCTCACCAAATCCACCATCGATGCCATTGGTTCTCTCCTCACGAACGCCAATGCCCTTCTCACTCCTGACAGCATCAAGGAGATCAACTCTCTTCTGACCAATGCCAACGACCTGTTGACTCCTGCCTTTGTCAACAGCACCGACGAGCTTGTGACTGGTGCTCATGATCTGCTTTCGCCATACGTTCTGGGCGGTCTGTCTGAATTGCTGGATGGCCTCATTCCGGTTGTTCCAACTATCAAGCGTGACTTCTTGAATGATACCACTCTCAACAACTTGACTTACCTCCTTGGCAACGGCACTGAGCTCCTGACGCCTAAGTTCGTCGATGGAACTAGCACCTTGATCAGTGACGTTGGCGATCTGCTGACTCCTGACATGGTCAAGTACCTGAAGGAGATTCTGACTGAGGTGGATCAATCGATGCCTGAGATCAAATCACTGGTCGCTCCTGACTCGATCAAGAAGATTTCTGGCCTGTTGACGAACGCTGAGGATCTTTTGTCCGAAAAATTCGTCAACCAGACTACTACACTCATCAATGACGTCTCGGGTCTTTTCCCGCTTCTTGAGGGCATCCTGAACTCGCTGTAAGTCAGTCTTAATTGACCGATTGACGGCGTTTGGGTTTTATATGACTTTCATGTGTACATTCAATGATCGAAGGATATACGACCTGAGATATGAATAAATGCGTTTAATGATATGACATTTTATTATTTTCAACACTTGATTACCTCCATGATTTAGATTTGCTTTCTTCTGTAGATTGATCAGTAAATTCCTGGTCTGTAGATTGGTGCATGTAGTACGAATTGTCGATTTAGGGTTATGCCACGTGCGGCGGGACCCAACAGGAGAACAACCCTGGGCCTGGACCCGGACGGAGTTAAGCATCTTCCAACCTCGGCAGGTACTCCTCCCACATCTGAGCTTGACTATTTTTGAATTGAAATAATTGTGGTAGATTATTGGAAATGGAGTTCATTTCATTTCAGAAATCACCAGGTCCAGCAATACTGAGCTCTGATCTTGCGGGCCTTCCAGGCGGCAGGGGCATCCCGGTCAGGATGAGCGCTCGGGCAGGTGTGCCATAGCATGATCTCACAATCATTACCCCACTCGAACTTGAAATGAAAGCTGGAAATCATCGCTGTTATTACGTCTTGGCAAATGAGGATCACCATTTCACACAGCCTGTTCAATACTCCGAGTAGCCGTTATTGTATGTCAGTCTTTTTAAGGTTGCGGGGAACCTTGTGCTGACCACCGAGTCAGCACCAAGCGGGGAAGTCATAAGAAAGCTCGAGGAACGTGACGCCGCTCGGCATGTTTCACCGCGGCTCATTATCCCAAGTACATCATCCACTTCGCAGCGGCATCGTGCCTCAATTTCCCACAGTCCGTGCGGATTTGCCCTCCAATCGTTTGCCTGCTTCTACTGCAAATGGTTGGGAATGCTTGGCTTATCTCGCCATGTCTGTATCCTTCCTTATCCGGGATGCCTTCCTGGGAGACAGTCTATGAATAGAGTGTATCGATCGTGCGGTGCCAATGACAGACAGAGAGAGGAGGAGGAACACGATATCAGGAAGCTTCACCTCCCCGATTCCAGTCCACCCCGCTCTAAATGGGACCATTGAGCCGACTGTGAGAGCTCCTTTGACTGCTCGCCGAAGAGCTACCATGTCACTGCGTCACATCCGGTAAGTCCCCACGAATAAGTCATTTGCAGACCAGACCGAGTCACTGACTATCTACAGTCTCATCAAATTAGTTGAGAGTTCTCCTTCTCTCCCTACCTCCGGCGGACCGGAAAGAGCCCCTCGTGCTCCTGATTTCGCGAGCAAGCTTTTCCTCCGCAGTTCCACACAATTGTCCTCTCATCAACAATCTCTACCTCCATCGCTAGCTCCTCTAGAGCTCGCGTCCCGAGGAGGGTTGAGGTTTCCAGCAACCAGCCGACTTCCCCGTTTTCCCTTTGGGAGAAGATGAAGGGGAAGATCGAGATAATTTGTTGGCGCTGCGGTAAGGCTGGACATCGCAGCCCAGATTGCCGTAATGAGTCCCTACCCATGGACGAGCGATGGAGAATCCGCCACTCGGAATTGCAGCGTCAGGCCCGCAAAACTGATTGCTCCAGCGGGAGCCGCCTGTCATAGACCCTCGCTAAACCTCGTCAGCCGTCGATGATGAGAGGTGCGGTCCCGGGGTTCCTACTCCGCCTGCTTCTGAGAAGAAAGATCTCCGTCGAGTCCATACATGGGGTGTAACAATCCGGAAGTCGCCAAGTGGTCTGTCGATGAAGACGATCAAGCCCATTATTCGGTCAACGCAGTGCGGACTGCTGAAGATATGGACCTGAATCATTAGGTGAAGCCTGACACAATGAATGTCCTGTCTAAGGTCTACACGGCTCCTCTTCAACGCCCCCGAGGATCCACGGATGAGGAAGAAGAGGTACGGGCGACTACTGAAGCAACTGAAACTCAAACCCAGACCGAACCAGGACCGTCTCGTCGAACTCCCATAACGCCTGCCGAGAAGAGTGTATTGACCTTTACCAGCAGGGACTCTCTGATGCGGAGACCAGCGTGTATGTTTACCCTTTTCCTCGTTTCGGTGGGTGAAAATCCAATTCAAACAGTTTCCAGCTCAAGGCCCAGTAATGCGCGATAAGCGCGTATATTTTTATCCCATCCCTCCCAAACCAGTCAACGAGTCGCCGTATGCTAACCAATGGGACAAAAAATTCGAGAACAGCGTCCGTGACAAGAAGGACGATCAGATGAGGCCACTGGCTGTACTCTCCGTAAGTTCCACCGGTGCCATCTACAATATGCTGGTATATACCGTCTGACAGACGTGCAGGGTGCAACCACTAGAGAACATGATCGGCTTGAAGCCGAAGAAAGACGAGAGCCGCTCCTCGAAGAAAGGCTCTCATGGGCGCGGTCGTGGTGTCTCACACCGCATCTAGAAGCCCGGCCGCTTGGCCCAGCAACCGGCCACGAATGCTACAGAGATTCATTGTGTCCACATGCCCAAATGCAGAATCCGATCTTTGCCTCACCTGGAGCTTTCTCTCAATGGAAGACTTTTCTTGGAAGCCCTTAAGATACTCGGCAGTGACTCAGCGACCTTTCTCGGAATTTCCTAGCCTTTTTACAAGCTACCGGTAACTAGACGCAGGGACTACCTTTTCAATCATGATCCATACAAGCTCCCTCCTCGTGACTGCCTTTTGCTTCGATGTACTACCATTTCTACTCTTAGACATGGAGAGCGGCAGAAATTTGAGATTAACGAAGTTAAACCGGATACACCTACACAATTTCCGTGTAGGATATAAGGCCACATTTGCTAGTCTATTGATGGACATTGACATAGGTATTCGGTGGAAGCAGGTTCAAAAATAGATCTCTGGGAACAAGTTACCACGAGATTTAGCCAGAGCGTTTGAGCAAGGAGTCTAGGAAGCCTTGATCTTAACTAAGAGATTTGCTTAGATCTATTATAATTAAAAAGGTGATGCCTAAATAGGGCACTCCATATCCTTCCTTTAATATGCTTGATGATCCTACGGTTCTATCATTCTCTATTATATTCAGGTCTTTATTAAGTAAAAAGGACTAAAACTCTTAAGAATGAAAGGTGCTTAAATACCTGACGGAGATTCTTCCGCCGCCCTCAGGGTAATAGAGGAATCTCCATCAATACCTACTTGCCTCCTTTTTAATCATGTACAAATTTTTCTCCTTTATCCCGATTATAACGTAGTATAGACATAATCTACACATAAAATAGAGGTAGCTAGTAACTAAATAAATGATAACACTTATCAACCTAGAATTCTCTAATTTATCTCTAGTCTCTATTCATAAACATACAATCTCTCTCGGAAATTCTAATAGACATCGTGATTAATCCCTTTACTACCTACCCTCTTCGCAGACTCCACAGTCAAAACCTCTGGCTAGTAATCGTGGTAGCTTGCTCCCAAAGATCTATTTTGTATCCCGCTTCTACCGTATGCCTATGTCAATGTCCATCAAGAGACTAGCAATGTGACCTTATATCCGACATGGAAATTGTGTAGGTGTACCCGGTATAACTTTGTTAATCTCAAATTTCTGTCGCTCTGCGAGTTCTTTTCTGATTCGCCTTAAGATTAGTTTAAGAATCGGTCTTAAGACTAGTTCCAAGACCTCTTTTGAGATCGCTTTAGATCAGCTTTAGGATCAGCTTAAGGATATCTTTGCAGGGATTTTTCGGGGTGCTTCGGGGTGTCTTTCTCAATTTCTCCTGATATAATCCCGTTTATTATATGCAAGACACTATTATACTACTATTTTAACTAATTTCTCCTCGCATTTATCATTATTCCCCTTTCCACCCCTTCAACTTATATTCCCAATATTTCTCATTTATTCAAACGCAAAGGCTTCAGAAGTAAATCTCCCCTTTATATAGAGGTATATGATTTTGTAGCTGTCGTTTACTCTCTCCCTTCGACGAGATGATTGTCCGAGACCTCTAAAAATGCAATTTTCGCAAATGCCCAGGAGAATACATAGATGGATCCTATCATTAAGACTCCATCAAACACTGCTTGGTTCTTCCGAAGTGGAAGCTGTGTGCTAACTTGATACCCTTCTACAAGCTCACAATGGGGTGTTCCTGCAGCATATCAAATGCCTGCATGATTTGGATCATACTAATCCCCAAGAGCTTCAAATACCGAGTGCTTGAAACATGTTCCTATCCACAGCGGCAAGATAATCAGGGTTTTCTACACTCCTTTTACTCCGAGAACCTTTCGGGGATGATTAATGATGAAATTGGCACCCATCTTGGAATGGGGTATTGGGTATCACTACTACAGTACAATATGAGGTGTAATACATGTAGGAAAAGAAAGAAGAGGGAGAAAAAGAGAGAAGAAACACAGAACCCAGGGACAATCTACTCCTGGTTCTGCTTCTGGAAGCCACCTCTTCCCGAGCCTGGAGGACCACCACCACCCCGACCTCCACGATCCCGCGATCACGATTACGGCCCCCACCGCGACCACGAGCACGTTGGGCCTGTTGGTTAGCGAGAATCTCGGTGTGAACCTGTCTTACGACTGTAGCACGAAACAGATGGTTAGTGCAACGATCTTACGCGTAGAGTTGCGGAGGAGCGTAGCATACGTGACTCACGACAGAACGCGCACGAGACGGATCCTCCGAAAGGCGACCTCCTCTGCCGCCATGACGTTGGCGGATTTTTTCATCACTCTATGTTACGATTAGTACGTCATACATGATTCCCGCGTTTCCTTTCTTCACATAGCAACTGGCTTCTGAACAATGTCGCCTCTTACACAATGTGCCTCGGGCCAGATGCATGATGTTCCAGTGCATGGAATACACTGTTTTAACGCAAGTCTGGATCGAGGCGCACATGCAAATGGACATGATCGCTCGACGGAGCAGACTCGCGAAGAAACGGAATAGAGAGAGAGAGAGAGAGAGAGAGTAGGGGGGGGTTATTCATGAATGGGAGTAGGGAGTATGAGGTAAGGACTAACCATAAATTGGGCAGCATAGATCCCCATCTGCTGAGCAAAACGTGTGTTGTACTCCTCTTGGCGGCGCTTGTGTTCCTACACGGAGCATTTTAGTACCTGCTCTCACTATGTTCGATAACAGAATGGCAACCTATAAGCTAGTCGCGCTGTGACTAGCGATGACGCTGGATTTTCATCTAAATTAGGTTCGTGACCCTCAAGTGTGCAGTGCTGAGTGAACGAACACGCTTCCGTTCTGCCCGTGAGGGCTTGTTGTTGAAGAACTGCTTGTGAAAGGTAGTCAGTAATCGTACGGTTCAAAGCTACGAAGGGGTACAGCTCATATTTCTTCTTCATTTTCGGCCTCTTCGGCCACTTCGCCCTCTTCGAGCTTTTCCTCCTCCCCATGGGGGAGGTCAGGACGATCGGCTGGCTGCCGACCATCCCGACCATCCCCGGGGTTCGGAGGCTCGTTGGGCGGAAGCCCGCCTCCCCGACATGACGACGTCGGTCATCGCTCTGTGTAGAAATTCGAGAGGAAAATGATAAATCGAAGTGTTTTTTGATGGATTTGAAGAGCGTGGCTTTTCGCAACGGCTGGGACTTGGGATGGAAAACAGTACAGAAGTTCATACTCCGAGTGGGGGAAGGGTGGGCGGGATAGTCCCAAAGAGGTTAGTGGATGGCGCAGGGGATTTTGATTGTGGGCCAGCCTATGTATTTGATTACACGTGCCCTGAAACCCCCGTAAGTATGGTAATGTCGTGGTTAAAAAGGCAGTGTTGGGATGATTAGAGAGAGTTCGGAGTGTTATCAATCATAATTTTAGTGGGCTGCCTCAAATTCTCTCAAATGGTCCATCTCCTCAATGAAGGGCTAATGTGCGGTCATGCAGCAGAGACATTGTTGGTAATTGCGCGCTGTTTAATTTAAAAGAACAAGGTGCATTCTCCAAAAGTTCGAAGTATTCAGATGAAACCAGCCGCCTTTACATAAGGAAGTATATAATACGAGGAAATCATCCGCGAAGATGGTCTTTTTCCAATCAGTCTTCGTTCAGGAGCGAGCAATTCAAGAAAGCAGAACATTGTTTATTCGTCTTTTGGTGTAGCCTTGGGCAACCATAGAGCCTTTGTTTTGAAGTAACCGGATGAAAACTTGCTCCATGGCAGGTTAGTCAAACTGTATAAATTAGGTTTTTACTACTCGAGTCCACAGGCAAGTGAAGAATTCACTACCTCTATTTTACTACTTGAGTAACTACCACAGCCTTAGTACGTCCCCGACGGGGTCTGCGATCGCGATGCTATATATTATTCATTCGATATTGGCGAGACCAAAGGAAGGAAGCCTCTACGCACTATGTATTTTTTGTTGTCTAAATCTTGAATCAGTCTACTATGCTTGAATACAGTTTAAGGATACATCGTTAGTCGCAAGAAGGTCACACTAGACATGAGGGCCGAACGATGGAGTCAATTTCCAAGACTGATAGCTTAACCATTTACATAGCCCTCAATTCTCGCAGAACTTCGTATCAAATTCCTGTGAAGGCTCACATCGAGATACTAAGTCAGTTCATTCTTTTGTTCGTATAAGTCCATACACTACTAAATCAATTACATTTTCTCCTGAGTCCTTTGGCTTCGAGCACCGTATTGTGGTCAGTTCCTTAGTTTCCACCGAGCTATCCGGTAATTATGCCGGAGGCTGCCATCTTCTCTTACTATTACGTTTTGGAAAGCATGCATAACAGTGTGTAAACTCTCAGGCGGTTTCTGATACCTCCTCCTTTCATCCCGACTCGCAACCTCGCCCTCGTGCTTCCCGACTGGCGAAAACTCTCTTTTTTCATACGTCTACACCTAAAGCCTCCTACAGAGAACGACCACCGCCGTTGCGACCTCGTCGCGCGCCCCCGACGGGCCTCCCCCTCCCGGTGAGGGCTGGGGTGGTCGGCAGCCAGCCGATCGTCCTGTCTTCCCGGAGGATGATGATGAGGGGGGGACCCCGAGCAGGGTGAAGAAGACCCTCGCCAAGATGTAAGCATGAGCCTACCTCACTCTCACCCATCGCTATAGTAAAAGGTCGTGTATTGATGATTTCACTAGCAGGGGAAGGATCAAGCTTCCCAGGCGCACCGCCGTCGCGTTTGTCTACCTTTCTTCGGTGTTCCCATCAAGATTTGTCTGATATTGAGTCATTCATCAGCACAACAGACGTTCCCGGCGCCGTAAGCGCGTATGTTCTGATTTCGTCCTTGCCACGCGTATGATCAGAGACTAAGATGTGAGAAAAGGCGTTTCAGAGCAGCTCCAGTCGGCATGAGAAGTATTTGGAAATGAGGGAACTAGGCGAACAAATTGTAAGTTTCTTACCTGCCCATCATTACCTCCCTTCCCATTCAATGCGCGACGAGCTAGAGAGTTTGTCACAACCCAGTGTGCAAAGTTACCGAACATTTCACGTGGTCGAGCTCCATTCTGCCTACTGGACCCTCGTGTACTCAGTACACAGCTCGTGCAACACTCCTGCACAAAATCTCACATGGCGTCATCTGCAATTTGCTAGTATATGTCATCTAATAAGCGTACAGATTACAGAATGGAGAAGGAGGCACGCGGAGCAGGCCCGCGCAAGGCGAGAGCAGCGGGAAGAACAACGTTTGGTCCGGTTCAACTCTCGTGGCCGCGGCCGTGGTGGCCCCTATCGCACCGAGAGGCCCGGTCGCTCGGCTCAGCGACAGGCCACAGCGGGTAAATCACTCTCTTATCCCATCCCCTCCCTCCTTCGCCCTTCTCTTCCAACTTCCAATTGTATGATCATTGCACTAACCATGGTACATTGTATATATCAGCAGATAACCAGCCCACTGCCAGTGGAGAAGGTCGCCAGGACCAAGGCACTCGGCGGGATGATATGCGCCGGGGTGCAAAGAAGGACGAGAAGGGCAAGGAGAAGAAGTAGGGGATTTTGGGAGTTTCTATCTGTGTCTTTTATCCAGTATTACGAGTCTTGCAACCTTAGCATGTTTTATGATTATGATACACCCAGTATAGGGCATGACCTAATTCAGAGCAGCATCTTTAGCCGAACAAACTTTTGCGAATACAAGAAATTGTAGCACTTCATTCATATTCTGTACAAGTATCTTAGCCAGCTCTATCTTTAGGCCATTTCAGATATTCTATGGGGTTTGAATAGAGGCGGAGACCACTAATATGCGTGATCTTCTGTATGATATCACGGTTGACTGTCTATCCTCCTTCAACATTCAGGTTAGGCGCATCGGGAATTTCTACCGACTTCGTCTCCACGTTAAGTCTTCAACTCGCGATTACCCAGAGCGGCTCAATCGTAGATAACAACTTTAAGAAGCTCTCTAGATCAGTAAAATGGGATAGCCAGTTTGACGGTTAGGCGCGTCTCAGTCGACGATTGGAAGAAGTTAAGGTTGGCTTGGCATGCGCGATAGTGGAGACTAGAGTTGAGATAGAATCTTGAATTTGGGAATATATTGACCTATGAGCATCGAGTCTCGGGATTCCCCCGCGCAGTGCTAGAATGTAGTTCCAAGTGTCGGTTGCTTTTGAAATGTTCTCTTGAATAAAATCGATTATAAAGTAGGATTGAATGAAAATAAAATTTCCCGGATTATTGCATTATGTACTTTGAGTCTCCTTGGCGTATAAGTAGGTGGAACCTTGTGTTTAGTGTTTCTTAGAGTCTCTAGACGGTCTTTAAGCAGCCTCCTGCCTTCGGATCATCCTATGCCGATTTCCCTGTAGACATTCACAGCGTTAAACGGAAGCTCTTACTTATTACTTGCTTCTTATCTATGTAACACTCTGCTTTGAGTATTCATTGTATTCCATTTTTTGTCTCGTCTTTTGAATCGTCTGACATTCAATCCATTTTTTGTATAGCTACAATCACCGCGCTGACTCCCTATCCTCTGGAGCGGACTCTATCACGCTGACCCGGACCTACAAGTGCACAGGAAGCCTTATAGTCTATCTCTAACCTGGTAAACCTAATAGATATTTCTCCATTTCATGCCTTAATCTATATGAAGTAGACCGCTAGTATATTCCATTACATGTATTATTATTTAGACGACCCATCGTACGAACTTGTGAATTTATCTCTTCTGCCTGGCGCTACTAATACCGTCGGAATCTCTTACTGGAAATATTGTACGCGATAGAAACTATATTCATCTAGCAAGACTGGATGTAAAGGGGTTGTGACTATAAACCCTTACCCCCAATCTTAAGAAAATCGGAATCTTCATCAAGCAAAGCCCTAACCGCCGCAGACGGAAGCTCAGTGACATCCCACGTCGCGTATACAAAGCGTCCATGCAGGAATTTCGCTTCTTCAGATGCCGCCCATACGAAGAAATGACCGTGGATGTCCACTATAATAAAATATACATAGTGTGTCATGATCAAATAACAAGGGAAATATTGGAACTCGTGAGAGACTAGAAAAATTGAACAACTTACCGTCGTCCCAGGGAAGAGAATTCTCATCGTATCCATAAGCTCGCGCCGTCTCTGTCAAGACAGCTCCTGGGTGAAAGCTCAGAATGTGAATCTCGTCAACTGACACATTTCTCGCCATCAGCTTGAGGAGTAAGGCAGCTGCATTCTTGCTTGCGCCATAGTTCAGGTTGGTAGACGCAAAGTTTGGGTTGTGCATTGCTATGGTGGACACATTGAGGAGGTACTAATTCCCATAACCGAAATGCTGAGTCCGGGTGGATATGTTTCAGTTGTGCAAGGAGGACTACCAGATACGTATAAGGATCCTAGAATACCATCTGACATTACTGTTGGATATACCTACGTGGGGTCAGCGCACTATGACTTCTTCCAGCCGGGGGACAAGGACTCTGTTACCGCGGGTTATGAGTTTGCTTATGTGTTTTTACGATTTATAGCGCGGGCATTGGCGAAGGGGACTATCTCTGGACATCCGTGGGAGGTTATTCCGGGTGGACTTGGAGGAGTGGAGAAGGGGCTGCATAGGTTATAGCGCGGCGAGGCGAGGGGCGTTAAGTATGTATATCGGATCTCGGAGACTGAGGGAGTAGAAGAGTGAATAGCTTTATACATGTATGTTGTTCTATATTTTATTATTTACAATATACCGGATAGTGTCTGGTAACTCTTGGCAGTCTCTATGCGTTCTAGCTCCGGTTTTGCTTAATGACACCTAACTTTCACCCCTCTTCTTCTCTTATGCACACCCTCATATATGCCCCAAAACTGTGCACGCTCGATAGATCACGGCAGTCTACCAACATATCCTCCAACACGGCTTTCTTGATGGGGTCTGTAAAATTGCTTTGTCTCGATTACCAACGAAAGTACTTCTCTTGCTGGCAACATTCCTAGAGACCGAAAATGTTATATCCTCATTATCTTGAACCAATATACAACTCCATACGCTCCTAAATCCATGGCTATATCGACACAATTCCCAGAATTCCGAAAGTTCCGCACTTTTCTGGGCAGCCAAGAATGGAAACGTGGATACCGCTCGATTATCAATCGAAGGAGGAGCTAACGTTATGGAGAGAGACATTTTCGATTGCACACCATTGCACTGGGCCGTGATGGAGGGGTATGAAAATGTGGTGAAGCTATTGCTAGAGATGGTGATGGTTGATGTGAACTTGACAGACTCTAGTGGAGTTACACTGCTATCATTGGCTGTGATGCAGGGACGTGAGGGAATGGTAAAGTTAGTACTTGAGACAAGAACAGTGGACGGGAACCTTGCGGGCTCCAATGGTGTGACACCACTATCCCTAGCCGCTGTTGAGGTCCATAAGGCAATAGTGAAGCTATTGCTTCAGAGGGGCGATGTGGGTTTGACCGCGCAGGACTCACGGGGCCGGACAGCATTATCTTGGGCCGCAGAGCAAGGGTATAGTGCAGTGGTGAAGCTATTACTGGAGAGTGAAAATTTGGATGTGAATTTGGAAGACCTTGAGATCGGACACCATTTTCGTGGGCTGCGATGAGAGGTCATGATGCCGGGGCAAACTTTTTATCCCGAACAACAAAGCTGGATCAGGACTCTAAGGATAGGAGGCTCAAGCCGCAGAGAGCAGGTATGAGGCGGCGAGGAAGATGATGATATTCGGTGATTCTGAGCCTGACCGCCCTTATAAAAGCGGCTGGCGTTATCCTGTATATATAGTAGCTAGACGAGAGTTTATAGACATCGTATCCATCATTTCGCACACCTAAATCAAACGCAACCGGGCAGACACTGATGAGCGCTCGTTTCCGAGTCTCTTTGAAGTTCTCGCGGGCTTTCTCAATCCCTGCCATTGCTTGAGCACACATAATTAACACCTTTGGAATCTAGGGTCAGTAGATTATATCGATTCGCTTCGAAAGTATGCATTGAATAGTAGCAAGCCAAGGCATAACAAGAACCATCGTGACACGGTCAAGAGACAACCGAAATGCAAAGTCGATGGATACATACCAATGTGCCGAAGCAAACATATTATCTCCGCTATCAAACAGAATCAGGTAGACTCGGCCTTTTTTCTTCCTTGATGCAATGATGAGTTACTCTCATGAAGAAGAATTGTAGCTGAATGATGATGCAGCTAAAGATTGTGATATAGATTGTTATCGTGGCATTGATAAGACCACCGCCTGTCACGCTATCACCGCCTTCAAGATCTCCGAGCTCCGCATGGAACTTTACTCTTTGATATCCACCAATGCGAAACTTTGCGCCACAAGAGCACCCACGATTCAAGTCCGATCCGAGCTTTGAAGGGTCTTCAGGCCATGTGAGTCATTTAATCCGGGAATCCATATCATCTAGGTCCGAGCCAAAAACTAACAATCCCCAGAACAACTCTCGCTCCTCCACTTCGACCAGATCAATCCTACTCTTCCAGGAGAGCATTCTGGCTAGAATACAAGCTTCAAGCTTCTCCAGAGTCACACTCCGAGAGTCAAGTCATCATATCAGACATCAGACATTCGCCGCGATCCCCTCTACCCCATCACATCACTTTCCTATTACGACGGACCTCCATCCACCAAATCCTCAAAATGTCCTCACCAACAAAACTCCCGATCCGCACCCAACACTGCCGCTTCTGCAACAACCTCCTCCTAGCAACAACCCGCAGTCTCTCAACCCTCCCCCGCCGCTCCTCTCCCGCCGCGGACTCAGCTCTAATCCTACCTCTCGAAAAGCTGCGCACCACAGACGAAGAATCCACCTCCACCTCCACACAAGAACCCTCCACCTCCACCAGCCCCAATGCGAGATCCAGTCCGAAGCACGTCACAATCCTCCTCTCAACAACCCTCCCCGACCGCCGCGCAACACTAATCCGACGCGAGGACGGGATCGAGAAGCGTATTCTACTTCGTTGTGGACGGTGTCGTGTTGTTGTGGGGTATTATCTTGATCGGGTTCATTGGGAGGGATCAAGTCAAGCCCAAAAAGAAAAAGAAAAAGCAACCCGAGAGGATAGCGAGGAGGAAGGTGGTGATGAGGAGAGACCGCCGGCGATGTATGTGTTACCGGGGTCTTTGGTGGAGACGGAGGGTATGGGTGGGGAGGGGGTTGGGGAGAAGGAGTGGCGTGTTTGGGGTGGGGATGCTTAATTTATTACTATACAGGTTGAATTGATTGAACGGTCTGGTATAAAACAAATTGAGAGCAGAGTTTTGTCTACAAGGGCAAGTATACGATTGTCTCTACGAGAGAATCATATGAATGAACGATCGGGCAGGAATATACCCAGACCAACACAACAATACATTTCCAAAGGTTGATAGTTGATAATTGCTCATTGATCAAATACAAGTGTCAATACAGGAAGCTCCTCACGCCGAAAGTAGAAGCAGAAGTGAAGAAGCCGAGCCAATTGTATCCCGATCAAAAATTGCGTTCCTCGCAAAAAGAAAAGAAAAGTAACCATGTCCATAACGTAAATTCATCAATCACAACGAAAGCCACCGAGGCAGAAAGATAGGAGGATTTGAAGGGTGGAGGGGGTATCAGTTGGCCAGGATGGTGCGGACGAGGTCGGTGTAGTTGATCTCGCCGGAGCTGGTGTCGACAGCCTTGAGGAGCTCATCCACTTCGTCATCGGACATTTTCTCGCCGAGGTTGGTGAGGACTAGCGGAGGAGAAAGGTATTAGCAAGTGTTCCATGATCTCCCCGTCGCAGCAACCATGCAGGGTGCCTGCGTGTCCAAACATACTGTAGCGCAACTGTCCCACACCAATGAATCCCGTCATATCCTTATCAAACACCTGGAAACCGCGACAATACTCCTCAGGCTCACCGGGATCCCGGAAACCACCAGGACGGTTGAGGACCTTCAGGAAGGAATCGAAGTCGACTAACAAGAAACCGGAGTGTTAGCCGCTGTCATGACCACAATCGCAAACCCAAACTTGCAGTTGACGCTGTCGCTGTCACTGACAAGCCGGGGAACGAAACGTGTCGCAATACATACAATCACCCCCAACAGTCTTCTCCAGATCACTAATCTCCGCCAGCGTGGGATTCTGGCCACAAGCGCGTAGCAAGTCACCCAGCAAATCACCGGCAACACGGCCGGTACCGCGGCGATCAAACAGCGAGAACGCTTCCTTGTAGTTGGTAGAAGCCTGATGATCGTGTTTATTAGCCATGATGGGAGGAAAGAGAGCGAGGGTATCGCAAGTGTTGAGAAACGAGTAATGAATGTGTGTAGATGGGAGGATAGAAGAGTAGGAGAATGACGATGACGGGGGAGGTTCCAATCCAGGGATGGGGGCGGGAGTCCCAAGCGAATAAGCACCGAAGTTGGTAATTCGTCAACAGGGGCGACGACTGCGGGAAGACTTGGAACACGTTGGGCCCTGCTTGGAGATGTAAGATGGGGGTGGTGAGCTTACCATGGTGGAATTCTTTTTTTCGGAGAATAATTTGATTGACGAACGGGGTTTGTATGTGAGGTGAATTGTTGGAAGGGGGTGGTTGTTGTGGATGGTTGATCTTTGGAGAAGTGGGAGGAATGGGGGGGTGGAAAGAGAGTTGGAGGGAGAAGAGAGGGAGATCGACCCCGTTGGTCGGGCAACCACATCAACAACATCATAGTGGGGGGAATAGTATCTACAGGGATTAAGATTAACATAGTGAGATCAATGATAAAATGATCTATAATTTATAGACATAGCTATAATCTTACTAGACGGATCTCTATTCATCATCATGGATCACATACATTGAAATAGAAAACCACCCACCCAACTACAGTATCTCACAAAATCATATCACAATTACATCCCCCATACTACTATAAACACTTCATCCCCAATTAACACACATCTCTCTCCCTCTCCCTCCTCTACGACTGCAACTTCGCAATGCAACTGTCCAGCAGCCGCGCCGCCTCCCCCAACAACTCCCATCTAGGATTCGCAAACGAATCTCTCAAAATCATCAACATCCCCAAACACCCATTCCTTCCCTTCATCCCCTCCAAATCATTCGGTTCCCGTACGCCACCGACCCTTGCCAAAAACGCCTGCATATCTCTCCGTCGATCAGCATGCGTCGCCAACGCCGGCGGCGGTCGCAAGGGTCCATCCAACGCGAACCCATAACACCACACCACCAGCGCGGCAAAGTACATCACCCACGGTCGATTAAGCAGGTAATCATCTCGAGCAATATAATCCCCAGACTCCACGGCTGGATCTGAGAAACACGTTTTCAAGAATTTCAGAGCGTAAAAGGTGGCGTCTCGCGCAGAGGCCTTGGTCGCCCAGCGACCGGTCTTTTCCCGCGCGGTACTATAATCGCGTGCTGTAATCGATCGGCCCATTAATCGGCCCGCGCCTGCAAAGATCTGGAGATCCGCGACATCGACATGCGAGGCCATATGTGCGAGACCGTGCAGGACGTCGCGGCACTCCGACTCGGTGGTTGTGGCCCGACCAAGGGCTTCGTCAAAGTCGCGTCGCCAGTTATCATACGAGCGTAGCAGGGCTGTCCGCCATTTATCACGGCCGCCGAGCGTCTGGCCCACACCCAGAGAGCTGACTTGTAGATCTCGCTGGTTCAAATGCCAGCTCACACTGAGTAGTCCCGCCATCAGGATGATCCGACCAAAGGTATTTGTTCGGACTGGTTGGCCGTTTAGCGTGCGCTTGAGTCCGTCCAGGAACATGATCGGTCGGACACCATGTGACTGCAGACTGGATTGGACACGGGCAACTTCTGCGGCACTTGTCGCGGCCCATAATGCTTCGTCGCAGGGTAATGGTAATCGTAGTTCATGCGCGACCATCTTCGCCGAGTGTCCAAACATAGTCGCGTGGGTTGAGTCGAGTACGAACGCTGCAAATGCAACACGCCTTGTGGCTTCAGCCTTGATCCAGTGTGTCCACGACTCATCCTCCTCCTTGGATTCGGGTGTGTCAAAGGAGGACCGACCGATGAGCGAGCTCCCACGACGCATAAGCGTGAGCGTCGTGTCATGGTGGATATGAGCCCGCTCATGCAATGCCCTCGTAGAAAACAATTTCTCAAAGACTTCCAGCAGGAGCAGAGCTTGGAACACCCATAACCGCGCGGGTGGTCTGAAATCGGCATCCATGAAAATCTCCCAGCGCAGATGCCATGCAATAAAGCTGGCCAGTTCTGCCGCAGTCTCCGTCGCGGCTTGTCCATGCGCTTTATCCAGCGTCGCAGCTCCAATAGCCATCACCGCGAGCAGCAACAAATTCGGTGTGCGGTCCGCCGCAAAAGTAGGCTGATGCAGAATCGGCAACTGCGTGTGGAAATGATACCAGTAAGACCCGATATAAGTCTGCATCATGCGTAGACTCAACACATGTCGATCATTATCCAAATCGCCATCCATCAGCGCATCCTTTCGTTTGCCTTCTGCCGAGTACGCAGCCTCATTGAATCGAGTCGCCATGAGATGTAGCAACTCCTGCCGTTTCTCCTCCGAGATAATAGCCGGCAACGAGGTCGAATCTAGAATACTAGTCACGCTCATGGGATGCTGGGGGATCACAGTACAAAAATTATTGTACGAAGGCTCGTTCGTGTAGAACTGATTCTGCACAAAAGGCATCATACCGTACCCCAGCGGAGCAAGCGGCTCACTGAACAACCACGCCGCAAAATCATCCGCCATCGCAAAGGGTGACCGGTTATACGTCTCGCCGCCAAAGATCGGATAGGCATTGGACATGGAATCGAATTCCAGCATGGGGTCCGGTTGACTGATGACACCAAAATCAGTGTAGCCGGAAACAGGAACTCCAGCCGTGTCGATGGTAGTAGGTGTAGTGGTAGGCAGGGAGAAATTGTTCGTCGTATTTGACGGGGATTTAGAGCTCGGCGCAGGAGGATCCGTCATGAAAGGGTAATCCGCCGCTGTCATCGAAGGCGACGACGGTGACGACACCGGGATAAGCGATTTATGCGGGGATTCATCGAGGCTGTCGTGGGCGAAGCTATCGCGCTTCTGCAGTTGGGATCCGCGGGTAGTATGGCGTTCGCGATGACGAATACAGAGGTCCTGGCGCACGAAGGAGCGGTAACAATTGGGGAAATCACAGCGAAAGATTTGTTTCGGGGTATCTGCAAGAAAGCGAGTGCGAGGGGAAAGGTTAGCCTTGCTGCGCAAGTTGTCCGGGCTAAGCCCGCAAAGATCGATCGCATACGGTTCAACTGATGCCGGTACAAGTGTTCGGCGCGCGAATAACTCTTCCCACAGCCTTCATGTGTACATTCGAACTTGCGATCGGAGGGAGCGCGCCGACTGCGTCGCCGACGCTTGGAGGGTTGTTCGTCGGCCTCGGTCATGATGTCTGGTTTAATCGCGGGGAGCACCATCGGGTGCCATGAGCACGAGGGGCGCGGCTGCGATGATCGCTGCAGGTGGAGATGCCGATAGCCGTGAGCCACGTGGAGGAGAAGCAATATACCAGGAGAGAACTCGACTGTGAGGAGAGAGGTGGAAAGAGGGTCAAAGGAAGCAGAAGGGATTGTGAGGGAGAAGCGCCAAAGTCAAAAGGTCGTCAAAAGTCAAAAGGGCTTGGGTCTCCCCGGAAGTGCGGAGATGCTGTGGCATGCAGTGGGGTCAGTCTTAAAGTTGGCGGAGCTCGGTGAATATTGCCTGGGGAATGGGATATCCTTGTGTATAGGCTATTTTATGTTGGAATTTGGGTCTAGTGACCTCGTGAATAGATTATTCTATTGCCTATGACTCCTCTTTCTAAGTGCATAATTGCTCAGCAAGCCTGAGGTATGATCTCTGCCGCTCGCGATGAAGGTGTAAATAAATCAATACAGCCAAGTCAAATGGATAGTCTTTCAAGGTGCCATTAGTAAATATATAACTATCCCCATAATCAACCTGAGGGTATATCCCTTGGAGTGTTTCAGGGCGAGAGCCGTGGTGCGGGGGTGGGTGTCGGCTGAAGTTGCCCCATATATATTCCAACCTCATCTCTGCCAAGTCATAGCCCAAACAGAATATACAGTTGTATCAATTGAATACGTAATAATGAATACCATTGGTGGTGAGGAGATACTCCTTCTAGAGATCCCACCCTCAGGTTCAAAAGCAAGACCTATCTATTCCATTTATTCAGCCTATGCCTATGCCCTGACACTTTAAATCACTCAAAAGATCTCGCATTCTAAAACACACCAGCCATGCCTTCCTACAATGCAAACGCAGTCACAAACATCAAGGTGGACAATACCGGTCTACCTAAGATTCTCTACCTATCCATCATGGTGCGGGAATGGGGTGACATGCATAACCTGGAAGGGGACCCAGTCGAAGATAACCCGATATACCCTAACTGACCTCATCCAGGGCAGCCACATAAATCGGCGGGATCATGAATCACCACAAGACAATCGGTCATTCAAGTCATCATACTAGATGGCGCGTGGAGTGAGAAATGGACCAACACCTGGTTTGCAAATGCTTGCGGGGGAAATCTTTCCGTTTGAACCACGACCTAAAGGATTCAGAGAAAGGGGAGAAAAAATTGTACACGGGGAAAAGAAGAGGGTATATTTTTGGGGGTTATGTTTCTTTTCACCCGCTGAATCGGAATCGGGTGGCCTCCAAGCGGCCCAGTCCATCACGAGGGGCGACATTACGGCGACGGTATGAGTTGGTGAAGTCTGGAAATGTTAGAACGAGGAGTAGTAAACAGCGGTTCGAAATGCTTGACTTACCCTGCAGCAAAACGCGAATCTTCCGGATTTCACCAGACTGCACCTTCTCGGCAATGTTCTTCAACAGCCGCTCGGCCTCGGCGGGCTTCATTGCACCAGCTGGCAACATCTGCAGTGTGTTCTGAAGCCAAGCACCCGTCTCATGTGGAAGCAGTTCGAACATGGTCATCATGATTGCTGAAGCATCCGGGAAGCAGTCACCAGGGAAAGTAAATATCATGCCGGCCAGCACACGTTGGGACAGGACCTGACCCTGCGAAGCGATCAAGTTCTTGACAGCCTCGCGAACCTCGGGCGGGTTGACATAGGGTTCCTCATCGGGGCTGGTAAACTCGGAGACCAAGGGCTTTTCAAAGGCGAAGCTGAACAGGTCACGGTAGTAGTGAAGAGTGGCGATGAGAGGATCGACCTGTTGGAGGGTGAGGGCACTGAGAGCGGCGGAGAAGATGGGAATGGCCAATTCCGAGGAAATGCACTTTTTGGGGTAGTATCGGACGGCATCGCAGGATAGACGGAAGAAATCTTCGATGACTATATATCAGATGGAAGTTAGATTTGTCAAAACGAAGAAGTCGGGGGCAGCGCCTACCATCGGGAAGGTTCTCTGGTGGCAGATCATTCATAATTCGGAGGAAAGCAGTGGCTTGTTGCTCATAGAAATGGAAGACGGCATTACTGGTCGCCTCATCGACGTATTCTGCGCCATGGGAGAACTCGCGAACAACCGCATCAGTGGCCCACAAGAAACCACCCTCGCGAGAGGCCTGGAAACCGTTGGCAATGCTTTCGGCCAACGTAGGCAGCAAAGGAATCATAGCAGTGCGGTACGAGATGATCATGGCTCGCCAGCAACGGCAAACACGCTCAAGAATAGGGGTAGAAGACGTAAAGTTCATAACAATCGTGGTCATGATAGGCAGGATCTCACCGCAATACTTCACGGCGGGGTTTTCCTCACCGGGAGCAACGATGGGAGTCACCACCTGAACAAAGATAGAGATCAACCCGAGATGATCAGCAACTGCTCGTTGACCTTCCTCAGTTTGAGCATTGTTGGCAAGAGTCATGATCCGTTGCATAATCGGATCACAGAACATCTTCATCGAGTCGTAGATCTTCTCCAAAGGCTGAACAGACACCACGGCCGCAACACCCTCGGTCACTTCTTCCTGGCTGGTAGGCTTCAACTTGTCCAGCACAGACTCAAAGAAGGAATGCAGCTGGCCAATGTGACCGCCCAACAGCTTTTGGCAATCAGTTCCCAGGAACTTGAACGCCAGAGCAGCCGCCTGCACAACCTCCGCAGATGGATGCTGGAAGCCAGAGATCACATAGTTGAGCTGGGCTTCGAGGGTCTCCGGGTGCATTGATGTCCACTCCGTGTACCGGGCGAGAGCCATGATAGCTTGGAATCGGATCTTCTCTTGCTCTGGAATTTGCACGATCAAAGGAATCAACTGGCCCAGGACGGTGTTCTCAACAGGATCAACAATGCGACCCATGGCGCGAAGGCCGAAGAGTGGTGCCTCCAGCTCTTGCCAATGGGGGACATGCTCGTTGCTGGCCTGCGAGGCGTATTTGCCCACCCACTGCTGAATCAAGTGATAGATCTTACCGAGGCAGTCGGTCACGCCAATCACAGAGCAACAATCTTTGAGAACATCACCCATCGCGTGACGGAACTGGCGGAACTTTTCTTCTTGTTCGCGATCACCGCCGAACAGATCAGTCTCGCCTTCTTCGGGGGTAGGGAACTCGAGATGTTTCACCATAATGTCCATCAACTGCGACCAGATGTCTTGATAGTTGAGACGGGCCTCATTGTATCGCTCAATGGTAATCGACTGCTTCAGCTCGTACCAGAAAATGAAGGTAATCGATACGGCCTCGCGTTCCCAGTCCCGCGCACAGCACTCGAGGATCGCCTCGACCAGACCTCGGAATTCACCGGGCATGCGCGCGATGAGCACAACCCATGCCTCACCAGCCTCGGCGAACATTCGTGTGATACCCTTGAACGCTTCCAAATCTTCGGCTTCGGCGGTTTCGGCAATCTTAGGTCGAAGGGCCATCAGGCGGGGGTAGAGGGCTTGAATGATGGGCAGGGACTCGTGGACATCCTTAGTATCCCGGTAGAGTGTACACATGCAGTCAACACCGGCGTCGAATGAGACATCATTGTCCAATGCTTTGAGAATGACGTCCATCAAAGGTGAATCGATGACTTGAGCGGCCGGGATTTCGCGAAGCCATGAGGTAATGCAATCGAGGAGACGCGGGTTGGTGGCGGCGGTAGCTATAAACAGTGTCTGTCAGTGGCAATCCGTGTTGAAATCAAGTGTGCACAAATATACATACGCGATGATTGAGAATATTGAATCAGCAGCTGCATCACCTGTTCGGCATTGTCTTCCAGAAGCTCCTTTGTCCGTTCAATCAACTCGTCTTCCTGTAAACATTGTCAGTCCTTGTAAGAACTCTCAAAGCCAAATGTGCGGTACGTACGCCGAGATTGATCTTGCGACCTTCTGTCACCTCCTCAGGCAAGATCTTCAAAAACTCGAGCACACAGTCCCCCGCACTGCTACCCAAAACCGACCCCACCGTGGCCAAAACATCCTTCCAGGCCAGCATCTGAATCGCCAAACTTGCCAAACACACGCATAGCTGAGTCTGTATGGGTCGCGGGCCCGATGCAAATGCAACGAGAAGATTGAGGACGGAATCGCGTAGCGCCACTATGGAATCGGGAGGCAATTGATCCAAATCGAAGATGATCTGTAATTATCAGCGAGTCATTTCCTTTCCTCTCCAACAAGTGAAATTCGCACCTTCCCCTTCAATGTAGTCGCCGCGAACAATTTAGCTTCCACCGGCACATCGGAAGATTGTAATAAAGCGTGCGTAGTTGTCCAGGCCTCGACCTAATTTCGGACAAAGAAAACACGTCAGTATAGCTGAACCGAAACAAGAAAACCTCCACGATGATTCGACCTTAACATACCGATTTCTGGAACTTCTCAAGGAATTCATGGGCCTGGGCCTTTTCCGACCTAGGCACATTCCCTTGCATGGTCGCGACGGCCGCCAGGACCGGGGCGAATGCCTGCCCACCATCCTTGCTGGCCATTTTGGAGGAGGGTGAGCGAATGAACAGATGGATTGCAGACTCAGCAATCTATACGCGCATTCAAGGAAGAAAACGAAAACAGCAAAGGACCCGGGGAAAAGCGTGGTAGATCTAGTGGTGGAATCGCAAAAGATGGGCGGAGGTGGGAGTGGAAGGTGGGATGTTGGCCCGTGACTCTGGGTATTGGTATTACCGTACACAAATCACGGGACGCAGAGCTTTCGGTCTCCAAGTTTCCCTTCCTTCGCCGCAAACCCGCAGTCGCGCTCTCCTTGTCACACCCTTCGCATCTCCTCAATTCCTCATTCATCATCATGGCTGGCCGCAAGACTTTGTTGGCGCCGATTCACTTTATTTTCAGCCTGCTGCAGAAGCGCAGTACCGTCTCGATCTGGTTGTACGAGCAGCTTGCTTTCCGCATTGAGGGCAAGATCAGGGTAAGCTTGTTGCAGTCATTACCTATGAACTCTTCGTTTTCTTCACTTGCTATGAGCCTGACTGACTTGTGCGACTCTCTCTAGGGCTTCGATGAGTTCATGAACCTTGTTGTCGACGACGCGGTGGAAGTGCGCCTAGCTACCAAGACCGAGGAGGAGAAGCGGAGGCCTTTGGGTATGGAATATCCTGCGTTATGATTTACGGTGTGGAAATGTAATATATCGAAATGATCACTAATCTGGTGCGCTTTCACAGGCCAAATCCTGCTCAAGGGCGACAACGTCTCCCTCATCCAGGCCGTTTGAAGCTCGAATACAATCTCACGCCACGACACCTCGCATCGATCTTGTTTCCTTTATACCTTTCCGTCGATTGTTCTACCTACGACCTGCGGTCCAGGTACCGGCCATCACCCACCACGATGGCATCGATCAGCCAGTCATGTTCCATGACGGGGATATCCTCGGCGAGCAGCTGCTCCTGGAGAGACAGGGCCACTAGAGTAACGGAGTTTTAGCTTTTTTTCTTCTTCTTTTTGGGACAATGGGACAAAATCTGGGAAATTCATTTCGTGTTCTTCCAAAACTTACCAAGGAATGGCATCTTGCTGCTCCATTGAGAATATCGCTTGAGGAAATGATCATAATATCCTTTTCCATGTCCAAGTCGTCGAAAGTCCGAGTCGAATGACATGCCCGGCATGACAATGAGATCAAGACCTGTTCCGGAGAAGCAGTCTCGCCGACCGGGGATTTGCGTAGCCTGTAGGGAAGGGATACCCCATTTATCGGGTTGCAAAGACTCAAATTCGGTGAGGGATTCGAGAGCTAGCATGTCCATGACGGAGACCTTGTCCACGGTGTGGATGTATGGGATGTAGACGTCTTTGCCACGCTGGAATGCATCCTGAACGATACTGCGGGTGGAAAGCTCCCCACTGGGCATGGACAGATATACGGCAATGCTCTTTGCGTTCTGATACTCGGATAGTGAGAGGAATTTACTCGTAGCGACGCCGGCTGTATAAGTGAAGGCGCTATGTTAGCTTGGAGGATGACAGAGAGCAGGTTCGGAATGACTCAAGACGACATTGATTGTGATGCGCTCGACCAGGAGAGAGTAGACCAACATTGCTGTACAATTGAAGTATTCGAAAGTGCCGACAAAGTCTCGCGCATCCGCTTGCGCAGGTCGCGCTTTGCAGTTTGAAGAGCCATCATTGCCAGCAACCCCGCGGGAAAGTCGAGGAGGGAAGGAGTAGGATCATTCCAGGGCGATAGGCGATAAGAGTGGACCGGCATTTCTGAGGTCCTTGTTTAGTTCCCCACTTGAATGTAGGGATTGAATTGGGATGACCTGTTCACTCCTGCTTTTGATTCTCGATATATTCAATGATTGAAGGGGGTTTAACCTCTTGATCTTGTCATTGACTTCATCGACCTAAATTATGTTGTGGATTTGGACACTGCTGGCTACGACGGTGGCGGCGGCCAGCGTGGATGAGCTGGTCGGGACATGGACGACCAAGTCGCGCAATGTGCTCACTGGACCGGTACGTGTGATGATTGGATTATACAAGAGACAAGCTAATCAAGGTTACAGGGCTTCTACGATCCTCTCAAAGACCAACTCCTCGAGCCTAATCTGACGGGCATATCATACTCTTTCTCCGCCGATGGATACTATGAAGAGGCCTTATACCGCGCCCTAGCCAATCGTAAGTTGCCGCACTAGCAGCCCATCTACACTCGTGGACATCCACCAAGAAACTCGAGCTCCAAACTAACCAGCCTTCTTCTATTTCCTCCAGCCGCTGACCCTTCGTGTCCATCCGGAATGATGCAGTGGCAGCATGGCTCATATGTCTTGCTGGCCAATGGATCCCTGATCTTGACTCCGATTGCAGTGGACGGGCGTCAGTTGCTCTCAGAACCATGCAGAAAGGGCATTAGCAGCTATACACGATACAACAACACCGAGTATTTCAGGGTATGCAGATACACATCTCCCAACTTGATCCATACATCTCCATACTGATACCCGGGTCAGGGATACTCTGTTCAGGTCGATAAATACCACGGCATTCAACGCCTCGATTTGACCCAAGCAGATGGCAAGATTATGCAGCCCATGTATCTCACCTACCGACCACCCAAAATGCTCCCTACCTCGACGTTGAACCCCATGCCCAGAGGTTCTCGCAAGAAGCGGGACATGTCGGGTTCCGCGTTTCATCTGGTTATCAAAGAAGAGCTCATCAATCCGGACCGATGGTGGTGGTTTGGCGTATTGATGACATCTCTGGGAGGAGTCGCGTTTTTCTGCTCGTAGGAGATTGCCGTTTCCCTTTAATGGTCTCTGGTGTTGGTCTTTGGCGTTGGGGCTTTCTTGTATTATTCGTTAAACAATGAAGTTTCTTTCTTTCTGTCTCCGTCTCTCTTTTTATACCTCTCGAATGTCGAGTCAAAAGAATAGGGATATCCAAAACATTCTAACAAAGCTATTGTACATGTGGAGCATTTTAGTTTTACTCCAATACTCACTGCTCTCTGCTCCTTCAAGCAGAGACAGCCTTCTTGACCAGCCCAGCAACCTCTTTCCGGTCTGCGGGCTTACCATCGAGGGCACCACCGGGGGCGAACAGAGCCTTCAGGACCTGTCCGACCTCCAGCTTCTTACCGGCTTCCTTGATAGCAGCGATTTCCTTGGTGATTACAGCCTCAACTTCCTCCACTGTCAGGGTCTTGACGTGGCCGGCATACTCCTCCAAGATCGCAATCTGAGCATCTTCTTTTTCCTTCAAGTCTGGTCGGTCGGCTTCGGCGAATTGTTGGGCAGCCTCTTTGGAGGCGGATGCTCGTTTCCGAATTAGAGAGAGAAGCTGGATATCGGTTTGAATGGGAGAGGCAGTTTTGGCCGCGTTGTTGGTCTCGGAGATCAAGGCACGAAGAACATTAAGGCTGTCATGGTAAGTAAAAGGCGAACCTGAAGCGCTGTTGCCTAGATGGGAGTGACAACTGAGCCCACTTGAATTCTTGCCTTACCGAGGAGTATCCTTTGCCCTCATTGCCGTCTTCAGATCATTGCGCAGTGTGGCCATCAACGGCGGCAGAGTCGGACCGGCCGTGGAGTTCCAGCGCACCGAGCGCAGAGGGACTCGGACGGAAACACGCATAGACTGAAACATTGCAAAGGTGAAAGAATAGCTGCCTGAAACTTAACAAAGGCAGGCTTGTTTTCTGTCAATGGCAAGCTAATCGGAGGCAGCAAAGACGAAGACGAGGCAAGCAGAAGAAGCTCTCAGCCTGCAAAAGGCGGAAGATCATCAAAAGTGGTCCGTGCACCTTCCAATTGTTGACTCGCTTTTCGCAAAAGAAACTTGAGAATCAACCCCAACCTCTCTCCCTCTGCTATTTTATTGCCATCGCCCTCCTTCCCTCCACGTCAACGTTCCTTTGATCAGCGCCTGTTCATTCCATTGACTGGTCTTGCAGCTTCTTGTGCTTTTTTTTCTGCTCGGCCGGGGAGTCGTGCCCTCTCTCCTCCCATCTCTTCCCCAGCTGTGCACCCACGAATCCGTCGCCATGTCGTACCCGACTCTGCCCACCAACTTCGCGCCTCCGACGCCTCAGAGACCGCTTCCCGGGGCCTACATGCAGACACCTGCTGTCGCTCGTCATGGATCTTTTCAATCGCCTCAACAGCGATCACAGCAACAGCCGCAACAGCCACAGCCACAGGGCATCGCGTCCCAATCTCCGCCCATGCCCAGAATGCCCCCAGCGTCATCGCAAACCCAAATTCAGACCTTGAGCACCGAGGAGCGTGGCGCGCGCACCATCAATGAGACCCTTTTGAAGGAATCGCGGTATCCCGACCTTGACAGCTATCTGTCTCGTGAGTTTTGTCTCCTCGTGAGCGGATGATCCAATGCTAATCTGACGCGCGGATAATAGAGGGCTTCTCTTCGGAATATGACGTTTCCGTCTCCCAATCATGGGCTCCCTTCCAAAAAGTCAAAATGTACAATATCCCCGACCAGATCTTCGATCAGTACAATCGCGCCCAAGTTTCGACGAGCATGGGTCTCTTCGCCGAGTTGAACCACGCGTGGGTGGCCATCGATAATGCGCTGTACCTGTGGGATTTCACGCACCCGAGTCCGCAATTAGTTGGCTTCGAGGATCAGCCAAACAGCATCAATGCGGTCAAGTTGTTGAAGCCGCGCGCGGGAGTGTTCTTGCCCGCCATCACTCACTTGCTTGTGGTGGCTACGACCGCGGAGGTGATTCTGCTCGGCATGGGTGTGGAATCGACATCCAATGGATCTAAGCAGGTCACTCTTTACCAGACTGGAATGTCGGTGTCTATTCGCGGTCTCGATATTAATGTGTTTGCTTCGTCCGACGCTACCGGCCGCATTTTCTTTGGTGGATTGTCCGACAACGATGTTTATGAACTGACATACCAACAAGAGGAAGGATGGTTCCAGAATCGATGCCGCAAGATCAACCACACCAGCTCCCGACTGTCCGCCTTTGCGCCGTCTCTGAGCTTTTCTAACCTTGCCGCCTTGTCTCAGAAGGCTTCTGAATATGTGGAGCAGATGGTGATTGATGATAGCCGGAGACTTCTCTACACTCTATCATCCACTTCGACCATCCGAGTTTTCCACATGAAGGAAGACGGTGCCATCTCTCTTGCAATAACCAAGGCAGCATTGGATATCTACTCCAATATTGGACATATCATCGCATCTAACGAAACTTTGAACCCCAAAGTGAAGATTGTCTCTATCAGTCCCGTCCCCGCCGCAGAGGCCTCACGATATCACCTGGTGGCTACCACCGCCACGGGTTATCGGATCTACCTCAGTGCCACCAACGCTTATAGCTGGGCTCCCGCGTCCAACGGCAACAATGCACCCACGAGCATGCAGGCCCAGCATGTCAAGACACCTCCCGTCGATAACAATGCAGCATTTGCCGCTGTTTCAGCCCCAACCGAGTACGGCGTGTCTCGACTCAACGCGGCCGTCACCAAATTCCCAATCCAGTCTCTTTCTCCTACGCGGATGGCGACACGGTTCCCACCGGGATTTTTCTTCTGCTTTACCTGCAAGGACACCGCCCAGAGAATGGATACATTGTTCATCTCATCGCCTGATCCTGGTCGTCTCAACTACCAGCCGGAAAGTGTGAACATTGCCAAGACTGCCGAGTCGGCCGTTTGGCTGAATTTGGGTGGACGAGCGGAGGATATTGGTTTGTGTTCCAGTGGACCCCTTGGAATCTCGGGAGGTGGATACGGCAACGAGCTGGCCGTTCAGTTTGACCAGGGAGCGGCGGAAATCGCAATTCTAACCAACAGTGGCATTCATGTCATTCGTCGGAGACGTCTGGTCGATGTCTTTGCTGCGCTGGCGCGCAGCCGTGGTACTGCCGAGGGTGAGGTTGGCCTCGAGCAGGAAGTGGTCAACTTTATCAAAGCATATGGCCGTAATGAGACTGTGGCGACTGCCCTCGCTGTGGCATGTGGTCAGGGTGTAGAGGTTTCCCCCGATCAGCGACTCACGCCGATCAATGACCCCGACGTTCTGGAATTCGCTCGCAGAGTCTTTATCGAGCAAGGTGGCCGGCCAGTGCCTGACGAGAATACCGTACAAGACAACATAACCCCAGCCATCGATACGATCCACCTTTCTCCCCGTCATGATGGCATTGCCTTGTACATTTCCCGCTTGCTGCGGTCGATCTGGAAGATGAGCATTACCAAGGTGGGCAAGGGGCCGAACGGCGCGGCTTCCGTGTCTGCTTCGGTGAGCGCCGCCAAGCTGCGCACCATTCAACATGACCTATCTTCTCTTCAAGAATTCTTCAAGGTCAACAAGAGCTTTATCGAGGGCTTGACTGGACCGGAGGAGCTGGCCCGGGTTTCGAACAAGCAGCAAGAGACGGCACTGCAAGCCGAGCACCGCGCTCTGCATTCTCTTGTTCAACTCGTATCGCACACAATCGAAGGTATCTCATTCGTGCTGGTGCTCTTCGATGAGCGAGTAGACGAGATTGTGGCTACCCTGCCCGCAGAATCGAAGGAGCGATTCTTGAAGTTGACTTTTGAGGAACTCTTCAGCACAAGCAAGGGTCACGACATTGCCAAGGAGTTGGTCAAGGGAATTGTCAACCGCAATATCGCCAAAGGATCCAACGTTGAGACCGTGGCGGATGCTCTGCGTCGCCGATGTGGCAGCTTCTGCAGTGCCGAGGATGTGGTCATCTTCAAGGCGCAAGAGCAGCTCAAGCGTGCCACAGAAGCCGGTGCTAACTCAGAGTTGGGTCGTAACTTGTTGAATGAGAGTCTGCTTCTTTTCCAGCAGGTGGCTGAGAATCTTCCCATGGATTACTTGGTTTCCGCTGTGGATAACTATATCTCCAATCAATTCTTTGCAGGTATGTTCAACGCCAACTCCTTTCTACGATTTTCCCCCGTGGGTTTAGAATCCCGTGCTAACACTAGATAGGCGCCATCTCACTCGCTCTCCACGTCGCTCAACGCTCCGACAAGGCGAACATGGCCCTTTCATGGATCATGGACAACCGCCCAGAACAGGTAAACTTTTCCTCCCATAATGACTTCCCCAGCCAAGCCATCAGCACCAGCTCATATTTGCCCAGGATCCTCGCAAGCAATACTTCGTCTACCGCAAGCAATGCTACGATCTTGTATCAAAAGTCATCGTCGCTGTGGACACCCAGGCTGCTTCTGACCCCCATGTCATTGATGGTCAATTGACTGTGATTGCCAAGCGACAGAACGAGGCGTACGGTGTCATTACCGACTCGTCCGATGAGGTATTCTTGACTAGCCTGTACGATTGGTACTTGGAGCAAGGCTGGAGCGAGCGACTCCTTCAGACCCAATCGGCATTTGTCGTCAGCTATCTGCAGCGCAAGTCTAATGACGATATCGCTCATGCCGATCTCTTGTGGCAATACTATGCCCAATCCCAGCGGTTCTTCGAGGCTGCCGAGGTCCAATTCCAATTGGCTCAAAGCTCGTTTGCGCTACCGCTCAGCCGGCGCATCGAGTACCTGGGCCGTGCTCGTGCTAACTGCTCCACATTAACCCGCGATGTCGGCCGTCAGGAACGCCAGCGCCTGCTACAGGAAATTTCCAACCTCATCGACGTGGCCAACATTCAGGATGACCTTCTGCAGCGTTTGAAGGATGACGAGCGCATCGCTCCTGAACGCAAATCCGAGGTTCTTCGCGAGGTGGATGGCCCAGTTTTGGATATCAGCACCGTATGTTCCATCTATCTTTCATCTCTCTACCTGCATGATCCTCAATCTGACTTGTCTACTTCTAGCTCTACAACCACTACGCGGACCCGGCGAGCTACAATGACATCTGCCTGCAGATATTCTTCGTCGGCGATTACCGGAATGCGGCTGACATCAAGTCCACCTGGCAGAAGCTGATCCAGGAAGTGCACCAGCGGACATTGGATCGCGGCACACCGCAGCCCTTCGAGGCCGTGGTCGAAAAGGTGCGCAGCCTTGGCAGCCGACTACGGATGTCGGAAACGGTCTTCCCCGTCCGTGAGCTCCTCCCCATGCTCGAACGGTATTCGCTAGAGTTCCAACGCCACGTCGGCGCGACCTACTGGGTTGTTGATCTGTTCCTGGATCTGGGAGTAGCCCATGACGCACTCTTCACCGTTTTGGAGGCGATGTTCTATACCGACGAGGCGCCTTTCCACGGGTCTAACCGGAAATACATTGCCAAGGATCTGCTCTATCTTCTAGAGGGATGGTTCCGGGAGAGTGCCCGGCTGGGTGGCATGGTGTTTGGCGGAGACACTCAAGCTGAGCGGGTTTCGGAGATTTTGTTGATGATGATGCAGGCCGGGACCGCGACGACGCCGGAGATTACGGAGCGTTGCCAGGAATTGCGGCAACGGATTGAGGATTTGCTACGTTGATTTAGTTTTGGAGGTCATGGTAAACGGCATTTTTTTTCTTGCTTGTCAAGGACCGACAATTTTGTTCATGCTCATCGTCGGCCTCTCCTTTGTCTATTCGGACCCTTTCGTCTCTGCTTTTGTAACTCTACTGCAATCCTGAGGGCGTTGTGTATCTTGGGGAAATGGTAATGAAATGGCATGTTCTGTATGCAGTATAAGAAGGAATCTACATGAGCACTTCTGTCTCTCGACAGCACAGAGTATCAGGTTCGTCATTGAGGAATTTTCATCATGAGATTGCAATTAGATGGTCGTAGTTTTCAACCCCGAAACCAGAAACCAAGGCAAGTAGAAATATCCCCAGAGATAAAACCACGTAGTCTAATCAACCGAACTCCCAAAAACAAAACCCGTCTATCAGAATCAAAGAAAATAACCCGAATCGCTTGCATAAACAGAACATGGTGATGATGGTGAAGGTGGTGGTTCTTTTTACTCGAATTCATCGTATACTGGGATAGGCTTCTCGCCCAGGGCGATTAGCCGGAAGATATGCCGTGCCTTGGCGCCGTATTCTTCATCCAGATAATCGACGACCGCAGAGTCTATAATCATCAGTAACAATGCCTAATAATCAGTGGTAACGGGAAAACTCACGAGTCGTCGACCGATTATCAAACATAACGATAGTTCGTGGCTGCCAACGAACTCTCGCCTGGAAATCATGTCCCGTAACAATGTGATTCATCAAAAAGTCCAACATCCACTTGACCTCCGGCTCCTTCATACCCTGAATCTTGGTAATGAACTCGGCATTCAAGAACAGACACTTCTCCCCCGTCACAGGATGCACACGAATCAACGGATGCACGGTATCAACAGGGTCCTTGCGCACCAAACCACCCGTCAACCGAGTATGCGCGATCATTTTCGCCGACGAATGCACACATTTCAGCGTATCCAAGAACGAGCGCAACGTCGGACTCAACCGTTTATACGCCATATCCGTCGCGGCAAAAATGGTATCACCCCCAACCTCAGGACCCTGCAAAAGACCCAACATGACATAACCAGGCGGCTGGATTTCATAACTAACATCCTGATGCCAGAGAGTAGTAGTCGTCCTCTGATCCAAGAATCTGGCAATTTCCTCGCGATTTCCATCGCGATGAATCACATGAAAAGCCGGGTGATTGCGCACGGTTCCCGAAACGGGCTGGTAATTGGGTTTACCAAAATACCGCATAAACGACTCCTGAGCATCAGGCCCGTCATCAATGAGATCCTGGTCCGGGAAGGCGAGGACTTTGCGCTGGGAAATGAGCAGGGCGAGTTCGTCCTTTGCGGCGTCGGAGAGACGGTTTAACTGGACACCATGCACGACGGAGCCGATGGTGGGTTGGATGTGGTTGACGGATACGCCGGGGGTGAGCAGGTTGCGCATGGCGGGGTCTTTGACGCGCAGGGCGGGATCGAGGTAGTCGAAGGGTGGAAGGGGGTCGAACCAGATGGGATCCCAGGTGGGGAGGTATTGGGGGTATGGGGTGTTGATGTGGGAGAGTTTGTCGACGTCGACGTAGGGGATGTTGATGTCGTAGCTGATGGGGATTTTGGGTTTATGGCCGTTGTGATCGTTGTGGCCGTGGCCATGGCCATTGGCCTTGGAGCGGATGAGGGGGGCTGAGGAGGGCATTGTAGGAGGGAGGATAGCAGTGAAAAGGAATGGAAGAGATGGCGAGTCAGATAGGATACAGGATATAGGATATTGTGTATCGCAAGTGGTGAAGCAAATGGTGAAGTAGATATAGAGGACAATGGATAGACCCGCCGAGTTCCACAGATGAGAAAAAGAAAATATTATCAGATCAACCAGAAACCCGTTCGTCTACCTTTTTATAAGATATACCCACCTACCTTGATCACTACTAGTCCGGACAAGTCTATCTAGTGTATATCCACGCCGATATACAACCGACCCAGCATTCTACCCGGTCCCGCACCAGACTAAACCAGTGAAAAAGTGGGTTCGCGCATGATATAGTGGATAATGGAAGGGTATTATCTGTATTATGATAATATCATAAGTAGCCTTGGATAAAGCCAAAGGTAAATTAAAATTAAAATCAAAAAAGCAAAAGTGCATCGTGGCCCCTCCCCGACCTGCATGATAGCTTCAAACACTAGTTCTAGTCCCCCTTCATCTCCGAGTGGGATAAGGGAAGGGTAAAAAAAAGAGAAACGGACCCGAAATTTGGGAACCGTATCACACATGGATCTTACAGGAAGAGTTTAGGGAGGCGTACGTTTGAAAGAGGCGCCGATGGAGCTACTGGTTTCTGGAAAACTAAACTAAAACTAAACGTTACTAGCTGCTAACAGACTAGCAGGGGGGTATGGGAAATGGAAATTGAATTTGGGAAAGAAGATGAAAGGGATTTAGAAAAAAAAAAAAAAAAAAAGTGGTAAAAGTGGTCTGTGTGCAAATCGGTTCGCTTGCTACAAGAGAAGCGGTCAGCATAACCGGGAGAAAAAATGAGCTCAATCACTTCAAGAGTGAGAAAGAGAGAGGCAAGGCCACCCCGATCCCGGGGGGTTCCGACCTGTTAGAGGAGGAGATGGAGAAAAAGAATGGGGACAAGGGATATGGGGAAAGGAGGGGGTGAAGGAAGAGAAGGGAGGTGTAGCTATTAGATTGGAGGAGAAACGCGAGGAAGAGAGAGAGAACACAAGACAAAGGGTTGTCGTGGCCCGTTTAGAATTTGAAAATTTAAAAATAATATAAATTATTCTTATTTAGTTATGTATTCACTATACTACCGAAGTAGGTATGTATCAAGTCATTCGAAGCAGGAATGATAGTATTATACTGTAGTATGGAGCAATACTCGATAATCACGGAGTCATCTGTTCGCATTTCCCCGTCATAGTTCCGTGATGAAAAAAGTGGGATTTTCACCGCTCCCCACGGGACAAACGAGATTGGATTGGATGAGATTATTGGGGAAGTGATATACTATGAACTTGGGTTATTACTGGTAGTAATTGGATTCCTGGAATAGCCGTCAAGATACTGAGTATCCGGAGTACACCCTAATAGCCTGTAGGGGTCCTTGTCCTAGTACTCCGTACTCCGTTGTGGCTGTCCTCTCTAGTGCCGAGATACGTACCTGCCGACGATGACACCATGAACTAATCTGGACTAAGAAGTAGTTAGATACTACAGTGTAGACACTAACAATCTAAGTACATACTGTATGTAGAAGATCATGCAGCCTCGGCCTCGAAAAGCCGGCTGATTGCTTCCGCTTGAGTCGCTTGTTCATGTTGGTGCTTTGAGTCGTCTTCCTATGATCCTGCCGTGCACCGTGCATCGATAAGGCAGCTGCAGGCGGAATGGCAATTGCATTATCTGCCGTGATCTGTGCAGAGCAAGTAGCTCCTTTTCAAGATGATAGTCCTTGATCCAATTGACCGTAACTTTGGTCGGATTGTCAAGGGGGTGTTTATCTTTTGAAGGATCTGCCACAATAATCCTTTCCGAGTACTTCTGGACAAATCGGGTAGTTATACGGAGCAAAGGATTAATTAGATAAGTAGTTCTTTATTCTTTTCATGGAGGTAATTACTTACTTCGGACAGGAAGAGATCAGAAAGTCCGTTAGGTGTACATCAGATTTCTAATAAAGTACACGTTTAGCGATATCCGCGACTCGGTACTTTGTCCTCGACGAGCTACTCGTAAAGACCCGCCAGCGAGCAAGCGAAGAAGCACAGAAAACCCCGGGTGGAAATACACTATTGTCCAGTTACTCGAGTAAGGTGCTCCATAGGCCCGGGATGATGCCCGTTTCACCAGATCTCCACTTTTTTTCTCTTTTATTATCCTTTGAACTTTGGGAGCTTCTGCTTCTGTTTTGCTTCCTTCTCTAATAATTACTTTCCTAACCCCTGTTCATTTGTTCCACTGTTCGCTGCCTAATCTTTGCACTTTCCACTCCCCTGTTCCCTCCAATTATCTCCCTCAATTCCCTATCCAATCACTCTCCCAATTGATCCAATCACCCTCATCCCTCCCAATCAGTGCAATCACTACTTTCATCCCATTATTCCCCCATCTCCACATTTACACCATCGGCTCCCACGCCCGTAACTCATTGGTTCCCTCCCGCCCAAATATGCGGTCTGCTCTAATCCCGCCCGTTGACCACATCGCTTTCGTCTACTTCCCCATCGGACCACGTTGCACATGGTAAAAAAAAATTCTGTAAACCAAAAAAAAATGGATTCCGGAGAAGTTAGAATCAGACTAAGAACTCGGCGCCTCGAATCCCGACTGGGACCCGCATCAATGATGCTACGAATCGAAATCATTTTCTATCTCTCTCATTATATTCTCTGCAAGGCGTCCCTTAAGAGAAACAAAGTAGATACATGCACTATGTAATCCCATTCCCGATTGAGCCTATAACACCGCATCAAGCACGAACGCGGTCTCCACGGTAGTCCTGCTCCTAGGCTCCTCTTACGCCACCAATCCTGGAACACGATGCAGCAATGGAGCAATCCCGACACCCGGTTACCAGTTTCCAGTTTTCACTTTTCAGTTTTGTGATTTTCCCTACCTGCATCAATAACGGAGTCGGACTAGCTTGGCTCTGTAAAGCCCACACTGGTCAGTCTAAGACTCTTACTGTACAGTTCTAGCTAGGCTAAGTCTAGTCTACTGCTGCTCCTAGCCTCCCTGGATGCCGAGGATGGAGAGATGATACGATCATCAGCCGTCCAGTTAGCATCCAGTGCGCCGTGACGTGATAGGAACCCGCTCTTCCGTTGCTTCAAAGGTCCCCAGCTTGCGTCTCGGGTTTGCATCCCTTCATCTTCGCGTTGCAGGGTCATGTTCTCCACGCGGAGGAGAACCCGGGGACTAGCTTATGGTCTGGTCTGTCGCCAGCAGGTGCGCAGATTGATTGCCGTAGAGTCGTAGACAAACTTGAAGCTGTTAGTCAACGATTGCTTCTACTTTCGCTTCTGCTTTTCTTGGTTTCGGGGAGAACGGAAAACGAGGCATTAATTTCGAGTTTTGCTACCAAGTAGATTCTTTTCAGGTGGATCACATCACGTCTTTTGGCCTCAGGGACCGGGCCGGAAGATGTCCACTCGTGCCAGACTTGCGTCTCCCGTGGTTCACCGGTTTTGGAGGATCCATCTGGGTGGCTGTCACCGTTGTTTTCCCATGTTCGGACTTCGTAGATTATGTGTCCTCGGTACATAGATTATTGACCCATGCAGGTGTTCCAAAGGAACGGAAGCTGGGAGAAATAGTCGGTCGGACTCGCCAGGATGAACTGTCTTTTCCCACAAGGTCTAACATGGACGAGAAGGGGGGCTATCACAAGGAAAAACTCCGTTAGAATCTAGTTCCTCCTTTTCTATCTCATATCTCATATCTCTATTCTGATATACCAATCTCTACTCCGTAGTCTCTACTTGTAGGTACTCTGTAGTGGACCAAAATACCAGATCTCCACTAAGCTTAAATCCGAGGGGAAAAAAGCAAACATGGTCCCAGATCGCCGGTCGAGAAGGTCCCCACCTGATCGGTGCCTTTTTATTTTTTCTTTGAGGCGTTAGTGTTTTGGTCTGTTTCGCTTAGCTGCTTAGGCTTTTAGCTGCTGTAGTTGCTGGAGTTACCATAACATCTCTGGTAGTGGTAGCTGTAGCTCTTGCCTCTCGCCAGTTGACTAGTCACGGATAAATCTATTCACCAGTTGACTCTCATCCCATAATCACACTCCCCCTTCTTTCTTGACGATCAATTCTCTAATCTGCAGTACGTCACGGCTCTAACCACTTTCCACTGCCAGCGCCTCTCCGACCTCGGCACTAACCCATCACAGCTCTCCTAGCTAGATAGCACTAGCTCTAGCTCCAGCTCCAGCCTCAACAGCGCGTCACTATCTCCAACCCTCCCTCCCCACAGCCTCCGCAATGGTCCCCCTCACAACCCGCAGACGCGACTGCGCCTACCTCCTTTTCTTCGCCTCGCACATCCCCATAATCTTCCTGATCGACACGGTCCCCCTCCAACCATCATGGATGCGCACCGAGCTCTCCGCGCAGTTACGGGAGTACTATGTCGCGACATACAAGGATAAATTCTTCGAGGATCCGGCGCCGGTGTGGTTTAGCGCATTCATTTGGATGGAGTTGCTTTATCATGTGCCGGCGAGTTTGTGGGCGGTTTGGGGGTTGTGGAGAGGTAGGTCAATACAACACAGTGCTGGGGAGGGTGATAGATTCAGGATGGACTGGATTGAAGGGATACAGATCAGATCAGATCAGATGTTCTCTCTCCGATCTGACTGATTCAATCTGATAACCTTCCAATCTGAGCCTATATACCTTCATCCTACACCTACACCTTCCATTCTACTCTATCCTATCTGATATACACCCTCACTAACTAATCCCCCTTCCAATTCAATCCAGACCACCCCCTAATCCCAGTCCACCTCCTCATCTTCGGAATCCAAGCCTTCGTCACCTCCCTAACATGTCTAATCGACGTCTGGAGCTGGCCCGATCGCACAACACCCGAAAAACAACAAATCACATATCTCTACGGTCCATATGTTGCACTAGGTGAGTCCAGCCAGAAAAACCCAGGACAGAAACGAGACAGACAGGGAGCCTGAGTATCTGGAAGCTTGAGCTGTACTTTGACGGGAGCTGGGATACAATTGACAACTCGCAATTCACAATTGACAATCCCTCCCATTCCGTCTCGCCCGTGACGTCTTTTCTGCACATATAGCACACATCATGAACCAGACTGACGAGCGCAGGTGCCCTGATGGCCTTTGACATGGTGATTCGATTGCGTGCTCGGTTGATGCCGAAAACCACTAAGCGCGAGTGAGCACGAAAAGCTCTACGTTTTTCGTTCTGGGGTATACGTCATATCCCGAAATTATGGCGAGAGTGCACCGGACTAGAACGGACTAGTCTGGTCTGCTTTGCACTGCACTGCATTGCAGTTAGGGGTACTCTGTTGGTAAGAGGGACTTGATGCATGCAGATCCTACATACAGGATACTATACAATGTATAATGTGCAATGTGCGATGTGCAATGCAGAGGAAATGCAAAGATATCTCGAATTCGGGAGTGGGGCATGGGCATGGAAATTCGAGGACTGGAATCAGATATGTAAGATATGAATGACTCGGTGCTACGGAATTCGTCATTTCTTGCCAGACACATGCCAGATGCCACCGTATAATCGTACATTGCGCTACGGACATGGGTACACCGCGAGAATATGAGAAGAGCAGGACAAAAAGGGGTACTGGAACAAGCAAGCACCAGAATAAGGCAAGAAGCACGAGACACGATGCACAAGGCACCGAAAAGAAGAGAAGAGAAGATATGACAAGATACAGTCCCGCTAAATACAATATCCAATCCCTAGCCCACCACCGCTAAACGCCTGAATATGTAGAATAAAAGAGGAAGGGAATCACACGAGCTGACCCGACGGCTATCTCCGCTCCTGATCTCGACTTCATTCAATTTGAATTCGTGATCATTTCTCAGAGCAAGAACCCAATCGCCCCGTCTAGATCTCCATGCGCTGCGTCCAGCGCCCGCATCGCCTCCTCGCGCGTGAAGCCCAGCTCCGTAAGCTTCGCAATAGTGGCCTGCGGCCACCGCGACGCCGGCGCAGGTCGAATATTGATCCTAGGCGCCGGCGTGCCCTGCTGCTGCTGTTGCTGCTGCGATGGTTGGGATTGCCCGGCCGAAGCAGAACTACCAGCCTGATGTGTCACTGCACCAGTGCGCGCGCCAACTTCCGCGCCATCAGCGCCCTTCACGGTCGGCTCGTCCTCAAACTCGTCTGTCAAGTTCTTGGGAATATCGGCCTCGCCCAGGAACGGCACAGCTTGGTCCTGGATCACCAGGGCGCCGCGCCTGAGATCAATACAGGCTTGGTGCCGGCGCAGCATGTCTAGACCCAGTAGCAGGTCAATCTGCTTTCCCTCCATAACGGTGAACGAGCAGGGCAGGAACATGTCGCCGATCTTAATCTGTGCCGAATGTACGCGACCCAGGATGGGTGCGGTGCCGACGCCCTTGGCGATACCACCGTATCGCCGGTCCACTAGGCGCATAATGTTGCAGGCGACTGCGCAATCTGGGGACATGATGGTGACCTGGGCGCCGGAGTCGACAAAGGCGTTGAGTCGGTGACCGTTGACTTCGACGGGGATGTAGAGCATGGTAACACGACCGAAGGCTGTAGGAAATAAGTTAGCTTAGCTGGTGTTTGGAAATACCGGCGACAGAGCGCGATCCTGGAACATCCACGAAATACAAACATTCAGGGTGATGCTCCATAGCATTGTGTAGATTCTCCGTGACTGCGTTCTGGCGGATAATCTCCTCAATCTCGCGTTGGTTCTCCGGGTTAAATGGATCAGCATTTAGCATCGCAATACGAGCCTCCTTCTCCGCCTCAGCTTGCGCTTCACGCTGCTGCTGCGCAAGTAACACGCTCCTGAACTGCTGCGCATTATCCGCGGCCGCCGCCAACTCGGGGTTTTGTCTGCGCACGGCTTCGCGCACGCGTGGATCGCCCAGAATGTGTAGTCGGATAGTCTCCGGGTCGGGCATGCCCGGGCGCGGGGCGACGTTTTGGCGTGGCGCAGCACTGGGGCCTGGGGCGGAGGAGGGTGCGGCGGCGCGGGAGGAAGATGAGGGGCCTTGGGGACCACTGCGGAGGTTGACGTGGACGCCGAGCATGTCGCCCTCGGCTATGCCGACCTGGTCGAGGGTTTGTGAGGGGATTTGGAGGAGCTGGTTGTTGAAGACGAGTTGTTGGGCTTCGGGGGGAATAGCGGTTTCGCTTTCGACGATGGCTTTGAGCAGCTCTATCGTCATATCGCCGCCAACCTCGAGATTGATGATATCCGAGTCTGCCTGCTCCGGGCGGATGACACTGACGGTGATACGCCTGGATGGAGGAGGTAGATGCGTTAGTTTGAAGATCATCTAGATGTGCAGGCTGCATTTTATCTCCGAAACTCACATGGTGTCTGGTGCGGGGAGACAGAAGAGCTAGAGAGAGGAGGGGGGAGAACAAGGTAGATAGTTAGGCTTCGTGAAACAAAGATAGCCCTAGACTAAACCACAACGAAGGAACGGACAGATCCCAAGAAAGTAAAGAGAAGACGAGGGTTAAAAAAGAAAGAGGAGGAGGAAGTGGAAGTGAATTGAAGGAGATGGAAAGTCGTGCGGGTAACGCTGGAGCGCTGACTAGGCTCCTTACATACGCCCGCTCCACTATCGCCTTCTTGTTGTACTTCTTCTGTTCCCAACTTCTGCCTGGTCTCAAAACACCCTAACAACCTAAAACCCCCCTGATAGTCCCATCGGCTGACAATGAGCTAATAATTCTAGACCAGCTGCAGGTCCATGACCCACTCATCCAACGGTGGAAGTGGATGGTGATGATGAGGAGCACAAAGCGCATTCCGCTGGTGGATCCGAACTCCCCGCAATTAGCTCCGGCCGGTCTCTAGTTCCGCTTGATATCGAACGGCAAGGACTAAGGCAACTCTGAAACTCGTCCTCGACTTTGACTATTGATCGGCATCGAGTCATGCGGACTCGGCGGAAAGGCAAATCGACTGGCCGAGATAATATGGGAGCCTCGCAACGCGAAACCATCCATCTTCCTCCTGTCCCTCCAGGGCAGGGGACAGGCTTATCATGCCTAGTGCCAACGTCCCCTCCGTGATGTCAAAGGTCCTTTTGTCAGCGAGCTGAAAGCCAGTCCGTGTCTACCCATCCGGTTGCCCCCGGTTATGCCAGTTCTAGCACTGGTTTGGCTAAACGGCTGCTCTCAAAAGTACCACGATGTCCACCGTTGGGGGAAATCCCGCGTTAGCGTGTCCCCATGGGCCGTCCCCCTGAGCAGATCCTACTCTGAAACCTGCCAGCTGCCCCTCGACCCCTCCTTCCCAAGATGATGGGAATGAACGACCTCGCATGATCCTGACGCGGGTGCTCGGCAAGACAGACCAAGAACTTGGTTTTATGCAGCTCGCTACGAGGTATGATGCACTACACTCTACACTAACAAGCAGTCCATACTTCGTACATCTCAGCCGAATATGGAGGTGGACGGCTCTCACCCTGCACTAGCGCTATGTGTGCTTTGTTCGCTGCGCTCAAAAAAGCAAGACATAGTACAGAGCGGTTCGCCCATCGGGTATACCAACGGATGCGGTTCTGCTTTAACGCGAGATGCTTGCGCAGTAATAGTGCTGACGCTAGAGTCTCGGCATCGGCGCGAGCCCGCAGCGGGCGTTCCCGCACGGATCGACAGTTGTTGTTCATGACAGCCTCATCGACGGTGCACGGGGTCCACCGGTTATGACGGTGGCTGCGGGGCTGGGACCCCTCCTGGAAATCCTCGCTGGTTTACCGCGCGGGCCCGCCTTGTCATCTGTGCAGTCAGAATGCACTACAAAGACAGGAGGTGTGGATGGCAAGGATGTGAAAAGGTTGATTCGGAGAATTATGTCCTATCAGCCATCTCGTTACCACTGACCATCTTACTGGCTATAAGGGCCTTGTCTAGGACTGCCTATTTGGGAAACAAAGTCTGGAAAAACTTGGCCAAGCCTAGGGCCTCGTCATGAATCAATTTAGCTTTCCATCGTGTCGGGTCTACGGCAGCTGTCATGCGACGGTGCGCGCTAATGTCGATTCCTAAAGGGATTTCCTGCTGGGCCCTAAACATGGATCCCGCTGCATTCGGCCCGATGCAGCAACGGCGAGATTTCTACAAGCGAAGTATTCCGTCATGGTCATTATGGGCAGTTATCGAGTCGCCGATCGAACAGTACACCGTTGGCAAGATGAGCAGACTAATCTTACTTTGATTCCTTTAGTTGTTACATCTACTTAATTTCAATGTGACATGAACCACAATTTTAGCTACTCAACTTGGTTGGTTCAGTCATGGGTCTTCGTTATGATATTAAGTTTATATGACATAGTTGAGCTTAGCTCATAGTGATCCAGTAGTATCACTGCCTCCGCAATGTAGAGCGAAGACTCCGCAGATATCGATGCAGTCGACTGTGCGGTTGCATATGCCGAGCCTCATCTGGTAAGCCGACTTCCATATCCCGCAAATGCTTGGCTTTTTCGATGGGCTGCTCTTTCCCAGACGGTGTGAGCTCGTACCGACTGTAAAAATCGTTAGAAAAGCTCTGCACATATCAAAATTTCACAGGGCGATCAAAACTTACCATGTAGGGCATGTCCGCGACCTCTGAACCAGCCATTCATCGACACAACCCCGATGAAACAAATGTCCACAAGGTAAGACTCGCACAAGTTGATTCTTCACAAACTCATCCGTACAAATCGCACACGTCGAATTCCCCGTCTTGACAACCGATGTCGTCCTCTCGGATACGCTTGTGGACCGACTCGTCTCATCCCCGGCTTGCGAAGACTTCGTGGAACCATCAAAGCTTGACTTTTCCATATTCGGCAAATCATCAACCTCATCATCATATTGCACCAGCGGAAGGGTTTTGAGCAGTGCTTTCGCCATACTGCGCTGTCGCGGCTGTCCCGAATGATGAGCAGCCCATAGTCCATCCTGGCAGCGTGCCCGAAGTACAGCTATCGTGATACCCACGACAATCAGAACAGCTGCCGTCGCTGCAATAACATATAGCGTAACTTTCTCTGCATTTGAAAGGCCTGCGCCGTCGGTAGCTGTGGATGATGACCTCGCAGAGAGCATGGCTCTGTGGGAGATGATGTCGGAAGAGGAAAACATGTAATTTACGCCCCTCATCAAGGAATTTTGAATTGATAAACCACTCGAGTAATCTCAGTGGTTATAGAAGATATAAATGAGTATTGTGTGGGAAACAAATAGCTTCAAAAAATCTTAGCGCGCTTTTATTTAGCGGAGCGGGTGAGTCTGTCCACTCGCCCGCTTTTTACTCACCCACGCCCCGCATACAGAATTTACGACTAAATGCATAGTGATGCAATTCTAGGCATGGAATTTGCGGGGATTCAAGGATGTGTCTGATTTGATTTGACCAGAATTGGGAGGGTGTGTTTTGATTCTGGCTAGAATGGGTATGTTGATCCATGGAGTATAGTTCGGGATCTGATCGAGCGGCTCGGCGGAGGTGGAAGTTCGGAAGCCGAACTATAGTTTTACTGAAGGGATGTAACTTGACAAATTATGATGTGAGAGGTTTCAAACCTTGTGAATTCGTCTGTTGAATATTGGTTTACTCTTTGCACGAGGTTGCAGGCAGAGTTGCATCTGTCCCCGTCGCTCCTCTCCCGACTTGATACTTTCAGATCGGAAAGTATGAATCAGGATGTTCCCTCTTAAAAGCTCGGTCACTGGAACCATGCGATCTTTCTTATACACCCGCTGGGATCAGCTTACGGCCTCTTATTTGAGAAGCATATTAGTGACAATTCAAAATCTATTTGCAAAGACTTCACCTTCGACCAAAGGGAACCTCGAGATGTCCATAGTTAGGGTCGAGGATCTTCAGGCATGACCAACAGATTAAAAGCTTCTAATAATAGGATGTTACTCTCAAGCACCATCATCAACCCCAAATTCAAGCTCAACCAAGGATCTAGATAGTCTTGTTAGATGATCTGACAACCCACGGTGAGAATTTTCCGATGAAACGTTCCTGATGATTAGTTCATCGTAATGCAACAGAAATTAGCTTGGTTAAAGTAAGCAATGATCATGCCTTACTTGGTTGCTTTTATGGATCAGAGAATATTCTTAGTCTGAGGAAAAATGGGGCGAGTCTGTTCGTATGGCAGATCTTGGAGTTCGGCCCCGGCCCCCACAAGATGACACGGTGTGACTGGGCTGACGCCAGGCTGATGGGCACAGGTACAATTTGGGGCGATCCTGCGCCCTGCTAGGTAGACCATTTTCTACGTGAAGATTTGTTATTATTGGGGCGCCTGCACAATTTACTTTACTCATCCCACTGAGGCAAACTGAAATAATTCGGTGAATATATATGTGTGCACTACAAGTCAAGAAGAAGAGTGGTCATCCTCCAGTGCATCTCAGTTGTCTCAGGCAACGCTTGATGATCTTGAACCACCTTTAGATCTGCCGGTTGAGGTGAGAAAATGCCACTCGAGGTCCCAACGTGGAATCCTTCAGAAGTGTATGTTCCTCATCGTGCAGGCACAACAGCACTGGCTGACTGTGCTTCCAATCACACTTCGCCAATCTATAATTCGGCCCCTGGCCCGACAGTTTCAATTATCTACAAACAACCCCCGGGTTCTGTTCACAGCCCCCAGACATCCCTAACGTGCAGAAATCGGGGCCAAGTACCATCCTTTTTTTACAAATTGATGACAATCACTAGGAGATCTGACCTGTTACTTGGGGGCGGCCCGCCCCATCCTGATGAGGAGGCTCTCATCAAGACATGTCAGGCTTACAAGTTATGTTTCTTATAATAGTGATCACTCACCCCGCCTCTGATTTGCGATGATGTTTGGCCCTGAGTGATTGCATGATACATTCCTTCCTCCCCTCACATCATGGAGAATCTCATGAATCTGCCCATCACGGCCGTTATAGGTCCACCTCCAGCAACTATAGATCTCAAACAGAACCGGACGTGGAGAGATAATGCTGCTGTGATTACTATCTCTGGTGTCGCGGTCATCGCTGTCGTGATCAGATTCATTGTGCGGGTTAGAAGCCAAAAGGCAAGGCCATTTCTTGATGAATGGCTGATTGCGGCGACCTTGGTAAGTCATTCTTAACTTTATGTAATATGTAGACAAGGCTCATGCTTGTTCCAGGTTCCCATGCTGGCCCTTCTGGCTGCTTCATTAGCCGGTGGTCATTATGGGATGGGAAAGCACGTCTGGTTGGTGACAATCGGCGCCATGGTAAAGATGAAGAAGGTATGTATCACGGTTTTCAGAAGTTCATAATGAATACGGCTAATAAATTCCAGATCTTATTCGCGTATCTCTTTGTCTACTTATTTGAGCTATTCCTCATCAAGATATCTATTTTGGCTTTCTATCGCCGCATTTTTGGCCGAAATTGGTCGATCTGGATTTGCCTGTTCCTAACGACTGGGTGGACAATGGGAAGCATGATTGCCCTACTGGTCAGCAGTGACCCGGTTGCTTATTTTTGGACATCGACCTACAATCCAAAAGGCGGCCATTATCGATACAACTTTTACAACTACTACATTGGTAATGCTGCGGCAAATGTCGTCATTGATGTCTTGATTCTTCTTATACCAATTCCGGTGGTATGGAGACTGAAGCTGCGAGTTACCCAGAAGATAATGATTACCAGTGTCTTCTTTATCGGCGTTTTGTATGTGACCAAGCCGAAGAAAACCCCATTCTTTCCCCTTTCTTTCGATATTAACTAATATTTCATTTCTTCCAGTGTCTGCATTGCTAGTATCGTGCGACTCCACTACCTGACATATCTTAAAGGGACACAAGATATCACATGGGTCATGAGCGATATCTATGTCTGGTCCACAGTGGAGCCTTGCCTTGGCATTATCTGCGCCTGTTTACCAGCACTCCAACCTCTCGTCCAATCCTTCATGAAGGCGGAACATCTGCTTTACCTTCGAAAGAGATTACGCCGCAGCAAGAGAATGAGTCAAGTCAATCAGCTGCGAAAGCGTATAAGCAACACTAGCAGCGGTAACAACAGCCACAGTCGGTCGGACACTATGGATTCTCTAGATGGCAAGCCTGAGCTGGGCCTGCGAGCTTATGATGATGAAGTGTATCTTACATCGTGCGTGGCACAGGTCGAGTCAGAAAGATGTCGTAGGGAAAGAGAGAATTTGGAAGAGTTTCTTGGTCCTATGTTTATTCGGGTGGAGCACGAGGTCGAATGGACGGTTGACCATTCATAAGTTTTGCGTTTTCAGTGATGATTAGTTGCAGCTGTACATATTTCAAGAAGAGTACATATCCATTGAAGGAAAATTAAAAATTACACCTTATCAATTTATGGGGTTTCATATGGCGCAAGTAGCCCGTCCATCTGTCATTGATGATTGCTGTCTAAGAGACAAACAAGCTGGGCGGAGGTCCAAGGTAAGACTCCTTCGCTCCGCCAAGATCTAATACGATTTTCTCAAGAAGCAAATTCGGATGATTCAATCTGATTCTGATAATGTGAGCGCCCAGGTTGAGCTGCGTGACCGTATGATCTCGTTTCCAAACGCAATCCATGACAGCGTCCAGCCATCCTTCGGCTGGGAGTTTATCTCTTCTCTCTTGTGATTCTGGCAGCAAAAGGTGGTGATGTGGAGTTTCATTGTCAACTGCAATCGCGTAGGACATTGAATTCGCGGGGTCGATGTCGAGAGTCATATTAAAAATCAAATTCAAGGTTGGCGAGCATCTTGAAAAGATGTATATCGGGTACTCAAGGAACGGCGGAGGAGCATCTTCTCGGAGCAGAGGACTCTCAATAGTCACCGCTCCCTCGCTTGATCGGCCTAGCTCTGGATGATGCTGGTATGGTGCCTTGATCTCCACTCCTGAAGCGGGGATGGATACACAGCCGTCCGATTCGACGAAGCCACGGAAGGATTCAGGCACTTTGTGACCATGTACAGGCAGATGAACATGTTCAAAATCCCCCTCTTCCGAGACAATGGTAACCAGAATCTCTTCATCGAATTGCACGGGCACTTGATCCCAGTCAATCATGATCCAAATACGCACGTCATCACCATCAGGGGACAAGGTCCCTTTCCTCTCGGAGAGTCGAATCCATGGATGAGGAACGGACAATGTCCAGTGAATATTCTGTGTCCCCCTGGTAAATATGTCAAACCATCTTTTGATTGGACCGTATCGACTCATGGAACCAAGTGTCAGTCCTGGGACCAGATCTCGGCGACTAGGATGTGTTCGCTCACTCTCCTCATTAATTCGCCCAGCTCGAACACCTTCATGGCCCTCCACTGCAACTCCCATTTGACCCACAATTATATTACTGTTTTGATGTCGCTGCACGTATGCCAGACCAAAGATGGCGTCCCGTGAAGGCGCGTGCCAGGTATCTCCATAGCCCATGTGTGGTTGGCATAACAAATGATTCCACTTACCGTCTAAAAGGGAATGAAACTCTTGGGATAACTTGAAATCTGCATCGAAGAGATCAAGGGCTTGACGCAAAAGTTTGTTCGCTGTGTTGCGTCGTTGACGTGCATAAAGTTGGTTTCGAGCTTGAACCACTCTTAACTGGGTGAAAATTGAGCTGGCCTTTACTGGATGAACGACAAGTTCCCAAAATGCCGGCCGTTGCTCTTCCGATACTTGATTGTACAAGGATTCTGCCTTGAATTCTAAGTTTCTCCATCGCGTGACGATATTGTCGGCTTCATTGTAGTGTAGCAATGAAAAGCTTTCTAGATCAATGTGCTCGTGCTTTCGGAGGCGAACGAGGCGATCGTACTCATGCCAGACGGAGACAATTTGCGGACTCAACGCAGAACCGAAGTAATTGGTCGCAATTTGTCCCAAGAATTGAGGAATGGTATCCATTTGAATCGAGTCAATTTTCCATGCCATCTCCATCGCAAACGTGAGAGGCACCTCGATTGGCTTGATATCACCGACGTTGAAGACCCAGATCTTCCGCGCATTTCGTTGGTATGCTTGAGATAATTGGTGATGGACCTTGCCCTGATTTGAATTTTGTCAGTCACTGGCTGGCCAGAATTCCATCAGCAAGATTCACAAACCAGTGAGTTTGAGTTGATCCACTTGTAGCTCCGGGGATCGCCGACATATTCAAAATGATAGTATATCTGGTACTTATATTAGCCATTGCATGGCTGGATGATCAGATATTTCAAGCTTTGCCACGTATTTCCAAATACTGTGTATGTTTTTGACAATGCCTGCCAAAGAAAATTGTTTCACTTACTCCTGCACCCCCAGACCTCCTCACCTCGTAGCCCGATGGCAGGCGCCGCAGAGATCCAAAGTTATCATCCGCGAATAAGAGCGTTACATCTTCGGGAACTGTGAACTCGCCAGCCTCATACAAATCTTGCACTTCTTTATACAGTGCCAGAACTTGAGGTACCGCATCTTCGCGGCCATGTACTCCATAGAAAAGAGCACGCTGTTCTCGAAGCACATCCCGCATTACTGCGCCAGGGTCATCGGTAACCATCTTCTTATCATACTCGCCACGCATTCCTAGAGTGAAGTAGGATTCGAGGCCCTTTGCGCGCTGAACCCCTTCCCGGAAGAACTCGACGATCTCATCACGGTGCATGAGCCAGTTCCATGTTCCATCTGCATGTTCTTGGAACCACTCGGTCGAAGCACGCTGCATTGGCTCGTGATGGGAAGTAGAAATGCAGATTCCATATTCGTCGGCTATGCGCTGGTTCTCTGGGTCATCTGTGAAGAATACAGCACCGGGATTTGGATACCCCGGCCACATCGCCGGCCACATGAAGCTCGCTTTCAACCGCAGCAGTAATTCGTAGACTTTCTTGTAGAAAGCGCTATTGTATTTCCCAAAATTCTCCAGCACCCATCCTGTGAGTGCTGGTGCTTCATCATTGAGGAAAATTCCTCGGAATTGTATGCTCGGTTCGCCCTGAATTGTACGCACCGGTCGCGCATATACCTGGGGATGAAATTGTGCAGGGACATCTGCCCACCAATACCATCTTCACATTGGGGTTAAAGAACATCAGTGGATCAGTTGCATCAAGGTTGACATTCTTACTTACGGAGATACTCCAATCTGGCTCGAGAGAGTGTATGTCCCAAAGATTGCGCCTCTCTTATCACTCCCAGCAATAACTAGTGCTTTGGAACATCCGGGAAACGGGTTGTCAACGACAAAGGTTGTGAAAGACTCCCATTTGCCCCGGATTGAAGCAGTTTCAATCTTTCCAAGCCACTGCAGCTCCCGAATCATCCAGCATGATTCTATGCATCCTATGATAATGGCGGCTGGTGCTTTCAGTTTCCCGGGGTTTACCAATTCAATTGGATTTGCTTTGCCTCGCGTTACCCGACCGAAATCATCGGCTAGTGCTCTTGCTGCATGATGAATCCCAGTGAAATCAGCGGGGTCTGCTATGATCGTAGCACCGACGAGGTTGAGTAGGCTGGGCGAATCTTCGAATACGACGAGTAGCTCTTCCAACATGACGGTGATGCCCAAGTACCTCGCAGACTGCAAGTTGATAAGATTGTAAGATTCCGTGGAGGTCAAGGCTTTTCAATAATTTGAAAACGACGTTCTCAGCTACATTACTCGCCCCGCTCCAAGCGTTCCGTGATTGAAGCAGACAGCGAGGTGGGGTAATTGCTCCACTCACTGAAAGACGAGAGGTGCTGTTCGGGTCGTTGTCACCCCGAAGTCCTTTCTAAAGCTGCACAATGTGCCGATCTTGCGCTCAGAATCCCGAGCCGTGGGTTATAGAATGAGCATTGCCATCAGCCTGCTTCCGCTCCCTTCGTGGGTTATATGGGGAGATAGCACTAGACTTAGAAGCCCGGGGTCTTTTCAGGCGTGGGGCTACATTTGATCATCCGTATATAGAGAGTCAAATCTACCGAACGCCGTAGCGCCTTGCTCATACGCCTCAGTTTCACCAGGAAAAGGTGCCAAATCAGACCTACTGTCCAAAGAAATGCCTCGCACAACACTCTCATTTAGTTGCACAGACCAGCAGGAGCTAATCAAGTTTGCAAGCTTCCATAACACCATTCTTCTCCTCAGTTCTTGAATGTACATTACGATGAGTAAACCGAACAACGATGGGCTCTAGATCTTGCGAAGATTACGCTTCTCCGAAGCTATGGTCGAGGACACCAAACATACACAATGAAGATGTGAGATCATATTCCATATTCGAGACACCCCCTAGACTATGATATTGATTGATATCAAACATTCTAGGTTCCATAGTAAACAACCATCGAGTTCTTGAAAAGAAAATTTTCCCCGTGAAGGTGGAAGACGGTCAAATTACTTTTTACCTAGTTATTCGTTTACCAATCCGGACTTATTACGGGAGCAACCGTATGACAGGGTCAATCAAAAGGGACGTATCGGAACAAACTAGTGGTGATAATGGGAGGTGGAAAGCTCCAGAAGAGGCTATATTATTGGAAATTATCTTTTTTGCTTTGATCGAGAAAATCTCCATTTCACCGCTTTACCTTACTCTCGTTGACGCCAACTTCACCATGAGTCAAGAGCCCACGAGTCTACAATTTTACCCTTTTGGAGATTTATGGCTGGAAGATCCCGAGCTCTTCCACAATGAGACAGATATGTCTGAGTTGGAAGGTTACATGCCTGTTATTCAAGCACTTGGCAAGAGTTGGGTGCAGCGTAAGCCAAGGCTTTCAACTCTGCCTCGGGCCAGCTAACCGCAAACAGGTCCTCGAACTACGTGGAACCAAGCTTTAGCTTTTTCAAAATTCGTCGAGCAAGAAATGGCTACATGGACCAAGCGAGGCGTAGAGATATCTTCTTTTGATCTTCTACAGCCAAGTGGTTCGATAGACTCATCGCTCGCATGCCACTTACTTAACCCGACCTATTGTGTCGCCAACTCTGGAAATCGATTGACTGATGACCCTACAAGTCCAACAATAGCGTTACTCCACAATAGTGGATTCTCTTCAAAAAAATGGTTTGATTTTTGATCAGGTGTGCCGTAGGGCATCGTCAGAAGAAATGTTCGGTCTCTATACGGATGAATTTCATCAACCACAACCCGATTTTGTTCGTGAAATACGCCATAATATGGCGGCCATTGTTGAAACTTGCTGGGGCAATGTTGTCTGGAAAGAGATGAAGAGGGAACTAGGTCCGCTCCTAGTGAGCTTCCCTCTTGGGGGTGTTTTCAAGCCTGTCAGGCTATATCTTTAGCTTGAGAAGAGCAAAAAATCTCTGAAAAGATTCATAATTTGGGTCCATCACCCACAGTTCTTTGTCAGAAGCGGCTTGTTCAGACTCGGACCGGAAGCTCGGAGAGCCTACGGACAGGCCGAAGACCTAGCTTTGACTGGCGAGACGGCTCATCAGTGATGGAACAAATTTTACCGTCAATTACTTCCAGACTTCGCTCCCTTGTCGCCAGGGCGATCGAATGACTCGCGAACAGCAGAAACTCTTTGAAAGAAATAACGAGCTCCTACGGAAGGCTTTCTAAGCGGCATTTCCTGAACAGTACTAGAAGCGTACTCATATGCGGGAGAAGGCACAAGAGATACGTCGTCTTCTTGAAGGCTTGACGGAAACTCTAAAACCTATGGTCACATTTGAAAGGACGGAAGTCTCGCAGGATCAGCTGGTAATCTTATCTCAATGTCAAAATTCTGATATACGCTTACTAAATAAGAAGCAGGAAGTCCTCAAGTTAGATAGGGCCGGAAAACTGGCGGCAACCGTTTCTTCTTTCGACACGATTCATCAACTTCTTTTTTTAAGTAATTCCTATGAGTTGCTCATCGATACGGAAGCTCCTGAGGATGATGGTGGGGACTACACCACCTGGAAAGCTCTTCCTCAGCCGCTCCTTGCTTGGATTCAAGACCAAAAGGGACTCAGGATTCTCGGCGAGCCAATTTCAAGCCGTGAAATGCTTGAATTAGCCTCTCAGCTACTGCATCGGAAAACCACTCACAGGTTCTCTGACACTCTTACCTCTCCCATCGTGAATATTGCAGTTCAGATGGCATTACAATACATCAAGGAGGTAACACGAAGAGGGAGTAAACTTACACTGATTTCCACAATCCCAGGAAGACTCAATCAGATTGTCCAAAGACAGTGCTTACGTGCAACTAGCCTGTACTGGACGACGATTTTCCACGGTTTCACAAAGAAATGCCGGGGACCTATATCTATTATGGTCTATGAAAGATCTAACTGTGGTCGACTAGATTGTAAAGGGAAGAATGCGGCTCTCACTCACCCCTATCGATGCTCGACAGGAGTACACGCGTCTTAGAAACCGAGCGCTTGAGGTCTCTATCAAAGGCAAGAGAAAAACGGCTCCGATCACGACCCTGCTGCGTTCAGGATCAGATCTGAATGATTGTGCCGAAGAAATCCTAGTCCAGTGTCCCAACAAAAAGTGTGGCTATCAGAGGTTACTTTGTGGGCGCTGGACAATCCATAACCCACCTAGATTTTTGCAACCTCATTTGAGCTGCAGTGCTTGCAAGCGCGGTATCACGTTATCACGTACTTTCGTGCTGTCAACCCCGAGATTCCGACTGTGACTGAGGCTGCCTTGTACGACGTCTTGAAAAGAGTCAAGGCCATTGGATGTAACCTAGCGGAGTATCCAAAAATTCCCGAAATCATATTCTCCACCAGGGACACCTATGCAGAAAGGTTCGACATGCTTAAGAAGGCGAAGAACAAATCCTACATCATTGACGGCACCCTCAAGATCCCGCTTAAGAGGAAACGGGATACTGATCAGCACTACAAGCGTAAAACTTGATCTCGGTGAGAACCTGAATACCAAAGAGGCCCCTTGGTTATGAATCGCGTTGATGTAGACCACGCGCCTTATAGAGAGTCAATTATGGGCATTAAATGCACCCCAAATAGTGATTATCGACGTTTCTATCTTGCTTTCCATTAGGATAGATGGAACAGCTGTGATCTTAGAATGATTGAGTGGGGGAAGTTGCAGGGAAGATGCACGTGTCTACAATCACCTAAGGGTCATATTGCCAGAAATTACGAGTTGACCAATCAAAAGGCGGTTTGGCCGAGTGGTCTAAGGCGATTGACTGTATGTACCAATAAAGCCTAGTCAACCATGACTTCCCACTAACTCCTTCACAGCGAATCTTCTGATCTGTCATCAATTCCCTTCGGGGGCGTCGGTTCGAATCCGACAGCCGTCGATTATCTTTTTTAATCCTATCGCGGACTCCTAACATAAATTAGTTTTTTTTCTATAATGTAGGGCTTGGAGTTGAGGAGTGTTATTAATTACAACAAACACTCACTAAGAACATGAACATGGATACTTGTCGTAAGAGCCTTGTCTCTTGTCGCGGGCAGATTTGCCACCAATACTCGTTTTTCGAGCTGTCATGCCTGGATCATATAGCACTACCGGGACCCTTCACTCATCCAATGGCGGTTTGGCCGAGTGGTCTAAGGCGATTGACTGTATGTACCAATAAAGCCTAGTCAGCCATGAATTCCCACTAACTTCTACACAGCGAATCTTCTGATCTGTCATCAATTCCCTTCGGGGGCGTCGGTTCGAATCCGACAGCCGTCGGTATCTTTTTTTCTCCTTCCAGTCTCTTTCTGGTAGAGAGATGCGGTATGATATATTCTTTTTGCAACTTTTGAATAGTATCAAGGCTCATTACTTGTTCCCGTTGCATTGTATGGATTTGTGGGATACTCATGGATATAAGAGTGTCCTCGTCGCCGATTAATACCAATCTCAAAATCTATCATTCAAGGTAAAGATACATCAGCATGGTGTACGCCTGTCCAAAGGCATCAATTAAGATTAGCATATCTCCCTTGGCAAGACCTTGTATTCTCTAGAATTAACAATATAGTCCTCGTGGATGAAAAGGATACTCACAGGAGAGATGGTGCAATCTTCGCATGATAACTTTACGAGACATACTGTTAAGGGACATTATCTACCGAGGACTCTATTGGAACACTCTCAAACTTGACTGCTTCTCAAATAAAAAATCATGACAACCACTAAGGAGAGTTCCTAGCCTCTGGCTTTACCTGCGTCCGCCTCGCTCGTCGAACATGTTCTTCCAGTGGCTCGTCATAGCATAGCAGGTTTGGATATCTCGCACTACCTCTCCTGTCTGCATTCTGTCCACTAGATACCTGATTTTCAGCATCGCTGCAATCTTGGCTGTCGTGGTCACCCTTTTCTTTTCCATAGGGACGAATAGCTAGAGGTAGAACACTGTTCATCCAAGTCTGTACGTGGATGCGATGCGTACTCAACGCACTGCATATACAGGACAGCGCCCCGAGAAACCAGACAGCAACCGGAAGCGCGAGCCACATCCAGTGAATAGAGGTATATGTGACGGTGGCCGTGGTTCGCCCAACAGTAGTTTTTCGGCGTATTCGATGGTTTTCGCCCCCCAGACGGATGGTGGTTCATAACTAATATTAGCAGTGAATGCAGTGTCTCGAATGGTTTTCGATACCGCAGAAGCAATATTTTGCATAGCACAAGTTAGTTGATCGTTGACCGGGCAATTTGAGTTGGTTAGATTGTTGTAGAATATCGCTTGCAGGGCGTCTGATGTAGCATAGATTCCCTCAACGCCGAATTTTCGCCGGAACACAAAGGAGTCGGCGTGGGCGAAGCCACTGAAAAGGTTGTCCACGAACCCGCTAAGAGCCTTCTTTGCCTCAAAAGTCATACCAAAAGTGTCGTCCTTTTTCGTTCCAAAGGTCTCGTTCCAGCTGGGTTTGAGACTAAAATGGTAGATATCGTCAGACGTGCTATTGACATCTGCCCCTTCCGCCAGCTGCTTCTCATGATAGACGCCCATGTTGACCAACACTTTGAAACTTCGAACCAATGGCTGTAAGACACATTCCGTAGCAATAAACTGCGTTTTGTTGTCGATTTCCATATGGGTTGCGCCAGCTTCCGGGTTAAGATCCGAGCCATTTGCCATGATGTACTGTATGACCGGAAATTCGCTAGTTTTATGAGTGGTATTTGAGCTCGCAACCAGCGTCTCCATAACGACTGGCTGTGCATTGCCGCCACTCGGTAAATACCACAGGGCAACACCGCTGTTCAGCGAGACAGTACAATTGGGAACTGAAACCCAGGTGTTATTCCACCAATTCTGATGTAATATTCGAGCATGATGCGCTTATCCCCAAGCTCGCCATCGCATCCCAGGTGCAGTTCCCTGTTGGACAGGTGTATTGTGGCATAGCTCATGGTTGCGATGGATCCAGGTTGAAAAGAGCACTATATACGTTCGCCTTGAGGATAGGGTCGACAAATAACACTAGTCTCACTTCATTAGCGCTCTGGATTTGACAACGGGACTTAGGCAAACATACCACTGCCACCAGACAATGGTCCGACCGTGTTATATACCTTTGTGCTTGCGAGCAAGGACACCTCTAAAGGATCTTCGATATTGTGAAGGACACAATGGACTAAATTCTGAACAAATGGGTCGAACCTAATAGACAAGATTATGGCCAAGCTACCAATAGCAGCAAGATTTCTTGACGTAAATCATCAGCATATTCAAGTCCTAGCAGCAGGTAGCTATAGAAACAACCAATAGCAACTAGGCTGGATACATACCGCCCTTTCACTAGCCATAACAACGCCGCACTTCCAGTAACCCTTCGACTTGCCAAATCAAAGGCATCCAAATCCGACAAAAGTCGACTCCGAGTCGAAAACTACACCCATTTCATTTGGCCGATTCCATCACTGACAGAGAATAGCACACAAGCCATGGATAGAGTACTCAGCCAGGAGACGAGAGAATTGAGCGAGATGAGCTTCCAGTTTGGCTGCCTTTGTCCATCGTACTGTGCGAGGATAATCACAATGTAAATGATCAAAACTGCCGACGTAAGAATTCCAGCGACTTCCCAAGCCCACAGGTTGAAAATTGCCAGGGCGGACAATAGCTTTCCTTCCCTCTTTTGATGGGCTTCGGCTCATCTTGGTTATCTTCTTGGTACTGCGGTACGGCTTGATATGTGTCATGTGTCTGTGCGGTGTGGTTGGGGATTGGGTGAAGTGGTGGGCGCTGGTTCTGGCATTGGTAGGAGAAGCTGTGCGATTGTTCGGCTCTGATATTGGGAGTTGTTTGAATAGCGGCCTCTTTCAAGGCGAGAGTCTACCTATTTGCAAAATCGAATGAGGAATAACCGAGGAGATGTACATATGAAGGGCACCATCAAGCAAAAACCTATGACTAGGTAGCACTTGTGGCACTTATGCATCAAGGAACCTACTAAGCCGCATTCGGGCATCCACTCTGAGAATGGAGGAAACTAGATATGATTGGATATCAAACCAACCTGGTCAGGATCTAGCTTGCTACAGTGAACTGGCTAGCCAAAGCCAAGTACAACTTAGCCCCCCGCCGGGTATCTCGCATTAGAGCGGCGCTCCCGTAAATCTTTTACTATAATCGTACTGAAAACAAAGCAAATCACTTTACACCACAACCATAGAGTGAGGTCCAATTTTGATCCAGTACCTCCTGTAACCTCTGAAGGAGGTTGGGGCCAAACAAAGAGGCTGGGTACAGGTTGATCAGTGCGCCCCATTAGTCTCGGCTGGTAGACAGAATGTACATATGATACTCACCTGGGTAAGAAAGTCATAGCACGTAACCATTTTGTAAGATACATGACCATAAAAAAGCGTACCTTTTCAAAATTAGAAATAGCTTTTAAGCTAGATCATAATCATCAGTGATTTTTCTGGCTGGGTTGCCCTGCAGTGTAACTTATGCATGCCTACGGAGTAGTCAAGTCGCATAGTCTGCGGCGCGGTGATACCACCCTGCATCACCTAGTATGCTAATCTATTGCTCTAGCGGAGTCATGACACGTATACCTCGCCCATTCTAACCAATAAAGAATGAAGCAAACATCCAAATTACACGCTAGGGACGCTTGCTCACAGAGATACTCGTCGGACGCATCACGAGGTATTGAGATATCGGAAGGAGCGGTTGGAGGAATTATTAAGAGCCTCATCCACACCAGAACAGACAATATTTAAGCAAGAAAAGGAATGCCCAATTACTTTGATGTTTACTTCGGACTCTTAAGACCTACTCCAGCTGGCTATACAACTTCCCACTCAAACCATCTGAGATATACATCACCGCTATTATTTGACCTTCTTAGCTACTATTAAGTATGAGTCTATCTTCCATGTCTATGATGACCATAGAAACTCCACTTGGGTCTAACTCAACGTTACATATTGGATTAGATTCCGTCACCATGGCCTGGGTCCGATGCAACGGGTGCGCCGAGATGCGAGAATGTCAGGTCTACTCTGGTATCCCTCAGGGTGATACTCGGGTGACCAAGATGTTCTGTGATCCCTGTGCGACAGCGAAGGGTCATAAGGTAGGTAGATATTCACTTAACTGCCCAGTGCTGGAAAGATATGGAGCATTTTACTAAAAAATGATGTAGTAACCTTACCTTAACAGTCAGAACCATGGAACTGGGCTAGGTCATAGGTGAAAGGGGACTGCGTGATACCTGACTGTTGGAGGCACTGAATTTCACATAGCAGAAGGGTCACTCAATTGATTTCTACCCAATCGTATATATTTCTTACTAAATCACCTGCTGCCTAGCTCATGCAAGTCCCAACTCCTTATAAAACGCATCAGTACGCGGCTCCCGGCCCAAGAACTGCGTGAGAGTAGTCATCTCATCCTGACTACCACCCTTCTCAAGCACAGTGTACCGGTACCGACGTCCATGCTCCTTATTCATAGGATCATCCTTGAAAACAGTGTAGAACATATCAGTCGAGTAAACCTGCGAACTAAGATAACCGTAGTAACCCGCATCATAGCCACCGATCAAATGACCAAAGGTAGCTTCGCCATGACCCCAGTCATCGCTGGCGCCGAGGGCTTCGGGGCCATCCATTTGGGTGATCTCCCGGCGGAGACGGTTGTATGTCGCCGAGATGGGGAGGGCGGTGATATCGGCGTGGCTGGCTGGTTCGTGGACGGCCATGTCGAAGATACCAAAGTGCAATTGACGCAGGTTGAAGAGGGCGTCGTTGACGTGCTTGGTGCGGATGAGGTTGTTGATGACGTCGTCGGGGATGCGCTCAGATGGGGGTGCGGTGGCGGTTTTGCCGCCGCTGCGGGCTTGGTGGGCTTCTTGCCAGCCGGCGAGGTATTCGGGGGAGAGGGTGGAGTAGTGACGGCTCAGGGCGCGTAGCTGCGACGGCGTCCAGCACCAGTTCTCGAGCATTTGGCTGGGGGCTTCGACGAAGTCCCGTACGGTGCTCGTGCCATGGAAGCGGGAGTAGATTGTCTTGGAGACGAGGTCGTGAATGCCGTGGCCTAGCTCGTGGAAGAGGGTGACGACTTCGTCGTGCTTGAGGAGACTGGGCTTCTTCGCAGTGGGCTTGGTGAAGTTGCACACCAGCGCGGTGGCTGGATAGCGGCGGTTGCCAGTTGCGTCGATGAAGCCCTGTAATGAAAGAGAATGGTTAGTATTGTATTGTGAGTGATCACGGTCCAAAGATCAACATACCGGCTGGAGGTTGAAGTTGGCAGCGTGACCATACTTGCCCTCACGGGGGAACAGATCCAGATACAGATATCCGACAAAGCCATTGCCCTCGCCAGCATCATCCCACACGCTAAAAACTTGCACATCCTCGTGCCAGACAATATCATCACCCTTGCCAGTAGGTGCCACAGCGGCGCGGTCCTCACCAACAATCTCAACAAACTCCAATCCAAACAGCTCCTCGAAGATCTTTAGCATACCCTCGATGGTCGTCTGTAGGGGGAAATATTCCGCAATAAGCTGCTGATCCAGCGAATAGTCCTTCTCCAGCATCAAACGGTCATAGAACCGGTGGTCCCAAAGGTAGTACCGACCGTCATCCTTGGGGTCTGTGGCCTTCTTCAACTCCATAAGAGCCTTAATCTCCCGCTTTCCGCCAGCGGTAAGACGGGAGCGCAGATCGCCGAGGAACTTGTTGACGGTCTCGGGGGTCTTGGCCATCTTGTCTTCAATGCGGAAGGCAGCGTGGTTGGGGTAGCCCAGCAGACGAGCAGCCTCATCACGCAGCACAATCGCCTCTCGGAACAAAGGCACGTTCTGGTTGCACTTGTTCTCGTTGGCAGTCATGACCTGTCGGCGGGTCTCCGGGTTGGTGGCATACTTCATCGTGGGGAACAGATCCGGGTACTTGAAGGTCAACCAGACCTTGCCGGCATTCTCACCCTCACCCTTCTTCAGGCCAGAGAGTACGTCATCGGGCACACCATCCAATTGCTCAGGAGTAAACCAAATACCGCCATTCTCCTCATTCAAGTTCTTCTGGAACTCAATGCTCAACTGACTGAGACGCTGCTTGATCTCCTTGAAACGGTCACGCTTTTCACCTGCAGGCAGACCGAGACCATTCCGAATGAAATCCTTATGCTCCTTCTCCAGCAGTCGACGAGACTCGGGGTCCAAAGTCTCATTCTTGTTCAACACAGCATCCACCAGCTTATACACATCCTCCCGCATTGCCGACTCAATGAAGAACATATCCATCAGCTCCTCAGCCTTGGACGACGCATCACGGAGCTTCTGATCCGTTGATACAGCCTGGTAAAAGCCGATAATATGCGCATCCAACGCCATCACATTCTCATCCTGGGACAGGGGACCCAGGACGCTGGCGAAAGTAGCCGACTCGGGCTTAACCTCGGCCACGACCTTATCCTGGACAGCACGCGAGGTCTTGATGAGACGCTCTGCATCAGCGACGACGGACTGCGGGGTCGCGGTGAAGACAGGCGGGGCCTGCGGGGGACGCCGGAGGTGAGCGGGAGCCATGCTGGAGGTGGTCAAGTATCGGTAGTAGACTGGTGTCGTAGTACGGAAGTGGCCCAGCACGGAAGAGAGGCGGGCGGGGAGACGGAGAAAGGGCGCCACGATGAGGATGGCGAGGAGGAGAACGAGAAAGTGGAAGCGAGCGGTGAACGCAATGCTGGGCGGAAAGAAGATCCGTAGAGGGGAGGGGGAATGCGGTGTGGTGGGGTTTGAAACAAAGCGTACAGTAGCACGGAGTTGCAGTTGAGGTACAGGTACTGAGGTACAGCTATGAGTGGAACTACTACGGGGTGGGGACAACGAGTGGATGGCCTGAGGCATAAATGAAGAGGCCATGAAGTAGTGACGGTGTGACACGTGATGGGAGACCCGCCCCCGCGTGATGTTGACATTTTTTTGCCCGAAGCTAGTGGCTTCTCCTCTCTCAGGCTTCATGATGCATCGAGGATGATCGAGTACAACTGCACTACTACTGCCATTGGGTCCCATCACTTGATGGTCGACTACTGACTTGATCTACTAATCTACTAATGACTGACCACAGATATAGCTATCAAAGAATGGATATAAGTTCGTTTCTAGTTCATGACAGATTATTTAAGAGACCCATCGCTTTTCAGAATGAGAGGAAAAGACAGAAAGCACTCTTGACAAAAAGGAAAAGACAGAGCACATGAAGACGCCTGATGAACACCACAACCCCCAAGGCCCACGAGAATGCAAAGGATGTCGTCTAGAGCAAAACAGAAAGGACGTCACAGAAAAAGCTAAGCGGCATCCGCAGTGGGGATGGGCTCGGGGATCTTGGTGACCTGCTGGCCAGCACGGATGACGCGCTGACCCATCTCGTCACGAACATACTCGGAGTTCTCCTTGTGGCTGCGCTTCCAGATCTCGACTTCACAACCACCACGGATGACACCAACACGCATGGTGGACAGCAGGTTGTGGGCAGCGTTGGAGTGGTAGTAGATACCACCGTTGAACATGGCGGTGGCATCCTTGCCAATACCAGAGCTGATCATGGCCTTGCCACCGGGGTGGTCCTTGATGAAGTCGGTCACGTCGTGGACAACACCGGCAATGGCAACCAGGCCGCGGCCGTTCTTGGACTGCTCGACATAGTCGTCCCACTCCATAACGGGGAGCTGGTCGAGGGGAGTACCCCAGTCGAGACGGGCACGCTTTTGGTCGATCTTCTTCTGGAGCTGCTGGACACGGCCCTTCTCGATCTCGTTGGCACGGAACTGCTTGAGATCATAGGCGAGGCCGAGCTGCTTCCAGGTCCAGATGGTCCACTTGGTGGGGTCATACTGGTGCCACTCAATGGCGTTGCGGTAGTCCGAGGGGAACTCGTGGTGGAAGTTGTGGTATCCCTCACCGAGAGTGACGAGAGCAGTGATGACGTGGTCACGGGGAGAGTTGCGGTCATCGAAGGGCTGGTCACCGAGCCAGTGAGCCAGAGAGTTGACGCAGAAGGTGGCCTGCTGGACGAAGAAGATGCGCAGGATACCGGCATACACGAAGCCACCGAACCAATCACCCCAGCCGAGACCAGCGACGAGCATGGGGACGATCAGACCCATACCGAAGACGACCTTCAGGTAGTGACGGTGCTGCCAGATAACGACGGGGTCCTCGTTCAGGTCGGAGATGTCGGTACGGCCAATACGCTTAGGGTTCTGCTTCATGACCATCCAGCCGAGGTGGGAGTACCAGAAACCCTTGCGGACGGAGTAGGGGTCCTTCTCGGTATCGGTGTATCGGTGGTGAGCACGGTGGCCGCGAGCCCACCAGCGAATGGAGCCCTCAACGGCACCACCACCAACAAGGGCGAGCCAGATGCGCAGAGGCAGAGTTGCAGAGTAAGAGCAGTGAGCCCAGAGACGGTGGTATCCTACAAGTGGGTGGCAAGTCAGTTTCCGGTCATCCTTTCAATGTACAAGTCCGAATTGCTTATGCTTACCTGCAGTGATGCCCAGACCAGTGAAGAAATAGTACACAACAGCCCAGATGGCAGTCTTGAGCTGGAGTGGCACCCAAATGGACTGGATGCAGCCATAGACCGGGATGCCGAGAATGAGGAAAACGTTCAACCAGTTGACGTGCTTGTACCAGTTGTTGCGAGTCATGGCGGTATCGGCAATATGGACCTTCTTAGTGTCCGCCGCCCGAGGGCGAGAGGACTCAGCCTTGGTCGACATGGTGTCGAAAATGTGAATGTGTGGAGGAGGGGGTGAAAGAAAGATTGAGAAGCAGAAGAAAGGGCTAGGGATGGGGGAGCTTTTTTTCTTATATGAAGGGCCCACCTGAGACCAACGTTGGGGGGAGGGAAGGGTTTGATCGCCAACGGATGTATGGGGAAGCTCGGCGCAAGGCGAATCAAAAGGCCTTTGCGGTGAGCAATCACAAGATCCCGAGGTCTGCCAGGTCTGCCAGGGGGAAAAGGACTGAGGGAGAGAGGAATTGAGGCCGGGCGATCAATTTGTTTTCTTTTTGAACCTTTGCCATTCGATGTTCTGTCAGTGGCGATCTGCTTTCGTACAAAATTGGATGTTGGGTCCGCCCCAACACTTTGTGGCCTGAGGCATATACAAGCTGAGATAAGCAGGTTAATGATTGCTGATTGGCTGGATCGGGAAGAAACGGGCCCGTCAGGCCATGCTGAGCTAATCCCAATGCAGATTTTCAATGAATGAACATCGCCCATGATGGAATGTTGTTATCGCATGTTGCCACAATTCCATTGACCCGCCATTTACAGTTTTGGAATTACTGTAGATACAGTACTTTTTGCTTAGAGGCTCTTGGTTGGGGGTTGTATGATGCTCTCTCTCTGTATGTTAATTGCTACCTCTATTCCAAAGCGGTGCCTCTCCCACCAGTATTGTAGGTTCGTTCCTTGTTCCTCGTTCTTCGCCCAGAGGAGGCTTCCGCCTCGATAAGCTCCCGCCCTTCCGTTGGGGCACGTCACACTGAACATTCCACGGGTCTAGATCCCTTCCAAGTTCCTCCGCCTCCAGTCATATTGCGCGAAGTGAACACCGTCAACTGTCCAGTGTCGATAGAGGTCGAACTCTCATCTCTACCCTTCCAATACGAGTTCATCATCGTCCATAATGCGCATATCACATGTCCTAGCCGGAGACAGACTTTCCTCACAGCGAATAGCTACTCGCACGGCCCTGACCCTGCGTCACAGCAGCCTTATGGTGGCAAAGGCACGAAAACTAATAAACTCAACATCCCGACAGCATTATAGTTACCAACATGACTCGTCATCGCTACGTCGCTTATTATTAGACAGCATCATATACGGTTGGACAAGAAATCATTTCCCCGCGACCAATGCTCAATACTTCTCGGGATACCACCATGATCGATCGAGTCATTGACCGACATGGCCTGGCTCGTGTCAATTGCTTGTGTTCAAAAGTTCAGCCTGAGGCCGACACCCGGGCCGAGGCTGTCTTGTCTCAACCACCAAGCACCACCCCACAATCAAATCATTGAATGACGAGATGGTGACGAGCAATCGAGATCTCTCGATGATATTCGAACCACACTACTCATCATCTTCCAATCTACTATTGATGCCGTCGATTTGCCATGATGCCATCGCCACCGAGCAGTCCCGAAGCAAAACACTTACTTCAGTCTCTATCCTCCAGGCAGATCCCAACACAACACCGCAGCCCCGCAGCACCACAACCTCTTATGCCGTAACATTTCAAAAACAAAACCCAGACTCCGGAGGTTTCCTGAAGCCAAGAAATGAACATGTCACCTCCCCCGCGTTCCAGCAAAGCCCCGATCCGTTTGCCATCCCGATTTCCTGGGGTACCGGCTACGGCTACTTCTTATAGTCTCACCCCCTCAGAAGGCTGAGCCTCCGAGTCCAAGCCACCGAACGCCTCAATAAGCCTCTCGGCGCCTTCCACCTAGTAACGGGCACCTCCGCCAGATCCTTCTGAAGACAAACGATAGACCCCAGATATACGTGCAGTGATAGCCGACCGTACCGGGGGTCCCATCATGCCGATTTTCCACGTGTACCGATAGGAAGGGACCGGGCCTATTAAAATAGGTGTAAAGTCACTGTGGAGAGTGCTTTTAGAAAGTAGTGTAGGCTGTGCATAGCATCCAGTGCATGGAGTTGTAGATCAGCATATACAAGAGTACAGATGGACCCACCAATCTACGCCGGAATGGATCAAAGTGGTCGTAATAGACCCGAATAATAAGCGGCTAAACCATTTCGCTTGCTTATCTCCCCCACCCGGGAGACCTGGGGAGCGGAGAGTGATATTGAAGATCTTATTGGGTACTACGGAGTAGTCATGCTAACTTGGCCCCACGAATGATAAGAAGCAATCCACCTTTAACCTCCTCTCCAGTGCAAGTGAACTGGACAGTTCGGAGTTAGCTATGCCTACCCCGTAGGGACTAGCCCAATACCTTCGCCAAGTACTAAGAAATCCAGTTATGCGATGCTCTTGGCTAATACCAACCGGACCCGAGCGATCTCAATCGCATCTTATCGCCCTCCCCGGCTGGTCCTTCTCCACACGGATGCAAGCACACGAGTTAGAGTTCACGCCTGGTCGGGAGAAGCTTGGCTTGGCTGGTTTAATTTTTATTTTTTAATCCGTTCCGAGATTCTTCGGACATCCTCTCTCACGCGATCGTTTAAATACATACTACATTCCCCATTCTGGTGGATACTATGATCCAGTATTCCAGTATTCAACAGTGATCCGCTTCTGTATCTGATCGACGATATTCTTGAAGATGGACGGCCCCGATCAGATCGGTCCTGACCATGGACCGCGACAGAGTGTTGGCGATAAGTTTCGGAGGTTTGTAAAGGCTTTTACTACGAAGTAAGTTTCGTTTTTACCTGGCTTGACTGGGAATATACAATAGTATATGGTGTATGTTTGTTTGGTACACTAGCTGACTCCTTTGAATAGAGAGGGTCTCATTGGAAGTTATGATTATGCGTACCTCTTCACCCCGCGTCTCCCGTTCACAAAGCGTGAGCGCAAATCTACACCTTTCTTCGGTTTGGAGGATCGCATGCCAATTCTGCTGGCCTTGATTCTGGGTAAATCTCAACAAGAAATGACCTTGATTTCTTTTTTTTTGAATGCAAACTTATTTCGATGCAGGTCTTCAACATGCACTTTCTATGTTGGCTGGTGGTGAGTTTGATATCGACAACATCCGTACAGATGAATATAGTGAATATTAGCTAACACATACTGCAGTCATTTCGCCTCCTATCATTCTCGGTGGATCCTCGGGTGTCAATTTTGGCGACGAGATCTATCAATACCTCGTGTCGACCTCGTTGATTACTTCGGGCCTTTTAAGTGCTATGCAAATGGCTCGTTTCCATGTCTATGGTACCAAGTACTATATCGGAACAGGCCTGCTGTCAGTTGTCGGTACGCACATCTCCAACCCAGTCCGCCTGCCAACAAGATCCACCCTGGCTCTCTCAATTAAATCCATGTATCAACCACGATCACCCAATATCTAACACTTTCTCCCTACAGGAACATCCTTCTCCACCATCACCGTAGCCACCGGCGCCTTCACCCAAATGTATAAATCGGGCTACTGTCCCCTCGACGCAGACGGCAACCGACTCCCCTGCCCGAAAGGCTACGGCGCCCTCCTCGGAACATCCTGTCTCTGCGCGCTCCTCGAAATCGGCCTCTCCTTCATGAGCAGCCGCATCCTCTCCCGCGTCTTCCCACCCATGGTCACCGGTCCCACAGTCCTCCTCATCGGCGCTTCGCTCATCAAAACCGGCATGCAAGACTGGGGCGGTGGTTCCTCCTGCGTCCCCGCTTCTTCAACCGCAACGAGACCCATGTGTCCGAGCGCTGATGCTCCACACGCCTTGCCCTGGGGTAGTCCCGAGTTCATCGGGTTGGGATTCCTGGTTTTCGTGACGATTATCCTTTGCGAACGGTTTGGCCCGCCTATTCTGAAGAGCTGTGCTGTTGTCGTTGGTTTGTTGGTTGGATCTATTGTTGCAGCGGCTTGCAATTACTTCCAGAACTCCGGGATTACTGCGGCTCCTGTTGCGTCGTTCGCTTGGGTGCATACTTTCCCCTTGTCCATCTACCCACCACTGATCCTACCACTATTGGCGCTGTACCTCGTTATCATGATGGAGTCCATCGGCGACATCACCGCGACCTGCGACGTCTCCCGACTAGCAGTCGCAGGCGCAACATTCGACTCGCGTATCCAGGGCGGCGTCCTCGGCAACGGAATCACCTGTCTCCTCGCGGGGCTAATGACAATCAGTCCTATGTCCGTCTTCGCGCAGAACAACGGCGTCATCGCCCTGACAAAATGCGCAAATCGCACTGCCGGGTACTGCTGCTGCTTCTTCCTCGTGATTATGGGTATATTCTCCAAATTCGCCGCCGCGTTGGTCGCAATCCCGTCCGCCGTGTTGGGCGGCATGACAACTTTCCTTTTCAGCAGTGTGGCTATCTCCGGTATTAGGATTATCTCCACGATTGATTTCACCCGTCGCAACCGGTTCATTCTGACTGCAACTTTCGCGCTGGGTATGGGTATTACGCTTGTGCCGGATTGGTGGGCGTATGTGTTCTCGTATAGTGGTGATAACCATGCTTTAGAGGGACTGTTGAATGCCGTGGATTTGGTGATGGAGAATGGTTTTGCTGTTTGCGCTATTCTGGGAGTGTTCTTGAATTTGGTTATTCCTGAGGAACCGGATGATGTTCCTGCGGTGTTTAATGCGAGTGAGTCGGAGGATGGTCAGACTCAGACGGTGACTCCTACACAGGGCTCTGAGAAGATGCAGTAGCTGCTGAGCTCATCTTTGAGTATATAGTCCTTTCTTCTTTTTGTATTAGCCCATGTGATACCTTAGTTACTTTCTAGCGTTGTTGCATTTATATATAAAATCAAATTGTATCCCAGCTATGATGAATCTGTTTTATACGGATGGCGTTAATGAAGAGGTGGCTTCTACAATAATCCCAATTAAAGCTGATTATCTGCCACTCTACTGCTGGGCTTGGAAGGGAAATATGTGGTAAAATATCCGTAAGTGTGGCGAAGGGCCACATGTAGTATCAAAGGTGGACAAGGAACCATGACCAAAGGTTTGGCAACGGAGCCAGCCGGGTACAGCCCATTACGGCTTCAAGATCAAAAACCAGAAGGCAAATACTAAAGATTTACAGCTTCATCAAATCTAGACCGAAAATCAAACATCCTAGTAAAGAACAAACATGTATTAAAATTAAACCCCAATGTTTTGCCCCCATCACACCTCATATACGAATGAAAACCCCTCCTTCCAACCAACCCACCCCCTGTGGCCTAGTCGATAACCGTAACTCACCCTGGAGTGCTGCCAGACCGCGCCCCTTACACGGGGTATCAGGGTTACGGGACTGGTTCCTCTGGCGTTGTTGGGGCTGATCTCCGGAGAGGCTTACTCGGCGTACCTTGTTGGATTGACTCCTCGCTGTGGGGCCAAGAGATGGATTTGGGTCCTGAGCCTTTGGGTCCAGTCTGGGATTTTTTTCGAAACCTCTTTTGGTGGTGTTTTTGGTGGTTGTTGTTGAGGCTTGCGACACCGCGGGAATGGGGATGATGCTATTCAGACTTGGATTTTGGGAGGGGCGGGGACAGGGATTTTTGCTCAAGTGCGAGAAAATTAAATTTTTGGTCGGGGGTTCGATTCGTGATGTTGGCATTTTGGAATTTGGTTTGTTTTGGTGACGATTTGGCTTTTGAATATCGTTATTTGTCTACGGTACATCGGTCACATCTAGCATACAAGGCTCTCATTATATCATACACCCTCAACCTTCTCCCCAGGCGCCAACATCTTAATATACCGATGCTCCCCCGTCTCCAAAACCCTCACCTCATCACCAACAGCAATACAACACTTCTCAACAGCAGGCACAAGCTGCAACCCCAAACACGCATTCGTCCGATCACCCTCATCAACCCGCCGATACTCCTTTAACGTACGATCCGGCTCAACCTTATCACGCTCCCCAGTATCAGGATCTACATTTGGCAATCGACATCTCACAGTACGACACGCGGCATAAATTTCCGTCTCCCCAATCTCCATCCTCTTCCAATGATCCTCGGCAAAAGCCTCCGGACCCTGGACGATGATATTCGCCCGGAACCGCCTAATACTCAAACATGGGATGGCATCTGCGCAGCGCATAGCGACGTCCCGATGACTGGCGATGTTGAGGAGGTGGATTGGATATGCGTCTGCAAAGGCGGTGTTTGGCTGGAAACCGATTTGCTCTTTGCACGGTGCGTTCCGGAAAATTTCCCGGTTGTGGGATGGGTGGGCGCGGAATAGACTTAGAGGAGAGCTTGAGGGATCGAAGCCCAGGTATGTATGCAGTGAAGGTGGAAGGACAGTGCCGTAGTTGTATGCAAGCGGCCTGTCTTTCCAGATTCTCACTGGGACTGCTGGGTACTTGCTGTCCTTGGAAGGGACGAGAGGGACCTGGAATGAACGACGAGAATCAAGGAGACGGGTCATCATGGCGATTCTGACGAGAACACCTAAAGGTCCAGAGGGTGCAACCCTTGGATACGAAATAATCATCACACCTTCCGACTGCATCTCCGGCCGGCGGTCATCATACTCTGGCGACGAAGGGTCAGGAATCCATATCTCCGTGTGAATCAATGCCATACGCTGGAAACCGGCATTGCGCAGAGTGCGACAATTCCATCCATCAGCGGTATTCTCAGCAAAAGCAAATTGACGATCGAATTCAAGGCCCGTACCCACGACATCGGACTTTTGTAGTTCGATGCCGCCGCATGATTTCAACGGGTATATGAAGAGTGCTTTGACCCGCCAGGAAGGAAGACCATTGTCTTCTTTTTGATCACTGGGTACACCGTCATTGTATTTTTGGTCATATTCATCGGACAGATTGCTTTGACCTGAAGGAAGACCCAGTCGTCGGCATCCTTTGGGCTCTTGGTCTGGAGAGGAGAGTACAAGCACTAAAAGAGGGAATATGCCAATGGCCACGATCCAGACAAGGCCGAAAATAAATAATGCCCCGAGATTTGAGATCTCAAAGGTCCCGCTGGTTGAAGACATTAAGATATCGAAATGTCTTAGATTTGCTGAAAGAATATTACTCCAGTAGGAACCGTTCTGGCCGAGCCTCGTCGAGTTTTCCTCCGATGCGTCGCCGAGGGCCCACAACTACGGGCGACGATTCGATGTTGGCCTTGATGCCTGATAAATCAGGCGAAGCAACTAACTAGTCATATAACCCCTTCGCACTCTCCGATTTATATCCATTAATTACACCATTAAATCTTCTAACCGTTTGCAAATGGCAAAACCTCAGTTTCTGGCGGCGTACTATATACTGTGAACATTCATATGACGCTACATCACAAAGTTTCGAGGCCGCAATGTGTAGTGAAAGGGAGCGTTGTATCACTAACATTCTCAAGAACGAGGCTATTCGGAAGTCCCAGATCTCTGCCTGTCCCTCTCCTAGCAGGTAGAATCTACTTATTTATGAAGTTTGCAAGTGCTGATCTTACACTGCTTTTTAGGTTCTCTGACCCAGGTGGTAGGTCACCTCGTATATATCTCTTTTCGTCAATGTCGCTGTCTTTCGCTCCTCCGACCCGAAACGGTGTAATCAATGGCGGTATAATAGTGTACGAATTAACAATGCCTTTTTGTATCAAGCCGATCATAGCAAGGTCTACTGGCAATTGAAGACCTCTGTAACCACCAAGATTATATAGTAGGATTTGGGCTGCCCTCTTAGTGATGGCGTATCCCAGCGCGCCGACAGGGTACCATGAGGGCGCCAACAAACGCACATGTGTCAGCTCAGTGGCGTTTATACCCCATACCTCTAGTTCGCGCCTGTATGATCGTGCCAGTTTGTGGTAATCCGGCACGTGTGGGTCATGGTAAAGATAGTAAGGTGGCAAGTCGTTTAAGTTGGGGATATTTGAGCTGCTGCCGACGTAAAGGATATCCCAACCGGAGCCTTCGGATCGAAACATGTCCTTATCAGTCATGTGGGAAACTGCGTTGTGAGCTATCTGAACATACCATATGTAGCTGCCTCCGGGGTTGTCCGCGGCAGCAGCTGTTTGAAAATCTTTTGGCTACTCATATGATGGCCGAGATCTGCAAACACGTCGCGAATATTGATATCCCAATCCACATCGTCCTCGAGAATCAACGCGGTCTCGATATTTTCGGATATGATTCTCCTCCAAACATTTGCATGTGCACGCCAGCAACCTAATTGTTCTGGTCGCAGATATTTACTTCCATCGGGTTTTGCTTTTTCGTTTATCAGACTGCCGTTGACCTGAAGATTATCAGTGTTGGATCGAATATTTTTGCAATTTTAACAGTTCCTAGCAGAACTGCGAAGATAGCAGCGTGCACTTACACCATGCTGGAGGGTAAGTGATATGCCACTTGCCGCTGCAATCAAAGTCATGGCATCTTGCCGATCGGAACGACTATGACCGCCAGTATGTCAACAGAAATGAACCAGTTGAGTAAACAACCATTGAGGTGCACCGATAAAAATCAAGGAATGCTCAAGCAGGGGGACACAAACTAACTGCGGTAGACTTATGTAGAAGATTTTTTCGAAACCAAGTGTTGAATTCGCGGACTCGCTCTGTTCCTCTGCAGAAGCTGGCAAAGCGCTAGAAGTCTGTACATTGACTGCTAGATACCATAGCAAAATGGCGCATGCCCCTGTATAATAAATAAGCCGCACTGGCTGTTTAGACAGAAGTGCTAAGCGCATATTAATAAGAGGCGGTCGGTTATCCTCCCTGTAGAACTCGAACACGATCCGAAGCAAGGATTGTCGGCAAATTAAATATGTTCTACCCATACAATATATAAACGACAAAGAGAGCAAAGGATTATTGAGGAGATGTCAATGAGAGTGGTCGCTAAAAATCGCCAATATACAGCCTCTGTTCCGTTTGCGGAAATGTTGAAACTTAACACTGGTATATGGCCACCGTCAGCCATGGGTTTAATCCAAAAATGTAAGTAGCCGTATCTCATCACGACAAAGTATTATATTAAAGTTCAGACAGAGGCCTAGAACACATTTCTATTGTGAAAACTTTTCTAACACGCGATCCAGACTTAATCCTAGGAGACTAATGTCAACATACGGCGACAGTTCCGGTTGCGGAAAGTCGAAAACCTTACCCTGCTATCTGGCCATCCTCCGTTGAGTATAGTCTTCCTAATATCAATCACTGTGAAAGTACATTAGGCTTTATTTAATTGTGGACTAGAACGCTCCTCTATTAAGTTCGTTCCAACCTGACCTTGGAATCTGTCGCTCTTTTGAACCAAAGATTGAGGATCGTTGGTTGCCATATGGAGCCGATGAGCCAATCTACTGCACTGAATATAAATATCAGATCTGTCATGTTATTTGTTTTATCCTACATATATATTTCTCTTGATCCACAAACTCATAAGTCAGTCAACGGTGGGAAATATGCCATTCTTCAACATGCTTTCCGCCAGAAACTTTTTACATTATCTTATGCTAGTTGCCTCTCGACAGCTGACCGTGACTTGTCTTCCGGACAGCGCTCCAGAAGTTATAGATCGCGTATTTGAACAACGCAATCTTGCATGCGATGTCTATGTTGATGTGCTAAATCTGTTAGGGGAGCTTGGTGAACCTGCAACTGCATTCTGCAGCTCGTATCTCCATATCCCCAGTGTTACTACAGTTCCTGGACCAACTGTCACCCCAGAACCAGTGTAAGGAGACCTGAAAGTGGACTGAGGACTACGCTAAGAATTATCGCGGTAGTACCACCACAGACTTTATCTCTACTACAGACTTTTTCTCTTCTACACTCGATTTCCCTGCGATTATGAAAGAGAAGCGATCCGATGCACCAGTCCCCAGTGTCACGGCTCGAGCTCTCCCGGCTGCTTTGATAAAGTTGCCATCGAAAGAAATCTCGGCCGCATGCAGTTGTCTGCATATTACCCCAGCATCGACTTATACCCAGACAATTACTGCTCCCACTCCAGTGAGTTAAGAATGTTTTTTGAGGGCCGTCAACGGAGACCGAGAGGAGCTAACCTTGTTTCTAGGTCGTAACAGTCACTACTTACATTTTCTGAAAAGTTTGGAGTAAAACATTATCAAATCTACAAGGAGGCCCTCGACATTAACACATCTACCATGCTAATTTCCGTTTGACAAAGGCTGTATCTGCTTATTTCCCCACCACGTCGTCGTTGAATGCCATTAAATGATCCGCTTTTTGCCGTGATTTAGGAAGCGAAACTCAGGCGAGGGGAAATGAACTAAAAACATTGTTCCGTGGTAACCTTCTAGGATGCTATTTGGATCCATTCTTAGCTTAGAAAGTGATCTGACTCTACGTATACGATATAATAGACAGATATCGAAAACAGATTCTCCCATAGACACAAGCTTTCTTTCCTAGCGCCCCACTCCGATTGGGCTTAGCTTACTTTGGCCAAAGAAAGTCTCCTTCGCGGGCGTGTGGCACTGTGATTGGCTATAGCAGACTTTGAATTTCGGCAGTCTGGACTCGATCTGGACTTGGCTTTCAAGTCGGCCTCCAGTGACGTCTCCTTTTCATTTACAGCATGTCTTCAACACCCGCTTTCGAGTTCTCTTGCCAATACTCACTGGGAGCTAAAATCAAATCTTCTTCGGTCACTCTTCCTACCGTTCTGCGGTTAAGTATAAGCTTTCAATCAATTGTGTGGTAGGTATATTTTCACCACCTTCGCACTCAGCTACTGTAATGAGAGAAAATTAAGTTAATCCGGCTGTGGCTGGTGTGGCACGATAGGGGGCAGGGTTTGGGGAGTAAAATGTTGCGAGTTTGCTGCCGAACTACCGGGGGTGGGTGCATATTGCAAATCTTCGACCCGTGGATCGACCATCTGGGGTTGATAGGCATTGTCACCAAAAGGGCTATTGGTCATCGCGAATATTCCTGGGTGAGGGGGTAGTCTAGACATGTACGGAGGGGGTTAGCCAAAAAAATAAAGCAAAGCTGATGCCCAATAAGACTCGAAGTTGCTGTACGTGATAAGCTATGTGATCACGAAAGGAATCTTACTGTCGAGCCTTGCCAATTTCACTTGACCCGAGATTTAGATATTGCCGGCTGCAAGCTACTTTGAAAATGCCGGGTGACTGAAAGGTCTGGTAACAAGTTCTGAGGCTGAAATAGGACCGAATTCCCCTAAGCATGGCATCACCTGTCTGCGCAAAATTTTCCCTCGGCAGCGTCTAGAATACCACTAAATCAAGATTTGGGGTAGATGATATAATCAACTTGTTTTGAAAGGACTGCCCACCTCAAACTTGGCTTTAATCTCGATTTCATAAAATGAAAAAGCTCTCTAGTTGAACAATCCCACAGTAGTGAGTCACTAGGGCACTCAATCTGATAAGTGTGCCGTGCCCTGGCGAGGATTCCAATGTCCGTCTTGATGAGAAAGTCGCGAAATAACAGAAGGGGGCAATGTTGTTCTTGGTGTGGAGGGCGGCACTTCAAGTTATCCGAACTATCAAGATAGTAATGAATAAACTCATAGATCCAAGAGGGCGTAATAGTCACAGTTGTAAACTATACTGTAGTTTAGCCCGATTCATCAGGCATCCAGACCCCACTCCGATCCACCACAATCTTTCCCCGCGACTGTCCCGAACAGCATCGAAAAGGCCAAATCAACAGTCTGGCAACTGGCAACTGGACACTGAATGTATAATGTCCTAGACAGATCAGATCCAGGTCACTACTTTACTATGTCACCTCCATACACCCCTTGTTTTCGACCGATGCGCTAGCAATGAGCATCAATAAGGACCTGCTCGGCCTCGACAGCCAAGACACGCGTAATTTGTCGCCCTTTTGAAGACGTGTTTAACAGCTTAAACTAAGTTGACATTCTAGTTCCCGTGATCTCCATCTCAGCCTCGCAGTCTTTGAACGCGTCGGCTGCGCTCAGGGAGCCAATTCCTACAGGTCTTACGCGTCTGGATGAGGCGTTGGATGATTCACCTGGAGACCAGCGGCGATCTGGTGGGATTCTTCGGGGTCAGGTTACGGAGGTATTTGGACCACCGGGGGTAGGGAAAACTTCTCTCGCGTGAGTTTCCTGGCTGGTGAATATACGACCATCAAAATCTTAATTGACACTTGAATCAGGCTAAGCATTGCATCGCATGCCCTCCGCGATGGCAGAAAAGTTATCTGGATCGGTAGGTCATTCCCTCCCAGAACACCTCAATACATCCCAGAAGCTAACAATCCCCAGACACGGGCTCCCCAATCCCAACAACCCGCCTCAAATCCACAACCCCAGAGCTGACCAACCTAACCTACTTCCGGGCCCCAACACTACCACACCTCCTAGCCCTCCTCCTCCGCCCACCCAAGGACTTCCCACCAGAAGAAACAAGCCTAATAATCATCGACTCAATCTCTTCCCTCTTCCCGTCCTACTTCCTCAGCGCCGCAGAACTCAAAGACCGACTGTCCCAAGGCAAAATCACCGATAAACCGCAGCTCCAGTGGTTACTCAACCGCAAGTGGAACGTCATCAGTGATATAGCGACCCATCTAACCCGTCTCGCGGCGCGGAATATCGCCGTGTTGGCGTTGAACCAGACTCATACGAAAATTAAGGGCCAGCCGCGCGCGACTTTGCATCCGCTTGTGGCGGGGGGCGCGTGGGAGACGAATGTTCAGACGAGGATTGTGTTGTATCGGGATTTGCCTGATATGCGGTTTGCGGAAATTACGAAGAGGGCGGGGAGAACGATGGTTGTAAGGTTGGCGGAGTTGATTGTGCCGTTTCGGATTGGATCTGTGAGTTCTTTCCCCGAGTCCGACTGGAGAAGGAGTTGTCCCCCTGCTGAGTGTTTGAATTCTGACAAAATGATTAGGACGGTCTTTATGAAGTGGAAGAGCCGAAATCTCCCGAGGTGCTTGAACCAACACCCAGTCGTAAGCGCAAGGCGGAGAATGAAGTCGCGGATAGTCAAGACGAGGACTCGGAAGAAGAGTATGAGTGGATGGGCGAGGCATTGCTAGATGAGACCTGATCTACGTGGACGGCAAGAGAAACGTCTAGCTAGAACAAAACCTGCAAGACACTCAAATAGATATCACATTACTTATGCTCATGACCATGATCATCCATCATAAAACCCCCCGTCCGATCCACAAACATCCTCCCCTCCATAACCCGTGCTCCATCCGGCGTCGACAAAACCTCCTTCGACTCCGACACACAAGGCATCCCATCATCACGTCGATCCGGCGTCTCGGGCGGCCTCGAAAACGAACAAAGCGGAAGCGTATCCGCCATGGCAAGAGAAATCGGATGTCTGGAGCCCTGTATAAGATCCACCAATCGACCAAGCACAGCAAACTCCAACTTCAACTTAAGCGAGTAAATAAAGCCCTTCAGCGTAATCTGCACCGCATATAAATTTGCATACTCCAGACCCAACAACAACACATCCATCGCAATAATAGCACAATTAATCCCGATAAGTTGATACATAATCGACCTCGCATCCGGTCTGGCCGTAACATCGGCACCAAGACGAAGTAACTTGACAGCCTCGATAACATACAACGTTCCCAAAAGGGATTCCTGGATTGTAAAGCCAGTCAACTGAATCTTTTCCATGATATTATACCCCTTGATCCAGGAGATATCACCAGTATGCACGATATTCGCGCCATAAGTGAGGATCGTGGTAGGAACATGTAAAAGAAAGAAATTCGTGACGATCAACCACAATACCCGTCGCAGAATCTTTTCATCCCGGAGGACTAAATGAAGACGAGAATATAGCACGATCGATTGGCCCGTGACCATCGTCCACCACCCAATCGTCAAGATAGTCACTGAAAGAACTGAATCCGCCCGCGTGAAGAATTTCATCAAGAATCCAATAGAGTATGGCACGACGCCTATACAGCCCGATGCGAGGAGGGACCAGAAATAGAGGCCGCGCCAGCGACGGAATGTAGATGGGACTAGGACGACTAGTTCAGCGACGTTGTAGCAGGATAGTCCGATGAATGTGACTAGGATCATTTGGAGCACGTCGGGCTCTGAGGCGAGTGCGCCGGATATACCATCCAGCAAGTCCTGAGGGGGATCGGACATGGTGATGGTAGTGGCAGTCGGGATGTCACTTGGCGGGGACAGGGCCAGACGCGAAATTTCACCACAATAGAGGGGTTTGCGGAGCAGATGTAGTGAGGAACGCTGGTTATACGAGGTCAACACCTCGGATTGTTAAGGTAAAACAGGGACTGCGAGAGCCAGTTTCACCCAGTCTGATACGCGAACATATCTCTCAGGAATAGTAAAGCGAAAGGCGAGAAGCGAAAAGGCATGAACGGGGAGAGTAGAGTCGCGTCCAGACGAGGGTGTGGATAGTAGCTGTACTGTAGATAGGTAAAGGAAAAAGGCGAAGTCGAAATCGCAATTGTAGCCGCGGTGTGTGTTGCACAGCGTAAATACCGGACAGACAACACGGACTGGAGGCGGGTACTCGTAGGGATATGTATAGCACTCGCAGCTGTAGTTGGGAAAGTGAAAATAAGAAAAGGAAAGAAAAGAAGACAAGACCTGGACCTGAAAAGAAAAGCCCAATCTGCGAATGAACTAAGCCGACAAGGCCCCGATCCAAAAGCCAAGACTTGCTTAGACCAGAAGCAGGATCATGGATGGATCAGGATTGGGATTAGATGCAAGTTTAGCCCCTGTCACGCACGTATGTAAAAGCAACGGAACAGAAAGATGAATCCACACCCACACCCCTCTAAATGAAAATCAGATCCTGCACAGACAACACACGGACACAGCTCAGCCGTCTTAGCCAACAAGACCGAGCCTAACCCCTCCCAGAAACAGAGATAAAGAAGGGAAAAAAGAGCGAGTCACAAATACACCCCTAAGATCCTTCCGGGGGCCATTAAATCCCGGGGTAGATCGGCGGCGGCGGGAAACGCCATGGTTCAATAGTGCGGATTAGGCCGTTTAGCTAGGAATCAGTTGATCATTACAGTACGGAGTACATATCCCTTAGTGTTAAGTAGGCACCGACAGGGTCTCTAGTGGCATGTGCCCATTACCTCGGGATTATAGTGGCTTGGAACTATTTTAGACTAAAAATGCCGTGTAGGCCACAAAGGAGAACTCCGTACTCCGTACTGTTCCTACAATTGTATTTGGGTGAAAGGGGTAAGGTTACGGGATTACGGGGTTCCGTGGAGGCGGAGATCCGCCTGGGGCTGTTTTTCTTCAGAAAAAGATTATACTCCGTACATAGTTTATGTATACGAGAAACAATGTCAACAATAATCGGTAGATAATGATACTTAGGAGCATTGAATGGAGATATGACAGGTTGATCACAGACCACCCTGCGAACCCCCTAATTGTGGTCCGGTGATCCGATCCGAAAAAACACTCCTATCGTCCCCGGACAAAGCAAAGTCAAGCCCTAATATTAAATACCATAGACCCGAGATCACATTGTCTACACCGTGACAGGGCCAGACTACAGTACTCCTGTACAATAGGCCGTGGCCGTGGAAAATCAGTCACAGCTGGACTAGACTGCAAGACTACAGTGCGCAAGTACCCGTTTCGCAGTGGTTGTCCCTGCAATCGACTCCTTGTCGACCACACCGCACCGAGCAAATCCCTCGGCAGGCCAGATGGAATTACAAGAGAAAGAGCAGAGTGAATTATGAATTACAACGGCAAGAATGGTAAAAAGAAGGGGTGTCATTCGAGTCTAGTTCATACTCTGCGCGGGTCAAGTCAAGTCAAGCACTTCTTCTCTCCTGCTTATTTCTCCCTCATAGGTTGGTCAGGTAATCCTCGATCTGCTCCTTGGTCAACTTCCTGAACCGGGGGCCTTGAGCGCCCTCCACACCCTCGTAGCCCAGCAGGTGATCCGCAGGGGGGCCCACAATGCCTATACACTGTCAGTAGCCGATCATACCCAACACAGCACCGAAAAGACAAAAAAAAGAACGACTTACCAATCTCTATTGTGTCCCCGTTCATCTCCCCCTCAATAGTCTCCTTGAGCGTCAACAACGCAATGTGGATGGCATCCTCCAACTCCAACCCCTCAGTGTACCGCTTCTCCAAAAAGGTCTTGGCGCTCGTCGCATGCTTGCCAATAGCCGTCGCCTTCCACGGGTAATAGCTACCGCTAGGGTCAACCTGGTACAGACTGGGACCACCCTTCAGGATACCACCAGTCTTGCCAGCAGATTTGGCAGGCGAGTCACCACCATCCTTCTTCGTATCCGCGACCTCGGGCTCAACACCCTCGTCCCAGCCCGCAACCAACAGACTGACACCGTATGGCCGCACACCACCGGACTGCGTGGCCTCCTGCACGACGCGGGCAACGTCCTGCACCAATATCCGTGTGGGCGGGTATTCGTTGTAGATGCGCTTGTAGCCTGTGTGCGAGACCTTGCGGGCCTTGTCGACCAGGACGCGGTAGTCGGGACCCATGCCGGCGTAGACCATGCCGATGTCCGGGGTGATCAGGGAGATCTTGGAGAGCGAGGGGGGTCGATGAGCGGCGAGGAGGATTTCTTTTCGGTAGCGAGGACAATTCCATTGGTGGCTGGAAGGAATAGTTAGCCTGAGGGCTCGAGGAGAAGGTGTTGATGATGGAGAGCCGGGGCTGCTTTTCCTGTTCTCACCTTTGATGCCCAGGGCTGTGACACCCTGGTTGACAGCATTTAGAGCATACTCTGGATAGAACTCATCAGTAAACTTGATTCCAACAGGAGTCTTCCCATTTCAAGCTCAATCTCTTCGGCGCTTACCAATCTGCACCAGCTTTCCACTGTTGGACGATGAGAGTTAGCTTCCTGAAGCAACAGGTAATCAGGGCTTTGGGATCAACAAGCTTCAGCATACCTGGGCGAGAACGTAGTCAGGGAGAAGGAGTAGCGGTCCGCCATGATATGATACTAGTATTGAAAATCGCAGCTCGGTATGACCGCAAATTCTATGGATGGTCAAGAAGAAGAAAGAAAAAGGATGATGGAGCTGAGGCAGAAGACGGGTGACGTTTGACGCGGTCGAGAGCTCGGCCATCGCAGCTGCGGTGCTGGTCCAAGGCGGTGAGTCCAATTGGGATTAGCGGCTACATAAATTGTGAGTTCTTCCTCTTTCTCTGCTTCTCTTTGATTCTTCCCAATCATCAGACTACTAGACTCGGAGCAAATGTGACTTGACCCGGTCAACAATTCCCCTCCATGCAGTCCCCGAGCAATGAGCCGGACTCGCCGGGGTCTACCGCACAACCTCCCCCTCCCCCCGAGCCCGAGCAGAGCTATTATCCCCCACGAGTCTGCCGCATCTGCCTAGACACGGTCCTGCCCACCGTGCAGCCGTCGGAATTTCTCCAAAGGCCCCGCGTGGTCTACGAGTCCACCGATCCCGAGCTAGGCCGATTGCTCCGTCCGTGCAAATGCAAAGGATCCTCGCGATATGTACACGAAGGATGCCTGCAGACATGGCGGCACGCGGATCCCAGATATGGTCGGCGGAACTACTGGCAATGTCCAACCTGCGGCTTTCAGTACCGGCTGGAGCGGTTGACCTGGGCTCGATGGATCAGTAGCTCTGGGACACAGATCTTGCTGACCATTGGCATTCTGCTTTTAACTATGTTTCTCCTTGGTTTTGTTGCTGACCCTATCATTAAATTTTTCCTCGTCGAGTTAGACGATCTCCCCTTGGAAGTGGAGGATCTTGACACAGCACAGGCTTCGTGGGTGGCCCATTTCATCAAGGGACTTGCGTCTCTCGGTCTGCTGTCCTTCTTCCGGGTCATGTTTATGATGTCGCCGTGGAATCTCCGTGTTGCAACGGGAGGAGGTCGGTCTTCGAGCCGAGATCGAATGCGTTGGCTGATGATTGTCATTGGCGTGGGCACTTTCCTATGGGTATGTTAGTGGAAGAGGCGAATATCACTCGCCTATCCTCTACATTGCTAACCCCTGGCCAGGCTGTCTACAAGGGCGTCCGATCCTGGAGTAAACGAACACTAGAAAGGGCCGGCGAGAGAGTCATGGATGTCCCTTTACCAGACGATGAGGACGATGATGCTGCCATGCCACAACCGCAGACTAGTGATCCTGATCATCCCAAGACTGATTAACCCTTCTATGTTTTTGTTTTCCCTTTTATACCCTCCTACTCGCACTACTTTAAGTTGCCGTGCTCCTCTCCATGACACGCTGATTAGTCACTGTGCGAAGAACGATTCTCGACCTTCATTAACTCTCGACTGTTCTATCTGAGACTCCGTGTTGATGACCTCTGGAACGTTTTGTGCCATGTTATCGACGTGTTGTCGCTAATCAGATGGACGTTGAGGGGAAGGCAGAACCACGCCTCGATTAGCAAACGGGAAAGCATCCATTCCATTTATCATGGATGGACTCTACGCGCTTTTTGGAAATCGAGGGATGGTACATTTTTCATGTGCCGTATCAATTAGGGGGAAGTGTTCACCTTTCAGCGCTCATCTGAACTCTTACTTTTTGTTTATACCCCACGACTCATGTCGCCAGAGCTTTTTCCACTTAGGCAGATTAATCAACTTTCTTCGTCTTTTCTCTTGCTCTTTCTATTCCTCACCTTCTCTCCACCTTCGCTCCTCCTCTTTCCCACATACCAATCGCACTCTCCTCACTTATTCCCTCCCACACCACTATCACCATCTTCCCTCACCACCCTTACCACTCCAACGTACTCTCTTACCTTGTCCACTCCTCTCATAAATCCCTCTCATCATGGTGGACGTCGACAGACCCCAGCTGACTCTCCAAGAGGGAGTTTAAAGAAAGCTGGAGTGTAAGACCTTGCCCAGTTGACTCTCCACGAGAGGGTGTAAAGAGAACTGGACATTCCGACCACTATTCCCTACTTCCATACATACCCTCACGACCTCTACGACCCCTACGACATAACCACGACTAACGACCCCGATACCCTAATACAAATGATGAACGCTGCCAACCTGAATCTTATCGTCATATCCCATAGTTTATCTTTTCATTAGTGATAATAAAACAAGGGGATTACTACAGGGACCCCCCCCTTAGTCTAGAGGGACCCCCCCCTCGAGTTCCTCGGACCCCCCGTCTGTTAGTCGGACACCTCTTGGCCTGATTTTTCAGGCAGAATTTCTTATTCGGGTTTAGCGTAAGGCAGAAATTGATGAATCATCATAGCCTTACGCATGATTAGTCATAAATTCCACCATCCTCCTGACCGCTTTCTACCCTACCCCCCTACCGCCTTTAGCCGCTCCACCGCCTACCTAATCCTCTACACCATCTTCCACCTTACTATCTTCCTCCCCACCACCTTCCTCTCTACCATCTTCCTCTCTACCTTCTCTGCATCTTCTTCCTCTACATCCTCCTCTTACGCAGCAGATTTACCAGCAAAATCATCACCCAACATGGCAGGTTTAGGCCTGGAGCTCTATCTCTCTTCAGATGCAGAAGATGGCTTACATACCGAAGACCCACCTTCAGCGGAGCGATTCGTCGAGGGCCCTACAGCTACCGCGGATCCTTCAGCCACCGGAGACCCTGCCGACGCCGCCCTTCTAGACCTACCTACCCACATGACGTTCCCCCTACCACCCGTCAATCGGAGATACAATACTGCGGAGGAAGGAATCGACGCTATCAACCAGTTCGCTTTTGATCATGGCTACGCTGTAGTCAAGCGCAGAAGCAAGAAGACCAAGGGCCAAGTGCCGAGGATCAAAAAGGTGCAACTACAATACGACCGCGGGGGTGTTTATACCCCACAAAGCGAAGTTCCTAGCGAAGTTCCTGGCGAGACTTTGGTATCACCTAGCGAACCAAGTGAGACTACGGAACCACCCACCGGCGAGGCTACTATTACCAGCAAAAAGCCTCGTAAGCGCAAGACAACCACTTTGGCCCTTGACTGTCTATTCGATATCTCTCTCCGCCTATAAATTGATGGTTCCTGGATCCTCACTATCGCCGACGATAGCCACAATCACGAGCCCTCGCCCCCATCGACCTATGTAGCCCACCGCAAGACCGAGATAGCCCGGAAGGAGGATCAAATCAGGAACTGGTTCCGACAGATGTTGCCTACTCGCCAGATCATAAGGTTGCTTAGAGCTGAGGATAAGAATACCTGCCTACTGTAAGGATATACTCTATAAGTCAGGATAGAGGCCTGTCAATCAGGTAGGAGAAATGGAGCCAAGTCAATAGTGTAGAAAGGTCAAGAACTGTTTCTTGAGGATCGCAAAACTTCTTCAACATGGGTCAATTTATATACAGTCTCATCACTCAAACAGGAAGGAGATGTATCCTTGGTAGGGAAATGGGAGCGGGGTGAAACACGAGGCTTGTGTAACCTCTGTCAAGGGTGTTCCCTGCAGGAGTTCGTACACGTACTGAAGCCGAAGCCCCAGCGAACCTCCACAGAAAGCCTGACGGCTTATCAGGTCCGGGAAGCCTGATGCACCAACACATGGGGAAGGCCTGCCGGCTTATCAGGCCCGGGAAGCCTGAGGCACCAACAGTTGGGAATAACCTCATGCCAGGATATATCATAACACCTACAACCAAAAGACATCCACAATGCCCGCTTGAAGATAAATGAGGAGTTCTTAGCTGGTCGTACACCTATCCAAGCCCTACTGATGGAGCTTCCGACTGATGGAAAATAGATGTTCAAGTATAGTCGTTGTCCTCCATATGTCTAATCCACCCCTTGATTACTCCGCTAACCTGCCTTCATTTTCTATTAGATACCAACTAGATCAGGATAAGTATGTCCAAGTGCTCTTTGCGATACACCAGGCTTCGGTAAAGATATTAAAGCATTATTCCTTCGTGATTTCTATGGATTGTACCTACAAAACGAATCAATATAGCTTACCACTCCTTGATATCGTCGGCTTTACTACAACTAGGGCCTCTGCTTACCTTAGCTTTGCGTTTATTCAAAACGAACAACAGCCTACATACGAGGTAGTGCTTGACTTCCTTGCTGAAGTCTACGATAAGCTTAAGCTTGATTTCCCGCGTACTATCCTCACTAACAAGGAAGAAGCACTAATCAACGCAATCTATAAGGTTTTTCCAGATACTAATACCATTATCTGTATCTGGCACGTTAACATAAACCTTATGAAGAAAGCGCTCCTAATCCTTCGAGACCAGATCGCTGTAGCCCGCAGGGATAGCCTTCCCCTTCCCGACGGAGCTACTATCGCAGCTAACCTTAACAAGAAAGACCTGGATCAAGAGCTGAAGAGAGTTACGGATGAGGGATAGAAGAAGATGCTTCAGCGGTGGAATCGGCTTATTTACGCTGAATCACAAAGCGCCTTTGATTCAGCGTGGACTCACTTCCAACAGAAATACGATACACCGATCTTTACTGACCTCCTTGCCTATATCCGGTCTGAGTAGATAGAAGACTGCCCAGAGAACTTCCTCCGCTACCATACTCGGCGATATCTCCATCTTAGCGAGGCTGCAACTTCTCGAACAGAAGGATCTCACTGGCTCCTCAAACAAGATCTCCATGTCTCTACGAGACACCTTCTCTCTGTTCTTACTAACTTCGAGGGGGTAGTAGAGGGCCAGTACGAGAAGAATAAGGCAGAGATTGCAAGCGAGAGAACTAAGCGCCCTACCAAGATCCTCCCTCTTTACCAGTTGCTCATTAACCGTATCTCCCAGACAGCGATTGGCTACACTCAATCAATCCATGACCAGTATCTTCCACCAGCAGAGAAAAAGCCACAGATTCCACTAGAATGCGATTGCAATTCGAAGGAAACCGCAGGATACCCATGCATCCATATTATCAAGCAGCATCTTGATGAGAACCGGCAACTTTCCCCATCGCTGTATCATCAGTAGTGGCATCTTTACAAGCTTGGTGATGCTCCCCCTATCAACCCCTTACTACTTGTGCAGGATCCTCTCCCTGTGCGCCGGCGAGGTCGCCCGCGTGGTGCACGGAACAATATTCGACCGGCGACCCAGGTAACAGCCACACAGACACAGATCCCATCCTCCCAATCTATTGTGCCCTCCACACAGATCCCCGAAGAGAACGGGCCCCTTACTCCATTCGAGCGATCCACCCAGCGCGAGCCTTCGGCACATGAGCATGTTTTGGCGGAGGTCACCGGCCGTGGCCGCGGAAGAGGTCGGGGTCGTGCACAAGGCGGCGGAGGAGGGCGTAGGCGAGGGCGTGGCCGCGGCAGCAGCCAGGCGGTTACCCCTGCAGATGCATAAGCGGTTGCATTCTTGTTTACTGCTAAATCGCAGTCAAAAAGACCCGCGAATTTGATGTAGTGTAATCGTCAAGAAATGTGGATTCTAAGCTTTCAAAAAAGTGCACTTTTACTATGTAAATCAAAATGGTAGACTGTAGAGACCAGGGTGGCAGAAAGGGTGGCAGAATCGAAGGAAAAGTGGCAGAAAAAGTGGCAGAAAAATTAGTGTTCTATTACTCAGCAGTCATATGAAGAGGCTAAACCCGAATAGGAAAGTCTGCCTGAAAAATCAGGCCAAGGGGTGTCCGACTAACAGACGGGGGGTCCGAGGAACTCGAGGGGGGGGTCCCTCTAGACTAAGGGGGGTCCCTGTAGTAATCCCCTAAAACAAATAATATCTGATGACATGCTTCAAAATCAACTTCTAATCCTCAACCCAAACCATAACCTCTAGTTCCCCCCTAAGCATTACAATCCTTATACTCCCCCAACTTAAACAACTTCTTCGCATTCTCCCTCCCAATCTTCAACCGATCACTCTCATTCATCTCCATCCCATCAAACCACCCACAAGCATCCCCAAACGTCTCAAACGGATAATCAATACTAAACAAAATCCGATCGGCCCCAACCTCCGCTAAACAAAAATTCAACGTAGTCGTACTAAAATGCCCCGACGTCGTAATCCAAATATTCTCCGCGAAATACTCCCGAATAGTCTTCTTGCACGTCTCCGTCAATCCAAGCAACTTCTTCCGATCCTCAAACCAGTGGTTAATCCGCCACATATCGAAGGGGATGTGTTCACCCAGATGGCCAAGGATGATCTGGAGTTTTGGGTGGCGGTCGAAGACCCCGTTTGTTACCATGCCTAGGGTGTGGAGGGAGACGCCGTGGGCAAAGGAGAGCGGGGGGCCGACGAGCCATTTTCGGTCGGCCCAGAGTTTGTCATAGATTGTTCCAGTTGGGTTGCGGGGGTGGAGGTAGAGTGGGACGTCGAGCTCTGTGCAGGTCTGCCAGAAAATGTCCCATTTGGCATTGTCGTAGAAGATCATGTCGTCGCCGTCTTGGCCGGCGCGTTGTGTGTCGTTGACTAGGGCGCCGAGGAAGCCGTATTGGGTGACGCAGCGGCGGAGTTCGGTGGCTGCTTCTTGGGGGTCGTGCATGGACAGCGTACTATGCAACAATCTTATTAGCATTTAGATTCCCATAACATAATTTTGTGTATTATCGAAGGTGTTCGAGAGGGAGAGTACTTACGCAAAAGCAGCAAACCGATCCGGATGTGCCTTCACCTTCTCAGCGATATAATCATTGATCTCAACCGCCAATTTTTGCGCATCAACAGGGTCCCAAATATCCTGTACACCGGGCGCAGTATAAGATAGAATCTGGAGTCCAACACCATGCTTCTCGGCAAAGTTCAGTCGGATAGAATCAACGTCATTGATCTCGGCGACGTGCTGATCAACGTCCGTCGCGAAAAGGCCAGCCCACCAACGGGTCTTTTCTTTGAATCGGGGGAGCGCGAAGGCTTCTTCGAGGGCGATTTTTCCCAACATAATGCTTTCTGGTCTGGTTTATGGGATTGAGGAAAGGTGGTTGTGGAAGAGTAGGGGAGGAATATGCTAAATCTAAATCCAATCTCAGAAGTGTACGTACGAATAGCCCGGTTTATATTCACGTCCCCTCGTCTTTGCCCCGCACTTCAGTTTCGGGAATCGGCAAGCACGGAGAATAAGATGTCATTCTTGCTCCTCGTACTAACGTTACCTTGGTGAACTGACCCAGTTTTGGAAGCAAGGTACGAGCGATAAGAGGCTCGTCGGAAGTGTAGGTATCGGATGCGTGCGTCGCAGGTCAGCCGACGGGCGCGGACCGCCACCTGCACCTCTTCTTTGCCTCCGCATTTGGAGGGGTTCTGTAGGGCGGGGCGGATCGGTTCGGCACTTGAGGGAGTGTGGGGCGAGGATCCATCTTCCGACGGCGGCGCTTGAAATGGGATTGGACTTGGAGTGCTGCATGTAGGTGGGTAATTAGGTGATAAGATATGTGTGCCTGTTCCTGTTTGTATATGTGGGGCGGGAATAACGAAGAGGCGGTTTCAAAGTGGGAGTCTATGCAGGAACCGGAGTATTCACCCATCTATGTCCTTGGCAGCCATCACTCAATTCCCTCAGAGATGTATTTCATAACGGACAGATGTGTCCAGTTCTATTGCATAAAATTTTCGATTCATTGATATTCTAACTAAGACTACTCCGCGGTAGTACGGTCGGCCCCCCACGTCGGCGGATTCGAACTGGAGCTATGCGATTGCACCAGAGAAACCAACATCCCCAGCACAGCAAATTCAAGCTTAAGCTTGATACTATACACCATCGGTTTCAGCTCAATCTGCGTGAAATAAAGCCCCTTATACTGCAGGATAACGAGCGACAAATCCATCGCAATAGCCGCGATATTGACAGCCAACAGCTCATAAAGAATTTTATGCCGACGCGCATCCGCCTCGGGACTCGACCGAACCAACCGAATCAACCGAATCAACCGTATCGTGTCCCAGATATAGATAGTTGAAATAAGGATTTCCTGGGCCGTGAACCAGGTCACTTGTATCCGTTCCATAACGTCGAATCCCTTCACCCATGCCGTAGACTGCGGGACGAAGCTCGAGCCGACATTCAGTGTTATCGTGGGTATGACAATCGTGATATAACAAAACACGATCAACCACCGCACAAAGCCCAACACGAACGGATTCTGTGAGACCAGATGTAATCGCGAGTATAACACGACAGATTGATTCGGCACGAGAAAGACAAAGCCGAAATTCGAGAGGAACATGCTCAGCCACAACGGCTCGAGATTAAAATATTGCAGGCCCTGCCCGATCGTTTGGGGAATTACACCCAACACAGCGGAGGTCAAAAGCGCCCAGAAGTAGAGACTCCTGTAGCGGTGGAAACTGAGCGGAATCAGCACCGAAAGCTCGATCGCATTGTAAAGCGCGATGGCCATGAACACGATAATGCTAATTCCAACGGCGACATTGCCGGATCCCGAATTAACCGCCTGCACGGTCAAGGAATCGTGCTCGGTTTCGGACATGTTTAGATAGCTGCGAGAGTCGCGGAGATGGACAATCCAGTCGGTATGGTGGGTAGTGTTGTAACTGAGGCATGACGGAAGACTGATCCGGTTATTACCATATCTTACGCAGTCATTAGATAGTAATTAGATCATCTTTCTGCCTCCCAGCACCAACTTATTCCGTAACAGGCAGAGAGTCTGGTACGCGCCTCACACGGAGGGGCACGTAGAGGAAGTCAGGACGAAGGGCATGGCGGTGGCTTCGCTATATAATCTTTTGTAGTGATTTGAAGAGCGGCGCGTGGATTAAGCAGAGTTTTCTGGGGCTGGGGATTCTCACGTTCTGGGTGGTTGGTTTTGATGGGAAATGAGGGGAAAGACTTTCCTTGGAGGGTTTTCCCCGCAGAGTTTAAATGGGATCGTGAAGTCTCGATGGAGATGTGGGTTCCGTGGATCGGCGAGTGTGTCTGTAGCGTGGCTTGAATGTTAATGTGGTTAGTTGGAGTGATTCTCGCGTTTAGTTGCCCATGTGGCGTTCTTTCTAGGAAATAGTGGAAGGGTTTAAGAGTTAGAAAGGTCGTGAACTAGTGGACTAGTTAGGAGGCGGCAAATGAAATATCTCCCGCCACAGGTAGTGACAGGCCACTCATGCTAGGGCCGCGTCATACATTTTGGCGGCAAACCAATAATCATAACGAGGACGGTTTCTAGGTAACAGAAGAATGATTCTAGAAGACTCAGATCCATTATTTGATAGAAGTTCGGTCCTGCAGAGGGAATTCAGGTGGCTAAAATAGAGTGGAACATTAAGGGACGTAGTTCTGGGGCTCGGGGACAACCTAATCAACTTACAGTAATGAGTCGCATGACTAGAGACTCTGACGGACCTCCATATTATGGGCGCACTATATCACACTGAACATAGTTGACATAGGTAGTGGGCTGATGCTGATAATTATCTGCTGGGAATTTCCTCCACCACCACCATCTGCCTACGTTTGTCTCCTAGTTTTGCGTCTTTACTTTCCAATGTTTGTCACTCCTAATACTACATGCCTTATTCAGACCTCTGCTCTTCCTAGATCGTTCCTTCCTTCTTTCTCAGATAGACCAATCTTTCTTCTCCTCGCGTTCTCTCCCTCCTTCTCATCTTTCCTTCCTTTCTCTACTCCCCACCTCCTGGTATTTCTGACACTAGCTCAAAATATCCGGGTGTTACAACGAGCAAGACTTCAAGATGGAAAACTTCGAGGAGTAAGAGGCCCTTTCACAATATTCTTACCTGACTAACAACCTTCTGTAGGGTCATTCGATCTCCAGAATTCCGCTTTCTCATTGAGCCAGACCGCAAAAAGCTGACAGTCCATACTGGAGTCGTTCAGAATCTTTCACCCCCTTTGGCCGTGCTCATGAACAACGGCCGCATGAAAGAGTCCTTGTCCGGCACCGCTGCGATCGAGGATATCGAGGAGGCGACCTTCATTGCGTTTCGCGAGTTTGGCTATCATGGCAGATACAAGACACTGTCTCGAGGCGACGAGGGGAACAGCGATGACTTGAGTGCAGATGGTAAGGATCTCAAAAGGGTCAGGAGACCCATTCACCTACCAGAATATCTAACTCGTGATATAGATCAGATCGAACCAAAAGCAAATCAGTCAAAGCCAGAACCAGAACCACAGACTGATCATACATGCGACAGGCTAAGATTATCTTCTACAAGGCCATCTCGCTCCTATTTCTCGTGTCAACCGGATCCGGAGCCGCAGCCTGAGTATTCACACACCTGCGAAAGCCGTGCAAACGAGTTGAAAAAGATGTTTCGCTCTTATTCACGACTTTCGCTGTTGATAGGATACGCAAAATCCATCGAAACTGAAAGCATCGAGGCACGGCGGTGGGCTCAATTCAAATCTATAAGGTTCACTGAAAAGGCTGCCTTGCCGTCTTCCAACCCGGATTTTCTTACCCATGCCAAAGTTTACGTATTTGGAACCCGATATCTTATTGATTCGTTGAGAGAAAAAGCCTTGAAATCACTTCATCGTGATCTTTGCGAATTCCAATTCGGCTCACAAACCGTGTCTCGCATCCTTGATCAGCTAGAGTATGCTTTCCAAAACACTGGCAGGCAAGAGCCGGATAGATACTATTCCCTCAGAATGATGGTCATCGAATGTCGCATGCAAGGCAAAGTATTTGATTAAAGATCCTCGGTTCGGCCGAATTTGGATGAAAACGGAGATGTTGGTTCTGACCTTGCGGCTAGGCTTGTTGATTGAGGGGCTTTAGGAAAACTGCACAGCCAGGGAGGTAAATTTGGCATATACAAAGAGCTATTTAAAAAAAAATCAAGCCAGTTCTTTGGATCTACCCGCAATGCATCGAAGTTTTTCAAGTAATTCACCAAGTAAGCGTGTCCTTTGATATAGCCATCGAGGATTGAATATTTTGTACATTATATACTAATACTTTCTTTGCATCAAATCTATAGCTTCCACGTCAAACAAATTGCATGTCTGACCTCTCAGACCAGTCGAAAAAATTCGTTCGAAGCCAATAGCCGGACTCCAACTCTTTGCCTGCATCTTCCGACAATCCTTCTTTTGATGGATCTATTTTGACGCTACGCCATATCCGCGATTCTGCGCCCCGGTTATGATCAAAATCGCCCTCGTCGAATACCCCACCATTAGCCTTCACCCGATCTAGATATGCATCAAATGCCACCGGCGATGGAAAAATTGAGAAATCACAACCACGTGAATCGAGAATCCGAAAAAGTTCATCGACTCGACAGAGGACTCTCTCAAGCTGAGCTACCACACGGTCTCGAGGTGGTTGTCGCTCGTTTGGAAGGACTACGTTGTTTGTCCAAATAACAAGAAAGATCTTCTTGCATAGTAGAAAGTTCGTTTGTAGAAGGGAAATAACAGCATCAAATGCATTCCATGATGTTTCTTCGAGCTCGGAGGATGAATGAGCAGTTGTATATAGGTGTGGAAGATGGCAGAATATCATGGACGAATCTGTGCAGAATTGACTTTCGGGGGATACAAAGTGTATACCACGTATGTATCTAGATTCCAGTTAGACTATATGATAACACTTTTTGACTACGAGAAAACCTACTTCATTCTTAATTTGTTCGCGGCCCAGGACAGTCCTTCACTTGGGCAAAGTGTGGGATGAATAGCACATGTGATCGTGCTTGAAAAAAGTTTAGGAGTTGAGGTAGGAGTAGGTTTGCTTGTTCCAGTCGGCATTTCCACTAAAGGAACCCAGGATGCTCGGGCATAATTGCGCGGAAGCCTACTCGAGCGTTCCACATTTATTTGGATAATGCCCGAAGGATAGGGGAAAAGGCATTTTTTTATTTCTCCCCAATCTTGGAACTTGCGCATAGTGAGAGAAAAAGTTGAGGTAGGTTGCGTAAAAAGGAGAAGCTGAAACTTGGAGTGACCCGAGTGAGGCTTAGAGAAAAGTAGTGTATCGTCCGCCGAGGTCATAGCGGCTGTCGTGCAGGACCCATCTGGGGGGCTTTACTGGAAATGGAAATGATCGACCCTGAATCGTTAGGTGCACAAAGACCCTTACGAATAGGAAGAACAGACTCTAGCATAACTCCCCGACTCAATCCAAGAGCTCTAAACTAACCGCGCTGATGGGATCCTTGTCGGGTTATGGAATACTTCTGCCTGAGCGAGTTATCGGGTGATGAACGACAGAAATAAACTGCCACTGCCACAACGCTGAGAGCCTTACCATGCAGGGCACTTTATCTAGTCCTGAAAAGGCTAGCCTCATGAAAAGAGGGTCATATGGACCGAGAAAACCGAATAGTTACATAACTGACACCTCACCCACCCGCTTACTCTTGTCTCCTTCTCCCTCTCTCTTTCTCAACCGTCATCAAACATCTGAAGGTGGTTCCTTACGGATAAACCCATTTTCTCTTCAAATCCAATCAGCAATGGGCGACGCATCTGGAGTAGGCGGCTGGGAAGTGGTCACCGCTCGAAACCAAGAAGAACGCAGCAGTGGCCCTGGGCTGGGATCTCCAACTCCTGCACACCTGACGAAAACATTGTATATCCCTCATCATGATGGGAGCACGTCAGATATCTCCGTTTTCCAAGTCACCGAGCAGTATAAGGAGAGCGTCAAGGGGCGTGGAATGGGATCAGCCTCGTATGTTGTGGCGCTAGGACGGATGCCTAAACCGCAAGTGGATAGTAAGGACCTAGCGACCGGTGAGAATGAAATCGTGTACAATGTCAACTTTCAAGATGCGGCCTTGAACCTGACCTCGTCGTCGTCGGATGAGTCACCCGTGGAGGCAAACGTGTATGTTCTGGCCCTCCTTCCAATGTTAATTTAGCCAGTTAATTGGAGCAACAACAGTGTCATTGAATCTGCTGAAGACAGAGCTGCTACCATTACATTGAAGTCGCAAGATGAAAGCGCAGTCGAAGCTATCTCGATGTCGACATCTTACACTATTCCACCAACAACCCGGAAGAAGAAAGTTTACGCACACCCCTATTTCGGTTTTCAATTTCCTGGGGAAAATGGGAAATTTCTTGAATGGCAAATTCACCCAGTCTCACAAGGACGCTTGCGATATACACTTGTTCGCAACCCGAAGGCACAAGGGACTAGTAATGGTGCAACTCCCATAATCTCTCCGGATGAAGATATTCTTGCTATTTATCACCACATCGGTGATACAATCTCACTCCCCCTGCCAGTCAGTGAGGGTATGCTTCTCGTCTCTTCTGAAATGGATTCGGCTACCGAGGCGATTGTGGTTGCGAGTGCCCTTGGAATGCTCTGGAAGCTGCGACTGCTGTGCAAAACAGGGGAAAGTACTGGATCTAACAGCAAGGTTTCCAAAAAAGGAAGACTTGGATTTATCAAAGGCCTGCTTCACAAGAACTAAGTTTTCTTGGTTGATGGATAGCCTGGTAACAGTGACACTGAATTTGGTGTCGGGTCTCCTGCATTCGCGGAAGATTGGTATAGCTGGATCAGATAATTCGTTATGATAACTACGAAGTACCACCCCTTTGCCTCAATAACCTGGGGAACAGCTTGAGCGCATTCCCATAATTGATCATGTCCCTCAACTCCTTATCCATTTCATACGACTCAAGCGCCTCGAGAAAAGCCGGATAGGCTGTGATTGGAGCATACGGAAAGTCGCTGCCGTACAAGATATGGTCGTGCGGAACCATTTTCAAAAGCATATCCAGAACCTGTGGCGAAGAGCTCAAGGCAAGATCGAAATGGAAGCTACGAAATGATTCCATTGCTTTGTCATGTGTTGTTCCCATGCGGTGCGAGACCGCAAAGTCTGGTGCTCTCTTCATGGGAGTCGTAACGCGCGAGATTATATATGGTAGAGCGCCACCTGCGTGAGATAGTATGACTTTGCAGGCGGGATACTTAAGCCGGGTTCCGTTGGTGATCATATCCATTGCCGTACGCGTCGTCTCATGGGGATAGTCAATGGCTGGCTGTGGGAGCTTTGAGTTGACTGGATTGGTATCGACTGGGTGAGTAGGATGAATAAAAACGACACAACCTCGCTTATTCAGTTCAGCCCAGATGGGCTCAACATCAGGGTGGCCAAGATAGGTGTTGGAGGAGCCGTAGCGAGTGAAAAGAGTAACCCCATCTGCATGGAGAGTATCTAACCCGTAGGCAATCTCCGCGAGGGCATCCTCGGTGTCAAGAATGTTTGGTAGCGATACGAAAAAGGCGAAGCTTTCCGGATTTTTATCTCGGAGATCGGCTGAATATTCATTCAATCGTCTCGCAAGCTGAGCGCGCGCCTGGCGGTTTGGGATAATACAGGCTCCTGGAGCTGTCACAGAGAGCACTGCTGTCTGAACTCCCACGCGCTTCATCAGCAGCTTGGAAGCCAGCGGACTCCAGTGTGGAGTTGGCCAGCCACTTGGATCGCCTCCTTGCTCTTCGACCGCTGTTGTAATGTTAGTAATGAGGAACGAAGAGCTTGGCACTAATCAGGATCTCACCCTTGGCATAAAAAGGTGGCACACAATGATGGTGAGTGTCGATTTTGTTTACTGGTGGTGTGTGGCTCCAGCCGATGGCCTTATCTTGTAGCCAATCAAGGCCGTGTTCGCTCATTGCCGTGATATTGGGTTTGTAAAAATAGAGAAAGAGAACTACTGCGAAGAGGATTGAAATCAGAGCCAACATGTTGAACATAAAATTGCTTAGGACAACTTGGCGCATACCCCATTTTGAATCATGTTCATCGCAAAGACGCGGTCTCAAGCGGGAGGGGGTCCGGAACCATCCCGGTGACGAGTCCGGATCTCATCCGCGCCCATCAGATTGCCGTGTTATCCGTACCATGAATAAAGTGGAATAGCTTTTATCCCTAGAGACAGACATGCACAAACGCTGGATATTTGGTAGATGGGTTTCTCTATCAGACCGCACCTGTTGGCATTCACGGGAAGTATAAATCCAGTAGAGTATTAACGTACCCAAAGCACAACGGTACCGAATATCAAAATGAGTGTGTCAGTCCACTCACATCTCTCTGCAGCTGCAAGTGAACACCCGATCATTGCAGGCTGCTTTGGTATCCTCACTTGCCTTGCAACAATCTTCTTAATTGTCCGACAGGTCTTCACACCCGTTGGAAAGCGCAGATCACCGCCAGGCAAAAAATGGAAGCTTCCTCCTGGTCCCCGTGGGATCCCCATATTTGGCAACCTTCTAGACCTTCGAAAGTCTCGAGAAGACCAAGAACATACAATGGTAAGTTCATGACCAATGCTTAAAATGGCATGATAGGGACTGACGGTACATAGATTACCGAGCTTGCAAAATATGGTGAAATGACCACACTACACCTTGGATCAAAAACCTGGATCTTGCTAAACAGCAAGCGTGTGGTCTCCGAAATTATCGCAAAACGTGGTTCTCTCACAAATGGTCGAAGCCCCATGCCAATTGCCAGCGGAATTGTAAGCCGAAATGGACGGTCCTTGCTACTCCCTCCCTCACAATGGACGGAAAAACGACGAGTGATGCACTCTCTTCTGAGTGGTACCGCCATGAAGCAGTATGGTTCATGGCAGGAACTTGAAAGTACCCAAATGCTCGCAGAATATTTGTTTCAGCCAGAGCGATGGTACCGTCACCATTATCGATATGCGAATTCCGTTGTCCATCGAATTGCGCTGGGAGAGCGACTGGTCAAGTCGGGAAAACAGCTGGCTGATTTGCAAGATGTGGTCACCAAGTTTGTTGGGAGTATTGGAACAAGCTTGGTTGATTGGTTCCCGGAACTAGACAATTTGCCTCACGTATTGCAGCCATGGCGGAGACACTGGGAGGAGCTTGGGGACTGGAATGAACAGATCTACAAATCATGGTGGATTCCAGCCCGGGAGAAGATAGAAAATGGGACTGCACCTCCATCATGGGTTCGGGACGTTCTTTTGAACCCAGATACGAAATTTACGGGAAATGACCAGGAGGCCATGTATGTTGCTCTGCAGCTTGTGGAGGCTGGATCTGATACGACAAGAGAAGCGCTGAATATATTCGCAATGGCGGCACTTTGTTATCCGGACAAATTCCAAAAGGCCAGAGAGGAGGTGGACAATCACTGCGGCAGCACAACGAACTTCCGTCTACCTAGCATCGATGATCTGGAGGAAATGCCTTATATATGTGCCATGATCAAAGAGCTCCTACGTTGGAGACCTATCTTTCCCTTCACGCCCGACCATGTGCTTACGTCTGACATGGAGTTTGAGGGTTATCATTTCCCGGCCGGTGTGGGATTCGTGATCAACGAGATCCCGGTATGCAACGAGTGTGAGGACTCAGAAGAGTTCAAGCCTGAACGATGGCTTGATGGCCATGAAACCGATGCCGCACATGGACTCTGGCAGTTTGGCGGAGGCCGTCGCATCTGTGTTGGCTACAGATTGGCATTTCGTGGTCTTTTCATTAATGTCGCCCGCCTGGTATTCTGTTACGACTATAAAGCTGTAAGTTGGATGCGAGAGATTGCAAGGATATTGGCTGATATTTAGCAGGCTGGTCCGTACAACTCGAAGCATTTGAATCACCACAGAACCGATGAACCTTTCCCGGTCAGAATTACTCCGAGAAGTGAGCAGCATGTTAACTTAATACTGGAGGAAGGGGCTCGACTAGAGGTTTTGGAGGATGCTAAACGTGAAGTTTGACAACACTACTTTAAAAGACCCGTCTTTCGGGTTGCTTGGGAGATCAAGGTTCCGCTTACATAGCTTACATAGCCCCTCCGTTCCTAGGTGCCCAGCTTCCAATAATCTCTGCTTTAATTTACATCCCTTTGTGTAGTCCTATCCTCCAGGAGTCTTCTGTTTGACTATTCATTCCTTGAAACAAGATATTATAAAGTCTGTAATGGTCTTGGTCGTTTCACTCGGACGCCTGCCCGCGGCAAAGTCCATCAAAGGTCCATCGTGGGTTTCATTGCCCATATAGAGCGTCACCTCACCATGGCTTTTGCTTTGTAGCATCTTGCCCAGTTGCTGGATATGATCGCTGAAGACCTCTTCATAGCCACCAGTGACAAGCACACGGTCAATAGCCTTTAAATTCTCCCACCAGCTTCCTGGCACATCCAGTGCCATACCCCAGCCATCACCGGCGGAAATTTCCTCCTGCCAAGGAGATTTTTCCACAAGATAGAGTCCCCATTTATGCACGACCTTCCTGCTCAAGACATCGGCACTAAACCACCTTTGATAGGAGGGGGTACTGAGTCTGAAAGATGCTAGAGGTGACACAAGGAAACACCCTCTTACACTGCCATACTGTTCAAAGAGACTCCTTGATGTGTATTTCACGGCACGGGAACGATGAAGATGAGCCATGAGCGATAGAGACAGATGGCCGCCTGCAGAGTCACCACCAAAGACGATCTAAAAGAAAGGTATATTAGATGCTGATTGATAATTTTGATATGGCAGACCGATACCTCTGATGGTTTGTATCCCAATTCTATCAAATGCTCGAGGGCAAGGATGCCTTGCAACATTTGTCTAGGATACGGATTGGCGGGGATCAAATCTGGAAAGTGCGTCAGTATATTTTCTTTTCCGTTCTCGATGGACATTCCTTTTCACCTACCGTATTCGAGAATACACACACTGAGCTGCACCCCAGCATCGAGTGCTTCTTTCCTGACATGGGTCATCCAGTCCAAATGCCCTGCAGAAAGGGGCATAACATACCCACCACCTAGAGGGTCAGTAAAGCTTCACAGCGAGAGCAGTAAATCATACCGTGAAAGAAGAGGACCACCTTCTTTGCCTTCCTTGGTCCAATCCACAGTAGTCGAGTTGAGTTGTCAGCCGCCAGAACATCTACAGCATGAGCAGCGCCATGGGACGAGACCCAAGTGTTATATGTATCAATTGTAGATGGTACAAGGACTTGGAGATCTCGAGGGGGAGTGCTGGTCATCAGGGCTCCAGCGAAACTATTCCATGCAGATGGCCCAAGAGGCAGTCCCTTTAGCCATGCCCGAATAATGGCCCCTGGGATTCTGAATGCAGCGCTTGGCAATGTACGAAATAAAAAATTGACAAGTAAACGTAGCTTCGTGTAGGCTGATAGTTTGTGCGTCATTTTCTCAATACTTTACAGAATGAGATTGAGCCAAGCGGAAATGATGAGCATCTTCAATACAGGGTATTCATGAGGACAGATAAGAGTCGATAACCGGCCATTGCCTCGGTCTCCTGAACATGTGAAATATTGCTGCTTCTAACTCTGGCTTTATCTCAGAGAATTGCGGGGTTTAGGCGAAAGAGGCTCGGGCTAAGAATTGAGCACCTAAGTTCGTACAGTAGTAGTATAGTAGGTCCTTGAGGACCGCGGTCAGCCGCCCCACGGAAGGATCCGAGAGATGCCTCCTTTTTGGGATGATGACACTACTACCAGTTGGGCCCCACCGTAAAACTCAATCTATTGGGACGGGATGGAATTATAGCCGCACAAGGAGGCCAAAGTGTGGACTAGAAACCGGAACGGACCCGGGCTTAAGAATCCGTTACTTGCCTACCTCTCCCTGGGAGGCTGCGCGACTTGCGAAGTATTAGCCATGGTACGCACTCTTTAGATCCGCGAAATTGTCTCTTACAGAATGCCTCCGAAAGGCGCCGGAAACCCCAAAAGACGAGCTAGAGTACGCCCCAAGGTCGCTTTGGCCTGCAATTCGTGCAGGGAGAAGAAGATTCGCTGCGACGGAATAAAGCCCATTTGTGGACCATGCACGAGACGTTCATACCGGAATGATCAGTGTGTGTATAACACGGAGAACTCCCGTTCTACTAGTAGAGACCAGTAAGTTTCCTGTGCATGCACCCATCAACAAGCATCCTGAAATTCTCCCTCTGATGCAAAAAAGATACATCCATGCTCTCCATCAGCGAATCAAAGAGCTGGAAGATATATGTGTAAAGACCGGAGAATCCGCTCAGAATCCCTCAACTACACAACGTGGGCTGCTCGGTGACTCCATCGGTGAAGACGGAATGCCTCCAGGCGAACCCAGCTTTTCTCCGACTTTACGCCATTCACTCCTGGAAAATACAGAGCAAAACCAGACTCCTGTCAGCTTCAGAATTAGACTAGCACTGGATCACACACTGCCACGCACCCAAAGTGGACCAGACGACAGCCGTACTAGAGCGAGAGAAGAAGATTCCCCAGAAATCTATGAATCGCCATTGTTTGATGAAGGCGAAGGCCACGTAACGGGTATGGGCCAGATTATCCTGTCAGGAGCGGACAGTGAAAGTCGACCTGGAAACACCCGATACCAGTTTTATGGTAGTTCATCCACAGCCTCTCTCATGCGGTTCGCCTGGCAAACGATGCCTTCGCGGCCAGTAGGTGGCTCGCATTCAGAAACTACAGGAAATAGGCTTCAGGACACAATCACCAACTACAGGTTCGATGATTTTGCGTTACCCCCGCGAGCATTCGCAGATCACCTTGTGAAACGCTTTTTCGAAAAGATATACACTCTCTATCCATTTTTCCACCGTCCAGCTTTTGAAGTGGGATATCGGAATCTCTGGCGTGCAGAAGACGACCCCAATATAGAAGCTCACACAGACTTGCGGGTTGGACTGGGATCATCCATGGAATCGGGAGCTAGATCCATTGTTTTCCAGTGTGCTCTGAATGTGATATTTGCCCTCGGTTGTCGGTTTGCAGATGTTGCACCGGAAGAAGCCGAGTCTGTCGCCAATACGTTCTTTCTCCGTGCAAAAATATTTCTTGCCCTCGATTTCTTAGATAACAATACCCTCGGCGTGGTCCAAACATTACTAATCACGGCGCTTTATCTGCAGAGCTCGCCGTATCCCAGCCGATGCTGGCATTCTGTGGGGATCGCCTGCCGAGTTGCTGTGGGATTGGCTTTACACAAATCCGATATTCGCGCAGCATTGACGCCTTTGGAGTCTGAAATTCGCAGACGAACCTGGCAGGGATGCGTGCTGATGGATATGTAAGCTTTCAACTGCTTGGTTCCATATTTTTTCGTGCTAAATTATAGCTTGCAGCACTTTGAGTATGACATTCGGCAGGCCGAGCATGACCTCACATCTGGCCCCTTTTCCCGCACTTGATGGGCTGAACACAAATCAACTCCAAGATGGGGCCAAGGAGCCCTCTTTAACGGTGTTTTATTACGAGGCGATCAAACTTTATGGGATCTTGGACATGATCCTAGCGGATGTCTATAAAGCTTGGGGTGGCCGGTCATGCCAGGATCAACCGCAGACCTCGACCATTACGAATCTCGGGACTCTTGATACCATCCTCAAAGTCGAACGGGAGCTCATGGTGTTTAAAGAAAATGTGCCTTCCTTTCTGAAGTGGAACTCTGAAGAACCTGCGATACCTTCTTGTCATGACTCGAACATAGCGATCACCCAGCAAATAAATGTTCTGCATGCCAGGTACGCTTTGTATTGTTGTGGCTTCGCTGGCTGCTTGCCTAACTTCCTGGCTTTCTGTCTAGATACATTCATCTCCACCTTCTGCTATACCGCCCGATCTTCACCCAACTCTACTCAAAGCCAGACTCCTCTTGTGGACAAGAGATGCAAAATAATCTCTACTCTACCATGTTTGCAAAATGCGCCAATGCATGCGTCATGGCTGCCATCGATCTCACGCAGCTAGTACGAAAGACTTATCAAACCACTGCGGCCGATGCATGGTGGTACAATGGGTTCTGTATGCTGTCAATATACTCAATTTCCTTCTCCCGATGATACTGATTTTACCATAATCAGATGTTTCAACTGCGGCAATAGTCCTTCTCATGTCTATCTCCACCCCATCGATGATGGACCAATCTACTATGGACAAAGCCCGGGAGGCGTGGAAAGATGCAACGGCTATTCTAGAATCTATGGCTACATTTTGCCGCTCTGCCACCAATACTCTTCAATTTCTGCAGGCTGCATATCATCAGACAGTTCCTAAAGATCCAGTTCAGGCAGGTGTAGAAGCCGATGCCTCCGGGATTCCCCTGGATATATCACAGTCCGATATTCGATATGAACACCCAAACAACGACATGACTGATTTTCCAGTCTTCGATTGGGAGGCGTTTGCAGAAAATACGGCGCCTGGAATGGATGATCTGGGTTTTTTGACACGCTTTAATTTCAATGATAGTCTGTAATTAGGTTGCGATTACTTGAACTCCTCGTACGTGAACTATGTGAAAAGTTGCGCTACAAATTGATCAACACCTTTATTCCTGTATTATCTTTCTAGTTTTTGCTGATGTATACGACCCATAACCCTAGCTAGCACACAGATCCTGCCAAGCTCTAAGATCTTTCACAGAAAGATAGTACAATGTCTCGTTGGTTTCGATACCTCACATCCACTCATTTCGCGTCTTCGGCCGGTCCCACCCCACGACATCGGTCCCGTGGATCCAGTCCATCAAGCCAATGGTTCCATAGTTGACACGAAACTTCCCATGATGCAAATCGTGCAGCTCGGCCGGCGGTAGTTTCAAAAAGTCATATCCACTGTGGTGTGCGGCAGCCTCCCAAAACTCGAAGGTGACAAATGCCATAATGGAGAGGCCGTGCGCACCTTTAAGGTACAGAGGCAGAGTAATCGGTAAAACGTTCGCCAAAATGTGCTTGATTGGATAGGCGTACTCGGCTGCAAATGCGACTGGTGTGATATATTTGTGGTGCATCGTGTGGATGTAAACGTAAATGCTCGGGTGGTGAAGTACACGATGAACATATTAGAACAATACTTCTCGGGCTACCAGACCGAAGAGAAGGTCCACGACAAAGGTCTTCAAAGAAGGTATGGTCGAATTCCATCATGTAAAGGGCGAGTCCGTGAATTGCCACTAAGAGAGCGTGGTTGAAAAGGCAAATTTTGATACAGTGCAGGATTTGTTGACGAGTCGGCTGTCGGCGAGCGCCTTGATTTTGTGGAGCTGAGAGAAATTCGGGGATACAACATCTATCAGCATGTAGATTGTTGCCGGTATGATGAATCCGACAATTTTAACCAATATGTTTGCCATAAACTCGACCATGCCTGGCCTGTACGAGGCGGTGATACTGGTCCAGGCAGCTTGCAGTGTTGAGTTGATATCCATAGCTGGTGATTTGTTCTCTGGAAAGAAGTGATATGGTTCAAAATAATTGCCCTCTCTCTTATATACTCAACATGTTATGGATTTTTATATAAGTATCCGCGGCTTTGTTCCGTTGCTAGACCAGAATATTCGTCTCAAGGGAGTCAAACTTGATATTGGTTAGTCGTAGCTTGGCAAATCGGGACTGATCCGACGAAATGTCTTCCAGGGATCAAATATAGTTGTTAGCAATTCACTTGCCACAACCTCCATGCTGCTTCGCCGCAATTATTCACACCTGCCTCTCCTCGGTTTTTCTGTAGAAAGTCTCACATGCACATATCATCCCTTATTTCGGGTGCATCCGTCGCGGCGGGAGGATTCCGATGTGGCCTGTTATATTCGAGAACAGCCAGTGATTTGTCGTACTTAAACCAAATGTGTCCCTGAACTAGAAATATTTGGAGCAATTTTTTATTGATTTGAATTGCCATCACTATCTAAAATGACTTCCAAGTCGGCAGAGGCTCCCACCTATAGCCAGATAGCCTGTGTTGGGGCCGGACTATCAGCTGTAGCCCTGGGTGCAACGCTGCAGAGATGGTACGGCCTCGAAGACATTCATTTCTTTGAGCGGCATCCCACGAGTGGCGGAACATGGTACATCAATACTTATCCAGGTCAGCAAGAACCCCCAGAACGTCGCTTTAACATTGTTACTAACAACCCGTAGGATGCGGCTGCGATGTCCCAAGTGCCCTTTACAGTTTCTCCTTCGCACAAAACCCTAATTGGACAAAGCTTATGCCTTCAAATACGGAAATCAAGGGGTACGTCGATGATGTGGTAAAGACATATAATCTCCTCCCGAAAATGATATTCGGGACTGAGGTGGTCCGCAGTGTCTGGAGAGAGGATGTGAACCGCTGGCTTCTTTACTTGCGTGACATAAAGACGGGACGTGAGTATGCCCACGAGTGCCAAATCCTTTTTGCAGCTACCGGGCAACTTGTCGAACCGCGTCCGTGTGATATCCCTGGTGCATCGGAATTTCAGGGGAACATTTTCCATTCAGCGCGATGGGATCACAGCGTTGATCTTAAGGGCAAAAACGTTGTTATTGGAAATGGATGTACGTATCCACTTTATGAGTCGTTAGAGCATATGATAACTAACACGATAAAAGGTACTGCTGCACAAATCGTGCCAGCTCTCATTAAGAAGGAGGAGGTGAAGTCTCTCACACAAATTGTCCGAACCAAGCACTGGATATTTCCGGCCCCGAACTTTGCCTATCCCAAGTTTCTTCAGTGGATCTTCCGCTATGTCCCACTTGCCATGAGATTTCACAGGCTCCATATCTTTTTGATGGCGGAGAACGATTTCCGCTTGTTCCCAATGACAAAGAGCGCAGCGAAATTGCGTGAGAAGAGACGGAAACAAGTAGAAAAGTACATGCGGGAAGCGAGTCCGAAGAAATATCACGATCTGCTCATTCCGGATTTTGATGTAGGCTGCAAGGTCTGTTTGATTATTCATTCCAACTAGCTGGTATGAGCCAGCTGTGAAATGACGAGGTGCTAACCTGAACCATAGAGGCGAATCTTCGACCCCGGCTACCTCAAATCACTACACAGCGAAAGAGCTCTTCTGACAGACGCGAAAATCGAAAGAATAACTTCAGAGGGAATTGAGACTGACAAAGGGTTCATCGCAGCTGACGTGATCGTTCTCGCGACCGGCTTCCAAACCAACAAATTCATTCCCTATATGGATGTTGTTGGACGGAACGGGGAGAACGTCTCGCAGCATTGGGGTAAATATGGTGGCCCGGCGGCCTACAACTGCTCAGCATTGAGTGGATTCCCGAACTTCTTTATGCTCCTAGGCCCTAACGCTGCGACTGGGCACACATCGGCCATGATGGCTGCGGAAAAGTAAGTTGCCATCTCATCTTTTCACTGCGGCACTTTTATTCTCTAATCTTTCTATCTAGCTCCATTAACTATGCCCTTCGCGTGCTGAAGCCGGTTTTGGATGGGGACGCCGCCTCCGTCGAGGTCACTGCTAAAGCTGAGCATGACTACGTATACTGGGTGCAAGACGCACTGAAAAAACGTGTTTGGAATGCTGGATGTGTCTCGGTAAGTTGGCCCAATTGCTGGCACTTTTCGCCTTTCGTCTAACATGGGCACTCAGTGGTATCTCAACGACAAGAGCTGGAACTCCATGTCCTATCCTTGGACGCAAAGCCACTATTGGTGGAGGAGTCTGTTCCCCACATGGTCTGACTGGACTATCAAGGTTTGATTTGCAATCTCGGCGCCGTCTAATCAACAATTCATACTGACTATTAGTAGAGTGTGTTGAAGCCATCGACCCGTTCCTCGTCCTGGGTGCTGCTCTTGGCTCTTTTCTGTGTTGCAATATTGGGAGGTACACAGATCTCTGACGCCCGCAATATCTCTTTCGGTGCCTTTAAGATGCTGTGCATCACAGCCTTCTCTAAATTGAAGGGCACATAAGCTGGCGTGAAACAGCCTGGTTAGAATCGGTAGACAATCGTCCATCTGTTCTCCAAGAGCCCAGTGTATATTTAGAGCGTTTTGTATGTTGTTGAAAACCCCAAATAATTTTGACACATGTTTTATCTCCAATCATTGAATTTTTTGTACTAGGCTAGACCCCCAGTATATCAAGTAGCAAGCCTAGGACCAAAAGATACAAGACAATGGGGGTCTAGGGCACCCAGGGGATATGCTTTATTCTCAAGCCCTACTGAATTTTTAACGAGAAACTATTGGGCGATATCCGGTTATTTTATGTCTTCATAGCCAGTGATATATTGCTGACTTTGGGCGTCTATAGTCATCCCAACAGGCTAGTACTTGGGTCTCTTTTCTATCAGAAACCGATGTGGTTTGAATATTTAGCAGATCGCATGCAAACAGATACCAAGACCAGACCAAAGTCTCGTCGATTGATACTGGGTCCCCAGAATGGGAAAATCCCCAAAGTTGTCTTTCCATCTTCTATCGGAACGCTCCGGTTTTTAATAAGAAGAGATGATCGAACGATTAGCGTCCGAGCATACTACCCGGGTGCTTTCCGGCCTAGATTCGGAGCAGCTGCGATCAACATCTTCCTGAGATAGTTGGAGAAGATGGAAGACCGAGAGACTTTGTACGTTTTCTCCAAGTTAAAGCTCATGTTGCGGTGATATTTCCGTCTTCCTTTTGCTTATAAAGTATGCCGAGGATAATGTTACTCCTTTATCTTCCCATCCCAATTCTACTCACGCTTAAACTATTGATTCCAACGATGACGACTAAACCAGGGATCCTTCCCCGCGAAGGTCTTTACATAGACCCAATTTTTAACTACCTACGACAAACACTCCTCCATCCTCTATTCACCTTGGGATGTCTATACCTCGTACATGGGGCAAAATTAAGCGCAGTTGTACCATATGAAAAGTCGGTGCAACTGATCGCAGGGACCAGTTTTTTCCTGTGGCTTAACGATTGGTTGAGTGCCAAAAGCAGGAACAACTGGGTTATAGATGATAGCTGGGACTGGAAAAAAGAGCTTGTGGTGGTGACCGGTGGGAGTGGCGGTATTGGTGGCGGAGTCGCACAACGTCTCGCAGCTATGGGGGCTCGTGTGATTGTGCTTGATATCACCCCTTTGACTTATAAACCAGGTAATATGAGTGAACTTGTTATAGAGTACTCTCCATTGCCTGATATCTGGATTTCTGTGCTAATACAATCAAAAGAAACTGAACGCATCATATACTATCGGTGCGACCTCAGCGACGAGAAAGAAATCGCAGCTATATGCGACAAGATCAACTCTGAGATTGGTCATCCAACTGTACTCGGTGGGTGAAGCAAAACGGCACCCCATATTTCTTGGCTAACAGTGGTAGTCAACAACGCCGGTCTATCTCGTGGCCAGACAATAGTCGAAGGCAACTACAGCGACAACATCATAACCCTGAAGACGAACCTGCTGGCACCTTTTCTACTGTCAAAAGAGTTTCTTCCGAATATGATCCGGCAAAATCATGGCCACATTTTTAATGTTGCGTCGATGAGTGCTTATATCCCGCCTCCAGGAATCGCGGATTATGCGGCGTCAAAAGCTGGACTGATTGCGTTCAACGAGGTATGACCCAATTATTCTATTCTATTCTACTACTGTTCTAAATGAATCATTGTGCAGTGTCTGTCCCAAGAGCTCCGAGTTCAGAATGCGCTGAAGGTCCGCACATCGCTTGCAGTACTGAGTTTTACGAAAACACCTCTTTTCAAAGGAGAGACAAACCAGTCCAGATTTTTGATGCCTCTTTTGCATGTGGATACTGTTGTGGATGCCATTGTGGACACACTTGACGGTGGGCTTAGCCGGACGATTTTCCTCCCCGGAATATTTAGGCTCTTTGCAGGCTTGGTGAGTCATTTCTTCATAGTAGAGGACTATTATTAACACATCACATAGCGAGGAGCCCCCGAGTGGTTCCAGGATATGATTCGCGGTGGCACCAAATCTCTAAAAGTGGAATTCAAAGGGCGTCAAAAGATTGATACAAAAACTGGAAGACTTATTGCTTAAAGGTTTGGCTACCGGGCCATTTGATAAGCAGCTTGTTTGTCTGAATTTGATGGAATATGAGTTAGCTTCTCCTGGCAGCGATGTTTTTACCACGACCAAGCTATTGTAAGGAACCGGATAGAATTTGCTTGTAATTTCATTTCTTAGCCAATAACCTTTCGAGGGCCAAAAAAAGTACAAAAGATGATGAAAATCAGTAAAAATTCACACAACTTCTCATCCGTTCAACTTTCTACGATATACACTCTGTTTATGCTGTGAAATCATTGGCGCCGAGTCGTAGCCTGAACAATCAATACCAGAATAATTCCACCAACAACCTCGACTCCACTCATCACGCCTGCTGTACCGGCAAACCCTAGAGCACGAAACATGTATGGGAAATAGAAGGGTCCAACCTGAGTGTGATGCTAGCAAAATGATAATGTTTGAAGGTCATGGTTAAACGAACAAATCCATAAGGCAGCTTAATACTGTTGAAAAGCACTCCAATTGAAGCAGAGTTATCGGGCGAAGTATCAATGGCATACGCAGTGAGGATGGTTGATTGTATCTGATTGCCAAAGCTGGCAACTACAATTTCCAAGCATGGAGTAGATTCCAAGTTTTCGCTTTTTCAAGCTGGAATCCCCAGACCAAGAGCCCAGCGATGATGGTGAAGAAGCCAATATACGTCAGCCAGAGGCGGTCCGTGGGACACACATGACCTCTGCGCTTCCGATAGACCTTCATGAAGTAGTCAGACATCGGGCCACTGACCTGCTCTCCAAATATGCATCCGATGACTATCGGAATAATCTGGAGCCCAGTCTGCTGGGTATTAAGTCCGAATTTCTTCTCAAATGATAAAGGCGGCATTTCGACAACAAAAACAATGTTTCCATAACAGAATGTGATGGCAGTAGCGAGGGCCACTACCAAGATCCGAGGGTTCTTGGCCAAACGAAATGGAGAAAGAAAGTCCGACAGCTTGATTGGACGTGGATCAATTCGTTTGGGCAACAATCTATTCACGGACATCCTGAAGGCGGAGATCTATTCCTCGGTGGTAAGATCACTGTCAACTTCCCGAATACGGAGGGTCTCGCCGCCAAGGAAGACGTAAGCTAGCGCTTGCAAGAAGTTGATGATGGCATATATCCAGAATATGAATTCGACCCGAGTGTGTTGCACCACAAATCCCATGAGTAGAGGCCCAGCTGGGGTACCAAGGATGGTCATCAAAACCCACCAGCCCACCTTCCTAGCATATTCATCAGGTGTAGATAACTCAGCCACCACCCCGCTACCAATCCCAATTGGTGGCGATATGAAGATTGCGGTTAAAACACGAGTGATCGTTTGGCAGCGTAGCTTGTGCACCGCGCACCCCTTATGCTGCATACCTGGCTTGCAAGAACGGAGAAGAAGAGAACATGAGAACATGATGACGGCCTATCTTTCTGTAATAACAATCCAGAAGATAGGCGCAATGCCAAGTAACACAATCTGGGTAGGGATGTTATTGAAAAAGCTCATTTGCATCATGGAATTCTGTGAGCTCAAGAGACTTACTTGAACAGATACGAGATAGATTGCGTCAGCGAGCGATATACCATATGATTTTGCCATTGTAGAAGTGGCCGGAACGATTCCGGCTACCATGAACACAGAGGTCATCGAATGAAATGAGACCATGAGAATCATCAAGTTTTCTTTCCATTGTGGCCAGTTACGAGCATCGCTGCAGGGGAAGGATGAAGCGATCTCTCCCTCCGGTGACAGGTATCTCCGTTTTGACAGACTTCAAGTAGTCAAATGAGTTCTTTTGCCGATTTTCGGGCAAATCGGAGCTTAGAGTACTCATAGTTGAAGGAAGTTTGGATGGATATAGGTGAGGAAAATGAATGCCGGTGAATAGAAAATCGATCATAGGCTTAGAGCACTAGTCCCTGGTACTGACTTCTATCAATGCCAAATCAATCTTCCAGTCTAATGATATTTATATTCACATCTCGCATACTTACGTTCTACGTGATAGGGTATCCTAACAAGCCCCACACCCACAGGGATACATGAAGGCTGGGATAAGGTTTCGCACCCCAAGGAGACGGAGCAGCGTGTGTGCTTTCGGACCTCATCCCGGGCAATACTTATGCTTGTTTCTCCGCGTTTCAAAACTGTTTCCGTCTTTTCGTGGTAGAGTTGGAGCTTGTCGTGGCCAAAATAACAAGGAAATCAGCCATGGCGCCTGTTTAGGGCCTGAGGAAGCGGGGTCGGCTAGTTTACCCAATTAATTATTCATTTAGGACTCATATTAGGTCTCTAATGGGGTAAATATTGACCTAGAATTAGATTCAGTCAGTTCTAGTTCATCTAAGCGCGAGACTAGTCTCGTCCTCATCTCAGCCCAATCGTATCCTCAACAAACCTTTATTCCAGTTTGGCCCGTGACTCAGAATTCACCCCGTGAAGTTATGTTGCAACAAATACAGATTTGGCTTACGGTTATTTTGACTCTGGGGGACCTTCTGCTATATTTCTCGTGTTCTCTTCTTGCTGGTATTCAAATTGAGGCTATCTCTATGTAGACCTTGGGCGGAAGCCTCTTGAAGTGAAATCTACATCCATGACCCGAGGCCATCCTACTCTGCCTTTGCGAAGAGCTTGTGAGCGTTTTGAAAATAAATCTTGTCCCGCAATTCCTGGTCCAGGGGAAAATTGTTCAAAATTTGCTTGAAGCCAGTTGATTTGTCAGTCGACGCGTAAGGGAAGTCCGAACCTGCAGAATTATTAGGAACAGAAATGAACGACTGTGAATCATGAGCAACAGCTTACCGTAAAGAATATGATCATGAGTAATGACATCTAAAACTAGCTTGAGCACGGCCTCAGAGCTAGAAAGAGCCAAGTCAAAGTAAAACGACCGGAAGTCTTCCACGATCCCCTCGGACGTCTTTCCGTAAATGCGAACTGTAGCGACACTTTCCTTGGACACCGTACTCATACGCGTGATCAAGAAAGGCAAGGTACCTCCAGCGTGGGAGAGAATTACTTTGCAAGATGGACAACTTCTCTTTGTGTTGGTGATGATCATGTCCACAGCTGTTCTCGTCGTCTCATGAGGGTAATCAATCGCTGGCTGTGGCAGGAGGGGATTGACTCAAGTTGTATCAGCGGGATGGGTAGGGTGAATAAACACCACGGCCTTTCTCGAGTTCAATTTCTTCCCAGATAGGCTTGAAATCTGGATGACCCAGATACTGGTTCCCTTCGCCATATCGTGTAAATAGAGTGACACCCTCGGCCTTCAACACGTCAAGAGCGTATTCGATTTCTGCCAAAGCGCCTTCGGTATCGAGAAGGCATGGCAGAGTTGAGAAAAAGCCCCATCGATTGGGATCTTCATCACGTCTCGCAGCGGCAAATTCGTTTGCCTTGCGGGCTAGTACTCTTCTCTTCTCGGTCGTTGGGGCGATGACTGCTCCTGGAGCAACCAGGGATAAGATTGCCTTGGTTATGCCGTTTTTATCCATGAAGGCGGTTGCGCCCTCGGACGACCAGGAAGGTGTCGGCCAGCCAGAAGGGTCGCCCCCGGCTTCTTCGACAGCTAGGATTATACAATCAGAATCTCTGTTTTTTTCGGGTTGGGAGTGTAGAATTACCTTGAGCGTAGAACTCGGGGACAAAGTGGTGATCAGTATCGATGAGAGACATTTTGATTTGCACAGTTAGTCGCTTGCAAGAATTCTTTTGAAATTAAAAGGAGAAGTTAGCACAGCCCGAATTTAATTGAGTCTAAGAGACAGATGTGGAACAATTACTACACAAAACATGGGTGCCGCATTTCCGTATGCCGACCTACCCGGAAGTCACAGATAGACACGAAATGTTCGGATGATTTTTTTTACCACAATGATGTTTCTGGGCTTGTCCCTAGGGCCCAATATTTCCCAATAAACTAACGTGAACCGTTCCTACCATAATATCTTGCATTCTGATTCATGACTTGATTAACATTACATTGGCACTGCCACAGAATCTATCAAGTATTGTTCCTTGAGGAATCATGGTTTGGACTTTATTCATCACATTATGTTACGAAACATTTTTCTATACGTCTTGTAAAATTTGACTCCAATTTCAATGAAATAGTTGACGAATTGATCTATCAAATCATTGTTGTATTTATGAGGTACACAATGGAAAGAAAAAGTGGAAACATCTTGGCGCCCTCTCTTCCAGTCTTTCCACAGATTGCATTCAAAAACTCCTTCAGCATTTTCCTCTCGCCAAAAGCTAGCCAATTAAAAAATTCACTGCTTCTAACTCGAAGAAATATCATAAACCTAACTGAAGGCGCAGGAGGCCCGGGACCAGCCGTTCAGCGATATACCCCGCCTCACGGAATGGATCCGAAAAAATTGAATACCTCTGGCATGTTTTGATAATATAACACAATGGGCCTAAGCGTATTTATTATTGTTTGATAGGCCTACAACCCCTCAAAATAGGTTAAGCTTTGCGGGCACTAAGCTCAAACAGAATACGGACCGAGACCAAAGCAGTGGACTTAACACGGGTGCAGCCGACAGTAGCGAATGGTGAGAAAACGCAGGACAAGTAGCCTCTCTTGCGTGTAAGGTCCGATACAGATGTCTCGCTGGTTATGTGTCTAGACTTCGTTCTGGATTTACTGTCAGATGACTTCTGAAATATTTTTATAGACACTCATCAAGTCCTTTCACTGGGTGTATTACATGATCAATTTTCCACTATCCAGCAAGCGGTAGGACAAAGAGGCGACTACGAACGAATTGATAATGAGAAATGGGTTATTATTCACTAGTAGAATCTACGAATACCTAACTTCCAGTTCTTCCCTCCTATCGGGGTCATCCATTTCTCAACCCAGCAATTCTCTCAGCTTTCCACCGGACGAGAGTCTTACCATTCTGGGTCATCGGAGTCATTTCCTTCATTTAACCGGTCTCCTCCTGCGCCATATGCCCAGTCATCAACAGAAGAGCGACCTACCAGTTGTCACTGTGCTCATTTCCTCCATTGGACCGGTCTCCTCCTGCGTTGTATTCCCACTCATCAACGGAAGAGCGAATCGCGGAAGATAGTTCAGCAGTCGAGGTTGTTGCCTGGCTGCGCTGGCCATTTCTCCGGTCACGCCGAGGGTCAGAGCTTGTCCGGTGTTCATTCGAATCACTCCGGCCACCGGTGAAATGGGAGTGGTCCCACTGTGTTGGGTCGCTGTAGTAGCTACCTCCCCACGAGTCGTTCGAGTTGTGCGTATCTCGCTGGGACGATCGAGCACACAGAGGAGATCGAGCGCGCAAATTGGAGTGAGCTCGCACAGGAGACCGCGAACGATCCCGAGAGGATGCTGGGAAGCGCATCTCAGCATGGGGCCGTGTCTGGAGAGTGGAGTTGTTGTCGATCTACTCACGTCTTTAGTAGATAAAACAATGAGCCAGTGGGAAACAACTTACATTAAAAATCACCGCGTGGCCAGACGCCTCATTGCGGTCAATTAGTCTCTCTCAGTACTCTCGGAGAGACTCGCGGACACGCTGGACATAGCACTCCGGACTGTTGGCATCTGCTTTGTTGATTAGCTTCATCCTAACAGCAAGAATCACGTTACATACAATGGCCGAGGCGGTTGCAATCCCAACAGTGATGGTTGTACGCCAGTGGGTGGTCAGCGGGATAGCCGGGGCGGGGACGAAAATGCTGTTCCTGAGAGGATCGGTTATTACCGCCCTCGGACATGGCGGTGGAGTGAGTGAGGGTGTTCTAGATGACCCGTGGAAGGGCGGTGAGGGAGGATAAAATTGGTGAGGGATGAGAGAGAAGAGAAGAAAGAGGTGGGAAGTTGGCGTGTGGGAGTAATCCAAACAACAATTTGTATATACAGGCGGGTCCTGAGGCTGTTCCGAGATCACCGATTCGGGGCATATGATTGGTCAAAAGTGGGCCACTTTGATTATCATACGATGCAATACTGTTATTTTGCCCCTTCTGCCAGCTGATTCTGCCGTATTTTACGGCAGGATACCTTTCTGTATGACCTGGGATCCATAACTGTTCCGATTATGTGACGTTCCTTGGTCACTCTATCCGTCAAAATCCACTTTCCCCAGGATTGTGGATCCTGTGCCGGTGGATCACTTAGACATACATAGATCAAGATCAGAGTTAAAGCCACTACAGTACGAACTAGCCAAAATTCTATACGGGTGAGTGCATAAACATACTTTCAGAATAAAAGAAATATCCCGGCACAGCATTGCCCCCTCTCCACCTTGCTATCATCATCATAGCTCAATTTACACGTCCTCACGCTTCGAAAAATCATCATTAATATCGAGCCTTCGGAAGTAGCATGTACGTTAAAGTTATATCACACGAACTAGATAACCGACCACAATACAGAATAACATATCCTGTCCGTTCTATAAGCCTGGGGAACCTCTATTTAAGTTCCGCGGGGTTCCGCATTGAAGGCCCCCTGGAATGTTCTGGTCCGCATTTTGTGCGTGGGGTTTTGCGGCAGCGATGTGAGTCAAATCCTATTCCGCGAGCCCGAGAAGTTTGTGTACAAAATCTCAGACACCGTGTCCCTGTAAGGAGTTATGCTTGAATCAGTAAGTCTTGCCGTCCATAGTGCGTAGCTTGTTGGACCTTTCCCCTGACATACTGTACTTTTGCCGGGGTTGGGCACTATTGGCCTTCTTGCGGCTGTAATAGCTAAGGCATTTAGAGCGAAAGAGGTCTTTGTTTCGGACATCAACCAGGTCACTCTCGGATTTGCGAGGGATTCGGTTGAATGCAAGACTTTCGTGCTGAACCTTGAATTTTTGCGAGAAAGAGATAGTCCTCAAGACAGCTTGTATCCGTTAATTAGCATGTTAATGTTGCCAAGTACGGCTTGCCAACTTTACCCAGACTTTGTCTAACATACCCGAGCAAGAGCCGTTTGACTAAGCATTAGGATGGATCGTAGATAACTAGCGGTGGCACTCTGCTAGAAATGATGTACATGATACATATTCGGAATGTATTATGCTAAGGGAATTTTGAACCAATCTTACGATCGCATGTCGCAAATAAAGTTGGCCCCACGGCGGTGAGTCCGGGGCAAAAACTGTGGAGATGTTATACATAAGACCAAGAAAGGCTCGGCTCGAGTCTCGAGTCTCAACATACGGCTTATCAGGATAATACTGCTTTAACTCCTTTTGATTTTCGTATTTCCCCAGACTGTGATCGGTGTCCGCCTTGATATCAACCCCCTCTTCTTGGACTCGTGCCAATTTGAAATTCCTCTAGCGTGCCAACACGCGAGCTGCGCCCTGCACCGCATCGGCCACTAAGCCTAAACCTCCCCGCGCTGATCACCTTTCCCCGAAATGGAATACGAAGCAAACAGCCCTGCTATTCTCTAGACGGGGCAACTTCTGCTTACTCTTCAACACCCCGGGCAGCTTCTTGGCTTTCCATTTCATCCAATAGCCGGAGAAGAAGAAAAGAGGCTGGGTTATGTCGCCCCAACCCCCAGACCCCCAGACCCCAGCCTGTACTTCCACTCTGGCCCCCCAGTTAATCAGAGAAGGCCGCTATGGACAGAGAAGATGTGATCCACCGCACACCTTTACCGCAAGATGGGCAAACTTGATGCAACCTGTTATTAGTGCCCAGAGTCATGTGTTTACTGTGCTGGATTGCTTCGTTAGAGCCTCGTGTCGGCTTTTTTCTCTTCTCTATTCACCTCGAAAAATCAGCGACCGGGTGTAACTCCCTCGACCAACTCCCATTACTACAGGGAATTTCTTTACTGTTGTTATTTGATAAGCGGTGGCCCCGGATGTACCCACCATGTCGACACCGACACCCAAGCCTCTACCCGACAATCTAGACAGAGGCATATTCGAACAAGACGAGAACATCGCCAACCCACCGCCACGCGAGAAATTCATTCCACAACGAACATTCGGAACAGCAGCCGAACGTGCTCGTCGCAATCTCAACGCGAAGCTCTCGAATCCGTTGGCAGGGTTTAGCCACGCCGAGCTCCGCAGACAAGGTCGCAACTTTGCGCTTACCCACGAAATCGGCGACGACGAGGATGTGCGCGCTTTCGAACTGGGCGCAGTTTTGGCTCAAGCGCCTGAGCGATATGATAGTGTAGCTGGATTGACGAGTCAGGAGAAGGAAATTCTACGTCGAGAATTTGAGCATCGCTGGTCGCAGCCTTGGAAAATGTATGCTGTTATTGCGCTTTGTTCGCTTTCAGCTGCTGTACAAGGAATGGGTAAGTTGTGAACCTGCAGACTCTGAATTCCCTCCGAACTTTAAAAAATATGTGGTATTTCATCCTCAAAGAACATGGCTAACGACTGCAACTATTGCAATGAACCAGACGAAACAGTAGTCAACGGCGCTCAAATCTGGTATAGACACCAATTCGGTATAGCCGGCAATAAATACAGAGACACCTGGCTGGTCGGCCTAATCAACTCCGCACCATATCTCTGCTGCGCCATAATCGGCTGCTGGCTCACCGTCCCCTTCAACCACTGGTTCGGCCGCCGAGGCACAATCTTCATAACATGCTGCTTCAGCGCAATAACCTGTCTTTGGCAAGGCTTCGTATCCACATACTGGGCAATGTTCATCGCGCGCTTCTTTCTAGGATTCGGCATCGGCCCCAAATCAGCCACAACCCCAATCTTCGCGGCCGAATGTGCACCACCACCAATTCGTGGCGCGCTGGTGATGAGTTGGCAAACGTTTACCGCTTTTGGAATCATGCTTGGATACGCGGCGGATCTGATTTTCTATCAGGTGGCTGATACGCCGGGGATTGTGGGTTTGAATTGGAGATTGATGATGGCGTCGGCGATGTTTCCGGCGCTGGTGGTTTGTTGTTTTGTTTTCTTTTGTCCCGAGTCGCCGCGTTGGTATATGAGTAAGAAGCAGTACTATCGTGCTTACGAGAGTATTTGCACGCTGCGGTACCATAAGATTCAGGCCGCAAGGGATTTATATTATATGCATACACTTTTAGAGGCGGAGAATGGGATGAAGCTTGGGCAGAATAAGGTTTTGGAACTTATTACGGTTCCGAGGAATCGGAGGGCTATGATTGCTTCTACGATTGTTATGTTTATGCAGCAGGTATGTGATGGTGATGGGAAAGTGGGAGGATTGTGTTTGATGATGGTCTTGCTAACATCTATTTGGCATTTACAAGTTCTGCGGTGTCAACGTTATAGCATACTACAGCAGCGAGATTTTCTTGGTATGTATCCATTTCCCCAGTCTAATATCATTTCCATCCTTCCTTCCGGTTATTCAAACCAGAACCCCATACTAACCATCTCCAGGAAGCAAACTTCGCACCAGCCTCCGCCCTCGGCGCCTCCCTCGGCTGGGGCGTAATAAACTTCCTCTTCGCGATCCCCGCTATAAAAACAATCGACACCTTCGGCCGCCGCAACCTCCTCCTAACAACCTTCCCCCTAATGTCCCTCGCAATGTTCTTCACAGGCTTCAGCTTCTGGATCCCCGAAACGCACCACACAGCCCGCACAGCCTGCATCGCCCTGGGCACCTACATCTTCGGCATCGTCTACTCCCCCGGCGAAGGACCCGTTCCATTCACCTACTCGGCCGAGGCCTACCCGCTGTACGTTCGTTCGTACGGGATGGCGCTAGCCACAGCCACGACGTGGTTTTTCAATTTCGTTCTGGGCGTGACGTGGCCGTCGTTGAGGAATGCGTTTACGGATCAGGGGGCGTTTGCGTGGTATGCGGGGTGGTGTATTGTTGGGTGGTGGTTGGTTTTACTGTTTATGCCGGAGACTAAGGGGAAGACGCTTGAGGAGTTGGATCAGGTTTTTTCTGTGCCGACGAGGTTTCATGCTGAGTATGGGTTGAGGCAGATTCCGTATTTTTTGAAGAGGTATTTGTTGAGGAGGGATGTGAAGCCGGAGATTTTGTATGAGAAGGAGGATGTTGTTGGGATGGGTGATGTTGGACATAATGCTTAGGCAGAGTTGAGTCTGTACTTTTCATGATTAATGAGGTTTATGATATGATATTTTTCTTCTGTGGTGAGCTCTGGAAATGCCTACAAGTATGGATGTAAATGCCAGACGAGGAAGACAAATTTGTCAAATGATAATGCCCACCTCTAACACAACTCTCTCGATTTTACGCTCGAAGATTGGAGCTAGTTGCAATCGTGCCTGTATTCGAAGAGCGTGGATTTCGATCGTCTCCATGGACATTCTCGCAAAACCTAATGGCAAATCTCATTGTAAACTTCTTTTCACCATTCTCGCATAAATCTGTTGCATTGCCTAGTCTACTTCCATAGATATATGCCGCTCGTTCTCTTAAAGGGCGTTTATCAATGTGCGCGGAGAGTTTAGCGTGGATATTGAGGTTTGTTTTATAATATTATTCTTTTATTTTTGGTCTTGGTGGTAGTATCACCATGATCTCTATTTTCTATCCGAGTGATAAACATAATTGGATAAATTGCAAAACATGCATGCAAATTTCAGGTCTGGTCCTGCCTTTCCATACGACCCATCCATCTCAACTTCCCTGATCTACTCCCCTTAATATCTCCTTTATTGCTGCTTGTTGGGGATACTCCGCAGACCCTTGTTGATAGACTCGGTCACCTCATCCAAGCAGCCAGCAGCGGCAGCGAAGAAGCCCAGGAAAGCGCGGCTGGGCGCCAGGACTCGGCTGAGGTATTCGGGGTGGAATTGCACACCCACGAACCAGGGGTGATCGCGAATCTCAACAACCTCCATACGCTCGCCCTTGTCGTCCTTGCCGACGAATGCCAGACCAGCTTTCTCAATGTTCTCGACCATCTCGGGGTTGACTTCGTACCGGTGGCGGTGACGCTCTGAGATCTGGGAGACATTGGGGCCGTACAGCGCACGGAGGCGCGACCACTCGGTGCCATCTTGGAAGATGGATGCGTGCTTTCCAAGACGCATGGTACCACCCATCTTATCCTTATCAACCTGTAGAGCATTATTAGCACAAGTCCACGTAGATGGGACCGACAGAAAAGTACATACCTCGGGCATATAGATGATGGCGTGGTTCTTAGCCTGAGGGTGAAGCTCTTCACTTCCGCAGTCATCAATGTTCATCACGTTGCGAGCAAACTCAATAACAGCAAGCTGCATACCAAGGCAGACACCCAGGAACGGGCGCTTCTTGGTACGAGCCCATGTAATCGCCTGGATCATACCGGTCGTGTTACGGGTACCGAATCCACCGGGCACCAACAGACCGTCAGCAGTGCAAACAGCGTGCCAAGCCTTGTGGAACTCGGCCGGGTTGGTCTCCAAGGCCTCGTCTTCCAGATGGCCAGCATCAACCCAGATCAACTCAAGCTTCTTATGACAGTACATGGCAGCGTGTTCCAACGCCTTGGACACACTAATGTATGCGTCCTTGAGAGCAGTGTATTTGCCAACCAGAGCGATAGAGACTGTGTCGTGGGGGTAGTCCTGGCCACGGGCAAGGTCAACCCAGTCCTTCCACATGAGCTTGCCCTGGTCAACGATCAGGGGATCCCGTGTGATGGAGGGGAGATCCAGCAGCTCTCCCAGGGTACCGATCAACTTCTGTTTCTCAAGAAGCAGAGGCACATGGTAGGTGGTCGAGACGTTGTGCACGGCAATAACCTGCTTGGTATCCATGGAGCACATGTTGGCAATCTTCTGGACGGTGCCGTCCTCCAGCGGCAGCTCGCAGCGACAGGCGATCAGGTCCGGATTCAGGCCCGCGCTACGAACATCGCTAATAGCCCTCTGAGTGGGCTTGGTCTTCTGCTCGTCATGAATGACGGGCACGTAAGACACGTGAATCTGAGCAAAGTTGCCCTTGCCAGCCCGGCGTTGGAGTTGACTGATGGCGTGAATGAACGGTGCGCTCTCAATATCTCCAACGGTACCACCCAGCTCGATGATGCAGACATCAGGCTCCCGGCCGGACTCGTCGACGGGGATCTTGGCAACGCGCTCAATCCAGTCCTGGATAGCGTTGGTGATGTGGGGGACGACCTGGACGGTCTTGCCAAGATAGCGGCCGACACGCTCGCGCTCGATCACTTGCTGGTAGATCTTGCCAGTCTACAATCGGAATCCAGCCAGTTAGCCAAATGCTTTCGTAATCCATCTTGTCGTAATATGCTCGATGACTCACGGTAATGTTGTGATCACGAGTGAGAGTGGTCAAAAGGTAGCGCTCGTAGTTTCCGAGATCCAAATCCATCTCACCACCATCATCCGTCACATAGACCTCTCCGTGCCTGATTAATCAGTATTTTGGATTGGATACTCGGGGCGCGCAGAAACTGACTCGATTGGTGACATAGTACCAGCATCGATGTTGATATAAGGGTCACACTGTAGGCGGGCGTCTTAGCAAGGAACGTGCATGATTGGAAGGATCGGACGAGTCGAGTATCAAGTCGATTGGATCAAAGACGGTGTCGCGCACGAACCTTGATGCTAGTGACCGTGAGACCGGCGGATTTGAGGAGCAAACCGGTGCTCGAGGCAATAATGCCCTTGCCAACACCGGAGATGACACCTAAGAATAGGAACTTCAATTAGCTCATATTCCACAGAACCAAGACTCGACAGGACATTCAAAACTTACCACCTGAAACTAGAACGTACTTCATTTTGACGTGAGCTCCCGACCAGGCTGCAAATGCAGTTGGTGGAGGGGGAGGGAAAGAACAAAATTGGCCGCGGGCAGAAAAAAAATTGAAAATAAAAGGCGGTGAGGGAAAAGCGCGTTGGACGCTAAACCCGATTGGTCAGTATGCAAGGACCGGTCTTGGCATTGCCCATAAAAGCTGCATTGATAGGAGCAATTCAAAAGTAATGATAATTTAAATGCTCGTAAGTTGAGTTCTAAGCTGTCGATTAAAAACTGTTTACTAACCTCTACAGTGGAAACTTGTCGAGGGGGTTTACCATGCAAGCAGATTGCAGATCGAGGCTCTGGTGATAAGAGATAAGAGAAGAGATAAAACCCCCCGCTCTTTTTCACGCGGCCAAACATTCTCCGTGTAATGTACACTTGGCCAACATCATTTCAGTGCTTATATGAATTCGTAATCGTTGGGGCTGTCCATATAAATATCACATGCAATCGACACTTCTCTTTGTCATAATCCAAACCTATTCAATGTTCTTGTTGAGAAATTGCTCATCTCAACCAAACAATATGGGGAAAAGACCGATCCGAAGCTAGAACTATACGGGACTGGCGTCTATCACATGTGAATTCAACAAAGCGAGTCTGACTCACAATTAATACGTTGAAAACGGAATATGAGGTAATATCATTCAATCTGGTGCTATTATTCATCAGATCAATTGATGTTAAGGGAGAAAAGAAGTTTATGGGGATAGATTCGCCAATTCAATGGGTCACGCGAGCACCGTCGTCTTCGGTAAAGCATGGCCTGTATAGGACATGCTATACAAATGAAGAAAACAGCCAGCTCTAGTAAAATGACCTCCAATTTGAATCGACTCAAATTCATATTGGTTCACATTATAATGGACATCTGAGTGCCAGCGGGAAATAATGGGCGCTAAGAAAATGTCACCGTAAAATGGTCTTTTTTGAACGACATTCGAAACTTTCTACTGTATTTTATGCAGCTGCTAAGTCCACGTATAGAAAACCACTCTCTCTGTCCCTTCGATCATTTGCTGTCCTAAGAAAATAGTCTCATCCAAGAACCCATACATCATTGCAGGCTTGATAGTCTTTCAGTGAAGGACTAGGATCGCCAGGGTATTGGCATCATTTCTCGGTGCTTCTTTCGGCAGCATGCACGACGAAGGAGCGGCAAAATGTTCTGCTTGTCCTTCCTCTTAACTTGACTCTCCACTTCGGTCACAATTTCTTCCAATTCCTCAGACGATATACTGTGCTCATCTAATCCTTTGAGGAGAAGTTTCATCTCTTGCTTAGCACCCTGTTTTATCACAAATTCTAGCAGAGACTCGACTTCGAAGGGTCCACCATCACTAAAGGGATCTGCACCTCGACCCAACAAGAGCTGGAGGTAGGTGCCTGGCCCTAAGGGAGACTGTTTGACCAATTGAACCTCTTTGTCAAACACCTCCGAGCAGGCGGATAAGTTCCCAGAGTCCATTTTGATGCCATGTCGGAGTAACGAGACCATCATAGCCGTGACGGCATCAAGTTCTCCATTAGGTGACCCGACCGACCCTAACATGCTTCGAATACCCGCTTGAGAGTAGGGATCGTTAACTCTGGATGAATTCTTCACTAGACCTTTTCCGAAGGGGATATCCACTACTGCCGCATCTGCCCGACTCACTGCAAAGAGCAAGGCCCTGTGAACCTCGAGACTAAGGTTCAACATGATGGCCTTTGTATAGCACATATTCCACCATTGCAGGACCCTCTTTCGTGGCTTCTGTCAACACAGTTGTCGGGAATCCTTCCAAATTAAGATAAGCTGCCCCGTCTTCCGACGACGAATTCTTGGATTGATCGAGGTTCGGAATCTGCAAAGAAACACCGCGCTTTAGCAGTATCTCCAAGCATTCCACGTTACCCCATCTGAGCACTCTGGAGATGAGATTCGAGCCGTCCCATTTCCCTCGTTACAAATGGGTCAGCACCCCGGTCAAGCAGCAATTGGAGAATTTCCGGTGGCCGTGACGCGCTAAATATGATCGGGCTGCTATATGGCCTTCTGTAATTGGGATTTGCTTCGTGGTCCAGAAGGGCTCTCACAACGCGAATGTGGCCGGCTGAAATTTCCAAAGCAAGGTTTCTACCCCATCGGCTACCTTTCCGCTTCTCAGACTGCCCTATATTGTGTTGAAGTAACAATTCGACGACTGGCAGATGACCTCTTTGGGCTGCCAAGCATAAGGCAGATGGCTTGGCGTAGTGAGTGTCTTGTTCTGGATCCTCTTGTAACAATAATGCAAAGGCAATGGTCGATGAAGCCACATTTGCCCCGCAGCCTCGCTTAAGGAGGAGTCGCAAAAGGTCTTCCCAGCCACAGGCAGCGCATGGTAGGAAAAGCACCCACTGATCAAAGTCACCAGAATTTCCAGCAGCAATCAGACTCTCCAAGTCCATGGCTGCCCGAAATTTTTCAGCCACAGCCTGGTGTCCGTCTTCTGCGGCTCGATCCAAGGGTAGAATAGTCAGCTTGTACACCTCCAGTCCCCGCGAAGTCCCACCATGATCTACGGTCACCCGCACCTTTGGCCTCGGATTCGCACCATGATCTAGAAGAAATTCAATAATCCCTAGATGCCCGCTCGAGACGGCGCCGCATAAACGTGTATAGAACCATCGCGCGGCACTGTCACAGGCAGCGCCCATTTGTAGCAAGTAACGAACGACATCAATGTGCCCTTGCTTAACGGCTTTGTGAAACGGCGTGAACCGACTGGGTTCTTGGGTATCAATCTCACAACCGTTTTCGACTAACAGTTTCACAGTTGATAGATGACCTCTGTCGGCCGCAATGTTAAGAGGCGTCTGATCCCATTCCTTTATGCAAGCAGTCGCTGAAGCTCCGTGGGCTAGCAATGTCCTGGCCACGGCTTCATGGCCACGACCAGCCGCTAAAGCGAGAGGATATCCATGGTCCTCATCTCTCTTAGGAAAAGATACTCCCGTTTTCTATACTTTGTCCAGCCGTCAACAGTATCAGGTTTTACTCCATGCTCGAGCAACAGGCGCACAACAGCGTCGTGTCCGTGCACGCAGGCGAGGGCCATCGGCTTCCAATCCTCGTAGTACACGGCAGACGGTGAGGCGCCGGCCTTGAGTGCATAGCGCGGAGTCACTTCATAGCCATGCTCGCCGCCCATTCAAGAGCACATGCGTGCGAGTGGCGGACATTGTGCTTGTAGAGAACGAGATTAAGCAGGGAGTATAACTGTACGCATGTTTCAAGAAGGGTGTTGGTGAGGACTCATCATCGAGAACTCATCATCGAGAACTCATCATCGAGAACTCATCATCGAGAACTCATCATCGAGAACCTTCGCTACCAAAAGAATGAGTTCAGTGGGCAGGTTTGAGAGATACATTTTGCACGACTACCGTGACGAAGGAGAGAAACGCGTGATAGAGGGGAGAACCGTTTGGTTCAAGTTCCACCAGGCCCCACTTCACCCCTTTTGGAGCCGAATAGACTTCAGAAGCCCAAAACCCCGGCAAGGTCAATTTACCTACTTCAAAAGATAACAAATTAATTCCTGCAATTCGATAACAGGATCCAGTGAGTTCAAAATTAGTATATTTCTAGGCCGTTCCGCTCATCGTGAGTTGAACAGTGCACCGCGGTCTTGCACTAATACTTCATTCTGATTGGATCGGTAGTCCTGCCCTGTGTAGCTTATTACTTCTAGGGATGATACAGGCGCACTGGTCGAATGAGCCGGCCCGTATAGGCCTTCCGAATATTGGCTTTTGAACAGTCAAACGCAACTGTATCTGAGAGCTCATCAATTGATTAAACTCCTGTTATGAATTGGACTGCTCATGGAACTATAGTTTAGCTACACACCGTCGGTTCTCTAGCAAACGGTGTCGAATATAGGAGTGGCTAAGGGAAGCTGATAAATTCCTGTAGGCTACGTACCAAAAAATCTCATGGGATATCCCGTGGGCGTTTTTTGTTTCTATTGTTTGCGCTCTCGTACGGATTTGAATCAGTTTTGCTCTTCTTCACTCATTCAACTCCATATTTTACTTTCCCTTCTCTTCTCCCTTCCAGTATCATCACTAAGTCCAACCCCTTCGTACTGTTCCGTGATAACTTTGTCTTTTACCTAACTCAGCCTTTGCATCTCCCTTCTACACGGCCCAGGGTAGTCGTCTACAAGATGCCTCCTGCCAAGAAGAAGCCAGCTCCGAGGCCCAAGCCAGCCGCACCAGTGCAGAGCGTATTTCAGGGAGGAAGCTTCCTTGTTGATGCCCAGGCCGAGGAAGAAGCTGATCATGAAATCCAACCAACCCTCAGCATGTCGGACCTGGACCTAGACGTCTCTTACGTTGGAATGTTCCAGCCTGCTCCACAAGGAGAACGCGACCAAACCGGTTCTCAACAATTCTTCCAATCGCCGGCAGGTTGGACTGGACATGATAATGACCTAGACCCAAAGTATGAAAGCTATCAAGATGACAGTTATTGAGGATCACTAACTTCTTGTCGCAGTGATTTCGAGGACCAGATCAAGAGATGTCATGAGCGAATCAGCGAGAACTTCATGACGCAGATCTATTCTCCGAGACTTGCCGCGTACGAGAGACTACGCACGGAGAAAATGTAGGTACATTTCTTTGACTTGTAGAATTACCCACATGCTACCATGCAGTTTCCTAGTGAATCAATTTCCAGATATCCTGGCCTCAAATAGGAAGTCGTTCAACGAATTGAAGAGCTTAAGCAGATGAGCAATGTTTATTGGCGCTCATTGCAGCTTATGAGAGAGGCCAGCTGGACCTTTACAAGAATCCGGAGCTAGTGACTTACTGGTACAAGGGCAAGCAGCTCAGCCAGCCACGACCCTAGGATGATGATGTAAGGACCAATTGTTGGTGGGTGTGCAGGAGGGCACCAATCTTTCTGGGTGGAAGCAGCGCGTTACGCCCAGCCTGAGAGGACTTTAACCATGTTCCTGAGAACCCAGGTTCGATCCATATGTGAGCAACAACTTTGTGTAGGGAATGGGACATTCAGGGGCTTGAGGGATTACAGGTCGTATTTTGGATTAGTTAGTTCTTACTCAACTCTATGCCCCTGATTATTCATGTTTTGTTCCTTTCCTCAATCCCTCGAAGGCCAAAGCAGCTTCCTAATCCCTTTATATGGATTCCTTCGTAAACGCCATGTTCTCGCGTTACACGCTCCGCCAAAGAGATTTGCAGCAACATACAGATTGAAAATGTCGTCACTACTCCAAGTTACTTTCTTTTCACGCTCAAGATACCATGATTCGCGTTGCCTTTGCTCATTCAAGAGACCCACGCTAGCCATACTTTCTTACCCATGGTATCTGCAGGTGATGATGTCTTCGGTTAACGGGGCTTATTGTTCTAGTATAGTCTACACTAAATATTTCTACGTTCTCCCTCTCTCAAATTTTGACCGCAGTAATATGAGCTCAATACCTCTATCTGATATAGCTCTCAGTGTCCAGCAATCAATACCTTGTTCAAGGCTACACATACCGAACCACGATCTGTAAATTATGGCACCAAGAATATTGTGCTGAATTGAATAAGGTCCAAGCGAATTTGAGGACGCCATCTTAACTAGGCACTTAAAGACTCTCTCGCTGGTCATAAATCGCATTACTGTCGTAGCAGTGGACGCTCACGGTCTTGTTTGCAATGTCCACGTCGGGGTCGCTGAAGCTGCAGGTGCCTGGGTCCTCCATTCCAATATAGAGGGGCTCTTGACACTTTTCATCACTGCACAATATAATCAGTACCGCTCTTATGATATCCATGTATGGGTAACGTACGTGTAGAAGTCGCATACAACGTCCGTGGGTAACTCCGCGCCGTTGATGTTTTTCTTTCTGTTATCATAATGTCAATTACTTTGTGGATCGGATTCATAATCTGGTGTTCGTACAATCCGATTGGCAGGAGGACACATTGGTCGTCCGGCTGAACTTCAAGTGTTTTGCCTTTGCATGGTTCCTGCGAAAAGAGAATGGCCGGCTATGAGAACATAATGTCAGCGGTCGGTTCAGATCGGGATATTCTGCATTCGAGAATATATACCTTAGTATCGGCCAGTGAGTGCGCAGCACATGAAAGGATTGTAAAGATCAAGAACTTGTGGGAAATCATGTTGAAGGTAGATCTAGCCTGAACAGCGGTTCAAGAATTTCAAGGAGCCTCGAACAACGGAGATAGGAATCGAGCTTTTAACGACAATAAAACCTCGTCGATGTCAGACCACTGCGGGCCTTAAAAGCGACAAACATTCACGATTAATGATCTACGGTGACACAACATCATTATATGCAAGGGGCTGCATTTATTGACGCATGAAAATCCCGACCGACCAAAAAGCAAGCTTGAATTTGTTTGGTCCACAGGCGTGATCGTGCGACACGCAGAACCAAGAGAAAAATGAATATAGATGACGAACTATTTGGACGAGTAGGAGATGACTTCGATCAACGCGTAGACAAAGCAAACAATCGATTGCTAGGAAGTTAGCTTTTCGATGTCGAGTACGGAGAGAGAAGGCTAATCCCACAGACCCACAGAGCATGTCCTCTGCCGCCAAGACTATCTATCTAGGGAGAGTCGCTTAACTCGAGGATCGTTTTTTGGCTCACCAAACAGGTTATTATTCCGGAGCTACAGTATCAAACATTTACTTCAAAGACAATGACTATTTTCTATGATTTTGGATTTCTTTGTTGTTCACAGTCTAACCCTATTGGGAAGGACGTGTTGTAACGCTAGTCTGAAAAGAGCGTAGCGAATCTTCCGGCTCCAGTATGACTCACAAATGGACCTTTCAGACCCATTATAACTGCAAACAGCCCACAATTCCTCAACAACAAGCAAGCTGGCGCATAGGAAGCGCGTCGGGCTCATAACCCGAAGGTACCTGGATCGAAACCAGGGTTTGCTATCTTTTTGTGAATTTTTTTCATCCCTTGTCCGGGACCAATGCCTTTTTGACAGAGACTCTCCGAGACTGTCATGGTTGGGGGAGCAGATCGAGCCTCGACGCGTGATTATGGATGCGATCGCAATTTTAGGTAAATCATACGAGTGGTGGTTTGAAACATTCTTTTTCTATTTCACCAGATTTACACGCAATTAAACTTGGTTTGGAGTTCGTTTTGGTCGGCATGGTCGAAAATATATATCGAGCAGTTTGGAGGATCCCCTCATATTGACGGACTAAGGTCATCTACCTAATGCGTGGATAGAAATTGCCACACTATAAGACCTCATGGAGTAGATCAGTACGCTGCCTGCTCCTGGATAACTACTGAAAAAATTTTCACTGAGAGAGAGCTCTTACCAAACTATAGTGGTCCTTTATGGATGAAAAATAGGCAGTGAGCTGGCTGAAATAGTTGACTCCACTACGGCTATATCGAGGAGGCTCAACATGTAAGATAAGATCATAGGTTGTATCGGCTAAACGTCTGCTCTCTCTCCACGATGCAAATTGCTCCTAATTTCACTTGTCATATGTGATACCAAAGTACCACCGATATACGCATTAGTTTTTGGGAGTCGAGAACCACACTTATATAGCTGGTCCTTGGTATCTACGCGCGAACCGGCCCTTGGGGCGAAATGGTGGCATCACAACTTCCACCTCGGTTCAGGTTATGGTTTTCTTCTGTCGTATTATCGGTAGATGCCCCGGGCCTCAATTCTTAAAAAATAGCCTATCAACCTGGTATTCATGCGACGGGCCATCGCCGTGTCTATAGTCAAGGCTCGACTCAAGGGTGCCTACCGGGGCTATGACATGCACGTCGCAAGCTCCGCGTTAGTACCCAAATGCTGGACGAGCTGGTCTCCGATGGATACTGTTTGAATTTATTTTTTGCCCATGTACTAGACGTGGGTCCGTGCTTGCTCTATGTGTATCATAATTAATGTAGCCCTAGGCTAATCGCACGCCAACTTGTGATTTCGCACGACAAGCTACTCCATTTTCGGATATAGTGGGAAATAGATACATTAGATCCTTGAATCTAGACTGGAGAAACTTTTTTACAATGTAAATATATACGCTTTAACCATCCCTATTCTAAAAGATCTTTCTGAATATCTTTTGAAAATTTTTTTGAGCCGTCTTCCTTAATAGCTAAAGTATTAGGCTTCGTAGGTATTATAAGGATATCTAGGTACTCGAGGTACATGTTATCCACCATGTCTAAAAATAGTATAGTCTATCGTGCGAAAGCCGTGCGATTCGCCTTAGCCTTAATGTAGTCGATGATAGCTACCCTTACACCAGATCCTGCGTAGCCAGAGTGCAACAAAGCCAGATACAGAGACGAACCTAGCGGTTAGGCAGGCACGTATCCGTCTTTCGCAAGACTGAGCCGAGCGTGATAGCGAAGGCGGCTAATTAGTAGAGGAAAATTCTCGTCTGGATTGCCAGGGGACAGGAACACTGCAGGGAACAGGTCGCAACGTCGAATGTCAAGTAACTGAGGTGGATCACCAGCGGGCATAGAGAAGAAAATTTCAGTTTGCGTGCATCTTGAGATCCCTTCTTCGTTTTTGTAGAGTTCGAGAACTCCGCTGACTGAATTATTTGCATGCTTCGTCCACTTAGCAAGAATACCGATTTTGATCGCCCCGTTACCACTGAGTAACCGATTCATGTCATAAAGTATGTCATTATATGACTCGCTCCATCAAACATCTGCGATAAAAGTTGGAAAGGGCTGCGATGGGGTGTAGAGAAAAGCATCTGGCTCCTTTCGGAGATCGGGGCATGACAGTGCTTCAGATATCTTATCAGTAAGGGTATGATTAAAGGTCAACTAAACTTACTTGTGCCTGCTTGTAGAAGGAGAAGGTCTAGCTCTACTAGGTTTAGGAAGCCTGTCCCACATCTTGAAATTGGGGCTGAAATCCATTCTGCAATACAATTGTGGGCATCAGATGGCCTGATTTTGAGCCGTAAAGAACGCCTCTCTGGGTTATAGGTTTTTCGAATACAAGGGAGATCCGCCTCGACTTCCCAGAGGAAATATTTCCATCCTGACGGCACGTTAGTAATCACGAGCTCATGAAAGCCATTAGTATCACGAAGAGTATTTCGAAAACTTCCTCAAATTGAGGCTGTGTTTTGAACCGATCTGCGGAGATCACTGCCCTCGATGAGACACTTGAAGGAGTTAAGGCAATATTAGGCATGGTGATGATACGGGAAAAGAAGAGAAGGGTAGGAAATGCGGTGTTGAGGAACTTGTGTAAGGAAGAAGCGTATTACAACAGAGCAGCTCATAGACAGCGAGTTCGGTACAGTTCGGAAGAACAGTTGATCCGTGTCGAATACTGTATTCCCATGACGTTTCTACTAGTCTGGAACGGGAAGATCCGAAGCTTCTATTAGACTATTACATTTGCAGGAACCTCGATACGGAGGGTAATACGGGCTAGGTGCTCTTCTGCTTCGCGGATAGGCGGTCATGAGTCTGATGTTATATGATGGAGCAATAAGGCCGCGGGCCGCCTCATTCAGAATGCTATCTAGCCCATTATGTGGCATGTATTTGATTCCGGCTGCTTCTGGTTGTATGATCGATGTTCGTCTAAGTTTTGGTGGCAGTTCGAATAATCTTCAATTAGATTAAGCGAGCGAGACGAGTGAGGAAGACGATAGAAAATACTGTGAAATCAAGTCGTTGTTCCTTTTAGTTTGTGTCAAATCAAATATTGCGTCATGGTAGGCAATATACAACAGCACCCGGGGTAGCTACCGTCACAGTTCCCCAGAAGATAAAACAAATAATTCGCCACCTCAGCCTTAAATTGAAATGACCCCTCACTTCTGCTCCTTGAGTCCACATCAATGTATTCATGATTCTAAGCCATCACCATGTCCTTTAATGAAACCTCATGCGATATTCACCTGTCCGCCGAGGGTGACGGCACTCATTTGGCGGCAATATGTAACAACGACGAGGGTTCCGGTCTGACTACCGATCTTCTTCTTGACAGATGCCTAGGCAATAGAGATGGTAAGATCAACCTGATGAAACGTCGTTCAAACAGAGATTTTAATCTTCTCTGTGCGGTAGGCCACTTTGAATGGGGTGGAACGAACTTCAGCAAGAGTGCAAAGAACATCACCTTTAGCACTGAACGACCGGATCGAAAACCAATTCTTTGCTCTGAGCTTCGCAATTCATCTGGAGAGTACGTTTCAGACAAGATTGATCTCACCGATCACATCGCAAATGTCGAGGGCGAACTACAGTACATGCAGTCTGAAGATTGACCGGATCTTAACAAGTGTATATTGATTTACTGTGATTAATTGGGCAAAATTGTACACTGTTCATCTCTGTTTCTTGTTATTTGGCACAATATCGGATATCAAGGTACTTTTTCCGGAGAATCTAACCTGTATCTTCAGCGAAGGACTCTGTGTTACCACCATACATCACTCGAGTCACGTAGAGCGAGCTCTGAAGGTGCCCAGAAAATGTTAAATCTAGAACATGTAATTAACCTTGTGTGTAATATATTCTAACTTCCTCCAAAGCACACGTGATGCTATCCAAAATAATGATGTCATTGTGTCTTTTATAAGTCTTTTATTCGCCAGCACCTCCAGCATCGTCAAGACACCAGAATTCTCTTCACATTCCCAGGAAGCTGCAACGCTTCAGTCGATATATCGTACATCTTGCATCTAAGCCTCACTCAAAAACCTCCAAGATGATGCGCATTGTGAGCAAACAGGCTCCTCCAGCCAGAATAATCTGCTCCCTTCGAGCCAATCACAATATACGCCACCTGCACGATAATCTCACCACAGCAAGCCAACCCGACACATTCACCCTCCTCGACAGACAAATCCTCCGCCCAGACAGAGCAGAGACATGTCAATCCGGCACAGACGACGAAGTTGCGCGTCACAGATCACCCTACGACCCCACTCTATCGACGGTGGAAAAAGAAGTCTCCGCTCTACGAGAGGAATACAAACTAGAAGGAGACCTTCACGATCCATTGGCAGTCAGTCCCGCAAATTTGCAAGTCAGTCATATCTTGCAATTGGAGGAAGAGCGGGCAATGCCAGGTGGATGGCACCCATTGGGTAGTGTCAAGGGTTGGACGAGCAAACACAAAACGGTCCTGCTTCGAACGGAGCCGTATACTTTTAGAGCGTATGAGGTCGTATTTCCTTATTTTGGGAGATACAGAAAGGTTTGAGTTACCTGAGAAATGACTGAGTATGACTTGCAATGGCTGACTACTGGCACAGAGAGGCGGAGCGGTACATGAGTTCGGTCAGAAGTAAAAGTACCTCTGCGAACATCCAACATCAGCCATTACGGAAATAAGTTGTTGAACACGTCGAACGAAAGTTGCTAGCAAAATGTAAAACTAATTTGAGAATGGAATATTGACCGTCAAATACGCGCATTTGCTAGGCTTTGAACTCAATTGATTAATCGCACCGATCGCCATGGGAATTCCCTTAACCTAGCTATTCCTGGCACATGAGCTGCGCACAGCTCTCATAGAGCCTAGTTTCTCCCTTAAACCGTTGCTTGACGCTACGTGTGAGCACCTCGATATCATCACTCGTCAGGCACGGGGCACCGGTCGTAATTTCCATCGACATTGTTCCCCCACCAGGAAGGGAATGGATGGGCAGGTCCACCCGCTCCGAAAACAGCAAAGGAAAGTATGAACATGACCGTCAGACCAGCCCCATCGAACGTGCCAGTGACCCAAAATGAGTGGTCCTTGAAGATTCATGGGTGACAGTCTCGGAGGTACCACTGGATGAAGAAACCGCTGATGATCCGGCTGAAAATGACTCAGGCCTGGGACTGATTGTACGGGATAAAGCCCGCGTACTGGATAATCTGGGCCATGTTGATCTTGGAGACGTCCAGGCGGCCAATATTTGGAATGAACTGAGGGAGTGTAGTTCGTCAGCTTGGATAACCAAAAAGGGGGAGGGGGTGGCATTAGTTCTGTGACAGACTCACCTGGTAAAAGAGGCGATCCAAGCGACGACACCTGCCCCAACTAGCAGACACAGAGGCACCATCTCATACCTCGAACCGATCTTGTAAAGATAAGGTGCCAGAGCCCAGGAAGCTGCGTTGGTGTTGTATGCTTGTACATTTGCACCACTCCAGGACGAGTTACCATTACCATTCGCAAGTAAGGCTTGATTGCCAGCAACAATCGAGATCATGACCGCATGGTTGACGAAGCCACCGAGAACCGTGCCATAGATCTGAATCAGGAACATTACTCGAGGGGGAATTTTGACGGTAAACCATCTGTCAACCAATATAGTCAGATCACAGGGAAAGAAAACCGGCTTACGATATTCTCCGAGCTTCAGATCATTGGACAGATTAACGGCGTTTGCGATGACGTTGTACGACCATGCCGCAAATTACATGTTCCCAATCAGGCGTCCTGGCAGTGTGAGACCGGCAATCATCTTGGATAGATTGTTGATAGCAATGCCATTGCCATAGCGGCCGTAAAGGATGGTGCTCTGAAATAGCAATCTAGGTTAGCAGAATCCCTTTGATAACAGAGCAAGAGGTACCTACAAATGGCGAAATGATAGCTCCGACTATCAGAGACACATATATTCCCATGCCGGAACGGTAATGTTCTCCTTGAGTACCACGATAAGGCCGAGGATGAAGCTGCCAAGGAGCACCAAACCGTACCACCACCATGGAGTTTCTTTGTAGTGTGTTGCCATGCGCTGATGGTGCCGATCGTCATATCGACCTTCCCTTGCGCTCTTGATAATATTAAAGCTTGATAAACAAGTCTATTACATTATTATTAAAATGGTAATTATATGCACGAACGATTTCCTTGCCCCAGAAGAGGATGCAATGGGCAATTCGAGCGCAGATTTAGAACATCGTCAGTTTGTGATAGCTTAATGTTAGGTATCGAGAGGACGGAGTGCCTACTGCAGCATTGGCCATAAACATGGCGTATGCAAAGGTTCCAGTGATACGGGTTATACCGTACTTGGCGAGAGCGGACTCGCTGAGTACATCTCCTGGAAAGACTTGACTGCTGGGATATCTTTTTCCGTCCGCCGTGTGGAAAACAGTCGACATGAACGGCTGCGACTTTGCACCCCAGGCATCTCCGTAGTAAATTGCAAGCATTGCAATGAAACAGACGAGAATCCCGATAGCTTGGTGAATCTGGAACTTGAGAGGCAATGAAGTTTGGAGAGTTGTGATCTATCTTGGTTAGCTTTGGCTTCATACTCATGGCTGAGGGGATATGATTCTTACATATTACCAGTCAAGACTCAGCGAGAAGAGTCCGAGGCCTTCATTATTGGTGGCACCACCGAAAAGGTTCGTGAGCACGGCTGCCTTGCTGCCCGTCACTTTCTGGGCGGCAAGACATTGCAAGCTCTTTCATCACTAGCTTCTTATCAAGTGTGGTCAAAAGTGGCTTACCGGGATCGAAACCGAATTGAGCCATGGGAAGACATAGGCGGGTAGAATCTCGTAGAGACTCATACCAGTGAAGGCATACCAAAAGTCGAAGCGGCTTGGAATTCTTCACTTCTTGCCAATGCAGGCCATGGAGGGTATTCACTGTGGGCAAGGTATTCCAGTAGACGGATTCGACGTGCCAGACTGCAATTGGTCGCATGATTCCACAGAGACCATACCCGAATAGACCAATCGAGATAGTACTCAGGATCACCGTCGTAGCGCTCAAGGGTAGATCGTAGAAGAGATTCTGAGCTGCAAAGACGGTGGATGTAACCGAGGCATTAGACGCCGAAGTAGCCGTGATGGCACAAACAGAGTGCTCCTTCAGACTCCATGGACCGTTGTTGACAAACTTGATGACCGAGATCCACCAAGGAAGCTTGCCCTGACCAATCTTTTCTCTCCAACCAGCCTCGAACTTATCACTACGGGGAAGGAATCTGGCCCACGCGTTGCCCACAAAGTACGAAATGAGGACGATAAATGTTCCCGAGACGGTGATGACAGTTGGCTTGAACTGTTGCGCCGAGTCAGTGATTGCCCGCAACATCCGTAAACAAGAGGAAAGTGTTGACTGACAGTGTAGATTTGGGACATCACCGCCTGAAACCCAGAAACAGCCGTCGCAAGAACGATGCTGCGAACAGTCACCGCAGAATGCAAGTGTTCTGCTGCATCAGCACCGGTTTTGATCACAACCTCAGCGACGCTGACTTGGCTCTCGCCACCACTGATATCGGTATCTTGACGTCCTCCTTGATAGAAGTTGCCATGAGTTCAAACTGCTCATCGATGGCATCCCCTTCGTTGGGAAAATTAGAGGTCGCTTCCGCCATTTTGGGCTCTTCTTGAACTGCAGACTGGGAGGACTATTATCAGTTGTCGTCGGAAGCGTTGCAGCTAAGAGGCTTGTCACCGAACGAGTGTCACTGAGAAGGCTGTCAGTGGGATAGTTTCAGCTAAAGAATGGAGCACGAGCAAGGATTTTATAACTTGTGTCGCACGCAGTGCTGTTGCAAAGGTACCAGTGTGTAAAGTGAGTCATGTAAGGTTAAGAAAAGAATTGGAGTAGTACTGTCGGATACCACGAAGTATGAGACAGTCTATCAAGCAGTCAAATCCTCGGCATATTCTTACTCTCACCGGCCCATCGTTCATCATCTCTAGTGAGCTTGCGAATCCATGGATAGCTACATCAAACCACTTCCATAAGAACCTCTAAGTCACTTTCTATAGTCATACATGAGCCTAATTTCTTTCGTTCTAGGATCTCAAGCCCTGGCGCCTATTGATTCGATGTCACGCTCGGTGTCCGGCCAGTGTTACACTGAGCCTGCCGTTTTTGAGAGATTCGTGGCTGCTCATACCGGTCACGGATACCTCGTGGGATTGTCATATCTTTACTGTAACCTTTGCTAGGATGGTTGAGTGAGAGACAGTGGAATTAATTTCCTCAATGTTGTTCCACATACCACATGCTGCCATGCAGCGAGGTTATCAGATTAAGTTCGGGTCTTTTGGGCCACATGCTCCCAAGTTGGCATTTTACAGCGGTGTCCAGAATGTTAAAAGACATTGAGACTAGAAGTTCTGGCAATTTGCGACATGAGCTCAATTAAACATGTTGTCAAGGTTTGTGACACCCAGTATGTGTAAGTAACAGGTATATAAGGTCCATATCAGGCAGTCGAAGGATAGAATCAAGACGTAGCATTATGATGTAGAAGACTCTTGGAAGAGTATCAAGAGGAATATTCAGAGTATCTATTCGTAACAGTGTCAATATCGTACCAAAACAGTAGTCCGCAGCTCCTTCAGGAATAAATAGACCTAAAGCTACCATCCATGGATCGCTATTACTCACATCACCACGGTCTCATAGAGTGATTCACCTCTTCACTACCTAGAATATCTCTCTACAAAAGACCTCGTATCACATCTCATATTCCCAAACAGCCCAAAGGCTGCAAATCACACCACCAAGATCCATCAAACAAAATTACCCACGACTCGCATAACGACCACCACCCAATCACCAACCGAAACCAACCCCTTCCAAGAAGTATACTACTTCTTCTACGGCACACTCATGGACCGATCCCATCTCGCCCGAATCCTAGGACACACCAACATACTTGACCAACGACCAGCACATATCAGCGGATGGCGCTATCTGTTGTGGGGAGCTTACCCAGCACTCATCGAAAGTTCTTCAGACGATATAGTCACAGGAAATGGCTTATCGGGTATGTTCTCCTCGAGAGCGGGAAAGGCTGGTTCAATATGAGAGTGCGGCGTATAGAATTCAGGAATGTAGGATTTGTTTTGAGGATGGGACGCGGAAGGTTGGGAAGATGTTTGTTTGGGATGGGGATTTGGCTGGTTTACGAGAAGGGGATTTTGATTTGAGAGATTGTTTACTCAGAAAGAAGGAGTTTACGGTTTGATGGAAGGAAAGATGGGATGTTTAGGAAGGTTGATTCGTTTCTATCTTGACTAGGCATGGCCGAAGCGTGGCGTGAATAGGACTGTGACGATCGTTAGCGAAGGTCATATGGCAGATTCATAGAATATGATAATAGGAGCTCCATCAGAAAGGTGATGATTGTTTATCCTCATTCTTTATTCAGAACAGGTCTGTGTATAAATCTTGCTTCATCATTGGAGTGGGGGTGGTTGCATGCAAAAAGGCTAGACTTACCGAGTTTAAAGTTCCATTTGCATGAATTTATCTGCGAATCAAAATTCCTAGTGAAGAGGATCTAAATTGATCATTAGCAACGATCACATGATAGTTTTTCAAGCAGAAATAAAGGCAAAGTCTCATCAGATAGCAGTTGGACATTGATTATGTGTCCTCATTGAAAATCAGAACAGGTCTGTGTGAAATCATGCTTCATCATTGAAGAGAAAAAAAAAGACAAACAGGCAACAAATAACTTACCAGTTCAAACACTCCCCGTCAGCCGATAGAACTGGTCCATCGGCTGTTGTCTCGACTGCGGCACGACCGCGGGGATGGTCTGCGCCAGTGCTTCGCCGTCGAGATGAGTCGTACTATCAACCGTCAAGATCGTCATTGACCATCCGATCAACGGTGCACTCCCGTCTGGCGGGAAAGGGAGTTTCGCCCTCATCAGCCAGGGCGGGTCAACATTCGGATAGATCATATTCCTGATCAGCATCTCCTGCGGTGGTCCACCAGGACGGATATCCACCTCCATGATCCCGGTATTCGACCACAATGGATGCGTATAATCAGCCCCCGGCGATCCAGCGTTCCGAGCAAGATGGAACGACTGCGAGCCAAAGATTTCGGTCAAGCACGCCCACAGAACCTGCAAGATGACCCCGTGCCCGACGACGGCAATAACTGCATTACCGCCCGTAGCATGATTAGCCATCTCCGGCAAAATATGATCTCTTAGGAAGCCATTGACCCGTGCGCGCATCGAGGATATCGATTCGATCTGGGTCGCTTCGCGAGGTAATCGAGCACAGCCAAAGCATTGCTCGCGCAGCTTGGCCGTTTGAAAAGGTTCCAGTGCAGGCCCACTACCCAGTTGGTACTGGCAGATCGTACGGGCGGTATCAGTCGCACGATCGAGGTCCGACGAGAGCACGCGTGTGAACCGCACCGGCCGGTCACGAAAGTACCGTGCTAGCCGGAGGGCCTGATCTTTGCCAACACCTGTCAGGTTATCCGAATTGCCCCTTGCAAGACGGGAATGTCAGCAAGTGCCCTTGGGGGCAAAGGGGAGAGGGGGCATTCTCATCCGCATACATACAACGCTTTGCCCACATTATGCTCGCATTCTGCGTGGCGGATGAGAAATAGCCTCATAGTGAGTGTGCCTGAATATCTCGAAAGAGTGTGATAGTTTATTTAGTGGAAAGTCCCGGCAGGAACAGCTTGGGGGAAAATTGCTGGGAAGCTGTGGCTGCGAGCCACCACAGATGAGGTCGTGATGAACACACACCCTCGATGGCTGGGGCCAATGGCAGACCGAAGCCGATCGGGGGTTACCCATGGTCATGGAGAACCATCATTGAGTATTTTCAAGATAAAAAACTGCTTCTTTTCTCCTGTATGAGAGGATGAAGAGAGCGTAAATGAAGAGAAGGGAGAAAAAAGTTACATCCTACGCGCCAAAATACGCGGAAGCAGCTGGTAGTGGAGCCCAGCCCACTTTGGCTTTGCACTGTTTGCACGCGCAAACAAAAAAAAAGTGGTGGAATACGTGTAGCCGGTGCCCAGCGTGTGGATTGGAATTTTTTTAGAGCAAAGCCAGTAAGTCAATTGGATCCTTGAAAATTGTTATCTTGGTGTTGAGGGTGCAAGATTGATCAAGTATAGGTCGGAGACTGACAATCCCAGATAAATACTTCAGACAGTATACGCAATGGCCGACACCGAGATCGTCAGACCGGAGGAGCAGAGTGTGTCTAGTTCAGTCCACAGGAATAGTCACAGAACAATTGCTAACAAATCATCATTGCTAGAAGCTCCTCAGTCTCCCTACCAGAATGTCCGCACCAATGGCCGTGCCTTCAACTCTCCCAATTGGCGAATGAAGAGCGAGACCAGCAGCCCGCAGGCCTCGCCCCCCTCGACACGCACCAACACATCTCGGACGGCCTTTGCACGACCCGGACCCCACGTACCCCAGGCCATTTCCGAGGGCCGCCGGTTGTACGTGGGCAACATGCCCTACACGGCCAAGACGGAGGATGTGGAGGCGCTTTTCACGGCGGCTGAGTTCCCTATGTATGCCACACAAACTTGAAAAAGAGCCAAAAGTTCAGGCCGGGCTCGGCCCATGAAGAAACAATGTGTGATGGCGTCGACTGAGACCTGATTTTGATAGCGAGCGCATCGACATTGCCATTGACCCATTTACCGGCCGGAACCCCTCGTACTGCTTCGTCGATCTGCAGACCAAGGAGCATGCGGAGCGGGCAATGGTCGAGTTGGACGGCCACGATATGCTGGGCCGCCCGATCAAGATCAAGCCTGGAGTGGCCAAGTCTGCCGAGCGTGCTGCTGAGCAGACCCGGACACCGTTTGCCAGCCCCATGAGCCGCTGGCGTCCTTCGGAGGGCAGCACTACCAGCAGCACCACTAGCTTCGCCAAGGTCAACAACAATGATTCTAGCCAGCGGGTGTATGTGGGAGGTTTGCCTCGCTTGACGGAGCCCGAAAGCGTGCAGAGCAATATGAGAACTTTTTTCCAGGGATACAATGTGTATGTTTGCATCGAGAAGAATCTCGAGACTGGAGACCGCCCTCTCATATTTTGCAACTCCGTCTGCCCGTTCGATACTAACCTGTATTTGTTATTTTTTAGTGAGAATGTTAGCAAGGTGTTCACCCCACACCCCGCAAAGCGATTTGAGCCCGGTGACCACTACTATCTGTTTGTGGACTTTAGCAGTGTTGAGGAGGCCCAGCGGGCCATGGACACTCTCAATGGGCAGCAAGGCCCCTGGGGAGGCCCGCTGCGTATCCAGCGAGCCCGTGGCACGACCAACAACAATAAGCCCGAGGGTACCTCGTCCCCGGCGGATGGTGAACAAACTCCGCTATAGAGGGGCAGAAATGCAGCATTATAGAAGGGGGTATTTTAGATGGGAATTGGAGTTTATGATATAAAAAGGGCCATTGATACAAATAGATATGAAATAGGTTGAGACGGAAAAATAATATCATAGACTACTATCATACTATCATGCTATCCATCCCCACTTGATAGTCAGATGATCCAACAAAGCAATTAACTCACTAACTACTAACTAACTGTTTCTCCGGATGACGTTGTGGGGACCGACTCACCGCATTACGATCCCCTCCTAAACCACCTCTGCTTTGCCAACCTGGTTTGAGGCATTTCTTTTTCTTTTTTTCTGTTTAGAAAAAGGATTTCCAAGTTTTTCTCTTTTCATACTTGCATTTCTATTTCCCCTACTCCTTTTTTGTTCTCCAATATTGTACATCTCCCTTTGTTTGGCCTCCATGTGGAATTGATCCCTTAAGCCTAACTGCCTCTCCTTTCTCTCCCTTCCGGCTTCGGGTCGGAAGCCTGTCTGACTCTCCCTAATCTTCCCGACACATCTGCAATTCCCATTTCAACACAACGCCCACCATGTCGACAAAAAGTGCTATTCGGAGCCAGCAGCAACACAAGGTGTTCATGGCTAGTGTAAGTGCAATTTCGGTTTCTATCTGATATCCTACTATTCCCTTTCCAAATTCCCCCTCCAATTTTCCCCCCACGGCTGGGCCCCGATCGACCGCCAGGATCGAACGCGGGGATCCCTGCATGCCCCTCTTACATTGCCTCGGTTCTTGTTCTCCTCCTTCGGCCAGATAGGGTTGTTAGCGGCCGGCAGAACGGGAGACTAGGAAGTACCAAGTACCGGACTAGCTAGTTTGGTCAAATGTCTGGGGTTCTGGGGTTGTTCTATGCATGATACGAGCACCGTGGTCAACCCGGGTCCCGACTACGCTATTAGTGAATGCAGATGACCTGCCACATGGACATGAACGTTTAGTTTACTGCCTATATTTGATAATGATGTATCTGGAAGCCGGATTTCTTTGGAAACTCACGGATTTCTATACAACTTTTCATCTATATGGTATGAGGACCAGACCGAAGCCAGGCCGTCCATCAGGCATCACATTGCATCGTTTGTTCCCAGTGGCACCCGCCTCTTTGGGTCAATTGTGTGTCATCTGATTCTCGTGTTGTTGACGAGTTCACGCATCCCACTTGACTCTTTTGCTCGTCGTTGTTTTCCCATTTTCTGCTTCCTCTTCTTTATCCACGTTTCTCCGATCCCCGTTCCATCCTCATACTTCTTCACCGCCCTTCACCGCCTTCCATCCCTCTAATCACCCATCTCATCTAAATTCATCATGTTCGCAACTAAATTTGGTCTCCAGTCCGATGACTACAAGATCTGTGTGGTCATGGTAGGCCTGCCAGCCCGTGGCAAGAGCCTCATTGCCGGAAAGGGTAAGTTGACATGGCCGTCCGCTGCCTTCACCGCCCGAAGTATACCCTCATTACTTATCAAAATGCTAATATCTCATCATCAGCCATGCGTTATCTGGCCTGGGTTGGCATCCCTGCCAAGGTCTTCAATGTGGGCAGCTACCGCCGCAATGCTACCCCCCAGCCAGCCGCCACCTTCTTTGATCCGCACAACGCGGAGGGCGAGCGCATGCGCCGGGCCGCCGTCGAAGCAGCCATGTCTGACATGCTGCAGTGGTTCAACGATGGTAAGGGAGTAGTCGCCATTCTGGATGCTACCAATTCGACCAAGCAACGCCGCCAGTGGATCTATGAATCCTGCCGGGAGGCTGACATTGAGACCCTCTTTGTCGAGTCGATCTGTGATGATGAGGAACTCATCATGACCAACATCCTTGAGGTCAAGACCACCTCACCTGACTACAAGGGTCAGGACCCGGAGCTCGCGGCTTTGGATTTCCGAAACCGCATCCGCAACTACGAGTTGGTCTACCAGACCATTGATGATGATGAGAAGGACTACACCTATGTCAAGCTCATCAACGTGGGGTCCACCGTCATCATCAATCAGATCAAGGATTACCTGTCGAGCCGCTTAGTGTACTACATCCAAAACCTGCACATCAAGCCCCGCTCTATCTGGCTTTCCCGAGTGAGTTCAATTTGGCGCGCGTAAGAAGTGAAAAGAACGAAAATATCTCTAACATACGCCCCACAGCATGGTGAATCTGAGTTCAACCTGACCGGCAAGATTGGTGGTGACTCGAACATTTCCGAGCGCGGCGAGGCGTACGCCCGCAAGTTGCCCGAGCTCCTCCGCAAGTCTGGCGTTCCCCCCAACACCAAAATCGTCATTTGGACCTCCACCCTCCGCCGCACCATCCAGACCGCCCGCCACCTCAAGGCAGAAACCGGCTTCGAAAAGCTGGAATGGAAGGCCCTCGATGAGCTGGACTCCGGCGTCTGCGACGGTCTCACATACGAGGAAATCGCCGAGAAGTACCCGGAGGACTTTGCCGCCCGCGATGAAGACAAGTACAACTACCGCTACCGCGGCGGTGAGTCGTACCGCGACGTGGTCATCCGCCTGGAGCCCATCATCATGGAACTCGAGCGCAGCGAGAACGTCATCATCGTCACCCACCAGGCCGTCCTCCGCTGCATCTACTCCTACTTCATGAACGTGCCCCAGGAGAAGTCGCCCTGGATGGAGGTCCCCCTCCACACCCTCCTCAAGCTGACTCCCCGTGCCTACGGTACCGAGGAGCAGCGCTTCAAGGCCGATATCCCCGCCGTCTCGACCTGGCGTGGAAAGGGCTCTTCTGCGAAGCATCAGGAATTCCCCGCAGAAGGCGCGGAGTGCCCGCCCACCGCTCACTGATTTGAGTTGGTGCCCGGATAGCATTCCCCTTGAAGCTATGAACCCTGGACCGTTTCACTGGATGTCGTCACTTTTTTTCATTTTCTTTTCCACTGGGGGTTGTTTTCTTTTTTCCTTCTCTCTCTGGCGTGATGAGGGAGCGGTGGTTAGGGGTTGGGAGCTGTTAGGGCTTCCTCCATAGCATCTGGCTTCTATGGCGTTTTGACATCTGGTCTGGCTTGGGTTCGGGATTGCATGAGGTGTCTCTTCTTTCTTTTTCTTTTTCTGCTTATTGATACGTTACGACTGAGATACCAAACATTATGAAATCTCCATTCAAATGTATGCCTTGGGAGTAGAGTAAAGCGGTAGACATATGTATATAGCTGTTGATTGAATACCTACTACCAGCAGACCACATCGCATGGCCAGCGACAACAAAACTTGCCATAGCTCTACAGGCAGATTACAAAAGATGATCTTTCTGAAATTCTACCCAACTAAATGGCAAAAAGCCAATTTTCATCAACATCTTCATCCTGTTCCAGCTAACCCATTTCACTATTTCAATGTCGGGCACTTTCATACTGTACTACGCTCACCGCCTCCCGCAGCTGATCCCTCAGCTGACTCATCCAAAGACGTCACATGCGGCCCAGCGGTGGAGAGGACCATGGGGCCAAAGAGAGGAGAGGAGCTCCCCCCGAATCCCAGCCAAGCGAGCACAAGACGGTCCCTGGGACATGAATTGAGCCCACATTCACCCCCGGCGCGCGCGATGTTATCCGCATTCACCGCGCGGCCGCTGGTCGAGCTCAAGCTGCGCGACAAATCCAAAATCGAATCCGTCCTCGCATACGGCGACCGCCTCCTCGCCGGCCTCAACAACGGCAGCCTCCGCATCTACCGCGTAACAGACGATGGCAAGACCGAGTTACTACGAGAGGTGGAAAAATTCGCCCGGTACAAGATTGAGCAGCTTGCACTCGTGAAGGAGGCTAAGGTACTGGTCTCGCTGTCGGGTGGATATGTCAGTTTGCATGATTCACAGACGTACGAGTTGCAGGAGCAGTTGACTGCGACGAAAGGCGCTTCTACGTTTGCAATTACGTCTAATGTTGTGAATGATCCTGACACTAATGTTCCGGCGATCGTGTCGCGGGTTTCGGTCGCTGTGAAGAGGAAGATTTTGATGTGGGTTTGGCGCGATATGGAGCTGGAGCCGGATACTATGGAATTGAGTCTGGCTAGCGCTATCAAGACGTTGACTTGGGTTTCTGCGACAAGGATGGTTGTCGGACTGGGTTCGAGCTTTGTCATGGCTGATATTGAGTCGGGCCAAGTCACGGAGTTACCGGGGCCGGGCAGCATGGAAGAGACTGGACGGTTTGGAGGTGTCGGTGCTGCGAGTATGAGCTACATTGGTATGGGGGGTATGGTGCCGCGACCATTGGCTACGAGGCTGCTGGAAGGTCAGATCTTGCTGGCCAAAGATATCAATACCCATTTTATCGATGTGGAGGGACAAGCGCTGGGCCGGCGGCAGATCCCATGGAGCCATGCGCCAGTGGAGATTGGGTACTCATATCCATTTTTACTGGCACTCCATGATACAGCGAAGGGAGTGCTGGAGGTGCGCAACCCGGAGACTCTGTCATTGTTGCAATCTATCCCGCTACCTTCGGCAAGCATACTCCATATACCCCAGCCGAATATCAGCCTCGCGCATGCCGGCAAAGGGTTCCTTGTCGGCAGTGATCGAACTATCTGGCGCATGGAGGCCTTGAGCTACGATACGCAGATCGACTCTTTGATTGAGAAGGGTTATCTCGATGAGGCAATCAGTCTACTCGGCATGCTCGAGGATGCCCTTCTGCAAGATAAACCCGGTCGACTACGCAATGCACAGCTTGAGAAAGCGCAGAGCTTGTTTGCTTTGCGCAAATATCGCGACTCGTTGGATTTGTTTACGGAGGTTGCTGCACCACCAGAGACGGTCATTCGGCTGTATCCTCGTTTGATTGCTGGTGATCTGTCTGCTGTCCCGGAGCAGAATGGGCCAGAGGTGAAAGTCAACGGCAATGGTAATGATAACAGTCATGGAGATCAGAGTGATGGATCATCTGAGGCAGCACCTGAAACAGTGCCAGCGCCAGTCGGTCAGTCTCTCTACGCGCCTTCAGTTAGATCACTCCTTCGAAGAACCGAAGAGGGAAGCGATACTAGCAGCATCCGTGAGGAGAAAGATAAAGACAAAGGTGAGCTCAATCTAAGTACGACTTCAACAGTGCCTTACTAACGCTGTACAGATCTCAAGAACTCAGTCCGTGAACTGCAGGGCTATCTGGCAGATGTTCGCCGACGCTTCCAGCGTTTCTTAGGCCCCGATGGCTCACTCAAAGTACCCTTCCCGACAGACGCTACGGATGAAGCAAGTACCTCAGTCTTGAAACTTCTCGACTTCCCATCCGAGGAAAACTTCTTGACCACGTTACGCGACAAAGCGCGGTTGGTTGATACAACATTATTCCGTGCACACATGTATGCAACGCCCTCGCTTGCGGGATCCCTCTTCCGAATTGCCAATTTCTGTGACCCCGACGTGGTCATGGAACGTCTTGAAGAGACAGGCAGGTACAACGATCTAATCGACTTCCTGTACGGCAAGAAGCTACACCATCAAGCCTTGGAATTGCTGCATCGATTCGGGCAGGAAGAATCCGGACTCCTGGCCGGTCCAACACGTACTATTGGTTACTTGCAAAACCTGCCACCTGATCAGATCGATCTTATCCTGGAGTTTGCTGGCTGGCCAGTCCGTGAGAACCATGATCTGGGCATGGAGATCTTCCTGGCGGAAACTGAGAATGCCGAGACGTTACCTCGGTCGCGGGTGCTTGTCTTCTTGGAGCAGATTGATCCAAAACTCGCCATTCGGTATTTGGAGCATGTCATTCACGAGTGGAATGATATGAGTCCGGATCTGCATCAGAGACTGTTGATGTTGTACCTTGACCGGATTAACGCTGATAAGACGGACATGGCATGCAAGGATAAGTTTTTGGCTATGCTTAAGGAGAGTGAGCAGTATTCTCCTGCAAAGACTTTGGATCGCTTGAATCGAGAGGGTATGTATCGAAGGTTTCCCTTGATTCTCAACTGTGTCTGACGCTATTACAGATCCCGATTTCTACGAGGCAAGAGCTATCATTTTCAGTAAGATGGGACAGCACCGCCAAGTGCTGGAGATATACGTGTTCAAACTAGAGGATCATGGAAAGGCAGAAGAGTGAGTTTGATGTTCCTTGATAATTACATTCGTTGCTAACCCTCGCAGGTACTGCAACCAAGTCCATCTCTCCGAAGGTCCGCCTCAGTCCGAAGAAGAGGAAGAAACCTCCATCTACCTGACCTTGCTTTCTCTTTACCTCGCACCACCACACGGATACCAAGCCCAGAATGGTCCGGCACTGACCATCCTCGCGAAACACGGGTCTCGGCTGCCGGCAGAGGCAGCGTTGAAACTAATCCCCGCAACGCTACCAGTGCGCGACCTCGAATTCTATTTCAAGGGCAGGATGCGAGCAGCCAATTCGGTCTTCAATGAAGCCCGGATCGTGGCCAGCCTGCGCAAGGCTCGCGATATGCAGGTGCAGGCCCAGCTTGCCCTGGGCGAAGGCGTTTGCGGCGGCGGAACTCGAGCTCGCCATGTCACCGTCACCGAAGAGCGAATTTGTGGCGTGTGTCACAAGCGATTGGGAGGGAGTGTGATCAATGTGTTTCCCGAGTACGTGTCCCCCCGCCCGCTTGTAGTTGCCTTATTTGTCCTTCCCCATTCTAACTTGTCACAGCAACACCGTCGTCCATCTGGGCTGTGCGAATCGCATGTCCAGCATCCGCTCCGGGTAGTCTTCTTTTGTTTTCCTCGCAACTGCATTCGCCGGGGGAGGTTTCTTGTTTTGTCCAGGTGTTGTCGTTTTCTTCCCCGGCGACTTCCTTTTGATACCCAGTGTACTGTAGTATACCATTTCTCGCTTTGTGAATCAAGCATCCTCCTCGACCACTTCCTCGCCGTAGTTTTCCTCTTCTCTGGCCTCCTTCTCTGAGATTGCACCCTGGGCCTTCTTGTCTTCTTCCATGCGCTCGGTCAGGAAGACATTGATCCCCTCTTGTAGCTTGGGGATGAGAGATTGCAGGGTTGCCAGGTGAGACTGTTTAGCAGCGAAAGAGTCTGTGCTCGACGCGGCGGGGATCTCGTGCGTGAAGACTTTGGTGGTGTCTGGGGCAGTGTAGACAGCCTGGAGATTGAGTGGGGAGTTGGCCATTGTGATCGAAGATATAGCGATGGAAATAAAAAGGGAAAGAGGCTAGGAGTAGAATGTGATTCAACAGAGAGTGTTTCGATGGTGAAGATGCTAAGATGGTGGGGTTGAAAGTGAAAAAGACGAGAGATCAGCGGAGCCGCGAGCTAAACCCAAAGAAGGGAGCTTTCTGGGGCAGGCATCCACGCCTCCGACTGGCCCAACCGTGTCCAATTTATACGGTAACCAGACACTTCGGACAACTGGCACTGCTACGCGGCCATGGATGACTCGTCATGAATCCTACCGTCCGATCTACAAACTCCCCCGGGCGTACTACACGCCCATCCGCCCCAGTCTACCGTCATCCTCCACCCCAACCCCGGCCACGGCCACAGCCACCTTCGGACGACGAAGACGACGACGACGAGGACTCTGATGACGACGAATTGGGCCGCCCCGGATCCTCCGGCAGCGATGCTTCCTCCAACATAACCACCGTCTCCGCCGCACCCATCACCCCGATCAATACACATGCCCCCGCCGCAGGCTACTTCTCACCTCAGATGCGATCCGCCTCGACCACTACCTCGCCTCAACACGCTGCTCGCGCCATGCCACAGGACAGTGGCCGTCAACCATCTGGCCGGGGTCCGTCAATTGAGTTACCTCGACACCGGTCTAGACACCATTCACAAGGCTTCTTCGAGCCCTCGTTGCCCACCGCTTCATCAGACCAGATGCCCGCCGTTTCAGCCTCCCGCATTGCTGCCCAGGCGGCCATGCAGCAGATGAAACGACCACAGAACGTAGTCCCCACGTTTGACGATGGAGCATCTCGAGTCTCCCGGCGCAGTGGAAGTGCCTCTCCCCCTCTGATGCCACCCCCACTACGAATCAACCAACCATCCCCGTCCCTCCCGCCCCCATCGGCACCCAGTGTGGCCACGACGGCAGCGAATGTGGTATTCCCGCGGGCCGGAGCCCCGACGTTGGACACACAATTGCCCGAGAAGCAGAAGAAGAAAAAGCTCTTCTCTAAACCGAAGCACATTGGCATCAGTCGAGACAAGGATAGTCGGGATCGCGGGTTGCCATCACCCAGCAAGCTCCCGGGCTTATCGCGCATGGTCAGCGCATCAACCACCAGTCTGGCTGATCTTCCTTCAAACAATTCCTCCATGTACAACCTCTCCAATGCCTCTGTGAGTACTGTCGTACCCGCCGATCGAGCGCCCGCGCCACCTGAGAAGGACAAGGATAAGGACAAGGACAAGCATAAACACCATTTCCTGTCTCGGCAGAAGCTCAAGCTGAAAGACCGAGATGACCATTTTAATCTGCCGCTCTCTTCGGCATCGAGCAATTCGCGTCCTGCGGACCCTAATGCTCCGCAATCTTTGTATTCATTCACCAGCCCTGCTTCGCCAGCACCGGGTGCCACCTTTGGAAAATCGGTCAGTGGACTGGATCTACTCCATGGTGGACGGGCCCTTCGCGAGAAGAAGAAGGAAGAGAAAGCGCTCGCCGAGTCCGACACCATGGAATGGCTTGCCAATTCTGCCAGTGGGCCTACAACGCCTGGAGGATTTGCAGGCCCGTCCTCGCTGAATAGTTCCTCTGGAGTACTGGGCGAAGCTGTACTACGGGAGACGCTGCAGGGATTCGGGTTGAATAACATGTCGCCCGAGGATGCCTGGGACTTTCTCAAAGCCAAATTGCTTGTCATCTTTGACGGCGAGGATGTGCGCATTGCCATTGAAGATCTCAATAAGCTAGTGCTGGTCCATCTGCAACGCTGTGTGCATAAGCGGGCACCAACCGCGGTGATTACGGATCTTCAAGAGCTACTCGAAACGGGCTTTGCAACGTTAAATCATAGCTCGTTGGTCGGTATTCCAGACGAGAAGCTTGTGCCGCACCTGGTTCAAATCTGGATGCTGGTGTTTGGCACGATCTTACCTTTTATTCAGGCCGTCTTCCTGCCGTTAGATCTCGAGTTTAAGGGTGTTGGAACGTTGATGACCAGTCGTGAGGCTCGCGAGTTCTGGGGTGCTCTTCCAGCCGGCGGGTCCCTAGATGTACGGAATATTGTCCTGATCGCCTTCCGTGATCGTATCATTCTGAACCGCTACGAAACTCTGAAAGCGACATTCTCACGTCTCAGTCTGGACAGCATCAACTCTGGCTTCCCAACCTTAAGTGTCACAGCCAAAAGCACCGGAGTCGGCGGTCGCCCCGGCACCGCCGCCTCCCTCGACGCCGGACTAGGAAGCTACAACTCCCAATCCTCAACCCTGCTCAGCACCGGCATCGCAGACAGCTACTCCTCCGACTCAATGAGCGCCCTAGCCCGCCCAACCAGCAGCGACTCCCGCAGCCGCGCCGCATCGAACACCTCCTCAAACCCGGACCCACTCATCTTCTCCTCCATCTCCCCCCAGACCTCCAACCAACGCCCCACAATCATCCACCGCGGCACATCCGCCGACTCCTCGCACGTCATCACCGAAACAGTCGGCCGCATGCTCCAATGTGTCAGCGTCCTCGCCAGCGTCCAAACAGACGACCCCTCCCAAGAAAAAATCGAAGTCCTCAGCAAAGCCCTCAAACATAACTGGCTTGGCCGCGGCCGCACAGGCCGTGACCGGCGTGGCTTTGTCGGTGCTAAGATTCGTCCTGTTATGGTGGGTGGAACGCCTAGTTTGGACGGGGGGATTCTCTCACGACGGCGGGGATTAGTATTGGCGCGAGTACTAGTACGAGTGGTTCGAGGGCGAGGGGGGATTCATCTTCGTCGGATTGGAGTAGTGGGCAGGGTGTTGGGAATGGGATTAGTATGCGGAGTGGGGGGAGGCGTGAATTGAGTGTTCTTTGATGGAACTTGATGATTTATGATACGGCAAGGTTTTATGATCCCTGGGCCGGGTTTTGGATGGCGTTGGGTGGGATAGCATCGTTAATGCAATGCATTTTTCGTTTTTGGATGGATCTTCCAATTCTTTCTCAGTGTACTCTTGATGTCTCAATACCCCGAGACGATGGCTTACTTCCCGCTACAGAACCCCTACGTCTTAGGACTAGGTAGGTTGAATATGCTTTGGGATAGCAATGTACGTTCACTGACGTGGATAGGTATATATCTGGGTTGAGGCTTCTCCCCCAACACACTATACCCCTTTTAGACGATGCCAAGAAAGTTTCTCAAAGAATGCCAGTTATATATTTGCGTGACTAGCTACGACTAGGTTAGCTCGCTTTTCTTTGTTTCTAGCTGTTGGGGTTAGGGTTAGGTGAATGTATCGCGAGGTAAGATTTCAACTTCAGTACCTGCCCTAGGTGAAAGTTACCTAAGTAATTCCTACGATAATGTCAATTAGGTCGGGCTTTCTTTCTACTTAGAAAAGTGAATGTCTACCTAGGGTCTAGTATTTTGTTCAGATATTGGCTTAGGTTTAGATAAAGTTTGATATGAATGATTGATGCTGGAGCTCGGATAGCACCTATCGTCTACCTATTATTCACCCTATCTGAGCATACGACCCTATGTGATGGAAAAAAAAGGTACCTCGTGCGATTAATATTGACTGCTAGCCCCGTGTATAAGCCTTAATGAGATAGATATGGAGGCCCAGTCAAATGTAAACTAGGAAATTTCTTGGGTCTTTCCTGCGATAGGTTCGGCCTTAGGTAAAAGCTCTCGAGACTTTCCAATCACATCGCCAAGGTATGGAATGTATGGTTGATATCAGCCGAGGTATTATCCGGTACGTAGTGAACTTTCTCCAGCTTTTTCGTTGGAGGGGTGTAAACGCCGTTCTTAGACTATCAAGTGCGTTAGTATGCTTCCATCGCGACTTTAGGGAGTTGATAGTAGGGAGGGTAGGATATCTCAACTCACCTGTTCAGGCTTAGACTCGGAAGTCTCACCAGATCTGAAATCTTTGCAGGCTTCTGTGTCGGGCTATTCTCTCCCGCGTCATCGAATAGTTTGTCAATATTTCCGACAAAAATTGAACTAGAGAGGGACTCCTCGGATTCGGTGCGTGCGAGACGGCGAATACGGGGGTCCGTAGTGCAAGCGTCGGTGCTTGAGGAACGCTGATCTGGGACGTCGGCGAGCAGGCGCGGTTGGATGGGATGTGTGAGGAATAGAGATCGAGCAAGGATATCCGTTCCCTAGAATATCTAGGGGTTTTGTGACCGAGGTTGATCTGACAGTTCAGATCGGGTGAGAACTGGGGACGCTTGAGGATGTGAAAGTCGTTACTTGACTCACTAGTCCAGCATCCCTCTTTCAATACCTATCAACCCAAACAGATAACCTCGAGAGTCCGATGGTGAGAGGTATAAACCATTTTGTATTCAAATATACACAGCAATCTCGAGTATTGAAAAGACTAGATTGGCCGAGTCCAAACACTTCGACCAGTCTCCAAAGTATATCCCGCTAGGCGAGGGACGACTTTCTTTGTCTGAACCCATGCCTAGTGTCGACGAGGACTTGCACTAAATAAAAGTATTTTGTACAACTTACCCATAGAGCGATCCGGGTAATGGCGGTACACAGTAACCCTAGACTATAAGTGAGTTGACATGGACGAAGACTGCTCATTTGACGAAAGAGTAGAAAATCGAAGATCAGTCTACCTGATCTGACCTTGGAGTACCCAAGGTGACGCAGATACTCGGATAGAGGGGAAGACTTGATTCTGATAAAGAAGGAGAAAAAACCCTCGGAGGAACGGAGCCTATTTCGAGATAAAATCTCAAGTATCTTGTGATTATCACAGGAATAGGCCAATGGCTTTCTTTATAGGTTAGCGTGATATTTGAGTCAGCCGCTCAAGACTGCGAATACGATTTTTCTTTGTTAATATTTCGCCAACGATATTAGAGTTCCAATTGTTTGTTAATTTGCCTTGCCTGCCCACGATATGAGGGGCGTTTCTTTGTTGATATCTCGCCGCCCGCCGGCGATGGTAGGCGATCGCCCGGAGTAGAAAAACCGCGATGCCAATCATATAAAAGGCGATGCCAGACATAGAAAAGGGCTTCGTCGCGTTCCTGCTCTAGGATTATTTTACACACATAAGGTACGGCCTAGTCGGATGAATGATTCAATCAAATCAGCTTCAACCTTTCATAACTAGAATCAAGTTACGATAAGGGATCCCGTACGAACAGTCTATTATACGCGGGCCTATTAAGAAGCGTAGAGATAGACGGGGGAGAGGGTTATTTAGGATACTTGGAGAGAGAGGGGGGAGAAGGAAGGTCGAAGGCCTCAAGAGCTAAGAACCTAAGGCTATAGTGCTTCACCATATCCAACCAAATAGCACTTAGACAGGCATCTAGATGACTTCTATGATTGAAAAGAGGCTGAAAGGTGGCGAGCAGTTAGCTAGGATCAAGGATAGCGAAGTGTGTAGCTAGGCGCTAGCCGGTAGTCAATTTGCCTATGGTGTTCTGACGAAATATCATCGCCCTTCTGGTAGATCTTTCTCTCCCGAGTCCTCTGGTATTCATCAAATTTCCATTGAGAGCACACAGGAAGTATGCTGGGAAACTTGTAGGAAACAGGCTATGGGGTTGGAAGGGGTGATGCGTGGCCGGAGGCAGAGGGGGCGAGTATATAGTGGTCTATCACTTCCCCCTCGATGTCGGTTGTTATAAGATCGTTACTTTTTGTTCCAAGATAAAAATCCATTCAAGTAACTCTCATCTATGTTGTAATGTTGCTGAACCTCAATATGTCAATTGAGAGTCTTGCCTGTTCGTGAAGCCGTGAACGCCCCTTGCTAAGGTACTCTTGGCCTAGGCCAACTTCTGTACCCCTCGGAACCCCAACAAAGCCCTAATAAGATTGATGCGCATAATATTTGATCACTAGCAGACACATGCTCTGAGATGTAAAATAGACTTTACGAGCGATTGGACGAGAAGGACTCAAAGGGGATATATTGACAACTAAGGAATGAACAAGGGGCTGGATTCTGGAATGTGGGAAAGTCATTCTCATGGCAGATGGACCCGGCGCTCTTTGACTGGATAATTCTCTAGCTATCCCTGATTCTATTGGCCAATTCAAAAGCTTAGAGCAGGGCTCTCCAATGGAATGATGCTTGATTTAAGCGGTTTGTTCTTCCAACCTACGAGAATTGTGTACTTTTGTGTCGCTTATTCTAAACAGAATGGAATAGCAAAGCTTCTGAAAAGCCACAATATGAAGTGGCAAATGCTTGGACAAATAGAAGAGCTGTGTCTAATTCCCCTGTGGCCAGTCTCCATGGTTACAAATTCCTACACTAAGGGGCCGGCCCGACCTTGACAGTGAGCTGCATTCTATACTGATTGTTGTTGTCAACAGGACTATTATGAGGCAGTTCGGGATCTATACTCCATTATGGTGAGTATACTGAGCTAAGATATAAAAGCGTCTTTCTTTCGAGCGTCCATGTGAGCCCCCCCATCGCCAATCCAATCGACAACATTCGCCAACCCCGAAATCCGCCAACTTTCCTTCTCTAATATTGACATTGAGATTCAATTGCTGTCTCTCATTAAGCTTCGCAATTACATTTCAGAACACATTCATTTACTACATCGTCTACTATGAAGACAGTCATTTGGGTCTCGTTCTTCGGTGTCGGTGCGCTTGCGCATCCGTCAGGTCTCGTGAGTATCCATCGTGCTTGATGTTTATCTGGAAATAGACTAATGAATCACTGTAGTGGTGGGGTACCGACCAGTGCTTCCCAAGCCCGGAAAACACTGACAATCAGTGCTTGGAGCCTCAGAAGAGCGGTTTTGACTGGTCCGACCTGGCCAACGGAGACAACTGGAGCTACGAAGGGTTCAACTTCGTGGGCTTCACCCCCAACAACGCCTGTGGAGATGCAGGAGTAAGTCGATCGAGATATCTATCCAATTTTTAGATGCTAACTACTTGTAACAGGGCAAGTGCATTCAGGCAAAGCTTTCTCGCGATGATAACTATGCTATCAAAGTGGAAGCGACACAGGCGCCATTCTCCGTCAGCAACCTCCATCTCACCACTTCGCGAGACACACCGGTCATCATGAACTATCAGATGGCAGACGGCTCCACCTGTCGCCAACTGGCTTGGGGTTCAACGAGTGGAACTGATGTGACCAACGAACAATGTGGAAGTGCCGTCGCCGTCGAGTTTACTCTTCCTGAGGATAGCAAGTTTGGTGAATGTGATATGAGCATCCATCGCATGGACTTTGATTGCTCACCCGGGCCAAAGCCACCAACGGAGATTCCTCCCCATTCATCGCATACCCATGTTGAGTCGAGCACCAATCCTCCTGTGTCTTCTACAGTGTGGACCTATCCGACAACTACGCCTCCAGCGCCCACGGAGACCACTCCAGTGTCGACTGATTGGACCACTTCTACTGTCTGGACCACCGAGGAGATCACGATTACTTCTTGCGCACCTACGGTCACCAACTGCCCATCTCACTCTACCACCGTGGTTACTTCCACATACGTTGCCTCGACGACCGTGTGCCCTCCTCGGCCAACCGATCAGACTACCGAAGTCTATCCAAGCCCGCCTGCTGAAACTGAGACCAGGTCTGCCAGCCCTCCCGTTCCCGAGACGTCAATTGTCCCTGCTCCTTGCCCCGAGTTGGTTCCCAAGTGCTTGAACACCTGGCTCTCAGTCCCGAAGTGCGATTCCAACAGTGATGCCGCCTGCTTCTGCCCCTCTTCCGAGTTCACCGAGAAGGTGACGACCTGCATTCACTCTTGGGGCAGATCCGAGAAGGAAGTCGATTCGTCCCTTTCCTATCTTGCTGGTATCTGCGCGCCTTATGTCCCCAAGAACCCAGAGATCATCGATATCGTACCGCCTAGCCGCACTACCCCGGCCGAGGTTCCCGAGGCTCCGCATAACACTTTCACGGCCCCAGGCCCTGGCATCACAGCGCCATCTGAGGATGTTCCTCCTGAGGTTACCCAAGCTCCCACAGCGCGAAAGACCCCTTGCACCACCATGACTTGGTCTTCGCGTACAGTGACCGCCCCTCTAGTCGAGTTCAGCACTATTTCCGTTGGCACCAGCTCTACAGTTGCCTTGGTGCCTGGTACCCAGACCGACTCCCACCCGAAGACAACCCATCGCACCTGTTCTACTACGACGACTTCTACTTCATCGTTCACTACTTCCACTAGCTCCAAGACCACCACCTGCATTACCCATGCTCACAAACCCACGGCGACCATTCCTCTTTCTAACGGCGGATCAAGGGTATCGTTCCCCAGCATGTGGGCCTTTGGTGTGGTCTTTGCTGTTATGTGGCTTAAGTAGATAATTTTTCCTTTGCCTTCTTCTGTATACTTGGCTTGGTTCGGATAATAGTCAAATATAAGACAAGCTTCTTACATCGGAGATGTTTCACATTGGACTAGAATAGATGGGGTTTATGAGGACGTGTCTGAGACTTAGTAACACTACACCAATAAACCCCAAATTTACTAACTTGAAGATTGATTGATTGATATTGTATTCATTCAAATTGACCAACCAACAATTGCGGACTGTTATGCAATATCTCATCCGGCAGTTGTGGCTTTTCCCCAGACTTCCTCGGCAAGTGGAGATCGGGAGGGGCGAGTCACTCACAACTCCTGTTTCCTTGCACTCTTGCTCTCCCAGTCTCAGCATCTATGGAGAACCAGATCGACAGTCCAAGGAAAAGAATCCGTCTTTCCTTTGCGTGCAATTATTGCCGCTCTAAAAAGACCCGTTGCGACGAGGAACAGCCCTGTCGAAATTGTCGTCAGGCTGGGGTGGAATGTATCACCACCGACAAGAGACGCGCCGGCGCGCTTGTCTCCAACCGGCGACGCACTGTGCCTGCAGAATCGCCATCTCAACAAGGAATTCCCAGAACCCCTGATTCTCATCTTTCAGCAGCTACTCCTTCGGCTAGTCAGGACCGCCCACGACTATGGAGCCAGTGTTGGGGGCGCGAAGGCTGGCAAACAGGACGTCTTCCATTGATGCCGCGATTTGTGGGAGCGAGTACAGTGGAACTCATGACTGAATGGCTGGATATGGCCTTCTATCGTCTCAAGGGAGCAAAGACCCATGCTCTATCTCCGCTGGTCAATCGGAATTTTGCAGCCGGTATTCCCGAAAAGGCCCCTGAGCTGCCTTCGCCAGCGGAATTAGAGGCTTATATGAGTAACTTTTCGGATACGCTGGGTCAGCTTTTCCCATTCCTTGACCGGGGTAGGGTGGATTCGTTCTTCACGACAGAAGCCCTTACGTCTACGGTGCATCCGACTCAAGCCTCAGGTGTGCACCAGCGGGCGCTGGTATATTTGATGGTCACGGCCGGAATGATGGCTATGCCCGCATCGGAAGGCTCTCAAAGTCTAATTTCATCATACATTGCGTATTGCAATTCATTACTGGGCCACATCGTTGCTACACGCTCCCTCAAGTCAGTGCAAGCCATTCTTCTTTTCGCAATGGTCCTTCGCAGCTGCGACAAGATTGCTTGGGCTTGGGATATTCTCACCATGGGAGTATCAATGGCCCAGTCTCTTGGTATCAACCAAGTCCGATCCCCAAGTTCAACCCCCACTGGCTCAGACAATCAGGAATACCGAACATGGTGGTCTATGTATGTCTTTGAGAAAATCCTGGCGTTTGAGCTTGGTCGCCCTTCAATGGTATGGGATCGCGATTTGTCGGGTACGCTCGCGACGTCTGTTCTCGTTGAGACCCAACATGACTCGGACCAACTGTTCTGGCAGGCATCTATCAGCCTAGCAAATATGCTACATGAGTTGCAGGAACGATCTGCAAAGGCATGGAGGCGTGAGGCTTGGTTGCCTCAAACGGTGGAACAGGCGATTGAAGAGAAGTTGCAAACTGGGGGAGAGCTTCTTGTTCTACTTTGTGAATGGCAACAGAACTTGCCAGATGATCTGAAGTACGTTCGTTATCTTTCATCTGTGAACCTTGTTGGGAAATCACTGACAAGTCACTGTTCTACTTAGACTCCGGTCTACGGCCATGGCCAGCTCTTACAATGGAGCTCGATCAGCGTTCCTCGCGTACTACTACAATCTCGGGTCAGATTCCGCAATTTGCATGACCGGAGACATTCTTACTAACTCTAATTCAGTGTGATCTTAGTCCATCGTTCAACCCTTCTAGTTGACCCGAACGAACTACGTGAAGTGATCGAGAGGTTTGCATCCGACAAGCCATGGCGTCAACGCCTTTTCAGCGGGCCTTCCCTAGTCACAGAATCAGCTCGAGAGATGATCAAACTTTTCGTTCCACTCATTGATTCCGGGATCCCCAATTATTTAACATTGATGACCTCTCCACTCCCTGCAGTATACGCTCTTGCAGTTTCGATCGTGCGAGAACAAAAGTCACTACTTGTTCGATCTGATTTTGAGGTTTGCCCAAGTTTTCTATATTAAATGGAATTTGCTAATATTTCCGCATAGCTGATGAAAGCTGGTTTACAAATTAGTCGACGATACTACCAAAAGCATGGCACAGCGCTCAATTTTGATGAAATCTTGCGGGACCTGGAAGAATACATCTCCCACCTGCTCGATGACCCAATGCCAAATCAACTCGAATTGACGAGCTTGAGCACTACGAATCCAATTCTCAATGACTCCTTAGTAGATGACTCAATACCTTTTACGTCTCTTGCAACGCAATGGGGGCCATCCGCTCTTGACTGGGGAGGTTGGGATTGGAATGATTTGAGTCATTTGTTTCAACATAGTGAATGAATAATTTATTCAAACAATAATAAATACATGAACTCATAAATAGACGTTAGTGTCAAAAATTTACATCGTAGAAAATTCTCAAGCCATCTGCTCAAGATAAGGAATACCAGTCAACTTGAAACCCCGATCAGAAAGCTGCACCGGCTCCCGAGGAGAGGAGCGCTGATACGGGTCTGCTTCTCCGTTTCTGTAAACGGGCAGGTCAACAACGTGCATCGCGTTGGGCCAGTGAGTGGTCATCTTGGTCTCCTCAAAGGCGTTCTTCTTGATAAGAAGCTGCTCCTTGGTCGCATCGGCGACGGGCATGAAGCAAGTATACACACAGAAGCGTGGCTGAGATGTCTCAGATGAGACATTGTAGTGAGGAGTGCGTGAGTCCCCTGCAAATCTTGTTGGTTCCCTGGATAAGGAGGATATTACTGGAATGCAGGACTTACAAAGAAGAAGGTCGCCAGGCTCGGCTTCAATCTTAATCCATTCGCATCCTTTATTCTCCAACCACTTCAGGCCCTTCTCTGTGAAGCCATACCACTCTTTGGTCCTGTATGGATAAATTAGTATCGACAATTCTCTAATGAATCCCTGAGATTTTTCTTACCAAGACCAAATCTTATCCTCCTCATTCTTAAATTCCTCATGATACTCCTCACTCAACAAATGCGCTCCCTTGCATACAATCAAGCCACCATCCTTCGGCCCATTAGGAAGCAAGTTGACCAGACCCTGCAAGCACCGGAATCCAGGCTTCTCAGGGTCCTGATCCTGATGCGGCCAAGGCTTGTTTGGCTGAATGTCCTTCCGGTTAGGGAACCCGATTCCAATAGAATCGAAGGACACAATAAGATCCTGAGTACCGTAGACTTTCTCGAAAGCCTCGATGACTTTGGGCTCTTGGCGCACACCCCATGTGAAAGATTCGTGGGAGACGGCGTATCCCAAGCACATACCCTTCTCGTTGATGTCGGGAAGGTGATCCTTGTGGATAGTTGTTGGGTCATCTCTCTTGAAGCCCAGGCCGCTATATTGTGTTGGTTAGATAGAGTGAAGAATTGAAAGGGAGATGGACTTACAAGCCCTCCAGCCACTCATAGATGCCGTCAGCATAGCTCAGCGCCCGTTCACGGGGAACAGCACCCTTGACGACTGCGAAGCCATTTTGCAGCAGATCATCGCGGAAGTCGCCATACTTCACGTTTGTGCCGTGAGCGAACAGTCTTCCGGAAGGAGCAGTGGTCACAGTTTCCGTTGTTGAGCCCATTTTTTTCAACCTTGCAAATGTAACTTGTATAGTGGAATAAACTATCTGAGAAAGATTCAATCCTTTATAATCATTGATCAGTTGGTGTACGATGAAAGCTGATCCCCCGGATCTTGAAAGTTGGGGTATACGGTCCGGCTGGCCGGTTCGGCTCGGCTGGGGTCGCTTGGGGGCGAAGCGCTACACACAAAAATGCTTCGACCTCGGCCATGACGATGAGACGAATCGTAACGCCTGAAAAGTAATTGGGGCTTGTTGCTTCAATTTTAGTCGTCAGCCATTTACACCTGGACACTTTCAATCATGTTGCTTATTCCGGTGCGCCCACATACCGGATGTCCGTGCAATATCAGTATGACGGGTTCTGTCGACTGGTGAATTAAGGCTTGAACACGCTAACAGACTATTTTAAGTAGAATGGAGGATTATTTACTGTAAATTGGCACGTCACAGAAACCTATGGCCCAGAGACGCAGAGAAGCCAACCCTACTTGATTATCTAATTGATTATCTAAATGTTATTACGAGGCATCGGCCATGCAGAGCTACAGAGATAGTTTAAATTTCTTTAGTCTAGGCTACACCGTGCTCACTGATGGATAGAAAAATAAAATAAAATTAATTCATAAAAACAAAAAACTATGGCATGCATCTAGTCCACCGTTAGTTCGCCTTCTCATCAACACCACACCACTTCTGGGCAAACCGTCTGATACGAGGTCCAAAGAAGAAAATTGGGATAGCAAGAAGCGCGAGTACCGCACAAATAATTACCTCAACAATCATGGTCCAATCATAACCGATGGTTTTAATAGCAGGCAACGTAGCATAGCTCAGACCGAAGGAAATAAAACCACGTCCAGCACAAACCACAACCAAGAATGGCGCAGCGCGCTGGGGGAAACTATCCACGGCGTAAGTAATACCAACGATGTTTGCGCCCAAGAACGCAAAGTAGCTAGCATTATAGCCAATAACGATCGCAGCCGCGCTCCATTTCCCCGGGTTGGCAGCAGCCTGTCCGTAGATGACTCCACAGACGATGCCGACAATAGCGGGGATACCGATGACAGGGAGACGGTACTCAGGCTTGTAGAGGCCACCATTGCGACGACTGAAGTATTTGATCACAAGATCGCTTCCATATCCCAAGAGAGGCAGGAAGACCAGACAGCAAACAATTTGCCCAGCCTGGACGTAGCCTAGAGCCTCAAAAGCGAAAGAATACGGAGGGCTCATCAGAGTGCCCGCGAAAGTGGAAGCCTGGAATACGTAAACCCCGAGGTGGGCACCATTGAGCACGAGAAGCCAGAAGATGGTTGGAATGAGAAGACCCTGCAGGAGTTGCTTGTAGAAGGTTGGGATATCACGCAGACGGGGCTTCACAACCATGAACTTGAGATCATAAGCCCAGGTGCGCGGAGCGTACTGTTCAATTCCACCATCGGCGCCATGCGCGTCAGAGATCTTGGAATCAGGCAGCGCCTCCCACGCAGGGCCGCATCCGATCGTTCAAAGTAAGATTCAGAAACGAAAATCACCGAGAACAAAAAGATGAACGCGTTCAGGATAGTGAAGAACCCATACCACCATCTCCACCCCCAATGGCCGACCATGTAAGTGGAAACGACGAAGAACACACCGGAAGTAATGTTCTGGATGAAGATAAACCAGGCAACCTTCCGACCACGCTCATGCAAGAAGTGAATCTCCTGGATGATCATTGGGCTCAAGGCTTCACTCTGACCAGCAGCAAGAGACATGATATTCCGACCAGCGATATGACTTCCCAGACTCTGCGAGCATTGGCACCAGATACCAGCCCCGATGAGCAGGAGCATCGATGCAAGGAAAACAGGTCGTCGGCCGCAGGTAAAAGCCCAGGGCATGGCAATGAGGTTACCAATACCCATGAACAGTGTCGGGTAAGTCATGAGATCGTTGGCTCGGGCTTCTTGTCCGGGATAAGATGCCAGGACAGAGGTAAAGATAGATCCCATTCCAGAGGCAAGGACGACAGCTGTACAGCTGTATGCAGAAACGAGAACTAGCAACACCCATTTTCGCCATGTCGGTAGGTTCAATGGATCTTAGAGTCATGAGCGCTGGACGTATGAGGGTATGCCTCATGGGTAGACTAGAACGTACCTCTAGGATCGACCGATGGTGTCGGGATAAGCACCACATCACCCCCACGCAAGAGCTCGACTTGTCCATCTCCCCGAATGCCAGACAAGGAAACGTCATTGGCAATCTCGACATGGGATATGTCGGATTTGTCCATGTTTGGAGAGTTGTTTTAGTCGTGTTGGAAGATATTGGAGTCAGGCAGCGTCACCGTCGCACACGCCAGAACCATCATGCAAGGCAGCTCTCGGCACTTTTATAGCTCGATAATTGAGCCATAGCTACCATTGCCCTCGCTTCAATTCACCCCCGTATCCTCCAGCTGGGGTACGTGATTGTTCCCCACCTCAAATCTGGGGGGGGCCGGGAGTTTTCCTCAAAGTGCCCGCAAGCCGAAGCGAAGCGAACCGAGCCGGAATGTGGGCGAATCAGATGGACCCTTTATTATGCGCGGTATCCTCGACGCAATTGCTCTGGAGTCAAGAAAACAATTCAATCTTCAAACAGTCCTTTACATTCCATCATGACTATCAAGTTCAATGTCGAGGTGCCGTGTGAGGACCTGAAGGCGCCTGAGATAGGCCATGGAGGATATGAAGGACTCCGCCCACGCAACGAAACACTCCTAAAGGGCAGCGTGACTGCTCCTGGACGAAGAGTTCTTTCTTGTGACATCCTCGTGGAACACGATGTTGCCATCACCATGAGAGACGGCTGCAAGCTTTATGCCGACATTTATCGACCTCCAAATGCCCCGGAGAGATCCGTTCCCGCAATTCTCTGCTGGAGTCCATTCGGCAAGAAATTCAACGGCATTGACTCATTGAAGCTCATGACACCTTGGAACCTCGGTATCCCCGAGGGTACATTGAGTGGACTGGAGAAGTTTGAAGCTCCTGATCCTGCCGAATGGGTCGATCGCGGCTATGCCATCATCAACGTTGACTCCCGTGGAGCCTTTGATTCCGAAGGAGTGATGGCCATCATGGGAACGCAGGAAGCCGAAGATGGATACGACACTATCGAATGGCTCGCAAAGCTTCCCTGGTGCAACGGCAGTGTCGGTATGGCTGGTAACTCCCACTTGGCGATCATCATGTGGTTTGTCGCAGCCTTGCAGCCCCCATCGCTAAAGGCCATTGCTCCCTGGGAGGGCTGTGGTGATTTGTACCGGGAGCAATTCGCCCGTGGTGGTATTTATGGCGGAGATTTGTTCGACCACCTTATTATTAAGTATATGTTGCGCGGTCACAACGGTATGGAGAGTTTCAAGAAGATGTTCCAGCAGCATCCTCTGGCGAACGACTGGTGGAATGATAAGCGACCCGACATGAAGAAGATCAACATTCCCACGTATATCACTGGCACGTACACCAACACCATGCACGGTATGGGAGCTATTCGGGGCTGGCTCGAGGTCAACTCGCCGGACAAGTGGCTGCGCTGGCACCCGTACCAGGAGTGGTATGATCTCTGGGGCAACCAGGAGGGACGAGTGGAGCTGTTGAACTTCTTCGATCGGTACTTGAAGGGTATCGAGAACGACTGGGAGTCAACACCACGAGTGCGCATGTCTGTCTTGAGATATGGCGAGAAGGAGCCAATTACAAACGTGGTTGAAGAAGACTTCCCACTCCCTCGCACAAACTACCGTAAGGCATACCTTACTGCCGACGGAGCTTTGAGCCTGGATCAGCCTGCACCAACTTCTGGATCAGTTTCATACAACTCGGAAGACTCAAAAGACCTGGCAACGTTCACATACAAATTCACCGAGCGAACACAAATCGTCGGTATGCCCAAGGCCGTGCTCTGGATGAGCAACGACGATTTCGACGATATGGACGTGTTCATCGTTCTGAACAAGATTTCAGCCTCTGGAGAGCGCTTGCTCAACCTCAACATCCCTTGGACCAACCTCCCCGTCAAGAAGATTGCCGATATCCCCGCGGATAAGCGCACCGAGGTCATCCTGTACCAAGGTCCCACGGGTATCATGCGTGCATCCAACCGGGCTATTGACACCTCACGCTCGATGCATGAAAACTGGCCCTACTACACGCACGAAAAGGAAGAAAAGGTCGAGCCGGGCACTGTGGTGCGTCTCGAGATTGGTATCTGGTGCATGGGTATCGAGTTCGAGGAGGGCGAGAGTCTGCAGCTTGGTATTAGTGGACATTACCAAGGAATCTCAAACTTTGGAACCAGCGAGCATATCCGCAACAAGGGTCGTCACTGGGTCCATGCTGGAGGAGAGTATGATAGTCACCTGGTCTTGCCCTTTGTGTAAGGAATCTTTGTGGAAGATGAAAGGCAGTACACTTATGACATGTAGGATGAAATTAGATAGAGCCAAATAACATGAGTTTGGAATTCCTTGGATGTGAAGAACGTAGAATGTAGCTTGACAGGACAACATTCACTGCATAGTAGTGGGTAATAGTAAACAAAGTATGCACTAGTCCCAAAAATACCCAGGGGAGGAGATTTTGATTCTTAAAAAAGCCCAAATATCAACCTGACGGCCCCGTGGTCTACTACAAAGTGGAGCCAGAGGACGCGGCTGTACAACTCGGTCCAGGCCTAGATTCGGGATATTCAAACGGGGGCCAGCGCTAGCTTCTGGGGTAGTCAGGGGATAGAATTTAGAAGACATCTTTAATTTTCTACTTCCGGAAATTTTTCACACACCATCTTGACTGCATGTCTGGCTTAACAGCAGTAATACATCCAAGCAGAGACCAGTAAATGACCCTCCAGGTCACAAAGTCATGTTTTGATTATTCTGATTACGTAGAAATGACCCCCAAAGAAGCTGCGGAGACAGCTTATAATACAGTTTTGGGGTGTCAAATACAACGGAGCCTGGGCTGGTAACCTGGCGGTTTGGGTAAGTAGGGGTTCGTCACGCAGACTAAGCATCACAGACGGTTGTCCATCCTCGCTGAACTGCCAGGGTATCAACCCAGGCTCCAACCACTTTTTTTCCCTTAACTTCTCAAATTTTTCGCACACCCTCTTGGCTGCATCTCTAACTTAGCTGCAGCAATACATCCGGGCAGAGACCAGCAAGTAACCCTGTAGGACATAAAATGATCTTTCAGCCATCCTGAGTACCCGGAAGTTACCCGCAAACATAATCCGGAGACAAGCTATAATCCAGTTTTGGGGTGTCAAACATCACTGGGGTCTGGTTGAATGGTCTAACGGCACGGCGACTGGTTTAGCACGCAGACTGTCGCCGGCTACAGAGTATCAAATCCTGGCTCCAGCATCTTTTATTTCTTCCTTTTCTTTTTTGGTTCCCTCCTCATTTTCCGCCCCCTCCTTGCCCTTTTTAGATGACCTTGAATCTTAATGATATTTAAGCTCTATAGACCTTGTTCCAGAATAGGACTAGTACATGGGGCGTCCCGCGGTTGGGCGGGCCCGGCCCATGGAATCGGGTCCCGCTGAGTCAGAGCCAAGTCTATGCCCATGCCCGCAATTATTATGTACCAACAGGCAAGGGAACATATTTTGTTTTCTTTTTATCATTCTTGAAAGTCCTTCTAAGTTCTATTCCGGATTTTATTTATGAAACGCCTAGTGTGATGATGGTGAGATTACAAGAGGAGTTTTACGGGTTACTTGGGCGTCTCCAGAACGAAAGCACGAAGGGAGGTGATGTAAGGCAGATTCATAACAATGGAACAACAGCTGCATGAATAGAAAAGTCTAATTGAAGGCTCCAATGCCTAGGACATGACAGCTTTCCACGTTATCCCGCCAGACAAGGTAGGCAAAAGCACAACCGAAAACAAAAAACCCGAATCCAATGTCATAGCATCATTCAAAGTCATATCATCGTGACCTAAACCTGGCATCCAGTGCCATCGCACCTGAATGCCAATCGGTTTACCGGAAACCACCGCTCGGGAAGAATCTTGGCCCCGCATATCCGTGGGTAATGATACTCTGGATATCAATGTTGCCATCACTCCGAGGGCTCCACAGTTTGATGAGAATGAACCGTCCAGAACTGAAACAGGTGTTAGTAAGAAGATATATTCAATAGAGGGATGCACGTGCCAACATACGGAGGTGGATCAAACTTGATGCTGACCATGCTCTTCTCTCGCTCAATGAAGAATCGTGCATGGGGTTTCAACACTTCGACGTTGGAAGATGCCCCACTAGAGCCCGCAGGGGCGGATGAAGGAGGTGGAATGGGGTTGACTAGACTAGCCGGACGACGTCTCTGCATAGATTGGAGGCGCTGCAGCTCGATGCGGCGTCGGTGAACGTTACCCATATTCGAGTCGTCAAGATCATCGTCCTCACTGATACTGTCCTCACTTTCCGAGCAAATATCCTCGTCTTCTTGAATTCGTTCCAGCTCAGCGACCGAGGGGCCATCATCGTCTTCCCGTTGCATGAACGAGTTCTCCTCTGGATACTCATCGTAGTCCGTAGTGATGCGGAACTCAGCTTGTGGGTCGTTCGCATTTCGGTCTGCATTCTCGTTGTCTGATGTAGCGTGTGAAGAGGGTCCCATCGGCGTGCGATCAAGAGACTGCAATGGCGATCGGAAAGCAGTCAAGTATTCCTGGGATGGCTGTAGACCATAACGGCGATTGCGACGGCGGCGACGGTGACTAGGGTACTGGAGTTGATACTGAGCGGTGCGGGCAAGCAGTTCATCGGATGTCATCGACACGAATACCATTCCTTCTTGGATTCTGTGGCATAAAAGTCAGTGAATTTGTAGATAAGCAGTTGACACACGCTGCAACATACGGTGAATCAAATCCAGTCCGAGGGGCTTTGATAACAATCTTCTTCAAGCAGAAAGGCGCCTCGTCACGATGCCGAAGGACAATATTGCAGCGATCAGATTTGGTGCAGTATACTGATTGATCATTCCGAAGGACATTATCCGGAAACGAACTATCTCCATCGGGGTCGAAAGTGCCTCCATCACAGCTGGCAATCTCCATCTTCAAAGGTCCGGAAACCACCTGGCCACTGTGTCCGTAGTTGAAACCCCGGAAGCCTTCTCGGTTGTCATCTGCATCAAGCTTCCGCCGCTTCAACCGTCCACGGCCATCGCGGCCCGACGAAGCTGAGGCCGACTGTGGCATGAGGGGCGGGATAGAGATCGTTTCGTCAAGGTTACTGGCGCCTCGTAGGTCGGGACGGAACGAGCGACGGCGAAGACTTCTGCTGCTTGTTGTTGGGCGAGGAGGGTCTTGATACGGGTTGGACCGGGCAGGACTTTGGGCATTGATTCCAAACTCGGCCCGCACTTGATCCCACAGCGTTCTGTGGCTCGATCTCAAAGCGGCAAAGTCGATCTGCGGGGGGCGCAGGATGTTGAAAGAAACTGCCTCTTCACGAGATTCACTGGCGCTGTTGCGAGCAGCCTGGTCGAGACGATGGTCTTCGATTTCCCGGTTCAAAGTCTCCAGAGCACGGGTGGTTTCATCGGCGTTTGAGCGGTTGCTTCCAGAATAAAGGAGACTTCGCAAGTAATGCAAACGGTCTCCAGTCGATGGTCTAGCAGGTACAGTGGGTCTTTGGTTCTCTTGAAGCAGGCCACCGCTCTGATTCATATGTTCTTCGGATATCCTGAGCAGCTCGGACAGCGACTCTGTAGTTTCACCGTTTCCCACGTTCTCTATTAAACGGAGCCAAGGTGATGAAGTCGTGTCAGAAGTGAGCCGGGTATGCTGAGCATTCAAGGTATCGATTAGATCCTGGGTATGTGGATAGCGTTCACGGAAAGATTGTTCACTGAGACGGGGGTCATGGACACGAGGAAGTCGGGGGACTGAGGCAGGAGGATAGTCGTAGTTTCCAGAGTTTCGCAAGTTTCTTGAGCTGTCTGGGTTTCCTGGGTTTCCTGGTGGATTCCCAGAATTTCCTGACTATTCAACCATCAAAAAATCCAATCAGCCGTGTTCGTGGGCCAGCAGAGAGTCAGGCAGGGAAAAGGGCATTTGGAAACATACCATCCTGGTGGGTTAGTCCGGGCGGATACCACTTGAGTACCGATTACCTTGGCGATCGGAGGTTTCAAAGGGAAGAGAGACAGGTCTCACGAATCCAAAGGTGAGCAACAAGATAAATGCCCTGTAAAGGGCCAGCCGGTATCAAGGGCAGAATAGGCGTATCTCCACGAAGATGTGTGATGTGTTCGAGGGGAAAGCAGATGGCGACTATGGTTATCGCAATGCACGTGATCACGGATTAGATCATACGTTTGTGGGGAGAGCTTGGAGAGCTTCTTCCTTTCTTTCCCCGTCAACACCCTCAAAATGGCGGAAGCAGAGAACGGCCAGGCCATCAGCGCAGGTAAGATTAACTTGGGTGGACTTACTGTCAGGTACAAGAATATGCGGAGGTTTGAGATACTAATCAAGTGTGGCTCTAGATGAGATTGCGCTCTATGACCGACAGATCCGATTATGGGGAGTGCAAGCGCAGGAGAAGTGAGTGTTGAAGGTCAAGGTGGAATGCGTATAAAAGGTATGGAACTAAGTATCATACAGAATCCGATCTGCGAACATCCTCCTTATCACTGCCAAGGCACTCGCCAACGAAGTTGCCAAGAACCTGGTTCTAGCGGGCATCGGCTCGCTCACCATCATTGATCATGAACCCGTGACAGAGGCCGATTTGGATGCGCAGTTCTTCTTAGAAGAAGCGTACAAAAATGAGGATATTATCAAGCAGGGCAAGAACGTAATCACCAACTACTCCAAGAGAAGCCCATGAACGCATACTAATAAAGTCTAACTCTAGCGCGCCGAAGTCGCTGGCCCTCAAATCCACCGAATGAACCCTCGTGTCAAACTCCACATAGATACATCCAACGTGCGCAGCAAGCTTCCCGAGTTCTTTGCCCAATTTGACGTCACAATCGCAACCGAACTGGACTTTGCTACGAATACGACCATTAACGCGGCATGCCGTATCGCAAACCGACCCTTTTACGCAGCCGGCCTGCACGGGTTCTATGGCTATGTCTTTGCCGATCTAATCTCACACGACTTTGTGATCGAGCGGGAGAAGTCGAATGGTCCTACACAGCAGCAGGAGACTCTCACGAGGAGTGTTGTAAGTGTGACTACCAAGAAAGAAAGCGAGAAGGGAGAGAAGGGGAACAAGGGCAAGGTCATCGAGCTGGTTACCAAGCGCGAGATCTATTCTCCCCTGCAGTTGGCCAATACATCACCGCTTCCGGAAGAATACACCAGGCTCCCACGGCGGCGCAAACAAGTTACACCTCTACTGAGCTGTCTCCGTGCTTTGTGGGAATTCGAGAAGATCTCCAGTGGCAGACGGCCCAGCTTCGCGCACTCGGACTTGGAGGTGTTCACAAAGCTTGCTCGGGATAGCCATCAAGAACTGAAGCTGGATCTAGACACACTTGACTCTACGTTCCTGCGACAGTTCCTGCAGAACCTCGGCTGTGAGCTTAGTCCAGTAGCAGCATTCCTCGGTGGCGCCTTGGCCCAAGACGTGATCAACGTGCTATCTGCCAGGGAACATCCGCTTCAAAACATGCTGTTGTTCGATGGAGAGCAGTCGATCGGACCCATCTACCCACTGCATCCATTCTTCCCGCCAGAGATGGATGTCGGCTCGCTAGCTGCGGTGCCACCAGTGGCTAACCCGATTGTATTGGACCCCACTATGACGACCAATCTTGCGACTCATCCCGCTCCGAATCCTGCTGTCAATCCTTGATTGAATCATGAATCAGGTTTCTCTTTGGATACTCGGGATAAAGAAGCTTTTGCTGTTGCTGGCGTACTTTTGTTTGGCATGATACACAAGTGGAATGGACGGGTTTCACGATTTTCTTTGGGTGTTTGATGTTTTGGATAGATCATTGCATGTCTTTCCCAGTGTACGATATCTTCAAGCCATACACTAAGTAGTTTTTCTTACTACCATGATGGTTCCTGCAATCGTATCTTCTTCCACACACTGACAGACTCGTATTGAAACAACAGTGCTTGATATGGGTGCAGACTAACTGAAAGTAGATACCCGACATCAGCTTAATAGGCATTTCCAGGGCACAAAAACATTGTCAACCGCATCTGTAACAAGGCATTGGCCTGTCATTTGCACGGTCAAATCGGCTTTCTCTTGAGCCAAGCCAGACCCGGACTTCCCAATCCCATAGCAGCACCACCAAGCTGAGCCACACCATTCACGATGGCGATGCCGGCACCTCCTGCACCCGCACTTTGTCCAACAGCCATAGCGCTCCCAGCTGCAATATTGCCGATCGAGCTATGAGCCGCTGCAGCCGCCGAACCTGTATTGCGTTAATAAATGATCGTTTGACATCGGAGTGAGGAACACAGAACGATGATGAATTCTTCTTGCGACTCGCACATACCTGCCTTGATACCGCCAGCAGTGAACCTCATTCCTGGTAACACGGGGACTATAGTAAGACCCGGTGCAGCGATGATAACGACACCAGTACTGCAGACAACCGCGCAAGTAGCCAGGAGAGGGTTATGAGCGCCCCAGCTGGCTGCCTGTTGGATATTAGCTATAGTGGCTATCACCTTTCAGAGGGATAAAAGATAGACTCACCTGGTGTCAGATTGGCAGACACCGCAAGAGCAGTCTTGCCATAAGTCATCAGCATCTTTCTGCTCTCTGGATATGATATCTGCGTAGTAGGAATCTTGAAAACCCGCCAATAGAGCTAGCTGATTTCCCGAGGATAGCGTAGAGAAGAAAAGAGGAATGGGTAATATGGGAGAAATTTATCTCCAGCCTTTTCAAAGAAAAGGGAATATCCCATTCCAGGCGCGGGACATCCAAGAGGAAAGCAAACGAACAGGCTGTTCAAAATCAAATCAAACAGTCGGCTCAAAATAAGCACAAACGGCATTTATAGTAAAGTGGATGCTGCTTCTTGTCTAGAACCAAATCATGCCCCTCTTGTACCTTATACTTTAGTTGGTTTATAAATCAATCAGTCACCGCGTATTGTTCTACACCATACATGAGCCAACAAGAAAATGGTTCCTAGTGACTATGCCTTCACAAAAGAATAGACAAGTAATCATATGTTCAATTGGATTAGCAACTCATATACTAGTCAGTGCAAAAACAGCACCACAAATCCCACCTAACCGAAACGCCTAGAGAAAAACAATGCATATGATATGGTCCAGTCCGGTCCGATCCGTCCATTAAATAGATCATCATCGGGGTTATAGCCCCGGCTTAAGAAGGCAACTCAGAATAATCAGACAAATTCAAGACCGACCAGCCTCTTTAGCACCCATCTCCTCATCAACGGTCTTTTTAGGGCGCATCGAGGAGCCAGCTTCGTCCTCGTCATCACTCATCAGGCCCTCCAACTCGAAAGCTTCGGCGTCAGAGATACGCTGGGCATCGGCGGTGCTTCGCGTGCGGCCATTCATGTAGCCGTTTCCGTTGGCGTTGGCGTATTTGTGAGATTCTTCTTCTTCCTCGGGGGCACCTTCTGGCCAGGCGTGGACGGCGTAGATGTGGAGGAGGATGTTGACGACTGGAGCGGGTTAGTAAACGATGGGAAGAAGAGGATAAAAGGGGGGGGGGGGGGGGGGGGACGTACAGAGGAAGAGAATAAAGGCGATGCTGTACAAGATCAGGATATACGAGACGTGCATGATACCCGCCTGGCTGAGCAACTGCATCTGCTCCTCGGTAGCACCCATGAACAGAAAGCCAGAAGCGTACAGCAAGAACGGCGTGAGATACTGGAAGCTGTTCGGGTTGGCGCCGCTCATGCTGACGTTAGGTTTGTCACGCAGGACAAACGAGATCTCGATGATACGGGTCAGACCCGCCGCCATCAGGGTATAACCAAAGATACTGTGGACCATAGTGCTGATCATTAGCGTCTGTGTATGCGCCGACATAGCATATCCAGTCAACCCGATGACAATAGCAGGAATCAAGTTCCGCTTGGGCCGGCCATTACGACTCCGGCTCAACCACATGCCCAGAAGACCAGCGCACCACCAGACAATACCCATCGTAGTATGCTGAAGATCATTATGGACCCAGGGCCCGCCCCAACGGTGTTCAGTAAAGGTATTAACGCAGCCCCACGCGGCGATAATCAACGAGTCGAAGAATTCTTGGCTCCGGCCCGTGCGGCGCAGCCAGTACTGGCCCACCAACAACAAAATAGTCAAGACAATACCATAGCCGATGAAAGCACTGCCCATGATGAAATGTGCCAGACACTGCCCCATGTGGTCACCCTGGCAGAAGCCCAGAGCCGCAATACCGCCGAACAGCATCTGCGTCCAGCTCAGGACCGGTATGATCTTGCCGACGATACCGTGCGCCAGGACGAAAATCCATCGGATACGGCCCTGGCCGCCCTTTTCCAGATGAAGCTTCAAGTAGAATCCGAGCACGATCTGCACGACTAGCAGCAGCATCAACCAGTTTGCGAACGAGGCGTGGGCATTCTTGCCGAATTGACGACCTTTATGAGCGTGACCGAGGAAGTAGGCCAGCACGGCGATGATTGTGCCAACAATCTGAACGGGAACGTGCCAGCGAGAGCGAACAATCTGAAATAATCGGTAGACGTCAGACAAAATCCGCCAGGAATAAAGATAGTATCAACCCCCGAAACGAAACATACCCCAAGAACCATACCCAGCGGGAAAATAATTCCAAACGCAGTACCCATAAGGATCATATGTGTCCATAACGTCGAATCCTAAAACCAATCACCAACATCAGCGAAACCATTCTCGGTAAAAGCCGTTATCCATCGCAACCGGGTAACCCGAGTAAGCCACGTACTATGGGTTCCAGGGTGATGGCCTCGCCCTCGGGAACAGCCTCATGGCCACCGTGGGCAAGCGCCAGGCCAGCAAGCAGCACCAGGCCCCAAAGGGACCCTTGTCGCAAGAGGGTCATGATGGTGGGGTGGTGTGATGAGAAGAAGGTGGGCTGTGAGGGAATGTCAATGAAGGGGGGAAGTTTTGAAGGGGTGAGGCCAGGCCGCGTCTCTCGCTCAACCTCAGGCAACGTCGATCTTTTGCTAATCCGGCGCTTCCGATAACGACGGTCACTTCACAACTGTGCTTTTCCCAGACTCGACACCAAAATAACAGAGCGACGATTTGATGGAGGACCTTGTTCGTGTTAATCCAGTTGATTTCACCTCGAGGGATCTTAATTCCGTTCCTGGCTGCGGATGTGAACTCGAAGACTCGATTATTCAGCGCTGGTGGTGATTGGCGGGCGTTGGTATACAAACAGCCATCCCGCTCTGGGCGGACAAGACCCACCTCACTACACTCGAAACAGGCTTTCATAGCAGGTGATTTGAGTTTTACACATCAAAATGGTTACACAGTCAAGAGAACAGCGTCTCGTGAGTATTCAAGCCCTCCAAATCAATAACCAAATCACACCAAACTAACCACTCCATCTAGGAGACACTCCGCGCCTCAATAAACAATCTCCAAAGCCAACAAGCCCAGTTAGAAGCCGAAATAGCAGAGATCGAGAAAACACTCAAGTATGTTTCCAGCAAGACCGACGCATCCCATTACCACCCCTCCATTCACTCCATGTGTCTAATCTATCTTTTCCAGAAATGATTCCTCAGAGACTGTGAAACGGCATATCCGCCTCTTGCACGATTACAACGAGATCAAGGATATCGCCCAGGGTCTGATGGGTCTTATTGCTGAAGCACGGGGGGTACGACACGTTGATGTGCAGCGGGAGTATGGGGTTAAGGAGCAGGATTGAGATAATTATTGTTTACGGGGCATGAACTACTCTACTTTCATTCTAGGTGACGGATGTCGGGATAAAACCCTCCTGTCTGCCATTAAGCCATTATGAGATACTAAAGGATGTATTAAGAAATACATTTTTATGGTTATTTCGTTATGGGAACATAGCTTAAAGTCAAGAATCTTTCTATTCATTTTAAACAATATTTTGTATTTGATCGATGAGCGTCCAACCAACTCCGCCAGCGAATCTATCAGTTCAAAATAATCTGTTTCATAAAGACGGGAGAGTAGGGTTGAGAGGAGAAGGGTGATTAGACCAGTTCATACATTGACAGGAGATGTGAGTATCAGATATGACAAGAGAAGAGAAGAGGTAGAGATAGTCCGGTTTGTAGACAGACAGGTAGGTAAGATGATTAGACAAGGGTATTGAAGAGGATAGTCGACATGAAGAAAAGAAAAAGGTGGTGGGTAGGTAAGGGATCTTTTGAGAAGAGGATCGATAGGGTATGACATATATGCAAACAAGAAGCGACACAAAGATATGCAAGAAGCCCAACAAAAAGAAGAAAAGAAAAGGAAGAAATTAGAAAGAGATATGATGCAGCCAGGGAACGTTCCCTAATGAGTCTTGCCCAAGCTCTGCAGGTTAACCAACTCATAGTAACGACCCTTACTCTTCAGCAACTCGGCATGAGTACCACTCTCAACAATCTTTCCCTGATCAAAGACGTAAATAATATCCGCCTTCTGGATGGTACTCAAACGATGAGCAACAGCAATTGTAGTCCGACCACGAGCCGCAGCATCAAGCGCAGCCTGAACGACCTTCTCGGACTCAGAGTCCAACGCCGAAGTAGCCTCGTCCAGGAGAAGAATCTTCGGGTTCCGGAGGAGCGCGCGAGCAATAGCGACACGCTGCTTCTGACCACCGGACAACATGCCGCCCTTGGAGCCGACGACGGTGTTGAAGCCCTCGGGGAGGGACAAGATGAAGTCGTAGATGTTAGCGTCCTTGCAAGCCTTGACAAGTTCGTCTTCGGGGATGTCGTCCTGGTCGATACCCAGGAGGATGTTGTCCTTGATGGTTCCTTGGTACAGGGTGGGTTCCTGGCTGACGAGGGCGAGGTGGCTGCGGTAGGAGTTGACGTTTAGATCGGCGATGTTGTGGCCGTCGACGAAGACGCCGCCGGACAGGGCGTCGTAGAAGCGTTCCAGGAGGGCGATGGTGGTACTCTTACCGCATCCGCTAGGTCCGACCAGGGCGATGTACTGACCGGGCTTGACGCTGAGGTTCAGGCCACGGAGGACGGGTTGCTCGGGACGAGTCGGGTAGCGGAAGTGCACGTCGCGGAACTCAATGGCTCCGTCGACGTGGTCGACAGTAGTACCCTCCTCAGCCCAGGTGTCGATAGTCGGGCGACGGTCGAACAGCTTGCGGAACTCATAGGCAGCGTTCTTGGCCTTGCCCATGTCGGGGGAGAACGAGAAGACTGTACCGGCGGACTGCGCGCCGAACAGGATCTCACTGAAGCAGACGAAGAAGCGGAAGGTATCGTATTCGCCGTGACCCAGGAGGGTACCACCGTACCAGAAGCCAAGAGCGACGCAGAAGAAGACCAGGGCCTGGGAGGCGGCGTACAGAAGGGAAGACTTGGTGACGGAAATCAGGCTGACGCGAGCCTGGGCATCCAGCTGGTCGTGGTAGATACCCCAGACATCGTCCTCACGGGTAAGAGAGGCAACAGTGCGGATGGCAGAGGTAGCTTCGCAGGCGTAGCTGGCAGAGCCTTCGTAGGCGAGCTTAGAGCGGGCCTGGAAAGCAGCGAGCATGTAAAAGCGGTAGAAACCGCAGCCAAGGAGAACGGGGACGACACTGATACAAACGAGGGCAAGCTTCCAGCCGAAGGACAGGGAGATGACAATGGCCGCAATGAGGGTGGTCGAGGTCATCAGAATTGTACCCAGAGTCTGTCCACTAATACCAGAGAGATGCTTGGTCTCGGTGGAGAGGAACGAAGTCAAAGCACCGGTGCTGTTCTCCTCGCGATCGAAGAAGCTGATATCCTGGCGCAGCATAACACGGAACGCCTTGCTGCGAGCCTTGCGAATGAGACGCTCGGAGCAGAATGCAAAGGCGACACCATTGATCGAGTAGGTGAAAAACTGGACAATACCAACGACCAGGAACATCAATGCCCAGAAGTTGGCATCAGAGCGGAGCTTGGCGTATTCCCACGGGGGCAGAGACAGAGCACTGATAGCCTTGGCGTAGAGGAAAGCCTGAGTGGGCTGACCACCACCGGCGAGACAAGAGAAGATCAAACCGATAACGAGGTACTTCCACTCCTCCTTGTTGAACGAAGCGATAAACTTGATGAGAGTCCAGAGCGAGTACTTGGCCTTCGGGTCGGGACCCTTCTTGGAGAGAATCACACTGGAGACAGACTTGCGAGTATCGGCACGGCGGATATCCTCGGGGAACAGCGCACCAGCCTCTTCATCCTTGAGAGCGGTCGAGCCGCTAGCCACCGACTTCACACGAGCGATGTTCTGCTTGTCCAGAGCCTCATCCGAGTCATCCTCCACGTCTTCGTCGGCAAGGGCATCGGCCTCCTTCTCCTCGTTAATGCGCTGGGCCTCGACAAGCTTGGAGTAAGGACCGGCGGTCTCAATCAGGTCATCGTGAGTACCCTGCTCGACAATCGAGCCATTGACAAAGACGACAATGTTGTGAGCAGTCTTGATGGTGGAAAGACGGTGAGCGATGACGATGGTAGTACGGCCTTCAGCAGCACGGTCCAGAGCAGCTTGCACCACACCCTCGGACTTGGTATCCAGGGCAGAAGTAGCCTCATCCAGGAGCAGAATCTTGGGGTCGGAAACAACAGCACGAGCGATAGCAATACGCTGCTTCTGGCCACCAGAAAGCAGGAAACCGCGCTGGCCAACGTTGGTCTCGTACTTCTCCGGCAGGGACATGATGAATTCGTGGGCATTGGCCATCTTGGCAGCGTTCTCGATAAGTTCGCGGATACGTTCTTCGGGCTCATCCTCGAAGCGGGTACCGATCAGACCGTGACGAATGTTCTTGTAGATGGTAGTACCGAAGAGGACAGGCTCCTGCTGGACGAGGGAAATCTGCTGACGGAGCCAGCGCAGGTTAAGAGTCTGAATATCGTGACCATCCAGGAAAACACTACCACCAACGGGCAGGTAGAAACGCTCAACCAGACCGATAACAGTGGACTTGCCAGAACCCGAAGGTCCCACCAGGGCGGTAGTCTTGCCAGCGGGGATCGACAGGGAAACGTCCTTCATGACGGTGACCTCAGGGCGGGAGGGGTAGATGTGCTTGACATTGCGGAACTCGATTTCACCCTCGGCGTGATCGGGAATGACACCCTCGTCGGAAGTGGGATCCACGGGAGAGACACGGTCAATGGTGCTGAAGATCTTGGCAGCAGCAGCCACGGCGTTGGTAAATGCTTGGGCGTTAGGGGCAACGTTACCCAAGCTGAACGAACCAATGAGAATAGCCATGAGAATAGTCAAGACCTGGCCGACGTTGACCTTGCCCTCGACCAAATACCGGGAGCCCATCCAGAAACCCAGGCCGTAGTTCAGGAACATGACACCGAACATACCACCGACCATAACACCCAGAGCCATCTGCATACGCGTGCCCCAACGTTCAGCGGTGCGCAAGTGCACCTCGTACTGCTTGGCCAGTTTGTCCTGGGTACCAAAAGCGGTCGCATTGCGAATGGAGCTGATAACTTCTTCAGCAACGGTGCCACCGGCACCGTAGCTTTCCAGGGACAACTTGCTGTACTTGACGATGAATTGAGATCCACCGCCCATGATCAGAACCAGCGTAACGATGGACGAGGTACAGATACCAGCCAGAGGGGCATACTTGACGTAGGCAACAATGAAAGCAGTCACGAAGGTGGCCAGGGCAGTCAAAGTCAGACCCACCTTCTCCGAAACACCGTCCTGAATCAGATTGGTGTCGGCAGTAATACGGGTGGTGACTTCACCAGCGCCCAACTTGTCAAAGTAGGCAATGTTCTGACGCAGGATAGCTTCGAGGTACTGCTCGCGAATCTTCTGGGTGATATGCTCGCCAGTGTAGATGAAACCAACAGTGCTGATATAGACAGTGACGAACTCGGCGATACCGAGGTAGACAAAGTACAAAACGTTCTTCGTTAATTCGTGGTAGAAATCATCGTAGGACATAGTCTTCAATTGGATGCCTTGGAAGGCGGTGGTCAAGGAACCGAAAAGAATCTGTGATACAACATGTAAGTTCTAGATCGGGGATTGACTTCCATTGTGCAACAGAAGGATTGTTCAAATGTCTCAGGACGAAACTCACCGTAAACAGCGGCAACGCAGCACCCGCAGCAATGGCGCAGATAGCGCTAACCAGCAAAATCAAGATATCCATCGTCGAAGCATAACGGTACAGTCCAAAGAACGAGATCTTGACCAGCGGCGCATCCAACTGCTTCTTCAGAATATCCTTCTCATGCTGAGGCAAATGCGCAAAGATGGCATCATCATCCAATGACAGCGCCGTCTTGCTTCCATTATTATCCTTGGCGATTCCCGACAGTGTCGAGCCGGAATCGTAGTTCTTCTCTGCAATCTTCTCTTGTGTGGATGAGACCTGTTCGCCGGCGCTCACCTCATCGGGGATTTTTTCCACCGCAGTGGCCCCCTCTTCTGGTTGCTGCATGGCGCGGGGGAGAGGTTGCGCGTGGTGGCGCGGATTTGGGGGTGTCGCAAGATTGAGAGCAGTTGCTTGGTCCCACTTTTAGTTCCTAATTCGTGGTTGGACCAGACCAGACCAGACTACGGCTGCAAGAATGCAGAGCGTCTTGCCGGGGACGGAGGAGGGTGAAGAAACTGAGTCGAAGGTGAACGTGCGATTACCGCGAAGCTGAGAGAGAAATGCACGCTAGATTGATAGAAAGAGGAAATGAGCTATGCTCAGTTGTTGTCGCGCGATCGAGAGATGATCGAAATGAGCGATCTGCGCGATGTCGTGGAAAGGGGAGGGAGGAGAGTCAAAGAAAATTAAAGAGGGGTTAACAATGGACACCCTGGTGTATTGAAAGCTGTTGAGCGAAAAGGAATAGGGAAGATACACCTTCTTTCTCGAGGAGGAGGAGGCGATAATAATCTAAAAAGGTCGTAGAGAATCTAGAAAAAAGGAACGGACGAAACGAGCGGGCGAATAAGAATGTATTTAATAAAGAGAGAGAAGTCAAGCACTGTTTGTATTTGCTCCAAATTTTTCTATCAGTTACCACGGCGGGCTCCGTATCCAGCTAGTTTCTTGGGACTGGCTAACTGAAATCAGAATGAATCATCTAGAATTTCAGACTCGCATTAAAATTAGGATACCAAATTAAATAGAAAACCCCGAAAAATCCAAAAATCCCAAATCCCAAGCGGGTTTCACAATGGGGGAGGACCCGATCCCGAGTACGTGAAAGTGGGCCGGAGACTCCAGACTCCGGCAAATCTTGTGCACGAGAAGGAAGGAACTCAACTGGCCCCTCCATGCAAGCGATAACTTGGATGAATAATCTTCATAAAAGGAATATTGCATGCTGATTGGCTGAGTAATGACATAGGGTGTTCTGGCTAAATACTCCTTCCGGTAGTGGGGGAGAAGTCACTAAGAATAGTGTACTCCGTACTCCGTACACATTCATCCCCTTAAAGATGCAAACAGTACAGATTTAGGGATATACATACTACTAGATACTCCATTCCAACACATATACTTTAACTTGAGATCCAAATATCTACATAGATAGATAGACCCTATCCTACAATCTAATCACAGCCTCATCAGCACAATCTGACAATACGCTCTCGAGTTCTGCAACCTCCGTCGGAATATACACACATCACATCCTGCAGGGCGTTTAAACATCCATCCACACACACCCTTGTCGGCGTATTATTTTCTTTTCTTTTCCACATGTATGTGCTTACATAGTATGTATGTACATATGTTGGAGCCTCGCCGATCGATCGCCCCTCCTGTCACGTCCACTCGATTCCTTCTCGGGAAATAGAACTTCCCGATCGACCTTCGCGCCCGAAGCAATCTCCATCCCTCCTATACCCATCTACGGACAATAGAACTACAAGAACCCCGAATGAATCATCTAACATGCTCAAATGTCTCATTCTTTAAAATTATTCAATTTCTTCCAAACACAAACAGTTCAACCGATGACAGACCCATGACGCAGTGACTGCAATCGCATGCATCCCAATACGACATTCCCCTACCAACAACCCCGGAACACGCGAAAGCCGAATACGAAGCTTCCACCTGTGGACCGACCACCCTAGACCTTGACTCATTTTGACGCGTCCAGGTCCATGATCCATCAGCGCTAAGTAAGTAGATGATGCCTAGTCTATCTAACTATTGTTCCAATTCCCACCCTCCACTTTGCCCGACCACCACGTTGTCCGTCCTCCAAAAGCCGACTTCCACGCAGGCGCTTATGCTTCTTGCGTACACCCCGTAGAAGCCTGAAGAAATCAATAATAATATACCCGATCGCTACACCAACACTAATTCAAGCCGACGGTCCACCGACATCACCATGTCCACGCTGAAGCGATCCTCCAGTCAGGAGAAACGATCGGGGACTTGGGCCGTCCATTTCGTCCGGTCGGGGGTCGGCCAAATTTTGGTCCCGGATACCGATGGGGTTGTGCTGTTCTTCTAAACGAACCAATGTGAACCAGGGTTGGACTGGATTACTACTCCGGTCCATCTTCATCCCTGGTGGTTTTGATCTCGAATCCTTCTTCTCCTATTTTTATGAGGGGGCGCACTGTATTCCGTTTTGGGTAAGGGCTGCGATATACAGGATTAATGAAGAGTTGCCTGACCCCTAGTCCAACTACAGTACTACTGTATGTTCTGTACTGTTTTCCTATATCTCCCGTTCATGAGGAATCAACCGGTCTGTGATAAGTGACTTAGTTCGCTGTAGTATATCTGACAGGCTTGCAGCCTGCTCTGTACTGTATACCTGACGGTAATAATCTGGTCGCCTGGAGTAATCAATCAGGCATTAACGACCGTATTCCAGGCCACCACGGATCCACTGCGGGAGCAGTAATCCTACACATAAAATCCAGGTTCGACGTGGTGGGGGCTCCCAATTGGGCAAGAGCTAAGAGGAGGATAATCTCAGCGCCTGGTTGACGCCTGAGGCATTCAGTAGATTTCGATTTCCAGGAGTTGCCCATGTTGTTTGTAGTTTTTAGTACGGAGTAGTATGTACAAGGTAAAGAACAGTGCCGTGATGATGCCTAATTTCATTGCGTAACCCGTAGCAAGAGCCGCAAGACTCGACGTCATGTCAGCCATAATTGTGACTCGACCATCATGAACCTTACTTCTTCTCACAAAGATCTAAAAGCACGGATCGCTTTTCGACCACATGGTTCGAGCAAGGTGCAGGAATTCCAGGCAGCAGGTGACTACGTGTAGTAAAAGAAGACGGATCAAATGATCTTCTTGTCGAAAATACCGCAAAGATCATCGAGAGAACTGCCAGTGGAGGAGGATACAAGGGCTGTAGACTCGTAGCAGACTCAAATCGTTGTGGCCTTAATGCCCTAATCTGTATCCCCTGCCTGAGGCATTCATGACCGTTCCAAAATTCCTGCCTCAGGCCCCACTGCCCAGCACATCACCTGACCGAACCGAAGCGAAAGCCAAGCCCTGCCGCACACAAATCATCCGCCTCCCGAACGACGACATCTTCTCCCATCAAACCAGCTCGCCGTCGCGACCAAGCCTTCAAGATGCCGGTCAGTATTCACCACCATGACCCTCGAACCTATCCCAGTGCTACATCTCGACCCTCGCAACCGTCACCTCGCTGTCCAGAAAATTTGATCCGCCCAACTAACCCTCCATTTTTCATCTCACAGAGCCACAAGACTTTCCGCACCAAGCAAAAGCTTGCCAAAGCTCAGCGTCAGAACCGCCCCATCCCTCAGTGGATTCGTCTGCGCACCGGCAACACCATCAGGTAAATTGCGCCCTCGTCCTGCATCAAGAAAACACATCCCAGAAAACATGCCATGCCATCGAAAAAATGGAATCGAAGGAGGAAGAGGAGGAATCGACCGGACACCCGCACACGCACAAATCACACGCCCGAAAACTCAATCCCGCACCATCGAAAATAAATCCAGCACAATAACTGACAACCTCGTTCTTCCAAATAGATACAACGCTAAGCGGCGACACTGGCGCAAGACCCGTCTGGGCATCTAAACTAGTCCCGGACAGCACCCACCCGGTCCTCACACACCTTTCCAATCCCGGACCAACGATGTTGTTCGTTTCGATATCCTAACGACGCAATACTACCCGCCCCCACCAACCATTCTTCCACCCAGCAATCTTGAACGCGCTAGTTTAATCAAAGAAACTACGTTCAGGCCCGCAACTGTCCGTTCCATTCCACTCGAGTGCAATCCATCGACCGACATGAATATGCCCCTGTCGCGTTTCGAATTCGTCTTTTCTCCCGCCCTGTTTTCCGAATGGCAATGACAATGACGACCTACTCGAGTCCATTTCAATTATCACGACAGTTGCTTGAATGCTTGATGAATTTAACTCTTTTTTTATGCGGATGCTTAGTGTGGTGGGGGTTAGGGAGGATTTTTTCGCGGTTCGGAGTTGGGATGGTGGGGAGGTTTCTTTCCTACTACAAAAATCTGATGGAATTGAATTGACGTCCCTTTTGTCTTGCACTGCTGCTCTACTTTTCTTTGTGGACTGTGTAGGTGTGGAATACTGCTCTCGTAGACTCTGGAGCTGGATTGATGGAGTAGGATCTGGGGGTTCTCGGTCATACGACAACGCTCATGATTCATGGCGAGTGGGTTTATATCACGAATGGTATGGTCTACTCCAGGTAGTCCGGTCCGTATTCGTGATGCAAGAAATATAGAACTGGTTGAAAGTAGATCTTCAAGGGAAATATCATCGCTCAAGCTCAACTACAGACCCCTACTCCATCCTCCCTGGAACCAACCCTCAATTCAAGGAACCTCATAAAGTCTCTCTCGGCCCGGTGGCTCAGTAGAGCATAACTTCGCTCGGAAAACATCAACATCCTGTGGTGTTGTTTCGTTAGCGGGTTAGCATTAGCATGTATACACCAAAATATCTAAATATCTCTGAGAGCCTTACACAAATGTCTCTGTCAATCTATCCCGCCTGTGTATGTGTACATCATAAGACTCAAGACAAGAAAAGTTCGTATCCATGATCCCGGGACCCAAATATTTCTTCATGGGTACAGAAACGAGACACTTCCATATTCACCGAACCGCGAGCACAGTGCACTAGATTAGATGCAAAGACTAATATTGCGATGCATATCGTACTTCTGATGGCAGATGCCGGCACGGGGTGGACTCTGGTATTGACTGCATCGTTATGGCCGTTCAGTCCGTTTAGACTGTTCAGACTGTCCAGTTTGGGGTGGAATCTTTGCTTTGATCTAACTAATCTCTGATTTACAATGCTATAACACGCGATGGAATAAGTTGTTTATGCTTACAATGTTGTTTTGCATCAACCCGGAATTTAGTTTTAGTATGGAGCAGAAAATCTCGAAGAGATAGATGATGGATACGGACAGGAAGGTCTCGGTCTCGGTCTTGATTACTTGGGATTCGAAGGATAGAGGAGGATTATTCAGGTCGGTTCGGTTGCTGGCGGTATCTGTATCTACTGGGAGGCCTGCCTAGAAGTGCCGTGCAGCGAGAGCGTTTACAGAGAACGGTTCGAAAAGGAAGTTGATTGCTCCGCTCCAATAATCTGGTGAAATTCAAGGAGTAGGGTCGATCTCCGAGTCTTCGTCGTCTTGGTCTGCAAGAAGTCCGACTGCTCGAGGAATAGGTAGATATGTGTTTTCCATTTTGTTGCGTATATGACCTGGTTTCTCAGAACTTCGGTGAGACGGACAGTTGTTGGCTGGCCACTTGGGATCACCGATGACTCGAAATAGTGTAGCTGCAGAAATGAAATGATCAGCGGGACTGACATCGTGAAAGGTGTCTGAAGATCTTCATCTCGAGGCCATCGATGACGGGGGTAGACGTCGCGAGGTCCGGAGTTTTGCGAACCGATCTTTCAGAAGCGAAGTAATATCATGTTCAGTCGCTTCGCTTCGTTGGATATCATCTCATGAAGGACAAAGTCTCGAAAATCAGGTTTGATATCTCTATAAAGACTTGATGAATCGATAATGTAGGCCTACTCCTCAAGAAGATCCGTACGTTCCTTGCGTTGTTATCTTCCAGCAACGATAATAAGCATAGTATTCTCTTCACATCCTGCTCATCCTCACATTCATCCAGGCATCAACAACAATAACCGCGGTCAAAAGGTCCCGTACCCGCGAGTCGAGAGATCGAAGTGGATAATATAGCAATTGATCAAAATGTTCACTCAAGGACTTGGCCGTGATACCCGGATTCACCTGCACATCCTGTCGAATCCCACCAACTCCAGGTATCTAAGCATTAGAACCAGCCTCACTTGTAATCTCGTACAGAAGAGCAGTTCTTGTTCCCGAGAGACATTCATCTTCATATTGCTCCATGCATAAGCCAAACTGAGCCTCGGAGCCACTGGGTGGTTTTTTCAAGGGATCTATATCGCATCATCACGTGACTTCTTGACTTGCTGCTTTTTGCATAACTCTAACGAGTACGGAGTAGTAAGGTTCTAGTAATAAATATCTAAGTTTCTGAGACGATGCTTGATTAAGGTTGACTGTTGTCCCTTTGGCAAGTGCTTGAAATTCCTAACTCTGTTGAATTATACATTGCTGTGTCCGTCGGAACATATATCGCCGCGAAACCTCCTACATCCCAAGTCAGATCAAATAACCCTACAGTTTTGATCATTACCCATTCCAGAGACTACATCTAATTACCTGACGAGTATCTTGTAAAATTTTGTTTTCACTCGAAGGAACCTGGTCTTGTGGTATTGTCCAGGTCCAGTCATGGGCGTTCCATTATCGATTATGTCAGCACCATAATTCTCGAAGTTCGTAAACGAAACAACGGCCAAAAGGAACAAAAAAAGGCCTCTCTCCTTTGTCTTAGTATTCTCTAGTCAAGCACTTGAGAAAACAAATTGCACACTACCCACCGCTATTAAATCTCACAATCTATTTACAGTGTTTCGGCTCTTGAATGTAGACTCGAGAGTCGAGCTGGCCTAATATAATTTGCCGGCTATTGCTTTGTTTGTTAGGTTGAGCGAATGTGTATGATCATGTGACCCAGGCATGTATCGTAACACTTTTATCCGAAGCGGAGGACGGAGAATAAGGTAGAATTCAGACTTCTACTGTAAATTTTGATCATATCAGTTCCCGTATTCGAATTAGCTCTCGGCAGATCTCGGGGTTTCTTGAAGCTGAGATGAGACTCCACTGATCGAACATTGCGGTCAAAATTCTTCACGGTATGTAACCGACAGGGAGCTAAGTCACATAACGAGGTGAAATTTGACTACGGAGTACTCCGTACTGATCGTCATGCTCGCTTTAGGTATGAATTGGCGGTCTATTTGACAAGAAATCAATATTTGGATCTAAATCACAGCAAGTATTTAGCTGCCTCAGCCTTCGGTGTAAGAATAGACGTCTCCGGTATGGCTATAAGAAGATGCTCGCTCTCTAAAAACACTAACGACAGCTTCTAAGTAGCTAGCCTGTTGATACTGGGATTCTTGATAATGTATCCTATTATCTTGGTGTCATAGAAAATTACGCGAATCAAGTCTAACAAGTCTAACAAGTCTAAAGAGTGAGCGTCCAAACTGAAATCGAAAACTACTGTACATAGCGGATCTCTGGCTATATCACAGATGGCCGAAGCTGCTGAGTGTAGCGAGCGCTCAATCATCAATATTCGTAATAGTCTTCGCCCTTTCGGAAATGTCAGAGCTCCCTTGACTCGTGTCGGCCGGCGAAGCACCACGCCTCTAATAATCTAGACTTTATGTGACTATCTTCTCGAGAAGCCTAGGTTATATGTGGATGAGATGATGCTTTCCCTCTGGGATGAGTTTCGTGTTTGGGTGACAAGCTCGAGTCTTAAGAGGGCTCTTGCTTCGGTCGGATGGCCGAAAAAGGTAGCTCGACAGAGAGTAAAGGAACAAAACGCTAATCTACGCGATTTCTACCTGTATAACATTAAGTTATACGTCTCGCTCATTAAACATGTTCCTAGTGACAGACGACTTACTTTCTCTATATAGTAGAAAACAACCACGAGTCTTAACTCCTTGCCCCGAGTATAAAGTTTACCCCACGCAAGTAATTATTTCTCAACTGCTATCCAATCGATATCAAGAGAGTTAAACCGCTTCTTTAGGTCCCGTTGCTTGCGATCGTTGACCGACATAACCATAGACGTGTCATCGGACCAAACCGGTCGATTACAGGAGACTCTCTCTTAGAGAACTTTCTCTAGCTTTACCCCTAAGGACCGAGGGCTAATAAGCACTCGGAGTCAGGGTTACATCCTGTACCGTGTCCTCCGACCTAAAGCGGTTATTCACTTCCAAAAATCCAGGGGGAAAAGAATTTCATTCAGCCTAAGCCATCCCAAATTTCAAAAACATCCAGAGCGAGAGCAAAAACTACTCGCAGGAACAAAACGAAACAACAGAAGACAAAGCAAGCTGGGGAGGAGCTGCTATTTCAAAAACGCCACCTCGAAGCAAACTGGAAGGGGAAAAGAGGACGAGAAGAATCCCCCAATAGCAACCAAGGTCCTCTGTCTAGTCTAGTAGCAGGCTCTTTCATGCCAAGGCCTTGGGGGGAATCCTTCATCGTCAAGCCGGACGCGAATGCGATCCGGCAGGGCCGGATGTGTGTATCATAAGATTTTCCAAGAAGGGGATGCGGGCAGGGTTTGCAAAAAAGTCGGACCCGTAAAGCAAATCAAATCATGAATGCGGAAGGGGGGATGTATTTAGCGACTGAGGGAGAGTTAGTTAGCAGAGGACTCGAACAAAGCAAAGCAGCCGCAACGCCTTTGTAGGACACTTGATTTGACTTACTCCTCGGCCCACTCATTCTCGCGGCGGATCTGATCCTCCTCCTCGGGGGTGAAGTCGTTCTGGATGTTGAACGTCTTCCGGATCTCCTCAGGGGACTTGCCCTTGATCATGTTGGCGACGGTCTTGCAGCCAACGTCGAGGAGAGCCTTGATATCGAGGTAGTTTGCAGCCTGTGGAATGGGATTAGCGGGAGCTCAGAATTCATCGTTGTCACGGTCCCCGGAGTATGGTTCCTTCAAGGTCACATCGTGTCGAACTTACCAGGATGATTTCAAAGAGCATCTCTTGGTCCACCTGCATGAACTTCTGATCCCACTCTTCAATGTCGGTGGTCTTGCGGCGGTTATCATCATCATCGGAGGCGCTTTGAGGATCGTTCTTGTGGTGCTCGCACCACTCGATGACCTTCTTGAGGACGGCCTCGTTGACCTGTAGTGGAGTGGTCAGCCGTCAGCTCGACAAATGTATGGGGAGTTTTGTGGTCGGAGTGGGAATGGTACTGACATTGGGAATGGGGATGGCCTCGCCAGAGTCACCAAGGTCCTCCAGCATGTTCTTGATCAGGACCGAGCGCTCGGCAACGACGCGGTCTAATTTTCCATCGTTAGCGACTGCGGGGTTTGGCCCAGCGCGGGGGGCAAGGGTCTGCGCGCCCTTGACTCAACATACCAACGGAGATGTCGATACCATCGCTGCTGGTAAGGGTAATCTGGGAAGACATTTTGAAGGATGGTAATGCGCGACGGAATCTAAAGAGGTTTGGATCTGGAGAGCAGGTGACGGAACGTTAGCTTCTGAGTTGGAGGTGGCAAGAGAGCAGAGTAGACGCGCGGGATTGCGTTGACGGGTGGAAAAAAAAAAAAAAGGAGAGGATGGTGTGAACTCACTTTCCGGAGGATATGTGAAGGTGGTAAGTTGAAATTGCGGAGAGAGTGGGAGTTGAGAAGAAGAAGGTGGGGAGTGGCAGTCGGGGAGGTTTAAAGAGGAAAGAGGAGGTCTGGCGTTTAGTCACTCCGGCGGCTCTGCTGCCTTTCAGCCCCCACACAGTGGCACAGTCCGATGGTGATGGGTGCCTGGACAAAGTAAAGAATTGAGGAATAAATGCGAGTTATTTGACGAATAGGTAAGAGTAGGGAGGAGGAAGAAAGGAATAAAAGGATAGAAATCTTTATTTAGCTTTGAAACGTGTAGGAGAAACATACAATGTATGTTCATTATGGCTATTCTAGGAATCTAGGAATTGTGGTATACTTACTCGACTCTACAAAACAGTCCTAGTCATAGTCATAATTGTACTGGTAGCAGTAATAGTAACTATCATTAATTTTTGGTAGCAAATTCTCCTCCGAGACCTGAAAACAAGTCTATGCCTAATCAAGATGCATTGCCAGTGGTTTAGAATCACTGACTAGTGCATTTCTGAACTATCACAACTGACGGATCTTTACAGAAGGTACTTTACTAGGATTGGAAATGCATAGTACATTCGAATCTTAGTAGTTAAACCCAGGTCACAATTTCAAACTTGACTATCTCCTAACTAGTCTCTTTTCAAAAAGTCAAACTATCTAGGTTAACTGGGTCCATCACTCGGAGTTAGTGAACCCCTAGTCCCTAGTCTTTTTATTCTGCCGCTTGATCGCGCCAGTGAGCCAGTGATATCATCGTCAACTCCCAACGCGTCGCTTCTTACTTTTTTTTCTTCCCTTTCTTTTTTGATTCCCCCCTTCAAGAGCCTAATCTTTTATTTTCTGTCACGTTCTCCCTTCCCCATTCTCTTTGACATCTTCATCCTTTGTTTCTCCCGCTGCTACCTTGGCAGCATGTCCCGCCCCTGAATCATGTGGAGACGAACCTATCTACTCTTACTACTCATCCGTGTTTACTTTGCGCTCTCGCCAAGCTATCTACATCCCGATGAGAACTTCCAAGGCCCCGAGGTCTATGCTGGTATGTCAACTGTCCAGAGATGATCTTTCCCTATTTTCTACCGCCAATACCCCCTCGAGACACTGGAAATTCCATGCGCGCTGCTGGAAATTATTTTGCGACCGGCTGTCGCGGATCTTGCGATGCGCCCGCTTCCGCGATCTCCCTACTCAAAACACAACAGACTATGATCGTGTCCATATCGAGGGTCATCCTACTATCTTCCAAGATAACTAACCTTGATGATCTCTTATAGGCCGCATCTTTGGCTATCCTTCCAAACTCCCCTGGGAATTCACGGTCGACCACCCCATCCGCAGCGTCTTCCCACTATGGCCCACCTACGAGGTCCCCATGAGCCTGTTGAAATGGTTCTACACGGAGATCGAGACGGGCAACCCACCACCTGAACTGGTATACTATGCGCTACGTGGAGGAATGTTCCTGCTGAGCTTTGTGCTGGAAGACTGGGCGATCTATGAGCTGGTGCCATCCCCGCGCCACCGCCGTGCGACGGTTGTCCTGGTGGCCTCGTCGTATGTCACCTGGACATATCAGACGCACACCTTTTCCAACTCTCTGGAGACACTACTGGTAGCCTGGGGACTGGTTTTGATTCGGCGCATCCTCGAGAACAAGGTTCGTTCCGTCTGTGCCTGTGGGGAAGATGAACAATAGCTAGTGGTGGTGGTATTGATCCTGGTGGCCCTTTAAACTAACTGGTGTCGGCAGCAACGCTCGTCCTTCTTCTCCTGCGCTGTCCTATCGTTCATCGCAGTGGCCGGTGTCTTCAACCGTATTACCTTCCCTGCATTCCTCCTCATCCCAGGTCTACAATTGTTGCCATACTTCCATCGCAAGTGAGTATGCTCGATCTACACCTCCGCCAATGCTGCCCATCCCCGCAGTATACAGCCCAACCATATACTAACCCACGCGCAAGACCAAGCTCCCTAGTAGCAATCCTCGGCTTCGGCGCTTTCTTCGCCTCAATAGCAATCTATACAGACACCCTCTTCTATCGACCCTCCTCCACTCTCCTCTCCGCCATCCGCAACCCCATCATCACCCCATTAAACAACCTCCTCTACAACAGCGACACCACCAACCTAGCCACCCACGGCCTCCACCCACACCACCAACACTTCACAGCCAACCTCCTCCAACTCCTCGGCCCAGTTTACATCGTCATGATCGTCTCCGTCTTCCGCACCCTCCAAATACCCACCTGGCTACGCAACGCCCGCGCCGTCTCCGCCCTCTCCGCAACCCTCCTCCTCTCCATATTCCCTCACCAAGAACCACGCTTCCTAATACCCTGTGTCCCCCTCCTCCTCAGCTGCATCCGCGTGCACCGCTCCCGCATCTTCCTCGCGACATGGATCATCTTCAACGGCATCATGGGCTTCCTCATGGGCGTCTACCACCAAGGCGGTATCGTACCCGCCCAACTCGCCATGCGAACCATCGTCTCAACAAACACCGCCGCCCAAGGCGTGAAAACAAACCCCGACACCTCAGTCTTCTGGTGGAAAACATATTCCCCGCCGCAATGGCTCCTCGGCGCAGATAACAGCTCTACACCCACGATCTCCACTCTCGATCTCATGGGTATCCCAGGCGTAGACCTCATCCAGCGGTTAGACCAATCCGTTCCAAAATGCGGCACAGTCTCACCGGTCTACCTCGTCGCACCGACGTCAGCGACTTTCTTGGACGAGTACGCTGCAATGGGGACACCACGCACGCCAGATCTCCAGCTGTATCGTTTGTGGACCTACCGCAAGCATTTGAATCTGGATGATTTGGACTTTGGTGATGATGGGATTGTTCCCACGTTGGCAAGGGTGATTGGACGGCGCGGGTTGGGGGTTTGGTCTGTACGACGGGCTTGCAAATAAGGGCGTTTTTTGTTCGAATACCCCCCTTTTCCTTTCTTCTCTTCTCTTTTTACGTTCTTTGTTAATTACATTGGGTGGTTGGTCGGGTCGGGTCATGGTTGGGTTCAACGGGACTAGACTAGACTGGACTGGACTGGACTGGACTGGATTGGGTTGGGTCGGGGGTAAAGGTCGGGTTATTGGGAGATATGACTATAGTATAAAAAAATTAGCAGGCATGCCCGCGGATTCTTTGGTCAGAGCAAAGTACTTGAGAACCCTTTTGGGTGATGCCTTTTCTCTTTCATTCCTCTTTTATCTTCTGTCTTTTTTGGTTTGCGAGATATACCGCTCTGGTTTACTATACTTGGAGCATGCTGGACTTATGCTGTCGTTTTTAACGAACTAATTCCGAACACTCATACTACATAGGTTCGTCATTAATTACATTTCAACCCCAGTAATCAGTGGCGCGTCCTCTAGTCACCACAGGCAATATGTGTATGTTCTGACATAGCTGATCACCCTAAAAGGTGGGGGAGTGGGGCGATTAATGTTTACAAGATCCACTTACCGTTCTCTTGCAATGGGAATGAATACATGATATTGCATAGATGATATATATTCTGCACAATATACAATGCCTGCTGGACACATCTAGATCTACTCCTTACTTAGACTCGACTTATATGCTTTTTACGATGTTTCTTTTATCAATATAATCAACAGAGTTAGAAGGTTAGAATGTAACATTTGTGTTTAAAGCTGTCAAGTCCAGGGTCTTGGTGGTTATACGGAGTGTGTTTAGGTATTCGTTGATTGTGAGCAATGTGAGGGCGAGTTTGGTGTTCAACCTTTGCCTGGGATTCAACTGATGGGGTTCAACCTATGGTGAGGGTGTGGCTTGATATTGGGAGTGCTGTATATAGATGTAAACAGATAATCTTGCATTGACACCACGATACCTACACAGCGTTGTTTGTTTCATAAGGATATTGTTGACGTGCTTTTCCCTTTTTGAAAGGCATACAGACAACAAAGACACAAGAAGGAAAGATCCTGCAAATTATACGTATTTTCCCGCGCTCTCAGCGTGTCGCTTTTCTATCATAAATGCCTCTCCCTTTCTTGTTTACTTTTCAATCTACTTCTTCTTCCTCCATTACATCCACATCCATCCATCTATATACCAATCATACCTCCATCAACCTGCCACTTCGCTACCATCATCCTCCAAACCGACGGAAGCAATCTTGCCAATGAACTACCTCTCCGTCTCGACTACCGGGTGATACTCGACGAGAACGTCTGGACCGAGACAGGCCTGGTGAACGGTCCCTTCGGCACCCGAAGAGGCTTCTTCTAGCTTTGGATGTTCCGCGCCATGCATCACCTGCCCGCCCCCTTGCCCTGTTCATCGAATTCGACAACTATTTACCTCTGGGGTTATTTACACAGCGGAAAATGGGCATGCAGTTGTTCTTGTTCCTTCCTTTTGGTGGGCTTGCGAGTTCGAGTATAACCGAAAGCTCTGTAGCCGAACAGAGTTTCTCGTTGTCGCTGCATGTGCAATGACTATCCATGGATTGTACGTACAATGGCTCTGGACTGTACAAAAAGGCTCAGGATCTTCTCCCGACCGCGTAGTGGTCAACATCGATGACAGGGAACACACTACACTAATCCTTGGTTACAAGAGCTATATTGGTCCCGCCTCCCCCTCCTAAATTCACCAGTCACCACCTACATCAACATCGACAATCAAGGACACGACAGTCCAATGAATACAGCACACATCTTATACATCCTTCCACCGACATACCCAGGAGCACGCCTCAGATATCAAGGAGAATCAGCAACAATCACACCTGTCGAAAATTTCCTTCTTCACCTTTCCACCAGAAAACCTCTCGCGGGCTTTTTCAATGAGAAAAGCATATTTCCATCCTCCGCGCTTCACTCACGGCCTGCTGAACCATAAATCTTCAGGAAGATACCCCCATAAAATAGAAACTTTGAGATCCCTTCGATGGTTTCAGCCTTTTTTCCCGTTGTTGGTGTTAACACAGTCGTATGGAACAGGAACGCATCGAGACTGCCGAAATCCCATCGGACTGGTACACGCGCGCCCTCCCTTGCCTCGGTGTGCTTTTCGCCCTCTGCTACGGGCCTGGTTCGCTCGGAGGGGATGTTTATTTCGGGAGACTCTCTCAGCGAGTTGGATCAGTTCCGTCCGGAGTGGTAGACGCACCGCAGTCTGCGAATATTGTCGTCGTCCTTCGTGCGACCCCTCCTAATCACGTACTAGAGTGAGATCGCTTGAGTAGTGTGGCAGCAGGAGTATACCGTGGGACATATTCATCAAGCCAGAGTACTCTACCATGGGAACCGGAAGAAAACCTCAACAGAGAACACTCACCAACGACCGAGATCTTTTGCATTTTGATATCAGGGACGGGATATGCAACGAGTGAGCCACGAATGTTATCAATCGCTTCCAAGTAATGAGCGGTTGCTTTCATGCCTTAGTTACAGGCGACCCCGCACCAGAACATCTGGTTCCTTGAAGAGCAACCAGGCCATGACGACAACCTGGTGGAGTGGCCATTCCCTCGGGCAGTCCGGGCAAAGGTTGCTTAATCCTTGGTGGATCTGTGACGATGATTTGACAGAGTGGCATGCCCGAGCTGTGACCTTGTTCTTTGCTGATTATGTCTGTCCTAACTGGCGACTGAACCAGCCAGCAACCGGGAATCTTGCTCGGGATAATATCGAGGAAGAGTCCCTCCTACCACCCTCAAACCATTCAGTCCCTACTACCTTCCACCATTCCATAGCACCAGCTAATTTCTTTTGTTTCTTATAGCTCTGTTCATTCCCCGACGGGAACCGTCAAAAAATAAAATCAACGCTGAGTTCGGGCGACAAGCCTACTTCATTTGGTTGCGAAGACGGGCATCCACAAGACGAATCGCAAAGCTGGTGATTAGGAACCACACGACACCCTCGTCGCTACGCAAAACCATGACCTCCGTCGCCGGAATCTTGCTGGTTACGGTAGAAGAGATTGCGGAACTTGCGGCGGCAATCAACGCATACTGCAAAGCGAACGTGTCCCGAGACCGCGGCTATTCTACAGAAGACAGAGTCACCGATAAAGAGCTCGTACCTACCACTCGTGCGCGAATTCGCGGCCGAGTGCAACTTCGCCATCCACGCCCGCTCAGCCAAGAGCTGGCCCGGCGCGGCAAGAGCGCAGTACATCCTTATGAATCTTCTTTGTTGGGGTTTAAGACCTACAAGAGGCGTTCCCACATCTACAAGCATCAAGTGCGAAGAGTCCGATGACCCCACATCGGTAGACGGAGAATATTGTGGATTGAACCAACGAGCATCTGAACGAATAGCACGATCACCGGACCTCAATATACGGGAGAATATCGTTGATTGTACAAACAGAGTATGGGTCTGCCACGGGGGCTCAACCAGCCCGTTTCCTGTTTGGGAATGCGCGGCACACACTTCCATCATCAAGCTTCGATGGGCAGATTGCAAGGCCTATTACATGGGAGAATCGAAGTCCGAATAAGCATGGTCTTGGATTGGGGGGTTACATAGGCAGATTCCCTTTCCAAAGTGTCCACTTACACCTTCCCTCACCAAGCACCGAACGGAAGATGACGGCTGCCGGATACGCTGGGAAATATCGCAGACCGTATAATCAGAGTCTTGAGCTGGTGATTACACCTAGAGCATTTCTACCTTCTTTCCTCCCCCTCACGGAAAGAGGATTCCAATCTGGTTAGCAGAGTCTTCTACTACGAGACTTTGGCAAAACCTTACGCTCACAATGAAAACGACGCCCTCACTCGCGGCGTACATGCACGCTTTCAATCAAGACCGCTTCGAGCAAAAACATTCTCTGCCTGTCCTCGGCCTCCCCATCAAGTTCGTCCCCAGATCAGGAATGGTAAATCACCATTCTCATAACCACAAGAATATCAATTACTGATAGCAGTACTTGGCTAACAGTCATAGGACCGACTGAAAAAGGCAACGTACTCTCAGGAACAGACAATCGGCAACGAAGCCGACGATAGTTCGCGCAATGCTCGCAAAACCACCGCCGCTGTATGGGAATACGTCAAACGCCCAAAGAAAAGGCAAAGTAAATCATGGGTATTAACACGACACGACTGGACGATGACCCCGGTGCGGCCAGACCAAACTCGGCGCCCCAAGGTAAGAAATCGAATCAGAGGGCCGTCGAAGTTCGGGTCTGCGCCAAACCCTGCGCGCGAGTCACCGTGGTCTCGCTTTGGTGAAGGCTCTCATCTTTTGGGAGATGCTCGCGGAGATGCTCACGAAAATTCTAAGGCTCGGGTAGGATGATTCTCATTTCTTATCGGGGGCAGACTATACTCTATGAGATGGCGAGCAGACTCCAAGACCCATGACTGTCTGAAGATAGACATGGACATGGACTTTGAGTAGGATGATACTGGTTATCTTCATGGATATTCCGAGAGGATATCCATATGGGTGATTCGAATCAACCGCCATCCTCTTCCTATCCTGGATACCAGTTGGATTTGACCAGAGATGCCAAAAAGGCCAAAACTATCTGTGGCATGCATGTCTGTTGAAGAGCGAGGAGACGTTCATCAAACTTCTTGAGCCCAGAATCAAATCCTGACATAGTTTTTGCACTTCATGGATATTATTGCAACTTATTTATGTTTTACTGGATTAGCTTAGGTAGCACCCTCGCCTACAAGCTACAGCTAAACCAGAACAAAACAAGCCATCGTAGATCCACATTTATACACTGGTTATGATTCAAACTCTACCTCTAAATAGCAATAATAATGCAATAATAAACTCATTTCCAAGTGTTCTGTTCGTGGATGGCCACTAAACCTACTTCACGTCCCGAGACCAGGATGCTGTGTCATCCGTCCGGATTCGAGTCGGTTCGCATGACTACCGCATGTGGATGGCGGGTGGCGGGTTGACTGGATATTGGAGTACATACCAGCATACCAACACCAACCACATTCCTACCTTCCTACTGCCTATTCCCCAGTTCTATCTCTCCAGTTCTCTCCCTATAGTTCCACGAAGATAACGAGGTATCCACCTTCTACAATACGAAATCCAATCTACGCAAGATCCTCTCAAATTCAGCGAAAACGTCCCATTTTGCCCATTAAGTAGATACATGACAAGTCATTTCGGGGGGGGGGGAAAGATAAAGAAATGAAGAGAGAAAAAGGCGGAGAAGCAAGAGAGCCCACACAGTGAAACCGGCCAGGATAGAGAATCCAGAATTTCGCAGACTCAGCAAGCAGGATGTTTCATCTCGGGGTGCGTGCTGTAAATGTCTCAGCTACAGACACAGACACCGGGAAGGATACAAGAAGGGGAAGGTGAGAAAGGGAAAAGATAAATGGAGAGTTGTGTGGGACATTCCTGCCAAATGTGGGAGATCAAAGAGCAGCATGATTGGTATTCATCAGAACGTAAGAAAAGAAGAGAGAGAGAGGGAGGAATACTGAGAAGACATCGGTCGCCGTTTACTCCTCATCCTCATCCGGCTGATCGAACAGGAAGTTGGCGGCCAGCTCCTCGTTCTTATCACAGGCGAAGTAGGCCTGGATGACGGAATCCCGGGGGAAACCCAGACGGCACAGCTGTAGAAGAAAGTCAGTCAAAATATTCCTAGAGAAACCGGGTCCATCCCAATACATACACGCTCAATCGCATCACGCTCCTCCTCCGTAACCGAAATCGCCTGAGTACCCGGAGGCAGAGCCTCGTCATCTTCACCAAGGTCCTCAGCAAGCAGCTGAAGGAACTGTTCAGAGTTTTGTCCGATAATCTGAGCAATCTGGGGGTTACCAGCGGCAACCTGCTGCAGAATGGGCTCGAGCATCTGAGGTTGCTGTTGTACCAGCTGGCGGAGCTGCTGGAAGTGGGGGTTGCTGCGAAGGAAATCCAAGTTTGCGTCACCACCGGCCGCGCCACCAGCACCTCCGGACCGAGCACCACGACCACCACCCTCACCAGCCTGGGCAGCAGCCTCGAACATGTTGAAAGGTTCATCGCCACCAAGAGCTTCGCCGACAGCAGGAGCCTCGGCATGAGTTTCGGTCTGCTCCTGCTCCTGCTGTTGTTGCTGTTGCTGTTGCTGCTCACGCTGGGCGCTCTCGGGGATACCCTGGAGCGAGATAAATTGTCAGAAGGGGCGGGATTGGAGAGGGGGTCCAGAAAAATTGCTCACGTTCAACAAGTACTCAATAGCACGGTCCGGGTTGAAGAAAGCAGCGCGCATGGCGCGCTCCACCATAGGTCTTTCGAATCCCATGGCTTCCATCTGCTGCATGGCACCCTCGGCGGCACCGCCCATGGCCAGGGCAGAAGGATCACCAAAGGCCGCGGGCTCATTGGCTTGTGTGGTGGCACCGCCAGCGGGGGATGGGGTGGCTGGTACAGCGGGGGTGGAACGAGTGGCGGGTGCGGGAGCAGCAGGAGCGGGAGCAGCGGGCGTTGCAACGGGGGCTCTGGCGGCGGGGGTTGAGGGAACCGAAGAAGCAGCGGAGGAGGGGGCAGCCTTGGGTTGCTTTGAGAAAAGTTAGTACGAAGATGGATGGGCATAGAGGATGTAGTCCACCCCGAGATCCAAGCGGAGGAAGCAGTATTTCTTTTCGTACCTTGGCGGGCAAGCAGACTAGGAAATCCTTCTCTTGAATGTTGTAGGACTCGACGGTCTTGTCATCTTGGAGGATCTTGCCTATACAGGGGGAATGTTGGTTAGCAGACATGTCCGGTAAGCAATAGAGCTATTCCATGGCTAGATAGAGTCTGCAAGGCAAAAGAGTAGCATCTCTGCTAGCCTCCGCAGCCCATCGACCCTTTCCACATCCAAAATCACATACCAGAGTAGATGACCTTCATCCGTTCCGCGCCATAATCAGGTTTTTCTTGAGAGATCTTCTCCTTGACCTGTCGGACCTATAACAAGGCGAAAAAAAAAGAAGACAAGGTCAGCCCCGCACCGAGTGGCGTCGAGCAAGCCCATCGCAACAGAGCAGTAGGAGAAAAGTTGAACGTACAGTTTCGGAGGGTTCGACCTCGATCACGAACTTCTCCTGCTTGAGATCCTATACAACCGGTAAAAAGTCGTCAGCACATCTGTCAACGGGTAGGATGGCTCGATGGCGAAAGGGCTAGAGGGGAACGGACCTTGAAGGTAAGCTTCATTTTGGCGTCCACTGGGAGATGTGGAGGGCAGAAACTAGGATAGGAGGGGAGGTAGAGGCAGGACCAATTTCAGAAATGGTCTGTCGAAGGGGGATGGATGGTGGAAAAGGATGGCAAAGCCGATGGTCCAGGGTCGAAGGTCGAAAGAAGTTGAGAGGGGCGCAAAGAAGTGACGATGTTGGCTAATGCCTGAGGCGGTGCCTGAGGCGGGACTGGCTTCACCGCCCCACTTGTTTTAGTTACGGGGAGTTTGCATAGTTTGGATTGATGTATACAATGGTGATGATAGTACTGTAGTGTAGAAGCTTGATGATCATTATGAAAGACTTGCTGAGTTTTTGCCATGATCTGTCAGGCCTGTCAAGTTGAATGTGCATTGACTGATCTCGTTGTTGTGTGTCTTACTCGTGACGGACATCCCGTTCTCATGATGAACCTCGGGCTAGGCACGAAGCTACAATTCGCAGCTCAAAATCAATCAAGGGGCCCGTGGCTGAGCATGCAATGCAGTTTCTCAAGTGATGCCCAGACTGATATTCCAAATCTCAAGCTTTGCTCGGTTGCATTGAGCACAGACAGGTCTTCTCCACCATCCATGTCAAAGGCCTCTCGCTTATGAGGAATCAACCCACAAAAGCCCTGGACAAAAGTGCAAATTGACAAATGATGCAGGACAATAGACAATGTCTGATCACTTCTCCAGGATCATGCAAGTACATATCCTCGACCTCCCACTCCTCTAGCCTCGATCGCGATCGACGGGATCCAGCGGTCCAGCCCATTGTCTACATTCCCAGGGACCTGGTCAGTATCCAAGACCCATCGAGCCTATCGGGACCAGTCCCTCGGATCGGAATTCTATATACATACTTCCAGTCTCAATAGATCCATAACCCCAAGAATTGACACCGACCAACAAAATCCCACGCTAAACCGTCTCCTAGTCTCTTTTAAGGGGGAAGTCGAAAGATTGCCGTCAGTGCCGAGTGACAGCTCACATTCAGCCGCATCGGAGATCGGGAGGGGCGATCCGCTTTGATGAACCCAGTAGACCGTCTCGCTTGATTCGGGTCATGCTGGATGGATCATATAGATAGTGCAGAGGCTAGCGCGATGATGGACGAGACTATAGGAAAGATAATTTCCTCCTCTTAGCTGGTCCAGCCCTGTCAAGTGGGAATCCTGGGGTAGTGAGTAGACTCGGAGGATTTTTTAAGATTGTGGTAATGATAGTCCAGTTCTAGATTGATGTACACAGCCATTTGGATATATCAACTTGGTACTAGAAACTAATTAGAGTGTCGCATTGGCTTGACAGGACTGCTAATCTACTGTTAGCCTGTTACTACTGTATCCCACCACAACTTTTACCCCCGCAGACTCTAACCACCATCCCGGGTGGATGGGTCAGATGGATCATGGTTCTAGTCTGCCGAAAAATGACAGGTTGGACTCAACTTGCAGAAGTGTGCATCGGAATATGCTCGATATACTTCGACGCCACGCTTTTCGCTACACTTTCGCCCCGTCCCGCATCCACGCGAACTGCAGTCATCAATATCATAAATATGAGCCATTGCCCTCGTCCTGCAGGGGGTGAAATATCTCTTGATCATCGTCGGGTACTCTGGATATCTGGTCTTTCTGACAGTTTTAACCACCCAACGTGGACGCATTCTTTCAAGGCCGTCGTGCGGGCCGGAATCAGGTTACTGAGTGCAAGACTCGGCAGTCGTTCATGATACTTTGTGTCTGATTATCACTCTGGTTCTGGTTTAGCACACGCTACTACGTTCTTTATCTTCGTCTTTCGGTTTTACTCTATTCATTCCTTCATCATGTCTTCTGCAATGCTCGTATACTCCCTCGCTGGAGCTGCAGTACTATCTGCCATTATCACCACCATTCTCAACGGCCTCGCCTATGCCGCACTGCAATCATTACCCTCGCACACCACAACTACCGGACTAGCTCCTGTCCTCATCAGCATTCTGACATGCATCACCCTGCTGGCTCTCAGCCTGCTCATCCACAAAGACGTCCGCAGTGATATCCGCTGGTCACCATTGAAAACCGTCATCTTCTACTTCACCGGAGTATACCTCCTCATTAGCGCCGTGTCTATTGCCGGAACAATAGCCTCAAACGATCTATATAACCCACTCCACCAAGGAAACATCTTCATCGCCCGCTCCATCTTCTGGGCTCTCTCCATCCTTACACAAGGCCTCTACTACGGCTTCCTCCTGGTAACTCTGGCCCAACGCAAACAAGGCCAAGATTGGCCACGCTCCTATACCCAGGAACTCAAATCGCTCTCCGAAAGCCCAGAGCCAGTCCGCTCCCCAGCTCGGACACTCTGCGATCCATACCCAGAATTGAAACAATTCGACACCAGACGCTCCTCGCTGCGCAAGTTTCCGCGGCGCTCGAATCGTTTCTCGGGTGGTACGATCTGCGTCGAGAGCACGCGTACAAAGCATGACTCTTTTGATACGAGTTCATCAACACTGTCTTCGCCATCACCCTCGCCAACAACAGAGCATCTACCCATGCACACGCAACAACAACCACAATCGTCTGACCCCTTCGCAGACCACAACACCCATCGCCTTCCCCTCCGCAACCCCAGCTTCAAAAGCATGCCCAGTCTCCGCCGCGAAAACAACATCCACCTCTCACTAGACAGTCTCGTCCAACCCTCAACTTCAACCTCCCCCACAGCCTCAAGTCTGGCCCTCGACTCCCCATCAGGTTCAACACTAACTCTCCCCGAGACATACGCCTTCTACGCCCCTAACACCAAACCCCATCCCAATGCCTATGCCAATCCCCATTTCCGTGGGCTCCCTTCATCATCACTATCCCTCCCCTCCTCCCCCACATTCCCCCCCCAACTCAACCCGCGAACAAAACATCCACCCGCTCTTCCGCTCAACGAGTCCCTGTCCCAGCCCGACACCACTACCTGGTAGCACGGTGAAGGCCTCCCCCGTCTGCTGGCCAGACGATTACGCAAAAGACGCTGACAAGGATGAGGTCTGCGCGGGAGTTGAGGTCGCTGAGGAAGGAGGATTCGCCTGGGGCGGGGATGTGGATGGGAATGGGGAGGGCTGGGTATGTGCGGAGGAGTGTGACGCAGTATGAGAAGAGGGGGGATTTGAATGAGTTGGTGGAGGAGGAGAGGTGACGATTAAGATTGGATGTGGGATTGGATAGGATGGGATTGGGATTGGGATTTGTAGTCTCGTTTCAGCTTGATTTTTTTTGCTTTCTTTTCTTGTTGAAGATTGGGATATGGGATTATCTCGGGATATGATGCAGATGGATATGGGACTGATGATTGATGTACAAATGGGTTTGGATAATGTTCTATTGTTTCTTTTTTGGGGATGTGTTTTTGTATAGGAGTAATGTAATTGATATGGACTGATGCTATTCATCATAATCATGGAGTCGTATGTAGTAGACTAGAGACCAACACCACATCGGCCTTGGTACCATGGCCTTCCTTTTTATAGTAATCAACTTACCAAGGCCGAGAATGACTCTCTTTCTGATTAGAATATTCACATAAAGAACCGTTTCATGCAATCTATCTCCATCTCCATGTGCTCCGTATTCTAAATTGCGATTACCAGGAAAGGGATAGCCGCGGGTTTCTATGCGAGCAACGAGGTCAATTTCCAGCCAACAATATGATGAAATAAACAGTAGACAGCAATATTCCAAGCTTAATCCAGAGTATTCTTTTCCAGAATAATATCCCCGAGGTAGCCTTACAAACTGGCAGTGTAGTCTAAAAATCGCCGCGTTCGTCGGTTTTCGAAAGTGGGTCGAGCCGTTTATTTTTTTTTTCGGTCAGAGGCGGACGCCCAGGAAGGCAGCTAGCTCAACTACTTCCAGGACCTACAAACCTCGACCAAGTAGCCTGTGAACACGAATAGGTAGACCATCCAAAAGGCATCACTTTCCATGTTTGCTATTGTTCTCGAAAGGTAGCCTTGGAGAGCTCGATTCTTGCCTTGGGGATTCTTCTGCCTTCTGGGGGTCGCCCAAATACTTAAGCAACCTTTCCAACTCCCCCAGACCGGATCTTCTTTTCCTTTCCCCATCAACTCGCCAACTCTCCAACTCTCCAACCGCGCGAGAAAAACCACTTTTTCTGCCCCTTCCACTGCGGACTACTCTACTTCACCTACTATCAACCACCACCACCAACAATCCTTTTCCTTTTCCTCTTCCCTTCTTCCACCACTTCCAATCTTCCTTTCTTCCTCTCCCCAACTCTCATCATCAACACCTCCGACAGGGGCATCTCGCCCATTTTCATCCATTCCATCCATTTCCATCTCGTTTCGTCCTTCTCCGCGCTTCCCCTTGCGTCTCTTGCTCGGAGCAGAGACGACTGTCAACTGGCGAGGACCCGGGCACCAACCACAGCCCGGTAGATCCTCCGAATCATCCTCAGAACCACTTTTGGTTCTTCTCTTCACTTTCTTCATTTCCGACCTCCCGAAACTTCTCTACTTCCGCCACTGGTAAGTCTCTTTCTCTCACTTGTGTGACTACGCGACGTGTCTACTTGTTGTTTATGGGGTTCGTGTGTCTTTTTCTTCCCCTTCATCGTGGTCCTGGTCGTGTCGCCCCTGGTGCATCGAGCCAAGTACTGGTGGATCGCCCTGCGTATGCTTGCTTCATGCTTCATCCCGATTTTGTTGCGATATCATACGCTTGTCTGGGCTTTAATCCAACCTCCCCTGCTCCACACATTTCTACACACTCCATCATCATCACCATCACCATCCTCATCATCTCCGTCTTATTCTCTGCATCTCCATCATCTCTATCATCACCATCTTCCCATATCCTCATCTTCCATCTCCAAATCTCCCACCCCGGCGACATCCAATCTCGTGTCGCTCATCTCACCTGTTTTGGGTAACTGGTCCTGCCTCATCCATCATCTACCCTGAGCACTCCTCTGTCTTCCCTTTCTTCTGTTCTCCCACTTCCTCACTCTTCCACTACACCCATTCTGTTCCCGCAGCTGTTCATCTCATCATCCCCGCGCATTCCACGACTCCTCCTCTCTGCCTTGTCTTTGATTTCTATGAAAATTCGCGACAAATGAAAGATCCATCTTACTGACTCTCATTCAATCAAGACCCTCGAGATGGTGGGCCGACGTGGAAAGCGAGGCGCGCCGGCGGCCAATCCCACCCCGGCGACGCGCTCCTCCCGCAATCCCCCCGGTAAGTTTATTCCCCCAGTCTGATCCCATCATGATGGTATCCAGCCTCAACCTATGTTTACCCCTACCCTTTACTTGTGTTATCTTCATCTACCATTACGCCCCCCATCCCTCTCCCATTCTTTTCATTCACTAATCTATTTTACAGCCTCCTCCCAACCTTCCTCCCGTGCCCGGGGCCGCGGCCGTGGCAGAGGTCGGTGGGCCAATCACTGGGCCAACCGTCTTCTGCCCGGTCGTGCTGCACCCGCGGACGACCAAGGGGAGTCGCCTCGTCGCTCCCACATCCTCAAGTTCAAGCTCCCTTCCCTCCGGAAGTTGGAGCTCGGACCCTCTTCGACTTCGTCCGCCCCAGTTCAGGCCGATGCACCCACCGCTGCCAGCACGCAGCCAGAGACGCCTCGCGGCCGGCGTTCCAAAAGGGCAATGGCGGTTCCGGAATCATCCCGTACCACCCGCCAGTCTGCTCGTCTCAAGCCTTCGGAAGAGAGTGCTATTGCTCAAGAAGCCTCCCCCGTTGACGATGCAGCTGGTGTGGTGGACGGTGATGCGGACGCCGGCGCCAACGCCGATGCCGATGCAACCGATCTCGAGGAGCACAGTACATCTCCCGAGCAATCGCAATCCGAGGACGTCGAGTACGCCCCCAGAATTCGTCTTCGACTCAGCCCACCAAAACCGCCCACACAACAATCATCAACGGATCAGGTCACAGATCCGGACCACCCTCAGGACTCAACAAAGGTCCCTGCCTTGCCCGATGCCTCGCAACAGCCCTCACAGCCAGTCTCACAGAAGACCGAGGGCGAGCATCAGTCACCCGTGCTGCCCGCACCCGCCACCGCCTCTTTCTCGCCTCGACTCTCTCGAAAGCGCAAATCCTCCGAACTCAAGGATGAATTCGAGTCCGCGGAGATGCCAGACCCGAGTGCCACTGCTACCAAAAAACTCAAGCTCGAAGACAGCGAGCTTTCCGCCCATTCCCAAGAGCAGACGGGCATCTCGACTGGCATCTTCGCTGGCCCGACAGCGCAAGAGTCGTCTTCCCCCGCCGACAATGGCACCTTTCCCGATGCCCCTTCCGTCGATCCCGTCCCGTCCATCGAAGATCCTGCTGCGAGCGGACGAGGACGAGGACGTGGACGTGGACGTGGACGGGGACGGGCTCGTGGTCGTGGTAGCCGAGGAGGAGCAGGTGGTCGTGGTGGTGCTCTCGGGCCGACCCGAGGAGCAGGCGTGCCTGGCCGTGGTGGCCGAGGACGTGGTCGTGGTCGCGGTTCCGCCGCCGTCGCTATTCGGCGCGGCGGTAAGCGAATCGAAGACGAAATCTGGGACAGCGAAAGCCGGCGCCGGACCCCTTCTCCAGTGCCCGCCACTCAGCCGCTCAAGGATCGAGCTGAAGAGTTGGCGGCGCTGTTCAAGAAGGTGGGCCAGGCCCAGCAGCTGGCTTTGAGCGTGCTGGCAGAACGGTCGATGCAGACCATTGCGCGAGACAAGAACGCGCATTTGGACTGCCCTGAATACGACCAGGTGATGCGCGACCTGGCTGAGGAGCAGCGCCGAGCGTTGACTCGGTACCGAGCTCAGTATGATCTCAAGGTGGAATCCGCAGAGAAGGTCCACCAGGGCAATTTGTTCATCATTGAACAGAGGACGAAGGTATGTACTAACTGATTTCCCTTTCTGATATTGAGCACAAATTGGTGCATTCTCTGTTCAGTTGATAGCTGACTTCTTATCTCTTTCAGGCCCAACTTCAGAACATCAAGGAAGAGATGTTCCTGGCGGCACGAGGGAAATACATTGAACTCGTTGCCGGTCGCCGTGCCGCAGAAGACGATGAACACACAGAGGTGAGTTTCAATCCATTTCACATACAGTTTGACGTCAATACTAACAAATTACTTTACAGACCGACGGATCAGACGGCGAATCCGACGGACCCCGCTACCTCTTCCGCATTGGCAAAGCTGGCCTGCGTGAAGTGGAGCGGGGGTTCATCGCCGAAGCAGTGCGTGTGCCAGACGGAGCGGCCGCCTACGAGCGTGGTGAGCAGGAGTGGGAAGACTTTATCATGAAGGTTCGACTGGGCGAGGACCTCAACCCACAAATGCAAGCTCTCGACTACTCCATAGAAGCTTCATTGGACTCAATCAACCGTACAGTGGAGTCTCTTCTTGAGGCTGCCCGCACCGTGGCAGAAGAGTCCGAAGGTCCGCGAAGCTACGATGGAGCAGCCGATGTCTCAAAGGCGCTCTCCGTTCTGGCCGACACTGCCCTCTCCGACCCGCGACCTGCCCATTACCCTCAGATGCGCCCAGACCAACACATGACTGGCCACCATGCGTTGCTGCCGCAGGGACATCAGGGGGTTAATGTGGCAGTGGCACCTCCACCTCCTCCGGGCATGACCCATGGCCCAACCGATCCGCGGTCATTCATCTTGCCGCGACCAACCCCGACCCAGCAGCCGCGTCGCTTGCTGCCTGCTCGGTCGCCGTTGGGCATGGGTCTGCCCGACCCCTTCGCCATGAACGGGCCCCCGCAGTTGCCTCCACCTATGGGGTCCAATTTCCAGCGACTACCACTCCCTTCGTGGTCGCATGGAGCCCCCCAGGGTGGTGTGCAGCAGCCCGGGCCCGGACATGGTCCGGGAAGTACAGGGTCTCACGGTGGTCCCGCTCCTCCTCACGGCGGGGGTCCACCGTCCTTGTACTATCCGGGACCGCAACAACCCCGGCGGTACTGAAGGGGTTTCTCGTGTGATAGTCATGAGTCCATGAGAGGAGAAGATGGAGTGGGAAGGAGGGTAGGGGGATACAGAGAGGAGACGTGGATGGTGGTGGGACACGTTTCCGTTTTTTTCCCCCGTGAGTGCTGCGTCCTGGTGCTCTCCGGTTATGGCTGGATTGAGCTCGGCCGGCCACGCCTTGATTTTGATCCGTTGTGCGTGCTGTGTTTGGTGCTCTCCAGTATTCATAGCTGGATTGAGGTCGGCCGCTTCGCCTCGGTGAGATATCTTGTGCGTGTGCCGGTTGGTGCTCTCCAGTCTAGCTGGATCGAGCTCGGCGGCGACGCTCTGGTTCCTTTTTTGGGCGTGTGCTGCGTTCTGGTGCTCTCCGGCGTCCCCATAGCTGGATAGAGACCGGCGGCAACGCCTTTGTATTTTATTTCTTTTTTCGTCGTTCGCGCTGGGGCTGGGGTTCGGATCGTTTTGTGTCCTTTTTTTTTGCTTCGTTTTCATACCCCTCACATTTCTTTCAGCGACGGCGTTAATGTGATGTCTATTTCCATTTGGAATTGAGATTTTCGATTCAGATTTGATTTACTGTAGGCCCGTATAGTAAGAGGTTTTATTGTAAGTCTTGTAGAATATGTTGTAGAATAGGTTCTGGAGTAGGTTCTGGTTGGATGGGGTGTTTGGAGGTTAGGGCTTGGGATTTGGCAGATGGATTTGCTTGGGAATAAGGTGGAATTTGGAATGTAAATTTGGAATGTATAATACAGGGCATGTCGAGTATAATATAGATGGTGGTTGAGGTTGATATTGATGGCAAAGGCCAGACTACTACTAGCATAGAGGCGAACATACTCCATGCTCAGTAATCCGGAATCATAATGGATAATTCATCTATAATCCATAATTTAATCACATAGCCTCCTATTCAATTCTAATATGTTCAGCCTCTTCGTATACTAGTAAACTGCGCCTCAATACTCTCATGACTCGAACCAGAGCCCGTCAAGATGAGACAGGATGAGTCAGTGTAGAGCGGGAAGTACTGAGTACAAAGTCTAATATACATCTTGCTAGTAAATAGGAGTATCGAGTACTTTGTGTTGGTGATGAGTCGATCGACTCCATCAAGCGGGTCCAGTTTCGCGGGCCGCTGATTGGCGTGAGCTTTTGGTTTTTACATTTTGGTGCTTTCTTGCAAAGTGGGAATTTGCTGGGCTGTACAGAAGAAAATACATGCAAGTAAATAGGTATAGAGATTTAAGATAAATAATAAGAATACTCCCATTCGATCCCATCTACGTGTAATTCATACAATATTCATTTTAAAGCTACTCTCGTGGTCTGATTCTCTTCTTACTGCTCACTCTCTCACCTTCCGTCTCCACCGCATCCGAGCTTTTTTGCGCTGACTTTGCATCGCTTTCTCCAACGGCTCTTCCTCTTCCTCTTCTTCTCTTTTTCTCCCACGATACCCTCCACCAACATCCATCCACACGGACACCTACTCACAATGGCTGTCCGCGCTCAATTCGAGAATTCAAATGAGTGAGTATCCCCCCTCCAACACCCCTCCTCCAAACCATTCTTTCCTTCCCCTCCTCTTTCTCTTTCTCTACCCCTCCAAACCAACCACCCCAACTAATCTTCTTCCCCCTCAGAGTCGGCGTCTTCGCCCGCCTAACAAATTCCTACGCCATCGTCGCCGTCGGCGCCTCGGAGAACTTCTACTCCGTCTTCGAGTCCGAACTCCAAGACGTCATCCCCATCTGCCACGCCACGATCGCCGGAACCCGAATTGTCGGCCGTTTGACCGTGGGAAACAAGAATGGTCTGCTTGTGCCTACAACGACTACCGATCAGGAATTGCAGCATTTGCGAAACACTCTCCCCGATGCGGTCAAGATCCAGCGGATAGAGGAGAGACTTAGTGCTCTGGGAAATGTTATCTGTTGTAATGACCATGTTGCGCTCGTGCATCCGGATTTGGAGAGGGAGACTGAGGAGATGTACGTCGAAGCCCCGGGGAAGATTTTTCAATTTTGACCTTCTGGGGAGGGGAGGGAAAAGCGAAAACTTTCATTCCCGTTTTACAGTGGTGAAAATCCCTGCTAACTCTTTTTTCCTTTAGTATCGCCGACGTCCTCGGCGTCGAAGTCTTCCGCCAAACAGTCGCCGACAACGTCCTAACCGGCTCCTACATGGCCCTCTCCAACCAAGGCGGTCTCGTGCACCCGAAAACCTCCATCCGCGACCAGGACGAACTCTCCTCCCTCCTGCAGGTTCCCCTCGTGGCTGGTTCCGTGAACCGCGGTTCGCCCGTCGTCGGCGCTGGTATGGTCGTTAATGACTGGCTGGCTATTACGGGTTTGGACACGACTGCTACCGAGTTGAGTGTTGTTGAGAGTGTTTTCCGGTTGGGTGAGATGGCGCCTGGTGGTGCTGGTGCGGGTGTTAATAAGGAGAGTATTGTGGAGAGTTTCTACTAGATGGGTCATGGCAGCGGTATGAGGAAGATGTCTTTCAGAAAAGGGAGACTTTGGGCTGGTCTGGGCTTGTTGGGACTTGGGAGATGGGTTCTACATATTGGACCTGGATCTGGACTTTTGAGTCTTGCACTAAACACCAATACCAACCAACATCAACACCGACTCCGACACCGGTGGATGAACCCGGACTCGGACTTGCACTCTTGACACTTGATACTTGACTCTTGACTCTCTGGGGTGGAGTTGTCCTTTTTTCTCTCGTTTCTTTTTTTTTTGGTTACATACTTAGGTCCGGCAATGATGATTGATGACCATTCTTTGTTTTTGCTGGGGTTTGATGTATTGTAGAAGGATGGCGATGGTGTGTAAATGGTGAGTACTGTATCTATGATCGAGAGGGATTGGAGAGAAGGACCGAGTCTTTGGTTTGATATACACAAAGACAATGGTTAGTCATAGGTAGTCATACAACCTGAGTGGCCGTGGTCATGTCATGGCTGATCTTCCTGGGTACGCTATATCAATTTCCCTCTTTTATATCCAGTTTACCTTATACTATCCATTAGTAAACAGTATACTAGACTATATAGGGAAATGAGTTGTATCTACCGGGCATACACGAAACATACATCAAAATTCTTGTAAATTATAAAGATGGACGCGCATGCTGATGCTAAGAATGAGAATGAGCATGATGAGTGCAGTTCTACCTATACTAGGACTGGAATTTGATTTTTTTTGACTTAGATTATCTGGTACTTTACTCTCTCTATCGCCTTCTCATCACCGAGCCCAAGCCTGAGGCTATGGCCGAGACCGAGACCTGATCGAGACCAAGGCTAACTATAACTAAGAAAGGGAGGTCAGTTCATTAAACATCAAGAAGATAGGTACTCGTCACCTATTTCTTCCGAAAAGTAGCATCACATCACATTGCATTGCATACAACGGCTGTAACAGAAAAGCCGAGTTCAGAATAGTAGATAATCAGAGGCGTGCGAATAGCTAGTACTCCCGTCCAGCTATACTGCTAATGCTAATGCTACATGCCAAATGGCATGGTTCAAGACTACGAACAGAACAGATACCAAGGTACCCATGCCTTGTCGTATAAGATCCACAATGCGTAGTATATCCCATTCCAGTCTCCAGAGAAGAGAAGAGAACAGGATACTACAATAGTAATAGGTCAGTTCAGATCAGATCAGTTCGGTTCAATTCAACATAGAATGTACACTATCAACATAAACCACAGGTGACCACCAGCAGCCCTCCAAAAGAAAGACAAGAACAAAACCCAATGCGAATGCCAATAACATTAAAAGGGAACCATCCCAAACTCCTGAATTGCAACTATGATCGGGGGGTATTCTCAAATACGTTAGCTACCTAGCTAGCCAGAAAAAAAGTCACAAAGGACCAAAGGAACCAAGGAACAAAAGCATGCCCAAAAACAGGCGCACGAGTCGCACTCTGCGAGTGGAGAAACAAAAATAAAATCAGAGACAGGAAAACTGGGAAAAGAGCAAGAATATGGGAAGTACAATGAACCGAGTGGGTTTTTTGACCTTTTGAGGTCTGACGGGCGGGGGATATGTGGGAAGAAAAGGAAGATGATGTTGGGATGGACGATGGTAGGAGAATGGATGGATAGGACCAGGTGATAAGGTCGGAAGGGATGGATAAGACACGTTCTAGAAGGTAAAGAAAAGGCGAAGGACAGGGCAAGGGAAAGGAGAATAAGAAATGGGAGGGGGGATATCGATCAACACCCCATGCATGCATGCATGCATAAAAAACACGAAAAGGAAACGCTTTTGCCCTCCCAAATTCAAGAAAAAAAATCGGAAACTAAGTAAGCCCCATCCTTCCCTTGGGAACAATTCTGAAAGGGGGAACAGCTGGTAGACAAGACGAAAAAGAAAGAAATTCCAGTCCAGTCTGACTGAATCCACCGGGTTACAGTCAAACCATTCTCCCCCCTGTGCCTGTCTTCGTACCGGGATCCACCAGTACCTGCATGAGCATGAGCACGAGCACCGAGGACCTCATAGCACCCCAAAAAGCGAGAGCGAGCGCTATGTCTGTCCCTGGACACTGAGAACAGCCGGCCGGGTCTGGATATCGACCATCTCAACATCAGGCCCGCCATCACCGGGGTAATCCTTCGACTTTGGTTCCTGTGCTGAAGGTGGTGAGACAGATGTATCGGGTTCATCTGCATCTGCGGGCGTATCCATAGGTGGAGGTGGAGGTGGCGGGGGTGGAGGAGTAGATTTTTGACGCTTAGATGGTGAACTATCCACTTCCGAAGTGGGATGTGTGTCTTCGCCAGGCGTAATTGGATTATCATCGCGTTTACGCTTGAGCGTGGACGTGGCAGAGTCTTCGTCCATGGGCGTGGGAGGTTCGATGCTGGGTTCTGGGTCGGGATGTGTGTTGTTGTTGGGTGAGTGGTCGGACATTTTAACGTCTGGTGGCGTGCTGTGGTTTGTGGTAGCGGTGGTGGTGGGATTAGGGTTGGAGGAGGAGGCTCGTCTCTGGGCTTTCTCGGCCTCGCGCTCCTTGTGCTTGACAACGGCTTTGTCGAAGTAATCCTTGGTGAAAGATTTGACGGTCTTTTGGTGTTTTTCACTGATCGTGGTTGGGTCTGTGACGCGATTCTTTTTGTAATCACCTTCCACGAGCTTCTTGGCGATCTGGGGAAGTCGTTAGACTTTGTAAATTGTAAAGCGAAGGAGATGTAGACGTACCTCTTTGGCAAACCGCTTCAAATCATCTCTCTTGAGCTTGTGCTTGTAGCGATCCATGACATGCTTGATGGTGGGACTCAACTGATAGGTCAATGGTGTCAGCAGGAGATTCGACGAAATCCACAACAGAGTTAAGATATGCTCTTCCAGCTACGTACCGTGTTCTCATAGAGAATCTTCTGCTTCTCCAAAGAAAGCTTCTTCCACCAATCCGCCTCCTTCTTTTTCTTCTCCGGCTGTGGATCAGACGAGGCCTGGGGCGTCCCAGGCGTGGCAGACTTCTGTTCAGACGGCGTCTTTTCTTGCGAGTTCACAATTCCATCGATGATGCTCTGCAGCGCCTGATTACGCTTGTTCGGAGCAGCGACAGATGCAGCTGGAGCAGTGGGCCGTGTCCATTGCGTCGCACCGGCTGCTGTGTAGTAATACACTCGACCCTCGGTTTCTGCGGCAAACCAGCCCTCAGGTAGAGGCTGGCGATTGCGAGCATCATGGCGACGGTCTCGGCGTGATCGTCCGCCTGCTGGTCCGCCGGCACCAGGGCCACCACCTCCATGGTGATGTACATTTCGGTCTCGTCGTGGCTGACCTCCAACGCCATGTGGTCCTCGCGGCTGTGGCTCCACGGGTGTAGGGGAGCGACTTGCGGATCGCTGTTGTTGTTCTCGTCCGGATTCACGACGCTCGAATTGGTTCACAGCTGGCTTGGCTTGTTGATCGCCTCGCTTCATCCGTGGAATACGATATCCGACCTCCAGGTTAGCCCAGCTGGCTAGCAAAGCCACGGCCTTATTTGCCACTCGCTCATCATCGCCTTCAGTCAATGGCTGGATATTCGTCTCAATCTTGGAATCAATGATCTTGTTCCTCGTCAAACGAGGGAACTGGTCCAGAATATCCAGAATTTGCATGACCACGTTGTGATCTTCCTTCCACATGGCCAGCTGCGAGTTGAGAATTTGATAACCGTGCATCTTGACAACGCGATTCCGGACACGCTCATCCTGGCATCGTTGAATACGCCCCAGAAGTTTAACGGCAATCCACTTCTCCTGGCATTGCATGAGTGCGGCCATGACCTTGGTCACGCCATCCTCATCCAGCGACTTGGGCTGCACGCTGTCCACGTACTCTTCATCGGCTTCTTCCGTCTTCTTCTTGCGGGGTCGACGAGCTACAACCGTGTCCCAGCCATCTGAATCGTCAATACCCAGGGCTTCAATAGTCGCATTGGACAGCTTGGTCGCCCGTTCAGTCTGAGTCCGTCCACCGATGAATCCTGTACAGTTTGGCTCTCCGCAATAGCACGGTTGTGGATCCGCACCGTATCGATCAACGTTGTAGTTGAAGACGAGCTCTTCACCAGCTTGAACCGCACGCTCGGCAAAAATGCCCATGCGCATCTTCTCGCCCACCACCCACTTGTCGACATAGCAGTTGGGGTTGCAGGAATGGTTGCAGAAGCGGCCGAGATTGCCTCGTTTCGTCGCATCCACAAATTCACCTTTGTTCAAGGACATAAAGTAGAAGTGTTTGATGCCCTCTTCATCATATTGTCTCATCCGACGGCGGAACTGAGGTTCACCGACCACCTCGCCGACATATTCGAAGATCAACTGGTGCGGATCCAGGTCGACCTCTGCACGCAATCCGAATCCTTTCTTTTCGGTCTTGATGACGGCAACAGGCGCGTATTGCTTCTTTTGAAATCGCTGGTTTCGACAATCTGGTCCGCAACCACAGTCGCCCACGCACTCGATCTTGGTCGCCCGGTTGATGCAATCGGAGTCTTCACCACATGCTGAATTCTGACCGGCTTCGGAGTCTGTTGAAACAGAGATGATGAAATTGGTTAGTAAAGATTATAAATGGAACAATGGAACACACGCGGAGGGTATAAGGCAGTTTCAAGGGGAAGCAACGAATCCGTTGGAATAGACGCCCTCCTGCGATGCACCATCCGAAGAACGCCTTATGTAGGATTCCACCAAGAGAGGAAATCTCTCCCCTCTCCGGTCCAGGTGGCGACACCGCAACAGTGCAAACGATTCAAGATAGAGAGGAAGCCAAAACCAGACGTAAAAAATAAGACATACCCCACTCCTCAGCACAGTCGCATTCCATCGCATGCTCAGTATACCCCATGTACTTATTCGCATACCAGCAAGACTCAATCTGTTCAAACGTAGCCAGCGCATCCGCGGTGCTATCCGGCAAATGCGAGAATAGCTGCGGTGGCCCTCGCGCAACCTTCTGCGAAGAGCTTCGGGATAGCTTCGGCGGTTGACCCGGTTCTTGCTTGACGACGATGTCGCCGCCTACGGTCTCCTGCTTCATGTCGGAGTCGAACTTGACTGCGCCCGGATCGGAGCTCGGCGTCTTCCCAGGACTGTCGTTGGGAGGTGTGTTGGCGTCGGCGGAGGATTCTTTCTTGAGACTGGGGTGAGGTGAGCGGGAAGAGCGCGAGGAGTGACCATTATTTTTGAGAGAGGTGCGGCCGTGGCCGTTCACTGCCGCGGGCGAGTCCATCTTGGTGGATGCTGGCTCGGAGTCCGCGTTGTCATGGGCAGACATGACGAACACGGACTACGGGTGGGGGATTGAGAGACGTGTTGGAGATGGAGAAGACGGGTGTAGACGTGATAGTGATGATGAAGTTGATGGTGGTAGTGGGAGTAATACTAGAAAGAAAGTCGAGAAGGAGACTCCTCGAGGGAAGTTGAGGTGTAAGAGAGAGAGAGAGAGAGAGGGAGAGGGAGAAAGTAGAGATGCACAACTTCATTCAAAAGATAATCCTAAACTGACTGGCCGGCCGTCGCGCGCGCTCACCGCCCGGTGCCTCGATACTTCTAAGTGAACAGTTTCCAGTTTCCAATGTCAAACGATGGCCATGGGAATTGAAAGATCTGACGAGTCATTATAGACCCTCGCTCTGCTCAATCCTCCCATTCCCGAACGATTTGCCTCTCCGATACCTCCGCCGAGTCGAGCCTGATCCAGCCTGAGGCCCGATATAGACGCGTCGCGCGATCGAGACCATAGATCCTCGAAACAGCGAGAAGGATCACCCAGAATCAATGGGCACAGATAAAGTGCGATATCATCTCGAATAAAGAGGTAAGGCCATGCTTTTGAGACCAGACCAGCTGGGCGGAGATTCGGGGAGGCTCTTGTCTTAGGGCGCTGACACGCGTGGTGCAACCCCGGTTGATGAGCCACGTCGCGTCAGAGCGTCACTCCGACCAGGGCAAAAAAGGGGGATTAACACGGTGCACAACCCCGGTATCAGACTAGACAACGCAAGCGAGAATGCAGCTGCACGCGATACAGAAATATCGCAGGAGTCATAGGCTCTGCGACGCCGAGCAGACTCGAGGTCATAATCCTGAAATGCACGGCGCCGAACTGTGGATGCGACGGGAGTAGAATGGAGATGCTGGGCGGGGAATGGATTAGTGCCAGTAAGATCGAGTTGACAATTGTCAAGTCGTCAGTCGAAATGACTGCGCTGTGGCGTAATATCTATAAAGTCCGTAAGTCTGTAGGTATCTGCAAAATGTCAGTCGTCAGTCTCCTGCAGGATTTAGTCCTGGACAAGGGGAAAGACGTCGAAAAAATGAGTGGATGAGAAGAGCCGATTTGGGGGGTTGCTGCAGGCTGTGGGATTGACTCTGGGCGGGAAATCGATTGGATAGGAGTGACTCTGCAGAGAAGGTTTATTTGGCTGTCAGAATGCGATGCAGAAGTGCAGAAATGTGCAGAAAATGCAAACGGTGTCTGTGCGTCCGGAGGATCGTTTCTGATTCAGTTGGATTCGGAAGAATCGGTGGAGAGAAAAAGATTCGGGAGTAGGTATAGGAGGACGAGGGGGAAGCGGAGGAGAGGAGATAGAGAGAGTAAGCTTGATTACTGGAGGATCAAAACCTTGATAGTCATCACATTACAGCCGAGGAGGTGGATAGAATATTTAGTTGGGTATGGCATTCAGATTCAGAAAAGGGATCATTATCATAGGGTAGATTTGTCTACATCTTGGTAGAAGAAGAAGGACAAAGTCTACTCATAGTATATACTGTACAGTATAACTAAACATCCAAGTATCATGATACAGACAGCTATCCAAGATCACCTTAGAACCACCAGAATGACTACCTTGGTCCAGATCGGATTAGCTGAATTTCACAGCCATGGCACTGGCTACTCTGGCAGGAACCACTACGTAGATCTCTAGTATTTAGAAGTCAATTTCACAAACCTAGTCCCATTAGCCAAGGTAACCTTCATCGCAATCCCAACTTAGCCGCGACGTATACGACACGCTAACTACCTAGTACCTCGTGCCATCTGTCTAGTTTTATTGAGTAGAGCATAATAAAATAAGTATTCTTCATTTTCATATCTCATGATATACTACATTTACTACATACTGATGTACTTTCTCTATCCTTTCCACATTATCAATATCGTGGTTATGTACTTTTGCCCCCTTTTTAGTCTCTCGCGACAAAGTACATATCCCGTTGCCCCGCGGGATGGCGATGCCCGTATTGACGACGACCTACATTAGTGAGGTCCCGAGCAAAGTATAACTCGGAACTACTGGAGGCGGTTTTACCATGTAGATATTAAGTGGAAGTTAATTGTATGAAAGTCAGTGCATTGATAGCCACTGGGTATAATAATAACCCGAGTTAGAGGAGCTAGAGCTACAGTACATACATTTGTATACAGTACATACTGTATGGACTATGGAGTCTTTGGCACGACCCGAGAAGACACCGGTGATTCATCTTAGCGGGGCAGCTGGGTCAAAGATCTTCAAACCGTTTCCTGTTTCTCTCTGACCCCTCGTCCCGAACGTAAGTCAATTTGGTTAAGCTAAACCCTGCACGGGTGATCTTGGAAGTGAGTAAGAGTACTAGACAAAGTGTATATGCTGAATAGTATATTAGCATTCAATAGTAACCCATATACTCTTATTTCAATAAATGTGCAATGTAAATCTTCCTTTCTAATATATCTTCCATTCTCACTCCCACGGGACATAATACTTGTAATCCCCCCCAAATTCCCAAATTCCCAAATCCTCATCAGAAACCGCCCAAGGTGGATCGACCCTAAACCGCCCCTGGAGCTAGCTTCAAACACAATCCATTCACGGACGACCCAACGTCCCGGGGCACCCGCCGGGGCGCGCCTATCAGAAGGTCGCAATTGGGGCGAATCGCGCCCTGAGGGCCACTAAACTGGGAAAGTTTCCAGTCTTTTACACGGTTTACCACCGGGAAGAAAAAGCACTTGGCTTCCCGCAGGATGTCCCTTGGCTCTGGGACCGTCAGGGCCAACTGTTTTCCGACTGTACGACATTTTGGATTATTTTCATTATAATAATTATTTAATTGCGTATTTATTTATCTTCTGGGGTTTCTGGTTTCTGGTTTTGTTTTTCCTTCTTCCCCTGATGAGCTGTCTTCACCCCTGCTAGCGTGGTTTATTGATTAGTCTCTTTTCGACAGGCCCTGTCGCTTTTGCGGTTCGTAGAGTTTGGCCATGTCAGTAAAAATCACGGAGGGATTAGAGTAGTTGTACTGTTTTGTAGCAGTAGCGGGATAGTAGTACTTTTGATAAACTTGCCTCCTAATTTAGGCTACTTAGATACATAGTAATAATCTAGCTACCATTATTATCCAAATCTACAAGTTTGTTCTTTCCCTCCATGACGAGGGTGGTACCTACAGACCTCACTAGCCATGCAGTGTACAATTTGGTCTCCACTTCCACGCGCAAAGACTCCGTTTCCATCATCCATGTACAGTCAGTACTACGGAGTCTTTCTTAGTTACATACATAACAGTTTAGCCTCTTAGAGAGTTAGTGTGTCTCCGTCTACATACAGTAGTCCTGTTAGCGTGTCTCCAGAAAACTAGTGTCGAAGCGCTTTAAGATAATAATAATAATACATGCTTAATGTACTTACTGGACAGTTGGACTCTTTCCCCCCTCGATCGTACTTTGTTGTCCAGAACGAGCCCCTCCGGCGACGTGCCTCACTAGTAATTTTGTATCGTCTCGAACTCTTCTGGAAGAGATGAAACTCCCCGATTTCCCCGTTCTTTTGTGTAATAACCCGTTTTTATTTCTTCCCTCTCTCTCTTTTCTTTCTCCTGCCACCACTAACCTCTCGTCCAGAGTTGTGGGCTACAATTATTATTCCCTTTTTAGGTCTTCTATTTTCATTTCCTAGCCTCTCTCTCTCCTTCCTGGCCTTTTTCTTCGCGTACTGTAATTATTATTTCTAGCCCCGACTTCTTTTCTAGCAGTATTCTGTCTGGCTGCATTACTGCATTACTGCATTACTCCTACACGCTCGACCTACCTATCGCTACTGCATTTGCGACTGCTTCTCCTACTCTTTTCCTGCTCGTGCTTCTGCTTCTGCTTCTAACCTTTCTATTCTTTCTACTTTCTTCATCCTACACTCCGCCTACCTGTTTACCTATCTACCTCCCCTCTCCTCTTATCCTCTCCTCTCTTATTCTCCATTATTCATACACACCAACCCCTCCCAAACACGACTTAGACCCTGCAGCTTTCCCTCCGGTCCAACGCGCCGCGGTCCATCCTGCGCGATCCCGGCTGCTCAAGTCCGTTTTGGCCAATCTTTTCCAGCCGGTGATTCATGGACCGCGTTTTGTTTTGCTGCACCTCTATTTCCTGTGGCTGTAAAGCCCTCAATTGAGGTCGCTCTCATTTTGAATCCTTTTTTTATCATTGTTTTTTTTTTCTCTTTCTCGTTTCTGATCTTTCCCTCTTCCTTCTCGTTCTCGCTTTTTTCGCCTCTCTTCCTTCCGCCGGTCTTCTGTTGGGCAATTGAGGATTCCTGAGGATTCCCTCTTTGAGCAATCGTTATTTTTTCTCTCGCTCTTTTTTCTGTCCAATTGCCTGCTCCTATTTCTGACCTACTGATTGACCATTGACCCTCGTGGAAAGAGGATGGGCACATAAAGTTATCCTTTTTGCGTGTTTTTGATTTATTTTTCTTGTTTCCCTTCTTACTCTCCTTATCCTCGAGGGTTTAAACTTGTCCACCGTGGTTGGCATGTTTGTGTGGACGCGTACAACACGACTTTCTTTACTGACTTGCTGCCATTCGCTCGGATTTAATATTGATCTTGGGAGGCTGTCTTTGCTTTATTCATCTTCTTGTTTTCTTTTACGACGGTGACGGCGAGGGTGGAGATTGAAGGTAGCTCTACTCCATCAACCTACTGATTCACCTCCCTCTACTATTGCTGGTATTCAGACGGATTGAAGAAACATCTTTGCGCTGGCTTTGATGGTTCGGATATGTCGAACCCATCCGATAGTCCATGGACCGAGGAGGAGAAGGTATGACCTATATCAGAACGAAAGAGTCCCTACGTGAAAGATATGGATACTAACATCAGGTATAGAACACTCTACTCAGCGAAATCCTCAAGAAAGCGGGCATTCCGTCCAGTTATCTCCTCCGCATGATCAATGACTTCCGTATCAGTCCTAACTGGGAGCATATTCCCTTGCCTCAAGGTAATATCAAAACCAAGCTGAAACTATAGGGCTGCGCCTTGATCCCATTCTAGCCATTTGATCACTAACCACTATCAACATGGGGGAGAAACAATAGGCCGCTCACTCAGTCAATGTCGATTGGCCTTTGAAAACATGCAATTACAATTGAAATCGCAATCGCAATCGCAACCCCAATCACAAGCGCCATCACAATCGCAATCACCATTCCAGCCCCAATCACATAAACAACCTCATCCCCAAAATCCCCAACAACACCAGCCTCAATATCAGCACCCACACCCAATACAACCACCACCTGCTCCAACTGCAGTCTCAATAGCTCGCCCCGAAGCACCAGGAACCCCATCAAACATAGATCCCAATACCCGCAAACGACCCCTCTACCCAGCCGAAGTAAAACCCCTCTACCCAGCAATCAAACCTCGTCCGCCCGCCAGCACAGCCTCATACAGCAGCGAAAGCTCCGCCCAACTATCCCCCCGCCTCGACACAACATCCACAGGCGAACCACCCCGCAAACGCGGCCGACCCAGCAAAGCCGAAACAGAACGCCGCAAAGCCGCCGCCGAAGCCCGAGGCGAAACCTACCCACCACCCCGTCGCGCAAACCCCAATCGTATCAAAATCCCGCCCTCACCAACAAGTCCAGCCGGGCCATCTCTCACGCCATACCCATCAGCTTCAACCACAGCTACAGCAACAGGAACAGGGCACCAACCCATCCACGGACCTAATTCAGGGATGATTCCCTACGATGTGACGGGTAGTCGACCACTCGCACCAGCACCAACTCTACATACTACCAGCGGCAATGTCAATGTCAATGTCAACGCTAGTTCCAGTTCCAGCGAGCGCCGCGACGTCCCATCTCGCAGTATGGGCTCGAATATGCGCGAACTACCCCGACCAACAGAAATGGGTCATGGTCATGGTCACCCGTTGCCCTCGCCACATGCTTTGCAATTAGGAACGCTGCAATTAGGTCCGCCGGATCCTTTTCCAAGGTTGAATAGTAATCCCGGTGAGCGTAGCGCGTACGGCGCTATCCCGCCGGATCGCTTTTCGCCGCCGGATAGTGGACGCAGGGACTCAGTTGCTAGTCGTGGTGAGCGGGAGAGGGAGCGGGAGCGTGAACGGGAACCGCCGTTGGGGTCTTATGCTGAGGCGAGGAGGTCGAGTACGACGCCTGGTGAAAAGTCGTTGAGGTAATTGCGTGTTGGTTGCGACTGTTTAGTGTCGAGATGACATCGGATATTGCTGGGGATTGGGCCTCGCTTGAAGGGGTCTTTGCGACGACATTGGATGCGTGCGAACCGGACTGGACTATGCGCTTGCCTTCTTCTCTGAAGATGAGGATGAGGGTATATTTTTTTTGCTCTCTTTTGACCTGCTTCGCTTCACCTCCTTTCTATCTTTCTTCGGATGCGTTCCTACTCTAACCTAGCCTACACCCACACCCCTGTTCTTTCCCCGTTTTGCAGCTATGTCTCACGACGACCTCGAATTCATGAAATGAACTCTTGACGAACAATAGACAGCGTTTCCCAGTTGCGTTTATTGTTATGTTATGTTTTACACCTTGGACATCTTGCCTGTGCCTCTGCCATGCACTGCATTTCATTGCATTGCGCTCGATTCGATCCTTTCTTCTTTCGTTCTCCGACTTTGTCTTCACTTGAATTCTTTCTTCGCGGCTTTGGTTCATTTCGAATATTCGACACTCCTTGCAATTACAATTCCCAGTTTGCAATACTTTACGCACTATGCCTACCAATGATCTCATCTCGTCCAGCACGGTCTATTTCCGATTACGCGTCTTCCGATGTTTTTCGCTTTCGCTTTCGCTCTCCGCTTGACTTCCACTGCTCGCCCAGCCCAGCCCACTCGGCACTGATGTGTCCATGATGACTACCTACTCGACGAAGAGATGGACTCTCTTCTTCTCATACAATACAGCCTTCTCATTTTTCTTTTTCTCATCGTCAAGTTCGAGTTCGATTTTCACAAGCTCTTTCATGAACTCAATGCTCAATGCTTTATGCTTTATGCTTAATTGACGTTAAACGTTAAACTGTCTTGTCTTGTTCTGTTCTGATTGTATTGACTGTTGTTTTTTTCGAGATCAGCCTTGCTTTTTTGATACTACATGCTTCTTTCTACTCTTTCACGTTCACGTCTTGGCCTTATTTTGGTGGTCTGTCTATTCGCTCTATGTCTATCTTGACGTCCCATGACATACCCCACAACAACGACAACGCAACGACAATGACGTTTCCAGTCCACTCTAAGAGCAGAATTCATGGCTACGGCCATTCTCCTCTTCTTTTAGAGTGATCAATTTGTTACTCTTCTTGCGATGGACACCAGCTTTCCATCCTTCTCTGATCATCCTTGATCTGGCTTGCCTTTTGTATTATTTAATACCCTCATTCCTTCCCCCAGACATCCCTCATCCGTGGATGTACCCAGTGTCTGACATTCGGGCCTACACTGACCTGACCTGGTTTGGTCAGAAAGGCCTCGACGTTGTCTTTTTGCCTTTTTATTCCGCTTCGCTTTCTTCACTTTCCTTCTACAGACCCCAACACGTCCCTTTATATTCCTTTCTTTTACTTTACGACTTCATGCCTGTCACGTACACAGGCTAATGATGACCTGACTTGCTCACTAAATCAAGATCAGCTCTCTATTGTTCTGCTTTACCTGTCACGCTCTGTTCTGTTAATTTCCCCTTCTTCCTCTTTCTTTCTTCTCTTCTCTTTTCTACTGTGTTATGACGCATGTAAAATTATGGAATGCCTTTTTAATGTACAGCGCATAATTTGCTCTTCTGCTCTGCGTCTGTCGAGGCTTTGCTTTGGCGATGCATTTTATTATATTACTTTGCGATTTACACTTGCCGCTTTTGTTTTTCTTTTCATTGTCTATTGGGTAGATTCTGCGTAGTTAATACTTAGTATTCTACTCCTCTCCATATAACAGGCTTGATATTAATCGTTGTCGTACGTGAAAGCTTGGCTATAATTTCCAGGGTCAAAACATCTAATCGAATCTCTGATCTCTGGTCTAGTATCCAGAGCCCAGAATCCAAGGCCTAACTAACACAATGGACCCAGACCAGGTAGATAGAACCCCCGCCAAACAGACACCACCAGACATCTACCCTGTCCATGTAATCCACACCATACCATACATATACACCAGCCATTCCACACCGTAACTCCAGCCCTGTCATGTATCATGTAGATCCTCGTTGATCAGAGATATGTACCTAAAGGGGCGTGCTCATTGTGTAACCACCCCCGCATGTCATGTCACAGTCACGCCCATAGAAAACGGACAACTCTCGAGGTTTTGTTCACGGTGATTGAGTCGAGTAATTCATGAACTTTCGCCTTGTTTCTAAGCGAGGTTCGAAGTGTATCTATGTCTGCTATTGATTGAAACTAGTATATTTGAATGAATTTAGAAACTAAACTGTGCTGGCTAGACGATGTTCATCGAGGTGGTACACACATGCAGCTTCATGTTAAAATTCAAATTCAAGGTTTGTCCAATGCAAGGGGATGTAGCTACTGTACGTGGAAATCGCCAATCGAGAATATGTGACTCATATAGCAAGTAGAGCGCGAGGTGCGGTCATGCCTGCTATTCATATATGTTTTGTTCTTTTCTCTCCCGCATCTCATCCATCCTTCTCTTCCAGACCACCTCCTTCCTCTATGTACATATCTCTCTACCTTCCCTCCCCCTTCCAACGAAGCAAACATCGATCTACTCCCCAGACTTATCACGAGCACGACCGAGAAGACGACGCAGCTGCGCCGTTGAATCCTGCGAGTCCGAAGCCGGAATACCCGTTGCCTCGAAAGACGATGCTTCAGGCCCAGGAATTGACTGCGACGAGAGAGACGAGGAAGGAGGATGAGATTGTCTGCGCTCACGGGGAGGAGAACTCTGCCAGTTTTCCACAACCTCTTGCCCCTGTCCCTGACTTGACTCTTCTACCGCCGGGGTATCATCCTCCCTCCTCTGATCGGCCTCCTTCTTCTGCTCCATCTGGTTACGCAACAAACTCACCGCCGCGCCAAACGCCGTCGCGGACCTGCCACCCGACGACGCAAGGGCTCTCTTACTCCCGATCTGCACATCAAGTTCCTTATCCTTGACAAACTTCATCACCTCGTGCTTGCCCTCTACACGACGAGTGAGATACACCTTGGGGCTGGCGCCGGCGCCAGGGAAGGTGGACGTATTGGACTTGATGCGCTCGAGTTCCTTGCGGTATGCCGTTTCGTAAATGTCGAATTCTGCCGCACCGGGGGATTCGCTGACAATCTGCATGGGCTCGTCGGCCACGGCTGCATCCAGGGCGGGATCCATTGCATCGTCTGCGCTATCGGGCTCGTCGAAGATTGGTGTCGGGGCGCTGCCAATGTTGAACCCGCTGGGTTCTTGAGGGGACGTGCCGGTGTAGGTTGATGGACCAATGAAGAGATACGGGAAGTCTTCTTCAAGAGGATCCCGTGCATGGCCTCTCGTTCCCTCCATGCTGCGCTTGGTGGTCGCGGAGCTAGCTCGTGAAAGCGCGGGATGGGGTGATGCCGACTGAGAGTGGATTCCAGTGGCGTCTACTTTTCCAGTTGACCTCCCGCTTCGTATGGAGCCAGAGTCTTTTCTCTCTGGGGGCTCAAAGGCGCCTCTAGACCGTTGGCTGCTGGTCGCACTATCCTCTACACCAGATGCAACGCCTAGTGGATTGCTTGCGGGAGATCGCTCTGCGCTTGGTTCGTCCCGACCATGTGAACCTGCCAGCATAGGGTGCCGTCCTAGAGCCTTCCTGATACCACCAGCGAAACGACGATGATAAGCACGCTCGGCGTTGGGATCCAGCCCAACGGTCGGGAAGTCATCACTCTCGTCCATTTCCATAGGTGGCGCCACAAAGTGAGCATCATGTTCGCCACCCAAGATACTTTGCAAGGCTGATCCTGCCTTGGACGGATCTACTAACCGCTTGAAGCTCTTTACTGCTTTCATCTGTTTTCACGGTTAGAAGGGAATCATGCGAGCTAACTCGGTCAAGTACATACCACAGTTAGCAAATGACCCATGTTCTTGGTGATAGCGAGGTTCATTTCCTCCTCCGTGGGTGGCTCGATAAGCTGTGCCGTGTTTTCTTCATAGGAGAGAAGAGGATCTGCTCCATTGGCAGTTACCCAAGGGTGTTCCTAATGATCCAATATCAGTCAATACTCGAGATACCAGCGAGAAGGTTTTCCAGTCGTCCACTCACCCTCAAATCACGCATCTTAATACGCTTCGCGGGGTCCTTTTCAAGGATACGAGTCATCATATCCTTGAATTTCTCATCCTGCTCATCCTCAAAGTCCACAGAATCACTTCGAATACTCTCGTATAGTTCGAAGATACTTTGCTGCTCGAACGGGAGCTTGCCGTATCTGAGACAATATAGAGTGACTCCCATCGACCAAATATCCGCTGCCTTGCCAGAGACATCGCCATGCTTGACTACACACAGCTCTGGTGGAAGGAAAGCCGGAGAGCCAGCCGACTTGGCAGTGAACATGTCCGAATCCTTTTCAAACATCTCCGAGACACCAAAGTCAACCACTTTCAGCACGTCGTCATTGGTCACGAGACAATTGTCAGGCTTGATGTCCCGATGAACGATCCCTTGTGCATGCAGGTACTCAATTCCTAAAATGAGGTCGCGAAACCAGCATCGACAGTGCTCGTCGTCGTATGGATCGGCTCGTTCTTCCAAGCCAACCTTCATAACAACACCTTTCTTGCACATCTCCATGACCATATATAAGGAATCCTCAGTCGGGTCGTCCAACACTTCGATCAACGAGACCAGGTTGTTGTGGTTCAGCTTCTTCATGATTGCAATTTCCTCCTTGATCAGGTACAGCGGATTCTTTGCGTTCTCATCGTCGTCTTGAGATGGATGGCGGTGTAGGGGCGAATTGAATCCCGTACCAGGTCGTCGAGGTCCGCGCGGTCGCCGTAATAGATGTGATTGTGCGCGCTTCCTCAGCCGGGATTTGGAGAACTCTTTCACTGCCTGATAGTGACCATCCAGTCAGTACAACACAGTTCAAATGCCGCCCGGGTGCCGTCCTATTCTCTCCCAAGTATCCACACCGACAATCCAAAACGCAATTCACTAGCAAGGATGTCCATACATATTCATTGCCAAACTGATCAGCTGCCAGGTGGACCGCACCAAATGACCCTCGTCCAATCTCCTGTTTGATGATATATTGATTGATGCGGTGCTCGGCCGTGCCATCGTCTTGGCTCGTAGTATATTCGGAGCGGGCGTCCAGCGTTTCCTATGCGCCCATGAGACACGAATCAGTCTCTCGCCGAAATGTCTCTCTCGCGCGCGGTATGAAGTATCCACCCACCTTCACCGGACGCCGAGCTCGGGGGTTTCGTTGACGGTGTCTTTGAAGACTATCGAAAGATCCAGATGAACTGGTATAGATCGAAAAGGCATATACATTAGCTATTCGTCCAAGAGTAATTCTACCTCCGCGAGCCTCATTGCTAGACAGGGGAAAGCTTACGTGACGCGCGCAGGCCGCGGTGGCATGCCCGCTTCATCGAGAGAGTCAATCGAGGGCGCCGCAGAGACATCGGACAGGGGAGTCAGGGCGGTGTCGTCCATTGAAACGAGGTACTGGTGCTGTAGACACGAAACCGTTCTCCCAAGGCCAGTTGGATTAAGCCCAGGTGAGTGTGGGGTAGCGAGGGTCGAGGAAGGTGAGAGCGGGGGACAGCCAGATAACAAGCAAAATGTAGGCTGTCAGCCTTACGAGGCGAAAAAAAAGAAGCTTTTTGGTCCTTCCTGCAATAAAGATCAAACGGAAAGACAGAATATTCCAAAATTCCAAAATTAGCAAATAGAAAACCCAGTCCGAGTCTCATTTGTCTCCGGATGGAGTCTCTTTCCCAGGCAACGGCTTTTCTCCATTTTATCGATAGGCCTGATTAGGTTATCGGTACCGCCCCCGCTCACCGCCCAGTTCCTCCCCTGAACATCAACAAATCACCTCCTGTTAAGCTTTCTCTATTACCCTCCAGCCATGACTGTCTATTCGTTCTATATCTTTGATCGCCACGGTAGGTTATCTCCTCAGGATAGCGCGATCCACCATGCTAACGGGTCTTTCTACTAGCGGAATGCATCTACAAGCGCCGCTGGCTGCCTCGCCCGGCGTCGATCGTGGGGAAGTCACGCAACACCGATAGTCCAGCCCAGTCTGGGCTCGCGGGAACTGGCCAGACGATGCGAGCTACAGACGACGACTCAAAATTGGTGTTTGGTACGGTTTTTTCGCTGCGGAATATGGTCCGCAAGCTGGGCGGCGATGAAGACAAGTGAGATGAACACATCTACCAAAACGGAATCTTGAATCTCCCAGGCACTAATACGGGAATCTTTATTTAGCTTCGTGTCCTTCAACACCAGTCAGTACAAGCTGCACTACTACGAGACACCGACCAACATCAAGTTCGTCATGTTGACGGACACTAAGAGTCCCAGCATGCGCATCGCTCTCCAGCAGATCTATATCAATCTCTTCGTGGAATACGGTTCGTTTGGACTTCGGAAGCTACAAATTGACCACCTTGACTCACTCGCTGTTTCAAATAGTTGTCAAGAACCCTCTGTCTCCTGCCGAACACCCAGGCGGCGTAGGAGTCAACAACGAGCTCTTCGAAGAATCACTAGAGCAGTTCGTGGTAAGTTCACCCTCTACCCCAGACGGGGCGCCACTGTCCTCTTTATTGTTGACTCGTTTTCTGATCCGGTAGCAGACCCGTGTTCTCTCGTGATTTGAAACAGCCTTCCTACCAGCCAATTAGCACCGCCGGCATCGCCACGCGAGAACTGCAGCTGGCAATCGGAAACCGTCCCACCGCCAGCCGGTTTCCTAAACCCAGCAAGCTCCCACAACGTCACGCCTAAGCAGCAATGCGAAAGGGGAGGAGACCGAAGAGACAACTTGTAACATACCGCAATGTCTTCCTCCCAGCGCCTGCACATCCAACCACACACCAGCCCCTATACCGCCTTTTCAGATCAGATTCGGGCGCCAGTCAATGTGGCAGATATCCCACGTGGTCCGGCGCTGGTACTCGATAAGTGGGTTCGCCCACAGTACCCCTGCCCATAGCTCTCTCCACTATCAGTCAGGAACAAGGGCAGACGTGAGAATTGAGAGCGGGAGAATTCGGATAGCTGGAGGTCGGGGCAACAATGTCGGCATTTGCAAGCTTCTCACGTCATTGTACATTGAGTAATGTGTTTGAATAGAACCCCTAAGGGAGGCTTGCGTTGCTCTTGCGAAAGGGCATGTCGGCAACCTTATCCTTGTCCAGTCCCCGTTCTTTATCCTTCTACATCCGTATCCTCTCGCATCATCGCGATCATCACTCCATTGTAAATAGTCAATGCCAAAAAAGCCGCATTGTTGAAACAGTCAGATGACGGAACTCTGCCCTTGGCAGACAAAGCAAGATTCTGAAGCCCCTCCGGCGTGGTTCATGCATGCAGCGCCGTGGCCGTAGTTATCAAGGGACCAACACAGCCGTGTCACCTTCTGCTGGTGAAATCACACGCAGTCGCAGTATAGTTCGATCGTGCCTATGAAGTCTATTGGAACATCATTTCCATATTATCTCCCAATTACAAATTGCGATTGCAACGTCGGTAACCACCGGTGTATCTCGGCGTCTCAACTTCTGCCAAATACACCCACATCTCACATATCCTGGATGACATCCACATCCCAAGAAAAAACAAGTGAATTAGTCTAATATGCACAGGGCCGGCCCGGACCACACCCCAACCTTGAGCTCCAATCCATACCGCCCCATCTCATTAGTGTAGAAGTAGTCCATATAGGAAGACATTACTCCGGCATGTATTCGCCAAAGACAGTAACAGTGGACTCTCTACGGAGCACTATGTCGACTCCACTCGACGATCTCCGCGGCATACTGCGCAGTAGTGGATTTCTCCTCTATCAGAGGGTTTTTGCAAGGCTAACAAGCCGACCCTCGCCAAGGCTAGGCGCAGTGTGGTGCATCCTGGTGCAGGGCAGGGACCGCTGATTCGATGCACGATGCAGAGTTGGGTTATAGTCTGGGCTGATATAGGGATACAAATACCGGAGGCTGGAGGTGGAGGTGAGCGGTACGTGGTAACGAGGTGAATTGGATAAGAGTTGGGGTTAGAATTGGAAACTGAATCTACTATATGATGGCTGTCAACTACAGCAATAGGATATGTTGGTATTGGTAATAGGAGATTGCATCTGTGTGCATGGATTACACATATCAAAGGCGAATTCTCAATACGATATGGATGGGATGTACCTACCATCCACGCCCAGACACGCCAATGAGCACCGCACCAGCCACTACGCATAAGCTTCCAAGCTCCCTGCAGATATCGAAGCTCAGCTCGGCCACAGCTTATCTCAAGCTCGTCCTTGATAGCTACTACCTCATTCTCATTCTTTCCAGGACAAGTCGGCCACCAACCAACTTTACCCCCAGAACAAATCTCCCAACTTTAGTCAAGTGTAACCAAAGCACATGCTACTACCACATCTGACAAATAACCTTGCCAACCAGATAAGCCAGGCCACGAGCTTCAAATCGCGAAAAGCAGCAAGTTGTGTGTCCCGGAATACGCAACCCCGAAAATGGCGGTCAGCAAGACAAGACACGGTTGGACTCGGCCGTGCCGTCGGTCCAGTGGGAAGCTTTATTTTGGTTCGTTTAATGTTTCCTTTCCCCTCTTACCCCTGGTACTTATTACAATTGTACATGGTACATAGGTACGAAGTGTATATTAATGTTTCTACTGTATTGTTGGTGTGTGTGTGGAAGGACTGCGTAGAGTTAACCTAACCTCCCCGGCCGTGCTCGTGGCACTGGGTGGCTCGCGCTTGGATAGTGGGGTAAGCGGTGGTGCTTGTGGTTCAAAGGGGCGGAGACTAAACTAAGACTGAGACTGAGACAGAGGGGACTTGACATGTGTGGACGGGATCTCAAAGTCGACAGGACGGGCCTATGGGGGTATTCGTGCTTGTACTTGGTACTCGGGGTGTGTGACCTGCCATATCAGACTAGCTACAGGAGAAGCTGCTTCCAGCTGGTGGGTTCTGCTTCTGATCTTAAGAATCCCGTATTCTTTTTCAGTTTCACTACCATACCCATAAGAACCCGTAAATGTAACTGTATAGAATCAGAATACACATACACAGATACATCATACAGAAAGATATGATTCAAGTAAACAGAATACCCTCGTTTGATACTTCTCCTCCATAGGTATCGAGCACATTGATTCCTACCAATCCAACATTCGCATTCCGCCAAAGCCAAGGAAAAACCAAGCTGCCACCACAGCGCGAAAAAGAAAAGAAACAGAAAACTTTCCATCTTGGAAAGTCCAAGCAAACAAAAGCAAATCTGCATTGCATCTGCATGGCACACACAACCCGGCATCCCCTTCAGGGCTATATCGTACATTAATAAGCAAATCGGACAAGCCCCTCTCCTCCGGTTTTGCAGGCGCTGATTGGTGAGGAACAAATGCCTCGTAGTTTAATTGCGATGGAGGACGGAGGAGCTCAGAATGGTTGTTCAACGATAACTCAGATGAAAGTGTCACTCGAATATGTTGAATGGCTATTTGTTCTTGCTTTCTTTTTTGATCTTGTATCTCGTTTTTCCTTTTTGATTTAATATTTTCGAGGGGGTTGGTTTCTCCTCCGGGTTACCTTTTTGGCGCATGTGCCCCGGGCAGAGAGCCATGGGTGACGGGCCTAACCATAGATGCCGAGGTTGCCCCGGATTAATGTTGTTGTGGCTGTTTCTGCAAATGAGATTATTGTACGGTGGAACAACCATAGTTAACTATCTACCATGAAAGCTACAATTCTCCAGCGACAAGTAGACCTATCTAGTTATGGCTTGTATATTCGCATCAATCATGGCGGGGATGATACAAATGCCTTGACCTAAACTCTGCGCTGAGCAAACCCCACGAGTGACAAGTCAGGCGACAATAATCCGGGGTAATCTGTGTGCCGTCTCAAGTCGGAAGTCTAAACTGGCATGCGACGAGCTTGCCCTAATACAGGGATACATGTTGTGACTACCGTAAATCTATACATTCTAAAGTCACTAAGGCACTCCCCGGCGCGAAGGGGATCTACTCTACCCCTCCTCACCAGTAGTGACACTGATGATAGATCTTGGCTCTGTTACTGCGCCTCCTAACAGCAAATATAGTAGATAGGAAATATGAAACAGCCTCTAAGCACCTCATTATAGACATTTCGTCTATATAATCGACACGTAGAGCCTACGATCTGTTCAGTAATCGATGTATAGAACTGCTTATACCTTCCTAGTCAGTATATACGCACCGCTATACCAATTTCTACTAGAAAAAGAAGTAACAACCATACTCAATCTGATCGCCGCAACAAACCTCTCCCAGCACAAAGAAACCGAATCGAACCCACTCAGGCCATCCGCCCGGCGGATCACCCTCACAAAAACCCGGGGATGCACATCTCCCCATCGGGCCATCCAAATCTAAGCGTGGGGTCCAACATCCAGCAGGTATCATGATATACGAGGTCATGCCTAGTTAGCGTGTAAGAGCGTGAGCGCGAAACTCAGCCCATCTAGCGTCATCCCGGACAGATGACGGCATCTCGAGGGCGGGTGCGGATGAATGGGCTGATAAATGATTATGCTGACCAGTCATTAGCGGGTTTCCCGATCCGCGATTGCGTAGTGCGTAGTTGGGGAAGCAAGCACCTCTCAGCTGGCGCGGAGAAGGTGAGGATGGAGGGGCCATGGCTATGGCCGTGACTATGGCTATGACTTTGGCCTTGACCTTGTCCATCAGGTTCATGTTCACTAGCATCACCATACATAGATAGCCTTTTGATTTGGTACTCCTTTCTTTTTTAAGATGTTTTACTTTCCAGTGACGCCAAGATGCGTTTTGTCCAACGTCGAATGAGAAATGGGTTGGCTGGTTGAGTTGGCGGATTTACTTGTATGTATTGGAGTTGTGTAATTGGTTGAGCGATATAGGAGAACCTATCAGGGTTGTTGGACTTGTTTGGCAGGTATGCGCGGCCGGTGGTCGAGGGTTTGTTTGCATAAGCTTCACCGTCTCTTTTGCGGCGTGATTTGTTTTCCGGGGTGGGGTTGGCTTTTTTATGGCGGGTAGTTTAGTATGGATGTAGTAATGTGGGTAGTAGAGGAGTGCTACTGGGAGAGAGAACCGTTTCTAGTTGCTTTGTAGGTTAGTGCTCTGTTTCGTACATGTTTGGATCTGATTAGCCCTGCGTTGGTTGGATGGATAGATATCTACTTTGAAATCTAGTGCCGAAATATAGTGCGTAATTGCATGATAAATCGGCACTACGTTGTCTCTATCCACTGTTTTAACGACCAAGTAAGTAGTGAGGCAGCTCCGCGGTGCAAGCCGAGGGCTCATTACGGAACCGTCTTTCGATGATACAATTAACACACTCCAAGTTGAATCAGTGGACGAGCACATTGACATCCTATCATAGTTATCTCACAAACGTTCACGCCTGATCTACACGCCTCTCGCAGGTGGACAGTGATGTCGATGGCTCCACCAAGCCCATGATTATCATGATTGTCATCATAATCGATCAACCAACCCCTCGTTCATCATCATCTACATCACCCCTCAAAAAGGTCCCTGAGTCGAAGGACAAGTGGCCATGCTAGCGCCACACGACGCACCCAGCGCATCGGCTCATCCTGCTGGTGCGGGGCCGCGATCGAATCACAACGGGACCGCTCGACAATGCAGAAGACGTGCACAGCCTCACTCGCATCGGGACCATGCGCTCGGCGGACAAGCCAAGCGTGGCGGAAGTATAATATTTTTCTGTATTGTGCCTACTGTAGGTTAGAGGCGGGCAAAGGGGGTGATTCGATTCTGTCATCTGGCATAATTAATGCCTCCAATCATTTTGGGGTTGGCGACGTCACTGGGATAGGATGGTGGCAGTAAGAGGGAGTTGGGACAGGAACAGGAACGAACCAGAGAACCAGGACCAGGATGCCTTTACGGGGGTCAGAACTTCTGGCAGTTTATCAGGCCAACCGAAACGGGGGGAACGTCATCAGGGGATCGTCCTGTAATTTCGGAATGGGGGTCTGCGTAGTGCTTAATCTTTCTAAGCTGCGGCCACGGAAAAGGAACAGTCCCCAGTTTCCGATAAGAGTAAGAAATGGAGCAGCTTGAAGCACACGATACTAGGAGTATTTACTGTAGTAGTTAAGTACCGAACACAGTACTATAGCTTTGTACACGCAATTATCTCACTATGAAAATCTTCCTCTAAGTAATTCCTCGATGACGGATGCTGACTACGGGAAGATTAAATCACTCACCTCAGAGAAAAAAGAGTCTCCATAGGACTAAGTCTACTCCGTTCCAGGCACGCAACTACTTGTACCAAACGGGGCAGCCGGATGTCGACGACTCGTCGTTCGTGTGTTGGTAACTGGTTTTACACTTTTTTTCTTTGACCCGTTCTCCAGTATCTTGTAGCGTGCCTGGGTTACGGGGCCCCCCTCTTGACTCCTCTTTTTTTCGATGTTCCGGAGTTGTTGGATGGAATTCCATTGTGCCCGCACCACTAGGGCAGGAGAGCATGCGCCACTCGGTAACGAGGAAATGAGGAATGTTACCACACGGCTAGAGTGCGGAGTGGAGTGGCTACGGAGGGCGGAGGACGGAGAACGAATAGAGGGAGTGATGGTAGTAGTTACTACAGTAGTTAGGAGGATTTAATATTTGGAAGATGAATACTGTAGTTAGTTAGTAATAGTAAAAGGGAATTGGAATGATATTATTTTTACATATAATTGTTATTATTATAATTATAATTATGCTGTAATTATTATCATCCAATTTCATTTTCTCATCATCATTGCATGATCAGCACATACCCTATCGAGTCTGTTATACAACCGTGGCTGTCCAGGTGTTGCCTCACAGAATCCCCTGGAACGACCGTGGCAATTAACCACTATGAAATCTCATTTTGTCATGAGCAGGCCTGTCAGAAGTCTAGTAAGCTGAAAAGCCGAAAAGCTAGTCACCTAGAGGAAGCTGACAATTAATAATCTCAGGTCGTCCCGAATTGCCTCCTGTAGGAGGAAGTGGCAGTGTGGAATCGATCCGGTACCTTCAGCGTAAAGACGGTGTGGTAAGTAATTTATTACCATGGCTATACACGATACCGGACACTCTGTAGTGTCCCACATTTCTCTCGGACCGTTTGGCTAAACCGGACTGTAGTTACTGTACCACCCTTCTATCTGGCAAGGTTACTTTGTACCCAGTACTCGATCAGACTCACTACTTTGTATACTTCAAATGTACTCTCTACCCCCCGTATTCCTTTTTTCTGCTTTCCTCAGCCTTAATAATCCCACCAGAAAATTCCATCACTTCCTCGGGACTGCTGCCCTCCCCGTAAATTACTCCTTGGTCCTCCATACAACTCGCGTTTCCCCGTGGTATTTCAACCCTCCCCTACTCCTCCCGTAGTATCGCCAATTTTTATCCCTCCCATCTGCCACTTTTCCTTCCTCTCTTCTTTCTTTCTTCTTTTCTTTTTGGCAACTCGTGCATTATATATTCTATCAGACATACCCCTCGGGGCGTATGATCTCGAATTTATTGCTCTGGATATATACATTATTATCTCTTTTTCTTCGAAGCCCTTGACCGTACTTAAGCGTGCCAATTTTCCCTTTGGACTTTTACTCCTTCCGCTCGCACTTCGGCCACCACCTGCGAAGTCGCTGTCGTCACTTGTACACACCTCGTTGCCTCAGGCCACCACAGGCAACCCACACCACTTTTTTTCCGCCGCCGACCTCAACCTCTCCTCATCCTTCTTCCAAGAAACAGCGAGATTTCACGAGCGCATCGGTTGCTATCCCGCAGCTTTGAGCTTCGTGCGAGCTACGCTCGTCTCTTCTCTTTCTCCTCCTACCGGGGTTGACGTGTGACTCTTTTAATCCACTCTCCTCTTCCTTCTCCGGTCTCTCTCTATCACTTCTCCCTCCTTCCTCCTCCCCCCAAAAGATCCACCGCACATGACTCCGCTTTCTCCCTCACCTGTTCCGTCCGCAGTCTCCTCAGCCGCAGCTTCTCAATATTCACACGACCCTCGGGATGGAGACCATTCGGTAACACGAGCCCTGGCGGGCATGAACCTGTCCGCGCCGAACGGGGACATGCTCCCTCCGCCGGCCTCACCGGCCGCGAAACCTACCACTAAAGGCAACATGGCCTCTCGCCTTTCTCGCATGTTCTCGAGTTCAGGGAAACAGACCCCGACTCGGGACCACGACGTTGCCCACCGCGATCTCTCCGACAGCAGCATGGAGAGCGTTCAGCCACTGAATGGCAAAGAAAAGCCCAACTCCAAGACATCCTCCCGCGCAAACTCAAGACCCTCCTCTCGCACTCCCTCCCGACAGCCATCACTCAAAAACGAGCCCGTGGACAACCAAAAGAAGAAGCCCGCCAACTCCAAGGACGGGAAAGATTGCGCCCCACCACACAAGCGCTTCGAGGTTCTTCCCGAAGGCACCGGCACCCACGTTCATAACCTTCGAAGCGCCCGACGACAGGAGAAGCTTACCGACCTCCTCAGAGACATGCTGGGCGGCGGAAGGAAAAAGGGCGACGACCAGGCTGATGAGCAGCAGCTCTCGCTGATGTCGACCTGGATCGACCAGTTCAAAAACGAGCGCGATAAGCTGGCCGCTGATAAGAAGGGTGGACCCAACGCGACCGCGTCCCTCGTGGACAAATACGGAAAATGCCAGGAGATTGTCGGTCGTGGTGCCTTCGGTATCGTCCGCATCTCTCACAAGGTGGATCCGACCGACTCCAAGTGCGAGCAGCTCTACGCTGTCAAGGAGTTCCGCCGCCGCCCTCAAGAAACCGCCAAGAGGTATCAAAAGCGCCTGACCTCCGAATTCTGTATCTCCTCATCACTTCGCCACCCGAACGTCATTCACACCCTCGACCTGTTGCAAGACGCCAAGGGAGATTACTGCGAAGTCATGGAGTACTGCGCCGGTGGCGATCTCTACACCCTCGTCCTGGCAGCTGGCAAACTCGAAGTCGCCGAAGCAGACTGCTTCTTTAAACAATTGATGCGCGGCGTCGAGTACATGCACGAAATGGGCGTCGCCCACCGCGACTTGAAGCCTGAGAACCTACTGCTCACCACTCACGGCGCCTTGAAGATTACCGATTTCGGCAACGGCGAATGCTTCCGAATGGCCTGGGAAAAGGAAGCGCACATGACCGCCGGTTTGTGCGGCTCTGCACCTTACATCGCGCCCGAGGAGTACATCGAGAAGGAGTTCGACCCGCGCGCTGTGGATCTCTGGGCCACTGGTGTAATTTACATGGCCATGCGAACTGGTCGGCATCTGTGGCGCGTTGCGCGCAAGGACGAAGACGAGTTCTACCAGCGTTATTTGGAGGGCCGGAAACATGAAGATGGATATGCGCCAATTGAGACGCTGCATCGGGTAAGCGCGACTACTGCAGCTGCAGGTCATTTATGCAATGCAGCGCGTATAACTAACCCCACGTGTACCTCACAGGCTCGTTGTCGAAACGTGATCTACTCTATTCTTGATCCCAACCCCTCTCGGCGCATCAATGCCTCCCAGGTCCTCAAGTCTGAATGGGTCCGACAGATCAAACTGTGCAAGGCTGGTGAGGAAGGATTCTAACAGACCGGCCGCACATCTTCCGGCTGGGTTGACGCAAAATGGCAAGAAAAACAGCATTGTCATGTCAATCCCATCCAGGGATTACGAGTAACGAGAAAGTAAAAGACGACGGAATGGAGGACACAACCTAATTGAGAAAGGTTTCCGATTTCCACTCCAACCAGTACTATTCTTCACACCCTTCCTTGAATTTTGTATTTCGTTGGTTAAAAGAAGGACGATTTGGATATGTCTTTCTTCATGGATAGTTCTCAGTGTCACAGAAGGAGGAACTTTTGAATTCCCTTACAACCCGATACTCCTGATAGACCAAGGAGGCCCTTTGATCTTGAGTCTTTCTTATCTTCATACTTCCCACCTCCCTCTCCCTCATCTTCATCTCCTCTTTCTCCCTCATTCTTGTTCCCGTTCTTTACCAATGTCCACTTTTCTTGGTCATGTTTCGGCGTATGTTTTACTTCGTGTTCATCGATTAGCTTCTCTTTTTTTACCTCTTTTCTTGTCGGTTGCGGGATTTGCCATGGATTTCTACGCTAATGCAACGAAGACTCATGACTTTTTCTTTTTTCTATATCTCTCATACTCCTCATTTCATTTTCATGGTGGGTTTTCTTCACTTTTCGTGTCTTATTGCGGTGGCAGCATGTTTGACTGGGGTTTGTCAGGCGTTGACTTTGGTGGTATATGGGTTTTTGGGTGTTTGTACCGTTATGATGAATGTTTGATTTGATTGGAGCTGCCCTGTCCGGTTATGATGTTGGAGCTTGAGCTCTATGAGAAGGGATATGCTGGCAAACACAACACAACGCAACACCTACATCCACTTCTCAGTCCAGCTCTGGTTCCGCAGGCTACGCTACGCTCCTGGAAAGGACCTACCTACACTACATACTGGTCCGGCCGAGTTGACACTGCACATTTTCACTCGTTTGCATTGAGATGTGGCGACACATGGATATACTATACTATATCATCAATGAGCTTTTGTTTATACATAGGCTCAATATCAAGATTGAATTCAACATCGAATTGATCACATCACCACCATCCAGACAACCACACAAGTTTAGTTGTATCCTTAGGTAGCTAACGCCAATCACTTCGATCTACACGGAAGTATAGTAATGTAGCCTCCCGAGGCCTTTGACTCTTCCTCCGACTCTACCTCCATCTGGTTCCGGCACCGGATCCCCGGATACACCAAACCGCCGACGCCACAGAAACGATACTCTACATTGGAATTGTATCCGCTATCCGGAGACCGTGGCTGTAATGCTATATGACATCAAGCTAGGTTGTGGCACCAGATCCACAATCCACAGTGGATAGCACTAGCCAACGCATAGGTTTGAGTTGGGGATCGGCGTTGGGCCGAGGGGTTCAGATGTACTTCCCTCATACACTCGGGCTTTGTGGCTGTCGTTTGTATGTACTGCGGCTTCGTAGAGGGGATCACAATCCCATAGATGATCAGAATCGATGTGTCTAGTAGACAATGCTTCGCAAACGAGGACTCAAATCAGCTGGAAGTATATGGTAGAGGATAGTCAGTTCACCATACTGATCGACGAACTTACCAGATAAGCCCTGCAATCCTGTATGAACGCATTCTCATGCACTATCCAGCCTAGCACTAGCACTAGCCACATCACCCATGCTCCCATCAATACTAACACTACAGTAACGTACACCTTCCCTAACCGCAAACTATCACCATCCAAACCCTCACTCAATCTTACTCCTCGAACCCACCAGACAGACCAGGCACCCAACCCAGTCAGTATACAATCCAATTCTTTACATACACAACCAAACACTCAATACCCTGTAAGACCAAAACACAGAATCAGAATCAAAATCAAATCCAAAATCCAGCACCGCCCCATAAACTAACACTCTTGGCGCATCACCACTCCCACTCCCGTCAACCTACCTCACTAGGCACCTACATTTCTAGTCTCGGCGTCCGCGGACACTGCAGAATGCAGAATTTGGAGAACAGCCACATGCTAAGCTTACATTACCCAATAACCCCACAGATTAGAAATACACATGGCTGCTTTTGGGCAATCGGTTACAGTGGATACAGTAAGTAACGTCTTGAATAGGAGACTGTAGGGGCTGGACGGATGCCAAGCCTAAGCCCGCTGCTGTTGTATGTTTGCATTCTCCACCCCCCGCCTCCACCGCTAGGCTGAAGCCTGAACCTTGAACTTTGAACGTTGAATCCTTCAGCCTTAACGCTCAGCCCTAGGGGCTGGATTGTGGCGTGGTACATGTAGAATAGTACGAAGGAGAGATGGGGCCGGTAATACATAGAGGAAGCGAGATGTGAGACGGATGTTTGTCCAGTTGTTTTACGGATACCTGGTAAGTAAGGATTGTATATTACTATGACATTGAGTAATTGAATTAAATAACTAACTATCGGCATGGACCAGTTTGTCAGATGGATAGACAGAATAGGATCGCTGCCTGAGTAAGGTTCTGGCGGCCAATGTATTTATGTCATGTGTAGTGTAGTATTCACTTGAGGAGCCACCGGCGAATAGGCTAAGGTTCGTTATGTACGTGGGTAGGTATACCTGGTTGTAGCTCGATATTTTTGATAGCTCATCCATTCTACCTCTATATCCTCATGTCTTCTATACACAATCTCCCAGTCAAACCAAATCGACCTCCCTGGCCCTTATCAAACTAAATTCAACCTCATAAAACAATTCTCCTCACTAGCAACATACCCCCCAAAAACCTCACACCCCACAAACCCAAGCCCCCCATAAAACTCCCTCGCCCTCCTAAACCCCTCACTAGTCCCCGTCTCCAGTTGCAAAGAAACATATCCCCTTCCTTTTGCCTCGCTAATAATATGTTGAACGATAGCCCGCCCCACACCGCGGCGAAGATGTGCCGTAGCCGTCCTCATGGATTTGATTTCGCCGGTGGTTGGCGAGAGCTCTTTGAGTGCGCCGCACCCTAGCAATTCATCGCCTTCCCAGGCTGAGTAGACGGATATGGATGGGTGTTGCAGAGCTGTTAGGTCGAGGACGTAGCAGGACTCGGAGGGGGTTTTGCTTTGGAGGTCTGTGATGTGGTAGGCCAGGAGGGAGTGGGTTGCGGGGTTGGAGAGGTCGTCAAGTTTTATGAGCATAATGATGACGTTGGCCTAGGCTTTGGTTGATGGCTTGGTTGGATGAGATGTAGATAGAATGTTGTTGCTGATATGATGTGTGTTGAAGGCGATGATAGCAAGCGGGTGAGTCATACAGCTTTTGTTATCACATCGTAGTCACAGTTGACTAGAAAAATTCTGGAAGATTACTTTTTAGTCTCGTAGAAGACCAATCAAGTATCTTGTTATCCAATTTTGTTGAGCCATGATTTAATTTGAAGCTCACTTTCGCCAAGCACTTTTTGAGTATCGTGATCATCAGCCTCGCCCACTTCTGTCACTTTCTTCCCAAGTTTCCCGAAGCCAATCGTCTTGATAGGTCTTTTCAGGGGGAAGCTCTTCGCCGTTGATAGAGATCCAGCGAAATATATCTACTGAGGCTTCTCTAGAGGCTATTTGATCCGGATCCTTCTTTTTAAAAGCGCAGATCTTCGACATCAGGAATAGGGAATCCTTCCTATGGAAGGTTTGATAACAGTAACGGTGGTCGTGAGAGCCCATGATCCTGAACAACCGTCCCATCCGATAGCTCCCAATTCCAATGGTGGTATTGGTATTCATGTCGAGGGCATTTCAAGTGTGAAACAACACGAAGAGCACAATTTTTCGTAACAGTTACCCCACAGGGAGCCCAAGGTGTCGAGGGCCCGTATTTATAGCAAAGGTCATCTTCTTCAACCGAAGGGAGATGTAGTAAGCGCCACACGTCTGCCCTTGAGATAGATTCAGAATTTTTACAAGTATATGGACCCGAACCTGCAATTTCCATGAAACTTTGCGGATAGCCAGTTCATGGATGTGCAAGTGGATCGAGAGGCAGCCTGCCTCCGCCAACATTTTTAAGAACCACTGGTCCTAGCCCACTTGCAACTGCTCCGATCCAAAGTGCACTCAAACCTAGACGGCGAATTGCACCTACCAAAGCAAGAATTCCCTGATCGTGGCCCATTGTAAAAGATGCGATACCCAAGACCTCATTCAGGACTGGATGTAACCATGAGCTTACGAGATTGCAAGGAACATCAGGTTTCCAGAATGACCCACAAAGAGCTGATATTATCACCTCCGGACTGCAACTCAGAGTAATGTAGTAAGGAGCTGGTCATACAAACTCTCCCACGTCGACGGTATAACATCGATAGGAGCGGTTGACTTCTTACCACCAGCTGAGCTTGGGAATTGACTGCCCAATCTATGTAAACATGCAAACTCCGTAAGGGCTTTATAAGCCCTTTCTGAAGATAAAGGTGTGTTGATGAAGGCAGAAGAATATCCTCTTTGTTTAATGGCAAACGATGTTTGATATGTGCGAGAAATTGTTCACGGGGCGAGGAATTTGCGATTGGATTTTTAACCCAGAATGCCTTCCCATCCGTTATTGAGTATCGCAGACCACCACCGAACAACTTCCTCATCCACTTCTCCAACATCGATGACGTGAGTTTCTGAAGGCTGTAGTTGGTTCTCATTATTGCATTCGGGCTCAGACTTCGTGTATTGCATAAAAGCACCCTCTCCATATATTTCAACGAGCCGTGCCGAGAGCATATAACACCAGCCAATAGGGATGATCCCCAAAAAGTTAGGACCGGCTGCTTTTTCTTCCTTTGTGCCAATCCAAAAATTCAAAACTCCCCTTTCGAAGTTGTAAGGAATCGCAAAACTGATGCCAATCTGTAGCAGGGCCGGATTTGACCTTTCTTTCTCGAGTCTATCACAGCCTGAATTTGCTACCAGCTTCCAAGTAAAAGTCGCTTGTAGGCAAAGGGCAAGGTGTGGCGAAACCCCATAAGGGCGCGCACGCGTTTCTTTGGGTCGACCTCGGAATTTAGGCAGCCTGTGAAGAATATAGCAAGGGTTTGTATACTCCGGAGGTAAGCCATGATGCCCAAGGGCACGCGCCAGAGATGCAAGGCAATACCAGTAGTCCCGGCTCTGTTCTAGTGCATCGAAAGCTTGTTGTTCATTAGGCTGAAGGCAGTCGTGGTTCACAACAATCTATTTCAAAGCAGGTTAGCCCAGGTTGTTGCAGGAGAAAGTTAACGCACCAACCGAAAGGCGCGGTGGATGTAAAGGTTCCTTTGAAAATTGTACCGGGAACATATTAAGAGATGGGAGACAGAGGAGAGGTTGGGAGGAGGAGTCTTGAATGCTTAGAGCCGTAGATGGTACTTTGACGGGGCTGATGTGGTCGGAGGTTGTAACTAAATTAGGCATGCCGTCAGCTAATCAACCAATCAACCAATCAACCAAGGCTTCCCACTGCTGCGGTGCATTATTATTGCAGTTGGGAATGCTGAATGACAACGGACCAGGCGGAGAAGAGTATCCATCATCTAGGGTATGCTAGTACTTTACACGAGAAGAAGGCGGGTGGGATCAGATATGAGTGAGACGTGCCAGTAGAGGAATACTAAGAAAGCTCGTATAGTCGCTCGCTGGGGAGAAGAGCACCGTAGTATTGAAGCAGAATCGCGCGATGTCTGCTCGTGGACCGCTGCTTTGTTCCAACGGCGAGGACGAGCTAGATAGTGGATCGAGTGGCGACCGCGTGAAAGAAAGGCGCAGTGGTCGGTGAGGCGGGACTGAAAGGAAGAAGTTTCGAAAGGAGGAGGAGGAGGAGAAGAAGAAGAAGAAGAAGAAGAAGAAGAAGAAGAAGATGGCGAATATACCGACAATTCGAGAGGACTCTAGGCCAAGAATGCTTCATAAGCTATACACGGTCATATGTGAAGTCGCTCAACGAAAACAGGGTTAAAGGGCGAGGTCGAGTCTCTCATGTCAAGGCGATGGAGGGAGAGGTTAGGTGAGTATTTCGAGAAACAAAAGTCAGACCAAATTATAGCCTTTGAAGAAAAGCTTGAAACCTCCAAGTTGAAAGAATCACAAAGCCATTGTCAGGACGTGTTGATCAGCAAGGGCTGATCAAGTATAAAAACCATGAAGTTTCCAGTCATTGATTCAGAAATCAACTCTCCAAAATCCCCAGCTGGATATTTCAAGTGAACAAAATCTATCTACAACAGTCTAACTCATCTTCTCCACCATGCTAACCGGCCGCCTTAACGACGCAGCCATCCTCCTGCACCTATCTCTAGATAACAACCACATCAGATATGCCGTGATTGGCGGCTACCCAATCACCCATTTCGGCGGCAACCGACAAACCAACGATATCGATTGCATTGCAATTGCGTCTAAACAGCAAATCAACAACGCAATCGATCCAGAAGCTGGACTCGCCGTTATCTCCCAACACCGCGACGACTACATCGGCCTCTCATGGTCAGACAGACCAGACCGCAGTGATCCCGTACTAATCCACATCCACTGCTCAGTGTACCCAGGTTCCCGATTCCCCAACGCTCTATTCCGATTTGAGACTCACGAAGTGAAAGGTCATACTATGGGCAATGGTATGGTAAGTTTCCACGAACCATTTTATCTGTTCAAGGCGGCCCTCCGTGCGGCAGGATCTCGGTCAAACTTTGTTGATTCTGTTGATCTTCGATGGTTGGCACAGCGATACGTTATTGAGATTAAGGCGCGGCGGCACAAGATCCACCTTGTTGATGTTGGCCGTGCCCTTCAGCAACATTCTAATCTTGAGAATGTGTTTGAATCACTTGGTATTGATATTGCTAAGGCTAAGATTGCAGCAAAGGGTCCTCCCCGGGGAGTAGAAGATATTTCCAAAGGTTTGTTTGATAGTCTGGCTGACTCTTAATTGGCAGATCGTGCACCAGATTCAAATATGTCTTTGGTCCTTTGGTCATGAGTGATTTGAAATTCCTATAGCGTCATTTGGAGGGCAAAGATTTGCTCTGGTCTCATGCACTATCGGCTGGAGGCATATATATCAAGATAATGTCATTAACCTCGCACTGTTCCCCAAAAAATCATGTATGTTATCTGTGATCATTACCAAAGTATTCCGGTCAAATCTCAATCCTTATGAGAGCTACCGGATTTATCGTTACGAAGATCGCTGGGTTCACGCGGTTTGGCTCTCCTATGAATTGTAGCCTTCAGCTGATTGCTCCCGGCTGCTGCACAACTATAGGCATGCCTCTTCTGGTGCATCAATGTAGTTCTTGAGGCCACGAGGCCGCACATGTGGCAGACACCCAGGCCCATTAGATGTCTTGGCCTGTCCGACGGCATTGTTGAAAGGGCATTTTGGAATGTTGCGCTTGAAGCCTCACCAATTCGGAGCATCGCCGTTGCAATTTTGTTCTCATCAAAGCCCTGAGGCTTCTCAAAGGTCAATGAGATACTGAAAACCTCATCATTTTTTTCAGCTTCCACATGATGATGTCTAGTTAGAGGCATTTTATTGAGTCTGTTGCCCCAGTCAGTGGTCTGGAGGATCACATAAGCCCAATTGTGGAAGAAAATACGACATTGTTGTCGAAACTTTTGAATTTCCACGCCACAACATTCGAAGTTGTAACACTCGTGACCTGTATCTTCTTGTATCATTGATTGTACATTTCTCAAAAGCTCGGGAAAATCTCCCGAATAATTGATTAATGTCGCACTCTCAACCCATAGAAGGCATTTCTCTGACTCCAAAAATTCCCCAAGTTGTCGGATCATTGGCAATATCTGCTTGAAGGTGGGCTCTGACTCGTCTGTAGATATGAGCCTGCTCAAGGGGTACTTGAACGCTTTTAAAAGTCCATAGTGCATCTCAAAATGACGTTCTGAGGTGAGATGCCAGCGTGAATAGAAGGTCTCCTCACGAAGTGTTTGCAGGTCTTCCAATGAATCAGAGCAATCGGTAAAATACCACATTGCCAAAATCCCCCGGTGAAGACTTTTCCTCTTTTGAGGATGAAGGATCAGTGGGAGCTCTTCAAGCGGCAGCCAATGGCTTTCTGCGAGATATTGATATGCCGAGCGGTGCAGAAAATCCAACTCGTAGGTAGACCCTTGTTTGTGAACCTGGATCAAAGGTGCTCCAAGCTTTCGCGCCAATGCCACAGCGTCGAAAACTGGATTTCCCTTATTCACATAGCGAAAAACAAGTTCAAGTATGCAATATGGGAGGCGGTCGTATTCGCATGACAAGAATCCTGGCAAAACATTGCTGATGTCGAGCCACAAGAAGAGATGGCCCGCAAACTGGCGCTCGTCCTCAGTCATCTGCATTTCACGAGTTTGCATTATTCGAGTATAGACTCCGGCCAAGTCACGAGGTAGGCTTTGTAAATACTGATCCACAAGTTCCCGACTTGGGGCATTCGCAATCTCATCCATCATGAGTCGGGCATACAACCACAAGCCTTCAGCACCCTCAGTGACCCGACTAACCACAGACGTACCTAAGTCTGAGTCGGCCAAGTGTGGGATTTTGTGAACACGCCGCTCTGTGTATTCACGAATGAAGGGGGTACTAAGCGTAAGATCCACGCTGACTTTGTTGGTTATGCTGTAGTCAGACCGGGAGGTAAATAGCCACTTCACAGGAGGGTCTGACACCCACGGCTCGATAGACGAAGCCAAAAACCCTTTTCCACACTCGTCTTCAGCGTCCACGATAATGAAGATTCTTTCCCGAAGGCTCTCACAGTCATTGATGATTTCTCGTAGCGCATCCGAATCGTCAATAATTGAGTTTGCTTTCAGGCCATCGCTGCGGCGATAGATGTCAGAAAGCTGATTAGCCACAGCATGATTGGAACGAAGCAGTTGAGCCAGCAGCGTAGACCTGACACTCAAAGATGTGTTCTTTGAAGAGTCATTGTAGTCGCAAAAGAAATACAAGACTGTAGAGTCAGGATGTGCGTCACGAAGATGATGGACGAGGTGTGCGGCCAGGGTGCTCTTTCCGCTTCCTGGCGGTCCGAATATCAATAGAGAGTCACTCGATGTACTTTGCTCCCACGCGGTGAATTGAGGGTTCTGTATGACCCAATCGAGTGAGCCAGGTAGGTACTCAGCCCGATATCGTTCCAGATCTTCATCCACTGATGCAGGTGCTAGCCATGCCCGTAGTCGATGTATGTCTTGTTCTGCGATGATCACAATGTCAGTCAATATCGACATATGAGTTTCAATTTGCCAATAATATACCATGCGCCTCCTGAAGGAACCGTTCACGGATCTCCTTGGCTTCCTTCATATGTGCCGCCGCCGCCGCGTGATCCGCTTCAGCGCAGCGCGCATCGATGGATGTCAAGATATCACCAAAGACCCGATCGAACGAGCCAAGAAGATAGCGAAACCGGCTCGAGTGATATTCCATCACCTTTGTGCAAAGTCTGACCAGCTCCAACCACAAAGCACCAATCGCTTGACGCACGCCTTGGTGTGACTGAAACATCTTTTCAAAGTCTTGATATCGCTGGATGCAGCGAGCAATCTTGTCGACGACGAACATGAGACGCTCTATGCTTGAAAAATGCTCACTCGCCATCTGATGCATGAAACTTGCGGTTATCGAACAGGTCTGATAGGTGTGGCAGCATGCTTAATAGAATATCAAAGCTACTCACTGTCATCGCCGCTCGAAGCGGACCCCAAATAGGGGAAGCTATTCCCGTGCTAATCTGCGTCAAGACATCGATGGACCCTTCGAATCGCTTCAGAGTGTCAATTATCGGGCGGAATGCTTCTAGGATACGAGTAAAAGTCCTTTTGCGGTTACTGTTAGTGATGAGAATCTGTAGACACTCGTCGACCGTGGCAGGAGCCATAATGGCCTGTCGCTGCGCCGGCGAAAGCTTGCTGGTATACTCGGAAACGGCATGTTTCCAGAGGTCTGCATCAACATTGTGGGTCTGGGCGCTCATTTTCGGATCTGCTCGGCATTTCGAATCTCAATCCAGGGACCAAAGTTACATTGTGGTGGATGTGGTTTCCACCGTGGGGTGAGTGAGTAGAGTGGCTGAGCAGCAGCCGAGCTCATGTGACTTCAGCTGATGTACAACCTGATTGTACAGTACATATCTACCTATGCCGATCATTACTCTCGCATGATTGCATGATTGTCTCTGCATGGAGATGCATATATGGGCAAAACAGCCGAGAGATGGCGAGACTATCACGCATGGAGGGGCGAGAATAGTAGCAGGACTTCAAGCAGACAGGATTGAGTATATAGCGGGGTAATGGACAATATGGGCTTAAAATAGCGATATGCTCGTGCCAATTGAGGGCCCATGCTATCACACCACGGCATCTACTCCTGGAACCCCTGTTAAGAGATCGTAATCTCTGTTGGTGGCAAACTTGGAAGTATGTTTACCTACCATCGATATTTACTCCGTATGCCCCCCTGTTCCACCAAAAAACGAGTAGTGCAGTCCATCACGCCAACGTGGCTGGACCTATTTCGCGCATTGGTCGCGGACGCCACAATGAATCATGGAATGCATAGCTACCAACAAAAACCTCAATCTGGTTCTCCATGTGAATACAGTGAAAACATGGATTCCCAGCCGATCCGGACCTGAATCGTGTTAGTTGTAGAATAAGCTTTCATGAGCATCGCGTTCCCTTGAGACACCCATTTCCCCCTCCTCCTATATAGACAACCCAAATTACATCCGAGATCAATCCCAAGGGTGGCAATAGAAATATTTAGTGTGCTTATTTATGATCTTTTAGGACTAGAAAATCCCTAGTTAACTCCTCAAATTCAATAGCTGGAAAACTTGGCACCATAAGAGGGACGGATAGCGTAACTAGCGCTTATCCTTTGCCCCTCATTTCCCCCTCTTTCGCTAGAACAGGTCAGATCGAGATCAGATGGGTTAGGATAATAACTCCACACCTCAGCTCCCCACCAGGATACCTAATTGGGGTTCTAAATGGGGACCAAAGGTTCTTGAAAGAACCTAGCACGTCATTAGCATGTCCTAACTCCCCTCCCCGAGGACCCCGTGGCATAAACATGTTAAATAGCTCCCCCCGGGGCTTCCGAGCTCTTGTTCTTCTTGTTTTTCTTTTTTATCATATTTGAACTTGATTTCAATTTCTAGCAAACATGTCTTACAACAACGATAACGACGTAAGTTGATGTGATCTTTGTTTATCTATCCGTACTGGAGGGACATGCCAAATCGCCATTGGCCCTTCTACACCCCTCCTATACCCAGTCCTACCCGTCTTTTCTCATACCGTTTATCATCGCTAACACTCAATCTTTAGCGCTCTTACGGCTCTGGAGGTAGCGACTCCTACGGTTCTTCTGGTCGTAACGATGACAATGACAACTCCTACGGCTCCTCCAACCGTAGCGGCAACGACTCATATGGATCATCCAACAACAATGACTCGTACGGCTCCAGCAACAACGATTCCTATGGATCGTCTGGCCGTGGTGGTAACACCTCTTCCTACGGCTCGTCCGGTCGTGACAACGACAACGATAACTCCTACGGCTCCTCCAAGAAGGACTCGTACGGTTCCAGCAACAACGATTCATATGGATCTTCCAACAAGAGCGACTCTTACGGCTCCTCCAACAAGGACTCGTATGGCTCTTCCAACAACGACTCCTACGGATCGTCTGGCCGCACCGGCAACACCTCTTCTTACGGCTCTTCCGGTCGTAACAATGACAACGACGATGACAACTCCTATGGCTCCTCCAAGAAGGACTCATACGGATCCAGCAACACTGATTCCTACGGTTCCTCTGGACGTAACACCGACTCCTATGGATCGTCTGACAAGTCTGACTCCTACGGCTCCTCGAAGAAGGACTCGTACGGCTCCAGCAACAATGATTCGTATGGATCTTCCAACAACGACTCCTACGGCTCGTCCAACAAGAGCGACTCCTACGGTTCCTCCAACCGCAGCGGTAACGACTCTTACGGTTCTAGCAACAAGGACTCCTATGGCTCTTCCAACAACGATTCCTATGGCTCGTCTAACCGCAGCGGCGGTGACAGCACTTTCGGCAAGGTCCTGGAGAAGGCTGGGGACCTGCTGGGCAGCGACTCTCTGCAGGAGCGTGGCCAGGAGCGACGTGAGCAGAAGCGCTCGGATGATGACTACTAAGCTGCTGGAACAGTCTGGAAGTGATTGATTACGTTGTGTATCTGGTGCTGTAATTAGTTTTCCCTAGTATACAAATTGACTGTATTGACTTGGTGGATGCACACTCGAACTATAAGATGGATTAATGATCAATAGTAATGAAGATAGTTTCGTAGCCTGAGAAACAGCGGCCATAATTGATTGATACAGGTTTCTGGATTTATTATTTACCCCTCTATTGATGATGTCAATCTGGTCCCAGGCACCTGTGTTCTTCCTGGACGGGAGCGCCGAACTATTTTCAACCTTACTTTAATCACAACCACCAAACTATCGCGTGGTGTGATTGTATATCCATAGGTAGATATATCTAATATGCATCTAATTCAATATCTAGAATCTCAAATCTTGAAGCCTAAAGGGTAACGACCTCCATCTTAAAATAGAAAATACGACCTTCCCCCTCAGCCTTAATGACGTAACCGCATCCGGCAATCCCTGACTAAGCAGCCAGCACCGCCACAGCCCGGCGTAAGGCAGACTAGCACGTTGGGGCCGAACTGACGTGAGTGGTAACTCGACGATCACCACTGTCTACCACCTGCTTCTGCTTCTGCAACTGCTGTCGCTTTACACCTACCACGACAGTGAACTCGACTCGCGACTCGGACTCACTTTCCTGCGCAATCGACCGAATTTCAACCCGAGAACCCACGTCACAAAGAGCACATCGCAGGCTGCCACCATGTCGTGGGCAGGTACGTCGTCACCGGGAGCGCAGTCCGGACTCGGAATGCCGCAATTTAATGAGGGAGGTTGCTGATGATGTTTCCTCCGCAGGATTCAAGAAAAATGTCAACCGCGCGACGACGCAGGTTATGATGAAGACTGGTGAGTTTGTGGAATGCTACCCCGCAACGAGGCTTGAGGCTTGCGGTAGACTGGATCGGGGCCACTACGCGAGAGCAATCGGTTTGCACTGGGACAGATTGAATGGCCGGCTAATGGCTGGTGCTGGATAGGTCATGTTGAGCGGACAAATGACCGAGACTATGAGATTGAGGAGCGGTATGTCATTTCCGGAGATGTCTTGCTAGGTCGTTGATCGACATGGGTGCTGACAGGGTTATAGTCGGTACCGGACGATGGAGGCTGCTGCGAATCGGTTACAGAAGGAGGCAAAGGGATATCTGGATTCATTGCGAGGTGGGTTGTCTCAGACAGGGCGAGCTGCCGAGCGAGAATAACAACTCACAAATGTCTATTGCAGCCATGACCGCGTCTCAGATGCGCATTGCCGAGACCATTGACGCTTTCTACGGCGATGCCGGTACTCGCGACGGTGTAAGCCGAAGCTACAAGCAGGCTGTGGAGGACCTCGACGCAGAGACCATCAAAGCTCTTGACGGGCCATACCGGTAAGACCCAACCCAACCAGCAACCTTCACCACCAAACAAGAATCTAAATGAAACAACATCATAGTACCACCGTCCTCGAACCCATCTCCCGCTTCTGCGCCTATTTCCCCGACGTGAACGAATGCATCAAAAAGCGCAACCACAAACTCCTCGACTACGACGCCATGCGCGCCAAGGTCAAGAAGCTCGTCGAAAAGCCCGACAAGGACGTCACAAAGCTCCCCCGAACCGAACGCGAAGCCGAAATGGCCAAGCAAGCCTACGAACAACTCAACGAGCAACTCTTCACCGAACTACCCCAGCTCATCGACCTGCGCGTGCCGTACCTGGACCCCAGTTTCGAGGCCCTGGTCAAGATCCAGCTGCGGTTTTGTGCGGAGGCGTACTCGCGTATGGCGCAGGTGCAGCAGTACCTTGATGCGGACACGAGGGATCAGTATGCGCGGGGTGATTTGGATAATCGGGTTGAGGAGGTTCTGCAGGAGATTCGGGAGTTGAGTATAGCGGGTACTGTTTGAAGGTGAACTGAATCGGTTTTAGTTCTTGGAGTCACTACTTCGCATATTGGGGTTATGTGCTTATTTTTGTCTTATTTGAAGCTTGGCTGTTCTATCTTTGTGCCTGGTTAATTAATCTATGCTTCTAGCTGGATTTGACGAAGACTACGTGATCTTATACTTGTTTCCTCTGATTCGCTTCCTGCTTCTCACCTTACATCCAACTTGTACATGAAGCTGGGGCGGGTTCTACCTGATCTTGGCTCTTTTTCTTTCTCCGGGTCTCTTAACCCCTCAAGTTTCATGCCAAATGGAGTTTCAATAATGTGACGCAATGCGCACGCTTTCAATTGCAGACGGGGTATCATATCCACGCGCTCGACATGGGGCATCCGAAGTCCATCCCTCTATAAAGTCATATAATACAATCATCCTCCCCAACAACCGCGCTTCTCCGAAAGATCAACAAACCTCCATCTCACCATCAGCCAACCCGATAAATCTCCTCCTCCAAAACATCCACCACACTCCCCGCCGCCCTATTCACAGCATCCAATTCCCTCCCCTCCATCTTCGTCAACACATAATCCGCAACAGCATCCTTCTCCCTGCCCACAGGCCTCCCAATACCCACCCCAACCCTCAAAACATCCAACTCCCTCGCCAACCCATCATCCTTCCCACGCTTCTTCCCCTGCGCTTGCCACTTTCCCTCTCCCGATCCCTGTTTAACCATCCCATGAAACAACCCCTTCCCCCGCAACGTCTCCAAAACACTAATCAACCCCCGATGCCCTCTCAAACTCGCACTCTCCGCCCCACCCCGTTTAACCCTAACCTTTCCCAGCGGCGCCTCAAGCTCATCATGCAGAATCACCAGCGTAGCCGGGTACCCGGTACTCGCGGCGACGGGCAAAGCTCCACTGGGGAGATCTAGCGCGAGCGCGTCGCGGGATGAGAGCCATTTTGTCATGTTTTTGACCACTTTGGGGCCGGAGATGTTCATGAGCGAGGGGCTGTAGAAGGTTGTGTAGAGCGGGGGAGAGGGAGGGGCCGAGGCGGGTGCGGAGATGGGGGGTTACAGCGTCGAGGAGGATGTGGCCGGCGCTGTGACGGGTTGTGCGGTATGGTGCTGGGTTGCCGATTGAGGCTATGAAGAGGAGGCGTTGTGGGCGGGGGGGAGGGTCATGTTTGGCGGTGTTGGTGTTGGTGTTGGTGTTGGGGTGTGAGGGGGGTTTGGGAGGGGAGGTCGTAGGGGAGGTGTTCTGCTGTGATGCTGTCATGCAGTAGTGGTTGAGCGGTGGCCGCTGGATTTGATTGGATTGGAATGGAATGACCAGGTCGGACCCGAGAGTGTGGCGCGGTGTGGACGGGCGGGAGGGTTGATGAGGTTCCGAGTTGCTGGGAGTCGAAGATGGAGAAAGTCGAAACAGTATGTATGTCCTGTCCTGTAGGAGCGTTGAATGCGTGGGAAGAAAGTACTGCAGTCTGTAACAGAGTATTGACAATCTCTTCGCAGGCTGCCCCGAATGTCTGGATCAGGAACGGGAGATCGTCTCGTGACTTTGAGCATTTCTTGGGACCACTCGGGGGCGCCGAGGCGCCTTGCCTATTTAGGAAAGACCCTCGGATTCAGGACCAGACTCTCGGGTTTCGACTTTTCGCGCACGGATGGTGGGGGAGGACAGAAGTACCAATTGCGACAGGGGTATTCCTCGATGGAGTTATGTATTATTGGAGTTGACTATTTCGGTATAGTAGGCGATTGTTTGTTGGCCTAATTTGGAAGAAAGCTGCGATGTTTTAAGTTTCATCCTTGGGATAGTCTACTATTTAGCAAGGAAGTGTGGTTTCTATTAGGTGCTCGTGTCATATGGGATGACTTTCAATTACCAAGGTGAGCAAGTCTTTCCCACTTGGACTATAGAGACATCATCCGTTGGGCCGCTGTCACCTTGAGTCCGTCTCGGCGAAGAAATGCAAATGAATCTCGCTAGAATTAGCAGTAACAGCTTATTAACAACCTGTTGCCTGATCTTAGTGCCATGTGTATCACTTAGCGATGGTACCATACTATATTAATTTTGCAAGGGTACATGCAAAGATGGTAGGACAGCCAGTCCGATGGTATCCAAGTCCATGCCCTACAGAAACTAGCACACTAGCACCATCTCACATCGGGGTAAGATGACAGGGGTCGGCGATATACATACAGTACGAGACCCAGACCCCTGGGTCAGACAGCCTTGCCTAGAATGTATTACTAGCAGTAGCGTCAGGGCATCACTCAGCCAAGAGGGCTTCCTGATCGAGACATGGATGGGTTGGAGATAACGAAGCTTTGATTATGCTTAGCTGAATCCCCGAGACAGAAATCGTCAACAAAATAATAATCCACCACCTAATGGATACCACGGAATCTCTCCGTCCTTAACCCCTGAGCTGCCACATATATAACACGATACGATCGAGTACGGCTCTGCGAAATGATTGATCAGGACGCGTGGAAGCCCGGTAAAACAGAAGCTACAAGGCTCACATGCATGTACAATGCCATTTCACTGATTTTATGTTCTGTGTGCCGGCAGCCTGTGCAACCGGAATTGTACCGCTCGTCCTTGTCTCCGGTAACCCATGGCTATTCTTTCCCCAGCCGGAAACCGCGATGATCGGTCTAGATAGATATTGCACTCTTCAAGGCCTCGCCTTTGAACACCTCTGCTCTTAAAAAATATTCAACAACAGCAGTAGCTATGTATATATCCACATACTCACATACTGTACTCACCTATCCATGTACATTCACATTGCCATTGCAATTGCCATTTCGCCTCCCGTACCTGATCCCTGCCTAGTGGTCCCACCAAAACCACGCTGTCGGGTCACCCCATTCTAACCTTCCCACCGGGTCGTGCATAAGCTCCAAACTCAAACGTGCTGATAACTGGCCTGATCAGACCCCGGCCCCACTTTAGCTGTCGAACCTTTTCCCCGCCGCGATATCCCGAGGAGAAAGGTATAGCACATGCTTTGCATTGACAAGTGAGGAGAAAGATTGCTAAATGGGGTGGAATATTTGCCTTTGTCATCATAAAACCATATAACTAGGAATAATGTATCGCTCATGGCTTCATCAAAAGACTGTTAGGATGGAAGGGATGCGGGTAAGGGGGCTATGAAACGGACACCAAGTCCATCCCGACTGGTCAGGGACTAATTTCCCAGAGTTTAGGAACGTCCCCGCTCGCTGGGAGGCTCCACTGGGTTACGGGAATGGGAATGGGGGCCTGTTGGGTTGGAAGGTGGACGTGGTTAGGAGGTGAGTTGCGTAGAGAAAATTACTTACAAAATGAGAGTTACATATTAAAATGATAATCATACGTGTTAACACCTAGAGAGGGCGTAATTAAAGGCTCTAAATGACTAAGAATAGTCTAAATTTTCTAAATATGTCTGTAGTTAGTTACATACTTCTTCATACTTGACTTAGTCTCTTGTCTAGTTAACGTGGCCTGATTACACTTCCGGTACCCATAAACTGTTTACTTTATTGCATTTTCCCCTCTGACCCAAACTACCGGGTCTGCAATATCTCATCTATCAACAGTTCAACACTGTTTTCCCGATGATCTGGTGGAAATTTGATATAATTCCTTTTTGCATCTCCCGATCCTTCAATTCTCATCAAGAACAGGATTATAGCTACAAAGTAAGCTACAATACAGTACATTAGCCAGTATATCCCAAATCCATCTAATTCTATCATCTCCGTACTTCGTACTTTCGTGTTCCATATATCAAAGTTTACCCGTGTACGCCTGTACTTCTAGTGTCGCCTGCCAGTATGCAGTGACGTCTCGCGACCCAGACAGTCGGATCTTGCCCCCAGTTTGGTCCGACTAATATCGATGCTCCATAATTATTATTCTCCCGGTACTGGGCAGAGGGGAGAAGGAAAAAAAAGAAAATAAATCCGAAAAATTATGATTCAAGGGTAATTTCCTAACTTTGTCGGGCTTATTTTTGAACTCGCCCTCTACTGTACTTGGCTAGACTGCTAGAGTCTTGGAGTCTTGTTTTTTATTCTTATTGTGTGCTAGTTCCCCTCTCGTTATTCTCTCCACTTTATTCCAGCGCCAACTTAAACTTACTTTTACCTTCTCCTTCCCTTTGTTCTTTGACTTTTGTTGACTCTTTCCTCTGCTCTTCTCTCCTCTTCTCCCGTTATCCCGTCTATATAGACGTTCCTATCAACGGCAATTGCTCGGCAGACAAGTTTTTACTCCCAGCTATGCAATAATCACCACGGCCCTATACTCCCATTTTGCGATCTATACCTCGGGTAATTACCCATCACATTCTCCCGTCTATATCCAAGCGGCGTCTTGTTAGCGAGTTCGTTACAGCTCAGCGATATCTTTCCCATCCGTTTAATCCATCATATTTCCTTTCAACCGGCCGTTTTGAACTCGTCATGTCATGGACGACAAACCCATCCAGCCAGCAGAGGACGACGACCTGGTCCCGCACGAGAACCAGACATATCCGAATTCCGACCCCGAGTCCGAGTCCGATACTGAATCCTTAAACGAAGCATCCATGTACGTATCTAGACGACGCATGATTGCATCCTCAATCTCAATTCCCATTCTCCGAAACCAACCCAATCCGATTGGACGTATACCAGACGCAAACCCTAACAAATCACCACAGAAAATCCACTCGCTCCTACTCCTCCCTCGCCCTCCAACACATCCACGAAAATGGCCGCCGCTACGCCGACGAAACCTACTTCATGCCCAACGACGAACCAGAACTCACCCGCCTCAACATCCTCCACCAAATCTACCTAATCCTCCTCGAGGGCACTCTGACAACAGCTCCACTCCCCCAAACACCACGCATCCTCGACATAGGCACCGGCCCTGGCGACTGGGCCATCGAAATGAGCGCCGCCCACCCAACAGCCACGATAATCGCCTCCGACCTAACAGTCTTCGACTCGGGAGTCGGCCACCTCGACCTCCCAAACGTAGATTTCCAACTCGCCGACGCACGCACAGAATGGACCTACCACGAACCATTCGATCTTATCCATCTCCGGGGTCTATCAGGCGCATTCCAAGACTGGGCCGCGATATACACACAAGCCTTCGAACACTGCAAACCAGGCGGATACATCGAAGTCGCAGACTCCGATCCAGCCGCAGACACAATAACCTTCTCCCCGCTGAAACGACCGGAAAGTGAAGCCGAAATACCCGCGCTACGCACATACACCGCAGCACTACGATCCGCGGCCAACGCCGCCGGCTACCCACGCGACCTCGCCCATCTGAACACCGACGCGCTGGTCGCGGCCGGATTCGTGGATGTCCGCGTCCTAGAACGGACGATCCCGATTGGCCTGTGGCCAGAAGACGTTGCGGAAAAGACGCTGGGCAAGATGGCGCTTATTGCGTTGGTAGAGGGGTTGGAGGGGTATGCGTTGCGGCCGTTGACGGCGTTTGGGGGGTATACTGTTGATGGGGTGAGGGAGCTGTGTGAGGCTGTGAGGGGGGAGCTTTTGGGGGTCAGTGGGTTGACGGTGAAGGCGAGGATTGTTACGGGGAGGAGGCCTGTTTCTTTTGCGCAGAAGAAGATGGATTTGTTGGCGAGGGTTATGGCTAGGGCGAAGATTGTGCAGGAGGGGGCTGAGGCTGAGGGGGAGGAGTAGAGGGATGTGCTGGAGTACCCAGGGGATGAGGGTTGATTGGAGGGTTTAGATCTGGGAGTTCAGCGTGGAGCTTGGTGTTTGGGGTTCTTCTTGTAATATACATTTGTTGCATGCAAGTAGGGTTTTATTTGAGTCCTGCTTGCCTATTGTCTATAGCGAAAAGTGTTTTGCGTGTTCTAACAAGATTGGGATGTTAATATAATAGAACTTATCTTAATGTCGTTTCAAAGACAGGAGTTTACTTAGCATTGAGGACAAATAACAACAACCAACATTCTGATACACATAGTAAACGCTCCACAATAGCTCAATCTATAAGGCAACACAACACTCATTTGAACAATCTCGAAATGCGAAGATTCTGGAAATCCCACGCATTAACATCATCATACCGACAAGGCGTCGCCGGCGTAATAAACTCCCTAAACGGAAACAACGACGCACTCCGATTCGGCTTCGCAAAATACGCAATCGAGTACCTCTCCGGAATAACCGCCTCAGCACTACCCGAATCCGAGTCAACCTTAACAGAAGGCGGATACGTAACCCGATGACAAGCAGCCCGGAAAGTATCATTAGTAATTCTCTGCATCGAATCACCAATATTCAAAATAATCTCCGTCTTATCCTTAGACTCGATTCCACGAAAAACACCCGGATTCTGTTGATCCTCCACTTGCAGTCCGCCTACAGAGTCTTGGAAGAGCATCGTGATGCTGCCAAAATCCGTGTGCTCGGCGATACGTGTAGTAGTGCCGTCTGCTAGTTCTGAGGCTGGGATGGACGGGTAATGCAGGATGCGGAACTCGTTTTCGGCTTTGTTGTGTAGAGCGAGCATTTGGTTTTCGTCCACGCCGAGAGCACGGGCTAGAGCGGCGAGGATTTCGAGTTCGAGTTTGAAGCAGGTTTCGTAGAATTCTTCGATGAAGTTGCGGAAGCCGGGGAGTTTTTCTTCGGGGACCCAGATGTTGTCTACTAGTTCGTCTCGGGGGGAACCGAAGTCGACTGTTTCCTGTAGAAGTTGTTAGTCTTTTGCAGGTTACAATTGAAGAGATGTTTTTACCTTGATATCACGAACAAATTTTCCCTGAGGAAGCCCCTTCTCAAAACCACTGATGCTCGAGATAGACTCTTGTCCGACGTAGCAGTAGCCACGGTTGGGATTCGCCTTGGGAGGGTGCTTTGCGAGCATCTTGTCCTCGTGGGGCAGAGCGAAGAACTTGCGAGTCTATTTCAAAGTCAGTCTCTTAGCCTCAGTCTAAACACAGGTATGCAATGCTAACCCAGTCAAATAGATCATAGATGAGCTTATCCGGAAGACCATGATTCTTCAACTTAACACCACCCCGAGTCTTGAGGCCATGGAGTAGAGCAGTCGAAATTTCTTCCCTCTGTTGGGGAGTCCCCTTCAGCAAGGAAAGATCAAGAGCCTCGGACATTGTGATTGTGATGGTCGTGAAAATAAAGAAATTCTAAGAAAATGGGATTCTGTCCTGGTTGATATCTTGTCGTGGTGGTAGTCTAACGGCAATTCAGGGGAGAGATCCCTCCAATTTATACTTCATAATCCACTAGGCATGACATATTGTATCTCCATACAGGAATGACCTTTTTGAGAAGGTAATGTCCAATAACGCGGGGTATACACGGCTAGAAGATAATTACTTTCCCGAATAGATCGAGTGGGTCCAATATCACCTTCCTCAATCACAAGCAGACCAATCAGAGCGGTTGTCGAACTGTACCCAAGGCTCAAGTAAAGATGGAAGGTAATCGTGTCGCTGCTCCTGTAGGAACCACTCTCTAGCATTTCACAAACGATCAGATTGCTAAACCTGATTCGTTATAGAACAGAGCCCGGAGAAAATGGCAGTTTGGAAGCTGATTCACGGTCAGAGTGAGGTCTTGTTCACGTTTTGGGTCCGTTCTCGGGTATATTCAGCTCTTCGTCAGTGGTTATACTGGATTCACATTGTTAACGCTCGACGAAGGACGGATTTTCTGAAGGCGTATTCAACAAGCCCCGATCAAGTGACTTGCGGGGGTATTAAGAGTGGAGTATTCTAAGAAGTACCAGTTCCATTCTCACTTACAGGAGGGATAAATCAGACGAGATGCATAATGAGGTAGAAACTAACTGCGATTGGCATTGGAGCGCAAGGCTACCAGAAGGATTCATCTTGAATAAACACAGTATTATATAAATCCAAAGCACAATTGACAAAGAATCAAACCTCGAGTGAGGCATCTATGTTCATTCGACATATATAGGGTATATGCCCAGCAAATACTAACAAAAACCATGCTTTTGGATACTCCCCAAACCCCATGCGAAAGGAAACAAAATGATGCAGAAAGAAAAGAAACGCAGAAGACCCATCCCATAGCTGGTCCCATAGCTGCTTACAGCTGGAACTTGGTCCGCTCCTTCTCCATCCCACCCTTCCATTCCCACTCTTGCCCACTGGTTCGTTGAATGCCCTTATCCACACGGCGCAGCTTCAAGGTAAACTGCGGACCGAGCTCTTGCAGACCAGTTCGAATGCCCTCAGCACCCTCCATCTCCTTGCCATCGGCACCAACAACCGCCTTCTCTGTCTCGCGCTTCTCACGGAAGACATATCGGTGGCGGCGCACGAAGATGTAATCACGCTGGTTGTGCAATGTGACAACCTGCCGACCCTCAAAATCTGGCTGCGGAGGGAAGCACTGCTGGAACATGCGGGCAGTGAGCAGACCCAGCGGTGTGCGGAAGTTGTTCAGGATCAACTCGGGCCAGTGACCAGTTGCGCGACCATGGCCGGGAAGCCGTTTGCCATCGACCCAGTTGCTGATGCTGAAGTGGAAAGTCGGGCCAATGGGGAGATGCACAACGATCAAGCCGCTGGGCTTCTTCTGGTCCTCCTGCAGGACAACCACGGTAGTGAAGTTGCGGTTCGCGGCGAACTTGGAGATCTCGCGGATGGAAAACTTGTGCGAGTAGCGGTGTGCTGTGCGGCGGATATACACGCTGTTCGGGAACAGGTCTGTCAGGATGTCGGCTTCGTTGTGGAGGGTGGAGTTGATAGCGGTCGTGATGAGGATCTTGGGGGCAGGAGGAGTTTCGGTTGAGAAGAGCGAGGGGAATTTGGCGGCTAGCGCTTCAGGAGCGAGACTCAGGTTTGTACTGCGAGTGGATTGTGATGGACTGGTCGCGCGTTCGGTGGCAGTGGGTAGCGAGGACTTTTTACGTCCACGGCTTGAGCCTTCTTCGTCGTCGTCCTTCTCGTCCTCGTCGTCTTCCTCGTCGCTCGTTGCGATCATACTGTCGACCGACTCGTTATCGGACTCTGCGTCATCACTTTCGTCCTCGCCCTCCTCCAGTGGCCGATTCAATTCGTCCTCTTCTTCCTTCTTGGCCCGCTTGATGCGCTCAATATCGACACTCAGTCCCAGGCCATCCTCCTCAGCGTCACTACCGGCTTCATCCCAGACACGCTTTCGCTCGAGAGTCAGGGGAATATTGCGACGCAGGCGTTCCTCTCTCAACTTGGGATTCTTGGCTTCCTCCCTCTTGAAAGCATGGCGCTCCTCGTGCCGCTCCGCATCCTTGGCTCTCTTGCGCTTGATGTGTAACATCTTCCGGCGCAACTTGTTCTTCGTTTTGACCTCCATGTCGGAGCCGGGCGGCGGCCGTGATTGACCTTTCATACCCATGGTGAGTAAGAAATCTGGTGGACTGCAAATGAAATTTTGGGTGAGCGACTTGACGAAGCTTCAAACTGATCTTCGCCGATAAAATAAATTATCTCGGATCATCAATTCTCCGGGCTGGGCCCGGCACCATTCTTTTTGATTGATGTTGATCGTCCCATAAGGGGGATTGAAAAGACAAGAAAAAAAGAGAGAAGAAAGTGCACATCCATTCGTTTTTTCCATTTTTTCCCAGTACTTGTATTTCTAGAAACATTTGTATTATATCTGTGGTGTGAACGAAGTCCAGGGGGACTTCTAGGTGGATGACTCAATTGCTGCCGCGCCTTTTCCTCCCCCGCTCTTTTCTTTCCCCTCCATCCATCCAGTTCAGGACTTTCACCTGCTCGACCGCGCTCCAGAAGAAGTCCAATCGCAACCCCAAGATGGCCACCGTCACCACCAAGACTGGCCAGGCGGTCGATCGCCTGGTCCTGGATTCAATGCTCCGCCGCCGCATGTTCTACACCCCCTCCTTCGAGATCTATGGTGGTGTGTCTGGTCTTTACGACTATGGCCCACCCGGCACCGCCCTGATCGCCAACATGACTGAGTTGTGGCGCAAGCACTTTGTGCTCGAGGAGGATATGCTCGAGGTTGACTGCACCATGTTGACCCCTCACGACATTCTCAAGACCAGTGGGCACGTGGACAAGTTCGCCGACTGGATGTGCAAGGACCCCAAGACTGGCGAGATCTTCCGTGCCGACCACCTGGTGGAGGAAGTTTTGGAGAACCGCTTGAAGGGTGACAAGGAGGCTCGTGGCCAGAAGGTCGAGGTTGACGCCGAGAAGGAGGCCAAGAAGAAGAAGAAGTCCAAGGGCGAGACCAAGGCTGTCAAGCTCGACGATGCCCTCGTCAAGGAGTACGAGGAGACTCTTGCGCAGATCGACAACTACGACGGTCCCGATCTCGAGAAGCTTATCGCCAAGTACGACATTCGCAACCCCGCTACCGACGGCAAGGTCGAGCCCCCCGTCGCTTTCAACCTCATGTTCCAGACCTCCATTGGTCCCAGCAGCAACATGCCCGGTTACCTTCGTCCCGAGACCGCCCAGGGTCAGTTCCTGAACTTCCAGAAGCTGCTCGAATTCAACCAGCAGGGTATGCCCTTCGCCTCTGCCTCTATTGGCAAGTCCTTCCGTAACGAGATCTCCCCCCGCGCTGGTCTCCTGCGTGTGCGTGAGTTCCTCATGGCCGAGATTGAGCACTATGTCGACCCCGAGGGTGGTAAGAAGCACCCTCGCTTCGTCGAGGTCAAGGATGTCGAAATGTCTCTGCTGGACCGTAACGTCCAGCTGTCCGGCAGCACCAAGACCACCAAGATGACCATCGGTCAGGCTGTCGAGACTGGTCTGGTCGACAACGAGACCCTGGGTTACTTCCTGGCCCGTATCCAGGCTTTCCTCCTGAAGCTGGGCATTGACTCCAACAAGCTGCGCTTCCGTCAGCACATGGCCAACGAGATGGCCCACTACGCCGCTGACTGCTGGGATGCTGAGCTGCAGACCAGCTACGGCTGGATTGAGTGTGTCGGCTGTGCTGATCGTAGCGCTTACGATCTGACTGTGCACAAGAACAAGACTGGTGCTCCTCTGGTCGTCCGTGAGACTCGTGCCGAGCCCCTGCGCATTGAGGAGTGGCAGGTCGATGTTGAGAAGAAGAAGTTCGGTCCCCGCTTCAAGAAGGATGCCAAGACCGTTGAGAACGCTATCGAGGCTCTGTCCCAGGAGCTGCGTGAGAAGCTGTCCCTGGACCTTGAGCAGCAGGGCAAGATCGAGATCGACGTTGAGGGTGTTGGCTCTGGCAAGGTCGAGATTGAGAAGGATCTGATCCGGATTGAGAAGCGCACTCGTGTTGAGAATGTCCGCGAGTACACTCCCAACGTTATTGAGCCGTCCTTCGGTATCGGTCGTATCATGTACAGCATGATCGAGCACGTCTACTGGTCCCGTGCTGGCGATGAGGCCCGCGGTGTAAGTCATGATTGACACAATGGCTTTTTTGTTCTTTTGCTAATTATTTCTAGGTCCTCTCCTTCCCCCCATCCATCGCCCCTACCAAGGTCCTGCTGGTGCCTCTCTCCACCAACGCAGCCTTCAAGCCCCTGACCCAGAACCTGAGCATGAAGCTGCGCCGTCTGGGTGTTTCCAGCCGTGTGGACGACTCTTCCGCCAGTATTGGCAAGCGTTACGCTCGTAACGACGAGCTGGGTACTCCCTTCGGTATCACCGTCGACTTCCAGTCTGTCAAGGACAACACCATCACCCTGCGCGACCGTGACACGACCAAGCAGGTTCGTGCCAGCGAGGATGAGATTTTGCAGGCTGTCAAGTCTCTCGTCGATGAAGACGAGACCTGGGCCGATATTGTCAAGCGTCTGCCCGAGTTCACTGGCCAGGAGATCGAGTAAAGTGTAGAATAGAGCAGAGCCGAGTCGAGTGGAAAGTTTCATTTCCCATTCTAAAAATATACACCATTTCCAATTTTTTTTTCTCATCACTTCCAGAAGATAATCCAGTAATAATTCCCCGACAAAAACATTAATCACATTTACCTTTTTGTAGCGTCCGTGTCTCTGATTTCAAGCCAATAGCGCATGCTTGATTGCAGCTAAGCTCCGCTCCCCAATCCGGTCTACCGCGCCAAGAATCCGGGGCAACCTCGTCGCATCTTCCATCTGTCCTCTTCCTCGTCTCAAGACAGAGAGCACGTCCCAACACAGACCTCATGGCGCCTATCATCCATTCCGCCAAACTCACAGTCTCCTGTCCCCTGTTCGCAGCCGACTTTGACCCGCGCAACAACGGGCGTCTGCTGGTCGGCGGCGGAGGCGGCGAAGGCCGCAGCGGAGTCGGGAATAAGATCGTAAGTGGCGCGTGCTTTAGTCTGGCTTTTTGAGTCTCTGGAAATCTAACTGGGGTATCTATTTAGTCTTTGATTGATACGTCACGTCGAGATGAGATCACCGAGGCCGTGGAGATTAACTTGTCGCGCGACGAGGATTCGGTGACGTCGCTCGCTGCGGCGCCGCAGGTTGGCGATGATGAGGGCTCGCTGGTCGTCCTGGCTGGTATCAACAGCTCTATTCAGGAACAGGAGAAGAACAACAACAATCAGCACATGCGATCCTTCCGATTTGAAGCGCCTCAAAAGAAGAAGACTGTGAGCTCGGCCAAGTTGCAGGACAACTCGGAAGCTTCCAAGAAGGACACAACAGCGAAGAAGGAGAAGACGGTTGAGGAAGTGATTCCTGGAAAGGCAGAGACTCTGTCGCGTGCTTCAATCTTCCGTACAAAGGGAGCCGACTCGGGCGATACTTATCAACGAGTCTTGAGGCTGTCTTCTTGGAAGAAGCCCGCCGATGCCTCGAAGAAGAGCAGTCAAACTACCAGAGTCGGCGCTATTGCGACTGGTCTGGCGCAGTCTGGCGAGATTGTTTTCTTCGCAGTTACAGAGGGACCTACCGAGTCAGATGTCATCGGCCGTATCCGTCTGGACAGCAACGAAGAAGCCGAGGATGTGGACTTTGCCAGCCTGGAGGATGACCCGGAGCAGACGGGCGATGCCCGAGGTAAATACCGTGTGGCATATACCAACGGCGCCGATGTGATGGTTGGTGAGATCTCCTCATCTACACGCTCCAACTCCGCTCCCGATGTCAACTGTGTCTATACCATTCCTCTCCCCAGCAGCGGCGCCCGTGCTGCGCGTCCCAAGTTCCGCGCCTTGCGCTTCCTCTCCTCAACAGCACTACTCCTCCTCCAAAATGCGCCAAATCGAAGTGGTTGCGAGTTGGTTATTCTTCGCTTGCCTAAAACCAAAAACGGCACCGCAACTATCGTACGGCGTCGCAAGCTGCCCCGGACTGTTCAGATTGGCCTGGGCCTTGATATTTGTCCCCTTGGTACCAACCCAGCTGGGCAACAGCAGACTATTATTGCTGTCAGCGGCAGTGACAACTCGATTCTATTGTGGACGGTCGAGTTCGGCCCTAACAAGGGCTACGGCGCCATTCGGCCTTACACAACCCTCCGCGACGTGCACCCATTCTCCATGACGAAACTCGTCTTCTCTCCCTTCACAGCTCCAGCCCACCCCGTCACTCCCGACGTACTTCCCCAAAACGTCAAGCTCGCCTCCATCAGCATGGGTAACACCATCGTTGTCCACACTTTCCCGCTCTCCCCCTTCCCCGCCTCCTCCCGCACCCCACGCTATGTCCTATCCTTGCCCGGCCCCGCCGAATTCTGGGAGGGCCTGTACTTCATCCTCGTCCTACTTTTCTCTCTCGTCCTCATCACAGGCTCTATGCTTGCGTTCGCCGAGATCCGCGGCGGTACACCCCCGTCCTCGGCGCAGCGCAATGGCTGCCTCCATCATGGCGCAATGCTATTGTCAACGAGTACACCCCACCTGCACCAGGCAAGGGCTCATACATCGATTACCTCCTCTCACCCAAGGCCCAAGAGCCAGTGCCAGTGCCAGTGGCAAACGTCATCGAGGAAAGCCAAATCGAAAGCTTGAGAGAAATCCTCGATCGGGTCCACAGTGCCGGCGCCGCACCAATCGACCTCGAGACTATAAGCCCACACGCCCTATCAGTCATCCTACGCTGCCACGATGGTATAACCGCGGAACAAAGTGTCCTCATCGAGACATTATCTTCTCACCGCGCTCATGACGATAAAGCCGAAGCAGAAAAGTTCCGCACTTGGGCCGATCTCAATGTTGAAGACCAGGCTGCATGGAAACGGCGATTGACTGATGCCGGGCGTTGGGCTGCTGATGAGGGCGAGGCTGTGTTAAAGGGGGTTTTGTTTGGTGAGGCTTGTGGGCAGTTGCGTCATGCTGTTGAGCAGGGATTGTCTTGATCGTACCTAGCAAGGTGTGGTTCGGTTGTTCGGTGGTTCGGTAGTTTGTACTTTGGCTGGATTTGGGATTGGAAATTCGATGCTTTGATGGCTTTCTTTGATTGTATGATTTGCTATATATACTTTTTACATGATAGATGAATCTTGATTTTGCTGTACTGTTTTGCTGATGATTTCGTCCCATGGATCAATGTATAGATGGTTAGATGTAGGAATCCGGCATACGTTTTACAGAAGGTCATTTAAGCGTACCTACCTGGGTGTAGCAATGGCACTACAAAACGTTCGTCGCACCACATCCTATTTCTGATTAGGAGCCCGAACACACCACCACCGCCTAAAAGTACATAACTTGACACCTCTAGCTATATATGTATACCGATTCTGCCAAAGGTCGCAGCTCCCTTGGGCTCAATATAAATTACAACTCAGTAGTCAGATCCTCGGCCCACTCCACGGTACTCACTAGGGATAAGAGTGGTCAACGGCAGATCCCTAGGACGCCACCTTAACAATGATTTAAGATAACATAAGCCCAGAACTCATAATTTAGGTATAAAGAAGTGGAGGTGCGGCGATCACTAGTGAGGAATATTGCTTCTGTCGCTCCGGGAAAAGTATATGTTTGCAGTTTCTCCCCTTCAATCTGGAGAATTTTCAATCAACAACCTATCTCTTACTAGATTTCAATATGAAGTTGATTATGGTTCTCGCCGCTCTTGTCGCAACTGCGATAGCATATCCTGCCCCTGAGCCAGAACCGCAAGAGAGCTGTCCTGCAGATGTATGTATTCTCCAGGGGTATCTGTTACCAACCCTACTAAACTTCAATGCAGAAAGTCTTCAATAGTTGTGGTACGGCCTGCCCATTGACGTGTCGCAACTTTGAGAACCCCCCAGAAGTCTGTGCTATGACCTGTGTTCCCGGATGCGCCTGCCCGGACGATTTTGTCCTTAATGAGGCGGTATGTGCAAAATCCATTCACCTACGCTGGTGGTTTTGCTAATCAATGTGGATTTTGTGTAGGGTGATTCCTGTGTGGTCGAGGAAGACTGCCCAAAACCCGAACCTATAGATGGAACAGGAGATGTTTAAAGAGCATGGAGTACTAGGCTATGTGTGGGCCTTGCAGCAGCTCTTAACCTCTCCGTCCTATGTCACTATATGTTGTTCATATCCGAAACTCGTGTAATAATCATTCGCTAGGACATTCTACTTATTATATGTATCAATTTTCGTATCTGTTGGGCACCACCGACAGAAGCCACAATAAACCCACTATTATTCTTCCGTTCTCTAGCAAAAGAAAACGGAAAGAAAAAGAGTCGTAGGGGGCATCACCATTACTAGTATTCTTGCCTCTTGGAGATAATTAACACAGTGTGAATTCCATTCCTTTTAACAAAATGATGTTCTTAAATACGGGGTTTTTGTGAGGAATAGGGATACATGAGCGCCAGCATCTCAGCAGAAAAGCCATATATTTAGGGCTGTTTCAAGACTGTCATCGTAAGACAAAATTGGGCTTGAAGGGCGTATTATGACCCTGCGTTTAAATCGCGGCTTATAGGTTCTCACACACATTTAACCGAATATATAGTGCGATGAACGTTTTTTTAGTGCCACTAACCTTACTAAACCCTACCTATATACTATATCTATCTGCTATAAGCTTCAAGAAACATAGGATAGGCTCAATACACCAATTAGAGACAGCTCAAAAGTGACGGTATTGATGGGTATCTCTCCGTCTATCCGTTTGAACTTATAGGCCCTTTGTCGCGGCGCTTTGCTGCGTCTTTCCACTTGATGCCCGCGATGCAGGTTCCCGATTCTAGCGTTTAAACCAATGAAATATCAAAGTAGATCAACCTCAGTCTTCCGGATATAGGTGACGCCAATTTAAGGGTTCGTCATTATTGATTTCCTTACATTAACGCGATTTTTCATAGGTATTGGGCTCATATTTTGCTCAGTTCATTCGTCATATTTCGTTTACTTCATTCTCATATGTGTTCTCATATCTCAGTTAGTTCATCATGCAAACTAACTATCCTCCTGCTAACTACCTAACCGAGTAGTCAATCCTTCAAGCGACGGGAGCGAACAAACGCTTCTCAAGTGCAGGCCAAACCTTGGGCCGGCTTGCCCTGTAGCTAGAATAGCGAAGCTCAACCCCAGCCACGTTGCACATCCCCTGAAGTGCCGCAAAAGCAGCACGCACAAGCACAAACCACTCGCCATTTCTCTCACCAGGGAACAAACCAAGCAAGCACACCTCGATAACCTGCAGCCGGGGAAACTGGTCACGAGATGACACCATTGCACAGAGTGCACTGACAACGATGTCAATGTCGCGATCCAGAATCTCCGACAGGCAAAGCTTCTCTACACTGCTTGGCAACTTATCAAGCAGGTCCAGTGCTGGCACTCCCCCTAGAAACTCAAGAAAGAACACCACAGGGATGTCAATCTCGCGTAGGTGGGTGAATTCCACCAGGGAGCCGAAACCCCAAAAACCAGGCCGGAAGGTGATCAAGCGGTACACCTCCGCGAATGATTCCCTTTTGAAGTCCCAGTACCCTACGTACAGCCCCTGGAGACTATGCTTCTGCGTCTCCAGGGCCTGGTAGAGATGCTGGGGACTCCAAACGGGGAAAAATCCAGTGCTATGGTCATCGGTGTGCTCGTACTTGAAGACCTGGAGATTTGCACAGGCAGTGATATACCGGAGTATACTGCTCCTGCCATGGATATAGCTCAGTACCAGTCTTGTGATTCCAGAGGACCGGCGCGGGGGCAGCAATGCCGGGCATGGCTGTGGGTAGTCTTCCTCCGGCCTATCGGTGAGGCTGTGGCCGAAGAAGGATCGCATGGCCGGGAAGTGTAGAAATGGGATGAAGTCCAAGTGTGAGCGAGTTGCGAAAGGTGAATTTTCGGACACAAAGACTTCTTCTAGGAACTGCAGTGGTCTGAATGGGAAATCCACTGCGACGGTTGCGATGCGGGAGAGAATGAGAGTGGACCACATTTTGGGACCGATGGAATGATCCAATTTGAAGAATCGCAGGTTCGGCACAAGGAAGAAGAGAACTGCTATCCAGGCATCAGGCAAACCTCTGATGAGATCGCGTTGCCATCTGCGGCGTTCTTTGCGCTCCGGGATTGCTCTGATCAAGATATCATGGAATGGTCTGGTGTGAGGATTATCCAGAAGTCCATCATCATCTGGATCCAGGAAAACATCTTTATCCTCAATGTCATTGGTGGGAGCAATGTCGATTTCATAACCGCCAGTCCAGAGTCTCTGTACGAAAGACGCCAATCCGGGGTTCTCCAACAACAAGCGGGCTAGCCGGTAAAGTCGTCTCTGTGGATTGTCGACTTCGAGAGAAAGGTAAACCTGGGCAAGGAAGACGTGATACCATGTTCGGCATACCAACAAGAGCTGAGAGAGGGCGTGGAAACGCCGCGAGGAAGGGGGTCTCCGGCCATTGTTTTCAGGCTTCAGGTTGAGATAATGGAAGATGAGAAAGAAAATTTCGTTCGGGAGGTGACGCATAGTGTACGGATTTGAATGTAGTCGCCGGGCAGTCATCTTTCGATGAAATCAGAGCGTGTTCAGGATGTCTCACGCACGTTGGAAGCTACCAGATGAAGCGATTGGTGATCGTCGTGAAGCGTGAAGCGTGAAAGATGGGAAGAGGGAGTAGACGGAAGAAGAGAAGATGGAGCAGAGGGAGGAAGAGAAGACAGTGCAGAGCAAGAGATGGTCTCCCATAGGCAACGGTCTGAAGAGGCGCGGCAAACGACGACAATGCGATACGATGCGACGATGATACGATGTCTCCAGTAGTAGTGCCAGACCAATGAACTCCTCAATGCCTTGTATCAGACCGTTCCGAGTAAATAAATATAAGTTCAAGAGCTTGAACCGCGAGGATATGGGTGGTTGCCTATCGAGGGACGAACAAATGACCAGTATTTGTTGATAATGTGACGCATTTACAGTTTAATGCAAGCAAAAGCATCCTCAGCTGGCCATGACACCCTCTCAAAGCGCCGGCGAGCTTTAAACTCGTGGTATTTTGAGGATCAACGCCCAAGATATCTGTTTGGGAGGCAGCCCATTTCTCTATCAAACTCAATCGCGGCTCTTTTTTGTCAAGCATAATTCATGTAAAAGCCAGACTGTCGACGGTCTTGATTATATCAAGATGGTCATCTTCAATAGCCAAGATAATAGACTATTAGCGTCTTGATTTTTGCTTTGATCAAGGCAAGCTACCGCAAGATTGTGCATATCCTCGATAGTCACAGGGTGGCTTGTGTCTGCTGCACCTCGGCGGCTGAGCGCTTCTCACTATCAATCAAAGCAACTGACATAAAGTTGATACTCGCAGTGGTTTTGAGGCCGACTGGGGCGAATCAGGGCCATGTCTATGTTGATCATAATCGTAAATGTGTCATGATATTCATCACTCAGCGTGATGTCCTGGGTATCAAGAATATCTGCATGTAGATGGCGAGCATTCGAGTAATAACCTTGACGGTAATACCTCGTCGCCAAGATCTTCAAACCGGAGTGTATCCGGATGATAGTCACCCAAATTCTTTGTCCGGGGCTCGAGACATTCATAGTTGGTGGTGTGACTCGACATGCGAATGGCAAACGCAACCCATTGTGGAATAGGTCGCTACTCGACACCCATTATAACAGGGGTGGATGCATGCGGCTCTCCAGATATCTTCTTGCCGGCCTCAAACTTGGCCTGAATAAGATGGCAATCGTTAAACTCGCGGTGTTAATGCCCGGGCGGACTGGCATGAGTCAGCCCAGAAAAATCCCTGTATCAGAGAATCTGTGTACCAGTGCAATCAACCGTCGACGAGGTCTTCGAGGACAGCTCATCAAGCTGACTGGGATCCCAGCCAGATGCACAGTGGATATGGATTCCAGACCGATACGATCCTAACCTCCAGTCAGCTGATACTATCCATATTTGTCTCGAGTCATCAACAAACCCAGATGCACGTAAACCTAAGTAGTGAGCAGGCCAAGACTGTCACCAATATAGGATCCAGAAACTCCTATTTCCGACTGTTGTAATGTTGTCGTCTCGACGCTGGGCTCGCAAACGTTTGGATGTATAGTAGACAAACGTTTGATTATAGTCAATCGCTGTTCAGCCCGGTGAAGCGCCCTTATCAGGTGATGCTGACTCGCAGACAACGGAGCACCCGCCGCATTCGAATTTCATTGTTCACTCGGGACAGGACTACACGACCTGGTATTCAGCCTCCTTTGGATTCGAACCGTTCTATTTCGCAAGGTTCCAAGTGAATCAAGCCGTTTAGTAAGATTTCCCCGTACAATAGCTATCCTAGCAGGTGTCCCAGCTTGATGGAGACAACGTATACATTTCCGGATAGGCTACAACAAAATACCTCATTTGGAATTAGTGCATCTAGGTAGGAAGGTAACAGTAGCACCGAATTTATATATCGTCAACCTTAGTTCATCCATCAATCCGAGAATTTGGGTAGAATTAAGGCATTCATGGAATGAATCCCAACACAAATTTTACATCTATCCTTAACATTATGCATCAAAAGTCTGCTAAATCAGATCAATACATCACAACCATATCCACCAACCCTTATATAACGACCCAAACCAATATAGTGCAAGGCCAACAAATATGCTAGTGTCATGATCATGGTCATTGTCATCAGCATCATCAGTGTCGTTGTCATCATCGTGGACATCCTAAGTGAGAGCGGACCAGAAGAGCAGAGCTTGCGACTACCCCCAAAAATGACCCTTAAAAAACTAGAGACGAAACTAGACCTAGAACCAATTGAACCGGCCAAGTAGCGGTAACGCAGAAATAATGAGCTCACAGGTCGAACATCGCCAATCCATTTTCAACTCAGGCCAGGTCAGGGATTCATTGACATAGGCATAGAAAAAAGTCAAGTAGACATTTTGATGAGAACGTGAATGGTCTGGACAATGGACAATGGACGTGGATGAAAGAAAAAAGTACTCTTTTGTGCAAGTCAACTCAAATCGAGGACGGGGATTATCATAGACGCGAAAATAGACAGAAGAACAGTACTGAAGTACTAAAAAAACGAGTACGAGTATAAAACGTTGAATCAAGAGCAGCATTTCACGAAAGCAGGAACAGAAACATGAGCTGCAAGCAGAAGCAGAAGCAAAAGCACAATTCAATGATGAAACGCCAATTACCCACGCCGTGGTTGTGTATGGTGCGGAATCAATGGGGGAAGGGGGAGCAGGGAAGGAGTAGGCAGGCATGATACAAACACAGCGCAGCGTAAGCTTAAATCTTAGTCGAGGGTCGTTGATTTGGGCTTGGGGGATATGAATGGCAAGAGTGACGGGTATGGGAATGTGAGGTGATGCAGAGTGGCCGATGCGGGATTCGTGAGAAGGCACAATAAGGAACGTTGTCTAAACCGGAGAGGCGTTAAATCGAACCCATATGTGCGCAGAACAAAATTCTTTCAGGTGGTCAATCAACTTCGTAGACGGGGTGGAAGAGGTGTGAGAAGGCGTGTTCTGATATGGACGGAGATAGGTGGTCATGAGAAGAGGAAGAGAGAGGAGGAAAGAGAGGTGATGGAGATCCTCATGCTCTCAAAGGAAACGGAAAAAAGGCAGAGTATGGTTGGTCATCTCATTTATTGACCGTTAGCCTTCTTCCAACGCAGCAGCTCAGCCAAACTGGCGAGGCTGCAACCAGTCTGAAGGAACTCGTGAGCCAACAGCTCATCAGCAGTAGCACGGCTGCGGACGTCTACGCAAAGACAAACGCTCAGGAAGGCTTTGAGCTCCTTGCTCAGCTTCTCGGGCTTCTTCAGACGGGGTGTACCGTTGGTGGCAATCAGGTACAGGGCCTTGAGGGGCTCCTCATTGAGGTATGGGGGCTCGGACTCGATCATCTCAATAGCCATGATACCCAAAGACCAGCAGTCCACCTTGGGTCCATACTCCTTCTGCTTAACCACCTCGGGCGCCATCCAGTAGGGCGTACCGACCATGGTGGCACGCTTGCTCTTCGACTCAGTCAGCTTAGCACAGAAGCCAAAGTCAGTGATCTTGACATGTCCGACTCGGTCAAGCAGGACGTTGTCACTCTTGATGTCACGGTGGATAATGTTCTGGCTGTGTAGATGGGCCAATCCCTTGCAAGTCTATAGTAATATAAGTTAGCCAAGTCATGTTTTCAATGGTAACGAAAGATAGGACGGCATTGTTCTTACCTCATGACAAATTGTCGCAATCTGGTTCTCCGTAATCACCTGGTTGTTGTCGATGACATCTGTCAACGCACCACCCTCCATGAACTCCATAACCACCCAGAGCTCGTTGCTTGACTCTTGCAAGAATGAATCCAAAAAGTTGACAATATTGGCGTGCTGGCTGTCCTTCATAACAATAATTTCGTTCACAATCAACTCCTTACGAGGCTGGCTCCGCAGATCCATCTGCTTGATGGCCACCTGGCACCGAGGGCCGTACTGTCGGTACAGCTCGTGGGCAACGGCAGAGGTCGCATGCTCCTTGACCCGAGCCACATATACGGATCCGGACGCACCCTGTCCAATCTTACGCTGCTTGCTGTACGATTCATTGGGGTTATCCTTGGACACCACAGACCGCAGACGATCCATAACCTCATTCTCAGACATAGCTGACATGCGCACCTCCTTCTTGCTGCTTGGTTCGGGCTTCTTGGTCAGCGCGGCCTCGGCCTGGCGAACACCATCGGGAACAGCCTGCTTGGCGCCGGCCTGCTTGTTGGCAACGTTCAGTGGCTTGACAGCTTGAACCGGAGCAGGCAGACGGGACGGGGGAGGCCCTTGCTGGCCCTTGCTGCCATTGCTCTGGGGCTGGCGACTGGACGATGCCTGGGCGCGAGGGTCATTGGGAGCATAGCGAGAAGGCGATCCTTGGGAATCGTCGTTTCGCGAGCTGCCACCAGCAGGAGTTCGGGGAGGGCCTTGTCCATAAGGACTCTGGGAAGGAGGAGCGGGCGCGGGCCGCTGGGCAGTAAGCGGCTGGCCTCCAGGGGCGCGGGATCCCGAGCCGGGCGCCTGGGGAGCCGGACGACTCGGCTGGTAGCGGCTGTTCATCGAAGGATCCGAGACGCCATAACCACCAATTTCCTGCTTGGCCATTGGAACGCGGGTCTGGGGGATGGATGCATTATATGCTGCATCTTCCTTGCGACGCTGTTCCTCCTCCACACGACGACGCTCTTGCTCTGCCATCTGCTTCATCTGTTCCAGTTGCCGCTGCTGTTCAGCCGCACGGTCATCCAGACCGTGCTGGGCGGGAGAAGATGTCGCTGAGCGCATCGAGCTGTCCATGGAACCCTTGGACTGGCCGCTATCGAGGCGCTGCAGAGGGCCCGGTGGAGGAGGCCGAGGCGGAGCAATCGAGTTGCCCACCGTATTGCTACCCAGGGGCTTGGGTTGCGCTCCTCCGGGGCCAGACATACCGGCATAGTATTGCGGGTTTTGTTCCCGCATCTTGATATCGGAGTAGAACTCTAGAACCTCGATGACAGCCTGGGGGTTCTTCTTGTAATCCTCCTTGGTGATGGCCGAAGCGGTCAGGAGCTTCTCCCATTCTGGGGGCAAGCCCACAAAGGCGCCCGTCTGCGGATCGAAGCCGACGTGAACTCGGTGGCTGAAATTGGTCGGGTTGCTCACACCGCCCATGCCAGGGCAGCGCTCATAAATCTTATCAATCCATTCATAGATCTCATCATCGGATTTAACCTCACAAGTGATGGTTTTGGTAGGAACATCACGAGTAATCATGGCGGCTTTAGAAGCAGCGTCCTTGGGGTTAGCCAGACGAGTAACTTCAAAGGCCATTTTTGATTCCTCCGAACGTGCGACGGCGGTGACGGTCGAGAGGGGGAAGGAGAGCACCACTTTGCCGGATTCACTCTTCAAGAAGTCAATCTTGAAGTCGCGCAGGACCAGGTAGCGCTGATTCCAGGTGGCCAGAAACTTGTCTTCCTTGCAACGCACGTAACCTTCTTTGATGATCTGAAGGCCATTGCTACCGGCGGTCTGGGAGCGGGCCAAGCTGGGGGTGCTGGTATTGGGGAACAGCGAGAGATTGCCGCCAGGGCCGGGAGTACTGGGCGAGTTCAGCGACATCTGACTGAACGAAGTCGCGACATTGTTGTTGGTGGGGAGAGTCAATTTGGGACGATCAGTCGGGGGGCGGGGGGCCGGCCCCGGATTCATGAACTGATCCGGTGTGTACATCGTGCCACTAGACGAGCGCAACAAAAGATGAGCATCGAGGTTATGAGACCAATAGCGAGAGAGGTATTGCTCCGAAGAGAGGGTTGGGGATTGGTGGTGTGAGGAAGACTTGAGGGGGGAGGGAGTACACCACTTACTTGCCGTACGAGGCCATCTTTCCAGGAATCAGGGACGCGAAAGAAAGAGGAAGTGAGTTAGGCGCGCCGAGACCTCCTGAGGCCCCTCGAAGCTAGCGGCACCTGTTTCCCACGACTGGATGAAAGGAGTCAGTCGGGGTGTTTGAAATTTCCCGGGGCGAGACAGGATGGTAGAGAGGACAAGATAGGGAGTTTAGAACTTTGATCGGCCAGGAGACACGAGGGCGAGAGATTGAGGCGGATGGAGGAGGGGCGGGACACGGGGGGAGGTGGTCAGTGGTTCCTGGGGGGCGGAAGTCGCTTACCTGGATCGGTGGATGAACAGCGGGCGCAAGTCTGGATGAAAAAGGAACGGATCTCGCCCTGCGAGGGTTGTTCAATAGATAATCTGCGGACAATGTCTAAAGAAACAGGACAAAAGCCAAGGGGAGGTGTTTGTATTGGAAGTATTCCCGTTGGTGGTGGGGGGAAGTAAAAAGAGGAGAGGATTAAGGGGGTTGTGGACGATGGCGGTGACTTGAGGAATGGAAGGAGACTGGAAAGAATGGAAGAAAAAGGACTTGGACGACTACAGTACTTGTGACGCGGGGAGGGTAGATATTGGGCTACTCCTGAGTCCTGAGATGGAACAATGTATGTTTGTTATTTACCTACTTACCACTTGCTAAAACTGCTCCTTCTCCTGCCAAGTGTTGTAAATGTTACTATTCACGATGAATTGTTTCCCCCTGGATCCTACACTTGATTTTCTTTGGGTTTCACATTGTGTTCGCGACCCTGGACCCAAAGGTTTCAATCTATGGAAAACGAGGCTCTGCCAATCAACAGGCCCGTTCAACTACAATAGAGGGGCGCCGGATCCACGGGTCGTGTTGCTTTTCTGGAAGGGCCCCATTTAGATTGTGTCTAGAATGTCTGGAATCATGGAAGACCCGAGAGAAACTCGGCGGAACTATTGTGTTGTGTCCTAACACGCTGGTTAGATACTGCGGGATACTGGATACTGGAATACAGTGAAGATAAGAACCGAGTATTATGACAGTGTCTACAGCAAGAAAGTATACCCAATACCTCCAACAGTATGATATTCTATAGATTGTTCTCCCGTATAAATGTTGAGGGACTCGGGAATCTGTTTTCAAGATCTACATTCGACCATTGCTTCCCCCATATATACGTATACAACCCTGCTCCAAGGGATGAACAAAGACATCCTGAAACCGCGTCGGTCCCAATCCGTCATTCGTCATGTCAACATATCCCGAACTCGTTAACAAGCATCCCTTGAGTCCAGGCTAACTCCGTCTTACTTGGCTGCTTAATTCCGATGACATGGACCAGACTACCTAGCGACACAATGTGTAACCTCAATGCCTGAGGCACCCTCTCGCTAGCCGAGGGATCGGAGTATGTAGTTAACTACAGACATTATTCAATTAAGCCATCGTGTTGTTATATTAACTAACTACAATCTTACTTTGCGCGGCACAAAAAGACGGCAGAGTATTAAAGAAGAAGGTTCGACAATTTAACAAGATGAACGTGGCTCCATATTACAGTCCTTTCTTATTCTGCCGAGGTTCTGAAATGGGGCAGGATTTATACTTCCTGTCATGACTGGGGCCGCCTAGAATGATAAGAAGATCACTTTACTCCGCACAATGCCCTTAGATTCCTTAACCGCCGACAAATACATCAATCATGCCAAGTATCAGCACTTGGCGAGGGAGTAAGCTTTGTATCTGCCAAAATTAGTATGTACAGCCATCTTCCAGTTTAGTCCTCTCAGCCCGAGCAGGGGTATATTACGCCACAGAGCATCTTCATTCCTTTCGAAAGCTACTCCCCACTTCAGGATTCTATCATTTCCCACTTCTCTCATTAAGGTAAAGTAAGCGCGTCTATCTCGCATGTATAAGCGACCGACTAGCGATGGCCGAGCCCTAGCCACGCGGATCGTGTGATCTGATGCGGGGAGAAAGCCAGGAACAGGTAGGGGATCTTGAGACGTGGGCATCACCGTCTTATCAGGAGCTCAAGTTGAATATGTACTGTCAGAATGAAAATCATATCACAGTGGCTGAGCCCTCGGCAAGTGCTGCCCAACCAGTCCTATCGTCTTGACGGTGTATACGAGAACAAAGAAGCAAACTGGGTGGCTCGGCCAGCCTCCAAGCCCCACTGGGAGCTCCAACTGACGTTATGAGCTTTTGACTTGCGAACGGTCCACGAGACTTGCTCACACAATCCAAACCCTGACAAAGGTTACCTACACCCCAACACTTTCAAAATTATGGCAGTGCAATAACCATTTATCTCTACTCGATTCTCCATCTTTCTCTTCCTCCCTTGTTACTCCTATTGTGCGACCGCCTCTATTTTCCAGAACCAAGCTAGTCACCGCCTGCTCCGACGATCCCCCATCCGCCGCATCCCGCTCAGCATCAAAGAAGATAAACCCTGGTGGGCTGGACTCTGCAACTCCCAGGAGTTGCTTCCTAGCTCTCCAGCTACCTAAAGTATTCTTATCCTAGCTCCTATCAACCCTCGTCCAACCGACGACCGACTATCTCCCTCTCTCTCTCCTCTCGCACTCATCCCACCACCATGAGTGCAGCCGAGGCTCGCCAGCGCAAGCCTCTCCCCCGCCAGGACACGAGTGAGCTTCAAAAACACTCCACGAAACCACCCGTCGAGCCACGCCTCAAACATGGCATCCCGATGCAAATCGCCCGCTCCCTGGCCATGGCCGCCTGGTTCGACTGCTGTTGCGTCGTCATCTTCGTCACCCAGCTCGTCGGTGCCCCACTGTACCTAATCAACAAGGACTGGTACTACACGTACATGGCATATACAAAACAGAACTTTGGCCTGGTGATCACTACGCTCACGGAGTATGGATGTCCAACACTCTTCCGCGTTAGTGGAGACGAGAGCGTCCGGGGCCAGTTGCATCTGTCCGAGGATGGCATGCTGCAGACCCAGTTCCCGGAGCGCATGGTCTTGATCGCCAACCACCAGGTCTATACCGATTGGGTGTATCTGTGGTGGATTGCCTACACGAATGTCATGCACGGTCGTATATTTATCATCTTGAAAGAGTCACTCAAGTATATCCCCGTCATGGGCCAGGGTATGATGTTCTATGGGTTTATTTTCATGGCTCGGAAATGGCAGTCTGATAAGCCCCGGCTTCAACATCGGTTAGAAAAGTTGAAGACGAGGCTTTCGGGCTCCAAGTCGGGCAAGTCGCAGTTTGACCCGATGTGGCTGTTGATCTTTCCCGAGGGGACGAACTTATCACTCAATACCAAGCGACGGAGTGATGAGTTTGGACTGAAGCAGGGTTATCCGTCGTTCAAGCATATGATTCTGCCTCGCTCGACGGGTCTGTTCTTCTGTCTGCAGCAATTACGGGGAACCGTGGAATATGTGTACGACAGCACGATTGCCTACGAGGGCCCACCGTATGTTTTTCACCACACTACTCTCCTAACAGGAACATTACTATTCGAAGCTTGATCGCTAACGAAATCTCATTCTATCCTACAGAAAGGGCAGCTATCCCGATAAATACTTTACTCTCCGCTCCACATACGTCCGAGGCCGACCACCAACCTCAGTCAACATGCACTGGAGACGCTTCGCCGTCGCCGACATCCCCCTCGACGACCAGAAAGAATTCGACGAATGGCTTCGCGCTCGCTGGGCCGAGAAAGACGAGCTCATGGATCACTACTTTGAAACTGGGCGATTCCCCTCCGAGCTGGCCGGCTCTATCGAGGCGAAGAATGCTACCGAGGAGCAGAAAGTGGCCATCTCTGGTGGTTATGTAGAGTCCTATGTCCGATTGCACCACTGGGTTGAGCTTATCCAGATTTTCATTGTTTTGCTTGGTCTTGCATTCCTTTGCAGATTTGTTTGTACGTGGTCTCGGTAGGTATGGGGGATGGGGAGTTTGGACAGCACCTCCTCTCTGTTTTTTCGGGAGGATTGAGCATGATTTGATGATAAGAATTGGAAATTAGCTTTACCATATAGCTCTCTACATGAATATTGAACGACATAATATGAAGAGACTTCAAGTCGATAAAAAAAAATCACTTACCTGATTCATTTTAGCACATAATGAATATCGTCAATCCTTAAGTAGAACTATGACAGTGTATGTTGGTTGAAGCTACTGTATTGCCCGGTGTGGCACTGTGGCGGTGCAACCGCACCAGCCACCCTCCGAGCCTCCAATTCTCAACTGACCAGCACCTGGAAACCGAAGCTCCTCCGATTCACTTGCGCGTTGATTCCGGCAACCGGCCTTTCAACCCTGTGAACCAGCGCAAGACATCTCCCTATCAATCCCGTCTACTACAGGGCCCATCTCACTTGACCATGAGTTAAGAGAGACTCCCTCCATCCACAACCCTTTCATCCTCCCAGTCGCAATCCCGCATCCTCGAGAAAGCGAGAGAGCCGAACGACCACCCCTTCGTTCTCCTCCACCTTCTCCCCTTCCTCACATTATCCCGCCTGGTGCGCTGATCCCGCCGCCATGGCACCTCTCGAGAATGGCCACGCCAATGGCTTGAATGGCGAGACTGCCACGACCACCACTCTCCGCTTCTCCGACATCCCCGACGCCATCGACATCCCGGCCTCCAGTTTTGACAGCGAAGTCGAAGTCAGTCTCCTCGATCTTCCGGAAGATCCCACCGAACTGTGCACACTGCTTGAGAACGAGCGCGCTGCGAAGAATTTCTGGGTCATCATTGCTCTGGCCTACGCCAAGCGAAAGCAACTCGACCATGCGCTCGACATCCTACAAAAGGGTCTCGCCTCCGTCGCCCACGGCGCGACCAAGGAGAAACTCGGACTTTTGGGATGGATTTGCTGGCTGCTCATGCTGAAGAGTCGTCAGGCACCGCGTGTCGCGCCGGAAGGCGAATTGTACACCGAAGCTAAGACGAAAGATTTCTACCTGCAGCAGGCCACGTCGATCCTCAATGAGGCCTCTCGCTTGAACCCGGCATACCCGCCTCTGTTCCTGGCGCGTGGTGTGCTGTGTCTACTCCGTGCATCGCTGCATCCGCCTCGCGCGGTGCGACCCGGTACGGTCGACACATCTGACCGTGTGGAATCGCTGCGGCAGGCGCTGAAATGTTTCGAGGAGTCTTCCAAGGCTTTTGGCGGGCGTAACATTATGGCTATTCTGGGTCGCGCCCGTGCGCTGTATATGCTGGGCCGGTATGCGGATGCTATGGCGGATTACCAGAAGGTCCTGATGCAGGTACCGAATCTGACGGATCCCGATCCGCGAATTGGTTTGGGTTGTTGCTTGTGGCAGCTTGGTTTCAAGGATCAAGCTAAGGTTGCGTGGGAACGTTCGCTGGCTCTGGTATGTTTTGACTTTTTGTGCACCCAGGAAATGGGTTTTCTAGCTGACCATGCCTTCTTTCTGGTAGAACCCCGATTCCAAGGTTGCCAATGTCCTCCTCGCTGTGTACTACCTCTACGACAGCTCCCGTCGCTCGACCACCGACCCCATGTTCGGGTCTTTGTACAAGATGGCCATGACACAATACACACAAAAAGCGTTCAAGCTCGATAAGGAATACCCCATGACCTGCGCCTTGTTCGGTGGCTACTTCCTCCTCCGCAAGGCATACCCGACAGTCGAGACTCTGGCTCGCAAAGCGATTGAGCAGACCGACGTCATGCCTATTGCTAGTGATGGTTGGTACCTTCTTGGACGGAAATCACACTACGAGGGCGATGTCGCTCGCGCAACAGAGTTCTACAATCGCTCTGACCAGGCTCGTGGTGGCGGTGACAAGGGCTATCTCCCGGCCAAATTCGGTGCCGTGCAGATGCAGGTCACCAACAAGGACTTTGACGGTGCTAAGTTCCGACTGGAGAAGATTGTACAGAGCTCCAAGAACGCCGAGGCTATGATCTTGCTGGGCGCTCTCCATGCGGAGGAAGTGTTCGCTGCGCAACGCGCTGGCAGCAAGGAAGACAAGTCAAACGAGACGAAGCGGGCTATCACGCTGCTCGAGTCCGTGCGCTCGATGTGGAAGGACGAGAAGCAGATGCTCACGCCGGATGAATCAGTGTTGGTCTATCTGGCCCGGCTTTATGAGAGCTCGGCACCAGATAAGAGCATGCAGTGCTTGACGCAATTGGAGCAGTTGCAGATTGCTAGCATTCCCGAGAGTGAGCGGCCGGATATCGAGGATGATGACCAGTTGAAGGCTGCTCTGCGGGAGAGTTTGCCCCCGCAGCTTCTCAACAACATGGGATGCTTCCTGTACCAGAGTGAGAAGATCGCCCTGGCTCGTGGCATGTTCCAGTCTGCTTTGAATGCATGCGTTCAGTCCTCAGAGCGGGAAGATGGTACCGATAACGACGCCCTTGTCACCACGATCAGCTATAACTTGGGTCGCACATACGAGGCTGCTGATATGTGGGATGAAGCTAAGAAGGTCTACGAGGGTCTGCTCGAGCGCCACAGCGATTACACCGAGGCTAGTGCCCGACTGACATACATTGCTCTGCGCCAAAGCCCTACAGACGAGGGTCCCAAGAAGATTGCCAAGCTGTACGAAAACGAATCCTCGAACCTGGAGGTCCGCTCTCTCTTCGGCTGGTACCTGAGCAAGTCGAAGAAGCGTGTATCCAACATCAACGAGGATCCAGAACAGCGCCACTACAAGCATACCCTGCAATACCACGACAAGCACGATAGGTACGCGCTTACAGGTATGGGTAATGTTCACCTCCTCGTGGCTCGTGATATGCGCCGCGACACCGACCAGGAGAAGGAGAAGCGCCGCAAGATGTACCAGCGTGCGGTCGAGTTCTTCGACAAGGCTCTACAGCTGGATCCCAAGAACGCCTACGCGGCCCAGGGTGTCGCCATTGCCCTGATCGACGACAAGAAAGATCACAGCAGCGCGGTGCAGATTCTCGCCCGTGTTCGCGACACCATCAAGGACCCCAGCGTCTACCTAAACCTGGGCCACGTCTACGCCGAGCTGCGTCAATACTCCCGCTCCATTGAGCACTACGAAGCCGCACTGGCCAAGGACCGCGCCCGCGATGTCCAAATCCTCGCCTGTCTCGGCCGTGTCTGGCAACTCAAAGCCAAACAAGAAGGCAGCCTCCAAGCCATGAAAACAGCCCTGGAATACGCCCAACGCGCCCAGGCCGTCTCCCCAGAGGCCCTCCACCTCCAATTCAACGTCTCCTTTGTGCAAAACCAAATCGCCTCGCTAGCATACAGTCTCGCCCCGACCCAAAAGACCCTCCAAGACGTCGAAGAAGCCGCCGAAGGTCTCAAAGAAGCCATCGATACCTTCGACCGTCTCTCCAAGGAAAAGAATCCCCCCTACCCAGCCAGTGCCCTCGAACAGCGCGCCAACATGGGCCGCACCATCGCCAAACAGCTCGACCGTGCCCTGCAAAGCCAAAAGGAATACGAAGAAAAGAACGCGACTAAACTCCGCGAAGCACGCGAGGCCCGCGCAGCAGCCATCGCCGCCCGCGAAGAACAAGTCCGCAAAGCACAGGAAGTCGAAGCCGAGCGCAAGCGCAAAATCGCCGCCGAACGAGCACAAATGGTCGAAGAGGCACAGCGCAATGCCGCACAGCGCGCTGAACGTGAACGTGCCCGTGAAGAAGCTGAGTTGACGGAGGGTAGTGACGGGGAGAGAGTCAAGCGGAAGAAGAAGCCCAGTAGCAAGCGCAAGAAGAAGGATGATTTTGTGGCAGCGGATGATGAGGATGCGGGTGGCTTTGGTGGTAGTGATGCTGGGGTTAGTGAGGGTGAGGCTGCGCCGAAGAAGAAGCGGAGATTGGAGAGAAGGAGTGGTGGGAAGGCGCAGAGTAAGTTTAAGAGTTCGGAGGTTGTGGTTGATTCGGATGAGGATGATGAGGAGGGTGGTGCTGGTGCTGTGCCTGGATCTCCGAAGGATGGTGATGATGATGATCTTTTCGGGGAGGATGATGTACAGGAGGAGGAAGCTGCACCTCGAAGACGCGGGAAGGCTACTCGTCGGATTGAAGATGATGATGACGAGGAGGAGGAGGAAACCGTTGAAAAGGCTGTTTCTGCTTCCCCTGCTCCTGTTGCTGCCGCCGAGGGCGACGATGATGAGTTGTTTGGCGATGATATGCAGGAGGATTAAGTCCGTTACTGCCGCACCTAAGGTTGGATTGAAGCAATACCTTTCGTATATCTGTCTGTCTGTCACCTCCTCGACTCTTACCTCAAATCCTGCCTCTGTGAATCCTTTTTCCCCTCTTTTTCTTCTATTCATGTCTTTCTACATACCTCTGGCGTTGGCAAGATTTCCATCGAATCCTTTCTTACATTCAGTATTTCCTTTGTGGTTTTCATCTCTGTGAATTAGTTACATGGCTATGGGAGCGGACCGGCTCATAGGCCGAGCCTGAGGTTGAATATTGGTCTTGCTGTGTCAAAAGCGATGAATATATTATTTTCTATTGGGTTACTTTATGGCTTGAAATTGTCCATTTCAGCTTTACATATTTGGATCTCGAATTCTACCGAATATCCTGGCGAGAATGACCATGTATCCCCAAATATCTAGACTAGGCTGATCATCCTGGCCAATTGCTTGCGTGATGTTACAGGTTGTAGAAACTATGAACATGAGTCTGAGAACCTGCTAGCCAATCGTATAGAAAAGCAGGCATGAATCGAGATCAATTGAATAAGGAAATTAACTAGACTAAATACAAGCAAAACACAATCCGAACGAGCCCTGATAAATACACTTTTTAAGCCACCGCAAGTTGAATTGCGACACTCTCCGCTTCCATAGTCCTCCATCGGAACCATCTTCTTCATCATTCCTTCCAAGTGATGTTGAATCAAAATCTTCTCCCCGTCAATCAAACCTACTTCGGTTTCAAGGGCAGTAGCCAATATCATCCAGACACACGCCATTATAACAGCATTTATCCTGATCATTGTCTTCGTCGTCGGTGCACTATTATGGAGAATAGAGAATTAGCATTCATTGCCATAAGAACCACTTCTATCAGATGGAAGTTGGGATATCAAGGCTACAAACTACTTACCACATGCCCACAAGCACCACAGTTATGATTATCAGATCTCAAGTCCACACATTTATTTCCACAAACCGTCTGTCCCAATGGACACTGGCAGCTTCCGTGGTTACAAGATGCGCCGGTAGCGCACTATATCATAGCGTGGTTAGCTATCACATCTACCTATGATCAAGCTTGACATGAACACCTGGAGGGAAAGAGAAACGCATCTTATTCCAACAAACACCACAATTATTCACATCACTAGGAATACAAACCCCATTACACAGAATCTGCGTACCAGGTGCTATCGCCGCAGGACCTCATTTGTAGCATGGTCCGTCTCCGTGGGCGGCGAGCGAGGTACATGAGGAGCCCGGGCTAGCGGGGAAGTTTGCTGCGCACTATTGGGCGCATTGGCTGTTGCTTTGTCTTTGGATGAGGGAGGCGGAGATGCCGGTTGCTGAGGATGAGATTAGACAAGCGCTTGATGGAGGAAAAGAAAAAACCGTTTGAGCATCAAAGAAAGTGTTTATGGTCATGTTCATGTAAATGCTCACCTAGAGCAAGAAGTTTGAGTAGCATCATTTTGTCCGGAATTCAATAATAGATGAACTGTGATGAAGTTTCAAGTTAAGTGTTGTATGTAGAGGAGAAGAGTGGTGTTGTATAGTCATTCCACGAGTCAACTACATCACTTTACTTTACACAATCTCATGATCTACACTCCCCGCGAACGCTCCCCACAAAATACAAAACCAGAGTTCCAGATCCCCTCTATCGTTCTAGACTAAAACTCCTCCATAGAGGGAGTAAAGAACCGTGACTCAATTCATGCGCTCCTCACCAATCAAACATACTAGAATCGAAAGGCGTTCTCATCGACAAGGCTAGATTGAGGCACAAGGATCTACATACAAACATAATTTCGAGCTTTAACGTCCGCCCTTGATCTAAGTTAGGTTCATCAGCTCTCAAAATAAGCATTATAAGTAAAAGTAAAGAGATAAGAGGCTCAGGTTCATGAACCCGAATGTGATGATTGGTTAGACTGGTGAGGCATGTGGCTGATTTGGGACTAGTGGGGAATCAAGACTTCAGCCTCCCACAAACTTTTGAAGGAGTTTATCGGCAGTTTTATCCTCTAGTTGTGTCTTGCTGATGCCTATTTTTTGTAAGGGTCTTTTTAAATTCCGACGTCATGAGTTTCTTGCCACGAGTGAGCGTTGCGTATATGTGTTTAAGAGCTAATAAAAGGCGGCAGGTATGTCACCCATATAACTAGGGTCAGGTTAATGGCACTATATGAACGTTACTCGCACTACAAACTAGGCCCTTTTCGGTTAACGTCCGCCCCCACCACCAAAAGGTACATTTAAGACCTACAGAAATATCCCTATCTTTATGTGTAGACATATTCCTCTGGTTCTTATGATAAATAGCCATAATAATTATCGAATAATAGGTAAAAATATAGTAACGTGCTCGAAGTAAATACTGACCCTAAGAGCGACCGCAAAAAGGGCTTATTATTCATAGAAATATCTAGACAGAAGCCTTGGTAGACCGGAGTTGTTGTTTTTAGGTGTCGGATGTACCTTTTTGGTGGTGAAAAGTTGCCAAGGCGGGTACTGACCCAAAAAGGTTTAGTATGTAGTGCGAGTAACGTTCATGTAGTGCCATTAACCCGACCCTATAACTATACTACGGGAGGCCAGCGGTGTTCTTGGCAGCCATAGCCTATACAGGAATTCCACTGTAAGTTGTGTTCAACGGTAAGTAAAAGCTTGGCCTCACTTCGAGAAGCTTGTACATGTATATAAACCACTGCTATTTGCTCATATCTAATATAAAATAGACCCTACAGGCTATACAATTCCTATTGTCTAGTCCCTGGGTAAAAAGCCCAATGAGTGTAAGGGAACTCAATTACTTCAATGGTTGATAACAGATCGAGACCGAATCTCGACTTTGTAATTGTCTAGATTAGTACGATGCAGACTCTTATTATTACCGACCGGATGATTCTGGATTCGGAAATCAGAGGAGGCGATTCGATGTCCTATGGATGGGTTCATTGCTAGATGATATGGTTTAAGGTTGGAAGTATACGTGTAGGTTTGAAGCCGCGGCCGACACAGCCGGCCTTGGGTCTACTCGGTGATTAAGGAACGAAAGTAAGGGCCGAGATTGAGATGGATGTCTGAACCAGTCAAACCTGAGTTTGAGACGGTAGAACCGCAATGTCAGCTTACAATGACATCTGACACAGGACGTCGAGTTGACTATAAATAGCTAGTCATTCTATGCAATATCATAAGGAATAGAAAGTGAATGTAAAAATAAAATGCCTCAAAAGGGGATGAACTAGATGAGATACCCCACAGAGAGTCAGCGAAGGATACAGACCTAGATACAGATTGCATAGTAAATCCTGCTGTAGGTGAGAGCAAAGACGCAAGAAGAAGGTTGGATCTGATGGCTGGCTGTAAGGCCATAGTGGGCCAGATAGACGCTATATTTCTAGCTGTGGAGAGTCATATCTCTGTAAAGTGTAAGCACTAACTAAACGGAGCTGCTATGCTTGATGCACAGGCCTTGCCACATTTCTCGTTGAAGGTGAGAACAGAACCACGTGTGTAGTAGAGCTCTTATTTTGGGATGTAGTTTGCATCTTTGCTGTATACCCAGCAACTCAATTAGGCCTACTCTATACAGATTGTGCATTGAGAAGGAAGGTTAATTTTGGATAGATGGATTAACTGGTCAACTTGGGGGAGATGACGGTTTGCATCTAGTGGATTCTAGCGTTCTTCTCTTGACGCGATTGTACCTTGTCGATTGCACAGATCGCTTCTTAGCTTACTTCTTAGCTTGTAATACCACACGCTGAAAATACAATCGAATTGTACTCCGCGGGGGAATCGTCCCCTTCGTCTGCGTCAAGATTCCATGACTCGTCCAGGGTATAGTCACAGAACAGACACGACATTCCCACCTAACATCGGTCACAGATTGTACTAGTATTCATCAATTGCCTAACGTGCCTCTCCAATTCGATTGCCATCTAGATATCTCTGTAGTACAATATTCAAGACCTAATTAATTTATGCAAGTAGTAGCACTTCGCACCTCTCCACAACTCCAGCCAGCCCCCCGCCGGGACACTTCGCTGCCCCTCACCTTCTCTCCTCTGAAAGAAAGACAACACTTTATTCCCTCCGGCCTTAGCTCAGCCCCAAAGCAGTCCCAATTGTTTAGCTGTATGCTGACAAGGGCCTCGAAATAGGGCTAGCTCTCAGCAAGCCAGCGGGAGCACAGCTAAGCTGACGCCGTTAATATCCGACCCCTGTACCTCGGATATTTTACATTGGTATTTGTCCGGCTTGTGAGCTACACACATACAACGTAATCGCGATTCGCTAGGGCTACGGCTAATCCGTACATTCTCCGTAATCTAAGATGCGAGGGGGGGAGGGCCCGGTCGGATGGCCTGGGTCAACAACTAATGTAACTGTGTGGTGCGGGCGTACTCTAGGTGCATCGTGGATGCAGGTGCAATATGTACTTTTGTCCTCATTGTGGCCCCCCAGGCTGAGGGCCCGAGGGTATGCCAAGAACGAGCTACATGACGGGGAGGGGCGGGTGAGATACAGCCGTCGATACGCTCCGAGACTGGGCTGTGTATGTGGTGTATGTACGAAGGATCGGAATCTAGATGCAGGTCCCATCGTGCAGGCGGCGCCGTGCATTGCATTGCATTGCATTGCAGGTGAAGTGCAGCGGGATATAGTGTCAGCGTTGGATTCGGTTGGGGGCTGCTGAGAAGGGCAAATTTTCCCTCTTTTTGTGGAGATGATAAAATGAAGATGAATATTAGTGGTGATAAATAGCCGTATAGTGGATCATTGATTATTTTCAGCTGGTCTTCAACTTCTCTATGTGTGTTATTGATTCCCTCGAAAGCTAGAACCAGCTACGATCATGTATGTTGGGATGTCTCGCCTGGGCTGCATGTTCCAAGCTGGAATTTAAATGTCTCAAGCTGCTGCGCAAGTAAATACCGTACAACTTGAAGGACAGAATCTATTGTATTTTATTTATCACATTGTAGAGTTGAAATTTTTGCTCGAGTTTGCCCATCTTGTTTGTTCCTTATCCCGTGCTTTGTACGGAAGTATACATCCCCGCTAAGCCCTATCACACCGGATAACTCGCGATCGCGCCACGAGTATAATTCTGTCTAAGCCCTCCAGTCACGCTCAAATTATCCGATGAGTCGTTTTTATTCACTTTAATATATTAGTTGACTCTGTGCGAAAGATCTAGGGAACCCAATTGTGCCCTATCACTCCAACAGACGATCACTACTTCATCCAGGAACTTTCCAGCCGCATCCGGATATTCCAAGAGCCGCATAAAAACCAGCATTTTCTAGAAATCTAATGCTCTCGATATTATTCAGAGATCTAAGATCTATTGAGTTCATAGCAAGAGAGCTAACAACAAATCTCACTCAAAGACCCTTACCTCATAGTCTAGAAAACTCATACTAGGTAACACAAAGATCCCCTTGGCTGAGAAACGATCAAGTTCGATGTTATTGGAATGTGCGGGTATGTCAGGGCGCAATGCAACGCTGGAGACCCGATGCCGCGGAACTGAGAGATACAGTCCGAGGTGAGTGGATTAGGAAGGCCTCCTTGATAGTGGAAGGTGGTACTTACGAATCGGGTACTGGGCTTAGCGTCAAATAGAGACTTATGTGGCTCTCCAGCTTACTCGGAAAGATGCAGAGTACTGAGGTTCTAGAAATTAGCCCCTTCTAAGGTCTAATAGTCGAGGCCTCAGGGAGGAAGAGGGATAATACTGTATAACCGAACTTTAAGCAGGTTAAGCTTAACGATGGCGGGCCTTGGCGCTTGAACGTGAGTTGTTGTAATACCGTCGCGATAATTAGCATCTTGATTATCAGAATCAACTCTTTCTTTCTTCACTGATCTATGTGCTGGTAAAAGGCCTTTGCACCGTATTTCCTTCTCGTCTTTGCACAATCTTAACGTTCCATCGGCCTCCCAATTTGGCAGCCCGAACACTCCTTCAGATGATGACATCAGTTATGAAATCAAAAGCCCACAGTTGGCCTTTGAATATTGACCTGAATAGTCAGGGATCGTCAAATAAGTGCGCTTTCGTCGATGTCCCGGGCAGTATGCCTCGCCTCCACCAGTGCTGGCACCTCCCCCAGCTCAATTTGCTGCACAGTAGTCCTTCGGAAATTGAAAATTCATCTTACATCAAGACAGTCCAACGAGTGGTAGAGATCATCGATTGCGTAGGTTCATTTCGTGTCTTTTTTCTATTCTCCAATACCTAGTACGTGCTCTTATGTGACAGTACTTAAGACCCGAGGCCAGTATCTGCGATTCTCTTCTATCATTGTACTTTACTCACCCGACTGCGCAGTATTTCCCCCAAGTTTGCAAGTAAATATAAGACGTGCATAATCCAAGACGTCTAAACGAGAGCAATAAAGCAGCAATCAAAGACTGACCTCCTAAAGACTAGATTCTTCAATCCCACCCGTCCTCATCATGTACCGTTATAGCATCATAATCGCTCTCCTGACTGCTGTGGCTACCATCCAAGCAGCCCCTCTCAATCTCTTCTCTCATCCAAGGGACGGCCTCCTCGGTGATGAAAACACCAGTGACATGACGAGTACTAAGCGCTCGGAGGAGAGCTCAATTAATGGCGATATCGGTGTGGGACTTATCGCCCGCGACGACGAGGGTCTCGTGGGCCCTTTTGATGTTGATGGCATACTGCCTGTGGATGTGGGCGGTTCTATTGTTGATATTTAGATGAAGAATATCAGATAAGCAAAGTATCATCTTCTGATATTGGGGAGTTTGGGTATGTGGTTGCGGCTTTTTTAAGGCGATGGGGATGTTGTTTGAGCAGGCCAGTGGGTTTCTGTAATGATATAATGGAAATGCTTCTTCTTCCATCATATCCTGAGATGAATCTCTATCAGTTTGATGCTTTTGAGATACGATCTGGTCAATCAAGGATGACAACCCACTGTGCAATCAAGTTTGTAAGATTCAATCCGACCTACAGATGTAGAAGACCAGTATTAGATCCTGAAAATAGAAAACAACACTGCCCTCTTTCTATAACTCATCTCTCACGATCATCTCTTCAACCCCCTTATGCAAATTTCCAGATAAATTATTACCCCGTACTAGTAACCCCCGATGTGACCAGGGATATCAGCCTCCATCCATATACGGCATGACACCCTCCAGACCCACCACACTATCGAAAGCCGTTGTCGGTCACGGGACAAAATGGAGACAACGATCTCCTGAATAGTTATGGAGCAGTCAAAGAAAAGAGACTAACTAAGCTCTTAATGTACGCCCCTGACAACCCAGATTTTCAACTAGTACACACTCCGGTGGGGAAATCGACACGCCCGGCGCGCCTCCCCCACGCGTAGTGCGGCAAGGTCTCGTGGTCAAGTTTCTGTATAAAGCTTTATTCCAAAACACACTTCTAAGTTCTGGGTGTATGTCTCGTGGGATATTTGGAGCAAGTGATTAGCGATTACGGAGTACAGTACTGTAAATCATTTCGCCCGAGAGGGCTGCGAAAAACAAATCTAGAAAAAGTAAGAGCTGAACCCGCAAGGCGTGTTACAGTGCTTACAACGGTTATCCCTGACGTGCCGTGCCTGTCATTACTACTAACTAAATAGTCTACGGGGTAAATCTGTATCTGTAGGGCAACATGAATACGGAGTTGTAGTACATACTAACCAGTCAGTAAGGCTCATGCCCCACGGCGACTTATTACGCGTTCGGGAATAGGGGACATCGTTGGGACATCGTTTGCCGGACCAGGGGTCGGGCGACCGGTTTGAGGGGTGGTTTCAGGATATATTGGAACTTCAAATGTCGGGAAGGTGTCGAGAAGTATCAGAAAACTATTGAGATAGACGTCTTGATAGTGGATTGACCAGAAATTCACTAATGAATTGACCACTTTGTATGTACTCCGTACTCTGTGACATACGCTAAAATGGGTCCTGTTTTGGTTATCTGTGTACGGAGTACTCCGTACTTGCATACTTTACAGTCGAATTAACAAAGCATAAACGACAACAAAAAAGATCCAACATTTGATACCAAAGCACGTCAATCCTCCCTACCAATCCCACAGAATCCACAAAAAAACAAACACCCATCATCACGCCCCCAAAGCCTAGGCCGCGTTCCGTCCAGCCAAGAACCCGCAATGTCGATCCCCAGCCGCCCAGGACTTACCACGAACGGAAAAGGATAACTTACAAGCTTACAAGCTTACAGCAGAACCGAGCCTCCCTGGGATTCTGGAAAGGGGAAGGGGCAAGAGAGGGGGCAAAGCTTGCGCCCGACCAAACCTGTTCGTCACTTCGGTCGAACCACGCCGTGAGATCCTCGCCGGCACTTGGTCTTGGAGGCGGGAACCGCGCTAGTTTTGGGCTAGCGACAGCGCACTTGCGGCACTCTGTAACAACCACGGGCCATGAGCCGTGGGGACGGCCGGGGATGCGGTTGGGAATGGTTAGTGAAGGGTAAATATAGGGAGGTACAGTACTCCGGACTCCGTACATAGCTACTGAAAGGAGGTACATAGGTAATATGCGGTGGATTGGAGGTTTGGAGCTCGATTTGTTGTTTCGATGGCTTTCATGAGCGAGTCATGGATGGGATGGGTGGAATAGGGAATTACTGGAGCCTGAAGGACTCGGACTTCTCTATAGAGTATTCAGTCCTGCTTCGAACGTGGTATGTCGACATCCTCCGTACTCAGTCAAGCACGGAGGACGGTGACGGAAGACGGAATACGGAGGGCGCAGGCGCAGGCCTGTTGAGAGGTCAAAGCTGATGCATGACGCAGGAACATGAATCGCAATTGTAAGCTTGGTTGTCATCACTCAGTGGATTCTATGTCGTACACGACTCGGTATGGAGAAGAGCTACAGTGGGATCAAAGGAATGATCATACCTATGCTGCGCCCGACGAGAAGCTCATCCAACCCATCAGATACAGCTCTCGACCCCGGGGATGTAGCACGTTACTTGGTGCCTCGGCAGGGTATGTATTATACGGAAGATTGTGGTTTTGGCCCCAATTGCGAAGGATCATGATTAAGGATTCTTTCGGGACGGGCCAATTATCACTCAGTTACATAGAGAGTTGCTGCCTGTCTGCATGGTTTACCACATCTACGACCAGCATAGTCATACTACAGGCTATTCCCGTATATTCGAGGAATGGAATCAAGTCTAGGAATGAGCTTAGGTTAACTACCCAGGAACAAAGTCTTAACTAAGCCATACCTCGTGCCCTGCTCATCCATTGTCTTACTATTATTAAGATCGATTATCACGATCGTCCTCATCGGCGTCACAGACGCGCCACGCCCCAGTTTTATTTTTGCTTTGATCGCAATCTTTCATTTCGGGGACCCAGGCCCAGAAGAGGTTCGTGGTGCGGTGCAGGGACCAACGGGCATGGACACGATTTGGGATAGGCGATAGGCGACCGTACACGATGTGCATTGTACTCCATGCAGTAGAACTACTCGATCGGAGATACACCGCAAGGCGACCGATGCGGAGAAGGACAATTGACGATGTCAAGGTTGAACCTATTCAACTGACAGTTTAAACTTACTTTGCAGGTTACCAGTATTGTAGTTTCAGCACTGCCGAGTACGGCAATTGAACACACCAACTAACAACAGTAATACCCTTATCCATACTTCTTCGCTCTGCTGTGACCTGTCAAGAATAAACCTTAGCTAGTTATGGACCTTCTCAAACGGTCAACTCCTGACATTGACACCGAGTTTCAAGTTCACCCGAAGTTCCAGCGTTCCAGAGGTTCCAGAGTCCAGAACAATCTCGCAAACCCAACCGATCGGCGTGTAGTTGCCCTGATAGTCACTGATACGACCGCCGATCTTCAGGTACAACGACAGTACTGAGCACTCGGGTTCATTCGCAAACCGCCGTGAATCGTGATGGATGGTCGGAGGAGTGAGTGGGGGAAAAGGAGGTCACCGAGAGTTCTAGACGAGGGGGATCGTCAGGAGTCCACTTGGAGAGACGCCCGGTGGAGAGGGCCATCGGACGGCGGCCGCGTGCGCTAGAATAAGAATAGTAAGGAGAGTACGGAGTTACAGTAGGGATCTAATACATGTTCAGGATGAAGAGTTGAGTAGTTATAGAGTTAAATATCTAGGAGAATTATTGGGTAGCCTGTGGACGTAGATATAATTTACATAGTAGGCTCTATCTAAGTGGTCACTTATTACAATTATGTATCATTTACATACAATCGCAGTTCAGCTCTCACAGTTCCTTCCTCCTTTAAGTTTCCGACCAGCCGCCTCTGAGACTCTGGCGCCGTTCTTGACTTTTTCCGTCGGGCCTCTCCCTTGTTTCGAACGCTGTTAGCTGCAACTTACTGCCCCACTGGGGCTTGTCCCACGATGGGCAATGACGAAATCCGTGGGAGTCAGTAGGCTGTAGGGCTCGCACAGTCGTGGGATATCCGAGATTATTCGGTCGTGCAGTGTATAGTTATGATTATACGAGAGATGGTGATAAATTACCTGACAGAGATGTATGATACTCCATGATTCCATGGATGAGTTCCGTCTGCTCTGGTTGGATACTCCCGAGACGGGAAGACTAGCTGGGTCCTTTCCAAAAGCGTGATCGTGTGTGGTCGTTCCCCTGGTAAGGTCAGTCACTAGATAGCTAGGCGTACCATAAGTAGACCCAAGGAACAGAACCGTAACTAATTTGATCATTTACCACAAGCTAAGAAACGGGAGAAGTAACCAACAACCAACAGAAAAAACCAACACCCCGACCAGGATCACAATCAAGCAAGCCCTATCCCCCGCATCTGAAATCAGAGACAGCATACAGTACTGTAGGTACTAGGTAGCCCAGCCCATTCGCGTATGCGCATGTCCATTCCAGACGCCATGCTCATGCTTCCCCATCATTTTTATCGCGCAAACCTACGTTCCATTCCCGATGCTATCATCCACCCAGGCACCAGGCATATAATGATATCCCCTGCGCGACCGGTGAGCTCCGTTCCGGAAATTCCAATCCTCCTGCAGGCTGCAGGTGGTGTCTAGGATGTACGAATCCTGAACCCTGGGGATGTCCGATTTCCGCGGGGGAAGCACTGGGGGCACGAGAAGAAGTCGGTTGGTGTATACGAGTTGAATTGATAATCCCTGCCTTGTGTCGGAGGGAAGTGGGAAGAACGGATACGCGAGGATACGACGGATGAACGACGGGGTTGATTGAACCTTGATCCTAGAACTTAGAACCTAGAACCTCGGGCTTTGAATATACTAGTATGTAGAGCATATGAAGTCCGGGGAAGGGCTAGAAACTAGAAATTGAGTGTATTGTACGGAAGAATCTACGGAGCTCTAGGAATTCCGGATGATTGATACTTGACGTGGGTTACGGCACCCTCCGAGATCTGCGTGTGATTTTCCGATCGGCTGTGATCGAAGTTTTACTAGGAAGGGATGGATCGCTTGGGAAGAGAGTTTATCGAGGAACGAAACATGGTCGGACTCGACGCGTCTCTGTACAGACTATAGAGTGAGACGAATATACCGATGAGGAATGACAAGTGAACTGCCGAGGAGAGCACATGTCCATAGAGAATGAGTATTGGAGCTAGTCTATGGGGTAAGCACGAGAGTACTATATCGCTTCCTACGGAGTCCATATCCATATCCTCGATACCCGATCCAGCTTGTGCAAAGAAAGCTAAATGGCCTACGGGGTTCATAGGACGATATTACAATTGCGCACTGTCCAAACTCCAGATTAATTGCACGATTACTCCTCCGTAGATTTACCAGATTTACACCGATTGCCAGATTAATTTTTTTTCTTTTTGTATTACCCCACCATCACCAGCTCTCCGGGACACGCGATGGGGTACTGTATGTACATACTTAGTACTACTGTTAGTATCTTTGGATCTCGATGGCCGGCGCTGCCCAAGCCCAACTTCCCAAGTTACAAGCCCTACTCCGGGAAAATGATCTAGTCCCAAAAAGGTGGGTGGTAGGTCCTCCGACGGTACCCTAATTAGGATGGTCGTCATGGCGCGAGTTACTCCGTACAGTAAGGACCGAGAGACTAAGAGACGGGAGAAAGTAATAAACACTGGGTTCGTTGGTACTAGTTTGAGGTCGCTAAGCAGATTTGGTACATAACCACTCACTACAGTTGTAGTGTAGCCTAAGTACTCCGTACAGAGTAAATTAATAACGACTGGTACACTACGGAGTCCTTACTAGTACTTCAGTAACTAATTCCTCTGGTAGGCTAAAAGACACTCCAAATTGGCAAAACCGTTGAAACTTGACAACCCGCCCCCCGGCCGAGGCTACGCTAGCGACGCGGGGAAGAGACACCAGCACACCAGCGAGCGAATAGCAGGGCTAGATGGCGCATTTTGAGAGATATTTAGGGGGAATAGGAGGGTAGGGTGTGATTTGTTTCGATTCGAAGGATTCGGATTCTATGGAATAAATGAAATGCATGAAGTCAAGGGAGAAAAGAAGCCCATGCGCATTCCTATCACAAGCAGAAGAGTAAGGGAACCTCATTTGAGGATGTTAGGGGAAGAAATGAGAAACCTCGGATGGCGTTGTCGGTAGAGAGTGTACAGAGTGCAGGAAGTGCAGGTACATGCAGGCAATTCAATTGTCTGTATTTCCAGCATGCATATACAGTATACTTGTTCCTGGTTAATTTTTTTCGGGAGGTTGCGTGTTGACTATTTAGTCTACCTGTCAAGACTTGAGAAAAATAAGAAAAGCAGGAAGGAGGATCGTCACTGTGAATATTATTATGACTATGATTATCCTCCTTCCTATGATCTAGACACGTACTCAATTCCTGTCACGGTACTGTACCGGATGGTTCTTCGTTCTCACGCCGATACTTACTCGACCGGGTTAAGCGGGGGCTCCACCATCCAAACACGTTCCGAGGGAAGTCGCACGAAGCCCGATTCTGTTCGGTTCCATCGGGTTGGGACTATTCTTGTGTGACAGTATTCCTGCGCGAGATATTATGATAGATAGTATTATATACAGTAGATATAGATATGGTGTGATAGTAATAGTATAGAGTATAGAGTATATTATAATCCTCTAGGCTAGAACCAAATAATAAACAATAGTTATCATCAATCACTTCTTCGTCAGAAACACGGCTGGCAGCATCTCTTTTTTTTTTTTGTTAGTTCCTGTGCAACGGTCGAGCCCTCAAATCATCGCGCGGCGCCCCTGAACGTTGGGTTCCACCGGGGCTCCGTTTCTTGTCTGGATTTATCCTGCTGGGGGGATCCTGGATACTTCATTTCTTACTGTAGTTATACTCTGTACGGAGTCTGTACCACGGTAAATAATAACAATTAAATTATTATTATTATTCTCATTTTATTATTATTTCCATACAGGCACGTTCTCAGATCTCGATGGTACTCATACGGTGTCCTCCACTCTAGAGTAACTGTACTATCTTTTGCCTATCGTGAGAGTTCTTATTATAACTCCGCCCTGACCCAATCTTTTAGTCTCTCCCTCCTCCTCCTCCCGAAACCTCTTCACGATCATTCATTCATTCTATCTTCTCGACGTTCCCTCTTTCCCTCTTTCCTTCAATCGCCCACGGGGAAACACCCCTCAAAAACAACTCTTCAAACTCTCCCCGTTGCGCCTCGAAGCGGGTTCAAAACAGCCTCAACATACCATGAAACCACACCAATTATTGGTGCTTCAGCCTGTTCGCACATAAATTGGGGGACCCCAATTGAGTCCACCCGTCCCTAACCTCGCTCACCCCAAAAAGGACGCCATCCAGCCCCAATTGTCTCTCAATTCCCCTCGTATCCGATCCAATATCTTCTGGTCTGCTGTGATTCAGATAAGACCCTCCCAAAGGAACCACAACCGAGACAATTGAAACCTCGACTATCATGTCGCCATACTCACGTGTGCCCGGCTACTGGGACGACGACCAGTCTAGCCACAGTGATCCCCCGTCTACCCGCTCGTCCAACGACCCTCCAGAGCATGCATCTCATATTCGCTCGCGATCTACAGCTCTCGCCCAAAGTCCTAAACGATTGTCCGTCTTTAGCGGCCGCTCTAGAAGTAACACTACCACTTCGACCTCGTCGCGCCGCTCCCCGGGTTCATCTATGACTTCCCTTGATAGCTCGGTTCCGTCTCAGGACGAGCGGGCCCCCTCTGCGCTGGGTATGCGATCTGATAAGGAGCGCTCGTCGAGGTCACTGCTTGCACGTGGGAGTCGGATCCTGCGTCGACAGGGAAGCAAGATCAATATCGTCGCCACGCTGGACGAGGAGGACGAATTGGACAGGATGCCCCGGGCTGAGAAGCATGAGATGTTTGGTCGTCATCGAGGCCGACAAGTTGAGCATCGTAAGTGGGGAACTTTTCTATTTGTTTTTGGATTGCTTTTTAAAAGCAATTGACTGTACCGCGCATCCACGTTATCTATGGATTATTGAATATTGATCAATTGACTTGCATATCTCTCCAGACGAACGATTAAAGAGCATCATCTCAGATCCATTCGATTTTCACCATCTCACTCATACCAGTCCTTCACAATTCCAATCCATAGATCAGACTCGTGAGAATGATCTTGTCACGGAGTTTTCGGTGATTCGCGCTTCGCAGCGTCCTGAGGCTGGCCTCAAGGGTATCCGCGCTGATGACATTCAATTCCGCAACTTGTCCGCCGATGATCTCGCTGCCTATGGAACGGCCACTACGGTCGATGAGCCCGCGCTGAGTCCACCTGGCTCACCTGCTGCATCAGGATCGACCAGCCCGACTCATGGCCACGTGCGCAGGGAATCTCGTACTCATGAGAACTTCTCTCGGCCAGTCTCAAGATATCCACGATCATGTCCCACGACACCACCTCCCCCAGCAGTGTCAGAGGTCCCCGCCGAGGAAGGCATGGAGCCAGCCCCGAGAGCCATTGATGAGATCCTGGGATTGAACATTGTGCCAACGTATCCCGAGTGTATCGATTCCGAGCGATCTTCGTCTGCTCAACTGCAATTCAGCCCCAGTCTTGCTGATGAGATGACCGCCCGTACCTCCTCTATCAGCAGCAATTACAGTCTTGAAGAGGTTCCCGAGGAGGAAGAGGAAGGAACCAGGTTATGGGATAGCCCCGAGGCCAGCACTGGTACTGCGCACTCCCGCTCTACCTCGCACATAAGTCCCGGTACAGTTCCAGCTCCACCAGCCTCTCGCTTGACAGCTCCCAAGGCCCCGCTGTCCATCTTCGTGGCCGAAGAGCTCTCGCGCAAGTTCTCTGAAGCTCTGGGCTCGCCAACACTGCCCCAGACTCTGCCTACCACCCCGCCAAAAGAAGACTCCGAGGCCGCCCAGCTGGACACCACGCCTCCACCAGTTTCTGGCGTTCAACAATTCTCCTACGACGATGAGATGTATGATTCCTGGGATGCTGATATCGACTACTGCTACGAGCACGCCGCAGAGTCGACCTCCAACTTTGACTGGACGCGCACCTCGCTCGATGAAACCCGCCCTCAGATCGGCATTGCCGGCACAGAGGAGTCCTGGGGCCTCTCCGTACCCCATAAACCCACCCGACACCTCCAGCCCAGCCCATTGAGCACCTCTACCCTGGCAACGCCAGACCTCGACTCTTCCTCCGCACGCTCAACCCAACCACCTTCCGCCGCAACACCCTCCACAGAGTATGAGCGTGCCTTCATCCGCGGTCCTACAGACTACTTTCACCCCGTCTCCTCCTCCGTCCTCTCCAAACAACTCAACCAAGACATCCTCTATGAGGACTTTCTAGACGCCGACGCCGACGCCTCTTCAGACCGCCACTTCCCCTTCGCTCCAGCCGGAAGCAGTATCCAAAACGCCTCTCCACGCTCTAGCTTCTCCCCCATCAGCAAATGCAACTCCCAGGAAAGTCTCATGCTCTCCCGCGCCGCGAGCATCGTCCGGAAACACCGCTCCTCCGTCTCGACCACCTCCGTCCCAGAACTAGTTCACTCGCTGTCCAGCTCTCGCGAACTCATGCCAACAGACCGTCTCAGCGCTGCGGAAATCCTGGCCCGTCCGGCTTCGAGTTCTCTGCATCGTCAGACGAAGAGTTTGGCTGAGGCGCATCTGCTCATGCATGCTGATAGCAGTGCTAGTCTGGCGAGTGCGGAGACGGCTCCGGCTGCGTTGCATGATCGGTCCAAGAGTATTTCTGAGATTGAGAGCGAGGATGTTGTTGCTATGGCTGTTACACCTCCATTGCCGGCTGTGCCGATGAAGAATCCCAATCGTAAGAAGAGTCGGACGACTTCTTACTCTCTTTTCCCTACGCCCGCGAATTGAGTTCGCCTGCGTTTCTCTCCCTCTTTTCCCCCTCCTTTTCCTTTTCTCTCTTTGATTCTGCTTTTGGAGCTACTTGGAAGACAAAATTCGTGGTTGCATATTCTGCCATTTTGTTTTTCGTCTCGTTTCTGCTTTTACTCTCTGTCCGTGATAGATCGATCTCCATGAGTCCATGACCCCCTGCTACATTTCCTTGTCTTGTCTCGTCTCGTTTTGTTTGAACACATCCCGTCGTTGAACTTTTCTCCTTTCCCGTCTCTGTCTTACGAGGTCTACGTCTCTGTATACCTTGAACCTATCCATCTGATCTGTCTACAAGCACATGTTTTATACGCGCTCTCGTTATCCTGATTTCCTTTGCCTTTGCTTTTACCTCGGTCTTTCTGTTTGGCCATCTGTCCCATCAATCCGTCGTTTGCAATTTCCCTTTTGTCTTGTCTTATCTTGTTCGATGCATTTCTCAGCGATATCGGTATCGGTTCTGGTTCGGTGTCTGGAGGCGGGGTGGAAAAGCCCGGAGAAAAAGCAATTGGAAAAAAGAATATCTTTTTCTGGTTTGGTTTTGGTATGGATTGGATTGGAGTGGATTGGATTGGGCTTATCTTCATCTTCATCTGGTTAGATGCCTGATTCTGGTTGTTGGATGTCTGATTTTTGATTTTGATTGAATCATTCGCTATGCCTAGCCTAGCCCGGCCTGGCCTGGTCTGGCTCTTGTCTCTTTCTCTTTTTTTTTTGCCGCTGATGTTAGCAGCTCTTTTGAGTTTCTTATCTTATAGAGTGGCGGTATGGCGAATGTCATATCCCAATGTATGCCTGTGAATGGCGCAATAACCATTTACTTTTCGCATCGTAATTCGTATCGCATTCTAAGTGACTGGGAGGGGACGGGATATCGTAGGGCTGATCACAAACCAGATCTGAATCTAGAATGGATCTAGATCTGAATCTGAATACCGATCTGGTAAATGCTATCTCTCTTATCGCGTACGTATGTATCTTTGTTCCTGGCGTATTCGCTAGTATGCTAGTGTAGCCGGCATTTGCCGGATAAGTTAAAGATGAAGTGTGATGGGGGATGTGGAGTGCAGATGGCGATGGTCAAATGACTGTAGGGCTGGAAAGTAACTACATCACTATGAGCGCTATGAGGAAGATGGTAAGTGAGGATAAATGTCTTGTATTGGTAGTAGTATAGAGACGTATAGATCTATTTGTTTGAAATGATTGTTAGTGGTGCGTGGAGATGGAGTCCTTTAGGGTTAGTCGAATGTGTGATTGAGTGAAGGCTTATGAGATAAGAGCACTAAAAACTTTATTGTATCATATCTCTTGAATAGTTTTTTATACTTCTTCTGGCACGAGATATTAGTTCAAGAAGTGCGGTTGAGTAGTTCCTTTGTCAGAGTCCATCCTGCTGGATTCCATAGATATGCATCACGTGATACAAATGGTCTTTCTTATCTTATCGGATCCACCATCTACACGTTTGACAACTTCTTGACGTGACCTTCCACTCACTCACAACGTCAAAACTCGATGCCCCAGCCATGGCATCCCCTCCGCCATCAAAGGCCCTGGCCAAGCGGTCAGATGGCCAGCTGATGCCTCCCCCACCACCACCTAAACGAATCAAACGCCCCGCAACCGTCCTCGACGAAGACATCTACACCAACACACTCTCTCACATCATCGCCCGCGATTTCTTCCCCGGTCTATTAGAAACACAAGCCAAGCAGGAGTACCTCGATGCGCTAGACTCCAAGGATAAAGCATGGATTACCAGCTCCAAGAAACGACTTGCAGATGTTATGCGCACGCCGACACCGGGCTCAAATGCACGACGGAAGACAGACTCGGGCTCTGTGGCGGGTACACCGATGCATTTCCCGGCCGGTCGATCGGATGAAACTCCCCTTGGATGGGGAGGGGATACGCCCATGTCTGTCGCATCTACTGCGACTTCTGCCACGACGAGTCAAGGCCGGGATATCCCCGATGTCTCGAACATGGGATTGACAACCTTTCAGGCCAAATATACCAGTGAAGACAACGAATCCTTCAACAAAGTCCTCGACAAACAAAACACAAAAAAGCGCGAGAAATATGCTTTTCTTTGGAATGATAATAAGATTCCCTCTGCGCGTCAGATCGCCCATCACCAGCGGGAAGTCAAGCGCATTACTGCGGCAGGTGGCAACCCGGAAACCAGCCTCGTGAAGCGGGATGATTCCGAACCCGCTATCAAAACAGATCTCGACGCACGCCCAGCAAGACCTGATGCCTGGAAATCCCGCCCAGACAACGGGCTAATGTTCCTCCCATCTTCAATCGAAGATACCCACGAGACACTCCACCAACAAGCAGAGGCCGCCTCCCGCGCAGGTCCAAAACGAACACTCTATCAAAATACCCGTCTACTCGATGTAGACGCTGCCGCTGCAGCAGACGCTGCATCATCCATCCCAGCTTCACCCTCATTATCCGCAATCAAAGATGCCATCGCCGGCCGACCACATCTCAGTGAATCCGAAGCCTCCGCAGTCCCAGGCGGTGAAACACCCCGCGTCAATGGCTACGCCTTTGTCGACGAAGACGAACCCGAACCCGAGCTGGAACCCGGAGATCAAGATCCCCTTGAAGCAGACTGGCGTCTCCTAGGGAGATCAGCAGATACAACCCCAAACCCCTTCCAACTCCGCGAAACTCGCAAACGCGAGGCTTTACACTACCGCATGGTCGATCGCGTCTCACGCTCTAAACGCGCGGAAAAAGCAGCCCGTGCCATGAAAACGCCTGTTACTGCTACCCCGCGCTTTGCTAGTAGTCCGCGCCTGGACTTTGGACTTCGTGGGACGCCTGGTGGTGTAGGGGTTGGACCTGGTGGTCAGGGTAAGATGCTGACGCCCGCGGCGCATAAGTTGTTGTCGCAGGTTGGTGGGAGTACGCCGCGGGGATTAGGGTCGGGGGAGGGGAAGGGGAAGTCGGGGTTGGGGAATATGTGGACTCCGACGCCGCGCCGGAAGTAGTAGGGGTACTTATGGATTATGACTTATGATATCAATGGTTGGGATGGGCGTTTCTTTTGTATAGATGGGGGGTTGTTAAAGTGTCCACTCCGATGAGACCAATAGACAGTCAGCGTGCTGTTTCATCCCCATAAAAAGACATACGATGCCTCTGTAAATGTAGTATATCATTGTGGACTTGAGGGTGGCTGCATGATCCGCATATGGTAGGAAGCTCCTAAGGGCTCTAACAGTTCTGTATTCAAAATATCTCCTCTAAGTAGCTCACATTGAATAGTCCGATACAACAATTATGTCCTTCAAACACAAACACAAAAACAAAATCCAGTACCTTGACTTTAGATATGCATGAATCTAGACTCAAGTAGTTGTATAGTTGTACACTCGGAGAAATCGGAACCAGGAAACGGACATACCCGAACTTTATCCTATCCGGCCCGATCTCGGGACTTCCACCAACTTCATGGAGTATTTCTTGATCTGCCCGAAAAACCTCATTTTCTATACTGGACCTGCAACCTTGAACATCTATTGTATAGTCTCATATATTATGTAATCGGTAAGTATAATCCTATCCATGGTTAGAGCAGTTGCTAATTCGGATCAGTGAATAAAATCAATCATCCATTATTCGGGTTAGAGCAATAAACCCGAGTCCCGACAATCCAACATCCAAAGGAACTCATTGGATCTGGAAAAGACTACATTTCAAGTCTTGTGAACCCAATCTTTCAAGTCAATATGAGTATTGGCACAGACACCAACCCTGAACAAACACCAGCACCGTCACTGTCATCTTCTGCAGCGTCAGCCAAGGGACAGCAGCCCGAGGGTGATAATGCCACCACCGGATCGGGGGCAAATTCAACCTCGAGGACCGAAGCAAGTCCAGATGCAAAGGCCGATTCAAGCCGTGAGTCTAAAGACTCGGAATCAGACTCAGACTCAGCACAAATAAATTCTACATCATCGCTGTTAGCATCACTCTGGTCACCTATCAGCTCTTTACTCCAGAGTTCAACTTCGCCCTCAACTACCAACTCTGAACAATCAAATAAAAACCTCTCAACATCAACACCATCAATTATCCAAGAAGTGGAAAAAGAACCAGAACCATACTACACCCCCTCAGAGGTCCCGCTCTTCAAAACCCTCCAAAAAAAGCGGTTGAGCGGAACAAGAACAAAACAACTTCTCCGCGCCGCATCCCGCGCGTACAATGATCCGCCGCCACCGCCGGAATTGGGGAGTTGTTGTGGGAGTTCGTGTGATCCGTGCGTTAATGATTTGTGGAGGGAGGAGAGGGATGTTTGGAGGGGGAGGTGGGGGGATAGAAGAGTTGAAGATAAAAGTGATCAAAAGGGGGATGAGGGGGTGGGGAGTAATAGGGGGAAGAAGGAGTTAGACTGGTGATTTGATTGATATGATATCCTTGATATAAAGTTGGATGGAGTTGCGTGTGTGGTTTGATATAGAGAAGGGAATGCATGTTGGCTAGGTATGGTCCTAGAGTAGAGGGATGTGTTGGATACTGCATGTATAGAAGTTTTGTACATAGAATGCCTTTTGGAGTATCGTAAACTAAGCATATTTGGTTAACTCGGTATATCAAGAAGGTCCCGTACACTATTTCAGCAGCCGAAGAATGTAAAAGTGTAGTCAAAGTGGTATCAATCAGATACCAAGATCAATCAATATTCACAACCAAATTCAAAAACGCTCAAAATGCATCTCATATCTACAAAAGCATTCCCACTGCAAGAACCACAATCACAATCCCCCAACCAACCCCCACCACCCCCCTCCCAGCACCACTCAAATAATAAGCCGCCCCCAAATAACTACAAGTAATATCCCCATCCCCATTCCGATACCCATAACTAGCATTCAACCACTCCCCCTTCGGACACCCAAACCCAAAAGTCGACGGACAAGACTTAACAAGCGTATAACAAATATCCTGACAAGGCAGAATCTCCTTATACGGCCCCGGTTGAATCTGCGAATCAATCAGCGGATTACGACTCGCGTTCGTCACGGCGCTTTGCCTGTAAACGCTGTCCTCCGGTAACGAAGACCCGTTTATAAAGTTTTGCCCCGCGTTGCGGACTTGCAGGTATGCTGCGTTGGAGGTGAAATCTTCGCAGCGTGGGATTGATACGCTGCAGAGCCATTGTTTGTAGGCTGTTGCGCAGTCTGTGCAGTCGACGGCGAGGGAGTACATTGACTCGGGTTCGGTGGTGCATTGGACTTGTTGGAGGCTGTTGTTGAAATTGGCGTAGTAGGTTGAGGCGTAGGTATCGTAGATTGTGCGGAGTTCGGAGACGTTTTTGCGGTGGGGGTTTGCGGGGACCGCGTAGGCGACTTCGGAGCAAAAGGTTAGGTTGAAGAGGACGGCGCAGTTGTCATCTGCATCAAGGGTGTTAGTGGGGAGGGTCTTGAAATGGACTTGAATCTTCGGGGTTATTGGGGACAAGGTATACGTACCTGCTTTCGTGCTGAAATTCATAGCCTTCCACACTGAGCCACCACCTCCAATAATCCCATTCCCGGATTGAGTCGAGTTGCCCACCATAGCGAGGATGCCATTGTACGTAGAACTCCGGTTCAACCCCGTGATATAGAATTGCTCCTTGGGCTTATTTCCCAGTCCACGAGAAGTCATACCCATTTCAGTGGAGTTGCTGATCCGGCCCAGAGTCGAAAGTCGGTCCAGCGCGCAGAATGAGCGCTCTAGTCCTGCCAGCGCCGTATTGTTGATGTTATGCGCGAACATGGTGTACGGTGGATTCAACTTCATCCATTCTTGGTAATTGGTCGAGTTCGGCTCGGATTGAGTCAGGTTATTCGTCACAAGCAGGGCGGCTGAGACATCGGCGTCGATGAAGTAGAGGAATGAGTCGTCATCGTGGACGCTGTGAAAGGGTGCATCGATCGAGGCAGCGATTTGGTATTCGTAGTTCCCGGAGAACGTGGTCGAGTTTGGCGCTACGATGCCGATGAAAATGTCACTATCCGTCGTGATGTTGGCAATCGCATAACCACCCTCCGCGGTAATCATGGTCTGGCGGCTATCATCCTTGCCAGGACCGGGCTTTTCCAGAGATTCATCCGTCGAGTAGTAGATCTGTAATTGAGGGAACGAGCCGGGAACAGTGCTACTACTATTCGACGTTGGCGTACGACACGTCGTCAACGATAGATAAACCGTCGTTTGGTCGCGCTTAGTCAACGTCTCAACTTGTTGTCGTTTCCGCAGCTCAAGCTTGACATCGTCATTCCCCTTCACACTCCGGGAGTCCAGACTAGCCGGTAACGTCGATATCGTAGTCGCCTGCTGACCATTCACCACCTCCTTGGTCACGAAGAACCATTGTATAGCGCCAATGTCCAACATCGAATTCTGGAACTGGTTGTTACCCAGCGACTTTGCATCGCTGGGATATCCCCTCCGCACAAGGTCCAGCTCGGCAGTTTCCCCATCTCCAATCACATTATCTCGTAGTTCGAGTCCATTGAACGAGTCCAGCGCAATAGGGAAGCCTGCCCCGTCGCTGATGATCGGCCCGCCGATCAGACTGCTCTCCGTGCTGTGTGGGATGTCCGCGGCATGGCTGGTCGAGGCATGCGCGAGGCCTAGCAGTAGCGGGTTGAGTGTGCCGAGGATCGTTGCAGTCAGCAAGTACTGCAGGGCAGCGTGTGGTTGTCGCATGGAAAGTTGACTTCGGGGGGTTGTCAGGGCGCGGGATTGCGCATGGAGATGTGTTGTTCAGGTCGGAGGCGCATGTAAGATAGGGATAGCTTGGCGAGTGGTATGCTGGAAAAGTGTTACCAGACGCGACCAGCTTGTAAGCCTCTTCCTGAAAGACGAAATGTTCTCTGCTGCATGTAATCGGCTGGTCAGTTTGGTGGAGGAGGAACTGTTTCTAATCGCGGAAATAAGCCTTATCGGATTGTTGTTGCCTTGATGCCTTGGCGGCTGCCACTGACGCGTGGCTAGTGAAGTAAGTCTTATAGGCCAGTCTAGATTCATGTCAACAGAAGAAATGATTCCTTTTGAACTAGTAGCTCCGATGGAGAGTGTACGATCTCTAATATCCAATGCAATCATGTCTATTTCCAAGTATTCACATATGCAAAAAGCAGAATTGTAAGTGATGCCAAAATGTACTCGAAAGACGACCACAGGCTCACAGAGCCGTCGTCATATCAAAAATGACCAAGATACAAACGGCACAGCCAGAGAAATGAAGTCACAGAAATGGAAAGCAAAAAGTTCAAGAAAATAGGCATCATCCACGCTCTCTCTCGCCAAAAGAAAAATCTCCCCCGTGCACATCGTTAGACCAATTTCTGCCACCTCGCTAGGCACATGCTGACAACCACAATGGCTCCCATCACACCCATGATACCAAAGAACCATCCCAGGCCCCCATCATCCTTGCCAGGTACATTAACGTTCATGCCGAAGAGACCGCAGATCAGATTCATCGGGACTAGAATCGTCGCGATCAAGGTGACCTTGCTCAGAACCTTGTTGACGTGGTTGCCCAGGACGAGGTTGGTCACATTCAACTGGGCCAGGTAGTTGGTGTGCGAACGGCTGAGCATCTTCTCAAAGTGAGCCAGGTTGGACATCATGGTCACGACGTGATCCTGAATATCACCCAGATACAGACCAATGTCGCCGCGAGGCGTCACCGAGTACTGCTCATTGCATCGCTTAGAGAAACCGCGGATAACATCCGCCTTACCACCCAAGAGACGCATCAGACTCATAACCTTCTTGCGGAGACCGCCAATGCGTGGCAGGAAGGACTCAAAGTCGTCAACGCGGGCGATGAACACATGGTCTTCGATCGCCTCGGACTCAAGTTCGACATCCCGAATGACGGGACCAAAGCTATCGACGATATCGTCGATCATGGCGTAGCAAATCCAATCACTGCTGAGCGAGACATAATCGCGCAGCTTTCCAATACGCTTGCGCACATTCGAGGCGTGCGGGTTCTCCACAAACGAGAACGTCAGCACTCCATCCCGGAAAACAACCATGTAAAAGTTGACCGGCTCCAAAAACTCCTCACTAGTCTTGTCCATCTGGTAGAAGGTGCGGAAACAGACAAAGTAGTACTGTTTGAAAAGTTCCACCTTCTCACGCGCCTCCTGTGTCAGAATATCCTCCGTGGTAAGCGGGTGAATCGAGAACGCCCGCGAAATGGCACCGAGCTCCTCCTCCGTAGGGTTAACCACATCCAACCACCACACACCACCTTCCGGGCCCAGCTGGAACAGGTCGCGGAAGCTGTCACCAGGGAGCACCAAATCTCCGAGTTCGGCGGCGTGCACGGTAGTCTGCGATTCGGACGAGAAGAATCCAAAGCGCATGGGCTCGTTAATGTTGGGGAGCGTCTCAACCAGCTCCTTCTCGTCCAGCACCTTGAGCTTCTTTTCATCCACCTCGTCACACGCGTCGCAAGTATCCGACGAATCGGCTGAATCAGCCTTCTTGAAATCCTCCAATTCAGGACTCTTCACACCCGGACGCAGATCGTAGAAAATTCGGGGCTTCTTGCTCTGAGAGCTCATGCTGTGCTTGCGGCGGCAGTTATTGTTACCCGTAACAACCATGTTTTGCTGGTTCAGAGCAACAAATTCCTCCAATTCCTCATAGTCAATTACCGGGATACGACCAGGCTCGTCATAGGTGATCGGAACACCGGGCTCCTCTGGGGCGATAACAGAGATGTCACCAGGCGGAGGTCTGATGGCACTGGCGTTGCTGAAGGTTGGACGGCGCGCATGGGTGCCCCCGAAACGGTACGCTGCAGCAAAGCCTCCAGATCTGGGGGCGCATGACTTTCCAGAGTATTGGCACGCTCACGACGACGAGGGTCCGCGAAAGCATCGACCGAGTTAGGTGGGGATGAAGACCGCGCCGATACGGATGAACTGCGGGACAAGTTGCCTCCCACGAGGTCCTGCTGAGCGCAGCTGATGCGGCGAGGCGTGTGGTAATTCGCCGCGGGGTCGACCGAGAAACGTCGGCCTATTCCAGGTGCGTCATGCTCCGAGCGATCATCATCAATCACGGCCTGTTCAAAGTCTCGAAAGACGGGAGCGGCTTCACGTAGTGCATATTGCGCTTGCAACAGGTCGGGACGCTCGGGCACCATCTCGCCTCGTGGCCCCTGTTGAGCAGCAGTGTTCTGGCAGCTCAGTGGTTCTTCTTGCGGGGTCTCGATGCGGGGGGCATTGACGGCGTTCAAGTGGAAGCGGTGGTCATCCAACTCAGGGACCGGGGTACTGTACCGGGTCAGGCACACGTCCTTCTCGGAACGGTGGCTGCTGGACATTGTTGCGGTGGTGTCTTGTTTTCTGGTGGATTGATATCCTTTTTTCCTTGAGAGGAGAGGAGAAGGGAATTGGAAGGGGGGGGGGAAGGAGGGTGAATCGGATTGATCGAGTTCAAGTTTAGCGCGCCAGGTTGGGCTATTTGATTTCCCTTGATATGGGAAAAATGTCGATGTCGACTTTGGTTTTGGTGTTTTGGGTTGAAATTTGATATTGCTTTGTCGGCAGCACGAACAGCCACAGAACGTAAGCCGGTGTTCTTTTCTGATTTAAAAGGACCGTGTTATGGGAAACGGGCCTCCATCCATGAGCCAGACCCTTCACGAGGGTCTGGCGTTCCCGACGTACGTCTGGCTGCGCTCAAAAAGGGGAGTTGGCCAAGTTAGGGGGTCTGGTGTCGCCCCCGCAGAAGACCCGGAACTTAGGGCCTGCAAGAGGGTGAAGGAGAGAGGAGTACTGGGTGTAGCGAAGTCCCGCCAACTTGAAGGGGTCAAATGAAGGGGAGCGATAGTGCTCCAGGGCGACGATGTGAGAGTGAGTGAGGAAGAGTTGAAGCGAGCGAGGTGAGTCGCAAGCTTGGATCAGAAGATATCAGAGGGTCTGAGCAGAGTCTTTTGCGCGACAGGAAATGAATCTGCAAAGGGCCTCTTTCGGGGTTTGGTTTGAAGGTGATCCGAGAGGGTGCAGAGATTTGACAGGGAATCTGCTGTTCCCAAGGAGAATTCGATGATTTAAAAGTCTCGATAGACGAGGGGGGAAGTTGGTGGGTGAAGGGAAAACAGGAAAAAGTGGCGCCGAGACGACAGGTTTGTGGCGAGAGACGCACGGGCTAAGATGGGCGGCCGTCGATGGATGCGGGCGATGGACCAGTCACGATGGCGGGAAATCATTCGTGATGGGACTGCAAGTATAAATATTCCGAACACAGGATTTGAACTGTTAGATCCACCATGAGGGAGAATAAAATAGTGGAAACTCTTGAGATATTCTTAAAACATGTCTTTTGGCATTTTTCTCTCTATATTTTCTATACAATTGACTGATAATTTATTTGACTATTCCAGCTCGTAATTGACCGCCCATCGCAGTCTGTCGTATTTGTGAAAATTTTCGGCGGGTCAGGTTACAGACGGCGTTCCCCGGCCAGAACAAGCTCGACTAAAAACTAAACGGACTAAACGTAGAGTTTTCCCCTCTTTCGTCTAGAGTTGGTTCCAGCCACACGTCTAGTCCCTCGTCACTACTTTTTCCTTGGCCATGAGGCATTTCTTGCCGAATCTTCACCGGCAGATCCTAGTACTTGGTTGTGAACTAGTACTTTCGAGACAGGGCTAAGCACTGACTGTCATGCCTTTTTCCCTGCGGATGATGGCGTCGGCCGGATGACTAGAATGGTGATACCGTGATAAGGCTGCTTCCTCTTTAATTAGCTTAGGGATCTTGTATAATAATAATGGTTCCATCTATAAGGCTATATTACAAAGATGATCGAGATCTTTATTTGTAGTAATTTTAGGACTCCATAGTTAGGCACCTACTTTTCGTGCTCTGTAGATACCTCCATACCGAAGCAAACTATGTATAATAGTTGCAACACCACTTTGAAACCAAGACCCATAGATAATCTTGACAGACGATACTGTAATCATATTAAGACACTAATATAGGCCTAGCATCATACATAGTACTGAGTCTCCTCTTTGTCCCCGCATGCCCCTCTAATGTGTTGTTCAGCACTGGTGGAGACACGAGGAGACTAGAGACCAGCCCGCGGACGATGGAGTACCGTATGCGACGAGAAAGACTAAGTTGAGAAGGAAGAAAAGAAAAAAAGAGCACACGACTCCTGACCCTTTACCACTCTTAATCCAACCTATGAAGTCTTCTGGCTGACCACTAAGTCCTCACTAAATCCCCTAGCTTAGCCTTACCGATCGCACCAATTGACAAGTTATTTGGAAGATGATCCGACTCCACTCAATTTTCCCCGACGTCGGACTCTTTTTTTCTGCCAAGACCCGCATCGAGTCATAGTCACAGCCCCTCCATACAACTCAATCAACTCGAATGCACAGTAAACGAAACACACGCTCACCCCTCAATTGCACCCAATTCCTCCAAGGGAACATTGAATCATCGGAGGCTTCTGATTCGCAATTCTTCCCCCCCTCCTTTGCCCATCATGGCCGCCTCCTTCCTCATTAGAACCCCTTGCTCCTCCGCCAACATCGGCCCCGGCTTCGATGTGATCGGCCTGGCCCTGTCCCTCCATCTCGACATCCACGTCACTGTCGACCCGACCAAGGGCTCCTCCACACTCCCGCTTAACTGCGCCATCACCTACGAGGACCAGAGCAAGTCTACCGAGCAGATTAGTCTCGACCCCGAGGTTAACCTCATCACCCGCGTCGCCCTCTATGTCCTCCGTTGCCATAACCAGCGCGCTTTCCCTGTCGAGACTTCCGTGCACATTGTGAACCCTATTCCGCTGGGTCGGGGTCTGGGATCGTCGGGTACGGCCGTTGTTGCCGGTGTAATGCTGGCGAACGAGGTTGGCAAGCTGGGCTTGAGCAAGGACCGCCTGCTCGATTACTGCTTGATGATTGGTAGGTGGAATATTCCTTGATATTGGACGAAGATGGCAATGAGTTTTCCTTTGATTCCTGGCGCAGGGTTCTGGGTCAGACTACTATCTGCACGAGAACTCATGGCCGGAGCAAATGAATCAATTGGATCTTGCTTGATCCGAAAAAGACTCCCCGCATAATGGCATGCATGGGCTAACGTGGTATGCTGTTTTCTATAGAGCGACACCCTGATAACGTCGCTGCATCCCTATTCGGTGGCTTCGTGGGTACCTACCTGAACGAGCTGAAGCCCGAGGACGTTGCGCGCAAAGAGATCCCTCTCAGTGAGGTCCTGCCTGCGCCCGCCGGTGGCATCGATACCGGTTTCAAGCCCCCGGAGCCTCCATTGGGCATTGGTCACTACCGCAAGTTCGACTGGGCCCCGGAGATCAAGGCCATTGCTATCATCCCAGACTTTGTCGTGCCGACTGCCAATGCTCGCAACGTGCTTCCCCAGACGTACACCCGGGCCGACGTGGTACGTGAAATAGTTCCCTCGAAGAAACTTAATACCTTCCTTTGGGACGCGGCTAGACTTGCCTTACCTTGTCCCATCTTCATATCTTTACACGGAGTCTATCTAATACATTCCAATTCAGGTCTTCAACCTCCAACGCGCTGCCCTCCTCCCCGCCGCCCTGGGTAGCTCCCCACCAGACCCAGACATGATCTACCTCGCCATGCAGGACAAAGTCCACCAGCCATACCGCAAGACCCTCATCCCCGGTCTGACCGAAATCCTGCAAATTATGACCCCGGCCACCCAGCCCGGTCTTCTGGGTATCTGCCTGTCCGGCGCGGGACCAACCATCCTGGCCCTGGCCACGGATCGCTTCACCGAGATCGCTGACCGCATCATCGCCCACTTTGCCACTAACAACATCACTTGTCAGTGGAAGTTGCTTGAGCCTGCTCAGGATGGTGCCACTGTTACTGCGAAATAGAGCTGTCCCTGAGGGATGGGATGCTCCCTGTTCTTCCCCCGCGTCATCACGTCGATCGTTGCGCTGTAACTGGTTTGCGATCCGAGTATGATGCACGAGTGCGCTGATGTATGTGTGGATGCGCATATGGCAGCGAGCTGGGAGCCACGAGGGCTCGGTCCTCTCTGATCGAGCCGGGGAGGGAGCGTAAGGCAAAGGAGTCCCTCGAAAACCAAGAGCATTGGCTGGCGGGGACGAGTGCATCCACGCCCCATTACTTCTCGAGCCATGTGTCGGTATGCGAGATGTAAGGTTTCGTTCACCGCTGCTTCTTCATGCTATGCATTGCAGCTGCATGTATGCTGGGGAGATGATCCTTTTACTTATATTTTTCATTTATCCTTGATTGATCATTTTAGCCTGGGAAAGTTATGGCTGTTTGTGGGAGGTCGAGCGCTTGGTTGCTTGCCATTGATATGAGTGGTCGCTTATTCTATTCTGAAGTATGATATGCGGACCGGGTTCTATGGAGATAGACATACGGAGTACATAGATGAATCATGAGCAACACGTCACTATTTTTTTCGGGAATACTCCAATTCGATTTTTCAGTTTCTTCGAAGCGTTTTATTTAAATATTCCTAATGTCTAGTTCAACAGCAGATTCATAAATTAAAGCACAAGTACCATGTACATCACAAACTACATACTCCAGAGTTGTGCTGTAGCTGGCAGGCGGAGGCGGTGGGCAGATGACAACATTACGATAAGCCCTCCTCCACTCAAGTCACAGCTCCCCAGCTCCGATTCCCGCGAACAATTGAAAATCCTCGAGTACATTCACCAGCGAAAAATATGGATAACATCCTTGCTCCATTGCAAGATGCCTTTGAAGGCCAGATTGTGCGTTTCCACCACACCACCCCTGCCCTATCACGTCTTGCGCTGCCATGTGCTGCGCTGGTGTATACAATTCATTGCGCAATGCGGACACGAAGCTTCAACTCTACTCTACCGAATTACCTACCTAGGAATCTACCTATTTGGCTAACTAATTCTACTAGGACTTCCACGGTCAACGTCTAGCCGAACTCCTCAGTACAGTACTCCTCATTATCTCCGGCGTAAGTCTCGCCTGCCTACACCCTTCCACTCTACCGATCCGCCCTAGTTATACACCCACCGACAACTTTCCAACCCCAATCAACCCAAGCCTCGAACTAACGCGCTATCCCTCTCTCTCTCTCTCTCCTACAGGCCCTCAGTTTCCTCATCGGCTACATCTACAAAGACATCCATCTCACGCTATGGACCGGACTAGGCGGGACATTGTTCACGGCGCTGGTTGTTGTTCCGCCTTGGCCGATTTATAATCGGAATCCGGAGGTTTGGTTTGGGGGGAAAGCAAAGGTGGGCGGGGTTGGGGTTGTTGTTGATGGGGTGAAGGTTGCTTGATGGTATATCATTCGAGATTTAGGAATGGGATATTGGGATTGCGGTTTTGTTTGGATTTGAGAGTCATTTTACTGTGCGCTGATATGCGTGGATTTTGGAACATGGATATGGGAATGAATAGGTTCTGGAAGTAAGTACGTGAATTGGGCACTGCCTGAGCTACAGCTACAGCTACAGCTCAGCTGGGGTCTGGAATAACATGGACCATAAATTCTCCACTGGTTGTTTTGTACGCCAATCTCCCCATCTTAACCGTTCGTTCTGATTCTCCTCCGGGCCGGGTCTGCGGATTTGTATGTGTATGTGTATGAAAGCGTAATATAGACTCATAAGCTAAAGCCCGGGCATTGCATTGTTCTCGTAGAAATTGTAAAAGGGTAACTTGAAACTTGGAAATTCAATCGACTGACGACGCCCAGCGCCGTTTACCGTCCGTACTTCTGGAACTCCCAGTCTCGGTTATCGAGTGGGCATACCTGTCGGGTCTTGAGCCATCGGGAGATGCAGTGGAAGTGGAAGGCGTGCTAGAGAGAAAGAGAAGGGGAGTTAGTCATATGATTCATGGACAAGGGTAAGGGAATAACCGGGATTCTCGTCAACGGTTCGAATGGAATGGGGTATACGGACATTGCAAATTCCCCAGGCGACGGTGCACTCCTCGTTAGTTGATGAGCCTTGGTTCGCTTGGCACTCGATGCCTATGGTGGTAAGAATGTTAGTATTGGTGTTACTTCATCAGCGGAGATGGGTTTCCATTGTATCGACGTACACAAGTCCATGATGTGGTTCCGGCAAATGGCGCAGTTGTCAACGACGATATCCCAAGCCCAGAGCGCGACGGCATTCCACTAGATAAAAGTGTCAGGTGAGCTGTTCTTGTTTCAAGGTGCGATGCTCCCAAGGTTGCTGGATAGATGTACCTTCTTCACTTCGAACTTCTTCTTGTCGCTGGCTCCATCGCCGCCCTTGGCAACAGCCTTACCCTTGGATGAGGAGGCGGAGGCTTCTTTCATTTCGACGTCCGCCATAGCTGTGGTTTGGTGGTGGTTTGTGGTTGTGGTAGCTGACGGAGGTGAAGGCGGGGAGGGATGAAATAGAGTCGGGGAAGAGAGGATTACGTAGAGGAAGGACCTTGGAGAGATGGTGGTATAGCGGTAGGGCCCTGTAAGGTGTAGTGGAGGGACAACAACCTTGAAGGTGGAAGGATGATGGTGATAACGAATCGCGGAGCCTCAAAAGGTCTGGATAGCTCCCCCACTCGTGAACTGTTTGATTATGTTTGTCTGGTTCATGGCAATAGCTAAGCCTACTCTGTACAGTTGAAGGCCAGGCGGTAGACTGGGCGGACTGGGCAAAATCCTGGGCTGAGTGGCGGAGATCCTTAGTCATCCCCCCGCTGCGCCTGCGACCCAACTCCGTCACTTGGCGATGACTCTCATTCTCCTCTCCTCTTCTTTCAGCCATAACCCTCTACAACCTCCGCTAGACATGCCTCTCTCGTGCGATTCGTTCGTACTTCTCTCTTCAACACTCTAGACCTTCCTTTTTCGCTTCTGCTTCTGTGCTCGGTCTTTCTTTGCAAACCGTCGCACTACCTTGTTCGTTCTTTGCTCTGTCTCTGCTTCTGCTTCTCCGGCGTTGGATCATCTCTCTAATACTGTCGACAGCTGCTGAGCAGTGACTGGGCTTTCTCCTCCTTTGACTTTATCATTACCGTTCTCTCTCTCTCTCAGCGCTTCATACCTTTGCTTTTTCTTTCTCCTTTCTCGGATATCTTCCCAACCCTGGCTGCCTATTTTTTAAGCCAAAACAAATTGCCATCATGTCAACTCAAACTCCCCACGTTCCCACTCCCAAGGGCGCTCGGAATAACAACAACGCTGCCATCAACAACAACCACCGAAAACCGTCGAAGAAGATGACTACCCCACATACACAGCACCCCGCTATGCTGAGCACCCCGCCATCTTCGCCGCCACGCAACATGAGTCCGGCTGGAATCATGACCGATTCATCAGTCAATGTCCATTCCAAGAAGAAGCCTCCACGCTCTGGCAAGAAACCTCAACCTCGCAATGCCAATGGCGTGTCGCCTGCCCCGATCCAGAATGGTCACCAGAATGGTCATCGACACACCAACTCTCAGCCAGGCGTAGCGACTCCTCAAGCCAAGGATAACGCGGCGGCCTACGCAGGTCCAACATTCCATGCCTCACCTGCTCCATCGGCATTGCCCATTCCGAGCTTCTTCTCCAAATCTTTCCCCGAATCCGATCTCGCGCCAACTCTGGAGACTGATAGCGACAGCGCGGAGATAGAACCCGATCTTGAGACCACCCCATCTAAGCCGCGATCGGTTCGCCCGCATACTGTGGCCACGACTCAGGCGGCGCAACCCACACCTCTCGATTTCCTCTTCAAGGCCGCTGTCCAAGCCCGTACTGCCAATACCATGAACAGCCCCGAGGCAGCGCCCCGCGTGCACTCGCCGCAGACCGATTCCCAAAAACTGCAGGCACTCAGCAAACACACGCCCGGTGGTATGTTCCCCATGGACCTGGAATCTGACCGTGCGCGGGCTTCGCCAATTGGTCCTTCGTTTGCGCCTTCGTTCCAAGATCGCTTGAACGCTTTCCGATCGTCCAGTTCCCCGTCTCAGTCTCCCAGTCCCGCTCCAGCTATTACGACTCAGGATCAAAACCGCATGAAGACCGAGCAGTTGAAGTACATGTTGCTTAACCCGCGCCCTCAGGAGCCGCCCTCTTCGTCAACCTCTCCTCCCGCTCAGACGCACCTGGGTAACTACGGGGGTCATGCCACTCGACCCAACATCAATGGTACTGTTCCTCACTACGCCACTCCCATGCGCACGTCCTCGGGGCCTCCGGCTGTTTTGTCGCACGGTTATTCCCCTGTCGGTCCACCACCGCCGGGGCACGCCAACAACAACCACCATAACATTGCTGGTCATCCTTCGTATCCCTACACCCACGCCAATGGCTCTCAGCCGCTCCGGAACGCCAACTCGCCTCTGAGACGCGAAGTCTCCGGAACCAATAGCTACAGCAATGGCTACGGTAATGGTTACTACAGCAATGGCTACCCTTCTGGTCACTCGTCGCCGGCGCCCTACGGGAATAATCACTATGCGGCAACTGCCCCTGCACCTGTCCCGCAGCAGTCCGGCTTCGTTTCGCCGCAGCCTCAATACACTCAGGCAGCCTTTCCTTTGCCAAGCAATTCTCCATCTCCGGCCACTTCCCGGCCGGTTGACACCAAGAAGATGGAGGATGACTTGCGACGAATTCTGAAGCTGGATGCCGCCCAGGCCCAGGGGCCAGGTCTTCCATCTAGTGGCATGCAGAGGTCATTTGCTTAGCTCAATCCTTTCACCTTTATCTTTTGGTCTTTCACGCTATTTCTCAAGATAATGATATGGGCGTGATATCTTTTTCCACACAATCGTCTTTCAACACTCTCTTGCCTTCTTTGGGACATGTGTGTTCTGTTATTTGCCTTGCCATGCTTCTTTCTTTGCGCTCCACGGCTTCATGCATCGGTTTCACAGGCGGCTTGCATAACAATCCTGGACTGGGTCCATGGATGTTCTCTATTTTCTTGTGTTACCTCCGCAACTCATGCTCGATCTCTTTTTTCCCCCTGTCCTTTGCCATTCGCATTTCGTTTTCTATGTCTTCCACCTATCTGCTTTTTCGCCTCTACGTCTGCTACCTGTTTTTCCTGGCAAATGATGACAAAGATAACTCGGTCGGGCGGTGTTTCTCTTGATACATGGGTTTCTGGCTTCCAGTGGAGGTTCATGGTTCATTCACTTGGGGTTCGGCTTTGACTGATTGGGTTTGGGCTCGGTTCGGGTTTTTGTTTGACGAAGCCTGGCCGCTTCGTTTGCATCGGTCGGAGTCGGGATTCCTGCAATTCGTTGTGCTTGTTTTACGTTTGCATGGCAATTGGATCCAGTCTCGGTTGGGCTTGGGAGTATGGAGTACCCTTTTTGCCTAACTGTTAGGGCTGTGATTGGTGTCTGCAGTTTGCATTCATGGTTGCTGGTTTTCTTGTTCTCGGCGAGACCGTTACTCTCTCGCTTTTGTCATTTTCTTCCCCTTTGTTTTTTTTCTGTTTTTCTGGTTTACTTGTGTGGAGTGCCTGCCGTTGGCGATGGCTGACTACCGTACTTCGGTGGTCAGGCTGGTCAAGGTAGTGCACTCTGGTGTATTTCCCCCTGCGATTGCTTTCGAGACTCCGATCTGGTCTGCAGAGTCTACTCGCGTCTAATCAGGTCTGGTCTTGATTTTTGATACTTTTTACCTAGCAGTTTGTCTGTTGCGAATCTATTCGCGTCCACTCATTTGAATGTGCGGGTCGTAGATATTCACTTTGTAGTGGTTTGTAGATGGTAGGGTATATCGATCCTCGTGAGAGACTCTATTTGCGGATTGCAGGTAAGACCTTGAATACTAATCACAATTGCTCAGCAGGCTCATTGTAATCTTTGTTTAAAATTCAGAATCGTATAGATAGGCCGGCCTCTGATACATCAGCATTACATGTTTAATCTAATAAGGTTGATATAATGATTTTGTATCATTCAAGCCACAGGTGTTATTTATGATAGGCTAGTCTAAATCCCATATAACAGTCTGACAGCCATAAATGGTCCTCTGTCTCTATCAAACCTTGGTTACTACAGAATAAAAAGCCAATCCACTCGAATAGTGTTGTAATCACCGAATAATCACCGGCCATTTCATTACTCCACCCCGGTAGAACTAAAGTAACTAAGGTCAAGGTTGCGGAGGGGCCTCCCTGAAGAACTTGAGAAACGAGATGATGGTTTGGTCCTCGGCGCAGATCTCAATTAGAACTTGGCCAGAACGAGGATCGGGGTTGTGCTTGGCGAGGCCCTAAGAACACCGTTCGATGATTGAATCAGGGTCTATGGAAGTTACTGGAATATTTAAAGATTGCACCTACATACTGTATAAATGACTCTACATAAAATTTAGAATAGCTGGCCTTAATGGTGGACATTCATACGTGGTCCATCATAGTCTTAGTCCTGGCTACGCGGGCGTTACGTGGGCGTTTCTAAATTCTCCTAGCAGGCTTACACCCCCTTAATAATCGGGTCGAGACGCCACTTCCACTTGTCGAGTGTCGAATGTGCGCCCCCCGCCCACCGGTCGGAACTGCTCCACTCTGATTTGTGTGGGCCAAGTGCTAATTTTATACGCCGGTCAGATTGGATTGGGTCTTTGATCCCCTGGACGGAGGACAGGACAGGAAAGTGGTTTTTGGGGAAAAACCTGGAAAATCTGATCCAGGGCAATTGGGGGATGGTTTCTCGAAGTTTTCTATTTCCGGTAGATGGAGGTAGTTTGTATGCCGTGATATTTTGTTAATTACCGAGACGCTATCGCATGTTAATTGTTCTTCTTGTGTTCTGGCTGTCGATCTTGTCTCGGACCTGATGAAGCTTAATTTGGGACAGGAGGGTGGACGTCACGACGTAGAAGTGGCTGAGGTTACCAGGGCTGATACAGTAGTAGTACTTTGTAGGAGATTAGTAGTACATACTACTCAAGGGGATGGCCCATCATACTACCGTCATCATATATTGCCTGTTCTTCTAAATGTTCTGGAAGGTTACCAGACCGAACTCGGTGCCGCTTGGGGGTATTTGTCGTGTCAACAATGTAGTACTACTTACTCCGTAGTAGTACTATTATTATATATTTCCTAGTAATGCTGAATGGCGTCTCAGTTGCACATGCTGGACTATGTATTTATGCCCGTCAGCACTTTAGGCAGACTCGATGCATGTCGCCATGGGCGTATGTACGTCAGAGTTTGGTGAGTTGGTAGAATTATGCGATTATCATGGTCGTAATTGCATAATTCGTAGATGGACACAGTAATAGCAAACATAAGAAAAGGGCTGGTATGCTGCACTCGGCAGCAGCGACGACATCATGATCTGCATGCCTGAGAGGGTCATGGATGCGGATGCGGCCAGGGGCGTTGGACCTGAGGGAGGAGGTATAGTACATTGTACATTGTACTTACCAACGCATCTGGTTAAACGGTTCAGTGGTTCAGTTTCCAAAGCAGTTCAGGTTCAGGTTCAGCCCTTTTTCAGGTACAGAGGTACCCTTTTCCAATTGCAACAGGCGAGTGGTCCGTCCAAAAAACCACAAGGGCGGATCCTCACAAAATCACGGGGAAAGGACCACCATCCACCTTTCTATCATAATTTTCGTTCCTGCCATCCTTACCTAACCCTCTCAAGACTCTGGACTCTTTTCACTCTTTCAACTTTCCCTCTCTTGACCTCTTGTCCTTCTTCCCTGTTTTTCGACTGCTTGCACTCGATTTCCTCCTTTATTCCCTGCTCTAACGTGCCCACTTCGACTACACCTCTCCCTCCCTCGCTGATCCCATCGGAGACTCGGTCGCCAATGACCGTCCTCTTGTGTCCTTTCTGACAGAATTCGACCCTCCCCATCTTGACACCATGGCGAACGCGTAAGTTTTACTCGTCCTCTCTCTCCCTGTTGTTCTCTTATTCCTACTATCGCTCCCTCTCTACTCATCCTCGTGCTGCTTTTCTCCTCCTCCCGCTCTCCGCTAACCCCTGGCCCATCCTCACAGATTCGGTTCGGCATGGCGCTCCTTCTGGCATACCATGACCTCCTATGACCGTCATGCCTCTCACGACTCTCCCTATCGCACTGGTCGACACGTCCCCCTGAGCCAAAGTCGCCATGAACCTCTCACCTCCATTGCTACCAGCGCCATCGAGTCCCGCCCCGACCTCTCCAGCCCCTATGACGACGAACCAACCAAGGGCTTGGCATCCGCACAGGCGACCGAATGGAACGGATCTCCTACCGAGGTAGGCTCGCCGAATCGCCCTTATTCACCGGGCATGCGATCGCTGGCGTCTCAAAAACGCGGTTCCAACGAGCAGGCCGATGGCCCGCCTGAGATTCAGATGCAGAGCTTCCATGACGGCGCGCCCCCTCCACCCCCGGTCGCTCACTCCTGGCGCAAGATTGAGCGGTGGTTGGAGCACAACTACGAGGAACTGTTGGACAATCTCGGCGAAGGATGCACGCAAAATGATATTAATGAATTGGAACACGAGTTGGATTGCACTCTGCCATTGGAGTTGCGCGAGTCCTTGATGATCCACGATGGTCAGGAGCGGCCCGGTCTACCTACGGGTGTTCTATTCAGCTGCATGCTGTTGGATTGCGAGGAGATTGTGCAGGAGCGGAGGAACTGGAAGACAGTAAACGACGAATTCCTGAGCCACAATGCTCCCCTCCCTGCGCCGGTATCTAGCTCCGCCGCCAGCTCGTCCTCGGCCGCTGCTCAGCAACAAAGCAACCCGGGCGCCTGGCGCAATGATCTGCTCGACCGCCAGGACTCGCAACCACCCGGTGCTGTGCAAAAGGCATACGCCCACCCCGCCTGGATTCCCGTCGCCCGCGACTGGGGTGGCAACCACATCGCCATCGATCTGGCCCCCGGACCTGCCGGCAAATGGGGTCAGGTTATCATTTTCGGTCGCGACTACGACTGTAAATATGTGATTGCACGGTCGTGGGCGGCCTTTTTGGCTATTTTCGCGGAGGATCTATGCAGCGGCAAGACCTATGTCGAGGAGGAGACCAACGAGATGAAGCTGAGGGAGTTCAAGTCGCAAAATGTCGAGCCACCATACCTGGAGATTTTGCGCTGGCGGACAGACCAGAAGTACGGACGTCGGGCGCCCCGACGACGTGCTCCCAATGGGTTGGGTGTGAATGGCAATGGCAAATCCAGCAGTCGGGACTCGCCTTATGGTAGCCCAACTCGGGCTGAGGAGCGTGGACGCTCGCCGCATCGGTTCTCCAAGGGCCCTACACAATCTCCCAAGACGCCATTCGGTGTGTCCAGCCCTCTGGCTCGCGTGACAGAGGAAACCTCAAGTCCCATTACCACCGCGGGTCCCACGATCTCGGAGGATCCCCGGGAGCACGACAAGGAGGCTGAGCAGACAGAAGACCTGATGGAGGTTGCCACACCACAGATCTCCAACAAGGAGAATGAGGGATTCCCCGAGAAGCCGACTGAAACGAAGGTGCCCGAGAATGAGAAGAGCGAAAAGAGCGACGGAACTGCGGAACCCTCGAGTGTGATGGATTCAGAGGTTCTTGGAGAGATGAAGAACGTGGCTATTTAGAGTGTTGAGTTTGTGAACTCGTGCTCCTGCTTGCGTTGGATACGTGGAATTGACTCCATTTTCTCCGTTGTTCTCCCTTCCCTTCTCGCCGTGTCTTTTATCTACCTCTACCGCCACCTCTTTACCTATGTCTCTCTCCCTGGGCTCTTTCCCCCCGAATCCAAGGGTAACGCAGGCGTCGATGAAACGAACTTCTGGATCTATGTGTCACTGTTTCTGCTTCGTGTATAGAACTTTATTTTTTCTTTTTCTCCCCTTTTTTTTCCTTTTTCTATCTGTCTTTCTCTCTGGTCCTGTGGCTTTGCGGCATTTGTTGTAACTTTAGGGGGATTGAGGGTTTTAACTTGAGCTTGAGCTTTTTCATTGTTCTTTGTTTAGTGTTTTTTGCCTGTGTTGCTTTTTTTTCCCTTGGACTTGCCATCAAGCTGGCTTCTGTGCTCATGGTCTCTAAGCCCTTCTGCTTTTTTTGTTGACTCATTGATATTTGTCTGTAATTCTATGATGATGCAGTGTTTAAGTGGTCTGCGCTGTCGAGTGTTGGACTTGAATTCATTTTCCCTTTGACTGGGTCTTGAGTCTTGTGTGTGTATCAGACTGCGTATGATAGCAGGTCTGTTGTTTCTTTGATTGGTATCTCTGTATGTTGTATCAATCATATCATCCAGGTATGTCATATCCAATATCAAATATACAATATCACCTCCTATCCCCCTTCTCCTCTCTACCTCAATCCCTTTAATCCCAATCATCCTCATCCTCATCCCTCCTAACCTTCCCACTCCGAATACTCTTCCTCCCCTTCCCCCTCCTCCTCTCATCGTCACTCTCATCCCCTTCATCTCCACTCCCCGCACCATTCTCATCCCCAACCTTAACACCCATAAAGACCCCCTTCGAAACCATCCTCCTCTCAAAAACCCCCACACTAAACCCGCTATCTGTCCCATCAAACCCCCTCTCCCCCAACCCCTCAAACCCAACAACCCGCTCCACACCAACCCCATCCTTAAACCCAATCACGCACGGCAGTACCCGTATACCAAGCTTTTCCACGAGAAAGGGCGTGTTGCGCACGTCGACCCGCGCGAAGCGCACTTCGTGGTGTAACCCCGCGAGAAGGGTGAGTGTTTTGTCCATTATGGCGCAGCGGGTGAAATCGGGGTGGTAGAAGTGAATTAGACTCCTTGTGGTAGAGGTTGTGTGGTCAAGGACGGATTGGTCGGATTGGAGGGTGGGATAAGAGTCTGAATGGGTGAGGGTTGTGGGAGCGAAAGCACTGGGGGATGTGTCGGTGGTGCGGTTTGTTTTTGAGGATGCGAACTCCGCGTTTAGTTGTTGAATGCGGGTGTCGCGGTAGCTGGGGTCTTCTTCGTTTTCGAGGGCGGCGAAGAGGGCCTCGTCGTCGGAGTCGGTGGGCATTTTTGCGGGTGGACCGTGGTGGGTTGGAGGTTGTGGGTGGTTTTGTTTGGTTGGTAGGTTGTGATCAATTGAGTATGAATTAGCACTGACTGAAGGATAGCAGTGCTCTGTGGTGGTTCAATTGGAGGTGCTCGAATTGAGGGGAGAAGATGGAGGTTGGAGGAAGGTTGGAGGTTGGAAATTAATTTGGACGAGGGGCACGGCTTCGGCCTGCTCCACTGCTGTCGGTAGCTTTCCCCTGTGGTTGCTCGGAGTACTATGGTTTTAAGCTACTTTTTACGAATCACTTACGGGGTTTTGCTCGTAAAGGGCAGATATTTATACGTATTGGCTCTTGTGACATCATCCTAGTTACATTATTGAAAAAATGTAGCCGGTTTGATAGTGGGCTGAACTGAAAACATATACGTTGCTGTAGTCCATGATTCTGGTCAATGTTTAGTCTTTCTACGCTTATGAATCCATTGGTAGGAAAGAAATCCAGGCTACTTGTCCGTCTGCCTGGTCAACAACTTTTTATCAAAATCCTACTACTCTTCAATTTCACATAGTCGGTACCTATAATCAATAGAAGTCAAGCGTACGGATTACAAATTTAGATCACTGTGTAAGTACCTCCTGTTGACCCGATATTTGCTTCGTCCATTATAGGCCCTCTCTAGCTTTGTAATTGGAGATTCCCGACTCATATCAGAGAAATGGAATTGCAGAGATCTCGTGGAAATGGTCCCTAGAACCTTGGATCATTCTACTGACGGTCTCAATGGCTACCTTAGGTCTCGAATATGGAGAATAAAAGTTTGATCACTGATGTGTCACACCATCCGGAGTAATCAGACAACTTATGAGTCTGATTTATGTAGAGGTATAGATGACTTGCACACTGTGAATTCGTGAATTCGTGATATAAAAGGATCAGAACTTTATACTAGTGGGTGAGGATGTTCCAAGCCAATATACTTGGTAGACGGCCTAAGAACATTGGCCGCATCGGAGCTATTGACGTTATTTGACCTACCCGTGTATCCTAGACCCTATGTCAAGTAACCTCTAGGGCTTTTATTTGAATTACAACCTCTGTAATACTCAGGTGATAAGGATGACAAAGCTGCCATCGATCAATTCATTGGACGCTGCTTCATAGTAAACAAGGCGTATCGCCCAGTTTCAGCCCCGCCTTTCGCTCAGCCTCAATGAGATCGACGTGTCGGGCATCGACGACGTCGTCGACATCTTCCCTGGTAATCCTCCTTCCACTTCACCGAATATTTATCAAGTCTTGAGTTCCCAAACCATTATAATCTAGCATTTGAAAAATCAGCGCTGTCAAAATGGCGGAAGCCTTGGCCGTGGTAGGTACTGTCGCATCTATCGTCCAACTGGTAGACTTCACTACCAAAGTCTGAGCGAGTTAACCACTATATCTGCCGAGTGGATAAAGCTCCAGAAACCCTACGCGATATCGGAATCCACTTGCCTCTCTTCATCGACTCATTGCGTCGGATCCAGTTCCATATCGACTTCGGCCATTTCAATCCACAAACGTCATCCGCGCTAAAGATCTTGATCGATGAATACTTTTTGCAAATGAATGCACTTGACAATCTCATGACAAAGGACACCTGAAAATGGTGATTCCAAGTTGACAAAGTCTCGCAAAGCAATTCTCAGCTTGGGAGATGAAAAGACACTGGAAAGAATCTTCTCTAAGATCTCGGTATATATCAAGATGCTGCTGCTTTATCAAAACTCCGTCACCTCATCTCACACCATGGCAAACACTAAACTAGTGTTGAAGCAAATTGAGAATGCCTCCATCTTGGTGACAACTACGAGCATAGACTCGGTTACTACCGGGGCACTTGTGGTAGACTCCCAGAGCATATCAACAGGAAAGAGCACAGCGCAGGCAGCTTCAAAAGTCTCGCGAATTATTTCAAACAAAACAAGCAACGTCGAATATCATATTTTATGGGACTCGCCAGGTTTGGCTTGCTCTGGGCTTTTCAGGAAGTCTTGGATCTCTCCTGGGGGAATTATGGTTTCTCTATCAGCCCTAGCCTTCATTTCCAACAGCTGGTCAAGAATACCTCACCGGGGTTCAAGGTGGTATTCCAATGTTACGAAGAGCGACTTGATATCCCAACATCATGCGGCGACCTTCTCGGACTATTTCAAACGAGGACTGTCTCCCCGTGGGACATTTTCCCTGACGGAATGTCATGGCTCGAGGTACGTTGAAAAACTTGATCATATGAAGAGCTATTCATTTACAAAGATCTAGAGACTACTGAAGAGCCTAAAATATGATCCAACGCTAATCCTTGAATTTGTAAAAATTGTGTGTAAAAGTAGCGCGCCAATAAGAAACAAAGTACCGTAAGTTAACAATTCCTCCAATTGCATGTGCGTTTCCAATTTAGTCACTAAAACCCCTCGGGTCATAGGCTTCTATCTCTTGTGGCTAGCTGGAACAGCCGTGGAATACATTTGCAGCTACTAAAGGAACTACTTGCCTCGGGATATGATTGCTCTACAGACACTACCTACACAGATGTTTCTGACCCTTGGCTTATCCCAAAAAACCCCCGACCACATGGGTTCTGCTTTTATAAAATTCGCTACTACGGCTAAAATGAACCTTTCCTACTCAATTTCCTTACAGAATGCTCCAAGAATGCTTACGGTAAACATGAGATTTCGAAGTTTTTGAAGCATCCATCGAGTCTTCGGGGAAAGAATTGCCTCGGTCAAACAGCGTCCCACGTCGCTGTCTTACGTCCAGACGTGCTTTCGATGCTGCTGCAGACATATTCTACGTTCGATGTTGCTGACATTGATGAAAACGACTTGTACGGCAACAGCCCTTTAGTTTATGCGGCAGCTTATGGGCACACTGATTCAGTAATTCAACTTCTCAAGGCTGGGGCGGACCCATTGAAAGGTGGGCATCTCGAATTTCTGTACAGGGCCTTGTTCTGGGAACACTGGGACGTGGCAACCAAGCTTTCGCATTCTTTCATACAACCGCGTGATTCTCTGGTGCATTCCTCCAAAGTGAATTACATCATCTCATGGCTGGAAAAGCGCCGTATCCCCCATATATACATTGGCGGTCGCAAGTTTACGCGGGAAGAACGTCCGAGTTTCTCAGAAAGAAGGTCAACTTGGGAGTCGACAAGCATATGTTATTTGAAGACGGCAACACTTTACTGCATCTGGCCCAAGATCCAATGCAGATTGATTATTTATTCAATGCGGGATTCCAACAAATTGACCACCGCAATAATGAAGGTGAAACTGCTCTTATGAATTCTATCCCGCATCGAAGTAGTTTGTCCAGGCACATACTCACACGAGGTTGCAATGCAAATCACCGGAACGTCAGAGGCGAAACAGCCCTGTCAAAAGTCTATGCGGAACAATGGTTCTATTGGATTCCTTGTTCGACTCGTGGGAATGATTCAATTCTAGATGCTTCTTTGCTCGAAAAAATTTCGATGGATCTGGCCGCCATAGCAAACCTTCTTCATTATGGTGCAGATACTTCGGTTCGAGACTGTTGTCGTTGCCATTGTGCTCCTCATGGGGGTCATCCACTCCGTCGATTGCTCCGTCCACGTGGACAATTAATAGGCTATATATGGATGATGGAGTGCCTGCTGACACTGGTCGATATCCAAAGACGGACAATCGCACAACAAGCATTGTTTGAAATTGGACGAGTGCGCGAGTTCGAACAAGCTGAGATGACTCATGTCTGCTGCAACAGAGAAACTAGCCGCGCTGATGAACTCATGGATGATGCAGAAGTCGATGGAATTATCGAGGAGGAAAAAGAGTTTGTGGCAATCCTCGACGAGAAAATGAGAGATATATCGTCCAGTGCAGACAGCAAATCGATCGAAGAGGGTTGGCTCAGTATTATCTTCGACTTTCGAACCCCAGACAAACCGTTTGAACGCGAGAAGTACTGGATTGGTGCTGGTGATGATGATTATGAGCAAGTTCCATTGACTACCAGCGCCTTGATTTCGGGTAGCACTATGAGCCTGGGTATCGCTCGCGCGGACGAAGAGAAAGACAGGTACTGGTTCCTGTCAGAAGCTACAGCTGGACACGAAATGCCGCAAAGTTCAATCTACTCTGCGTGGGTCGAGTGGGTTTATCAAAATCCTGACAAATACGATTATCCGCTTCCAGTGGACAGGGAATGGTATGAAAAAAGGAAGTATTGGGCTACTCGACAGGCTGAGGTTCTTGAAGGGCTATCTTGAATTAGTATAGTGTCCAAGTTTAGACAAACTCTCGCTTGCGACTTCTACCATTTATCTTTCTTTCTTCTCTCAAGACACATGCTTTATAGATAGTCTATCCCCATAGATACAATACTGTAATGACATGAGGGAGATTCAGATTACTTACATTATCATCGGCTTCTCTTCTCTTCCTAAAAGAAGGTGGACGTAACTATACACCGTGCCTTGCTCATTATGCTACAGTATACTCCGTACATATGTACAGTAGAAAGCTTGTTGATGGAATGTCCCAAATTTAGCCGAAATTCTTTGAGGTGGGTAACTAAAGACAGCCAATTGAAGGCTTATCTTTCCACAATTGCAGTTCTAATTTAACCAAGTCTTTTCTCACTAACTACTTACGTCTTAGTACAAATTGATCCATCATGGATGGATGGTACTGGCTGAGTCAGCCCCCTAAGCCCCCTGCTGAGGTAAGCAGCCTGGTTCCGGCCAAAAGATTTGCTCCCTTGAGGGTGTTTTCTCCTTCGCGCGTCGTGTACGCTCCACTGTCTCAACTCCGCTTCATCTTTTGACCCTTTTCGGCTTCTTGCGCTTCATTTCTGGGCGTTTCCTTTCGCTTTACTCCGCATTTGCCCCTGGCTCACTCCTCCCTTTTACCACCAACTTTTCTAATAAAACCCTTCGGGGCTATTCCGCCACCATGGTTGAAGACAAGAAGACCGACGACTATACCGTCGAGATGAGCAAGCTCGATCAGGGCGGCAAGGAATTCGAGGCAGCGCCTCCTCCTTTGACTCGTGCTGCGAGCTCCCCGGCCTCCTCTATATCGAATAACCCTGCTCTTCCGGTTCTGGCGTATTGCGGTTCGTCTATCCTAATGACCGTGATGAACAAGTATGTCCTGTCGGGCTTGGACTTTAACTTGAACTTTTTGCTCCTTATGGTGCAGGTACGTTGTGGTTTTCATATCTATGGGGATGCAATTGCCCGTTTACTATACTGACTATCCATTTACAGTCCATTGTCTGTATTTTTGCTATCCAAACATGCAAGTCTATGGGTCTGATCACCTATCGTGACTTTAGCACCGACGAGGCCAGGAAGTGTATGTCAAATCTCTCGATTGAAAGACCTCGAGTGATCCTAGGAATTTTGCTAACATTTAATTTCTCGTTTGATAGGGTTCCCCATCACTCTCCTGCTGATCGGCATGATCTACACCGGCTCCAAGGCCCTCCAGTTCCTCTCTATCCCCGTCTACACCATCTTCAAGAATTTGACCATTATCCTGATCGCCTATGGTGAGGTCCTCTGGTTCGGTGGCTCCGTCACCAACATGACCCTCTTCTCCTTTGGTCTGATGGTTCTGAGCTCCATCATCGCCGCTTGGGCCGACATTAAGCACGCCGTTGAGAGCAGCGGTGACACCAGCAGCAAGGTTTCCACTCTGAATGCTGGTTACGTCTGGATGATGATCAACTGCCTGTGCACCTCTTCCTACGTGCTCGGCATGCGCAAGCGCATCAAGTTGACCAACTTCAAGGACTTTGACAGTACGCTTTTTCCCCTATCCTTGCGACGCAGATCGAATTTCAATACTAATATCCATTACAGCCATGTTCTATAACAACCTCCTCTCCATCCCCGTCCTCATTGTCGCCACTCTGCTCGTCGAGGATTGGTCCGCTGCCAACCTGGCCCGTAACTTCCCCGAGGCCAACCGCAATGGCATCTTCTTCGCTATGATCATCACTGGTGTCTCCTCCGTCTTCATCTCCTACACTTCCGCCTGGTGTGTCCGTACCACCTCCTCTACCACCTACTCCATGGTCGGTGCCTTGAACAAGCTCCCCATTGCCATCTCTGGTCTGGTCTTCTTCGACGCTCCCGTCACTTTCCCCAGTGTCTCTGCTATTGTCGTCGGCTTCGTGTCCGGCATTGTCTACGCCGTCGCCAAGATCAAGCAGAACGCCAAGCCCAAGACCGGTGTTTTGCCTACCTCCAACCCATTGGTCAGCGCCAGCAGCCAGAGCATGCGTGACTCACTGCGCTCTTGATTTTAGCTAGGCTATCATCGAGTTGAAAAAGTCCAATGATAGGAGCTGCGCCCAAAAGCAGAAAAGAGATGAAATGACCTTTCCTTGTTGTTCTTGTTCTCGTCCTTGTCCAGCCTGTCAGCCTTTGTTGAGTACTGAGGGTGACTCTGGACCCCGTGCATCACCGCTTCCCTAAACATACAATGGGGGAAGCATTACTTTCTTGCATGTGTATGATTCACGTTTCATTGCAGCTGTCGATGCCCGTGCTTTTTCATGGGCTGAAGGGTCGATACTGTGGCTTTGGTGTTGGTGGATTTGCCATTTCTTTTTCTTCTCTCTTCGATTCGACCCTTTTCCCTTCTATCGTGTTTTCCTCTATCTTCTCTTTCGACAAGAGGAGAGTCAAGGAAGAGACCGATAGCAGAGCTCACCTTCTTGGGCTAAAGTATGACTGATAGTAATTTTCCGGTGTGTTTTTGCGGGCATAGCCTGGTCTGTTTTCTTGTTCCTGTATATAGCTATGCCATGTTGAAATAGAACGTGTCTTTCCTTTCAATACTTTACACATGTAATATTCTAGCGCTAGTTCATCCAAACAGAATCAATTATGTCTGTGCTGAAGTGTTATCATGCTTGAGGTCATGTTTTACCCGGAACACCCAAGAAAATTCCGGAACTTTGATCGCCCGAAGCCAACCCCGTTTTTCACCTCGTCTAATACTCCGGAGTATACTTACAAGCTAACAACCACATCTTGCGCCTTTCCACACCATCTTATACATCAATTCTCTCTTTCCTTCGTGAATTAACAATTCAATTCATTGACCATTATCGCCATGCCTCGCAAGAAGCAAAAGAGTGGCCCCCCGCCCCGTCCCCATCGCCCCAGCGGTGCAGCCAAGTCTGGCCCTGCGCCAGCATCGCAGGCAAAGAGCAAAGGTCCTAAGACTGATTCTGCCCCTGCTGGAGCTGTCAAAGAGGGCAGTCAAAAGAAGCAGTCGGTACAAGCGAATCAGCGGCCGATTGTGCCGTTCTTGAGGGGGGATCGTATTTTGTTGGTTGGAGAGGGTAAGTGATCTTTCATCGTTTTGGTTTTTCTTTAATGAGGTGTTTTGGCGTTCGGATTTTGTTCAATATGTTTGGAGAATCAGGACGATATCTCTTTAAGCCTATGGACTCGTTGATATTGTAATGTACCCTGGCTTTCTTGCCTGGATATGGGCATGTGAGCAATATATATATCATGGAAGAGAATGATCTATGCTTGTATTTTGCTTCTTCATTCCTGGGAATCCATATGTCCTAATTGTGTTGTGGTATTTGAAATGTACCCTTTCAAGCTGCTAATATCGCTCTAGGTGACTTCTCCTTTGCCCGCTCCCTAGCAAAGCAATACAAATGCCGCAAACTATATGCCACATGCTACGACTCGCAAGAGACACTTTTTGCCAAATATCCACAGACTGAGCAGCACATCAAAGAGATCCTAGACTCGTCAAAGCCAAAGTCCAAGTCTAAATCCGCAGATGCAGAGGAAGACAAGACCTCTGAATCGAATGCCCCAGCCACATCATCAACATCAGCCACTCAAAAACCAAGTCCAAAGGTGCTCTTCTCCGTCGACGCCCGCAAATTGGGTACCCCAGCTGGCGGCGGCAAAGATATCCGTACCGGCTTCCCTCGCAAAGAACCCAAAATCCCGGCCTGGAAACTCCACCAGCAATCTCAAGCCCAAGCACAGGGGAAATCTACCCCAGCTGCGCCCCCGCCTAGCGGTCCGTGGGATGTGATCTGTTTCAATTTCCCACATGTCGGTGGCCTCTCAACGGACGTGAATCGACAAGTCCGCGCGAATCAGGAACTACTAGTGGCATTCTTCAAAGCCTGCGTCCCGCTCCTTTCCACGGCACCGCCACCTGTGGATGAAGACGATGCGTGGGAAGAGGATTCCGAAGACGAGTCCGACTCTGATTCCGATACAAACGAAGACGGCGACGGTGAAAACGACGCCCAAACCTCAGGTAAAGCTACTCGCATCGGTCCAGGCCAAATCCTCGTCTCGCTATTCGAGGGTGAACCGTATACACTCTGGAACATCAAGGATCTGGCGCGTCATGCGGGATTACAGGTTGTTACGAGCTTCAAGTTTCCCTGGGCTGAGTACGAGGGGTATTCGCATGCGCGGACGCTAGGTGAGGTCGAGGGAAAGGATGGGGGGCGAGGTGGATGGCGTGGGGAGGATCGGTTGGCTAGGATGTATGTTTTCGAGGTTAAGCAGGAGGAGTCGAAGGGGAGGAAGAAGAAGAGGGCTAGAGAGGGGGGTAGTGATAGTGAGTGATCGGGAATTGTTAGGATTAAAAGGTTAAAATATATTTAGCTTTCATTTCATGTCATAATAACAGTCAGATTCTGGCTGAGATTCGATGTTGCATCTGAGATTCCGGTATTCCGCATTGCAGGAGAAGGTGCATTCATGCGGGGTTCAAGTCGGATTGCTTCCCCTCATTACATGATGTACACCTTCTTCATCTCACTCTCATCAAAGACATCACCCGTTGTCGGATCCTTAACCTTCCCGGACTCAACTGATCCGTTATTCTTGCTGATATCCAACAGCCGCGCCTTTCCATAGACGCGACCATTAGGCAACACAATCGGATCACCTTCCACGTAACTCTTCGAGTGGTGCGCATAGGGCATTCTGCGCGCCAGCTCGTTCAGTTCAGTAGAGCAGATGGGACAGACGGACGTCGTCGTGGATTGGGAGTTGGAGCTAGAGGAAGTGTAGGCGGAATGACACAGGGGTGTCTTGAGTGCAGATAGACCCGCGGACAGGGCTATGTGTAGTAATGGCTGCGACGGCAGGGAGAGGAGCTCGTGGTGTGTTTGGATGAATAGATCTGAGAGGAACTTCCATCGTTCATGCGAAAAGAAGGTCTGTAGCTCGTTAGTCGAGGTATATTGGTTTCAAGTGGTTAAGGCATTTGCATTTTGTACCTTGTATGGTTCGGCCCTTGTGTCTTGAGCAAAGACCAGCATTCCTGCTGCTCGCTGGATTTCCTTGCTGTCGGGCTCTTGGTTTGAGACTAGATACTTTCTGGCGTGGTTAATAGCATCAATCTTCTTCGATGGGTCCTGTGTTCGGACCATCTCAATGTACTGCTGGAGCCGGAGCTCGAATTCGAGATTGTGCTGTGAAATTGATTAGAATGATTCTTATCCAGTTTGACCAGACCTATAAGAAATATCACATACCTGGCTCTTCTTCAGGGCGGCTTTATTCTCACCACACCACTGCAACGCCTCTTTAGTCTCTCCGCGATGCAGACTCTCCACGACTTGCTGGCACTGTGTAAAGACATCCAAATCAACCAGATCTTCGATATCACGCTCCTGAGCCAACTGCTTCGCACTCTCCGAGTATCCCGACCGCAGCAGATGATCCACCAGCAACCGATCCAGCCGCACGCGCGACCATTGGTCATACTTGACATCCGCCAGACTAGGAATCTTGTACAGAGCCTCCAGATGCTGAATGCGTTTCCGAGATTGCATCTGAATCTTCTTCTCTTCCTCCTGGAGGCTCTGCATCTTCCGTTTCAGTCCTTGCATGCGAGATATCATAGCGTCTAGTGCTGCTAGCGTCTGGTCGGGCGTTTGGGTATTGGATAGGGAGGCGTTAGCTGCGTCTCTGAGTGCAGGTAGGACATATTCTTTCTCTCGCTCGACTACCCGCTGCACGGTCTTGAAGTTTCGTCGGGCTAGTTCATGGGGAAGACGGAGGAGTGGTTGGTCCTATATTAGGCGGGTAATCAGTTAGTGACGTCTTTAATGCGGAGCTGCTCGACCTTACCAAGATCAGATGGCTTTCCGGGTTGAGCTTGATAGAAGTCAGCTCGGCAGCCATGATGGCGGTTGAATTTGAGCTCTTTCTCTTCTTCGATTTGTAGAGACAGCTTTTGTCTCCTTTCCTTCTTCTTGGCAAGAGAGCTGAGAGTGAGGAGAAGGTCTGGTGATGTTGCCGGAGGGGGAAATGCGGAGAGAACGGATGGCACTGGTCACGAGGTCTTCGTTATCGTTATCGGGACTCCGATAAGAATCAATTGGGTGGTAAGAACACTGGTAGGATAGTTTGTACTTGAATATCAGTTTTATCTTGGATATTGAAAGGATTTTTAACTTATACTTCAATTTTACACTATCTGTTTATACGAAATGCCTTATCTATGAAGTACGATGACTATTATTGAATAATTCAACCCTAAACAATCAATCAAATCTCCATCGCCGTTGACATCCTCTAACACAACTACTAGATTCCCTACCGTATATACATCATTTCTCGACCAATCTTTTCCAGGGGCCTAGGCCATTAAAAGTCCCTGAATATAGTGACTATGCATGTAGAAAAACGGCAGATTTATACTATACCAAAATCACCATCAATCTACCAAACTCAGAGGTCACTTTAGAGCTAATTGAGTTTGTTATGTCAGTTTGGCCGAGTGGTCTAAGGCGCTTGACTTGAACCTCCCGACTCCCAAGTCAGGGTTGGGGTATATCCCTTCATGTTTAGGCATCAAGTCTCTTCGGAGGCACAGGTTCGAACCCTGTAGCTGACGCTTGCTTTTTAGTCTTTCTTCCTATGGTTTCTTGGCAGTGGGACTAGAGAATCACTCCCAGAGTAGTATATATAGATGGTTGCGCCAAGACGCTTTATGTAGTTTTATATTGGGATATTTTGGACTGCCCCTGTAAGTTGTGTATGTTTTGTCATATGTAGAATACATTTCGTAATTTCAGGCATGTATCATTCGCTCATAAATTCAATACAGTACACCCACCCTTATTCCAACTTCCGCAACACTCAACCTTCCCAACCCAATATCACCCGTGCTCCTCTTCTTTCCATTTGATCAGGGATTTTGCGAGCGACTTAGTTCCAGTCTGAAGAAGTCAAACGCTCGGAACATTTCAAAATGAGAATTCCTACCGAGATCTATGACCATGTAATGTGTATTGACATGCGGCGTAACACCCGAGACTAAAGTGCTCTTTCAGATCGCGGCCCATGTGGAGAGCGATGATGACTTCGCATGGCGAAATATTATTCACGATTCCCAGCGCTTTGCAATCTTGGATTATCAAGCCCGAGCAAGACTGGCTATTCTCCGTCTAGTCAAAAAGAGCTTTTGTTACAGCGCCTCGGTGCGCTTATTCCGACATATAATCGCTAAACCTGATGTCATTGATAGAAGACTTCCACCACTCGTACATCTCTAGGAGATATCAAACAGCCCAAATGCCACTTATGTGCGACAGATCGATCTTGGGTGTTCCGAACGCGGGAAATCCACCGAAGAGCTGAAAATGTACGTGGAAGACCAAGCTGGGATCTTATTGCCTTGCCTCCACAGATTTCCGAATCTAAGAGCCATTGCATTCGATGATCCTTCACCATCTCTCCCCCGAGAATACAGACAGATCTACATAAACACAGCCACGACAGCATTGCTCTATGTGCCGCTTCCAAATTTGGTCGAACTTGAGCTCTACTTCCCTATTACCAACAATTTTCGACACTTCTTTCCTACCGAAGCTAGTCCGCTACGCACACCCATCCAAAGTATCCTTGGGCGGCTTCGGTCTTTAAGACTCTTTGTGCGTGAGCCCACAGGAACTCAAGACCAGCGATATTTTGGGCAACAAGTCTTGCCAGAATATGCTGCTCTTCCAAACAACGCCCATTCCTCTCATCTTTTCAAAATGGTCGAGCTTGCCACCAATCTTGAATTTCTCACAATAGGCAGCACGGATTATCTGAGATTCGATCCTGAGCCTCTATCCCAGAATCGTCCCCGATATCTTTATCTGAATAGCGTGTCTATCTCATCTGATGGTCTAATTGCTTTTATTAATCAGTCCAAGGAGTCAATTAGGTATATCGAGCTCCGACACATTAAATTGGACTCTGGGACGTGGCAACATGTACTATTGGAACTATGCCGTCTACCGCATCTCCTCGATTTTGCCATCAAGTCCAGTGGCTATTCTTCCACAGGGTCAAGCTCTCATCCAGCTCCCGGGCTCCTTCCTCCGATACATCACCCTGAAGACATTGAGACCTACAATGACCTCGACTTTTACACACTCGGAAACTTGCAGCGCCAAGCCAATACGAACAGGCGTGCTGCAGGGTTTGAGCCGGTCTCCAATGATAGTTACTCTTACATTAACCGACCATCGCTAGTCTCAGCTGGCAGTTGAATAAACTTCATATCTCTAGCTATTCCAGCCTGCCTGTCTCTTTCAGGGGTATTCCCATTTAAGAATGGCACCACAGTAGCACGCCCATTGAGGGTCTTAGTATCACTGATCTGTAGGCAGAGCTAGTTGGCAGAAATTCAGTCTGTTTGTCAGATTTACCGGCGATAATTGGATTTTAAAAACAAAAGTCCCGGGGGATCTCTACTTCACAAACAGGAGAGCTCGCAGTTCCCTAGAATGCATTGACAGCCGAAGCTTCACGGGCAAAGGACATATCATAAATCTGGGCCGAAAAATGTCGGCCGTCAGGGATCTTCCCTAGTCGCTGTTGAATTGCCGAATCATCTTGATTGGGCAAGGCTCGACGATGGTGACTCTGGTCCTCTCTTTCCCATTGCTCTACCTACTTAATATGACATGTTACTATTCGGGAACTCCACATCAATTAGTATCAGAATCTGAAATAGTGAATTGACTTACTATCCGCAAAAGGACCATCGTATTATTTTGGCTGTCCTAGAATAACCAAAGACATCCGTTAGAGACGAGGACATTGCATTGCTTGTCGAATTCCTATCTTTATCCAGTTCAGAAACGGCGTCTCTTTCGACAAGGCTCACGCTTCTATTCCGAGAACTGTCTGATCATATTCATTCTGGTGATTGCGGGTTTGCAATCCCAAATTATTAGTGCTTCGGATATCTCTCGATGGATAGTATGCACAGTCTTCTGGACGGGTGCAGTGGTTACAAGAGTACTGACGGTTACACTGTACACGTTAGGGTGGTTAGCTGTTGTCCCTGTATTTCTATCAGGACTATGTCGGGTCTTCCACGAACAATACCTTTTGCTTTCTGCTGTAGCAAGGAATGCAAGAGGACACCATGTGTTTTCGCGAGGGCTACATCATCGGAGCAATAGCTAGCACCTCCAGTATTCTGTTGGCATCAGTCCCTTTTGATTTGAAGATTTGTGATATGAAATCTATCAGCTCTCAATGGTGGCAGGAACTGTAAAGTAGGAAATAGGAGGGGCTGGATGTTGATTGTGCTTCAATTGAAGGTACCCACCTACCTATTGACTGCCATATACGTCAACCCTCGACGAAGCGCAGGATCCGGGGTGTATATGGAGTCATATTTCTCAAGTGAGAATAGACAATAGGGCTTTTCATCATGCCTGATAACCACACATGCATTGAATCCGTAATTGCCGAGGAAAAGAGGCCGAAAGGGCGACGTCAGAGCTTTTACGTTGTAGCATCAGAGGAGTATCGGGACGCAAGTTCAGGAACGACAAAACTACATAAATGGATAAAGTAATTCACAGGTCCCAATATTACAAGAACAAAACTTATAATTCGACATAACATTCGAGCAGCTATAAATCTTCAAACCGACAGATTCCCTTTTGACCCAAGACTCCAGAAAAGAAAGTAAAAGCAGAAAATATGATACAGGAAATAGACCAGACAGGGTGGGGAGTTGGTTGGTGTGGTCTTCTCTTCCTGGGGACATCTAGTCGCTATCATCGCTGTCCTCAGCCTGCTTGGACTTTCGGCGCTCCTTCTTTTCCTTCTTCTCCTTCTTCTTGCGCTTACGCTCGGCCTTCTCCTCGGCGGTCTCGCCGTCGTGGCGCTTGCGCTTCTTCTTGTCATCGTCGGCATCAGCCTCGGCCTCGGTGTTGGGGGACTCGGCTTCCTCGACGGGGGCGGAGGCGGGGGTCTCAGCCTGGACGGGGGCGGCAGCAGCAGGCTGCTCGCTGCCGTCAAGAGGGGCGTTGTAGTCCTTGTAGTCGTTCTTCCACTGGGAGGGGGTGGCCTCGTTGGCGCGGCCGTACTTGTCCAGCTTGCCGGCGGACTTCAGCTTCTTCTTCTCCAGGGCGATGGGGCCCAGGCCCCAGCGGCGGGGGTAGAGATCACGCTCCATGATGCAGCGCTTGACCTTGGCGACGACACCGTGGTCGCAGGTGGTGAGCTCGACGGTGGACATCTGAGCGATACCAATGGCAATGGCCTCACCCTTGGTGGTCATGAGGACGACCTCCTCGTTGACCTCAATGCCGGACTCTGCAGAGAAATTCGTTAGTTTTATTCTAGTAGCGATAGTGAAAACGATAAACCTACCGAAACGGAGGAGACCAGGAATCATCAGCTTGGCACCGTAGCAGACGGCGTTGACAGCGCTGTCCTTGACGACAATACGCTTGTAGGTGGTGAGTAGGCTCTCCAGGGGCTTGATGACGCGGCGGAGGTACGACTCATCACGCTGGTTGTCGTACACCCACTGGGCGTCCAGAACGTCGTGGAGAGTAACCATGCCAGACTCCTCGTTCATGGCACCAGAGCGGACACGACGCAGCTCCTGCATGTGAGCACCAACACCGAGCAGCAGACCCAGGTGAACACAGAGAGTACGGATGTAGGTACCAGCCTCACAGCTGACCCAGAAGACACCGAGGTGGCGCTCATTGTCGAACTCGTACAGCTTGCTCTCGTGGATGGTACGGATACGGAGCTGACGCTTGACGGCCGAGATCAAAGGAGGACGCTGGAAAAGAGCACCAGTGAGGGTCTCGAGGGCACGGCGGAACTGGGCCTCGCCACCGGGGAGCTTGTCGTGCAGACGGATCACACAGACGTACTCCTTACCGGCACCCTGCTGGGACTTGACCAGACGGGTGGCACGGTCAATGCAGACAATCAAGCAGCCAGTAACCTTGGGGTCGAGAGTACCACTGTGACCGGTCTTCTCAGATCTATTAGGAGGAAATATGTTAGTATCGATTGGCCTAGAGGGCTCGAAAGAGAGATGGGGGGGTGTTCAGGAGGAATTACCTCAGGATGCGCTTCATCCACGCGACAACCTCGTGGGAAGACGGGTTGGAGGGCTTGTCCAAGTTGATAACACCGGAGCTGATGTAGGACTTGAGATCACGCTTCAGAGGAGAAGCACCGGCAGGGATAGGAGTGAAGTGACCGGTGCGAACGAGCACTGCAAAAAAGGGTCCAAAGTCAGTTCTCCATGGTCATGGCCAGTTTTTTCTCTACCTCGAAAAAAGTTTCACACGTACGCTTCTCGTAGTTCTTGAGCAGGAGGGGCCAGTCCTCGCTCGAGGAGGATGGCTTGAGCGCCTCGGGCTTGATGGTGTAATCCACCTCCATGTTGTTGACGGCGGCCATTCTGGTGGTTAGTATGCTGTTGAGGTCCAAAAATTTGTTCGACGGAACGAAATTTTGCGAGTGCGGCAGCTCCAGTGCCCGATCGGGTTAGCGCCCGTCAAGGTTCACGTGACTGTGGCTGGCAAGACTTTTTCTATAGTTCCATTGGTCGAATGCGTGCGTAAGGTCATGGGATTTTTACAGTTTACAATTGGAAAGATGAAAGGAATTGACAGCGATGTAATGGGATTTTGCTATCGCTATGGGCTAGTATGGACTTGGTGCCCTGTAATCGTAATCTACATACAAAACTGATGGAAATTATCCGCAGAAGCCTCCCTTAACGGTAATGCCCCTAAGGTAAGGCATTAAAGAGGGCAGGAAGCATGAACTCGAAGACGGGGCTGTCTATGCCTGCTCTTGTCCTTCCAGACTGGACGCAGCCATTGAGCTTAACCGAGTCTGCGTCCAGAGCCCCAGCCACCCCAGGACTCTCCGCCTTCAGTAGCGCGAGGTTGAGCTTGAGGTGCCGACTCAGATGGTTGCGGTGCATGATGAGCCGTGCCATATCCACGGTATCCGACGTTCGGGGTATGTTTGTAGAAGAAGCGCTGGACGAAACGGGGAGTGAAGATGAAGTTTTTGCCACCTCCAAACCTAGGATACGTGCGGGTGATAAAGTCGTAAAGATGAGCAGCGAAAACACCGGTGGCTTCCATCAGCATTCTCTGCCAGCCCCAATGCACCATAGTGATACACAACATCGCAGCAGGCAAGTAGATCACCTTGATGTCAATGATGAAGAATCTCACGCGGGTGCCACGTTTGTCCTGGGCGAAAGTCCACACCAGGGCCATGATCAGGGCTGATTGCGGGAATCAGCGTCTGCTATACGGATATACAGAGATACATGCAATAAGTGGGATAAAAGGGGAGAGCTTACCGGGAAGGAAAGAGCTATAGCCCATGTAGAGGCCTGCAGTAAGCTTCAAAAAGGTTAGCAGGCTGGCCAAGGAGAGTGTTGGCTACCATGAGAAGCAAAGCCGGAGTGTGGATAGTGGATGGAGAGAATCGAAATGATATTTGGGAATGAATCATAGATAGGTATAGGTAACAAGATGATGGATGATATGTAGAATGTAGGGCACCTTAACCACCGTTCGCGAATTGAATCACGACAGTTATCTCATAGGTAGTCCCACCAATCCCACACCGCATGCAGTACCATTTTAGATTTTGCGAATGAGGTACTGCACGGGATGCAGGGGTATTCTTCCTCGCTTCCAGGAACCGCTTCAGCTAGAAGGTGGCTGGGCGGGCAGATAATGCGAGGTGACAGGGTAATGAACGCAAGACAGAACAAAAGGAAAAACTCTACAGTCGCTGGCCATCGGGCAAGCAAGTCACTTACCATGATGACGGTGTTTACGAACAGAATGAAGATGAAAAAGTCACCGGGTTTGGAGAAGCGACCCGACTGAGACTCGAGGGCACTGCTGTACCGCCAAAGGTTGTACAGGTCCCAGAGGAAGTCGAATCTTGGCCCAGTCAGGAAGAAGCAAGTCGCCAATCGCCAGACCTGAGGAGGTAGATGGAAGAAGATTTTCCTCGGAACAAAGAAAAGGTATCTTCCAGAGATCAGTTCGCCATAGAACAAAAGCGACTGAATGAAGGTTGCTGCCGTCAGTGTCCTGGAATTGACACGTTAGTCTTCGCCCCGGACTTGCCGTTGGGGGCGCAAACGAGCGTACCTGGACACGGGAGGTGCCCGCCAGAACTCATCCATCTCTGCAGATGTGATCAGAGAGATGAATGGGGAGGTGGTGCTAGATAGTGGGTTAGGAAGACGGTTAAAACAAGCTCATGTCATTAAACCCGAGGGCTATGAGCTTTGCAGATGGGAAGGAATGGAAGGAAGAGAGAAAAGGCCAGCGAGATGGAAATGAGCAGAAATAAAAAGGTGTGGAAATCCGCTACGGGAGGTTAGTTTATCCGGGTCCCGTCAGTCTTGGCGCGGCTCTGCGCGGCTCACGGACTCCTGAACGCTTCAACATAAACCATAAAACTCCCTATTGGACAGACAGTGTATGGATAACTTGAGGATAATAACTCATTGAGTATCTCTATGATTCCAATTCTAGGTTAATTATTTCAGAATCTCCACCCTGTGTAGGGAATACGAGTACTCCGTAGTCGAGCACAGATAACCCTGGCTTAGCCCGGGTATATTCCAGGCTCCAACTCCCTCCGGTCAGAATGTAACCTTGTCAGAGCAGACGAAATTAAGCCTAAAGTACACAAAGTTATGGTTAACCACAAGCTCGTTAGAGCTCAGTATGCACTAAAGCTCAATGGATCAAAATACACCCACAAAGACAATACATAATGCTCAACCTTATCTCTGCCAACCAAGCGTCTCTCTAGTATATTCTTCTCGAGGCTTCGGGCACTGTCACAGTATATATATGTAGTAGTCCACCTTATCAATTCCATATAAAGTACAATCCAACCACCTTGAGCAACAAGAGTTGATCCAAGCATAGACAAAATACAAGGGTATCACCAAAATACTGCAAAATCAATCAAACACCACAAGTCCTCACAGTCCCCCTAACAGCAAGCCCACCCTTCGGCCCCTCAATCCAAACATCCCAAGCACCACCATCACCACCATTCTTCACCTTCCCACAAACAGTCAAATCATCATCTACAAACAACGGCGCAAGATTCTTATATTCAATATGTTCAACCCGAAGACCCAAGTCATGAAAGTGACGCTCCAGTACACTCATCAACAGTGTTAATGTCAACGGTCCATGGACGAGAAGGTTTCGATACCCTTCTTCGTTCTGGGTATAGTTTTTATCGAGGTGGATGGAGTGCGCGTTGAATGTAAGTGCTGAGAAGCGGAAGAGGAGGGATTTGTTGGGGGTGAGGGAGTGGCGGAGGGTTGCACCTGTGGGGGCTGGAGAGAAGAGAAGAAAGTAGGTTAGTATGTATGTTGACGATAGATCATATTCTGGGAAGAGGTTTTAGTTCAGTAGAGGAGGATACACACCTTTCACAATTCGACCAGGTTCTTGAAATAGCGCCTGGTCTGCCTCAATCTGCGCGGCAGTCTTGCTCCGCATAAAGATAAGGTCTCGATTCTCGATCACCAAGGCCTCGCCTGCAAGTGCCTCGTCCTCGGTCCATATACGACTCCTAGTTTGTTCCTCATCTTCACCCTCAGGAACAGTTCCAATACGCCTTTCAATCCTCACGATCACACTTTCATCGCCCTCGCGGCCTTTAACAGCTACATTGCGAATCGACTCAATACACACAGCCCGCCGACCGTCGAGCAATGGACTCGCAGCCGGGAATCGCAGGTTCCCACCAGCCCATAGCCGGCGGTGGAAGGGATCTCCTGGTGTATGTAGGACATCTGTGCCGTCTGGGAGTAATTGCGACAGGGTCACCTGCGGCGGGAAGTAGATTAAATGGTGGGCGAGTGGGAGCGGCGATGGATTCGTTATTGAGGGTAGAATCGTGCTCGTATATACCGGGGTAGAAGCGGTTTTCGGTAGAAGATCACATAGTGAGAGATTGAGGAGATGTGAAGGCTGTGGATGCAAGTAATCGTAAAACAAGGGGATTTTGCGTGTTGTCAGCTCATGCTGTAAGCGTTCCGCAAGTGACGAGTAAGCACGGCATGTATATCGCGCCGTAGCTCCTCCGCCCCGCACAAAAGGCAATTGCCGAGTCAAAACCGTCTTCATCAGTGGAAATACTCGAGGAAACGGCGAGCGATGACTGTCAACTCAAAGCGCGGGGAGGTAAGTAAAACCTCCGATGGAACCTCCGATAAACCATACGATAAACCCTCGAGTTTGCCTTGTTTGTCGTCGGCATTCCCGCACGAGGATACCCTCACCGCTCGGCGCAGATCGCAATGCGCAGCTTAAGACCTCTAAACACAATTGTCCGTGTCGTCCGCGCCAGTCGTGGTCTCTCCCTTCAAGCTTATCCAGCAATTGACACCAAAATGTCCGCCGATCGCTTGAAAGTAGCCTTCCTAGGCCCGCCGGCCTCCTTCTCGCATCAGGTACGAGAGTCATTCCTACTACCCCACACTATTGGCCCGAATTTAGTAGCCCGGCCCTCTAACAGTTGAGTTGCTTTTTATCTCACAGGCCGCGGCAGAGTCCTTCGAGAAGACAGACGCCGAATTACTTCCCCACGTCTCCTTTGCAGACGCCTTCACCGCTGTCCAGCACCAAGTCGCCGATTACGCGGTTATCCCGTTCGAGAACTCGACCAATGGCTCTGTCGTGCAGACATTGGATCTCCTTGCGGATCGAAGCGCCCTATACACAGATGTCGAGGTCTGTGGGGAATACTATTTGACCGTGCATCATTGTCTGCTCGTGCGTAAGGGGACGTATCCGTCCGGTTGGGCGGGGTACGACGGGTCTATCACAAAGCTATATACACACCCACAAGCCTGGGGCCAATGTGAGAACCTGCTATCACAACATTTCAAAGGCGTTGAGAGACAGGATGTTTCGTCGACCTCCAAAGCTGCGGAGATCGTTTCGAAAGAGACCGGCGAGCAAGCCGCGGCAATCGCCAGTAAATTCGCAGCCGAGTACCACGGCGTGGATATATTGAAAGAGAATATCGAGGATCGTGCCGATAATACGACCCGCTTCTTGATTCTCAGGAATACTCGTGTCGAGCGTACCGCTCAACTTGAATTCGAGCAAGCGTCTACATCCCCCGCAGCAACAACGCGGAAGACGCTGATCTCCTTTGCAATTGACCATTCCTCGCCGGGTGCTCTGGCGAACGCACTGCTCATTTTCAAAGCTCATGGACTAAACCTCACGAGTATCAACACAAGACCGAGCTTGAAGCGCGCGTGGCAATATATTTTCTTCGTCGAGTGTGGGCGAACACCCTCGGATGAGAATAAGGAGGCTGTCCTGAAAGCTCTGGAGGGTTTGCGTGCAGAGACGGAGTTTGTGAGGGATTGGGGATCTTGGAAGGATCAACTCAGCGCATAGCTGTGAGCATGTCCATAGCATTTCGGTTGTACATTTTCTTGGTATGATGTGATGATAAAATTGGGGATCAAAAGATAAATAGCGTGCTTATACTTGGATCTCTTCTTACATTTCTATAAAACAAATACATTTTTTTTCGGGTCCACTACAGTGGGCGAGGGATCTTGCAAGAGAATTTTGGACTCTCAAAATCAAAAGAAAAATTACTGTCCTCCTTGCCATGCCAAATGTAGAGAAATTGGCAGTTCAACCAATTCCAAGGAACCCAGCAGAGTGAAGGAAATAAGTAGGACGAAAGCCAGACCAGGCTTGGAACAAGCCCAATCCGTGGGGTAAACGTATTTAGAAGCAATTCGGGTGCATTTGATTTACTTTTTTTAATCCAATGAATAACGAGTGCGACAAACAACAAGAACGAGGACCCGGATCAGATTCAAATTCGATCCGGAATCACGGCGACAAATGGACCGAAGCAAGATAACATTTGCTCGCGTAATTGGTCTTCCCCCTCTCAATCCACGCTTACACGCGGTACAGACAGGCGGCAATGGGCGAGTAAATGTTGCAGAGAATCGCATCCAACCTTTCAAATTGCAATTTACACCACATGTTCGTCTCAGACACTGAGGTAACCTCAGTGAGCATGTCACGGAGCTTGGATGACCCTGTAGAGCGAGAGAACGGATTAGAGATTGAATCGTTGAATGATAATAAAGGGATGAATAACACACCTCTGAGCAACTTCACGAAGCCTGGAATAGTGGGGTTGATGGTATCCTTCACGGATGCCTGGGTTCCAGTCTCGGAGTCGCTTGCTTGATCCACGGGGCGAGCCGTCAGAAGACTCGCCTCGGGAGCTTCTGGCCGTTCATCCTCGCTCTCTGCGAGGTGGCCGAACCGTCAATCGTCGTAGAACTCATCGTCATCGCTATAATCGGCGAGCTGCTCAAAGTTGACCTTATAGCGGAGAATAGCTCCGATACCACCAAAGCCCTTCACAAACTGGTTACCCTCACTGGAACGGTCCGACACGAACTCCAGCTCCGCACCAAAGTCCTTGTAGGCCTCCGCCAGCCACTCCAGGAATGAGGACGAGTCGATGACTTCCATCTCTCCGCCGGTCTCCTTGTCCTGGAACAACTCACGGTTGGTCTCCTGCGTCTTGGTAGTGTGCAGGACAACCTCGCCACCAGCGGAATCCTTCAGAACCCAGCGGGTGACGTCCAAGTTCTCGAACACGATGAGAGTCTCGGCAGCACCAAGCTCCAGAGCCTTGAGGGTATCCTCGACACCGTAGCAGATCTTGCCGGTATCCTGGGAAATCTCCTCGAAGTACTTGCCAATCAACTTCTTCTCCTGGATGAACTTGACGCTGCTCAGAGTCTCGGCAGCCAGTTCAATGGCCTGGTTGAAGCCGTTCTCGCCACCGTAGGATACATCGACAACCTTGATGACCTTGGACTGCAGACGCTGGTCGAACATGTCGGACTGGTTCAGGTCGTTCTTGAAATCGGCGGAACCAGCCAGGACCAGACCGGCGACATTCACCTTGTCGTTGGTGATGTAGTTCTGGACAGCCAATTCGGCGATCTTACGGACGTAGTTGTGACGCTTTTCCTCACGCAGACGGGCGAAACGCAGCGCGGATTGACCACCACGACCCTGTATGAAAGGAAAGCAGGTGTCAGCGATTTTGAAGAGGAAGGGGCGCTGGAATATTGCATCCCAACGTGCAAACAGGGGAAGATTGGAAATAACTTACGTGCTTCTTGGGGAGATCGACAGACAGACGCTGCAGAATCTCACGGGTGTTACCGCTGAGGGTACCAAAGAGCGCACCGTTACCGTCCATGATGATGAAACCGAACTTCTGGTCCGACTCGAGCAGCTCACTCAGAGCCTCAGTGTGGAACTTGTTGTCACACAGGTAGAGCGAGGTGTTGATGGGCTTGAAGGGCTCGAAATCGATGTTAATCTTGCGCTCCTTTCCTTCCGCAGTGATAATTTCACCACAGTAGACGACCAGGCCATTGGGAGGGACCTTGTTGTACAACTTGAGACGCTGCTGGGTGGAGGTAATAGCGGAAAGGACGGAAAGACGGTTCACACGAGACTTGATGTTGGAGGCAGTACCCTATACCAAATGTTAAATTCCGAAATTTTCGGGGAAGTGGCGGGGGGACCGGGGAACTGGACGAGAGAGAGGAAAGGCATACGTATTCTTCAGCCAACATCTTCGCAGCGCGAGAGATCTGATCCTTGGGGGCTGTATATGATAGTTAGCGGGGATTTGATCTCATCATACCCCGAAAAGGGCCCCGAATGTAGGCATTGACTGGGAGAAACATACGAATAATGAGCGAGATCATGGAGGTACCATTTCCGCGGGCGGATTCAAGACGCTTGATGAGCTTCTTGACCTTCCAGATCTCAATGTTCTTCTCGGCTTCACCGCCCTGTCCCTGCTGTTGGGAACTCATGGTGGGCGCGGCGAAGAGGATCGCGGGCGAGGAGAGAGTATCCGAGGCCTTGCCTGTCGACGCCTAACCGGGGTCAAAATGAAGAGACCCGAGGTAACAAAGGCAAGAGTCCTAATACCTGGTCGATGAAAAAGAGAGAACTGTTAGCAGGAATTCAGGACCAGCCTGAGTAATAAGATCCAAAGAAAAGACTCACAAATATAGGTGGAGGAGGACTTCGACACCTTTGACGTCGTTGCTAAAATTCCTTTCGTGGCGGGCGTGGGGTTTCAACTTTCGAGGGGCTCCTCTGGGTGGGCTGAGGTAAGCCGTCCACGTTTTTAGTTGGGGTTAGTCACTGTGAACTGGTCAGTTTGACTGGATTTACTTGAATAGGTTTATTTAGTCTTGGGATCGTCCCTAGACACTGCCCTGACAAGGTACAGGACTTACATAGGTAAAGTAAAAGTACTAAGTGCATTCGTTATTCTATAGATTGCAAGTAGCCTACATGACATCCATTATATTCTTTTCTTCTTACTTCTGTATATTCTTCTTCCACCATCTATTAACTACAGTATAGTACTGTACTGTATCCGCCACTCCGCCCCATCTGTTTCCGTCTGTGACTGTATTTCTTCCAAAGTTACCGAGGATATTATTGTAAAGCGACCGCGGTCAACCGAATATGTACTAGGAAAGATACGATATGCAGAGTACTCCGCCTAGACGTGCATATCTCCATATGTACGTCTATATGAATTAATTTAGAATTCATCTCCCTTCTCCTCACTCCATTACATACTCAAAACTGTGGCGCGAAGTAAAAGAGCGCTTATCAGCGCTGGGACGCTATCACCCCACACTACCAGACACTACCAGGCACTAACCGGAGCTTGGAGCTTCCTTCTCTAATCTCCTCCTCTACGGTCCTCTCCCTCTTATCTTTGACCTTTTCCTGTTTTCGCCCGCCCTCCTTGACCGAAAAGTCAGCAGGGTGCCTGTGCAGACCATACTCATTCTTGGTCCTTTTGCCTTACAACCATAACACGACCAGTCGGGCCAGATCCATTCGGCTACGATTTCCGTCCCTGACCCAAGCAAACGTCGTTAAATCTTCGCTTCGGAGTCCACTCGCTGCGATTGACTGCAATCTCACCTTGCAATCACTGGGATTTCCTTGAAGAACAATCCAGGGGCCTGCCAGAAAATGGCGCCTGGAAATTCAGACGATCCTCGTGCAGAGCCGTCGAGCTATGGCTCAGTGAGAATGCCCACGCCCGCAGCGTCAAATTCAAATTCGTACGACCCTGGACACCTCGGTCTGGGCAATGCGATCGTTGATCCAGAGCATCTGGGCAGAGAAAGGTATGCTTGGTGGCCGCGAAAACCCTCCTTAAGGTGGGATTGACCCGACTGTGGATCTTTTCTAAACGTCCGTGCTAGATCCTCCTCATTCTCGCGTATCCGCCAAGTGGGCGGGCCCAACAGTATCGACAACTTTGCCCGCTCGTGGCAAAGAGCTGCCGGTTTCCCCGAGGTTATCCCTCGACGCTTGTCCTTTGTGTCTGCAGACTTGGACGACGAGCTTGCCATTTCGGCGGGCCTGGATTATGGCTCTCGGAGCTCGCAGTCGTGGGGCCGGCAATCCGACATTGAGCGGCCGCTGCTGTCCGACTCGGAAGGTGAAGATTCGGAGCAGGAGGATCTGGGTGCGCCGGGGCGACAAAGGAGGACCGGCCCGAACGCGGCTCTACTGGCATCGTCGTTTGAGAGAAGCTTTGCCGCTTCGTACGGGACGATCTCCTCGCGGGTCAGCGAGTCAACTCGCCGTAATGCGATCCAGTTCCACCGCGAACAGCACCAGGCACTTGCGGATGGCACCGAGGATTCTGATCGGGCGCCGTTGATCCTCAAGCATGTGGAGCATGAGGATGGGACACACGAGGATATCATCATCGGGCAGTCTACCGTGCCTCAAACGGTTTTCAACTCGGTAAACGTGTTGATCGGTATTGGCTTGTTGAGTCTGCCATTGGCGATGAAGCAGGCTGGCTGGTTGCTGGGACTGTCGTTTCTGACCTATTCGGCTGTGACTACTTCATATACGGCCAAGGTTCTGGCCAAATGCTTGGACGTGGATAAGACGCTGGTCACCTATGCTGATCTGGCCTATATCAGCTTTGGGCAACAGGCTCGTCTTGTGACGAGTATTCTCTTTTGTTTGGAACTACTTGGTGCATGTGTCGCTCTCGTGGTGCTGTTTGCAGACAGCTTATACGCACTGGTACCTGGCCTGAGCATTCTAGAGTGGAAGATTGTCTGTGGCCTGGTACTGGTCCCGTTGAACTTTTTGCCGCTGCGGTTCCTCAGCGTGACCAGCATCTTGGGCATTGTGTCCTGCACATCCAGTGAGTGCCAGAATGTCTTTTGTACAGCGCGAGTGACAAACCAGCTTATGCTAACTACGTACAGTCGTGATTCTTATCTGCGTCGATGGCCTGATTAAACCAGATAGCCCGGGCTCGCTGCGACAGCCAGCGAACACCTACCTCTTTCCGGAAAAGTGGTCCACAGTTCCTTTGAGTTTTGGTCTCATCATGTGTAAGAAAATGACATTTCAGGGTGTCTCAGTGATTCCAGTGAGCTAACATGGTAGAATAGCCCCCTGGGGTGGACACGGTGTCTTTCCTAATATTTACCGCGACATGAGACACCCAAAGAAGTATGGGAAGAGTCTCTGGACAACATACATTTTCACTGTAAGGGAGAATCTATCTACCGAGGAATACGACACTAATTCGATTGTGAACAGTTCTCTCTTGATTGCTCTATGGCTATTATCGGCTGGCTCATGTTTGGAGATATCGTCCGTGATGAAATCACAGCTAATATCCTCACGGTGGATCAGTATCCACAGGCCTTGTCCGTTTGTATCATCATCTTCATCGCAATTATCCCCTTGACCAAAGTGCCTTTAAAGTGAGTTTGATAAACCCTTGCACGTTCTCAAATCTCAATGGCTAACCGAAAATCCAGCGCCCGTCCTTTGGTGGCCACCTTTGAAGTCCTCTGTGGCGTAGGCCTCGCACCCGTGAATGGTGATCGCCAGCGCTCAGAGGCAGTCCAGAAGCTGATCCAAGTCGCTGTGCGCATCTTCACTGTGGCTTTGATCGTCGTGTTGGCCGTGGTCTTCCCCTCGTTCGACCGCATTATGGCCTTCCTCGGTTCATTTCTGTGTTTCACCATTTGCATCATCTTCCCACTCGCCTTCTACCTGAAGATCTTCGGGAATGCAATCCCTCGACGTGAGCGCATCCTGGATTGGTTCCTGCTCATCACGTCTACCATCCTGGCGGCGATCGGAACTGTCTGGGCATTCCTGCCTCGCGAAATGATTTCCGAAGATTGACCGTTGTAACTCGGTTCATGACATGAATTTCCACGGCATTGATTATGTCCTTTTGTATATGCATGGCGTGATGCGGTGTGTTTATGACAGTATTGGCGAGTGAGATCATCCCTCACGCAGGATGATGGCGAAATTATTCCGTTTCGCACCCGGATTGAGCATCTCCTTCTTGAAACTTTGAAGGGAAGACTGCCCTGTATAATTCCATAGTTGATAAATCAACTTGTTGCTCCGCTTGCTTTGCACCAGTTGGAATCCCAGACTGGATAGAATGTCGAGTAGTCTCTCCTCTGTCACGTAGCGCGAGTTATCAACGCACGCCACCGGTAACACGAAGAACAGCGTCGGGACAAATGAGATGGAACATTGAGATGTCAAAAACTTGACACAGTGCTTGAGCATATCGCCCCGACCCGTTGCATCGGGCACATAATTCAAAACCAGCGATAAACTGATAATATTAAAACGCTCCTCATCCGAAGCAGGTAAAGGCCTCTCCATAAAATCCTGCTTCAAAATCCCCGGTTCCTGAGAATTCAAATCGATCCTCGTCACATCCAAACACGGAGTCCTCGAACAAGCATTCTTCGTACTCAAAGCTCCAACCTCCAAAACGCGCAATTTCGGCATCTCAGGCTTCCATTGATCCAGCTGGGGCTTGATCCAGTCAATCAGTAATTTGCTGGAATCACCACCCCGGTCCATGGATTGACCCAGCTTGCTGGCGATTTGATAGCTGTCGAGTCCGCCATTGGCTTGGATTTGAGCATCGATGCTGCTCACTTTGGCTGCGTCGCCGGCCTTTTCGGCTTGGGCGCGGGCTTTGAGGAGTTGATGGTGGGATCTGATGAGATTGCGGGTGGCTTTCGAGGATAGTGCTGCCTGTTTGGGTTTGACGGTTGGTGGTCGGCCTTTGGAGAGGAGGCTTGGCCGTTTAGATCGACTCTTGGGAGCCATTTTGATAGAGTAGTGTGTCGGGATGTGTATCAAGGATGAAGTTCAACGGGCATTATAGAGAGGAATCGTCAATTTTTACAATGGTCACTTGAGAATGATAATCCCCAGACCAATGACAGTCGCGGGTTCAAGGTTTCTTCATATTCTCCATAGTGAAAAACAACCGTCAAGTAAAAAAAAGCGGCCGATCGGCGGTGGAGACCCGCTGACTCAGCCTATCCCATGACTAATCCAGATGGCCACCGCCCGAGATCACCTGACCCACACAGTGGTAGGGTTTTCGCTTAGCGAAGCCACTCCAAATTGTTCGAACTTCGACACTGCGACGACAATCACCACGACAGCGGACGACAGCCATGGCCCCTACCACCAAGCAAGGTACGTTCGAATGACCTCGCCTACATGCATTCGACCATCCCTGTGAATTTTGTGCGATCGAGAAACTGTGTTCCGGAGAAGAGGTGGATGGACAAATCTTGTGCTTCAAAAACCCACATCGTGGATGATGCTGCGCAATAGAGGAAGAGGTGGAATAATCATGGGAATCGCGAAAGACCACAATTATATTCGACAATACTCGACGATTTGGCATTTGTTTCTGAACACTCCGGACCCTTTTCTCGACTGCACCGATTTGCAATTCCACAAAATGTCACTTTTCGATATTTCAAGATAACCCAGAAACTGACCGGGTTTTTTTTCTTTCTACAGGCAATGCCTCCCGGGCTAACGCTGCCGCCAAGGCAGTCGTTAAGGGCTCTTCCGTACGTTATTTACTACCCTGTCTGCGATCTGATTAAACCAGACCATTTCTTCGAATTCTCGATTATGGCCATGATTAATTTTCGCAATATACACCACACCCTCCACGCCACACTGCTAACATATCTTGCCCATATCTAGCTCCACAAGGCCCGCAAGGTCCGCACCTCGACCACCTTCCACCGCCCCAAGACCCTGCAGCTCTCGCGGTCCCCCAAGTACCCCCGTGTCTCGGTCCCCCGTGACCCCCGCATGGATGCCCACAACATCATCCTGTACCCCCTCAACACCGAGAGCGCCATGAAGAAGATCGAGGAGAACAACACCCTCGTCTTCATCGTCGATGTCAAGGCCAACAAGCGCCAGATCAAGCAGGCTCTTAAGAAGCTGTACGACGTTGACACCGTCAAGGTCAACACCCTCGTCCGGTATGTGCCCTACAAAGATTCGAATATGATTTGGATATGCGAAATACGCAGACGTGGTCTACGAGAATAACCTTGCTAATCATGATTGTTATACAGCCCCGACGGCTCCAAGAAGGCTTTCGCCCGTCTCACGGCCGATGTCGATGCTCTGGACATTGCCGCCACCAAGCTGGCCATCGTCTAAAAGTGGAATAGGAAATTGATTTCTTTGGGTTTAGGCGAACTTTGTTTTCCACCGTGGTGATTCTCAATACCAGCCAGTTCCTTGGCTGTTATGTGCAGCAACGAGGGCTGAATGATACAAAAAAGAAACATTTTCTTGACATGATTTAAATATTTTTTTCTCTCTCTTCTTTATGAGTATGAGTGTATGCGTATGAGATAGGGTGGTGACGAAGTAGCAGTGAGCTTTGTCGTAGGAAGTACTTGAAGTATGCATGTGGTTATGATCACTTCGTACTACTACTGTTCGGTCTCGAAGCTTAGTAGATTGTGGAGTACCTCTTCAACTAAGAGTGACCCTACCCAGCTTGAGTCGACACTAAATAGATCACTCATTCCTATTATGCTATGCGTTCACCAGTTGCAATTCCATACCATCTCATTATCTAAACCAGATTCCATCTAATCTCATCCTGATGCCTTGAACAATACTCATAGACACCCTACAAAGAACAAAAGATATGCACAAAGGGATCCATTCACTTTGATTCTAGTATACAAGCGACTCAAACATTCCCACCCCAATCACACCAGGAAGGAAAAGAGCAGAGATTCCACGTCTATAAACCCTCCATCCCATCTATCCGCAGCCAGTAACGAGCAGCAGTGCTATGCTACATCCGAGGTATCTTCCGAAATGCGAGTCGTATTATTTTAACATAGTCCAGGCTGAACCGCCAACCCAGACTCGGCCAGACCAGACACGGTATTCATAACCATGCCCATGATATCAAGACACCAAAAAAGACATGCCGTGACATGACACATTTACTGCCCACGCATACTCCCCAACTTCTGCAGGATCAACATCTGCGAATCCATCCACCGATCAACACAGTTCGAAGCACAGGACTCCTCACTTCGGTCCAGGGTTCCAGAGGTAAAGCTCTTGCCGGCCATGCACTTCTTGAAGCAGGTCTCGTTGAGGGAGTGGACGGCTGTAACACAGTAGTGTAGTTAGCATTGTCTTCTTTTTTTCTCCAATTCAAATAGCTCAGAATTGAGCGAGGAGATGTTTGTGTGTGTCCAAGCTCGCCGGACTAGTACTTACTCTGCTGGATGGTCGCCTTTTGCTGCTCGTTGGCCAGTTGCTGCTGCAGATCGGCCTTGTCGGCGTCGGTGAGCTTGGAGAGATCGAGGGAGGGGTCCATTGTGACGGGTGTAAAGGGGTATGTGATATTGGTATGAGGGGTGTGATGTAGTGTAGCGATTGAAGTTGGGAGTGTGTCAAGATAATTCAAACTAGTCGTGATATGAAGCTCGGAAGTGCACCCTACGCATCCGCACCGCAAAATCGAAGGCGGTCAATCCCGGCACAAAAATGACGCGGGAATCGAGTTGCGCCTCAAAAGTTCAGCGCGGCTTTCTGGTTCTCTCTTTCAATATCCACTGTTTACAGCTTGAGCACTTCGCTTTTATTCTTCTTCTTTCGTTTTGATCTACTTCTTTTCTTCTTCTCTCCTGCTCTTCTCTCTGTTTCAACCACCAACTACATTCGCCACCATGCCTCCCGTCCGAACAGCTGCCCGCAATCGCAAACCCCCACCAGCAGGCTTCGACGACATAGAAGATACCCTGCTGGAGTTCAGCAATAAGATGAAAGATGCTGAGAATGAGTCTCACGAGGGAAAGAAGAAACATGAGGTTCTTTGGCCGATCTTTCAGATTAGTCACCAGCGTACGTTACCGATCTCTTTGCTGTTGCTGTTGCTGGTTCTTGCGCCTTGCTCGGGCTTTGCGTGGATGGACCGTCTATGAGACAGTTTCTGTCCTTAGCTGGAGCTCGAGCTGGAGCAGAGCTTGATATTGATATTGATATTGATATTGATATTGATACTCATGTTGATGTTGATGCTGACCGGTTGTCCTTCCAGGCTCACGATACATTTACGACCTCTACTACGAAAAAGAAGCCATCTCAAAGCAGCTCTACGACTGGCTACTCAAGAACAACTACGCCGACGCAAACCTGATCGCCAAGTGGAAGAAACAGGGTTATGAGAAGGTGAGCAAACACCTCCCACTCCCAATACCCACTGAAGACACTGCCTATTACTACAACTACCTTACACTATCTTCCCATCCTCGCGACCTACTCTTGATCCTTGCTAACTCCTTTTCTTTTACTACAGCTCTGCTGTCTCCGCTGCGTCCAAACCAAAGAAACAAATTTCAATTCTACCTGTATCTGCCGCGTACCAAAGGCCCAGTTGAAAGAAGAGCAGACGATTCAGTGCGTTAGTTGTGGGTGTCGGGGTTGTGCGAGCAGCGACTAGACACCTCAAACTTACGCAACACAAAACTTTCTCTCGGATCGACTCGATTTGACTCGAGTCGAGAGTAATCATTCTCCGAACTGCATGGAATGGAATGGACTTGGTATGGTTGGTGACTTGAGGGCACTACATTCATTATTGATTGGTTGAAAAATTGGTTTGGGCTTGGGGCGTTTATGGTCTTTTTTCCCATTTTGGTTGCTTCTGTTCTGTTAGTACTCATTTGCACTGTACTTGTCATGGATGACATTTTCTCTGTCCATTATGCGTTTCGGTTTAGTTGGATCGACTCGGTTAATCAGATACCCTTTGACATCAGAAACAAACACCAACAAAGTAAATACAAAAAGCCAATCTGCGATGGTGAAATGGAATCTACTCCCTCGACGAGTGTCGCAGACAGGTAATAAGGTTCAAATTGCTAAACTAATCAATAGCGCCTCCAATGTATCCAGCCCAGCCCTAGTAGCTCCTGAATAGCTTGTAACGAATAACAACCAATGAAAAACAAACAAAGAATAAATCCCAACCCCAATATCCCGAATCCGAATCATGAAACATCGCTTGCTCATGTACATCTTGGCGTCGTCATTAAGGTCGTAGTCAGGCCCGATCCCGAGGGCACAGTGGAAAAAACAAACAAGTCAGAACTGGCGCGTCTCGGCGCTGCCTCAAGATCAAAAAACTCCCAGAAAAGGAACCCAGAAAAGGAAAACATCGCCTGCTATCGAAGCTTGGTGATGTCCCAATGTCCATCTCAAAACTCCTTCAAACCCAGAACGCATGCATAAACAGGGGGTGGATGGAGAAACAAGAAACCCGACAAAGTATAACAGGACAATATAGGCTCATCAAAAGCGCAGTGCAATGAACACAAGGCCAGCCAGGACAGGGGAAACTTGAATAAACACGATAAACAGCTCAACACCAATTTTTGTCAAAATCAAAGACACAGACGACATGAGGGGAATCCAACCGGGGCTTCAGTTCCTGCCCGATAGCGAAACAGTGAGAAAACCAGACAAGGCGAGAAAGCACAATATTAAGAAGTTCTCAGAACATGGTAGAGTTGCTGCGGTTACTCAAATGAGGCCGCGGATGAAGCGTCTTGTGCTTCAGCATGTCGTCTTTGCTGGAGCCGCCAATCTTCTGGAATCCTTGCAGTAGATCAACCCCATCCACTTCGGTGGGGCTGTCATTGCTTTCATCGAAGAGGTGGAAAGAGAAAAAGTCGTCCTGGCTGGCATCGCCAAGACGGACTCCATCCGACACCTTAGACGGGGACTCCGGGAAGATGGATGACTTGGACCGGGTAAGAGACGGCATATGCACTCGACTGTTGGCAGTCGAGTTGCTAATGTCATGAAGTGCGTGGCTTCCCGAATCCATACGTGCACGCTTCACTGAGCGCTTCTCGGGAGATCCAAATGCAGCAGATGAGATGCACGCATCGGCGCTAGCATCAGCAAAGACATCGAAAGTGCTATGGAAGTGATCCGCCGGAGTCATGAAAGACTCCTCATGAAGGGTGAAAGCAGGGCTCCATGGCAATTCATCATCAGCAATACCCAAGTGCTTAATAGGCGAGTTGACCATTTGTTGGATCTTGCGACGGTGGTTGCGGAGGTTTGTATTAGGCGACACCGATGGAGGAGGCTTGGCTGGCTTCTTGAACTTGATAATGGGTGTCAAAGGTGGCGGAAGCATGCTCACATACTCGCCACGGAGGGGAGAAGAGCCAACCATAGTCCGACCATCTTTGCGAACAGGAGGTTGACCAGGGCTGATATCGTGAGAGGAGCTACGAATGCGCGCAATCTCTTCCTCGGCACGGCCGCGCTTGATGCGTGGCGGTTCGATGTCCAGATCAGAGGTCAGAATATGACCTGCCTTGTTAGGCCGCAAGGCGGAAGACTCCAATGACGAGAAATAACCACTATCATTCATCGAAATTGATTTGCGCTTCCGCGGGCGCTGAGCTGGTGTAGGGCCGACCTGGTGAGTAGGTGTGGGAGGAGTGCCTGGACGAGAGAACCGAGGAGGAGCAATAGGTGGGGAGGATCGAATGGCCTGCAGCGGCGAAGACCGAACAGGCGCGGCGCGCTTCACTGGAGGGTGAGGAGCTTCATCTCCCGTATCCTCTTGCAATGCCGGATCAGATGCCGGCAGAGTCGCGTCGGAGGACAAATCCTCATTTCGAGCCGAGACCTTGGGTGGGGGAGGCTGTCGCGCAGGCGGAGGTGGCACCATCCACGTCGTGGTGGTCGCACTTTGCGGTTGAGGAACAATTTCTCTTTGAGGAACGGCGGGGAGAGGAAGACTGGACATGGTGGCGCGTCGCACTTGCTTGTCCTTGAGGAATTGCGCCTCCATACCAGGCTCAATGGCCCAGTAGTTACCCTTGCCAGGATCATCCTTGGGCCGCTCTTGCTTGATGAAGGCTTTGTTGAGACTGAGGTTGTGTCGAATGCTGTTCTGCCAGCCCGCATCGCTGTTCTTGTAGTAGGAGAAGGTGTCGGAAATCCACTTGTAGATCTGAGCCAGGGTCAATCGTCGGTTGGGCGCGCGCAAGATGGACATGCCGATCAGAGTCGCGTAGCTGTATGGCGGCTTGGTGCCGTCATCCTCGATCGTCGGCATCTGGTGTGGCTCGGGTAGTTGGTGGACCGGCGCGTCTTCGCACTTTTGCTTCTTGACAGGGCGCTCCTTGAGGGGAGCAGCTTCCATGAGTGTGCGCTTCATGGGGACCTTGGATTCATAGGAGGGTTCAGGGAAGTCGGCAAAGCTGCCATTAGACGGGTCCTCGGCGTGGTGGTTCTCCTTGGAGGAATCGGGGTTGACGCTGGAAAAGGTGGTGAAGAGAGCGGACTGTGGTGGCATGGAGGACTGGGTGTAGATAGGAAAGGGCGGCTTCTTGGTAGGGGAGTCGGTGGTAAACATGGGAGGGTTCGGAGCGGTGATAGGGACAAAACCGAGTTTTCTCCCGGGATGTGAGCCCTGGGTAAGCCGTCCTTTGGTTGGTGATGGCCTGTGCGTGCCGGCGAGTGGAAGCAATGGGTTCTCAGTAATGGGCTGGAGTGGTAGCGGTGAGGGGTGAAGATGGGGCTGTGACTTGATGGAGGCTTGGGCAGATAAAGCCAATGCCGGGGAGTAATTGTGCGCGCCGAGCGCAGGACGCGTCGATCCCATAGTCTGGAGAGTCGGGAACGAGGCTAGAACGTCACCAGTCACCAGTAGGGACCATATGACGCGTCGGTAAACAGTGTGGAGGGCGCGATTTGAAGCGACAGTCGCAACAACAGCGGGGGACAACACAGCCGACGGCAGTGTCGCCCAGCGGAAGATGAGACGGGGGTGTGTGAAGAGAATTCACGTTGAACCAATGGTAGACCAAGAAGAGCAGGCCAAGTCAGTCGCCTCAGGCTGTCATGCAGTGAGACTAGTTGTGATTGCAAGCGTTGGGCCACCAGGCGCTAAGAATCGACACGTCCAATCTTGGAAGGCGAATCAGCGGGTGATGGAGTCGAGAGAAGTGGGAATTCACCACGAGATAAATTGCTGTGAAGAAGGTGAAATCTTCCGATGATCTGTTAACTGGGAAGTCGAATGATATGAGATGTTGAATGATCAGGGAAGAGTTGAAGTTCCCCACAAGCAAGTTAGATCTGGGTGAAAGAGGTCGCGATGAGGGAGTTGAAGATGTGATGGAGAGTTGGTCGGAAGGCAAGCAGCGGAAAAGAGGGGGTTTGGAAGAAGGAGTCCTGGAAGTCGCGTCCTTTTGTCTCCCTTCTTGATCAATCTGACTGTCCCTTTTGGATATCAAGTAGCAGGCGCAGTGAAGTAGTAAGGGAAGACGATGCAAGAGGTTCGGGCCCTTTCTTTCGAGGTGGGGGGTGGGTGGAGGAGTGAGAGATGGTGGAAGGTGAGGGTGTCGAGATACCTGTACTGTCCAGTTGAGGGTGGTGTCAGGTATGGTACCGACGCGGACGCGTCACGCGTCTTAATATGGGATGTGAGATCTGCGGTATGGTCACATGTTACAATACAGCTGTATTGAGCATGTACGAAGGGATTGGGGCTCCTTGCTCGCCGACATTCGCAAGGCGCCGATCGTCCCAAGCTAAACCGGCTTGCAGAGGAAACTAGTGATGGCCATTGGCCTGGCTGGAGATATGTGGGCTCCCCTTGTCGTGCTGGCCCTGCAGAGACTCCACTGGGATCGGAGTTGACTGTACACCAGAGATCCTATCATCCTATGGTACAGACATGGAAGGTGTATATACAACTAGCCTCTTAATAGTACTATACTTTATCGTATATCATCAACCCTTTATGAGCTCCAATACTAAGCATCTATGCACTATACGTAACTATTCATTAGTCCGTACTTTATATCGACCTTACATTATTATATACTCTCTCTATAATTTACATACTATTATTGTACCTCCAAGGTCTAGACTCACCCTCCAACCCTCGGCTATCCACAATCATCCCACATAATCCAGCCTGTGGCCTACCATCCCACCCAGTCTACAATCTACAGTCTACACTCTCCTTTACTCTACACCCGTCATATTCCGGCTTTTATTCTTAACGGCCCATCATCCCGGCCACTCCATTGGCCCCTCCACTGGAATGCGCATGTAACTCTGAGACAGCGGTTGCGTCGGATCATCCCTTGCTCTCTCCAGCCTATGGGCTCACTGCGCCCTTTAACGCCCTGGCTGGCTTGGCTGTGAGTCTATCGGTCTGCGAGGAACAAGTCAATACTGGTCAATAATGACTACAGTATTGGATGGGCACTGGTGCAGGCCTTCCTCCGTACCTGCGGAGATCGCTCGAGGGGTACAGTAATTCGATGATCCGCATCGATGAAACGAGGCCCTGCAGCAACGATGGGATCTTAATGTCATCGTGCATCGAGTTAAGTTATAGTTACTATACAAATACTCAAACTCATAGTAGTAAATATATTCCAATGGCAAAGATATTGCCCTTGCTTCTTTTGGGGATCATGTAAATTCATGTACAATGTACGGTGCAAAAATGCCCATGGCATTCACCGACAAGGAAAACCCACCCTCAACTCATCTCGACATCTATACTCTAATTAAAACAACTCTGAAAAGATGGACATGGCACATAGGAACGAGAAACGCCAAGCCCATGCAGGAAAATCACGACAAGAATAATGCTTAAGCGCCCCCAAGTCTCCCTGAGAAAAGAGAGCACTCGAGATAAATGCACACCAACTTTTCCCTATCATGAAAGCATTTTGTCAAAGAAAGCGAAAGTGAAAGAGGAAATAGAAAAGAAAAAGAAAAACCGGCCCAAGGGATATCTCAAACGACAATGCGGTTGCTCAACGTCTCCTGGGACCTCTAATCCAAGAAGGTGAACATGCTGGTGTGGATGATGTTGAGAGCGCGGTCGGCATCACGCTCTTCAATGACGCAGGAGATGTTGATTTCACTTGCACCTGTAGGGGAGGGGTGTCAGTCAGCGTTCTCTTTCTTTCGAGAGTTTGTACTCGTATGTACGTTCGAAGCGGGAAGGAGAGGGAGGGGTTGGGAAGTTGGGATCGGCAACGAATGTCTTACCTTGTGAAATCATCTCAATGTTCACATTGTTCTCCCCCAGGGTAGTGAACATGCGCCCCGCAACACCGATCATATTCTTCATCTGCTTGCCGACCAAGCTGAGAATGGCCATTTCAGGAATGATGTCTACCGTTCCGTACTTGGCCAAGTCATTCAGCGCGCCCTTCAGATCATCATCGATCACCTGATAATCATCCCGCCCGTTGCCATTCAACAAAGGCATCTCCGAGTGAAGAGCCATCGACACATGAACCTCACTGGTCGAGATCAGGTCAATGGACAGACGCCACTTATCCAGCACCGAGAAAATGCCGGCAAAGAAGCCGTGGGACAATGACCGCTTGTTCGAGTGTACGTTGATCACCAGGATCTTGTGCTTGATGGTCACGGCAGTCGGCCGCTTCGGCTTTTGCATGAAGCTCGGGCTCCGAGTGCGGAAGAGGCGAGGGTCGTGGCCGGGTGTGGTGCGCTCCAGCTCGGCCGTGGAATCGGGGAAGATGATGGTGCCGCGGTTCTTGGGGTTCATCACGTTCTTGATGCGGATGGGGATCTTGGCACGGATCACCTGCTCCATGGTGAAGGGGTGAATCACTTCTGATCCATAAAAGGTCAATTCAGCAGCTTCGGCGGGGGTGATGGCAGGAAGAAGTCGGGCCGTAGGGACCTTGCGTGGATCAGCAGTAAAGATACCGTCCACTTCCTTCCAGACCTGAAGCTCCTTGGCATGGGTTCCGACGGCAACGAGCGCAGCACAGAGATCAGTATAACCACGGCCGACCTGATCCAGCAGACCACCGGGGATGGTACCAAAGTAACCTGTGATCACAGGCACTCGGCGCCCGCAACCCGCGACCAGCTTGCCCAAAGCCGCCGCCAGAGAGTTATAAAAGTCCTGATCGAGGCCGTGGGCGCCAATGGGGAAATCGATCACATCGGCGAGGTCAACATACTGCGAGTCGACTCCACGATCTTGCAGGAACGCGGCCATGAGTCGACAGCTGAGCTTCTCACCAGCGCTCATGACCTTGTCCACGCAGCGAGCACTGATCTCCCCCAGCGTCTGGGCGGCCTCAACAACCTTCAGAACTTTTTCGCATTCGGCATTGATATCGGCGACCACTTGATCCCTTAGGTCCACCGATTGAATCTGTTCTTGGGCCACTTGAACATGCTCAAGCCGTACAGCCTCGACCAATGTGTAGTATTGTCGGGAGTGAGGGTTCTCTGCATCCCGGGCTGCCCGCAGTAACCTATAATCATAGGTGTTAGGACATGATCTATGGTTTCCTTCGTCTTTTGCACAATGTGCGGTATCGAGAGCATGTGCTTGTCGAATGTTGTCGAGTATCCAGATGACTCACCGGTTAGTAGTGCCCTCTGCCTTTGTCGAACTACTTCTTGCGGAGCATACAACAGCAACTCTGTTGTCAACGAGGCTAGGTCTGTAGATTATTGTAGTCAATGGTCAGCAAATTGCTACTTCTAATCAAATGGATGGATCAATGAACCCCAGAAGGGGAGCATGGAGGACGGGTGGAGGGGTAACATACTGGACCACCTGCTCGATAATGTTTAAAGCAAACTTGCCTACACTAGTGCCGCCAAACTTTTGTACGACCCATTTGCTTTGCACAGCATTGACAGCCGGACAGTCTGCTTCGAAGGAAGACATGGCCAAATATTCCAGGGACCAAGGACCAGGGACGAGATGATGGAAATTCACAACATGTAAAGAGAGAGATCGTGGAGGGGAAAGCGAAAGCGGAGGAGTGGGCCGGCTGCGGCGTTTTTCTTTTTTCTTTTTCACATTTGCGGTGACTCAACCTCCATTGACTTTTTTTTCTCTCTTTTCTCTGTTCCGCTCAGTTCTGCCGGCGAGTCCAGGCACGCACACGCGATGTCGGAGGAACAGAGAAACCCCGCCCAATCATCACCGCCCGATGGTCATAACCAATGATCATCACCATTAACAATCACGCCATCGCCGAGCCCCGCGATAAGCAAGTCCGATAAAAATGACGCACTTGGGTATAACTGGGCAGCTATTTGCAAGGCTGTAAATTTACGTAGCGTAACTAGCTACTCTGCAGGTGATTTATGTATCTGTTATTTATATAGATTCAAATCAGATATAGATCTCTTTCGAAACGATTCGTTGTTCAAGGTCAATATACCTCCATACCAAATTTTCTTGTTGATCGCCACCCGAAAATGTTAATTGTTGTACAGTACTCCGTACAAAGTACAAACTGTTGGAATTTAGGTTTGCTTGGCATGTGCCTTTGCTGCAAACAACCTTATCTTCACGTGAGAACCACCTCAAGGATTGTTGATAGTAATGATGGATATTTTCTCGTTATTGGCAAAATCTAAACATATATCTACCAATCATCCAAATAAGACACATATTCATCCAGATACGTAATATACCGTTTGTCTATACGTATTGTGCGACCGTGACGGTGAGCGAATAAACACCGCTACCGACACAATAGAGAAGCTTCCTGCAATTGTTTATATAAATGATACAGAGACGACCGGTATTGCCTTGGGATGCTCTTTCGACCTATAATCACATAGTACGTTAAACTAGATAAGAACGCCGCCTAAATTACATATTTGATGTACATACGAAATTGACACCGAACCTATAATAATACGAGTATGAAAGATACAAGACGTTGAAGTTTAGTTGATGGCAGCTTGGCAGCACAGGCAGGTCTGCGCGAATCTCGCACCATGGCGGCGGCGGTTATTTACGAGCTTCTTCGAAAAAAGCACTGCTTAGCTTCCCCGCGATCATGGTCCAGCATTTTCAGGGTCACGAGGGGGAAGATGGGTCTGTCTCTTCATTTACCTACCGAATTGTTACTCCTCGTTGCAAATTTCCTAGAGGCAGAAAGAGACATTAACTCATTGGCTCAAACCAACAAGCGGATCTACTTCCTCGTCAATCCATACCTTTATCAACACAATTCGCTGAGGTCGGCAAGTTCGGCGCTATTATGAGCTGCCCAACGATGGAATGAGGCGACGACTCAAATCTGCCTTTCAGAAGGAGCTAATGTTGACGTGGTCGATAGCAACGGCAAAACGCCTCTATTCTGGGCTGCGAGCCATGCTTACGAGGCAGTGGTTAAGCTGTTACTCGGGACTGGGGCGGATGTAGATTCTCAGGAGTTCTACAGTCCGTACACCATTATATGTGGCTGCGGCGAATGGCCACCAGGAGATAGTGAGACTGTTATTAGGGACAGTGAGGGTTGATGTCAATTCAAGAAACTATCACGGTCAGACGCCGTTCAATGAGGCTGCGCGGAATGGCCATGAGGGAGTGGTGAAGCTGTTATTAGCCACTTGCGTGGATGTCGACTCAAGGAACAACTTCGGTAACACGCCTTTGTCTGGAGGCACATCGGAGAATCATGAGGTGGTGGTGAAGTTGTTACTTGCAACTGGGCAAGTGGATATAAACTCGAAGGACGCTTACGGTTGTACGCCATTGTTGTGTGCTGCGTCGAATGGCAATGAGGAGATAGGGAGGTTGTTACTTGAGACTGGGCATCTGGATGTTGACTCGAAGGACTCCGGTGGCTGGACGGCCTTGTCGTGGGCTGCGTCGGAGGGGCACGAAGCGGTGGTGAAGCAGTTACGTGCGACCGGGCGGGTGGATATAAACTCGAAAGACTCTAGGGGACGCACTCCATTGTCTAAGGCTGCGTCGGTAGGCCACGAGGGGGTGGTGAAGCTATTACTGGAGACTGGGCAGGTCGATGTCTGACTTCCTGGGTCTCACACTATTGTCAAAAGCTACTAACGGAGTCCACTTCTAGTTCAGCTGGAGCTGATCAAAACATCATAAGCACTTCCCAAGGGCTGAACATGCATATGCCTTTCTAGAGAATCCTGTATGACATCGTCAAAGGTCGCTGAGAATGAGTCACCACTATACCAAGCGGGAGTCATGGCAGTACTAAGTGCTTACACTCTGGATTCGCAGCCAGGGGCACCGAGTGACTTAGCGGCGAAGGTGGGTCTGATCCCACGTTCCAGGCACCGCCCATCAAAAATCTGGAGATTTAAAGGTAGCCAGTAGCCAGTTCTTCTAAACATACAACTCAAGAGTCCTTTAGGCTGCTGGTCAACATATTCAGCTGCGATTGCTTGGCACATCTATCGCCCTGCAGGTTCCCGACGTGATTCTAGTGCCCCAGTCCACAGCTGATCCCACGCCGCCTAACAACCTTTCCGCCAATCTACAAAAATAGCAGCGCAACACCGCAAACATGGAAAGCTCCGGTCTCCTAATATGTCCATTCTGTCCCTTCTCCGATGCGGATTCCAGTTTTTTGGAGATGCATATCGATCACTGCCATCCAGAAAACGGCGTCCCGGAGACGCTGATGCCCGATCTGAATGGGCTGGAGGACACGCGATCTCCGTCCCTGTTGCCGACAGACGACGAGTCAACTGAGAAATATGTTGATTGTCCACACGGGTGTGGTGAGACTGTGACTGCAGCTGAGCTGTCGACGCATCTGGATCTTCATCTCGCGGAGGGCATTGCGTTCGAAGAGAATGGGGGAGATACGCCCCATCTCAACGCTGACTCTATGAGCGCCAATGATGATTATGACTTGCCACTTGATCAAGAAGACAATATTTATTTACAGGGTGCTCTTTCAGGTGGCAAGCGAGGGTCAGATCGGGACGTGGCTCGCAGGAATAATACCGCCAAACTAGTTCGACCAAAGAGTCCACCTCGGACTCGTGGAGAGGATGGAGTAATGCGGCTTGGGGTATGCTGCTACCTTCTATCAAACTCAAGAGAGTATACTAACTCCATGACCAGCGTTCGGAACTGGGCCCCCACGCCCACGAGAAAAAGATGCCTTCATGGCTAAAGAACATGCTAGAGAAGGGCGGTCGAACATCAAAGCAGACTCACGTCACCACGGACGGGAGACTAGCGAGGCAGACCACAGTAGAAAATGAGACAGACCACCTCATCCCGGTTGTCGCAAAGCTATGCGAGCAAGATAAGACAGTTCAACGGGCCTTTCTTTGCAACCCCAAGGTTCGCCACATTTGCAAACTTTCACGTGAAGGGGGTTTCTGTGGGTATCGAAATATTCAGATGCTTGTGTCTTATATCACGAAGACAGAAAGCCTGGGCCATATACACTTTCCCCATGGTGTGCCGTCGATTCTGGATTTGCAGGATTTGATCGAACAAGCGTGGGATATGGGGTTTAATAGCACGGGGAGAGCTGAGACTGGAGGTATCAAGGGGACGCGGAAGTTTATTGGAACACCTGAAGTCAGTTATGATCAACCCGTGATTGATTCTTATCTGCTAATACTATTGTATGACAGGCACAAGCTCTGTTCCAGAGCCTTGGGATTCCGTAAGTGTTTATATGCAATCCTGGCATCAGGCATACGATGCTAATACGGCACAGCTGCGATGCAAGTAGCTTGGCTGCTAGCGAAGGAATATCAGCACAAGATAAACTCTACATGGAGGTGGCGAGCTATTTCCGATCAGCATGCTCGCTAGACGACGAGAAGACCAAGGTCTTCAAGACCGACCTTCCGCCGATCTATTTCCAACATCACGGTGACATCCCATCCCCATTGAAGCGTTTTCTAGATACAATTTCTGATAATTTACTAGGCCACTCAATGACCATTGTGGGATTCGAGATCCGCGACGACGGCAGTGCGAATCTACTTGTTTTCGATCCTATGTTCAAGACATCACCAGCGATGCAGCGCCTGATTGGGGCGTCCGCGAAGTGTGATAATCCTGTTCGTCTACTCAAGGCGTATCGAAGGGGCAACAAGTACTTGCAGAAGTACAAGCTTTTTGAGCTTCTCAAGTGAGTAGATTAATCTTGGATTTCTGAACGATTCACTGACCTGGCGCAGATTAATCCCAGTGCCGGAAACTGCCTCACCTGGTAAAATTTCGACATGATAGTATGATGAATTACTGTGGATATTTTATGAGGTTAGTTCTTCCAAGTATGAAATACTTATACCCACAATTATTCCTAAAAATATTTCTACCTTTCCTACATGAATATACACGCCCATCTATATCTCTTCTACGGAGTACTGTATAAGACTATCCGATAAGAGATAAGCGGAACCAACATTAATCCGAGATAATTTCCATCCGGGGAAGAAGTACTCTTCTTTCTCAACAGCTACCCCCCCGCCAACAGCTCTCCATTTTCCTCAATTCACACCTTCTGCACGGTTCCAAATACATCGCAAAGAATGCGCTCCTCTCCTAATGTGATCATCACCGGCACCCCCGGCGTCGGTAAGACCGTACACTGCGAACAACTCGCCCAAGACACCGGACTCAAGCACTTGTCCGTCAATCAGATCGCCAAGGAACGCGATTGCTTTGAGGAGTTTGACGAGGAGCGGAAGAGTTGGGTTGTTGATGAGGATAAGGTATGTCGGCGATTTGGATTCTTTGGAGATTGTGCGATGAGTTCGCGCTGCGCTCGTCGTATCCCGACGTTTTTTTTTCCTTGGTGGGGTTGCGCGGGGTGGTACTTGTCGCTGTCGCATTGTCGCATCATATACTAATGAACTATTTCCGGTCTAGTTGCTCGATGCTATTGAAGATGAAGTGCTTCAGGGTGGATACTTGATTGATTGGCACGCTTGCGACCTCTTCCCCAAGTCATGGATCGATCTTGTCGTTGTTATTCGATGCCCAGAGACTTCTATTCTGTATGACCGGTTAAGCTCAAGGTCAGTCGTGTCATCTCATTCTCCGCTCAAGCAAACGCTTCGCATGAATTTTATTCTAACACCTAACGCGTGCTGTTACAGAGGATACCACGAAGAAAAGCTACAAGAGAACCTCGACGCCGAGATCTTCGGCGTCTTGTCGGAAGAAGCCCGTGAAGCCTTCGACGAGGAGATCGTCGTGGAACTCAATAGCGAGAAGGACGGTGACGTCGATAGTAACTGCGCCCGAATCTCGGAGTGGGTTGAGAACTGGAAGAAGCAACATGCTGAGGATGCGGAGTGAATGTGTTGGGACATATGATTTGGAAGATCTTCTATTTCCTTCTCTCGTTGTCTTTGAAGGAGCTCTCGTCTAAATATCCGTGTTGGATGAGAGGCTCGCTCTATATATATACCCATACCCAGCGTCCCTTTACTGCTGGCCTTCTGCTAACCACTGCTGGAACTTGACCAGCGCCTTGTACCGGTGAGAAATCCGGTTCTGGAAGGAAACAGGGCCAAGGGGCGTTAGTAACTTGATTTCGTGGATATCTCTGCACGCCCATACCAGTGCCGGTACTGGCAGTGGTACAGAATAGAGGGCTAAAAAAGCGCTTACCTTTGCCTCCTTCTCCATCTCCGCGTATGTCTGACCTTCGTACTCGAAGATTGGGTCCCAGCCTGGAACATTGCATTAGTATAAGATCTCAGTCTGAAAGCTCTGGAATTGACAAATACTCACCGAATTTCGTCGGGCCCCTTGGCCGCACAATAGTGCCCTATATAGTATAACATCCCATTAGACCCAATCCTCTCCATCAACCTTCAAACATACAACCACAAAAAGGCAGAAACATACCGCAGTCCGACCCTGGAAAATAAGAGGCTCCTCGCCAGGTCCCCGACAAAAAGCAAAAGTACACACTGCCTCTGCGCTGCGGTCCTCAAAACCATCAAGCATCTTGTTCAAACCCTCAAGGCCTAGAGACTCCATGAAAGATTTGCTAGATCATTATCAATTAGCTGATATTCAAACATCGCAGGGAAGTTCAGATCCCGACTAGACATGGTTTCTCACATGTATGGACCCGGTAGACCCTTAAGAGCGTTGAACTCAAGCGCAGTATCCTCCGTCAGCGCGGGGCCGTTGATCTAGAGGATGGATATTAGTTAGGATGTTTTCCTTTTCGTCATATACCATCACCTCTCGAAGGATTTTTCTCGTGTAATTAGGTAGTTGACTTACCGCTTCAGCAGCACGACGCGCCTTCTCCTTAGCGATCTCTTCAATAGTGCCTTGGATTTCCGGGACGTCCACGGCCTGATTGTCGACCTCGATGACGCTGCCGAGAATGGCGCGCACCTCGGTGAGCTTGTTCTTGTTACCGGTGATGAAGTTGATCTTGGTTAGAGTCATGATGGCGGGTTGTGTGCACTGCACGGGTTGGTTGAACTTGGAGGGGTGAAGTGAAGACTTTCGGTGGTGGTGGTGCTCCACCAATAACTAACGCCGAATGAAACTCGAACTCCCCGCGGCCAGGGACACCGCTTAACCTGCGGAGTTGAAGTGGTCAACATAAATAGAGATATACAATATGAACAAGATATCCTTAGGTATACTACAGCACCAAATACATAGACAGAAAAAAAACTCTTCTCTTCTTCGGCCTGAATCGTTAAATAAGAAATCATTGCATCACTGTATTTCAAATCCCGGTCTCTACCCGGGCATCAAATCAAAGTCGTGGGTGAAACGATGTCACACTGATCGTAATCCGTAGCTCACAGAAACATTTCACAAGGAGAAACATGTCTAATATACACACACAAACTACTCCTCCAACACCCCGTTCTCTATCCCAAGCTTATCCTGCTGCGCAATCGCTTGCGCAGATACAATTTCAGCCAACCGTTTCAGTCGTGGTGTTTGGAGCCCTGTTCAGGATTGTAATTAGCATGTGCCAAGGCAAAAAGGGAAAGGGAAAGGGAGCGCAGTATTCTGCGAATATCATCTCATCACTTACAAGATGGGGTATAGGTCTCCAAAGCGGTGATGACGCGGGGCTCGGCGATCTCGTAGGGGCCGCTGTCTTCCATGTCCACGGGAGTCAGGAGGAGAACGTCGCTCTTCTCAGTGACACGGGAAGCAACGGCCTTCATGATCTCGCCGTTGATCGGCTGCTCGTAGTCGGCCACCAGGTATTGGTTCAAGAGCTTCTGGATTTGGTTGGGTGAGAGCCTAGGAAGAAAGAGAGGTCAGCATACTAGCGGTGAAAAAATGAGTGATTGGAAGATCACTTACATCCAGCAGATATCTTGAATGATCTCGATATCATTCAAGGTGGCCTTCTTCAGTTGAAGGAGCTTGGTCGCTTGCTATTGGCGAGTTAGTCTATTACCCCACGATCGAGATGGAAATCAATGGTACTTGCCATCAAGTGCTCCAACTGCAACGTTCCCTCGGGCATATCATGGCTTTTGCACCATTCCTCGATCCGGGTGATGTTGTAGTTGATCTGGAGACCACGCTTCCACGACAGGAAGTTTCGCCGCATGAGGAGATCGTTGAACGCAGTAACACCAACCAGCTTCAGAAGCTCGGTGACAGTCTGGGTAATGATGGTGTCCTCAATGTAGAACGCCTTCATGGCGCGGTAGACTCCATTCAGAAGGCTCAGTAGGTTGTCCATGCTATAAGCCGGGTTGTTATTCGAGGGCAACAGCTTTCCGAGGAAGCGGTTCGTTTCGCTAGTAACAAAACCAGGAAGCGATTGGGACTCGATGATCGCAGGGACAATCATCTTGTACAGCTTCTTCTTCAACACCTTCATCCAGGTGTGGTAGATGTTGAACTCCAAGCTCTCCAGGTCATGCTTCACAATCTCCAGCAGACGGTCATACTCGTAGTTGTCCGTCTTTTGCGCCTCGTACCAATCTTCAGCCAGGAAGACGAACGACAACATCTCGTGAACGTTGGAAAGCCAGAAAGCACCGGGGTTGACCGCATCCTCGCCATCGTGCTGCATCACCTCCTGCTGGATGGATTGCATCACATTAGCCAAGAAACGCTCCGACTCCTTGACGAATCCATTGTTCCACATCTCCGAAGTAACCAGGTTGATCAAGTACGCGGGGAAGAGAACCTCCTTCTCGGTTGGGGGTGGCGTCGAGCTTGGCAAGGGGATCTTCAGGTTGCGGATCAGACCCATGGCAACCTCGTCGTTCAAATCATCCTCTTCAGAAAGTAATTGCTCCAGTTCCGCCTCGACAGAATCCAGACCCGGGGATATGGCAGCGACAGCCCGAGCAGCGCCAGGCCCAGTAATGGCCATAGAGACAGGACGGGGATTGAACGCGCCACTAAAGCGATCCATCCCGACCTTCTCTGCACCTGCACTGCGCCGTTGAGGCTTGGGCTTCTTAGTCGACACGAGATTGATCAAACCGTTCGCAGGAGCAGGTGCGGCAGCGCCGTTCTGCACGTCGCCGTTAACGCCGTTGACAGGCACTGATCGCTTCGCGATTTCCAGCTCCTCCTCAATCTCTGCAACCTTTTGCCGGAGAGCAGCTTTCTCGGCCTCGGCTTCAGCATTGAGAACCTTGAGACGCTCCAATTCCTCCATCGTGGCACGGATTGTCTCGCGGGTGACCCGCTCCTCTTCCTGCATGCGCTTGATAGTAGCTTGGTTGTCGGCCTGGCTTTGGTGCGTCTTGCTCAACTCTTCCTCAACAACTTCCAATCGAGCGGCAGTAATACCGGCCTGGTTGGCCTCTGCCTGGAGCTCCTTTGCTCGTGCCTCAAGCGCGTTATGCCGGGCACGCCATGACTTCAGTTGGGTTTCGTAGTTGTCCAGTTGCGAGGCCAAGGACTTGTTCTCAAGCTTCATTGTCTGCAAGATCTGGGTAAGTTCCACGACCTTGTTTTCCAGCTTGTAAGAAATTTGCTTGAGATCGCGAGCCTCTTCACGCAGTGTCTTGTAAGCCTTGCGAGCTTGCTTTCCTCTCCACAAGTTCTGAACAGTGATAACCTTCTGGCGGTATTGACGCCAGGCCCGAAGTTGACGCCACGTACGAAATGCACGCTGGATGGCCTTGGCTGCGTTGCCATTGATCGAGTCCATGATGTTGCGACGGCAGAGGAAACCCTTCATAACAGACTGGAACAGGATGACATTGTTCCGAATCTCAGTGTAGCGTTTCCTCTCCTTGGAACCACGCCAGACCCTCTGGATCGTGGTGGCAGCCTTGTTCCGGCGGATCTCCTGGGCGCGCTGGCGAGCCAGGAATCCTCGGATGAAGGCCTGGGTGGTGAGAATGGACTCGCGAGCCTCCAGATAGCGGCGACGGTAGTACTTGCACCGCAGATTTTTCTGGATCATAATCGCACACTCATTCAGGCGCGATGTTCGCAGGTTCTCCAAGAAGGCAAGCATACCGGCCCGGAAGAATATCTTGGTCAGACCAAGCTGGTACTTGTCCTGTTTCTGGTGGTTCGCATCACCAAGAGCCTTGCGCAAGATGGCATGACACATGTCTCGGATCTCAGACGTCCACTGCGAGGAATGGCAAAGCATGTAGTAGCGAATGGCAAACTCCTCATATGTCCAACGGGTAGGGTAACCAGCTGTACTGATTCGAACAGTCTCCAAAACACCGCAAGCTCGCAACTGGCTCAGAACCATGGGACCCTCGAACTTCCAAGCCTCCTTGGCTTCGTTGGGCTTAATACAACGAATGTAGTGTACATCGGTAGAGTTGATGGTGTTCATCAGCTCAATCAAAGAGGACTTGAAGATTCCACCCAGCGTGGGTTTACGGTTGACTGCAACACCAATACGACGCCCGGGCGCCGCGGCCACAGCCTTGGACGAAACTGCAGCGGAATCCTTCTCGCGGACAGCGGCAGCAGTGTCCAGAATCTCCTTGATGAAGCTGTTGGATGAGTTGCGCAGCACTTCCAGGTGTTCGTCAGGAACGGTGTCTCGGTTCTTCTCGATAAAGCCATCCGACTCGTACGTGACATCAACAGCATAATGGCAAACAGTGAAAGCGGATTTGCCGAAGCGAGGCTTCTTGTAGAACTTCTGCTTATCGGCAGCGAAATGGTGATGCAGCTTGGTGACGAACTGCTCGTCGGATCCCATAGGCAGCCTGGATTCTTCATCCAGAAGGGCCAGAACTCCAAGCTTTGCCTCAATCAGATCAATACAGGGCTGGTTGTCAGAGAAATCAATGAATGTCCAGTCAATCTCTTCCCGCACATATTCCTCTTGCTCGAGCTTGAACACGTGCTGGTTGAACTCCTGCTGCAACTTCTCGTTGGCGTAGTTGATACAGAATTGTTCGAAGGAGTTCTTGGCAAAGTGCTCGAAACCGTAGATATCTAGAACACCAATGAAGGTCTTGACCCGCTCAATAACCTCGTCGGTAGCCAACCCACGGTTGATCGTTTCCACGAGCCAGTCGAAGAGGCTGGAATAAATGAACTTGGCAACCGAATCTCGGACCACGACAGCCTGCTGCTGGGTGAGATTAGAGGTGATCTTCTCACCACGAGTGATCAGCTGCTTCTTAACAATCCACTTCGCAAACTCATTGGCATCAATTCCAAGCATTTCGCAGACGCGAACGACGGATGGCTCCGACGCCGAAAGAGAGGATTCTGTACGAGTGGCCGTGATCTTCACGTTACCCAGATGCAGGAGAGCCGCCAGGATGCGGAAGATCTCAGTCTGATGGCTTGCCGACACACCGATGGTGGCCAAAGACTTCCTTGTCGCATCAAACTCGGCCTTGTCATCCACGCCGTCGATGATTGGTGTACCACCCTGGTTCAGATACTCGAACTCCTCGACCGGCAACAGACCCAGATCTTGCCTCTCCTCGTCAGTGGCACCCGCCACGAGCTGGTAGAAGATGTGATAGTTTCGCTCCTTAAGCGGCTGGAACACGAGCCTGGATCGCTCGAGCAGGTATGTCCGGATCTTGGCACCAATGATGTTCGTTCGCTCGTCAAACATGATCTCAATGTACTTTCCGAAACGGGAGGAGTTGTCGTTTCGGGTCGTTTTGGCGTTACCGAATGCTTCCATAACCGGGTTGGTTGCCAGAATCTGTTCCTCGGTCTCGGTGGTGGCATCGGCGCGACCCGTGCTGTATTTCCCAGGCTGATCGGAGGACTCCCGGGTCGCAAAGTAGCGCATGATGTACTTAGCACTCACGGTCTTTCCGGCACCGGATTCACCAGAGACCACGATCGTTTGGTTCTTGCCATCGCGCAGCATGTCACTATATCCGGGAAAAATATCGTATCAGCAAGCAAACTCGGGTATACAGACTGATCAGCAGAACAATTGACTCTTACGCGAAAGCCTCCTCAGCGATGGCGAACAAGTGAGGTGCCTGGGAAGCGCGCTGCTTCCCGGCATAGACCTGGACCATCTGCGGGACATAGAGGGAGTCCACTCGAGCGAAGGGATTGGTCGCAATCAACACGATACCACTGTAGGTATAGATCTCCTTCTGGGCATAGCGGAGCTTGATGGCCTGCAGAACTGCACACAGCTGTCAGTTGAAGCCACGGGAGCACACATGTTTTCTTCGGTGAGACCAACCAGCAGGCTCATTCAGGTGAGACAGATTTGTCAAGTCCTCACTCGCTTCCAGCATCGCGGGGTTCATCAGGGGTGGGAGATTGGGGTTGTTGTCGACCTGCAGCTCGGCCTGGGTAGTCGCGACAGTTTTGGTCTGTTTTCCCCCCATCTGGTCAGCGTTTCCCCATTACTCCGGACTCATCGAGAGAAGTCCGTTTGATTCTCACTGCTACGGGGACAGCAAACACACCTCGCCATTGTCCAGCTCAAACACCAACTGAACCTTGTCTCCATCCACCAGTTTCTCCTTCACCTCGGATGCGACCCATCCCTCCGTCGGGTCGGGCTGCCAGGCCCGTGTCCCGACCTCGTAGATGTGCGCCATGACGAGATCTGGTCAAGCAAGTGGGCTTGAATCGATCGCACAGGGGAGGTCGATGTGGCGTAGGGATATTCCGGAAGAATGTCGGTGTTGGAGGCACGGGTATCCAAATGGGGATGGGGAAATAAAAGGGCAAATCAATCACGAATGAGCGGTCGAAAGACAGGAAGTCTCACGGCAACCCCTCATCCACTCATGATCCGAAAGAAAGGAAACAGAAAGAAAAGAGAGGCCTCTAAAAGCGCGGGATGTTCAGAGTTTGGGGAGGGGGGGAAAAGAAAGGCGCGTGTAAAGTAACTAACAGCTGGCTCATTTAGCGAGAGACAGCCAAAGCCCCTGAAGGGAGCTTTCGGGACTAACTTGGGGGTACCGCGCCACACCCCCACAATTATCTGTCACCGCCATCCGTTCTGTGCTTGTTGAGGCCCTGCACGGTAAATTGTATGCTGATTGATGAGAGTATTGTGCAGAGAGACGCTCTTACTATTGGGACAAGAAATATTGCATAATATGATACAGTATCCCAGTTGATTTCCCTAATATATGGCTATATCTGAATTGGTTCTCTCTATATTGTTCTCATGTCTATCTACCCTGAGCATGAACAGGATAGAGTAACACGAGAGATATGGCCAAATGAATCCATAGAATATTTCAAGATCTCAAATCAAAAAGAGTATCCGATAATCAATTATACCCCGTATATAGAACAGTCCGGAATTTTACCCCGGATTTGAATCTGTAAATCTATAGGATCCGGACCCACGCACGACATCATACGACGACATCATCTTCAAGATAGTACTACTAGGTACTAAGAATACGAAGATCGGACTCGAGATCGCAGTTTGAATCAGCTATCAGTGTCATGTCTATTACCTGCGCCCAAGAAATGCTCATCACAGCTATGCTAGTCTCTTGGCCAAAAGGCGAGTTATTACACACTGATTATGTCAATTGATTGGAGAAATATTAGGTAGACAGGTCAACTTTACGCAGTGCAAGAGGGGGGACAAGAGCATCAGTGGGGAGAGAGACAGAGAAAAAGGAAACATAGCAATAACGTCAATCACAAGGAATTCCATGAAGCATGTCAGTGAGCTGCTCCGCTCGATGGCGAGCCACTTTTTTTCTGGGGAAGTTCTAGTTTTGCTTGCACTCGGCGGCCTCCTTCTTGGGCTTGGAGGTACCATCCTGGAATAAACAAGTCAGTAATTGGAAAGAATTTACAAATTCAAAGTCTTTAATCTTACCTCTTCATCCGAGTCATCGTCAACGTCCCGGTCCGAACCCCGCTCATCCTCATCATCGTCCTCATCCTCATCCGAGTCGTCCTCATCCTCAAACTCATCGGGGTCAATGTCCTCACCCAGCTCCTCGAACTGCAGAGCCTCGCCGGTGAACCAGTCGATGGCACGGGGAATCAGCTTCTCCTTGATATCCTCACCCAGCTGGTAGTCCAGCTCCAGGCGCTCCTCGATGTCGCTAGCAACAGACTCGTCATCATCGACAGGTGGTTGAGGGGGGGAGAAGAAGTTGAAGAAGGACTCGGTGGGCACGCTGATCTTGACAACGCGGGTTTGCTTGGTGTCTGTGGAAATAGCGGAGGAACCAGAATTAGTCTCTTGATTTTTTGAAACCATGTGGGGGGCGGCAAACAATGCGGGGCAAGGGGTTTGCCTGTAACAATCTCAAAACTTACTCTTGTTGCGCTGCTTCTTGCTCTCCAGGCGGAGAGTCAGGTCCTTCTCGTCCTTCCAGTCGATCTTGGAGCCTTCGGCGTGGTCGTAGATGAAATCGCCACCGTAGCCGTTCTCATCCTTGTAGTAGTAGGACTTGGTGATGGTCTTGTTGGTGAAGAACTCGTTCTCGGCGAACTCGAAGATGAGGCGGAATCCAGGTCGGTCGAGGTACTCCATGCGAATGTCGGTGAGCTGCTTGAGGGCCTCCTCGTCGCGTTCGGTGATCATCTCGGCGAGCGAGATCTGGTTCTTCATGGCAGAGAGCCAGAACTCGGGGATACCGTTTGTGGGCTCACCCTCCTCCTCCTTGGTCTCCTCAGCCTCCTTGGTCTCCTCCTCCTCGTCCTCCTCTTCATCCTCCTTTCCGGCCTCAACCTCCTCCTCGGTAGGCTCGACACCACCGTTCACGATAGTGGCACGGCGCTCGTACAGGGGGGTGAATTTGCCAAAGTACTTCTTCTCGAGCTCGAGGACCTCCTCCTGGAACTGAGCCTCCAGCTTGGCGTGCTCCTTCTGGATACCCTTCAGACCGGCCACACGGCGGCGGACGACCGGAGGAAGAGACTCGATGTAGCCGGATGAGCGGCCGACGAGCTGGCCAAGCTTGCCCTGGATCATGTTGATCAAAGCCGGGTTCCGGGCGAAGAGGGAGGCGGCAGTCGCGCTATCCAAGGGTTCTGTTGAAACAGCGGTCAGTAACGCGACCGTATATGAGGGGGTACAAGGGTATTCAACAAAAGAACAATCACTGCTACCTACCTTCCTTGATGCTGGAGACACCAGGCTGCTGAGCGTGGGATGAGATGGGGGCATTGTTGGCCGGTGTGTTTTGCGGGGTCCTGAAATTTTCGGGAGCTGGGTCAGTTGTTTTTTTCTTTCCCTTTGCCGATAAGCAGGCACGAGAAACAGATAAAATACTTACGGAGCGACCGGGAATTCGGGCTTCTTATTCCTGATGGGCTCAGACATGATGACTGGGGGGTGCGTATGTTTGAGGGAAGGGGGGAGGTGGAAGAGGAGAGGTTGGAGAAGGAAGGGAGGGGAAGAATTTGATACGAGCGTTTTGAGGGAGAGAGGGGGCAACTGAGTCTGGAAGACGGTGGGATTAGGTGGGAATCCTTAGCGCCGGTGGCCGGAGGGGCCTTGGCGGGACGCGCTTCTTGGTTGAGAGGAGAGAGTCTGCGCGACTCCCAACAAAGTTCTGGAACGTCCTTCTTTACGATCACTTTATTGCTTAGCCTGTCATACGGAGCACCCATATAGTATGACCCATGTAATAGGTTGATCCTAGTATCATCCCTGATAATGTTGCATATCTGCTTATTTTGTATTGAAATGCATAGAGTGGACCACTGTATGCTGAGGCCTACTACGTACACAGGCAATTCCCCTCTCGGTGGCGTCTTTGACCAGAGAAAATCACTTGGGCGAAGGGGGGCAAAACAGACATAAAAAAGAACAGAAAAAATACTGTACTACCAACAGTCCTTTTTTTCCCTTCTTTGCTATAGTAATCACGACGTGGAGTGGATACTGGACTACTATGGAATATGGAACAACTCCCTATCCGATGGTCCAGATCGGAGGCTCGGCCATTCCTGCCCTTGAACCATCGCACGCAAGGCCATCGGCCCGTCAATCTTTGATATTTTATAATTAGAAACATGGTTCAGCTTTCATCGATCAAGTTGGTGGAGACAGAAAGGTTATAATTGTCTCTTGATTCATGACTCGAGTCGGATAATATACATTCTAACAGTCTATCAAAGCAAGGGTTGCTGGATAAACAGGATAGCAAGACGGAGTGTAACAAGGTTGCTGGCATGGCGGTGGATGTACTCCGTACAAATATATATTTGGTCTATACACTTCCAAGATAAGGCAAGTTTCCCGAGCTCACTATGTCATGAAGAATACTCGGTGTGAAGAAATATTTTTGAGACCGGCCTATGAACAGATATTTTCTGGTTAGTTTCACCAAATACCAATTCACAAATTCCGACCAAACGATGGAGGACCATCGGTAGTTGTAAAAATGTAAAAATGTGAAATCTCAAAATGTTCAGGACCAAAGGAGTTCCGGGCCTCTGCCGATAGTCGCCTGAGGCCACACACTATCTTATCAGGAGCCGGTCACATGGAGATAAGAATGTGGCACTCTCGGGGAAATCGCCTTCCGTCGTTGATCCCGACGAGCCTCCCCACGGTCTTCGTTTGGGTCGCATGTTTATCTTGAGCTGCTGTACGGTGAGGTCATGTGTATATTGACCATTTACGACTCATAATCACCCGTGGAGCTCAATAGGTGTCCCTTCGCCGGACCTTCAGCTTCGAAACCCTACTTTCCACACGCGATCAACTCCACCCGAAAATCAGGATCCTAGCGACTGAGCGTCCTAACATCATGGGCAGCCGCCCGCAGTCCCCGACGGGGACAGGTCCTCTGGACCTAGCTATGCCTCGGCCTAGTCGCCGGCGGGACTCTTTGCGGAGCAGGTTGTAGACCCTGGTCAATTCCTTGCAGTACACGATTGCTGATCGTTTCTCTAGCGTGAGCGTGGTGTCCGACGTCGAGATGGCCCGTAACGAGGTATGTCACCCGAGAAGACCCAAATGAAGTGATTCCTCAATTGACGACGATTGGAATAGGTTTTCGACGGCCCCATCTCCGAAAGCATCCCATCCAGTGTTGTCTCATTTTTGCATCGCCGTGGCCGAGCTGGATCCACGGTGAGTTTCACATACTTCCAGGATGAGGAGGACTTTGCAGAATGGTCCAATGAAGATGCGGTGGATGTGGACAGCGATATCGAGGCATCATCGCCAGATGGTCTAGATGGAGGAGATCTCGAGTCCCACCGAGGCTCTTTCGTCTCTAAGAGACTCTCTCAAGATTCGGTTGAACATCCTCTGCTCTCGCGATATCTCTCGGCAAGCTCATACGGCCGGGATAGAAGGACGGGCGGTAGGCTCAATCAAAAAGTGTATATTGCCTCGGAGGATCTTACTGCTGTCTTTGCTGGGTTCTCGACGAGCCCGAGTGGATATGCCCTTTACCTAGCCCTGTGCCTTCTTACTGGCGGACTTGCCTATCTGCTATTCCGATGGCTCCCACGTTGGCGAGTCCGGCTGATCGGAAAGGCAACACACCTGGGGAAATGTCAATGGATTGCAATCGAAGTAAGCAACCCTTGACACCCTTCACAAAGACACTGTGTTTGCTAATCGTCAAATAGGACCAATGGAACCAGTTCACAATTCATCAGATTGATAATCAATCTTATGGGCGCCCGTTGTCGACAGTATTCGTAGATCCCCCGGGGCATGTCTACGATGAAGACACCGATCCAACGATGGCACATCTGCGGTTCCTTGACTACAGACATATGCGCTTCTGTTACCACCCAACAGAGGATAAGTTTGCCTTGATCAGCGGCTGGAAGGATCCCTCATGGACCAATGCGAAGGTTATGCGAGCGGGTCTCGATGCCGATGAGCGTGACAGCAGAGAGCAGATCTTTGGCCAGAATGTCATTGATATCCAGCAGAAGACCGTTCCCGAGCTCTTGGTTGACGAGGTATGTAAATTCAACTTGATTTGTAGAACCAGACACCCTTTCTAATCTCACCCTCACCTAGGCTTTTCATCCGTTCTACATGTTCCAAGTAGCCAGCCTGTTGCTTTGGTCCATGGATGAATATTACTACTACGCCGTGTGCATTTTCCTTATCTCTGTTTTCAGCATTGCGACCACCGTTTTGGAGACGAGATCGGTATGTTTCTATGCCTACGCTTGAATTGAGCCTTAGTGACTGACCCAGTATATAGACGATGCGTCGCCTGAGAGAGATTTCCCTCTTCGACTGTGATGTTCGTGTTCTCAGAAATGGATTTTGTAGGCCAACCTTGAAATCCCCTGTGATATGCTACATCCATGCTGATTTTCAATCTCAATCATAGGGAGATCTGTTTCCTCTCAGGACCTGGTGCCTGGAGATGTCTTTGAGTTCTCTGATCCCTCTTTGAACCAAGTCCCGTGTGATTGTATCTTGTTGTCGGGCGACTGTATCGTGAACGAAAGCATGCTTACTGGTGGGCATCCCCTGCCGCGCCTTCTATCCCCACGAGAAGCTAACACACAACTAGGCGAATCCGTTCCTGTGTCTAAGATCCCGCTCACCGACGATGATCTAAAGTATCTCGACCTGAGTGCTCCTTCTATCCATCCCAATGTTGCGAAGCACTTCCTCTTCAGTGGAACCAAGGTTATTCGTGCTCGCCGACCTCAGCACGTGGATGACGATGAGGCTGTTGCGTTGGCAGTCGTCGTTAGAACAGGTTTCTTGACGACCAAGGGTGCACTGGTTCGCTCAATGCTTTTTCCAAAACCCTCGGGCTTCAAGTTTTACCGAGATTCGTTCCGCTATATTGCCGTCATGGGAGTGGTTGCCCTTCTCGGTTTCATTGCGTCCTTTATTAACTTCGTCCGACTTGGTGTAAGTTTACGATCTCAAAGAGGAAGTGCCATTTCCCAGTCACTAATCAACAACAGCTTGCATGGCATCTGATTATCGTCCGAGCACTCGATCTCATTACGATTGTGGTTCCACCCGCTCTCCCTGCGACTCTCACTATTGGCACGAACTTTGCTCTTTCCCGTCTGAAGAAGCAATCGATCTTCTGTATCAGCCCGCAGAAGTTAGTGGCATTCTCAAGAGCTGATATTCCGGATCCTATTTCTAACAAATTTTTCATTTAGGGTCAACGTGGGTGGAAAGCTAGATGTTGTCTGTTTCGATAAGACTGGCACCCTCACAGAGGATGGGCTTGATGTTCTTGGTGCGCGAACGGTTGGAAAAAACCACAGGTTAGTCCTCAATTCAACCAGCGTGCGACCGGTAATGGTTAATTTTGTTTAGGTTCTCTGGACTTTTGTCTGAAACGTCCTCTGGCATTCTACTCCCTCCGCTCGATGGAGATTCTCCTTTTGATATTGAAAAGCAGCGGAAAATTGTCTACACCATGGCGACATGTCACTCTCTTCGTGTTGTGGATGGTGAACTACTTGGCGACCCTCTCGATGTGAAGATGTTCCAATTCACAGGATGGTCATACGAGGAGGGCGGTGGCCATGCCTCCGAGCAGACAAGCCCCAAATTCGACAACATCATTCCATCAGTTGCGAAGCCTCCGGTGACTCACGGTGGTGACAGTCAACCGAATGGGCCGAATGTAAGTCTTGCCAACCAAAGTAGATTTATATGCCGCTAATACTTGATTTTCGTCGTAGATTCCCGTCGAACTTGGAATCCTTCGAAGCTTCGAATTCGTCTCACAGCTTCGCCGTGCTAGTGTGGTTGTTCGACAGTTTGGTGACAATGGTGTAAACTTCTTTGTCAAAGGTGCACCCGAGAGTATCAGGGACATCTGTATTCCCGAGTCCCGTATGTCTCTCCACCTCTCTTTCCACTCCGGATTAATTTCGCTTACCCGCTACTATAGTTCCCTCAGATTATGATGAGCTATTGAACTATTATACGCACAAGGGATACCGCGTGATTGCCTGTGCCACCAGATACGAGCGCAAACTCAGCTGGATGAAAGTACAGAAGTTGACACGCACTGAGGCTGAAAGCAACCTGGAATTTGCAGGCTTTATTATCTTCGAGAACAAGCTGAAGAGCACTACGACCGATGTTATTACTGAGCTCAACCAGGCTGGTATTCGAAATGCCATGTGCACGGGCGACAACATCTTGACTGCGATCAGTGTGGCTCGCGAATGCAAGATGGTTGGCCCTAATGAACAGTGCTTCATCCCACACTTTATTGAAGGTAATTTTAACCATTCACTCATTATAAATCGTTGGTGTGCTAACAATCTATTAAAGAACCCGGTCTTGTTACCAAGACTTCTCTTGTCTGGGAAAGTGTGGATGATCCGGATCTCAGACTGGATCCGAGAACGCTTCTGGTATGGAAATATCTACTCCATCATGATTACTCGCAACTAACCCCTCTCTAGCCTATGGATACCACCGCAGAAGCCGATGTGTCAGTCCCTGGCAATGCCCTGCACCAGCGTAATTACTGCATTGCTGTCACGGGTGATGTGTTCCGGTGGATGATTGACTTTGAAAATGAGGATGTGCTCAACAGGGTAAGTCGGTCCAATATTCTACAGACCATATCAATATTGGCTAACCACCTCCACCCTCTACACTTTAGATGCTTGTGATTGGTAAAGTGTTTGCCCGGATGTCACCAGATGAAAAGCATGAACTCGTCGAAAAGCTCCAATCCATTGATTACTGCTGTGGTTTCTGTGGAGACGGTGCAAATGACTGTGGTGCTCTGAAAGCCGCAGATGTTGGCATCTCTCTATCAGACGCGGAAGCCTCCGTGGCTGCACCTTTCACCAGCCGACAATTTGACATTTCTTGCGTTCCAAAGTTGATCCGGTAAGTTTTGAACATTGATTTCCATGAAGATAAGAAACTGACTATGAGGTAAAGCGAGGGACGAGCCGCCTTGACGACTAGCTTCTGCTGTTTCAAGTTCATGAGTCTGTATTCCGCCATTCAGTTCTCAACTGTCAGCTTCCTCTATACGTCGGGATCCAACCTTGGTGACTTCCAGGTGAGCACATAACCAGTCTCATCATGTAGATGAGGTATAGAAGACTCCTCTAGAATGTTTCTGACTCGTCATATAGTTCCTTTTCATCGATCTGGCTCTCATCATGCCCATTGCCATCTTCAGTGAGTTGCAGACTTATTTCGTTTTTATTTGATCTACAGGCAAGCTGACAGACATGTAGTGGGCTGGACGGGACCATACCCTACCCTTTCTCGCAAGAAGCCGACCGCGGATCTCGTCTCACGGAAGGTCCTAACACCTTTGTTGGGTCAGATTGCCATGGTGGTCTTGGGGCAGCTGGTCATTTTCAAGACTGTCCAATTGCAACCCTGGTAAGTGGATGTTTACACATCACAGGAAGGCGTGGGTACTAACAATCCATGCCATCCAGGTATCTACCTCCCCAACTCGACAAGGACCAGAGCAATATTGTGAATTCGCAGAACACAGCCCTGTTCCTGTTCTCCTGCTTCCAGTACATCCTGACTAGCGTTGTCCTCAGCGTTGGGCCGCCGTTCCGGCAGCCAATGACCCAAAATGGTGAGTAATACCCGCTACTCTATCATTCAAAACATAATGCTAATGGTCATCTCACCGAAAAGCTCCTTACCTGTGTACCATTCTCATTGACCTTGGAATTGCGGGCTACATGCTCTTCCGGCCCTCCGAGTGGGTTGCGAGCGTGATGGAGTTGACCTTCATGTCAGACGGATTCCGCAGCTGGGTTGTGGCATTGGCCCTTGGGGCATTTGCGCTTGCCTGGACGGCTGAGACAATTGTGTTCCCTCGTCTGGCTCGCATCCTTGGTCACATCCGCACTCGCCTGCAGCCTAATTACCGCAAAAAGCGCCGCCAGTACAAGGTTCTACTGGAGCAGATGCGCCAGTGACCCGACCTGCGGCGATCAAATGGAATTGTCACTGTACTTATAGTGGAATTGAAGGAAAAATAGATAGATAGAGCGGTTCTCTTCTTGCACTGTATCGGTGTCGCATTGTCTCTCAACGGAAATGGTATAATACATTTCAACTGACCCCGGTCGAGCCCCACCTAGACCAAGGACTCTGCAGATGAAAATAAAAACATGATAGAGCGCTCTAATGGATCGATTTCGATTTCACCAGAATTGCGCATGGTATGGTAGAAAGACGGATAGGTTTCGAGGGCACACAGACTAGTGGTCCCATGGGTGCTTCCAGCCCAGCAGGGCCGGACCGTCCTTCTTGGCTCGGTACATGAGCTATATGTAAAATTGAAGAGTTAGCGTTTCGAAATCTTTGAGGATCGAGTGGAATTGAGAGTCATACGAAGAACCACATGCTGGCGCCCAGGGCAGTGGCCGTGAAGCGATACAGCGGTCGGACCGGGTGGATGTGGATAGGGTGGTGGGCCTTGCCTGCCATGACTGAATGAATTGGGTCAGTACAATTGGGTCTCTGCAGACAGGATTCGAGGGTCTCTCACTGTGTGTGTCGTGCAAGTTGTTTGCTTCACGAACGGGGGCAGATTGCTGGGGGAGAGACTAGAAGCGGGTTGTCGGCGGAGGTTCAAGTCCTCCAATCACGTGACCAGTGACGGCACGCGGCCGTTTTCCCATTCACTTCGAGTCGCGGACTTTTTGGGAGGTTATTGCCTCTGAGACAACTTCATTCACGACAGTCCGGTGGTGCTTTGGGATAGATGGCGCTTATATTACTGACACTAATCTGAGAGTTCCTAGCCAGCACCTGCTGCCTGCTCTTGCGACAGCCTTATTGACCGAGGCCCTTGAATAGCCAGGTCCTGGACAACGCCGCATCACACTTCCCGCAATGTGAAGACCTGCTGCTTGCCTCTTTCTTTCTCTTCAGAACATCCGTGCCGATTGATACAATTCCGACCTGGTGAATTTCCTATCAGCTCTGTTTCACCGCTTCCCACGAAAGCTTCTACGATACAGCCCAGTGCCATCCACGAACACCTTCCACCTTTCTACGCTTTCGAACAGCTCCCTCGAGGCGATTGGCTGTCTTGAGCCACAGGACATATTTTTCTCCCTTTTTCAACATATTTCACAACTTGCGGTCACTCCTAGTCCGTTCTTGCTGATCGTGCAAGGCCCCTGCGGACGAGATGTCTATTGCTTCACTGGAGAAGGATGGCCGGGGGGACCCTCGGTTTCCTGGCTGTTCAAACATTCGAGACTTTGAATTCATTGGCAAGCTTGGAGAAGGAACTTTCGGGTATGTCTCCAGCGGAATGTCTCTTGAGCAAGACCAAGATGTTGACTGGCGAATAGTGAGGTCTACAAAGCGCGATCAAAGAAGGACAACTCGACTGTGGCCTTGAAGAAAATTCTCATGCATCATGAGAAGGAAGGAGTAAGTGGTCTGCTCTGCTTGCATTATCATCCGGCAGTCATTGATCCTCATCTATCACAGTTCCCAATTACAGCAATCCGTGAGATCAAACTCCTCAAGGCTCTTTCTCATGTCAATATCTTGCAACTGAAGGAGATGGCGGTTGAGCGGAACAAGGGTAAAATCAAGCTCTGTAACTTGTCTGTCAAAGCAGGTTTCTGACGATGTCTCTAGGCGAGGGCCGAAAGAAGCCCAGCATGTACATGGTCACCCCGTACATGGAACATGACCTATCAGGCCTCTTGGAAAACCCTGCCGTCCACTTCACCGAGCCTCAGATCAAGTGTTATCTGTATCAATTGCTAGAAGGTTTGCGATACTTGCACGCGGTACGGTTCCCTCCAAGTATTAAGACAGAAGAAAATTGACCTGGCTGACTTGTATCCCAGAATCAAATTCTACACCGAGATATGAAAGGTGTGTAACAACGGATATAGTCTACTTCGGAACTCAGCTAATACAGCTCTCCGCGCTAGCTGCCAATCTATTGATCAGCAATGGGGGCATCCTCCAGATTGCCGATTTTGGCTTGGCTCGACCCTTCGATGAGCCTCCTCCGCAAGCCGGAAAGGGCGGCGGCGAAGCGAAAAGGGAATACACAGCCCTGGTTGTCACGCGATGGTACCGTCCACCGGAGCTGCTCCTACAACTTCGTCGGTACACATCAGCCATTGACATGTGGGGAGTTGGGTAAGTTTGTCCTACTTTGCTTCTTCGTTTCTTTACTTTGCATCCTGGTATTGTTGCTGATCGTTTCAGGTGTGTATTCGGCGAGATGTTCAAGGGAAAACCGATTCTCTCCGGCAACAGTGATTTGAATCAAACTCAACTCATCTTCTCCTTGGTAGGAACTCCTACCGAGGAGAATATGCCCGGATGGAGCTCGCTTCCAGGATGCGACGGCGTGAAGAGCTTTGGTCATAAACCTGGCAATCTCTCCCAGGTATTTAAAGAGTGAGTAACCTCCAACATGCCCACGTTGTCAAGATATTCTTGCGGGGGGATAGAGACTAAATCTAGAATAGCCAAAGCCCCGTGGCCGTCTCGCTCCTGACGGAGCTTCTCAAGCTGGATTGGCGCAAACGCATCAATGCCATCGACGCCTTGAAACATCCATACTTCACCACACCACCCCTCCCCGCAAAACCCGGCGAGATCCCCCATTACCAAGATTCCCACGAGCTGGACCGAAAGAAATTCCGTGACCAGCGCGCCCCTCAGCCCCCAGCCCCGGCAATGGGATCCACCGATCCCCCATCCAATGGAGGATGGACCGGTCCCGGCTCTCGGCCAGATTCCCGCAACAGCAATAGTCGGATCCCGGGAGCTGCCCGCGGAGGCCGACCCAACGGGCCCCCGGGTGTTCCCCACCGACGCGGGCCCTTCCCGCCTCAACGAGAGAGCGGGCTTCCTCCGCGACCGCCATTGTCTACGGCTCCTCCGCCATGGGAGGGATCACAGAGCGGCAGATCCGATGGGCGAGATGACCAGCGCCGAGATCGGTTCAACCAGGGTCCCCCGGGGGTCGTCCTGGCGGTAGAATCCCGCAGAGTAATCACCATCTCGACTCTTACGTGCCTAGCTACGGGGCGGATCGTGGGCGAGATTCTGGGCGAGATCCTGGGGATTACAATTCTCAGTCTAATCAAGATTGGCGTGGGGGACAGCGACGGGATTACCGCCGTGAACCGCCTCGGAGAAGAAGCCGGAGTCCTGGTTACAGAGACCGAGACCCAGCCCGAGGATGAAGAAGAAGATGTTCACACTGAGTATTTTTTTTTCTTCCGCTACTTCCTCCTTCCACTTCTTTCTTCCTCTTCCTCTCTTCTTCCATACCTCTTTACCCTATCTACCACTCCATCTTTTTTCTACTCCTCCTTTCTGAAGATTCGACCGAGGAGTCGGTCTTCGTGATGATCCATAGGGCCCGCGATGAGACGAGATAGTCATACCCCGAGCTAGCAGAGCCCGATGAGATAAATGTATTTTACAAGTCTGGCCTGCATATTGTCAAGCCTTTGAATCTCTAGATCCTCAATTATTCAAAATCAAATCTGTTAAATGGCATGACTTCTATCTAACCTCAAGTAAATGGAGACTGTTAGTGCAAAACGCCTTTAAAACTACGCCAAAGAAACATTCCGAATAAGAACCAGTAAAGTAAAATAAGAAAAAGTGCTTTCCAAAAGCATGCAAGACTTTTCTATATCTTTCAAACTTTTTTAAGATTGCCACTGTAGATTTTGATCGAACACCGTCGCCGGGAAAAATATAATAAAAAGTAGAGCAAAAAAAGGTATTTGCAAAGAAAACAATCCTTGAGAGACCTCGTTGAAAGGGTCCCTCCCCTAAAATCGTGAGATTTGAATCACCGTGTGGATTCCAAACATGTCAAGTTGATTACAATAGCGCGTTCCATCGTTTTTGGAAGGGGGATGCGCTGTCTAGTACAGGATGCGGGTCATGATTCGAGCTGTGGGGGTTTTGTTAGTATGGTGGTAGTAGTGTGTTCAAGGTTGATGAAGAGCAAAGCTCTGTGGGGAGGATTCTTACAAGAAAGGCTCTCGAGGCTCTGGTACAGCTCCTTGATCTGTGTGGGGTTGACATCGCTGATATCAGCCATCAGGTAGGCGACCTAGTGATATCTGATTAGCGAGTGATTCCTTCTGGTACTTTCGCGTTTCCGCGAGATATAGGTACTTACGTCGCCTCTGCTATCGGTCATCTGCTTGTCGACGTTGTGATCGCCAAGAATTTCGTTGACTATTCAAAATGTCAGTTTCTTGCTTCAAGGGTCTCAAAGAGCGTGGGGATGGATCTTACCCTTGCGCAACACACCGGGAATGTTCTTGTGAATATAGACCACCTGTAAAACGAGTCAGATACCTTTGTTCTATTAAGTTGGGCGGACAACCGAGCGGAGCTTGATGGTTGCAGGAAATCAAAACTTACCCGAGCGTGGTTGGGCTCATCAATGGTCAAAGAACGGAGGGCAACCTCGGGCAAGTTGACGGCACCCAGGGTAGAACCCTCGTTGACATAACGGGTCAGAGCCGTGGCGACCTCGACACCAATAGCACTCTGGGCCTCCTCGGTAGATCCTCCGATGTGAGGGGTCAGGATCAGGTTCTTCAGAGAACGCAGATCGGCACCCCAGGTGTTCAGATCGTTGTTGAAGTAGTCACCATTGCCGGCGGGCTCGTTGGGATACACATCGAGAGCTGCACCGGCAACCTTGCCGCTGCGCATGGCCTCAATGAGGGCGGGAATGTCCACAACAGTACCACGGCTGGCATTGATCAAGTAGCTGCCGGTCTTCATCTGCTCGAACTGCTTCTGACCGATCATGCCCTTGGTCTCGGGAAGCTCGGGCACGTGGCAGGTGATGAAATCGGCCTCGCCGAGAAGAGCCTCCAAAGTGTTGACCTGGCGGGCAGTACCCAGAGCCATGAGGTTGAGAACGTCGTAGAAGATGACGGACATGCCCATAGACTCAGCCAATACTGAAAGCTGAGCACCAATGTGACCATATCCGACAATTCCTATGAAAGGAAACCGTTAGTCTCAAACAGCAAATGATAGCCCCGGTCACAGAATCATGGATCCAGAACCCCGCGAGAAGAATCACATACCTAGCGTCTTTCCACGAATCTCCCAGCACTTGTTGCTGACCTTGTTCCAGGTACCGTTGTGCATTTCGTTGGAGCGGTCACCCAATTGGCGGGCCAGGCAAATGATCTCGCCAATGACCAGCTCGGCGACACTGCGGGAGTTGCTGAAAGGCGAGTTGAAAACGGCAATACCTTGTTCGGCGGCATATTGGAGGTCCACCTGGTTGGTACCAATGCAGAAGCATCCGATCACAATCAAGTTCTTAGCCTCCTTGAGGACCCGCGCGGAGAGCTTGGTCTTGGAGCGGATACCGATCACATGAACGTCACTGCGCAGATGTGAGTGAGAAAGTTCTTTTTCGATATGCTCCTTCACAATCTTGAGTATATGACAACCTACCGAATTTTCTCAATCAACTGGTCCTCTGGGAGAGAAGACTTGAGGAATTCGACTTGGTAGCCCTGCTGCTTCAGGATATCACGGCCAGCCTGGTTCACATTCTCCAAAAGGAGGACCTTGATGTCTTCGGTGGCAAAGGGCTTCAAGTGCTTGGCATTAACCAGAGGGACTGTCCGTGTCAGGGCAGAGCCGTGGCTGGAGGGAGAGTGGAAGGAAGCGGAGGGCGAGGTGGAGAGGTACTGGGCTTGAGCAGCCAGGTCGTCCGCGCGAGGACGAATATCTCTTGCTGATGTCATGGCGTATAGATGTGGAGGATAGGCGAGGAAGGTAGGAATGAAGAGCGTGAGGAATTGGGGGAGGGAGAAAGGAGAGGGTTAAAGAGGAAAGAAAGTCAAGATGACGAGGGTTGGAGGAGAATAATAATTGAAAGAGCTATGAATCACCGGAAGGTGGGATGAGTAACTGGTGGATGAATTGAGTGAATTAGCTAAGCCCTTCTGACTGCAAAGTTTAGGTCGACAGTTCTCCGGAATCGGACCGTCCACAAAAGCAGCAATTCCTCTCGGCCAATGGGCTGATTCCCTTGGAATTCGGCGATTCGGGGTTTGGGGGGTTGTTTATTGGGTTGATCTACTGATGTTATTTTTTTTCTGGTATCCGCCCGTGAGTCACGAATGTCGTGATGTCGTGATTTGAGCTCGGTGATGGAGGGGCAATCGCGGGGCCGAGATTTTTTTTTTTTACTTATTTCTTTTCTTTTTGCCGCCCGCCTAAAAGTACATAATGACAGTAGAACAGACCATATAGAGTAATACTACTATTATATGCTACAGGTGTATCCGATTGGAGTATACTGGCATATAATCATGCACAATCATGCGCTGTAGTCATTCAATTGAGTAAGAAAATAAGCTTAACTATCAAGACTCGGTACAGTAAAATTGATGATTATGTCATCCAATGCCATATCACCGGGCGGCAAGCCGAGTCACGCTACGAAGTACATACTACTGATGATACTACCATGTACATATGTACTAGCGGGGCCCAGTCGCCGATCAACACGTTCGATTCGGACTAACTGCGGAGCGGAGCCACAGAGTGAAGCAATTATGGTGTATGTATACCTTGTACTAAATTATTAAGTACCATCATCAATTACACTAGCACCCCGGATCTACCAATGCGTAATCATGTGTACATGTATACATGAGCTTTTACATGTTCATTTCCATGGTATCATTTGACGCTCGAGCAATGTGAATTTTGGGGCAGGGGAACAGAATTTCTTGCAGTCTATTCCTGCTTCCTTTAGACCTTCAGGCCCTGCATCTTCTTGGCAGCATCCTCCGCGCCAGCCGCAGGCTTGTTTGCCTGTTTCTTGGCCTTTTGCTGAGAAGTGGAGCTCTTGGGAAGCTCCTTGACGTAAGGAAGGAACTCGGGCGCGCCGGGAATGTACTTGCGCAGCACCTCGGGGACCTCAATACCCTATTTTTTGAGAACAGGTTAGCATTCAGGATAAGACAAATAGGCATACCCTGCCGTGGAGAAGGCTGGGTAGTAAGCAATGATTGCAGCAGCCACTTACATCTTCTCTCTGGTAGTTCTCCAGGACACAGCAGAGAGTGCGCTCGGTGGCACACAGGGTCGCGTTCAGAGCGTGCACATAGGTCTTCTTCAGGTCGGTCGCCTTCTTGACACCGTAACGGATCTCCAAGGCACGAGACTGGTAGTCAAGGCAGTTGGAGCAGGACACGAGCTCCTTGTACTCCTGCTGGAATGGGAACCAGGCTTCCAAGTCGTACTTCTTTGACGCAGCATTGTTCAAGGCACCGGAGACGATAGCCACAACGTGGTAAGGGAGCTTCAGGGACTGGTAGAACTCCTCGGAAGTGGCCATCATGTCCTCGAAAGCTTGCCAGGAGTCCTCGGGCTTGGTCAGGACGAACTGCTCAATCTGTACGAGGTGTGAGAAACTTGAGATGGAATTAGTCAGGAGATTATCCAAATCTCACCTTCTCAAATTGGTGGACACGGAAGATACCCCAGGCATCCTTCCCGTGGGCACCGGCTTCCTTTCGGTAACACGTGCTGTATCCAGCATACCTATAGGTGCCCCTTTGTCAGCTCTCGTCTCAAAATGGGGGATGAAGCTCGATATATGTTCTTACTTGATGGGGAGATCCTTCTCCTGCAGCCACTCGCTGTCGTGGAGCGCGGACAAGGGCTGCTCCGAAGTGGCAATGAGGTACTTGTCCGTGGACTTGTCCTCGCTCTCTGTGACCTTGTACAGCTCTTCGTCGAACTGCTCGAGCTGGGCCGTCTTGGCCATGAGGTCCTTGAGCATGAACTGAGGGGGTTGGTTGGGAGTGTATCCCTTGTTGAAGAGGAACTCCAGGCCGTAGTTGACAAGGGCCAGGTTGAGGAACAGGCCGTATCCGGTCAAGCAGTATCCGCGGTGACCAACGATCTTGACACCACGCTCCGGATCATATCCATCCAGACGGGTCAGAACCTCGTGGTGAGAAAGGCAGTTGGGTCGTTCCATAACAGCATCGGTAGGGGTCCAGGTCTTGATAACCTCGTTGTCATCCTATTGGAGTTCCACCAGTCAGCATGGGGGAAAATCTACCTCTCCTTAGACATGCCAATGAGTATTTACCTCGTTGTTGCTCACGGGCACGGACTCGTGGACGTAGTTTCCAATGGTGCGAATCTTGCGGTCCCGTTCCAGTTCCTTCTGAACAGCAGCATCCTCTGCCGCCTTCTTGCGCTTCTCCAGCTCATCCTTCTGTGCCATCAATTCGCTCGCATCCTCTTTGTTCTGTAAAGGCAAATAGTATGAGCACTGGCCCATTGGACCTCCTCTTTTACCTAGAAAGGCAAGGAGATTGTCGACAGAGCAGATGGGAAGACAATACCTTCTTCTTCATGCCAATTTGCTTGAGCAGCGGGTTAAGCTGCGAGCCAAACTGAGTCACCTCATACCGAGCTACCCAGAGAAATGTTAGCGATCTAACGGATTGTTGGACCTATTGGGCATGCGCAAACCTACCTTTCCGAGCCTCCTCGTACAACGCGATCACTTCATCGACAGCTTCCTCGGGAGCGTGGCGTTTGCGTTGGCTCTCCTTGATCTTGTTCGGGTTGCCGCCGCGCTCAGCGATGAAGTCATTGAGGTCGAGCATGGCTGGAGAATAAGGGGAGGGATCGAGGACTGGAGAGAGTGAGTCAAAAGGCCGTTCAGTTGTGGAGGGGTAAAATCTTAGAGTGCGGCGCGCCCGCGGGGCATTACTTAATCCACCGTTTCAGGTCCCCTCAAGAAGCATACAGGAGAACATTAGGCACCGTCTCCTATTTAGCTGGTGCTTGCTCAGTTTATGCCATGAGATCGTGGCCAACATTTGAAACATTAGGTCTATTCCAGCCATACTTGGCATCAAAGAATCGAACATTCCAGGTAAGGCCTGCGTGGCCATTTGATTATTCTATGCTCGCTGAGTACCCAAATCCAGATTCCCTAGCCCGCATAAGTACGTAAAGAAAGACAGTAAAAAACAACCAGAAAGAAGAATAAGAAACCATGATCCATGCAACCAAGCCTGAGCATGCCACAAAATCCAAAAAGACACAGAGAAGCAACCTTGAATAGACCGTCCCGAAAACAAAGCGGCAGTGATTGAGGGTGCGAGGGGTCTGCTAGTAGGTCGATCCCACTTTACAAGGGAAGGGCCCTGAACATGCAGCAGAAGAGAAAAGGACAGCAGGAGAATATTGAGAAGCAGCATGCCAAAGCTCAGACTATACCTCGAGAGATATGTCAGATGGGACTCGTCGTCCTCAAGGGCGAATTGGGTTGGGAGAAGGCAGCATAGTCAGACTCATTTCAATCATTTCGGAACCTGCACGTGTATCAAAGCAATTCCCTCTCATATTTTCCATCATCACGAATGGAAAGATGAGGATCAGTCGTGTAATGGCGGTATTACATCACCGTGCACTTGTTGTTCCCGGCGGGTTGTGATGGGTTTTGAGACTTCTCAATCTCTCCAATAATCAGGTCAAATGCTTTCGCAACATTGAAGTCGAGGAAAGCACTAGCCTCGGTGAAGCCACAGCTGAACTCTTCAGCCAGTTGCCGGCCCTCATCGAGAGTCACCTGTCGTTGGTCGCCCTTCAGATCGCTCTTGTTTCCCACGATGACCAATGGTACCTGGTCGGCGCCCTGGCAGGAAGTAAACGGTTAGAGAAGACCTAGGTTGAGCAAATGGAGGATAGGAACGTAGGGAGTATTACCAGGTGATTCAAGATCTTATCTCGAATGACTCTGACCATCTCAAATGACTGGCGTGACGTGACTGAGTACACAATGATATAGCCATGAATGCCGATGAAGTGCTTTGAATTCAAGATACTGTACTCGTCCTGTCATGGCAGAAGGGAAAGCAGTCAGCAAGTTGCGTGTGCAGGTAGTTTCAGAGAGGTTTCCTACCTGTCCTGCGGTGTCCACGATCTCAGTGGCATAGTCCTGGCCGTTGTGCTTGATAATCCGGCTGAAGGTGTTCTCGATTGTGGGGTAGTAGCTCTCCACGAAATGTTGTTCGACAAAGCGAACCGTGAGAGAAGATTTGCCTGATAGTCAAGAGAGAGACGTTAGACAACCACAATATAAAGGTGATTTACAGAACCCAGGCGATAAAGCGACCACATACCCACAGAGCGACTGCCGACGATCGCGATCTTTCTCTGCTTAGGTGCGGCAGGCATCTTGAGGGAAGGGCAGCGGAGTGTGCTGCACCAAGACGGGTGTGTGGGAGAAAGATTGAGTAGGATGAGAATGCACAATTGGAGATGGCCAGATAAGTAGAATTGGAGATGAAGTGCTTCGTGAGAAAGGAGAAGCGTGGTCACTGCGGTCGCGGGTGGCAAAGTTCCATGAAGCAACATGGAGCTCCAACTGCAAACGCTGCAAACAGATGATTAGATATCTCCCGCCATCTCCGTGTCCCGAGGTACACATGGAGATAGAAAGATATAGAGCATAATATAACCCAGATCAAATGATATAATGAAGGGAATTAATAGGATTTATCTTCAAGGAATAAGATAATTGCTTCTTCTCTCACGGTGGGTATCAATCATCAATGCCTATTATATTCCATGCCGCCCCCGGTTCCAGATAAGCCCGAAAAGCAAACCCAAGACAACGACCAACCATGTATGTACATCAGACCCGGACCGGAAATACTAAATATCGCCGGGTCTCAAATAATCTTCCTTATCATTCGCTATCAATGCGTTGGATTTCATTGACGAGGTCTTGAAGCCGGACCAAAAATCCACTCGCCTCTTTCTTTACGTGAGCAGACTTTAGCTCCTGTTCAATCTTCTGGTGGTGCTGCAAAAATTCATTCACAGTCGACATAATGCTTGCTAGTCCATTGGGTCGAAGAGATTCCTTAATTCGTATGCGGGCGCCTGCGTGTAGACAAAGTGCCAGGAGGAGAACAGCCAAGTACCCCACGGCGACATTGTGATGCACTTCTAAAACCGAATCGGCCTAGGGAAAACTTAGTCAGCTATCTTATAGAGTGGGGAGTATGAGAGTGGGACGAGATCATACCTTGGAAATTGAGTCAACATGGGCTGAGAAGATGCATAGGAGCTGATCGAGAATGGATTCTGGGACACCACCAGATTTGAGGAATATCCTGCGTGATGCCTCACTTTGTTCGACCAGATTGATCAGAGCCCCTAGTGCTAGAATCACAGTGTCGAGAGAATTGTTCTCCTGTGCGAGGGTGTCCTCGGTCAGATTGCCAAACCCGGCCATTGCAATGCTGGCGAGCTCTTCAATCATGGCCGCGGTCGCAAACTTATCACAAAGCGTGGGGTTGCTATTGGTGGTATTCAAGATTACTCGAAGATAAAGCATCTGGACCTGCTGGCGTCCTGCACCCGCCTCATTATCCAGTCGAAGCAAGCCGTGCATTTCAGAGAGAACACCCATGGCATCGCGCTGTTCTTGTTGAGCCGGATCTCCGGAAGTGATGTGAACCTCGAGGATAGATAAGCCCAATATCAGGATATGAAATTTCTCCTCACGGGTGGCCACCTTCCCTTCAAGATGAGAGCTTTCAGACAAGAGAATGTTGACGAGTTGGCTCAGTACTGGCGCAGGCAAGCTATCCGGTATTTCACCCTTGGCCTGAAATGCTGAAATGGTCACCCTCAAACAATGTAGGGCCAGGAGGCACGGAGACAGCTCCGGTATAGATGTATCAGCAAATAAGGCCGTGTGGATTTGGGGTGCGACATTTTGCACCGATCTTTGGGCGGCCTTAGACAAGCTGCTGTTTCGAGCGCGTACTATCACACATAAATCATCCTGGGCGCCAAGAAGGATGGGCGCTATTTCCAGCAATTTTGGCCATGCAGTGGCTGCAAGAACATAGGGCAGAGATCGACCCTGCGCAGCTAATCCAAAGACGCATAAAGCCAGCGCAGCAGACACCATGTCAAGTTTATTAGAGAGGCAATCGACAAGTCTCCTCTCAAAGTTGCACTCAACGAATTGACGTGCTAGTTTCGAGTCGAGCAACTTGTTACAAAGTTGGACGAACGAGTTGCATCGACCCGAGATTGACACGTGGGGATCCTCGATATCTTCAAAGATGGACTCGATTGCACCGCGGTAACGAGCATTCCCTCCAGCCCGGCGGAGCTCGTGGATACTTCGGACAGACCCGTCCTCGTTGTTGACCTCCTCGATTTCAAAAAGGGGGGCACGGGGGAGGTCATCAAATCCCCGGGGCTGCGAAGTTGACAGGCCGTCTTGCTCCAGACCGGCTGTCATATCCTGCCCCGGCAAACCACCTGTCAGGCAAAGATCATCCAGAAACGAACGTTGGCGGGCATATGTGACTCTAGAACCGGCAAGGTGCGGTGAAACTGCGACAGTAGGCTCCTGGCTTGATTCTGTGGCCTGAACATCCGCGCGCGTGTTTAGTGAAGGGATTGCTTTTGGACGACTTGGGCTGCGAGGTGTGAAGGGAGAAGGTGGCTGGCTAACAGCTGTCATATTTGATAACGCATCCGCCGATTGTTCTCGTGTACCCAGTGAGTCGATTAGCCTCTTTCGAGTGGGTGTCGTGGTTCCACCTTGAGCGCTTGCGTGCACTGGCGGGCTCGGGGATCCAGGATCCATTATTGGGCTGGATCGTACGCTTCCAGACGAGGCTTCCGTCACTTTGGACTGGCTCGACTGTCGGCTCGTGTCGAGCGAGACAAGGCGAGTCGGCCCAGTCCTTCGGAATCCAGCCATTGGTGAGTCTTCAACGGGCTTCTGCGGAATTGATTTTGATTTGCTGCTAATTTTTGGTGGTTGGGGGCCTCCACGGCCTACCTGTCTTGTTGCACGAGGTGAATCGATCTTGGTTCGGGAACTTGCCGGGTCTGATTTGATTGGAACATCTTGTGATCCCGCTTTTGCTCCAAGGTCAGGCGGAGATCGCACAGCGAGGGGGTCGTGGGATAATGCAGTATTCCCATCAATATCCGCACCATACCGCCGGCGCTTGCGCCGGACAGTTGGCTCTGGGTCCTCATCATTTGAGGATGGAAGGTCGTAAATGCTATCCTCCTCAGCTTTGCGCGATGCTCCCAAAACCCCTGGCGCTTGCGCTGTTTCCGACGATCTTCCTTGTTTGTTTCGATGCTCATTGCCAGATGTTTCGGTTGTTGAGGGACGCGACGACCGAATCTTACTAGGGTCGGCTAGCGATCCTTTGGCTGCCGAGGCGTGTACAGTAGCGATTTTGGAACGGGGATTGTTTCTCATGGACGAGCCGTAAGTCACAAGACGTCGACTTCGCGAGTGCGACTGCTCCATTTTTGCGGTCTAGAGGCGGTTGCGGATGTTTCGCACTGCATTCGCGGAAGGAGGGGGAGGTGCGACGGCAAGCACAGCGTGCGCAGCAATAGGTGGTCAAAGTCGAAATCCTTGATGAGATCCCTAAGAATTGATTTGCGCCGACGACGAAGACATTCTGAGAGAATTGAGTGTGTAGTGTCCAGAGAGGGTTGGCAGGTGCCGGCAGGTCAGCGTATGCGGAAGCCAAGTAAGTCGCTGCGAACGGCCTGGACCAATCAGGAATACCAGCGCAGTCAAATAGCAGCTCGAGAATGGCCTGTAGATAATCGCGAGAAGGATATATATTGTAGCGTCTGGGTTTTGCGAATTCGTGTATCTGGTAGGAGGTGAGGTGATGAAAGATTGAAGGAGGCTGCGAGAGCTTATTCAGCGGGGAATGATGCAACGGAAGAGGAGATTAGACTCCATCACTGGGCACGATAAGAGGTCTAAGCTCCGAAGCCAGTGAAGAGTGAAGTGCGGAGCAGCAGCCCCAAGCCTCTGCAAGAGAGAGACGATACGCGATAAGAGAAAAAGTCCTCCCCGCTTCCTCCGCCCGTCTTTCTCCTCGCGTGCTCCTCATATGGGCGAGGATCCCCTCCTTTAGTACTGACTAACTTCATTTTTCTCTCTACCTCGTCCCATCATTCACCCTTCTCTTACTTCCACAATGGCGAGCAACGAGCCCGTTCCGTCCCCAGCCCAGGGTGTCGGTCCCATCGGCCAACCAGATGGCGAGAAGCCCACGGCCACGGTCTCCAAGGAAGTGTCCTACGAGAATGTCCACGTTCTCGCGCAGACGCCTCAGCTGATTGCCCTCTTGACGTGAGACTTCTCCAGCTTGCTGCGTGAACAGGACCGCTGACTCGCGAATGCACCTACAGGATGATCAGAGATAAGCGGACAGCACGTGCCGATTTTATTTTCTATTCCAACCGGATCATTCGACTCTTGGTGGAAGAAGGACTGAATCACCTTCCCGTGGTCGAGCAGTCGGTCACTACTCCCGTCGGTCGGGCTTATCTGGGCGTCAAGTTCGAAGGCAAAATCTGCGGTGTCTCCATCATGAGAGCCGGGGAGGCTATGGAGCAAGGCCTGAGGGACTGCTGCCGGTCTGTCCGCATTGGAAAGATCCTGATCCAACGAGATGAGGAGACCTGCATGCCTAAGCTTTTCTACGAGAAGCTTCCTGCCGATATTGCTGATCGTTGGGTTCTCCTCCTGGATCCCATGTTCGCAACCGGTACGTATATGCCATTACTCTGTCTTGGAGATCTTACTAACACTGCTGTGTAGGAGGCTCCGCGACCTTGGCCGTAGAGGTTTTGAAGCAAAAGGGAGTTCCTGAACACCGCATCTTGTTCCTGAATCTGATCGCAAGCCCCTCGGGTGTTGCAGAATTTGCGGAGAGATTCCCCAAACTTCGCGTAGTCACTTCCTTTATCGACCAAGGGTTGGATGACAAGAAGTATAGACCCCCTGCTCTGTCTTCAGTAGACGAGACGACAACTGACCTGGCTAATAGGTATATCATTCCTGGCCTGGGAGACTTTGGTGACAGATACTACACCCTATAGGGCGTGCCAACTTCACCTCGCAAGGACAATGCAGGGTAGAAGAGATCCCGTTCCCTTGCTGGTTGGTTATATCCCGAAGGCTGCCTGGGGATAAAACAGACATCATGCATCGTAGACTCACATCATGAGGTTCTGTCCCCTTGTCGGCCCCGGAACGAGCAATCTCAAGCTCGTCTACTGAATTACCTAGCAAGCTACCTTTCGGCTCAATTCAAAAACCAAAGTTTTCCATGTGGGTAAAATCATGCAGCACATAGAAAGACAGAGCGCGATATAGTGAACGAAGATTATCCCCTTTTTTTTTTTTTAATATTCTCCCGTAAGTGGATGTGGAAAAAAGCTCGTCGAATTGATACAATGCCTGTGCGCCGTTCGCCCCTCCATTGCCCTTGTAACCGAATCAATAGTCGTCGTCGTTCTCGTAAGTATCTCCATGCCCAGCGCTGGCCATGGCATCCGACTTGCTATTACCTATCGATCCCACGTGCCCATCATACTGGTTGGCAGTATCCTTGGCCACAGCATCACATGCGTCCACCCAGTCCGAGTACACGTCGACGGCGGCAGACAGATCTGATCAAATTGTAAGGAGCCGTTAGAAGGTAACCGGGATGCGGAAGAGAATGCCAACTCACAGTTGATGCCGGTCTGGAACTTCTGGCCGCAGACCTTACAGGAGAGGTCACCCAAGCCCAGCTTCTTGTCGAGTTTGACGATGACCGAGTTCTCGTGGTTGCAGAAGAGACAGGCGAATGTGGTTGCAAGGGGTTCCCGCTATATTTGGTGAATTAGATTCTGTGCTCGCCGAGGAAAGAAGAGAGTAAGAGTGTAGGACGTGTCTCGCACCTTTCGGGGCCCTTGGGGCGTGCGGCTTGACTTCTTGCGTTTTCCCTGTGAGGCAAATGGATATTAGCATCCGCGATTTTGAGACCCTTGGTGGAGAAAAGAGTGTGAGATTGGAGCGAGTATAGCCCAAGCAGCAGGTAGCAGCGGGTAGCAGCAACCTAGAGCCTGATATAGCGAAACTTACCATAATCCTGGCGTGGATAGATGGATATTTGAGAGCGGGGGGCTCGAAGGGATTAGAGTCGCGAAAAGAATGGATTGCGTCCGCGGAGAGCCTTGCAGTGAGGGGGTGGCTCGTGCGGAGATTGGGAAGGCGGAAGAATGGGTCTTCCGCAGCCCCATGAACAGTAGCAAAATACTTCAGATAGAGTAGTTGTAGTAGTAGTAGGGTGAGGAAGAGTTTATCTAAAATCATTTGTGGGATATCATAATCAAGTATTTACATATGTCGTAGAGAGAGTCAAGAGGTTCCATTGGGGTGCGATTCCACAATGTTAGGAGATCGGGAGCTCGACATGCTCACACCATGTATGCTGTGTATGGTGACCAATTCCGGATGATGGAGGTGCTTCCCTAGGTATTATTGTTCTAACGAGAGGCTTGATGCAGGGATATTATTTTTTAATTGAAGATCAGGCCACGGATAGACATAGAGCAAAAGAACCAGTTCTAAATTGTCGTTACATGTATTGGCTTACGATCACAGGTGCGCCAGTGATGAACTATCCTTCTATACTTGGACTGCTCGTTTGACTTGGTGATGGAATCGATAAAAGCACGTGACCTACGAAGTGACGGAATTGGGATTAGATAAGCAGGGTAAGCAGGGCTGGAGAGGGCCCAGTGTGTATCACGTGGATGGCCATTATGTCAGCAGTAGGGCCCGCGTTGGCTCGCTTAGCCGAATTTTCTGTGGGTTTTGGTTTTCCAACCCTCCCGTCGACTAGTGCAGCGTGAATCTCGAAACCCTCCGAGCGCCGTGGTGCGATACCCTTCGTCTGTCTTTTTTACAACACTCAGATAGACCCGACTCGCAAACATGGCTGTTGGAAAGTATGCGCTTTCTTCCCCAATGCTCATCAGCATCGTTCTCCTTCACTTTGGCCCTGGATATTTCATCCATCTCTCTCTCGATCCTCATGTCGGATTATCGACGTCGTACGACTGGGCTAACCCGTCACGCCTTTTAGGAACAAGCGCCTGTCGAAGGGCAAGAAGGGTATCAAGAAGAGAACCGTTGACCCCTTCACCCGCAAGGACGAGTACTCTGTCAAGGTTGGTCCAGTCCATCAACGACTTCGATTCGCGTGACACCGCTGACCGTTTCCCCTCTCCAGGCCCCCTCGACCTTCCAGACCCGCGAGTAGGATTTTCCCTTGCCATTCTCTCTCGACATTTGCTCCGGTATGGACATGGTTTGCTAATGGTTTTTTTTTTTTCAATGAAGTGTCGGCAAGACTCTGGTCAACCGCACCAGCGGTCTGAAGAATGCCAACGACTCCCTCAAGGGCCGTATCTTCGAGGTCTCCCTCGCCGACCTCCAGAACGATGAGGACCACGCCTTCCGCAAGGTCAAGCTCCGCGTCGACGAGATCCAGGGCAAGAACTGCCTGACCAACTTCCACGGTCTGGACTTCACCACCGACAAGCTGCGCTCCCTGGTCCGCAAGTGGCAGTCTCTGATCGAGGCCAACATCACCGTGAAGACCACTGACGACTACCTCCTCCGCCTGTTCGCCATTGCCTTCACCAAGAGACGCCCCAACCAGATCAAGAAGACCACCTACGCCCGCTCGTCTCAAATCCGTGCCATCCGCAAGAAGATGACCGAGATCATTCAGCGCGAGGCCGCCAGCTGCACTCTGTCTCAGCTCACCCACAAGCTCATCCCCGAGGTCATTGGCCGCGAGATTGAGAAGTCCACCCAGGGCATCTACCCCCTGCAGAACGTAAGTACCTTCTATCGGGCAGTTCTTGGTCGAACATATTGCGCTTGGTGTCTGTTTCAATTGCTAATTATCTCATGTCTACAGGTCCACATCCGCAAGGTCAAGCTCCTCAAGTCCCCCAAGTTCGACCTGGGTGCTCTGCTTGCCCTGCACGGCGAGTCTGCTACCGATGACAAGGGCCAGAAGGTGGAGCGCGAGTTCAAGGAGACCGTCCTTGAGACTGTTTAAGGGTGTTTTGATCTTGAAGGGGTTGTCAAATACTGGTCAACCATGGCAATTGTTGTCTTCTGATCATAGGAAAACAAAAAACGTTCATGACATGTATGACAGATTTTGCAGCACCCGCATGGGGGTTCGGTTGTCCCGGTAGGTGACCAGTCAAACCAGGACAGCCAAAAATTCAAATTAGTTTGCAACGATTCGACTTTTTTTCTTGAGTATGCTGTGCTGCATTCGGTACTTAAGTGGTCAACCCTCGGCGTCCTTAATTTTAAGCGACGATCAGTTGTTCCATACCCGATGTAAGGACGCCACCTAGTAACTAAGCCAAGCTTTCTCTCTGGCCCACCAGGCCATACGCTCGAGATTACCAACCGCCTTTGTTCTTTTCATGACCCCCGCATATTGATCGTAGTGCTCATTTTGAAATGGCTTGGTGCCTTAATCTAACATGGCACGTTGGCCAGTCAGGTTAGCGTTCTCGGCTTGAGATTCCACAATGTGGGGTTGGAAGTCATTCGAGAGCTTACGGCTACGTAAGTACTCTTACAGGCTGCGTTCATGGACATATATCCCACAAGATCCAATTTTAGAAAACTGTGAAATGGGTTCAGAGCATATTTAACTGGAAAAAATGAGAATTTACCATGTCAACAAAGTTGGCCAGACCACACAGGTAAGAAGGAGTATACCACTATTAGATCGGCAGGAATCGAGATTAAGCTCACCTGGTAAGTAGACACATCCTGTCGACAAAATCCTGTACTTAAGTATGATGCACTGGTTCACACTAATTCGAGGCCATCACGCTCTTTCGGGATCTCTCCTTCTTTTCCACGGCTTATTTTTGTCGCTGAGGTGCTATTGTGTCATTCTTCTATCCTAGATTTTGCAACTGAGTTGTGAGATTTAGTGATTCATTAACGCTAACTACCTCGGTGTGAGAGCACTTGATTGTTAGATATCGGCATACAATTCTTACAGAATCATCTAATAAGCCTGTCTGCAGACGGGACATTGTTGTAACCTGTTTGCCGGGTTGGTTAATCTAGTACAGTTCTACAGTATCAAGTCATAGTTCAAGTAAATGATACAGAGGCTTGGAAAGGAGTATTCAAGAGTGTTTGAATTAGGATAGTTCTACTACTAATCGGTCTCGATTTCTTGTCTGATCGAGAAATCAGGGTGTATTTGTGCTCACGGTGGATGTTTGTGCTCACGATGGATGTCTATGAGAAGGCAGTTACCATCGCGATCAAGTGCTTATGAGAAAAATGGTTTTCACATTTATCACCCTCCATGGCTAGACTTCTCTGATTTCGATCACGAAGGAGATGCACATTTAGCTTATAAATCTATCGATATCCCCACATAGAACGCCTTTTATCATCGTTCAAAAGTGGTACTTCGAGTATAACTGGATCGATAGCGCAAAGACTGATGCGCAGTATCGACTGCGTGGGTATTATCCTATCGTGGAAGTCTTCCTATTCTTTTCTTTGAACTGCGATACAATATCATTAAGCGGCAAATGGTAATCTTCGTATCCTGGAAACTCCCTATGATTACTATAATAAAAGTATTTAAACTGCCAAAAAGAGGCAAATCATTGCAAAACTTCTACGCCATGATCAATTTCTACGAGTCTTACGGTAAAGCCACCAGTTCCCGTGCTATCCAAATTTCTAGGATACTTTATCCTATATGCTATCAAAGCGAACTCCACTGGAGGATGGCAACCACTAGCACCAACTAGAAATGAAAGCTAATGAGCTTATGGTACTCGCATCCTACATTGGTCCTCTTGTGTTTTGCCTAATTAATCAACCGTCACCGGGTTGCCCCTTCAGCTTCTACTCGGATTTGCAGTCGGGTAAGGTTTAGCCACCTACCTGACAGCCTCAGTAATCTGATTTTTGCACTCATCTATTTTACTCACTCGCAAATGGCTACACGTCTATGTAGCACCAATCAAATATAAGTCATCAATAGCGACTCTTGGATTCGACGTCTTTCATGCCAAGCCAAATTGAGCAAATAGGCACGCGCCGCTAGCACTCTCCTCATTTTCATAGCACGTTTAAAGTCGGACTTCTGTCTCGTTCTCATTAGCTATACGCTGAAGGTTTTCTCTCGACACAGAATTACCATTTCTGTCGACTTCATCGCCACACTACTTCTGTTCTTGGGTACAAACTATGTCGTCTTCCAGGTCGTACACTTGCCCGCCTCCGGCCGCCGAGATGATCAACACGTAGCACGTCGAGTCGCAAAGTTGATAACTTACACTAAGGGTACCGCTGAATGCTTTGCGAAACATTTCTGAAAGTGGCACTGCCGCCGGCCGTGTGCTATATAGTTCGATACGATCGCAATCTAAGGGGGACGCGCTCAGGTTTGTTGCTTATGGTGAATTTTTTTAAGTCAAGGAACAGAAAATCTTGTTCTCAAGAGGGCCATTATAAAGGGAGAACGTGTTACGGATGAACGCTCAGTCGGCTATGTTTACTTATTTGGATGCGACATAGTAAACCCACAGCGTCCTAATACACCATGAAACCCAATTTACACAGCCATCCCTCATAGCCTGATGATCGACACACAATCTTATTGAGAGATGTAAGAGGGCAAGGTTAGTTTGCACACGAAGAACATGATACCAAGGTCAATCCAAACAGCACCATGCCTGATCGGGATTACTATACAATAATATAAATCGCCCTCATTATTTTGTAAAGCTTGGCACTACACTCTTATGTTGTAATTCGTAGCTATTTTTTCTTTTGCTCACCCAAGTCTATCTCGTTGATTGAAACTGGGTATCCTTCAAAGCTGCCTTGTTCTACCTATGTAAAAATGTTGCTGGGCGTGGCCACATATTAGCTGAGCGTGGTCAGGAATCTAGCGCTGGCGCCCTTTCTGACCACGCTGGGCTTTGGGGCCCTGACGTGGTCTAAAACCCTAGATTAGGTTCAAGCTTAGCGATAGAGGTGATTCAACCCATACGTATGAGTCTTCGCGGGGTTGAGAGATCTTTGGTTACCATAGCCGTGTAAGTAGGGCCTATGCCTATCCTAGTTTCCTGCCCCTGCTATACTACCACTTTGCCTTAAGATCAATTAGTCTAGTTCGAAAGACATGTCGAAAAACATGTTGCCGGTCCCTTTTTTGGTTCCCTTTATTGTTTAGATTTACGGACCACGAAGAATTCTACGGCCTCAACCAGGCCGTGTAATTTTTCTACGAAGCCTAGCGTTGCTTACTTCCACCAAGTGTTGTTCCATGTCTCGGAATCATTACTGATAACCTGAAAGGAAATGTAGAAAGACATGAAGAAAGAAATGTAGAAAAGATAAAGATAGTCAAGGTGTCAGGTCATTATTAAAATTACACAGGATACTAGGTATACAAGAAGTGTTACGATCCACATGTATGGTGTTTGATGCTTGATGTTGATGCCCAGTGCCTAAGGCTTCCAACTACTATTTAGATAGCTGTTTCGCCATCTTCCCTTCTTTCCTTCTCTCATGCTTAATCATTTTGGTCAAATGCTACCGTGTTGATTGATTAATATCACTCTCGTGCTTGAGCGTAACACGAAGCATCAATAATGATCGAATTACTAATTGCAGAAACATAGTTAGTACAATAAGGATAATTAATGCATAGATTTTCTGATGAAGGAAGAAGCCGAGGATGGTTGGCAAGTTTCTATACATGATACAGAACCCAAAACAGAAAGCTTTTATGCAAATCTATTACCAGATTCATGTTACTGGAACGGAGGACGCTGATCCCGCCACACTCGCTTAACAACTCATCCCTCCTGAAGTGTGTGGGGAACTAGAGTTATTTAGAAATTTAATGAGTCAAAGCTGTTGCACTGATTCTCGTTTGCTTAGTTATTCGGAAGGAGTACAAGAATAAGAAAAACTCGTTCCTAGTGGTTACATGAAGTATATTGTGCGGGAACCTCTGACAGAGGAACTCTTCTGGAGCTAGATCTCTCCACCTGGGATGCGATCTGCATTAAGTTCCGTTACGCCTCTCTATGTAAGCCTAACAAACAGACTAGGTACTTATATCCTCAATAAGCAGATCTTGAGTTGCGGGGTAAAACCAGGCATGTCTAGCATCTTGAAGATGAAATTTGACTAGATTACTGGTGATCTGTACTTTAGGACGCCATATATTGGAAACAGTAGCTAACGGACTCACACTGTACCTAAATAGACGAGTCGCGGCTAGTACGAATTGTGTGATGAGATAGCTCGAGTTGGGTGATTAAGATAATATAGGAGGAGGCTTTTACTTCATATCGTCAGACGTAGTTTGTTCCGATAATATTTTTACTCCGTCCAAATAGTAATGGCTCAGATGCGCGGTTAATACAGTTGTACAAGATGTATATCTCTATAAACTAGAACATTGATGGTTAGGACAATCCTAAACCACGATTGATGAGTCTACGTCTGTGGGCAAGGTTTGGTTGACAGATACATAATTCTAGGCTATATCAGGTAAGAAACAGTGCATTCATCCCCAAAGCTCTCCTAACAAGGCAAATTGGTTTCAAGGATTATAGCTCCATATATTCATAATTAGCAATATTGTTGTGATGCTTTAGAGTAAGGCAGTCCCCGAGCGCCAGGGCAATTTAGAACAGCGCGAAAGATTCCGATCAAATTTCCACAGTACCATCGCCCCAAAGGTTAAGGTCTTCTTGGCCACTCGTCCGGTAAGACTAATAGACGGCGACGAGCGTTGTGGCACTATCAAGAAAAGCTGAAGACCCAAAGTTCCGAGCCACCCATTCTGTTGGCAGTAAATAGATCCCCAAGACGTACTTCCTTGTCAAGTTAACCCTCATTTTTCGCCAAACCCGATTTTTTGCATCAAGTCACCCTATTTCATTCGGACCTGACGTCGACCGCTCCGGTGAAAGCAGTCATGCCATTACGAGCCAATGACCCAATCTGTATCATCCTTCTGGTCCTGGTTGGATTGCTGCTTTTCCAGGGGTTTATTTCCCTGGTGGTGTCCCCAGACCCAATAGCGGTGTTGTTTCGGATGAGCTTCATTGCCTATACGACTTGAGTATGTTCCGGACCTAGCCCGAGGACATTGAATCATACCAGCTGCTTTACCAGCTACCACCTCGTTAGGGCGAGAGTCAGATTGGCTAGGCTCAACCTTCTGATTGATCTTGTCTTGTTCAGGATACTTTGCTGCGTCAGGAGACTGGGGTGCATCCATTGAGTCAGTAGAGCCTTGACGCTGGCGATGCTGTAGCGCGTCAGATGCTCTGCGGAAGAAGTCCGACATTGTGAAATGTTTCCAATATATTCAAATGGATAGTAAAAACTGATCCGAGCAATGGAATCTTTCCAAAGGGAGAGCCTCTCTCTATATGTTTGTCCTACCACAAGTCTACCTATGACGTCATCTATCCTAATCAGATATGTTCTTGTGACCATTCCTCTCCGGGAATGTGTTAATATAGCTAGAAAGCCAGTTCGACCAATGAAAAGTCGATAACCTTAAGAGACGCAGAATGAACGCATCATGTGCGGGGAACATCGTGGAAGCCCGTAGTGGGGAAGCCGGCCCCTTCTCCAAACCATGTTGCAATGATGCAAACCCGTTTGAAATAAGTCTTGAAAGGTATTTTCTCTAGTGCCTTATCATTGTTTGAACCGGGGAACGAGTGAAAAATTATTACTACCCCTCTTTTAGCGGTGTCTAGATGGTCTAAGAAACCGTTAGTCCTGGTGTTAATTGATTCAATCTTGCTCCAGGGTGTGCTCATGCTAGCTGGTAATTTCAAACCAATTCATATTTCTTATGTAAAACAAATTCACTATCTCCCTCATCAAGAGATGCTCAAGTTAACTTATAAGTTTACTATTTTTCATTCTTAGAATAATGTAGCATCCGGCTGGTGACTCAAGTATCAATCAATCAATCAATCAATCAACACTCTATTAGCCTGTTGCAGCCTAACTAGTGGCGTAATGGCTATGCAGGCGCTCCCTCCGGCGGAAGCAAGAGTGATCCGAACGCCAGACCCGTGCATGAAACAGTAAATACAAAGGAAAACGGCGTACAGTGGCGCCGCAAAAGTCTGTGACCCCCTAAAGTATCGCGCTAATATTCTGCTGGCAACTAGCATCTGCACCACTCAAAAACTAGTATTGATGGGCGGTATGTCCCTTGTAAGGAGGCGGTGAAGAAAGATACTTTGGGGGGTCACAGACTTTTGCGGCGCCACTGTATTGCCATAGAAATCAGCCCAAAAACCAGTCCAAACAGTATCCAAACGCCCTCTAAGCCCTTAGTCCCACGATATATCTCTCAATTCGCCCTCACACTGGCCTGCCGCTTCCTCTGCACCTCCATCCCCGGTATCTCTCCTGCTTCGTTCTCGATTGGTGGCGTTCGTTGTTAATGTTGGATGTATTCTTCTACGACCTCTCGATTGGCCATAGGTTTAGCGTTCCTCCTACCCAGCGTCTTCACCCCCTGTGCCGTCGCCAGATCATCCTGGCGGATCGTTTCCTTCGCCCTGCGGGGGCTCTGGCTCGATTTCGACGTGCCGGAACTGTCCCAGTAGGCCTGTTTGAAGCATGAATTCGGCCACGTAGCGGGTAGCCTACGAGTGTGAAACGATTGCATCGTAGTCTGTCGAATCTCCAAGATCCGTTATCCGGATCTTATCAAGGAAGGTTTTCATTATTACGAACTACTACCGAGATAGTATTAACAAAGGCTAGCTTACTATATAACTAGGCTACGAAACTATTATCTCCGGGTAATAGGCGTAAAAGTATCTAGGCGCGATACTTCTTCTACTTAAATACCTTTTTACTCTTAGGGGGGAAGGATATAGGAAAGATTAGCGCGACAGGTAGCGATAGCTACGTTAATTAAGTCTGCGTTTACCTACTAAAACTCTAGTTAACTAGTACTAAAATATATAATTATAAAACGTACCTTATTAATTCTCGTCTTACTAGTCTAAGAGTACTCCTTATAAGAAGCCTACTTAGCGTTATTAAAACACCAGTAAAGGTTAACTAAGGCCTTAGCAATCTCTTAACAAATAACCTAGGGGTAAGGCTATTTACGTAGAACGCTAATTTAGTTAAAATCTGTCGGATTTACGCCGTGTGCATATACCCTAGGGGGTGTGCTTAGAGGCGCAATCGAATACCACGATTATGGAAGAGTGACGAAAGTGCAATAGAGGTGGGTCGGCAGCGAACAGGTTGAACAGTGGAAGGTCAACACAGTTTAATCAGAATTGCCTTGAGCTCTATTCGTGAGTGAAAATAGTGTCAAACTTATGACATTGTTGTCAAACTTATTCAATTTAACTAGGGAAACAGGCAGTATTTATAACTTTGGGTACATAGCAGAATGTCACAGGAAAAGACTGATGAGAATCCGAAATAACATGGGGGCATACGAGAGTGTTAGGAAACTCGTTGCTTTTTCCATTTGATGCAGTAGTTGATAATCAGCATCGTATATCATGAAGCGGTGTATAGGGATACAGATTTATGCATCCGATTGCATTAGCGCGCGCATGCATGCATGCGCTCGCTTATTGCGGGGATACGCACACACACACACATGTTGACAGATATCCTACTTAGGCTTATAATTCTTAACTAAAGTCTGTAGGTAGTATATACACTAAAAATACTTCGGTCTCTAGGGAACTATATTGGTTACCCGAGTCTAGGGTGCCTTTCGGTAAGCTATTTTAAAGGTTTTCGATACATATTTAGTAGGTAAGAGGTAGTAAAACAGGCGAATATTAGATAATAAAAGGAGGGTAAGGAGGAAGAGGATAAAGAGGGGAAGAGGATAATATTAGTGATAATAACAAAGAAACGCGTTTCCTTTATTTTCCCCCTAACTAGGTAACCCTCTAATGTTGACACTTCCCTTTTTAGCCTATATACCCCTTCTATATTTTGTTTACTACCCTTTATAATTGTTTACGCGTCTGTTTACCTCGCTTAAGGGCAAGCGATCCTTAAAGGGAGGATAATTGTTACCATATACCTGATATACGGTTATCCACAAATACCGGTGCCTTAGGCTACTAAGACCCTAGTAAGCCGCTAAGCTTTCGGTAGAGGTTCACTAGGATTTCACTGCTAGTACGTGTACGGACTCCTGCAAGGCACGTGTAGAGGTTATATAAGCCTTGTGTTTTCCCCGCTCTCATTCCCCTACCAAGGATATATCTCCTTCCTGTTTTAAGCGATATAACTGTATATAAATTGATATATATTGGAGAGGTTTTATATTCCCCAAGAAACAGTCTTTGACCTTTCGGAGCAATTGACTTAATTCCTTTCTCCTACCTGATTGACAGGCCTCTATCCTGACTTATAGAGTATCTTTACATATTTCCTGACATAAAAAATTGCCCCTTTTTCTTAGAATAATATTTGATCCCCGTAGAACAAGTTTTGGGGTTGAAAGTTAGATTAGCACTGCGCAATCGTATTTAATTTTGCTTGGTTAATCGCTTTGCATTGTCTGCCCTAGAATATGAATCAATTAATCCTGTAATATTATTCTACGTTCGGTTCTCCTATAGTATTAAGCCCGATTTTCTACGGCCGAAAAACATACACCATTTGCCCTATTTTATCTACGAGAAGCAGTGTCTACCTTATAGGCCCGTGATGTTCTATTAAGAATAAGGAAAGCCAGACAAGTTCGTTATTTAGGAACGAGGGTCTTGGGTCTTTCATACCGGAAAATAGACTAGAGGAGAGATCGGTATCAAGACACCGATGATTTCTACCAGCGGAATTTTTCCTGGCAATATGCCTTAATTTTGTATGCACCGCTAAGAGAGGACTTTAAATTTGTATAACGAGGAGAAGCACATAAGACAATGCACCACTTACGGTACGGAACCACCAATTGAATATAGCGGCTGGAGGCGAATACTGTGTGTCTATTAGTCGAACAGCTAGTTAGCGGTTCAGAATCGCGAATCTGTAACAACCTGCCGAGCCGCGGTTCCTGTTCGTACCAAACCATACAACCTGCGGTTCTGTATTTTCTAGAGCGGCAGTCCAAACCTAGAAAGTAGCTATAGGAATATGTATCTATGTTCGAGGCTCAACTCTTATGTAAGAAATACGTTTTGAAGACAAAATACTAAGTACTAGGTTTAGAACACACCGCTGTAGGGCATAAAATCAGGGATCCTAGAGACTGGTTAGTTCGTCTCTAGGAATACAAGAACTGCCCCGAGGAACGCTGCTATAGGCTCCCCGACACGTCTGAGCTCCTGGAATTAGGCACTACTCATACTACTACTACCAATCACAAAGCCCCTAGGACTAAATACTTTGCAAATTTTGATTAATTCCTGAAGCCACTATACTCACAAAGGATGCGTGTAATTAATTAGCGTTAGGGCGCATCACTATTGTTTAAGTCTATACTAGAGGCCTGGGCTGCTCCTGAAGATAGGGATAGGTAGGTAGTGGAATCCTGCTCGAAGGGTGGAAACAAGATTCGAATGTTACAAGACCGAATAGTTTTATAATTTAGAGCCTCTCGGATAGCTAGATACTGTATAAAAAGTAAAGTACTTTATCCCGGCTCGGAACAACCGATTGAATTAGTGGTTTAGGCTGGGTACTGTGCGCTCATTAGCCGGACACTTGTTGGCGGTTCAGAATTGCGCCTCTGGGACTACCTTTGAGCCACGATTCGCCGATTGTACGTAGTAAAATCCCTACAATTTACTACTTGCTTGGACTGGATCCAAACCGCCCACAGGAAGCCTAGCTTGGCATTCCGTTACAATTGGTTGCCCGTAGAGCGGTACTGGTCTCATGACTAAATTCTAGCAGTTCAAAACAGCGACCCCGAAGAAAGCTATTTCGAACAGCCCCCTGGCGAACCACGACTTCCTCATGCAAGCATCATATTACTTAAGGGAACAGAACCCCTCTCCTCTTGACTCTCCGTGCTCATGCTTCCAAACAAGTCTCAAAAAACAACTCCAATCTTGGAAATGCACTTTAGATCCAAGTCTTTTGGGGGGGGGGGGGGATCGTGGGAACTTAGGTTGACGTAAGCGCTCTTCATGTTTAAAGGTCCAACTTTGGTGCAAGAAATGCGTTTTACTGACAACGTCGAGCTTCAAAACAAAAAGGATGCGCGCCACAGCGTCAGAATGCTGTTCCAGTCCACTAATTTTAGTACACTTAGCCCAATGAATCGATCCAAACACTCCAAGCGCTGGGTGAGTTGAGGCATTAGTCGAAGTGAGTCATGTGATAGCTAATTCAGGAAATTCAGTGAGATGCTAGCCGCGCGCTATCTTGGGGCGGTAAGTGTTTCGGAAGCCCCACCAGTGCTCTCCGGTCTTCCTTTTAAATCCGCGACCTTTTTCTCGAGAGTTAGAGAACCATCGCAACCTTTAGTTCCTCGTTTCACGCCTCACAACCGAGAATTGCACGATTTGCATAATTCGCTATGGCGGAAGTGGTCGGTACCCTAAGTGCTATCACATCCCTAGTGACTCTGGCCCTTCAATCTTCTATCACTCTCTATCAGACTGTTCAGAGCCTCCAATCCAGAGACAAGGTGATTCGTGAGCTTCGTCAGGAGATAGAGGCTCTCCAGGGTGTTCTTCAAGCACTAGGTGAATCAATTTACGATGTTGAAGTCGATCTCACAGTGCTTGAGCAGCCCCTTAAGCGATGCAATAAAGCCTGTGGTGAATTCAATGATTTGATCATTAAATGCACGTCGCACTCCACCCAGGAGCAGAACAGCAAAAGAGACTGGCTAAGGTTGAGGTACATGGGTGGGGACATCACCAATTTCAAGGACATGTTGTCTAGTTATAAGTCAACTATTTCTATTGCACTCGCATATGCAAATTTGTAAGTTTTTGTCTTCTTTCTCTTCGCTGGCCTAACATCTTTTCAACAGACGCACCACAAAGACTACAAGAGGTGTTTTGGAGGAATATAAAAACCTTATCGAAAATACAAAATGTGATCTGGAAAATCACTTGCAAGATATTCAAGCGAAGCTACAAATCGCGTGTGCTCAAGGCCCCGCGACAGCTGGTCTCGACCCAGTTGAGCTCCAACTAATGGAGGACGAGAAGAGTAGTACACAGAAGAGCCTCGAAATCTGTGAACAATTCCTCTCTCTGGTCGACCGGTCGCGACCGACTTTAGTGGGTGAAGTGACCAATCCTTCCAGACTCGTTGATAGAGCATCGTCCTCCCGTAACCATAATGTTTCATGGTTGATCAATGCGGAGGGACTCAATTCTACTTGCAAGGAAATTATGAGCTGGAAGTTACGTTTGTTGCAGCATCTATATGGAGTCGATCGAAATGTTCAAGGACAACAGCGCTATCTGCCTTACTTAAACAACGAGCAAGAATCCGAGGAGCAAACTTTTCGAGAAGAATTAAGTGGCACAGAAACGCTGCTCAATTTTTGCAAGCGGATTGAAGAAGAAGAAGCAAGGCAACTACGAACTCACTACTTTGAAGATGTCACCACAGGTGATAATAGCCGACAAGCCATTGTCACTACTCTCGACGATCTTATATCCGCCAAACGCATCAAGTCAGGTGATAATTCACTTCAAGCATTGGGTAATATGTCAGATGAAAGCATTCAATCTTTTTTCAGTGGCGCTGGTGCCGATGCCGGATCAAAGAACCAAGGAAAAGGCAAGAAAAAAGATGAAGCCAGCCATTGATTTGTAAGGTTTGGGACAAGGAGTTATCCTGTTGTTCGCTTCACAATTCATGACATTCACATGTCGCGGGGTGTGCCTTTCTTAGTCTGTGACTGGGTGTGGCTTGATTCTTCTTGAAATCTTAGTCTGCCTTTGCCTTCATCTTGTGGGTTTGGCTGCCGCTTCTGTTTCCGCTTTTTTTGCAGTCTCTTCTATGCCTAACTTACTGTCCCATTTTCTTATTCGTTCTTAGTTACTCTACTCCTTGGATACTTTGGATTTGATTTAGTTATACATACACTAGTCTACAGCTAGGTCGGTCTGTAATTTCGCGAAGGGCTTTACTAGAATTGATTCAATTGTACTAGGCCACATACAGTTTACAATAATCTTGATGATAAGAAGATGAACACCAAAAGAAGACCGGGCAGAATCGGTCCTGGTCCTTAATAGTGCCGGTGCAGTTCCTTGACAGAATCCTCAAGAACCTCTTAAAATCCTCCTGCAAAAGGAGGTATCCAAAAGGCCATAGCACATAGTTTACTGCCGGGGCTCTAGCCTGTCACAATTTTCCTTGGTAGCACAAAATTAGATATCGCTGCTTAGCCCAATATAGTCGCCCTTCGATCTAGGCAATTTAATCGATTTTTCTACACTTAGCTCTTTTATTTTCCTTGAACCCCGAGCAGGTCCTCAGTCACATAATAGTAGGGAGTTTGTGGTTCTACAGGAAGCTGATTAGACACGAGTGATTGGCGGTTTGAAATTGCGGTACTAGTTCGTCTCTAGGAACACAGGAACCGCCTCCTGGAACGCTGCCGTACGCTCCCCGGTACGCCTGAGCTCATGGAACTCGACCCAAATCCCCCAGAAGCAGATATTTTTCGTCCTCCATGTTTAAAGGTTCAAAGCTGCGAGAAGCTGACAAAGTCAAATATCGCGAGGTTAAAACAAAGAGCGCTCGCCAAGGCATCAGAATGTTGTTCCTGTCCACCAAAGGATCGGGCTCACTCCTCGCCAAACCCTCGTTCCCCATGACAAGCACCAGCAGGTTCTCAACGTCGCCAGGCAAAGCGGGATACAGCTTATTGGCTTTGACTACCCAACGAATCACACCCAATCATAGCGTCCAGCCAGCTAGAGGGTGCTGCATACTAGCGCCCACAGCGGCACGGCCCCAAACGTGCCGACCTTGTCCTTTTCAGCTTGCCTTCGTCTTCCCACAGGGGGATACAATAACCTTGAATTTAGCTGGAGGCCACTAGGTGATAGCGCTCGTCCTGTATAGTAACTAAGCAGGCCGCGCTCTTCGACTGACGGTGATAAGTCTGCCGTAGTCACGTCTCCTCCTCTCCGTGTTAATCAACCCTAGCTCCCTCGTCGACGTCGGCGAACCTCTTTCTACCCGCCTATCTGACGGCCTTGTGCGCTTTCCTCTACACTATGGCATCCCGCAACGCTCTTAACAGCCCCGACTCCTATACGGTCGCCTGGATCACTGCTCTTCCTATTAAGCGGGCCGCTGCAGAAGCTATACTCGATAAGCAACATCCAGCTCCAACCAGCTTCATTAGACACCAAACCGACGCGAACGTTTGTACATAGGGTCGCGTAGGAGAGCACAACATCGTTATTGCCTCTCTGGTCCCCGGAGTCTACGGAACCACCTCGGCTGCGACCACCACCTTAAGCCTGCTTGCCTCTCTACTATCCATCCGTGTTGATCTTTTGGTCGGCATAGGCAGCGGCATCGCTCGACCTGACGAGGGCCGCGATATCCGGCTCGGCGACGTTGTCGTAAGCCAACCTGGTAGGACGACGGGCGGCGTCTGCCAGTACGACATGATTAAGGCAAACTATAGTGACAAGCGAGAGCGTAAAGGCTTCCTCGGGCGGCCTCTAGCGGTCCTCCTTAATGCGCTTACCAGTATCCAGGCCGATCACGAGCGGAAAGACTCTAAGATTCCCTGCTTCATTCAAGAGATACTAGAGAAGAACCCGAAGATAAACAAGAGATCCAAGCAAAATCCTGGCTATGCCTACCAGGGCTTCGACAACGACCGCATCTTAAGGCTTCGTGCAGCTACGTCCCCGGCCCGGACTATCGGGGCTGTGACACGGCTAACGAGATTCAACGCGACCCTCGAGACACTACGGGACTATCGCATCCGACAACGCACTTGTCAGAGACGCCACTGTGCGCGATCGGATTATTGCTAATCTCGGCGAGGATTGCATCTGCTTTAAGATAGAAGCGGCCGGCCTGATGAACCCCTTTCCTTGTCTTGTGATCCGGGGGATCTGCGACTACGCCGATTCTCACAAGAACGATAGATAGCAACGCTACGCCTCGGCCACCGCCGCTGCGTATACTAAGGAGCTCCTGGCGTACGTGCCGGCCGCGGAGGTCCATGTGACCAAGAGGGTACTAGAAGTGCTTCAGTTCGGTTAGTTCTTGTTTCATTAACTAGGGCTAGACCAGCAGGTACACGAGACGGAATAATATTTGAACTTGGAATACGTCCTAACTGCGAGTAGTTCAACAACAGATCGATAGCGTGCAGCAGAGACAGTCGCAACGAAAGCGGCAACTGACTTTATCAGGGCTAACCTTCTTACCGATAAGATCATGCGCTGGCTTTGTCCCACGGATCCGTCTACAAACGCTAACCACGCGAGGACGCTCCGCCACAAGGGGACAGGCGCGTGGCTCCTAGAAACCCCGGTTTTCCAGTCGTGGCATTCGGCGCTCTGCTTAGGTTCAGGTGGGCGTTCTGTCAATTTGACAGCCTGGCTCGATGTCGTCACGAGGCAGCTATGGAGGAGACTCTTGCATCTTTGCCGCGGAATCTGAATGAGACATACCGACACATGATTGCAAGCATACCGGCGGAGCTAAAAAAACGACGCGATACGCCTCCTACAATTCCTAGTCCACTCTAAGCGACCTCTCAAGCTAGCCGAGGCTAAAGAGGTAATAGCCACGCAGATCGAAAACGAGTCGCGTGGGTTTGACATTAAGCGTCGACTATTTTGCGAGACTGATGTTTCAGACTACTGTCCTGGCCTAGTGACAGTCGTTCACGCCACCGATAAGAGCTACATCTTGCCCACTTTTCCGTCAAAGAGTACCTTGTCAGAGAGGATCCGTTCGACATTACAACTGCCAGCATGTCCCTCACGAGAACGTGCTTGACTTACCTGACAGACATCAACGGTAGCTATAGAGAGATCGAGGGGGATTTTCCGATGGCAAGACGAGCGGCGGAAGTCTGGACAGGCCATGCTGTCTTCCCACCGCCACTGCGCCATATACGTTGACGCCAGATTGTTCATACTCGTCAGCGTGTCAGGGTGGTCAGCGCCGAGTTTCATCTTGCGAGTCTCCATAACCTACCTGCACGTAGAGTTGCTCCGCCTCTTCAAGCCGCCCATCGCGTAGGTATACGTGCGCTAGCATCGTAGTACTATCGAGGGTCTGTTCGCCCTCCGAGCCAAATATCAATACTCACTGCCTCCACGACTTGAATGCCATATCCCTCGATTCTACGATATTGCCGCTTTCCTACGCATACCATGCTCCCTTATAAAGCAGCGTAGCCCACTTTTGCAGAGAGTCTTGTGAATCTGGCCGTTGTGACATAGCTGATTTCACATGTGGAAAGAGCGACTGGCACTGTACCCTCTTTTCATATTCACCTATCGGAAACATTTGCCATAGGATCATGATAAATTGCTCCTTCCATCGCTCCAGCTGTTCAACATTTTTCAGCCAGACAGGCACAGTAAGTTGCAGCAGCCGATGCATTGTGAACATTGTGTTGTCCGTATTGATAGAAATAAATGAAAAGTCTCTTAATATTGTCACATCATCCTCAAAATCACAATCCGTCTTGGATCCAGACGTGTCGTCCGTATCATCGTCACTGTGTTCTAAGGTAATCTCCTCCGACCTCGAATCCTCGGGTTTGATCTCGCATTGACCTCGGAGAAGATCCGCTGAGATTCCCTGTCGGTCAAAAAAGCTTATTAGAGAGAGCAAATCAGCCGCCGACGGTCTTATTCGTCGAATATAGTCGAAGGATATCTGCCATGTAACCAAAATCGAATTTTTTGCCTCCTAATCTCGATAGAGATGACCAGCCTTATAATCAAGAATCAATCAATCAATCAATCACCCCTCTATTAACCTGTTGCAGCCTAACTAGTGGCGTAATGGCTATACAGGCGCTCCCTCCAGCGGAAGCAAGAGTGATCCGAACGCTGGACCCGCGCATGAAACAGTAAATACATAGGAAAACGGCGTATTGACATATACAATCAGCCCAAAAACCGTACCAAAACGCCCTCCGAGCCCTCAGTCCCACGATATATCTCTCAATTTGCCCTCACATTAGCCTGCTGTCTTCTCTGTATCTCTATCCCCGGTATCTCTCCTGCTTCGTTCTCAATTGGTGGCGTTCGCTGTTGTTAGATGTATTCGTCTTGTTGTCTTTCCTATCTTTTGGGCATCCCGGTTTTGTAACATCCGAGAATCCCCGTTCTACTGTAAAGCTCATGGGTATTTCAACCCCCATGAAGCCCCCAATTCATGTTTCCAATCAATCAATCATTCGATTCCATCGATCTCTTCTTTTGATTCCGTTGCCCTGAATTGGCCAATCTTCCAAGTACTCCGTAGCTGCCACATTGTGACACAAGGCCCTCACTTAAATGTGGCCTGTCCAATAATTTACATGCGCTAAGGCCTTGGGAGTGGGGTCAGGAAAGAGAGTCTTATTGAGTATGGTCAAGCCGAGTTCGAGAAACCCTATAAGGCCAACGGCATAAATGCATCTATCTACTGAAGAAGGCTACGCAAGAGCGTTCAATGGCGGGTGAGAATATGATGGAAGAGGAAAAAAAAGTCGGTTTAGAATGACGTAAATGCCTTTCCTACCATTGATAGGGTATTGTTTTCCGAGAGCGCGATGAATATGACACGACCTGATGAACAACCGATTGCCACTGTTGTTGCAGATATAGCAAATACAGGGGCATCAGACGGTCGATATTCTGCAGGCAACCACAACACGTTGAACCCATTATAGGTTATCCAGGAAGAGTCATTACTTAAGCCATACCCATATATCCTTGGTATGGTCAAGAAATGTGGGCTAGACGTAACAGAGTCAGTGAATCCTGGATCTAATGTACCAACGTTTGTGTGAAGGTTGTTGGGCGTCGTGTTATTAAATTGGAGGATGTGAGGGGAGTGAATATCAAAAGTGGAGGTGCACTGGTCGGTCGCCGGATCCCAGATCCTGATAGTGTTGTCCGAGGCTGATGCGAGTCGGCGTCCATCTGGCGACCAGGCAGTCGACATGACCGACTCACTATGCCCCTCGAAGGTAGATGTGCACTGGCCGGTGGCCGGATCCCAAATCCTGACGGTCTCATCATCTGACACTGAGGCAAGTCGGCTTTTATCTGGCGACCATGCAATTGACCGGACCACACGACTATGCCCCTCGAGGATAGACGTGCACTGACCAGTGGCCGGATCCCAGATCCTGACGGTCTTATCCCAAGACGCTGATGCAAGTCGGTTTCCATCTGGCGACCAGGCAATCGAATCGACCGAGGACGTATGCCCCTCTAGGATAGATGTGCACTGGCCGGTGACCGGATCCCAGATCCTTACGGTCGCATCATCTGACGCTGAGGCAAGTCGGCTTCCATCTGGCGACCATATAATCGACCAGACCCAGTCACTATGCCCCTCAACGGTTTGGAGACGTGAATTCCAGCTCTCACCTACCACTAGCAAGTTCAAAATCCAATCTGATTTCTCTTTGTGGTAATATGCCCTCGTGATACTTTGAGTCGGGCTAAAGATAAGCCCTGAACTGTATACCTAAAGGGGACTGCTTTCGATTCCGTATCTGTAGTATCGAATAAATTGGGATGCATCTTGAGCTCGGCTTAGAAGCGTCTGTGACTTTCCCTTTTCCTTTAAATAGTGCCTAGTTAGAAGTTGAGATATATTCGGACTTCAGATAGTTACTCACCCGCAGTAAGTCCTCGAGCTTTAGCATAGCTAGTATACCTTCTTATAGGTTTCCTAAAAAGCCGAGAGCCTCTAGCTAGTGAAGATATTTTTGCTACAAAAAACTATCTACGTATCCTCTATCATTAAGGCTGTTATCCTTACCTTCATCACACTAACCTTCTTGAAGGTAGTCAACCTAATATATACACGCGTATTTTCCGGCAGCTAAAGGATTCAGACTCGGTTATATAAATTCCTTAGCGAAATTCCTAGTAAGATTAATATCGAAGATATTCCGTCGAAGCGTCTCAAACATTATTTATAGAGATCGCGAGAAAACTCTAAGATATTCGGCTTCTGTGTCTCCCGGAAATACCTCGGTTCGCGCCTTACCGACCAAAAATTCCTTTACAGACTAGTGGACAAAAATAATAATATTCTCTCGCAAGGTCAAGAATAAGCCACAAATTGCGATTATCTCTAATAAAGCCTCATAGTTATCAGAAAGATCGTTAGGTATTTCAACTATAATAGTCAGTTCGTCAAGAGTGATAGGCCGATACACAGTTGAAATAACAGCTAGTATTCGCTTACAGAGCTTAGTATCCTCCGAGTTTCGAACCTGATCAATCATTCGACTGTATAAAGCGTCTAGTCCAGGAGGAAACTCCTAGAGTTTCTTAAGGATATACCACCGCGATGTTCTATTGAGATCTCGACAAACCAAGGCTACCCACAGGAAAGTGTCCTACGAGCGCGACGATAAGTAATAGTAGACTATATCACGAACTTCATCTGCATATTTTTTGACTTTTGCTAATTCGTGAACCTTATGCTGAATGAATTTCTTCACAGCCTCGGATACAGATACCTCATTTAGCTCTAATAAGATCCGTGGTGTCGGGGTTACACCGTCCAGACGCTCTTCGATGTCGGGCCAGTTACGGCTCGAAACGATCCATTTCACGCGCGAGTAGGTAGATGATTCCTAGACAACTAAGTCTAAAAGGAAAGAGAGGCCTGTTATGTATTCGTCTAACGCATCGATCAATAGACAAGTCTTGTGTAAGGTTAGATCTTTCAAGATGTCGGTGAAGATCTTTGAGAGGGCATTCCACGCGTTTATGTCCTCAAACAGAGTCTTTCCCGCTTAGTCGTATCGCTTCCGTATATGGGAGAGAAGAGATAGCTGCTGTTTGACCAGTGAATATACTAAGCCACGGAGGTCTGCCGTAGCGCTATTGATTCGCACATCGGTAGCTTGGCAGAAAAAGAAGGAGATATTCGCATTATCCCCAGTCGATCTAATTAGTTCGTCGATGATACCGCACAGAAGCATTGTCTTGCCTTTGCCGGGATCACCTCTGATCCAGAGGAGACGGTTTCTCCGCTTGTCCCGCCACTGTTTGAACTGCTCGTTGCTAAAATCCAGAAATATGAGTCTATGAGCAATCCACCGCTTGTTTGCTCAATTCGGCTCTTGTCATCATAAGGATACGTGATTCTTAGGTCTCGTAGGAACGCTTGATTCAATGACGTTTCCGTTTGTACTTAGATGGCAATCACAGGAATCAGTCATGGTACATTAATGTTATTGGTCGCAACTTGCTGAAATGTGCAGTGACATTGCCATTGACGATCCCGGCTTGAAAACCTGAGTTTGACTCGCCAAACGATATCGCAGATGCCATAGTAGTATGTGAATCAGGCAGACGCTGGTTCGCAGTGAAGTCGTTAGTGTGCCCGTTGTTGTCGAGGTGGGGTATGGAGTTGTCGAATGTAGTATGTAAATTTACAAGCGAATGCATGCATGAAAGTACCGTGTAATATACGTAAACAGAAATACTCGTCGAACGAACAGAGGTACAGTGGGTGTGCAGAAGTTTGAAACTATTTCTTCTCACCGTCTACTGCGCGCCGCCAATGACCTACCCACTGTACAGCCTATTCCAACGTTCGATCCGTCATATTGCGTATCGGCCTATCACTTTTGACGAATTGACCACCCTAGTTGAAATACCTGATGATCTCTCCGATGACGGTGAAGCTTTACTGGAGATTATCGCAATTTGTGGCTCATTCCTGACTTGGCGTGAGGATGTTATTGTCTTTGTCCATGAGTCTGCAAAGGAATTTGTCGTGGATAAGTGGAGAGGTTTATTACAGTGACATGGGATTGGTCCATACCCAACCCATCTTTTGTGTGTGTTTGTATGTAATATGCGGGTAACACGTCGACATCGGTATTGTCACTCCGATACTCGGTTACACCGCCATGGGACAGCTCCACCTGCCCCTTTTCCTATTCGTTTGAGTTGTTTCCTTCCTCAATCAATCTTTCTTCTGATGATTCCGGTAGTCCTCATTCGTCACCATACATACTAGTCTATACCGATTCAGCTCGCTTCGACAGAACATTTGCTGAAGACCACCCTTCTCGACTGGCATCTGAGCACGCCCTCGCTGTAGCTTATCATGCCAACGGCCTGATTCAGAAGGCAGTTGAGTTACTTGAGCAGGCGGTGACAGATTTGATGTGATTCTAGCTACGCTTACGTATTATAACAATGACCCATTCGTTACTACCAGCCAGTACCCTAAAACGCACGAAGTGGGAGAAATGGGGCCCTGAAACAAGGCCTCGGAAAAATCGCGGGTCGGGTCCAAGGTCAGGACCCTCAACCTGAACCTGTGCGTGTTAAGTGTCCTCTGCCCGCGTCCCCTGTATAAACTTTAGGCACCTTTCCTAAATAGGATGGATAAAGGTGATGATTCATCTTCATAACTTTCTGTTATTTATAGCTGTTTGGTCAGTACAATCATCAATTGAGTTAACCAACCATATCTCTTGCGAAATTAAATGAAATCTTACTGTATCGAAGTCATCTTGTGGGAAGAAATATCATTGACCTGGAATTCTTATGGCAGAATCCATTTATGGATCTGTTTTGTAGAAATTGCGTTCGAACACTACATATCGCAGCACGAATATATACATAGTGTTGTGCATGAATTTCTATTTTCGTTTTGATAGCATTACCTTGAGGCTATTTCAAATTCTTTTTCTTTCAGTTTAGAAGCCTCAGCGAAGTGGTTTAAAAACAACATATTAGGAATATCCCGGATTCCCGGTGTTATGCGGGGAGCGTGGCACTCACTGATAACCAATCAACTTGGATCAGTCAGCAGAGATGACAGCCTGACGAAGGAGTCGGAAATACTGCTCACTAAGCCATTGGGGTGCACCAATAGGATATCAACGAGTATGAATTGCTATTGATGGCTCACTCGTGGATTACGGTGAGTTCTGTAAGGTAAATCAAGTTTCTCCACATAGCCACAGTATATTACTGCACAGCCACATCCTCGAGGAAAATTACTAGTCATGTATGCAGGGAACAAGTATTGTTTAGTCATGAACTACTGGTATTGTAAGTATTAGCTGCCCAACCCGCTGTAACGGGCCAGAGCCCGGCAGTGGCCCATGTGCTATTGCCCATGGCTGTACGGAGTATAGACCACGTTGATGGGATGACAGTGAAGGGAGACACCGCCTTCGGCAGAAAGGGCTCCATACGGTTTCGCCGCAGGAACGGAGCCGTTTCTCTTCCTTTCCTCAAGATTGTTGTAAACAGCATGTTGGCCTAGTACAATTGAATCAATTCTGCTACGGCCCTTCACACCCGCCTCCACCTGAGTGACTGCTTCAACTCATGCAGTTTTGGTGCATTTATGTTGAAGCAGATGCAGCATGTTGAATGCTTCTACCTGAATCAATCATACCAATAGCCCTGGTAGCAAGTAGAACGACTCTCCCCTAACATTGCTAGTATCTTTCATTCATATCGGTCAAGAATGCACTATATCAATGGATATTATGTCAACCTCGCTAGCGACATTCGTGCCCTGATTATAGTCGCCGACTTTGAAATAAGCGTCTGGCGTACCCAATTGCGTCACAGCAAAATGGTTGGCTTCGCCACCATTGAGCGACACTGAAAGCTCATCGTTAGAGTAGTTCAGCTCGTACGTGAAGACTGTCTTCTCAGGGATTGTCCCGATTTGGGTGAAATTCTCAAGTCCTCCAGATGTTGTTGTTTCGAGCCCGACTGTCACAACTCCTCCCGGATTGTAGTATAACTCAATGATGGGCTTGGAGAAGCTCGCAGAAAACACCTGCCCGATCACGGTGCCATAGTTGCCATCATCGGCTTGCGCGACCTGGAGCTTGACGGTCATAGTGTTGGTCCCGGATGGACTCCAGCTCGAAGGCTGAGCCTCTCGGAGCTCCGTACGACAATGCTTACTGCCCGATGTTTTGGCACATGGAGTACTAGTTGGTGGAGCCTTCATAACGAGGTACGAGCTGGCTGTGTTCCAGTAGAACCAATCTGCATTCTGGTAGCCATTGCAGCCGGCCAATTTCGTTGCGGGAATCTGTTCGGCAGTTCCACCGCTAGAGGTCGCAATAGGCAGTTGAAGATCGAAGTCAGCTAGGACTGACAGGTAGCCTCCCGGTGCGCAAGTTGTTGTGGCAGATGGAGTAGCTGACACAAGGACCGGGGATATCAGTACCAAATAGGACAAGATCATCCTAAAGGATCAAGTATATTGCAATATTCAATAAGTGCTGAGAATCAGTATTGTCGCTAACCAGGACGATTCAGTGTTTTCAGGATTACAGCGGTACAGCGGTGGGCATTTATGGAATTAAGAGATTTGTGGGACTGTGAAATTACGAGGAACATTTTAATATTTACTGGACGGCAGTCTCAGACTGGCCTGTCCAAGGCTTAGCATTTGTTGCTGCAGGTTCACTCATCCAATTGCCGACAGTGCCCACGACGTCGTATCACATACCTTCTGTAACCTCATGAGATGCGGAATAACAGTCAGTCAAGGTTCGCTTACTTCATTTCGCGGAGAGGATCCTTCCCGGAGTGGCTCACCGGCAGCTCCACTTCCTCGGCTGTTTCAGAATGATCCATCCATCCGCTTGATTGTCCCGCGACGTTGTATTTGCGGGGTCTAAGCATCGGGCGCTGAGCATCGGTCGGCCGCGTCTTACTCCGCGGTTTGAAAAAGGAAATTGCTGCTCCATGATCATTTGCTCTTAATGGTAATTAAAAACAAGCCCACGAAACTTCTCATAGTTCCAGCCATTCGTTTCTTTCCCTCCAGACGCCAATCTCACGCTAGAGATAAAAACAGTGCTACCTGACGTCATGGTCGTTCCTGGTAACTCTTCCTTCGTTTTCGTCCACGACCTCTCGGTGGCTGTGGGTTTAGCGTTCCTCCTACCCAGCGTCTTTACCCCCTGTGTCGTTACTAGATCATCCTGGTAGATCGTTCTCGTTGCCTCTATTCAGCGGCTCTGGCTCGAGTTTAACGTGCCGGAACTGTCCTAGGAGGCCTGTTTGTAATATGAATTCGGCTACGGAGCGGGTAGCCTGGGAGTGCGATACAATCGTATCATAATCGGTCGAATCCCTAAGATCGGTCATCCGGATCTTGTTAAGGAAGGTCTTCCTCAGATTAGCGTACAACGGGCACTGTATAAGGATATACCTCGGTGTTTGAGGCCCCTCACTACATTAACACTTATCTAATTAAACCGCCTTGATTTTAGGCAAGAAATGATTCAATGCGATACGCATCGATCGTATCTGAATCAACACTAAGGTGTACGGCTTCGAAAGGGAATCGAACAGCCGAAGCACCTTCTTGTCTAGAACCTTCACTAATCGCTAGTTCGGATTACTAGTTCTATCCTTCTCCCTATACTCAATATCAATATATTAATCTTCGCCTGATCTAATATATCCTATACAGCACCAATACACACTTTGAAATAGGCCTAATCTGCTTCTGATCTTCCTATTTATATTAGGTCTGGATATATACAGAAAAGTTAGCGCTTAAGTTATTCCAGACTGGTTTAATATGGTTTAGATTAGGAGAGTACGTGGGCTAATCTTTAACGTATATCCTATACTCTTTAAACTAATCCTGCGTATCCTTCACGATATATATCTTTACGTTATCTTACTAAAATATTATTCTAGGTTAATAGATTAGAAGGAGACCTTCTTTAAGCGCTTCTATATAACTCTAGCGTAAATATCCGCCTCTTTTAGAGGATTTATACTGTTCTATAACAATTAACTTTAATCGACCTCTAAGCTAGATTATAGCCTAAACTATCTACAAAATATCCTTTATATAAATCTTAGGATTTATAGGATTAATCTAGTATACTTCGGAAGTAAGCCGCTAGCACTATTATAGTCTATTATTCGAAGTCCGTTAAACGGAACACTTATTAGAGAAGATCTAATTTCGAAGCGTAAAGGTTATATAAAATTCGGAGCGCTAGTAGCGAGTAAATCTCTTTTGTTTAAACGCAAGAACCCTACTGATAGGGATCTTACGCTTTGCGAGGCGTCGAACAATCCCCGATCGCTTTAAAACCTATCGAATAGTATCTATTGATAGAGTACTAGTCACCCTACTTGCTAGGGCTTGGTAGGACTAAAAGGGGTTACAGCGGGCATATATTTTAATTAAATAGCGTGATCGGGTACTAAACTTAGGGGGTTGGCCGCTGCGAGGGCGAGATTTTGTATCGTTACGTTCCTGCTAGCGCTTAAAGGTGTTAGCTATTGTCGGATTTACGGGGTCAGCATAAATCCTTCAGCGTGCACAAGCAAGCGAGTGTGCACGGTTGGGCAAATCAGTATACGATTGGCGAAGAATCGTATAGGTCAAGTCAAAAGGGTCAGGTCGTACGATTCGGCTCAGAATCGGAAGTTAACTTATTGTCGACATGAGTGGGTGCATAAGCCCATGCTATCGAACTTGACAGAATGCGACGGAACGTCCACGTGACGACGATCTTCAACGATTGACATCAACAACTTGCACACATGACGAAAGAGCTTCAACACTCTATTTCTTCTGATTTCTATGAGATTCCAGTCTGACGTATTGCCTTGATTTCATGAAGTTATAAATACTGCCTGTTTTCCATAGCTAGTTGAATCAAGTTTAATGATTGTGATGAAGTTGGAGCATTCTTCTATCATAAGTGTCGGATTTACGAGGTCAGCATAAATCCTTCGGCGTGCACAAGCAAGCGAGTGTGCACGATTGGTCAAATCAGTATACGATTGGCGAAGAATCGTATAGGTCAGGTTAGGTCGTCGTACGATTCGGCTCAGAATCGGAAGTTAACTTATGATAGAAGAATGCTCCAACTTCATCACAATCATTAAACTTGATTCAACTAGCTATGGAAAACAGGCAGTATTTATAACTTCATGAAATCGAGGCAATACGTCAGACTAGAATCTCATGGAAATCAGGAGAAATAGAGTGTTGAAGCTCTTTCGTCATGTGTGCAAGTTGTTGATGTCAATCGTTGAGGATCGTCGTCACGTGTACATTCCGTCGCAATCTGTCAAGTTCGATAGCTCTCATGGGCTTATGCACCCACTCTCTTGGGGGCTTATGCACCCACTCATGTCGACAGCTATTGTAAGGATATACTCTATAAGTCAGGATAGAGGCCTGTTAATCAGGTAGGAGAAAGGGACATAGTCAATTGTTCAGAAAGGTCAAAGACTGTTTCTTGAGGATCGTAAAACCTCTTCAATATAGGTCAATTTATATACAGTCTTATCGCTTAAACAGGAAGGAGATATATCCTTAGTAGAAGGATAGGAGCGCGGTCTTGTGTAACCTCTGTTAAGGGTGTTCCCTGCAGGAGTTCGTACACGTATTAATAACGAAGCCCTAGCGAACCTCTACAGAAAGCCTGCCGCCTTATTAGGTCCGGGAAGCCTAAGGCGCTAATACTTAGGAATAACCTTATGCTAGGGTATATTATAACAATTATCCTCCCTCTAAGGATCGCTTGCCCTTAAGCGAGGTAAACAGACGCCTAAATAATCAAAAAGAGTAGCAGTTAAATAAGGAAGGAGCGTATAGGCTAAAAACGGAAGGTTAACACTAGAGGGTTGCCTAGTAGAGGGGCAAATAAAGGAAACGCGTTTCTTTATTGTCAACATGTGGATGTGCGATACCCCGCACTGAGCGTGTAGATAAGCAATACACATCGGACCAATCGGATATCCACCACTACACGATACGATGATAAGATATCAACTATCTTATCAAATGGAAAGAACAACGAGTTTCCTAACACTCTCGTATCCCCCATGTTACTCTGAGAGTTTTATCAGTCTTTTTCCTTGATATTCTGCTATGTACCCAAAGTTATAAATACTGCCTGTTTCCCTAGTTAAATAGAACAAGTTTGACACCATTCTCACTCACGAATAGAGCTCAAGGCAATTCCGATTAAACTGCGTTGACCTTCCACTGTTCAACCTGTTCGCTGCCGACCCACCTTTATTGTACTTTCGTCACTCTTCCATAATCGAGGTATTCGATCGACCTGTGTGCGCCTACAAGCACACACCTCAGGGTTTATGCACACGGCGTAAATCCGACATTTATTAATATTACTAATATTACCCTCTTCCTTTTCTTCCTCCTCCCTTATCCTCTTCTATCCCTTTTTCCTTATACCTTATTAAGACGCACCTTTTCGCTATCGTTTCACTATCTTTTCGCTCTTGAAACCCTTACGATACCTCCTAAAACCTATACTACTACTTATCCTCTTTTAGATAATCTAGTTTTTATAATAATTCTCTAATATATATACTATTTACGTACTATAATCGCGAAGTAGGACGTAACTCTAGGCTTACTTTTCGCTATTAAGTATATTCGCGATATTAAGGCTTTAATTTCGTATAAGTAGTGTTCCGGTTACGCTTTGATATATATTTCTATAGGTTTTGCTAAGTTCTTGAAAGATAAAGCTAATAACTCTATAGGCTATAACTACTACACTAAGAGATTATTAAGACCTAAATCTTATATTTACGTAGGCCCGGTAGGTATTTTAGATAGTTAACCTAGTTAATTCACAATAATTTATAAAGTAACCCTATCCCTTAAAGGCCTATTAAAAGGTTATTAAATTTATAAAGGAACTACTGTACTACTTCGATATTTCGGAGTAGTCTTATTATAAGGAGTATTAATTAACTAGAAATAAGGTATATATTAAGGTATAGTTTATAGATTATAGGTTTTAGTATATTTTAACTATAGTTTTACTAATAAAATTAGGGTGAGGTTAATGGCACTACATGAACGTTATTCGCACTACAAACTAGGCCCTTTTCGGTTAACGTCCGCCCCACCACCAAAAGGTACATTTAAGACCTACAGAAATATCGCTCTTTATGTGTAGTTATATTCCTCTGGTTCTTATGATAAATAGCCATAATAATTATCGAATAATAGGTAAACATATAGTGACGTGCTCGAAGTAGATACTGACCCTAAGAGCGACCGCAAAAAAGGGCTTATTATTTATAGAAATATCTAGACAGAAGCTTTGGTAGACTGTAGTTGTTTTTTTAGGTGTCGGATGTACCTTTTTGGTGGTGAAAATTTGCCAAGGCAGGTACTAACCTAAAAAGGTTTAGTATGTAGTGCGAGTAACGTTTATGTAG